CTCCAATGCCGGCGTGTTTGTCTCGTTCCCGCTGGTGGCATGAACGCACAACGCCCGCCATCGTGATGACGGCTCGCTCATGCTAAAATATTCACAGCTTCGCATCATCAAGTCGTACGCAAATTCCACTTTCCGTATATTAGTGATCTTTATTTTGCGCAATGTGACACTGCATCTGAAAGGCGCCTGCTGCCTGAAACGAGACAAGTAAATACCGGGCGCTCCTTATTGTCTCTCGCACTTGGCCGTACATTTCAACGGTACTCAGAGTGGACTGAGACTGGAGGCAGCCGAAACGTACCGGCAACCAAGCTCTCGAAGCTTCCTGATAGGTGGATAGAATTAGGCCAAGGAGTTTTCATCAGAAGCTCCACTGGACTTCGCCGAGACGGACAACGGGCCGTAGACCTGCAAGTTCCCGCTCTATACATACATAGTTGGCGCTGCCGGCGTACAGGAAAGCAGCCGGCTTCAAGACTAAGAGGCTGGTTTCCTTAAACTGGTGGATGGTCATTGGCCAAGATCTTTTGATAGGGGCCGCTGTGATCGCCAAGATTGAGGCGCACCGGCCAAAGTCATGACACAGCATATCTAGAAGATATTCTGTGCTCAGATTCCTTGCTTAGGAGGATTCCTGGGAAGCAACCGTGTAAACATTTGAATCGCTGCTGCACCCGTAGTGGACATGAGACAGAAAACAAAAGACAGCAGAGTCACTCGATCATGATGCTCATCCATCTGACGTAACATGTCCGCAAACCTTGTGGAACGGAACAAGCCAAAGGCACGCCCAATTCAACCAATGAACAATAATACGTATCACTAATACGTACAACTCGTCACTGTTCACTTCCAGACCCGGCTGACACCGGCCAGATAGAAGACCCAGCGTTATGAACGAAGCCTGGTAGCCGGTTCTTTCCCGCTCAGACATGTTCCTTCCTTGTCCTAGCACGTCGAGTGAGGCAGTATATCTTCGAGTCAGACAAGTCTCAGAAACTGATCATGGCAGGATTGCCCAGTCCCTTTGCCAGTCTTTCTATCTGTGGTCGTTGCCAGCAGAGTCTGCAACAACACGTCCTCGGTCAGAAGTCTCCAGTCCTGGGTCTGACACCTGCTCTTCTTTTCAGGGGATCATTACGTCAACAACAACGCCGTGCCAAGGCGATTTACCTTGTACTTGCGTGGACACTCGAATCGAACAAGTCACGGATCTCTTCCCGGAGAGAGGAAGGGAACGCGCAACCAAGCACGATCCTGACTCACACCATTTACCTCCATCACGAGCCGAACCAATATATGACATACTGATCTACCCCCGCCGTTCGCGACTTTTGATGAGTATCACTAATGAGTATCACTGATTTCACACCTACCGTTCTTTGCCTCGTCATCGACTCTCAGCCAATTCCCCCGCAGGATCAAAAGCCCGCCCCCGCAAACGCCACAGGCGTCACACCAAAACACGACTAGCAAGGCCATATTCAGACGAAACGAAATCAAAGGGGGCCAGCCTTATGGCAGCGAGAGCAAAGAGCGATGATGGTGGCCTCGGGTGGGCCGCACTTCACCGGAATTTCCGAACGATTACGTGTCAAAAGGAGTAGGAAGTTGCGCGCGCGCTTGTGCGTGTGCGTGCGTGTGTGTGCACAGAAACGCCGCACCTCGTTCGACACACAAAGAACACGCCACGACTCATTGGACCACGGAACGCTAGCTCGGCAGCTGCCATGTGGGCGGCAAGCCACAGCCTGCACAAGTCTGTGTCAGGCAAAGGACCGTTCTCGGCGCGAGCGACGGTCTAGAACACAATAAGCCTCGAAGGTCCCGGGGATCCTGCCGCCATGGTTGGTTGCCGTGGCTTGACGATTGGCGCAAGCCGTCAAGTGCTCGTGGCGTTGTCGAGAGATCTAATAGTCTCGGGTTTAGTTGAACTGACTCTTGGTTCGTCTCAGCGGAATTGACCCGACAGGGCAGCTGCTTGACGCAGCTTGGTCCCTCTCTCTCTCTCACCACGCCCAAGCAGCCTCGCAAACTCTATCCAATATGCGAGCAGACGATGCCAGCGGTGACGCGTGCTAGCACCCTGCCCTACGGACCGGCCAAATGTGCCAGCGGAGGATAAGGCATGGTGGACCCCGAGTCATTCTTCCGCAGAAGATGGTACCTATGCAGTGATGGACCTTCTCCTGATACAAATGGACAAGCAAAGCATAGTATCTCCGGCTCGGACTGGGCTGGCGTGCCTGGCAGGCTTACAAGTTGCGATATGCAAGACGCAAACTCAGATCTCCACCCAGGGAGGCATCGCCCCCTTGCGTCCTGAGTACTGCATTGTGATATCCATCAGGATGGACCTCAGACCTTCATTGTCAATAGCGTGTGCTCGAATCAAGTGGGACCTGCAAAGCAGCGTGATGCAAGAGTCAGTTATCTGCAGTACGCGACATGACGCTGCTGAAAGGGACTGGGGAGCCCGAGTCAAGATATAGCAGCTGGTCTAGATACTGGTCCCCAAACCCGCATTGCCCTCGTTCCAGGCCGATTTCGAGTATTCCCCTGCTCGTCCTTGGTCAACCAACCCTGCTTGGCTACTTCAAGGTCGATGATGCTGTTTTCGCTGGCCATTTGGCGTCTGTGCTCACTGCCATCCTAGGCCTTATGTGGTTGCAGAAGCAGTCGGCAAGCGATGGCAAGCACGTTTCAGAAAGACGACTGGTATGATCCGGACCATGTGCTTGGTGCGCCGAAGGGCAAGTCATTGGCGGCTGCTACCGAGACGTGGAGCCATGGAGTCTTCGACGGACACTCGAACACCACCAAAGCCAAGTGTTTGCGATGAGACGAGGGCCGTGCCACGGCGCCCAGTACGTCACTCCAGGGCACTAAGCAACGTCGAGCTTCTTTAGCCGGTCCCAGTCCGCACTAGAACCAGCCAGGCAAGCCAGGGGCCGAAGCATGGGGGCCACCCGTGTCGGTGACTGCTAAAGGAGGTGCTGGGACAGCCCAGCAGGGATCAACGTCTGGGCGATGCCGCCATGAACGTGATGAAGCAAGGCAGGGCTCATTAATGAACGGGCGGGTGCCGCCGGCGTATCACTCAGGCCGGTTTCCTCCGTGCCTGTCAAGAGCATGCAGGCTTCACATGTTATAGACCTTCCCGGCGGCAGCGTCAGTGTCAGTGTCAGGATCCAAGCAATATACTCCTTTCCTCTTCCGGATGATTTGCTTGACTCGTGCGCTGCCGAACAGCTGCCGCTGTCAAGGGGCTCCCTCCCGGGCTTGTGGTTCCGAATGCCCGGTGTGGAGTCCCAAGCGGAAAAGGGCGATTGTGTGTGTACGGATGACCGGAGCCCCGTAGGAGGACCGCGTCGGCAGAGCAAGTTCGGAAAGGAAGCTGGGGCCACACTCTTCGGAGCGGGCTGTCATGACGGCACGAGTCGTGAAACATCCAGAGTTTAACAACAGCCTGTGCTGCCTCTGCAAGGAAGGGCCTGTGGCTCCTGGTTGCTGCAAAGAATCAGAATGGAAGGCAAGGACGGGGGAATTGGAGGGGTTGCGGGGTGCCAATGTCGAACCTGGCCAGGCACGCGGTCGTCGTCGGGGAGAGGATTGCACCTTCCTTGTTATTGCGAGCATGGATCCTGCTATCGCGACTATCAGCACGAGCTTTGCACCTGCTCAAGTGGGTAACCCCCGGGCTGCTCACGCCAATGCACAACAACATCGCGGCCGGCCGGCCGGCCGGCCGGGGCTAGGCAAGTACATAGTACAACAACTACAACAGCCTGCCAACGCCCACCGCACTGCGCTGCCGCTCGACGACCGGGCGCTCCTCGCCCACTGCTAAAGAGAAGAGAGACACACGAGCCGCAGCAGACCATGCGGCCTGCGTGCCTGCGGCGTGGCTGCAGCGCGGCCGTGCCGCGACTGGGCAGGCCGTAAGGCGGTAGGCCGTGCCGCGACATAGGTCAAGGTACGCTTAAGCACCATACGGCGTCGACGCTGGCTGTGCCATTGACCGGTCAGGGAGGGCCTGCTCGACATCCACCTGGCTTGGGGGCAGGGTCAGCACCCCCCACCCGCCCCGGAACCCCGGGACTTGTCCTGGCCCTGCCATGACCCTGCCGCATGGCCACATGTCGGACAGGGAAGCGGGAAAAAGAACTTTTCGCTAATGTTCCATCTTGTCAGGCTCGAGCTCAACCTAGCACCCCGCTGCACGTACCTGCCTGCTCTCTCCCATTGTGGCTACCAAAGGAGGAATTCTGCTCAATCTGTGATGAACTGAGAGCGGAGCGGCCGACGCTGTCAAACGCGCCGTCGCCAAGCTCTGTGCTTCGCTTGCTTCAAGCTATTCCTCCCCATTGGTAATTAGAGAACCATTGTGTGACTGAATGCTCGCACCAGCCAATGTCAACGATTCACGACTCCGGCAAACAACCCGATCAATCTCCACACTCAAAGACCGCTTGGTCTAGCCCTCATCATCTTGACCACGGCACTTCCCGTAAAGGGGTTAATTCACCGAAATCAAGACTTGTGGTACCATGCCACGGGCGGTAGCTGACCTGGAATCCGGACCTGCTTGCTCGGGTCATTGCCGAGTCGTGACAGAGGTTACACGCGATCGGACGGACCCAAGCAATGCTACCAGCCAGAATTCGGTTATCTCGCAGCCTGTGACATCTGTTCTCCGAAACGTTCGGCCGGGCTGCATTCGGGTCAGGAACTAGACCGCCGTGAAGGACCAGCCTGGAGCTTCACAGCAAATATCCCAGACAGACCACACGGTCGGGTGCCGTCGACTGACTTCCGGCCGGCAATCTGATGTTCCTTGCTGGTAGGGGTGTTTGTTGGACCACCACAGGGAACGATGACAAGGGTCAACACCTCATGGTCCTCTGGTGGTGAAGGAAAGAAGAACATTCCCCCGGGGACGGATCACAGAAAGTACAATAACACCGAGATGAGCTTCAAGAGGATCAACGAGCCGGACCATGTCGCCGGGCCATGACAATGGTCGAAAGAGCGCGTCATTTGTGGAATCGGCTGCCTTCCTTCGAGGTCCACCCTTGATTCCTTGCATGGTGTCCCGCTACCTGCCTGGATCCCATGCTCGCCGTGCCAGCCGTCGTGCCCACTTTGCCGTGGCCCATGGCAAGTTTGAGCGCGACGAGCCGTTTTCCTGGGTCCGGCCCCATCGGCGGGCAACCCGGAGGCTGGGAGAGCAGGAAAAGTGGAGGGGGCTTGTGGCCAGTGGGTAAGGCAAGAATTTCAAAGAGCCATAGCCCGAAACATGCGACAGGTTTGCTGGAGAGCTAAGGACCTGCGACCTGGAAAGAGGAGAATGATAGTGTCGGGCGATCGCCAAGGAAAGTCGATGTTGTAACGTCTCTGGCGGATCGCCCAGGTACGCGTTGTCGGCAACGTATCGCTACGTCAGCAGCCTCGACGCGCCGCCCGCCGTGCGCCGGACAAATCAGGGTCCGTTGGGAAAAGCCACAACTCAAAAATCCACAGAGGCACCACTGGCCGCCGAGCTTATTTTCTGCCAGACCTGTGCGCGGTTCCTCTAGTGTTACCCAGCCTGACGTCGAGCCGGCTTATTGATCTTTCCCGAGGGCTTTCGTAGCGGTAAAATCACGACGGATGACAAAAGCACGCTTCCAACGGGAGAAGGCATCCTACACACTGGGAATTGCGCAGGGGACAATAACGACGCTGCGCCGTTGCCTCACTGATCGTCCCTGTCTGTCCTCCTTACGAGGTAGGGGGATGGGTGGTCTCGGGCCGACATGTTGCTTTAGCATTGCGCCACGAGGAGGGACTACCAGCGCCGTCTAGTGGCTATTGCCCCAGTCATGCCGCCGTCTGAGCAGCTAGGCTTGCCGCTCTCCACTGCACACGATTTAATTCGATATGCGATATTCGCAACAAACGTCGTGTCCTCGCGCCACGACGACACGACCAAGGCAGGGCTGAACAACGACACGACGACGCTAAGACAAACCGGCGACACTTTCCCTCGTCTTCGAGGCTTCAGCCTGGGGAACAAGTCGTCGGCCCGGCGCCGGGTTCTTATCCCAACCCATGGATGACGTTCGTGGAAGGAACACCACAAGTCCGGGCAACTTGGGAGCAAGGGACTTCGTCGTCGAAAACTGACGGCCCACCACAGCCTGATGCTCAGCCTTATCCTCCACCCACATGCGACGCTGTCAATCGCCCGCCAATCACGGCCAGCGACAATCGATATGATCTTGTGTTGCTCAGACATCCGCCTGTGATTGTCCCGGACCACCATCAATGGAAAGACTTCTGACAAGCTTCGACCAACACAGCAATTATGATTACTGCAGTACCTTCCCGTACCCTGGCGTCTCCCCAAGATCGCTCGGCGGACAATGCCATGGCGACGACCCTTCCAGAAGCGTTGGCTTGCCTGCCTGCCTCAAACCGCCCTTTTGTGAATTCGAGGGGACTTGGATTGTTGGATTGAAGGCGCCTTAAGTCTCCAGCCCGGACTCCAACGTACACCCGAGAGACGCCGTGGCACATTCTTTCCAATGTGTTGCGCGGGACACGTCAGGTAGCAGCGCCAGCCGCCGTCGCCGCCGCCGCCGCTGCAGCAGCAGAAGTAACAGCCCTGCTGTTATTATATACCTAAATTAGACGGGGTGGGACGCGCACGCGCAGCCTGCAACTCTAAAGTCTAAAACGCGCGTTCTAGACACCGCAGTTGGCCCAGGACATGGGAGAGAGAGAGAGGGAGAGCAGCAGCAGGAAGGGACAGACAGCACAATGTTGCAAGGTAGGTAACCTGCCTGATCTGGCAACACGGCCCCCTTTGTGCGTGCGTGCGTCGACCGTGTACGGTGAGGCAAAGAGATTTTGCCCCATTACGGAGTAGAAGACACAGCTCCCCGTTCCAGTTGGGTAAGCGTGCCTCTTGAGGTGTGTTCCCCAACCTGGAAGCGTCGTTCTACAGGGAGTCACAAGTGTGAAATTGAAAGTCAAGGCTGGTAGTGGTAGCGGTAGCGGCGGCAGCAGCAAGGCGGGAACCAGAACCAAAACTACACCCCTTCAATATCTGCCGTGTTGCTTACCCGAGAGACAAAAAAAAAGAACCCAGAAAGCTAATAAGTTGCTTTGCATCTTTTTGCGTGTGTGTGTGTGCAACGGAAGAACCACCACCACCACCACCACCACCCGCGTCATGAGGCGCATGTGGCTGTCGCTACTCGGCCGCGCCGTTGTGCTTCTTGTCCACTGGGCAGTTGGTTGGCGCTGGCTTGAGACGGGCGGCGGGTTTGGGGGAGAGAGCGAATGTGTGCATGCCCGTGCGTGCATGCTTGGCTAGGTGTGCCTTTCATATGGTGTAGCTAAAGCTCTGGCGGTGGTGGCGGTTGTGGATGGCAGGGTGTGAGGTATGGGGGTTTGGTGGTGGTGGTGGTGGTGGTGCATCGTGGGGGGCGTTGCTTCACAACGCTACGCTAAGCTATGCAATGCAATGCCGCCTTTTTGCTATCTACCCCTGCTGCTACTGCTGCTGCTGCTCGTTCGCCCGCTTTGGCCAAAGTGATTTGTTCGATGTTTTTCCTGATAAACCATCTCTGGGTGTAACATGCTTTGCGTGTAAACCCCTGCTGCTGCTGCTGCTCATACAATGTGTTATTGTGTAGTTAAGTGGAAACATGATAGAGAGAAAGTGTGTCTGTGCATATTGTGTCGCGAGCACCATGCCTCTCCATTTTGAGACGCGTGGCCCAGCCCTGAGACGAGAGACGCCCAAAACTTGCGTCGTCAAGGGTTTCGGGGCGCAAGAACAAAAACACACACACACCATCTCTCTTTCCTCCCAATTCCCTCTTTGTGCAGGCTCGCGAGATTCTGCAGGTGAAGCTAGAGAGAGTGAGCGGGGGACAGGGACTTGTTTCTCAGTCTCCCTACCAATCAGAAAGGTGACAATTCTGGAAGAAGGGGAGGGAGGGTTATAATTGTTATTCAGTGTTGATGTTGGCTGCGCTCTTTCCCCCCAAAAATCAAAGTTGGCTGCTGTCCCCCAAAGTGGTTGCCCCGTTGCGTTGGTTGGTGAGTTTGGTGTGTGGGTTAAAGCACAGGAACCCCCGCCGCTCTGTGGGGGAGAGAGAGTCAAGAGATCCGTCGCACAGACACAACGGCCGCGCTGCGCCATCCCACCATTCCTACCTTAGGTACCTTAAGCCGCATTGCATAAGACCTTCTGGCCCTTCTTCCTGCATGGCCCCCCGTAAGTATTTGCGGATTCGACAGAAACGGCGGATGGATGGGCTAGTCTTAACAACGACCACAGGCGGACACAAACAACACAACATCGTGTCATTCACAGCCTCGTTGCACATGCCATTCAGTTCATTGATTGTTTGTTACGTGCTGCAGGCCTCTCCCCCCCTCCACCTCCTCCCCCTTCCACCGCTCCGTACAAAAGTACCGGGGGGTGGGAAAAATTGCACGCTCCCCACGCGCGCGCGACCGGTATGCCGGGGGGCTTGGCCACACAAGCAGAACAGGACAGGCCCAAGAGACAGGCCGCAGATGCTGGCAAAAAGCCCACCGAGGCTGATGCCAAAGAGCACATGCATGCCACAAGCTGGGCGGCGTCATAAGTGACGAGGTCATGAACCCCCTCCCAGGAGACCTGTCATGCGGGTTTACAATATAACAAACAAACAAAAAAGCAAGCCTCAAATGGGAGATTGAGAGCGCAATGGGAACGCGGCACCGTCCCAGTTGGCTGCGGAATCCTGAGCAGTATGAAAGGGGGCTCTTGACCGCATAGCCATAGCCACGTCGCGGTCCGATCGCGTTACGTCACAGTGGTGTAATAATCATGCCTTGGCTTGTGAAGATCAACACAATCGTGAGTATATTGAACAATGTCTACACCATTGCCCCAGGATTGACACGGTGAGCACGGGTCACGGCGGCGGGCCTGGAGTGTCCAAGCTCGGGCCATACAGTCCAAACTGCCGGTACATTGCTCGTGCTGCCAGTGACACCCTGGTGAAAGGGTCAGAAGTACCATCACCCAGACTAGATTCAGAAGCGCTGCAAATTTATATCTCTTGCCGCGTGATAACAAGAGCGAAAAAAAAGAAATATGTGACATTTCATCTTCCTTGCAATGGGGAAAATCCAGGACCCTGCGCCCAAATATGCCTCTCTTTTTTTTAGATCGTCGTACGCCGTTCGCCAAGTTGAAAGCTGGTGTCACCGAATCAAGTGCAGCTAAGGTATCAATGCCAACGTGGAACACACAACTCGCTGGCGGATATGCACACGGCATCACACCAAAGAATCTTGAACCACCAGAAACATGAAAAAGGATGTACAAACGGCCTCGTCGTACGCGCGAGGTATCGGTTGCGTTTGTGTTTGTGTGCGCGCGTCAAGGTTCATCGTGGGAAGCCCTTTGTCGCAGTGGCGCAAATACTAAATGGTCTGGGAGGTCGTCATCAAGCGTCGTGTGATGGGCCGTTCCTGCGATGTCTTTCGTCCAGGCCCAGAGTGAAGTTTCCGCCTTGCCCAGCCTTGGGGGAGTTTGGAATTTATAATATGACGCAACGGCTGCGCTGCCGCCGGTAACGGTTTGGATCTTTTCCGCCATGACCTCTATCGGCATCACCGTTGCCACGCTGCTGGGGTCGACCTCCGGGAGGCAGCGGGCGAGGATTCGACTGGCGCTGTCGTCGCAGTATCCGGACCACATCATAAAATGCCTTCTCCACGTTTATACACGCCTTGGCTGAGGCCTCGACGAACTCGCAACCAAGCTCTCGCGCGAGGGCGTGGCCTTCTTGCGTCGAGACTTCGCGCTCTGTCGACCTGTCGCTCTTGTTACCAACAAGCATAATTGGCACAGAGCTCGCTGGAGCGGCGGCCGTTATGGGCGAGCCAGGGTAGGAAGGCGATGCCGAGCAAGACTCCTTGACACGCTGAATCTGGTGGTGAAACCGCTTGATGCGGGAAAAGGATGAGCGCGAGGATATGCTGTATACGAGGACGAAGCCCTCGCCATCCCGGATCCACTGGTCTCTCAGCGCTGTATATTCCTCTTGGCCGGCTGTGTCCAGGACCTCGAGCATACACGCTTGACCATCTATGACGACTTGTTTTCGGTAAGAATCCTCGATCGTCGGGTCATACTAGAGTGCGACAAGAAGGTGTTAGATGGTGCCAGCTATTTTGCATGAAGCCGTGCTCGACCAAAATCCTGGGGCGGTACCCGAGCCAGATCAAGGGGGGGGGGGGGTTCAAATAGGGCGACATACTGTTTCGACAAAATGCTGTAAGCATAGTTGGATGGTCAAGGCCGTCTTGCCGACGCCTCCGTCGCCGAGGACCACCAACTTGTAGAGCACCATTTTTCCCGCCATGGCGAAATTGGAGGCGGCCGTGGGCAGGCCAGTCAATCAAGACGTTTCGGATACAGCTGTGGCGATGTGGACTATGCGGCGCCTGCAAGGAGGTTGAATTTGGACGATCCTTGCAGACGATGGTCCCCTTCTGTTGTCGCAAAGGTTATCAGGAGGGGTAGCAGACGTGGTTGACGAGCTGACGGGCGGCGCAAAGAGTCGAGCAACAGGAGACTTTTAGGGGGGTTCTTGGCCCAAGCCTAGAGAGGCGCAACACGGACGGCACAAGGGTGGGGTTGCCTGGGGGTTGTCCGTCTGGAAGAGAGGGCGGCCGACGCTGGGTGAGAGGATGCTGAAGTGGTAGACGGTTGGGTGTGACGATGTAGCGGACAGGAAACGACAGCCCGAGGCGTCGCGAGAAGGTAAGGATGGGCAGGACGACAGCTCTTGTGGGAGAGGAGAGGGAGAGCGAGAGGAGCGGGTTGCGGTGTTCCGAATTGCTGTGGCTGTGGAGAACCGAATCTGGCTGGGAGACGGAGCCTGAGATAAAAGTACGGGCGCCTGGGAAGAACAGCGGGCAGGCGACCAGGTGGGAAAAGGGGAGTACTTGACCTAGCCGTGTGCTCTGCCTCAGGGATGGCGGTACCTGTCGTCTGTGGGTGCCGGGGTCGCTCGTAGCTTGGGTGGGTGGTGGAGGCGGGAAGAAGGGGGGAGGGAGCACGAGAGACAGGAGAGGTGGGCGGGCGTGAAGATGGCAGGGAGACCCCCCCCTCGACAGGAAAGAGAGGTTCGACCAGAGCAGGAGCAGAGCAGCGGGATGGGAGGGGACGAGCCAGCCCGAAAAGAGAAGAGCGCGGTGTCGGGAGTAGCGGGCGCTCGAGGCGGGCCAGCCAGGCTTGGACAGGACGAGCGGGCTGCTGGTGATAAGTGGCCCTCTCCTGGGGCCCTAGTCGACTGCGCGCTTTAAGAGCTTCAGTGGCAGGCCGGGGACCTGGATGGAGGGGCCGCCGCCGCCCGTGGAGCTGCTGGGCAGCAGACGGATGGAGCAGCCCATGGATGGGATGGGTCAACCAAGGACCAGGGATCAACAGAGAGAGACTTTGTCCATCCGCCTGGCTGTCTGCCTCTGTGGCCCTCTGGCGCCGGCCAATATTCATGGCTGCGGGGGACCGGCCGAGTCGCTCTGCGATTGCCTACTTGGAGGGCCACATGGCTGTTGCGTGACTGCTGCGGGAGCGTAGGTGAGCCGCAGAGTGCCGTGCTGAAGCAGCAGTCCAATCCTGCCGCTGCCGGGCCGTCCCCGTCACATCCAGGACGGCCGCATTGACACATCACGTATCGGGTGCATCATTCACAGCTCCATGTCCGCAACTGGCAGCTGTCTGCCCCTTCTGCTCGCCATCACTCGGCCTTTTTGCTCATGGGTCAGCTGTTGCCACAGGTGCTCAGCCCATTGCAGCCCAGCTCCCGCGCGGGCGTGCAGGGAAGCTGCGTGGGCGGGTTCGTGGCGTCCAGCTTCCTCGGTGCTGCTGCTCTGCGAACCGTACGCACATTTCTCTCTCTCTCTCTCTCTCTCTCCATCTCCACCGCTTCGAGTACTGTACTTGGCCTCTCTTGCCCGTAAGGAGGAGGCAAACGCGTGCGCTTTCCAAGCTCGGTCCCCGTCGTCCTGCCCGTACCCGTACCTCACCGACTCGGGCCGCCATCTCGATTGTCCCGGCCAGCCAGCAGATATAAACAAGAATCGTATCCAGTGACGCCAGTCGCTCGCCCAGCCCACCCGTTGGAGCCTCTACGCATATGCGGGCACGGTGGGGGAGGGAGGGCCCGCCGGCAGCATGCCTGATCTGCCGCGAGCCACGACAGCTATGCCAAAGCTGGTGGGAAAACCCACAAACCCTCCGGCGCCCACGATTGCGCAGGACTCGACACTGTCTAGGCCAAGAAAGGGCCCGTCTGGGAGAATCCATCGCGCTCACATGCCGCTGACGTTTCTCTGGCGAGAATCAAGACGTGTTTGCCTCGATCCATGTCGGATCAAGATGACCAGAGCTGGCCCGGCTGCGCTTGCCCAGTTCCCATTGGATTGTGGTGCTCGCGTCGTCTTGGGGGTCCCTGGAATTCTTAGCCGCTGCCCCCACAGTCATCATGCCGAGGAAACCTATCAGCTCGCGAGAGCTGCCTGCTTCCTGGATTGTTGCATTTGCGGGCGCAGCTTCGCCCGTCGTCACTTGTCCGCAGCCATTGTTTGTCTCCATCTCGACCAAATTGTCTGATGACAAAGCCCACATAGGCACTCTCGTGTGGTCCCCCTCGGCGTGGTTGGGCTGCTTGACATGGTGGCCTTTACCAGCTTCCCGCCGCCCAGTGGCATTCAACGGTCGTCGCCAACGCAAACCTAGGACTGGCTTGGCGCCCCTTGGCAAGCGAGCAACTGTAGCCTCTGCCAGTGCGCCTGCAGCATTGATCGGGATGAGATGGACCTCTGGATCGACTCCAGGGAGGCGAATGTGTGCGCAAACGCAAGCGCTGCCCCTAAATTGGAGGCTGTGTGGTGCAATCAAGTGCCCAAGATCTTCCGGTCCGAAAAGCCACCGTCTGAATGGGAAACTCTGTTTCTCTTATCACCACAGCTCCCAGCAACTCTAGGGACAGCCAGGCACGCATGCCAAACGCTTGGTACTTGTCGCCAACAGCTTGCGCATTTCTCAAGGTTTGGGCACGACCATAGTATTTGTCTTGATGATCATCACTGCTGCAACTTTCAGCTGTCGGCCATTAAGAGATCTACATTCTCAACAGCCCGCGGCATGCCGTTGGATCAGAACTGATGCACCCTTGTTGCTCGGACAAGGTTTGAGCTGCTGCTCGCAAGGCATAGCTTTTCCTGCCAACCAACATTGTGCGCATCGTGTTGACGACAATGACCGTCACGACTCCCCAACCCGTCTACCAGACTCCTGTGAGGACTGGGTGGCTTGTTACGGATGAAATCCCAGACAGAGCCAGAGAGAACGCATAGCTAACCATTTAGCCTCACATAACGTTTCCTCCTTGTCGCCGCAAGTCTGTGCTCCCGTGTTGCGTCGCCTTCCCTTCTTTGCACAAGCCCACACAAGGGCGAGCTTACAGACGTGCGACGGCAAAAGCTAGCGGCAATGGAATGACGATGCCCCATGAAGTAACCAGGCAGGGCCCATAGGCTGTGGCGCGCCGCTCTCACGAATGCAAAGGTGTGCTCCGCGTGGAAACAAGCATTTTACACTTTTGGGTCAACCGCACTGAACACGCAGATAGCTCCTATCACAGTGTTTGGCAATGGATTGTTGGGAAGTGCCAGAACTTTATATCCCCCAGAGACCTCTTACACGCGGTCCCAAGGACGCGACGCCCCGGCCTCTGACCCGACCGACTGGCACACCTTTTACCCCCGTGATGCGTTCAAGTGCGTGGCGACTATGAGGCACAACTCAACGCAACCCCCTTCATGTTGATGCTGACCGGGCCAAATAAGCTTCGGCTTTTAGGGTCGATGTTGGCGGCGGTAAAATCACGCTTTCCCCGACCGACGTGGTTCTGCAACGATCCCGTGGCCACCGGTGCATATATTTTGCGAGGTCAGGCGGAGTTTGATGTCCGTCCGGGCGCAGTCGACATGTCGGATAGGGATTGAGTAAGCCGTCGACGTCCTTTGACTGACGACCCCTACCAACCACTTCCTGCCACAAAGCCTGAGTCGCAGCCCATATAGCCGTTATGAACGAGCAAAGTCATCCAGACTCAGATTTAGGAGAGAACAAGACGTCGCAGTCTGTGACGCGGGCTGTGAGAATGACCCTTTTAAAGAACCCGAACCAATCGCTGCATTTTACTATACAGCCAGACGAATCGTTGTGTGTGGGGCACGGCGGCGATCCTCACGTAGCGATTGTTCAGCTTTGCTCGGCCAGCTGGTTGTTAAATTGCTCTCCGGGTAACATTTAGGAAAGCGCTAACGGGAAGTATCGCCGTTTTCCTACTGCAAACAACAAAGGACCAACACCTCGGAGTCCCCGGGGCGGCCCATGCCATGAGGGTACTCGGGAAACTTGACGCCATTAGATTCTTCTTCTACCCGTAACTCTCTCTGACGGGGAAGGGGTGGGGGGCGATCGTCACCTTGGCGACGTCAAATGTACTGGCATGGCATGGCAAGATTTGCCGTCTCCCTGCCGTGCCGAGCTTGGAGCCCACGAATGAATTGGCCCCAGGTCCAGTCATTCCGTGGAATCTTATTATGCCCCCCCCCCTGCGAATAATGGACAATGATCTGTATACAGTTGATGGGCGGTCCTGTATTATTCATGAATTGCCCCAGACCTAGAGTCTTGCCTCGGTGAGCTCTCCAGGCTCTGTCCTTGCATCGATCAGCCCATTCTGAGAATGTGCAAGCCGTCTTTTCTCGCCGGACAGCGGCGGCCTTCCCATGCGAATTCTACCGAAACCACTCCGATAATGAACCCCATCAACTGAATAAAAGAAAGACTATGGATAGTGAGTGGTCCTTCAAGGATCAAGAGGGCGACGGACCGGCAGCAGCAGCAGCAACAACAGCGGACGAGACAGGAACGCCCAGCCGTCTCGCCACCTCGAGAAATCCGCCCTCGCCCTCGGCGACCCAGATGTCGACCCAGCGCCTGGCATCCTGATAGCGCTCTTCGCCGGCGGCCCACGCCTCCTCGCGCGGGCGCTCGACGTATATCGTGCGCAGGCCGTGCGACCGCGCGGCGGCCAGGTCGCCCAGATGCGCCGCGACCATGGCGACCTGGCCCGGATCTCCCCTGTCACCTCCTTCTCCTTTGCCTTCTTCTTCTTCTCCCTTCGCAACACCACCACCACCACCACTGCCGACGAGCTTCTTCACAGCTCCGAGATACGTCGACGGATGGGGCTTGTACGCGCCAAAGTCCGCCGTGGAGATGATCTCCCGGAACCCGAGGCCGCCGTGGGCGTCGAGGTCCTGGAGTAGCTCCCGGGTGCCGTTGGACAGGGTGGCCGTGATGAAGCCGCCGCCGAGCGCGTGTAGACCCGCGGCCGAGTCCGGCCACGGGTCCAGGCGGTGCCACACTCTGCTCAAGTGCTCGAGCTCTGCCGAGGTATAGACTGTTGATGCTGCTGGGGTGCCGGCGGACGTGCTGTTGTTCTTGTCGTCATCGTCGTCATCGTCACCGTCGCCACCCAGACCCCACGCGACGAGCAGCTCGACGAGACTGTCGCGATGGTGGGCATCAATGTCCTTCCAGGGCGTGACGCCGGGGACAAAGGACCGCGTGAAGACGCCGTAGCTGTTGCGCCACTCCTGGGCGAAGGCCGCCCAGTCCTGGTCCGTCAGGGCCTCGAGGCGGGATTTGTACCTGCCGCCGCTGGAGCCGCCATCTGGTATTATTGTTGCTGCTGTTGCTGCTGTTGCTGCTGCTACTGTGCCGGCACTGCTGCTGCTGCTGCTGAGAGTGGCTAGTTTGTCCCGAGCCGCCTGGGTGAGCTCGCGGACCACGGTGGTTCGCCAGTCGACGACTGTGCCGAAGACGTCAAAGGTCAGGGCCCGGACCTGGGACAACCCTGCTGGTGCTTGTGGAGCCGCCCCTGCGGCACTGTCGGACGGGGACGGCATCTGGCGACGGATATCACAAAAGGGACCACGGGTATAGAGAGGGAGAGAGTTGGCTTGACCTTGGCCTTGGGCCTGGCAGACCGGCGTGGAGAAGGCGTGCAGGGCTGAGCAAGCCGCGGGGAGGGATGGCAGCGATGCGATTGGACGCGGTGGGGGGGATCTGGTGGTGAATGGGACGGACTCGTTGCGTGCTGTAATTAGTGATTTTTCTCGGCGCCTTTCCGGCCGCTTCCAAGCCGGTGGGCTGAGCCGTGGGAGTCTGGCAGAGGTTGCGGGCGGCCTGCAGTCTGGACCGGTGGGCGGAGAATGAATGGATTGGAGGCGTCGACCGGCAACAACAACAATGGGAAAGAGTGTGGAGGTGGAGTCGGGGTCGGAGCTGTGGAGCCGGGGGGCCGAGGAGGCGGGCGGGACCCACGCACACCGCACGCACACGCACGCACACGCACGCACGCACGTCCACGCCCACGCCGTTGGTGGTGTGGTGGTGTCCGCCAGGCCAGGAAATCCGGGGTAATTACAGCCAGTCCGTCAGTCAAGTCGTACTGGAATATGGAAATAGAACCCGGTCGCATGGATGACTGCGTGGCTGCTTTTGCGGCGTCGTTGGATTCGGACTTTTGCAGAGCAGTCACCAGAGGCTAGACAGTACAGAGTAGAAACCCCCCTCCCCCCAGTGCTCTCATCTCTGCCCCCCTCCGCCTCTTCCTCCTCCTCCACTGCCCATTATGGCATGTTGGCCGTTCGAGCTCATGCATTTGTCTCCCAAAGCCTGTCCCTATTGCAGCGCATCCCAAGGCGGCATGTCAGGGTCCCCCCCCCCCTAGCCGGTAACGTTCCACGCAAGCCCACATCAGCCTCATCTCTTACCTGGTCGCCACCGAGGCCACCACCACCACCATCGATGTTGTCTTGCTTGTCTTGCCTTGTCTTCCCGGCGAGTCCCGCGCTGCTGGGCACACGAGCGCTCTTGCAGGGACACGATATAGCCGAGCATAGCCGCTGCCCAATCACAAGTACCCTGGCCGTGCTGTGGGATGCAAACTGCTTGGCAGGGCTCTCGACACCCTCCTGCTCCTCCTCCAACTGAACCCGGCACGGGCTGCCACGAATAAGCAGCCTTTGTTTCTTCTCTGCCGAGGACCAACTGCCATCGCACGTAGGTGCCATGGAGGCCGAACACGCGCGTTCTAGTAAGCACATGGGATACGAGCACACTGCTTCGGCTCCGGGCAAAGCCGCCTCGATGGCCTCTTGCATCCATCCATAGTTAGTGCCCTCTGCCGTCTGCAGTCTCCCGTCACGCCAACCAGGACCCCTGCAGCAGCAGCAGCAGCAGCAGCAGTCAGGGAGAGCTGACCACATGCATCGCATGCACATGGGAGATCCACAACGCCAGTCCCACCCGCGGCTCCCGCCCAGCCACACCAGAATAGCCCAAGTTTGCTTCACGCACACATGCACTTGGCACAGAGAGAGAGAGAGAGAGAGCGAAAGCGAGAGACAGATACCGGGCCCGACCCGCGTCAGCAGAGACTCCACACCGCCCCAACGGGCCGTGCCGTCATCTCACCTCATCTGACCTCGTCTCCATTGAGCAGGTCCGGCGTACTTCCTGCCATCATTGCTCATCCTGCTTTGATGACGCCCCAGGGATGATTGGATGGGACGTCCAATCTCCTGACGGGACGGCAACACCTATGTCACCCACGGCTGACATGTCCTGTCAAATTGCGAATCCTGAGGTAGCTCGGCGTGGCCAAGCGATACTGCATTGGGACTCATGCTTATCGTATGCTTATTGTAATAGGCAAAGCCATCGTGAGCCGCCCGCCATGCGCAGGAGCACCACCAAGTCTGTAGAAGAGAGCATGGCGCAAAATCTATGCGTCACCTGCTGAGCAAAGCAAGGATATGTCCACTCCTCGTTGTTGTAATCCTGGTTCTATCCAAGTCAAGAATAAACTGATGTCCATCAACACTTACCTCTTCGGCTTGTGTACATACGCTGCTCGTCACGCTGGAAAGAAAAGAAAAAAAAAAGAGACCTCAATTGATCAAAACGTATTCCAGAAGAACCATGCTCTACCTCAAGTGAGAGTCAGAATTAATCAACAACTTTTATTGGGCTGCAAAGTCGACATGTGGTCAACTTACAGTCATGTAGATTAGTTCTTGCGGGTTCCGGTTGGAATGCTGATTTGTCTCTATGCTGTGACTACCTTTTGCCAAAAGTCATGCGGTCCAAATTTTTCGCCAGATTGTGAGGAGCACATTGCCTTTGAGCACTGGTGTTGCATTCAGACATGCGGTTTCGCCCTCTGTAATGTTTATAGTGTCTCCCGACTGCTAAACTTCCAAAATCTTGACAGCAAACCAGGCACGTGTCTTAGATATCAGCAGCGTCTCTCCCAAATCTGGCAGCCGCGTTTGCAAAGCAGAACAAACATGAAAAAACAACCGTCATAGAAGGACTTCGAGCCCAAGCAAGCAACTGTTCCCAAGCCGAAATTCTGTACAATCAACCCCGTCGACTTGCGGGCTAGCCCCCTAATGACTGTTCTTTTCTCCTGCGTGATGATCTTGGACTCGTTGTCCAGGAGATACTGGACTTGAACGAGACCGGACACTCAATTTCCCTCGGTCCAAGATGTTCACGCTGGACCGTGCCTATATTTTTGACCCTCGACTTTCACCGTTCAGCTCCCATCGGACAGTACTAGATGGCAACTTGCACAGAAAGAACAGTGTCCTCGTGAACAGAGACGCGACTGGTCCTGGCCTATTTATTCTTACCTTGCTGCCAACTGGCCGTGCGTACTAGAGTGCATCCCTCGTGTTGTCTTATCCACGTGCCCATTCCCAAGACTGGCTCTCTGTCGCCTATAAATCAGCAACTGCGAGTACTCTTCTCGTCCGTTGCTGATTGCAGAGCTTCAATTCACTCTTGACCTCGGTATACATTGCACTTGAGCACCTGAGACGTCTTCCCGGTGTAGCGGAGACAGGCCGTGTACAGCCGCCGATGACGAAGCGCCTCATCGTCTTCTTTCTCTTCTTCATTGTCTCTCCGTCCCCCCCCCCTCTCTCTCTGTCTCTGTGTGTGTTTTCCAACTCTGTCTACATTGTCAAACCAGACAAGCCCCAACACCATTCGCGTAAACTCGTGGCCTCCTCCAAACTGCGTTGAACCACTAAACTAGTCCCATCCTACTACTGGCCGACACATTGAAGAGACCAAAAAGAATCGGACAACGAAACCAGGATCCATAACAAACCACCTTCCACAACTTTTCAAAAACCTTTATTAGGCTGCCGTTCAAAAGAAAACAGGCCGCCCCCCCCCCTCCTTAAGACCTGAGGTCAATTTCAGCATATATCCCGGCTAGGCGGAAACGAGACGGGACGCGACAAATCCCCTCCTCACCCATCGCTCGCCCCTCCCTTTCCATTTCTCTCTCAGATCACCACTCCCCATCATGATAGAAAGCTGCGCAGAGAGGTAGAGAGAGGTAGAGAGAGAGGCAGAGCCTGACTGACGACTCTTCGTGCGCACTCCTCCTTCGCCTCCCGGGTTGAGGATATCATAAAACACAGGACGAGCGAACGAGCTGGTGGATAGGCAGGCAGGTAAAGCGGACGAGAGAGACAAAGAGGTCCCGAGTACGCTAGAATACGCCCTGGTATTGGGATGAGAAAGAACCAGCCGACATCCACATTCATCAAAACCCCCCCATCTCTCGACCGGCGTGCACCGCCGCGAGACAGCAGATGATGGACGCATGATAACACAGACACACACACAAAGACGACGACATATCATGGCATCGTGTTTTTGAACAGCATATATTCTCTTTTGATAGATTGTACCATGTCTCTATAAATATCAAGGGTAGATGGCAAGGCTCTCGACAGCCGTGTTCCAGGCCCCCCATGTGCTGTTGACAAAGCGATATCGTGGCAGAAGAATAAAGATACTGTCCTCATCGACCCGTAGCATTCATATTGTGAGAAGGCCTCCGTGAGTGACGGCGGAGACCCTCACAGTGCAAGATAGGAATGATGACCCAAGATAGGACGCCGAACCTTGGAAGAGAAACAAAACGATCCTGGCAAAGGCGGGCGTGCGCATTTGCCACCTGTCGTAGGGTAAAAGCAAACAAGGAAATAAATAAAGTATGTGGATAGTGGCAGACCATGGGCCTAGAACACCTTTCGAGCATGAGTCATGCCAGCAGGAAGCAAGCGATCAACTCTGGTGGGGGTATATACGAAAAAAGAGATGAGCAGTAGCTATGTGCAACCCAAGCAACATATCCAGGAAAGAAGCGAATTCAGTGCAAAAACGGCTAAGTTGCCCAATCAGCTGTCCTTGACGGCGTTTTCGTCACCAAAGGGGCTACGTCCCCTCGTGCTCGTCTTGCTCTGGTCCGAGTTCCGCCGGGATGATGTGCGGTCCTCCTCTTCGACTGCTGTGAGTGTTGGGCTTACAGTGTAAGATGGCGACGGATCGGCGAACGGACCCTGATCTTGTTGCGGGGAGGTCTTGACAATGGTGACACCGCTCGGGCCAGTCTTCTCAACATCCTCCGACCCAGAGGACACGGAGGCAGCCGATGACGCCTTGGACTTGATCTCGATCGTCTTGGGTCCACCGCTGCCTAGACTGATCATTTGCGGTCGGACTGTCGTCGCCGTCGAAGTGCTTGCGTTCTTGAAGAATGCCGAGCCGATGCTGAAGGCAGGTGAGGGTGGTGGGCGGTCGTACTTGTCGTAGTCTACAGCAGGTACTGCGGGGACGCTGTCGCCGCTTTCCGAGCCTCCAACACGCGACTTGACGCTCACGATTGATGGTCTCAGGAAGTTACCCTTCTGCGCAGGCAGGGGTGACACTACGGCGTTCTTTCCGTAGATAGTCGAGGCTACACTGGACCGAGGCGCATACGAAGTGCGGGCATACGAAGTCCGATCAGAGAAAGCCGAGATGCCGGAATATGTAGAGTTGCGAAGATCGCCAGGCATGAAGAAGTGCTGCTCGTCGTACGGGGAGCTGACACTCCCGTTATCGGAGTGTGCCAATGGAATAGGAGGTACAGGAGGAACGAGAAGAGCAGGCGATGTTGGAGTTGCGCGGTTGGTGACGCCGGGAATATACGCAATTTGGATAATGTTGGAGGCGCGGGTGAGGACCGTGGACGCAATAGAGTGCACCGTGTGCGTCGACGCCCGCTTCGACTGCCTTCCCGCATCAGCGCTGTCATCGCTGAAGCCTTCTTTTGAACGGGCGCCGTCGACCCACTGGTCGACCTCGGTGCCACGCTTGGCCTTGATGCAGAACCTCCACACGAGATACGTTATAATGGCCATGGCAGCAAGCCCACCAACGACTCCACCAGCGATGGCGCCCGTGTTGGTGCCGCCTCCTTGCTGGCCACTACCGACTTTGGTAGGATCGAACTTGCAGACGGCCGTTGCACATTCCTTGCAGCTCAAGGGGACAGTAAACTTGCACACCTCTGTCGGACCACAATCAGGACAGACCGGGGCGACGTCGTCACATTTGACGCAGCCATTTTGCCGACTGTACAGTGATGTAGTCACATCGCCGTCTAAGGATTATCAAGTCAGTGGTGTGTAGGGAGTTGTAAGATGCGTGCGGGTGGAGACCTACCGAACAGAGCGTTGTTTCCAAAAGCAGTCATTCTGAATCACGATGCACGGCGAGAACGCAACGACGGGTCGGGAGTCTGGTTGGTTCTGTCACGGTGGATGGCGTAGCTGCACCGGAGCGCCCACGATAAATAAATTCGAGATCGACAATGGTCACGGACTGGCCGAATTTGGAGTGAACGGGTGCCGATCCAGTCGATTCCGTGGTGGAGGATGCCGTGTCGAAGCGCAGGCAGACAAACAGCAAGTTTATCGACGTGAGTATTGGCCTCTGGTTCGAGAATTGGGAATTGACGAGAGTGACGATGATGATGTCGCTGCGATGCGGCGGTGGCGATGAAGTAGTAGAAGAAACGAGTGACTTGGAGGCTAGCTCAACGAGAGACGGTGGGTGAGAGGCGTAAGAATGAACGAAAGTAAGACCGGTGCAGGCGAAGGTCGAGAGCGAATTGGGGCCGGATCGAAGAGGACGGTGCGCGAGAGCAGGCGGGAGCAAAAGCGGTCGTGCGGTCGAAGAGGACGGTGAGGCTGCGGGCTGAAGAGGGCGATTGACAACCGACACTGGCGAGAGTGGTGGTTGATGGGAGGAGGAGGGCGGAGGCGGCTGCGATGGGCTGGCGACCTTCAGGGAGATGAGGAGGACGAGCGGAGGAGCGCACAGCAGCGAGGGAAGGGCAGCGGCCAGATGGCCCCGACTCACTCCAGGAACCTTTCCGGGATACCTTGTGAGTGGGTGTGGGCACCCGCAACTGCTCAGGTACCGGCGCCCAGGCTGCCTGGGTCGCATGTGGTGGGGCGCAGTGGCCACCTGGGCAGGCCTTCAGCGGGACCCCTGACGCGTGGCTGGCGCTGGTGGGTGGTCGCAGGCGCCCATTGGCTGCCGTCGGCATGAACGAGCCCAGCACGCCAGGGGAAGCCCTGAAGCCCCAGCGAGGGCGGACATCCGCCCAGATCACCTCAGCCTGTCTCATTTACGCACTTGGCGCCGCCGCCCACTCACATCGCAGCATCCACGAATCCGCGAGCCACCACCGAATCCCACGTTGCAGCGCCGTCCATTGTCAGCTGAAGAGACCGCCTCAGTAATATGTTTATGGGCATCCCTTTGTCATGCCGTTGTAGCGGGAACGTATGAGAAGAAGCCACCACCACGACGCCAGCCCGCCGTGTCCTGGTCAAAGTACCTATTGTCCGCGCCGAGCCATTGATCCCGGCCTCTCTCCTGGTGGCCGCCGCGCCAGGCGCCATGGTTCGTCTGGTGGCTCAGGTGTCGACCGTGGATGGCCGGACACCGTCTGCAGGTCATCGAGCAAACAATGGCCTGTGATTCCAACAGTGGCCTCCTCCCCGCTCGCTCGGTGGCCAGCCTACCTGTTACCGCAACCACTGACGATCCCTCCAACTTGTCCCTTGCTTGATCCAGAGCCTGCTTGCTGCGGCCGGCCGAGAGACCTCGCCAGGTTGTCCGGCTCGCTGGTGGTCCCGGTTGCGCGTTGTGGCCCACCGCCGTTGCGTTGCGCCTTGGTAGTGGCGGCGACAACCCGACGCCCGTGAGCGCTAGCGTACACGCGGCCAGGCAGGACTGCCTGCGCTTATGCGAGTATCGGCGACCAGAGCCTGCGGGGACGCCAACAAGTCTACCAGCTTCGTTGTGTGGACCATGTTTGCGGATCGTCGCTGCTTGACACTCGAAACCTCGCTACCATAACGGTCTTGTCTCCAAACCCCCTAGCCTGCCAGACCTTTCAATCCGAAACGACACCAAATTCTTTCGCCATGACCGTGGCATGCCAGCATCGAGAACGGCAGCTGCGCGCAGGTGTGATAACAACTCCCCTTGGCTTGGCTTGGCGATGGGTGGCCTCAATCACACAACCGAAGTCCGGCCAAGGCAAATAATCTTGGTGTGAAACCCTGCATGGTCCAGACCTCAGGATCGACAACAGCTCCTCTTCACTTCCGATTGGGGGTTCGCAGATCCGGGCAATAGTCTTCCGTCCTTGCTGCAAGAAATCGGGGGATCCAGACGCCCGCCACGTTGCTCATTCCTGGCACGACAACGTGGAAAGTGCGTGGTGAAAAAGAAACAAAGAGGACGAAAAGAAAAGATCGGCGTGCATGACTCTTGCATTGCACTCCCGTTGCTGGCTTGTCGGCGTGGCCCTTGGAATCCACGTCTGCACAGCTTGTGGCATGCCTCTGCACAGACTCTACGCCTTCATGGAAGCAACTTCGGGCGTCGATGCAGATGTTTCTCGTCTCCATTGCCAAATCTCGAGACCTGTGAACAACTGGGCAATGACGATGTTCACGTTTGACACAACGGAAGCTTTCAATGCCAGGGCCAGCGGGTGGCCAGAGCCCTCTTTGTGCCACGCTGTATGTTTCACACAGGGTTCAGGGCTGAAGAATAAGAGTCGTGGCCCACAAGCCCGCGGGCCGCTAGACTCCCCTCGGACAAGCTCGCGTAGGACCAACCCGCGGATCTTCCAAGATGGACCAAGTTACTCTACATGAGACCTCGGATCCCATTCTCCCCGATCGTGCAAGCCCAGGATCAAGTCTTCTAGAATACCTCCCCTTTAAGTTTTGACTGAAGACAGGCGATGTATCTGTGACAGGTTGCACGAAAATCACACCAGTTGCCCGCGTGTACGGGCTCGTCTTTGGTGTGCAACGTTGCAAAGAAAGCCATGCGGAGCCATCGTGCAGTGCCGGTTGGCCTGTTCTTCATGCAGCCTGGCATCCTTCCTATGCTGCTTGCTGACGGAGCATGAGCTGTTGTGTCACACGACTTCCGCAGCATATATCGTCTACTTTTCTAAATGGTGCGGTCAGAGTGATAATTGCCGGTACCGGTCTGCAGAGCCCTGACAACGACGGGTATCCTTTTTCTTTTAATGCTTTTTCGCATTACTATAATTGAAACGCATGCCATGGAGATAGGGACTTGTCTCGACCAGACAAAAGTATTGTTCGTGGTGAAAAGGCAGGCATCTTAATCGTGAGTCAATCTCCATCCCAGTAGCGAGTACATCTTCACCGTGAAGACGGCCTGGGCAGGTCCCCGTCCAAAAGAACGATACTCGAGGCGACACAGCCTGGCTTCTATGTACTGCAAGTTTTGGTAATGCTCTGTCTAGCTCGTCTAGCAGCATGAAACAGCAAACAGGGGAAATGGCAGAGAAGAATATATTGGCAATGCCGCCTGAGCACGGCCATGGTCGGCACTTGCCGTCCTCATCAAAGTGAAGTGGTTTGATATCTAGTCCTTGGCGTAGCAACCAACTTCACATATCCATTTGACGTTGGTCCCACTCTGTAAGTCAAACACAATCTGGCCAGAGGACACACCGCCGGAAGCGAGTTGCCTTTTCTCGCCAGATACGCAGGCGTCAATCCAGCTCGGTGTGCATGTACCTTGAAGATCGGTGCAGGGCAATGTCGACAGTGGAGCATTGAATTTTGTGCCAACGCGGCATTTTTCTCTGGCGCGACGCTGGGAGCTGGCACGCATCTGTTACAGTATCAAATTCAGGTACAGCAGGAACGTGGTCGGAGCCCTTTCGTATATCGGGAGCGCTACACGCGACCACGTTTCGGCTCGTGCCGCCGAGGGGCGACACAAATAGACTATTCTTCGAGACAAGGGTCCGTTCACGGCGGCACGAGCGAGGCAGACAGAAGTTGCTGTGTCACGTCGGGACAGTTCGTGACGAGACCCCTTAACATTTCTAGTTGGTTCTCACGCTTCTGTGCAGATATCTTGGCCCTTGACAGAAGCGAACAGGACAGGCTACAGTTTTTCAAACCTGGGAGCATTTCACTCAAGAAGCCGTGTATTGTGATGCCCATCCAACTTCTCAACAGGATGCCGTTAGATTAGAAGCATCACCGCGAATATGCATGTTCTCTGTGGGAAGCCACAGCGAAATGGATCTAGTCGGATTTCCCATATGCAGAATTCAGCATACCGTGCTGTTCTCACAGTGACAGCCGGCATTGCAGTTTTCTTGCATTCCAAGCCTCCACGGCTGCCTGACTTGTGGCAACCATCTCCATTCAGACGAGGGAAAAGAGAGGTATGCAAGCCTGGTCCTACGAGGACACCTTTGTGGCAGTTGCAGTAGCTGTAGACGGAGGCACAGTCGCGATGCTCCCGTCCTGTCCTTCTGTTCATAGGACTGGATTGCCTCTACCTTTTAGGTGCCTCGGAGGCGTAGACCATCAAATCCGTGGCGGCAGCTGAAGTATAGGTCTTCTCGTCTCCCAATGAGTAGCTCCACAGAACCTTGTTTTCATGGACCTGAGTTGAGCTGGCAAGACAAAAGCGGAGAGCCAGGCAGCAACACTGCCATCCGCACCGCTCTCTCATGCCTCCGCAGACCAGCACAGAGTTGTAGCGTGCGCCGGCCAGATTGATCTCCAGACAAGCGTAAAGACCATGTTAGACATATACAGCGGTTGAGCCGCCACGTGGCGACGATGTTGACGGCAAGCATGACAGCTCGTGGCGGTCTGAGGCTGGCTGGCGAGGATCTCCATCGCCCCTCTTGGGCTTTTGACAGATGTCGTGAGCACCTCATAGCTGGCAACGGTATAATATTTTCACTGAAGACTTCCTAACGCTCTCCGAGTCTGTGCCTCTGCCCGATCGTTGAAGTCGAGCACCGGAGAACACTTTCTGTGCGTTTGATGTCTGTTGCTCTGTCTGGATTTCGGGACCTCCAGAGTCTATTCTTGCCCATTGCATGCCATATCAACAGTGATCTATGGTTAGCGTGCCTCAGGTCTCGCCGCTTTGCAATCATGTTCTAGCTTTACATCTTCTTCGACCCAGTAGTCAACATAACTAGGCCTCCGTCCTCAGGCGTTGTGAGCATCACATATGAGATAGTGTGAAGGCAAGGAAGAAGTGGTAGGCGCTTTTGGTAATATTTAGTAGAATCGAGTCCTCAGAACCCCCCTTGTGCATCTACTAGGACGACGATGACGTCGGTGGCCAGCGTGAATCGGGGGTTTACAAGAAGATCCATCTGCCACGAAAGGGTTCAAACATGATCCTTGAGAATAACCCTGGGAGCCCTTTCCCCTTGTGGTATATCGAGGAATATAGAAATGGATCTTGAATCCGTCTAAGAGCTGCGTTCAAGTTGGCAGCATGAGTCTAGCTTGCTGTCTTGGCGGCCACATATAGACCTTGTCAAGGGGCCTTCTCATTTTCATCCGGATTAGCCCTCTGCCATTTCCCCTCTCTCCTTGAATAGGTCTTGTTACAATCAGATCAGTCTGCCAGGAGCCGCTATTGTGATGTCTCAGGGAAGACATAAACACGCAACAGAGTCACGAGGGCATCGTTTATCGAGAGGGATGTATGGAGTGTCAAGAACTCATATTGCGTTATTCTGAACCTCGCCTCGCGTGGGAGTCGTGGCATTCGCTGAAATATTCCGTGTTGATCTTGAACGGGAGGGTAGTCGCCACACATAGCATATGTCCAACGGCGGCTTCCCGTGATACTACCAATGTGTTGATTGATAGTGCCAAGCTATTCGTACAACGGCCACTCCGAATATTTTCAAGGCACCACTTAGCTACCTCCCAGCGTATATAGATAGTCTACAATGAGAGATGCCAGGCCACGATGTGACTGGCACCTGCACAAAAAGTTGAATGGTCATGCTGGAATAGCCCCCAATTTTTGACTTCGTACTAGGTTTGGCGTGCTATTGACGTGGCCAGCCGCCGAATTCCGCGGGACTTTTCGCACCTGTAGGACTCGAAGGCTGAGGCCCGACGCAACAAGGCGTATACCCTCCGCACATTCAGCTGATGAATGGTGGTGATGTTTGTGCACAGCTCACTCGTCCATCAAGTGCGCGCGTGGACAACGTCACATGTACCCAGGCATCGCAGTCAGCTGCAAACTATGCAGGGAGATGCCTTCTCACAGCCACGAGGCCCCCATTCCGCGCCGTGTCCATGTTTTGGGTTCCGCGTGGCAATATTCGAAAGCGGCCGACGAAGTGCGCGACCTTGCCACGCGGACGGCATGTGGAATCGCTCGCAGTTTGATGTGGCTTTTATTCGTATTGTTGCTGGCTCTGCACTGCCATCCTCCACTAACCTCGTGAACCCACTTGCCATGTACAAAACGAGGACTGTCTCCACCAAACCAGCACTTAAATTTAGCTCTTGCGTGTACGCAGCCAGGTTATTTTTAGACCAACAACCAGGGATGGGACACGGAAATGCAGTGTCTGGCGTCCGCAGTCGAGTTCGAAATTGCCCAGCAGTGATGGACACGTTTGAGAGGAAAATAATATGAATTGCCAGATTAGGATACGCAATCAGCGAATCGTCCGCTCTTAGGGCGGGCCTGTCCTTGGCGGATCTTTGTTTCTTCGCAGGCCGTACATTGCCTCACTCATTGGCAGCGTGGGGATCCAGTCAGGGGTCTGGTGTGGTTCCGTCCTGGTGCCGCTGGCATGGGATGGGCGCACTACTCCCTGATGCAGTGGAGCCTGGTCTCACACTGAGTCCTCACAGACCCGTCCGTCAGCTTTGTCAACGGTTGCAACTTCTACATCTGCTTGTATGCAGGTGGCTGTTCGGTGTGTGCACGTTGTCGCCTTGACCCGGAAACGCTATTGCGGCCACATAGACACGGGTCTGGCGTCAAAGCGTGTCCAAGAGGCTGCCAGGTATTGTTTGGATTAAGTGTGAAACAGGCCCAGGTGCGAAACTAGGGGGACCCATCAGACAATGAAGAGCAAGAGCAGTCAAGATCGATCCGACGAATGCTGCACTGGCGACGCCGAACCCCTTTCCCCATCGCTCAAGCCCTCGCAATGGCCGGGCCAGTGAGGCTCGGATCGTGCATGACCACCCCAGAGTGCTAACTCATGCCAGGCAATTGATTGTCTTTGAACCGACCTGGCGCCGTCCAGTCGCCTAGATACACCGCATTTCGACAGTGTCGAAAAGGCAAGTGGAGAGTCGGCTTAGATTTCACTGTGCACCTTTACGCACCAGCCACACTGACCAGAGTGGGCCATATTGTACAATGCCTGGCCCCGACTTGATGCTTGAAGCCCCCACACAATGGTGTTGCAAACCCAGAAGACTGGGCTTCTCTGGCACAAGGCTGGGCTCGAGTGGGACGAGCATGCCAACTGCCGCGAACGTTGGCTTTGCCCGGCAGGGCTAGTGCTGAACAGCGGGGAGGGGTCTTTACTGAGACATTGCCGACGTACTGTACTGTAGTCTAGTCGTCGTGTGAGCCGGGAGGCGCGAAGTCCAGGTGATGCCGCCCTTTGTGGTGTCTGCCACTGCCGAATTTCTTGGTTGCCGATGCTACCCTGTGACGTCGTGCTTGGGCGTACCACACGGCTCGCCCATTTCTGCCACTTGCGAGAAACAGACTGGTGGATGGTCGGCCTGGGTAGCACGCGTGATGTCTCAATGGGCTGGTCGCATGAAGGTTCCCCGACCATTCGGCAGAGCACACGCACAGCACGATCCCGTTGCATGCATGCATGCAGTTGGGCCGGGCTGGGTTTACTATTAGTCGCGCGGCTGAAGAGACGTCAGGTTGTCAGCCACGCTGGACGATCGACTGGCGCCCGTATGCAAAGGCGACACACGGCTGGTGTCGGGCAGGGCGGGAGCTGTGGCGGGCGGGTACTCTGAGCTGAAGGCATGAATCTGATGTCCATCTCAATCCTGCCTGCCCACACACGATGACGGCGAGGTGTAGCGCACATGTGGTTGGCTGAGGTGGTGTGCAGACTGGATGTTTCATGTTGCGGATTGAGGGCCTCGAGGGAGGAGGGAGGGGCTCCGCTATGCACCGTGCAGGACAGTGTCTCCACCAAATACGAACGGCGATCCTGCCTTGGTGCCTGGGGCATGAATGGCTGAGCAGAGACAGTGCGGGTCTGCACACCAATTCGTGTTGCGTCACCCACGGACCAACTTTTTCGCAGGCGGCGTGCATGGATGGGCCTGCCCCCTTCTTGGCGGCATCACGACGTTGCACAACGGGGTGGCACGCGCAGCTCTCCCAGATGGGCTTTGTAGATGTCAAGAGCCGGTGTCGGTGTCGGGAATGCTCTCAGCAGATGTTTGGAAGGTCGAGGGAGCCCTCAGGGTACTCGAGAGCAAACACGTGCGCTGCTTCTGCGCTGCCAGTTTCTTGTGTGCCGCACAAAGCAGCACGCTGACAGACAGACCCTTGGCCACGACGGATACGTCACACATGGTATAGATGGGTGGCCATAAGGGTAGGCATTTGCGAGCGAGCCAGCGAGCCATCACGAGCCATCGGCGCCTCCCGCGACGCCAGGCAAGGAATACCTGAACAAGAAAAAAAAGATTCTCCCTCGCCAATTCATCGCACAATTACGCGTAGCCAAGCAAACGCACAGTCGCCGGGCAAGAGGGCGCTGCGTGCCCCTCTCCCCCTGGACGATCCCGTCGTTGCTCACTGTGGGGCTGCCTCTGTGAGCCAAGTCAGTGCCCGTCAGCGACCAGCACCCAGCCGCCTCGCGCTAGTTCCTTTGGTGGTGGTGGTGGTGGTTGCCCGTTCCCCAGTGCTGCTGCGGCTGCCTCTCCGCCACAGCGAAAACCCCTGGACCACCCTTTGCTGCTGTGCAAAGAGCTGTCCCCAGCCAGCCATTACGACGCACGCCGCCGTGCCCATCCATCCTGCGGCCACGCCTGCTTGCCTCTTCTTCCTCTTGCCGGCCACTCTTCCTCTAGTGCCTCCCGCCATTCCTCATCTTCCATCTCATCTACATCTCCTTTCCTTCCTCGTCCATCCCCCCGTCCCAGACAGTCCCCCTCTCCGCTCTTTCATCTCCACACCAGAAGTGCTCTCGATTCGGGCTGCTGTCGTCCACCTTCCCTCAGCCAGAGTTCCAGGGACGCCCTGTTGTCGACACCATGGCGTACAACGGCGGCCAGAACAACGAGTACGAGGGCCATCGTCTCCAGGATATGCCTCCTGGAAGCTCGGTATATGCTAATTCCCCCTTACTGGCCTCCACGGGGACATTTCACTAATGCCATCGTTTGCCCACCTTGCAGTACCCTCAGAACGAGTACGAGGATGAGACGTCTCGCCATCTCCTCGGCCACAACCAGCCCTACGACCAGGACCGGCTCGGTGCTGTCCACAACCCCCCAGACCGGCCTGTCTCGGCCTACAGCCTAACAGAGTCATACTCGACCCCGAATCCACAGCAGACAACCACGGCACCCCAATATGGCGGTGACTATGGCGAGGGTGGCTACTCGAGCGGCTACAACAACGGCTACCAGGGTGGTGGCTCTCTCGAGGAGACCGGCTTCGGATACGGCAGGCCCGCGTCCACAGTTGCCTCGACAGTCGATGCCGAAGAGGGCTGGCTCCGCCGTCAGCAGACGCAGAGAGTGGCTCCTGGCGGCATCAAGCGTTACAAGACCAGAAAGGTCAAGCTTGTGCAGGGCTCCGTCCTGAGTATTGACTACCCCGTGCCGAGTGCCATCCGCAACGCCGTGCAGCCCCAGTACCGTGACCAAGAGTCCGGCACTGGCGAGTTCACCACTATGCGTTACACGGCCGCCACTTGTGACCCTAACGACTTCACGCTGAAGAACGGTTACGATTTGCGCCCTAGAATGTATAACAGACACACTGAGCTGCTCATTGCCATTACCTACTACAACGAGGACAAGGTCCTGATGGCCCGTACCCTGCACGGCGTCATGCAGAACATTCGGGAGATTGTCAACCTCAAGAAATCCACTTTCTGGAACAAGGGCGGCCCGGCCTGGCAGAAGATTGTCGTCTGCTTCGTCTTTGACGGTATCGACAAGGCGGACAAGGAGACCCTGGATGTTCTCGCAACCGTGGGTGTCTTCCAGGACGGTGTTGTCAAGAAGGACGTCAACGGCAAGGAGACAGTTGCCCACATTTTCGAGTACACGACCCAGCTCTCAGTCACACCCAGTCAGCAGCTCATTCGGCCCACCGACGATGGTCCTCAGACCCTGCCACCTGTGCAGATGATCTTCTGTCTGAAGCAAAAGAACACCAAGAAGATCAACTCTCACCGCTGGCTGTTCAATGCCTTCGGCCGCATCCTCAACCCCGAGGTCTGCATTCTGCTCGACGCGGGAACCAAGCCCGGTCCCAAATCGCTTCTTGCTCTGTGGGAGGGCTTCTACAACGACAAGGACCTTGGCGGTGCTTGTGGTGAGATTCATGCAATGTTAGGCAAGGGGGGCCGAAAGCTCATCAACCCGCTCGTCGCCATTCAGAACTTTGAGTACAAGATCTCCAACATTCTCGACAAGCCCCTGGAGAGTGCCTTCGGCTACGTCTCTGTGTTGCCCGGTGCTTTCTCGGCCTACCGTTTCCGTGCCATCATGGGTCGCCCTCTGGAGCAGTACTTCCACGGCGATCACACGCTGTCCAAGATTCTCGGCAAGAAGGGTATCGAGGGCATGAACATTTTCAAGAAGAACATGTTCTTGGCCGAGGATCGTATTCTCTGTTTCGAGCTGGTCGCCAAGGCTGGCTCCAAGTGGCATCTGAGCTACATCAAGGCTTCCAAGGCCGAGACCGATGTACCCGAGGGTGCTCCCGAATTCATTGGTCAGCGTCGTCGCTGGCTGAACGGTTCCTTTGCAGCCTCCATCTACTCGCTGATGCACTTTAGCCGCATGTACAAGAGCGGCCACAACATCATCCGCATGTTCTTCTTCCACATCCAGCTTCTCTACAACATTGCCAATGTCGTCTTCACCTGGTTCTCTCTGGCTTCATACTACCTTACCACCACCGTCATCATGAACCTGGTCGGTACGCCTACACCTGCCGGCCCCAACACGTCAGAAAGGCACGGCTGGCCCTTCGGAGACACTGCCACGCCCATCATCAACATGGTGCTGCAGTACCTGTATCTTGCCTTTGTCATCATGCAGTTCATTCTTGCGCTCGGCAACAGACCCAAGGGTTCCAAGTGGCAGTACATTGCGTCCTTCTTCTACTTCGGTTTCGTCCAGCTCTACATCCTCTGCCTCTCGTTCTATCTGGTCATTGCCGCGCTGTCACCGTCCGACGCATTCCAGGGCACATTTGGGGACAACATCAAGAATATCTTCTCAGGCCAGTCCGAAGTCGCCCTCATCTTGCTGGCGCTCTTTTCCACTTTCGGTCTCTACTACCTGGCCTCGTTCATGTACCTTGACCCGTGGCACATGTTCCACTCGTTCCCTTACTACTTGATCCTCATGTCGACGTACATCAACGTTCTCATGGTCTATGCGTTCAACAACTGGCACGATGTCTCGTGGGGTACCAAGGGTTCGGACAAAGTGGACGCACTGCCATCTGCTCAGGTTGTCAAGGACAAGGGAGGCGGCGACGTCGCTATTGAGGAAGTCGACAAGCCCCAGGAGGATATCGACAGCCAGTTCGAGCAGACCGTCAAGCGTGCTCTTGCGCCTTTCAAGGAGGTTGAGGAGCCCGAGGTTAAGGATCTCGAAGACTCCTACAAGTCTTTCAGAACGTCTCTGGTTATCGCCTGGCTCTTTTCCAACACCGCACTCATTGTGGGTGTTACTAGCGACAGTCTGACGACCCTCGGCATTGGTGTAAGTCTCTTCCTTCTTCAGCCTACCCATCCTGAAGAGTCTACTGACAAATTTCCTCTTTACAGGGTAACACTACCGAACGCACTGCCGGCTTTTTCAAGACTCTCCTTATCGCCACCTCTATTCTCTCCGTCATCCGTTTCATCGGTTTCCTGTGGTTCTTGGGCAGGACTGGTATCCTCTGCTGCTTCGCGCGGCGGTAAAGTGACTACACGAGCCGATGCATACCGGCAGCAGATAGAATTTGGCATAGTGTGTGCAGGCAGATTTTGCCTTGGAGAGCATAGTGCGGGCCCGATTTTGTGTATTGTGTGCAGGATAGAAGGGGCTTGCCGCGTGCTTTGGCCGGACATTGGGGCGAGCGAGAAATTGTCATTCAGTGGTGAACAAAAAGTTGTCAACCAAGAGCTTGCCGCGACGAGGATTGAGTCCCGTCACGGCTTGGAGGCTCTGGGGTTGAGAATCTTGAGATGCAAGATACCAATCACATAATTTTACCTTTTGATCATGAAAAGCTCCCCGTGTCGTGTAGCCCTGATGCTTGATTCTCCTTTGAAAGCAGGAGTGCCAAGCTACTCTGCGCAATGTGGTGCCGTTCCGAAGGAAGGACGCCAATTGGACCTCTGAACCTCTGAAGCTTTGAACCTCTGAACCTCTGAATCTCTGAACCTCTGAACCTCTGGACCTCGGGTACGGCCTCAGATTTGGCGAAGGGATAAGTGGTATCGATGTTCTCGAGCACTTGGCCATCACGGGCAGGCGCAAAGACGCGGAGTCAGTCATTCGGCGTCGCTGGCAATATCGGCAGGCCAGCACACCCACGCGGCTCTCGTTGGCTACACGCATATTGCGATGACGGGTTTTATCCCAGGTTCTTGATGTTGCAAGTCAAGATGGAGGCAGCACCCACACGTGTGAACTTTGGATGAATGACTGAGCCCTGTGATGTGCCTGGAAGTCCCGGACCCCACATAGAGTGTTCACGCCGTGCGTGCCCCACGTACTTTACTATTGACTAGCTTTCTTCACTCAAACCCACCAGCTCGAGCAAGCTGCCCCTCGTACACGATTTGATAGAACACGAACGACTTGCTTGCAGCAGACAGCATAACCAGAACCATTTCCTCAGGCCAGGAGACGAAAAGATTTGTAGAATCTCAAGCGGTGGCCCCGACAGGTCGATCTTCCACCTACCCCAAAGCGGAGCGATCACTCAGCAGCGACGACGACGACGACAGGTCGAGCAACACAGAAGACCTAGCCCGAAGCCCGTACAGGGTCTACCTCTGCGTCATCTAGGCAACGAATCTCCACGAGTCGGTGGGAGGGCAGCCCCTAGAAGCACATCACACATACAAAACCGAGGACGCAAGACGGTCACACACACACACACACACAAAAGCACCCCGGGGGGTTCGACCACACCGGGAAGCACAAAGCAGCACGAACCGCGAAACGAGACGGGGTAGCGGCGGCCACGGATCGCCCTCTCTGTCCGAGGCACGTCGATATCCGAGGCCAGGTCACTCGGCTATCACTTGCGACGTAGCGTGAGCACGCCCATATATATATATATACGGGTGTGCGCGTGTTTGCGTGGACATCACACACTTCGGACATTAAAAACAAAAACCCGCAAAAACCGAGACCCTGCGAGGGAAAAAAAAAAGAAAAAAAAGCCATGAGCACCGACGAGCCACCAACACCATCACCCCAGTCTCAGCCGCCGCCGCCGCCGACGACGACGACGACAGAGACGCTCGAGGCGGCGCAGGCCCGGCACCGCAAGGAGCAGCGGGACCTGCAGTCGCGGATCACGCAGAAGAAGAAGAACGCGACCAAGAAGACGAGAAAGGGCGTCAACGACGAGTGCGCGTCGCTCGAGAGGGAGCTGGCGGAGCGGCAGGCGAGGGAGGTTGCCGTGCTTCGCGGGGAGGCAGCTGTCGATGGCGAAGGGGAGGGGGACGAGGGGAAGGACGAGGAGCAAGAGGTTGATGGTCTAGCGGATAAGCTGCAGGACACCGCCTTGTCAACTCCGGGGAGTCAGATACAACCATCACCACCACCATCATTATCGCCATCACAGGATTCCGCGGCCAATGGTGGCGACGGCGGCGGTGGTGGTGCCGGGAAGAAGCGCAACAGGCAGAAAGAGCGCCTGGCCCGGCGGGCCGCCGAGGTAGAGGCCTCCGCCGCCGCGGCGGAGAGCGAGGCGGCCAACATGACGGACCACCGGGCCATCGAGCGGACGTACCTGGACAGCCAGTTCAAGGCGCACGGCTTGGTAGAGCAGGATATCCAGCCCGACGGGCACTGCCTGTTCAGCGCGGTGGCGGACCAGCTACGGACGCGGGGTTACGTCTCCTCGCCCTTGGCGTCGACGTCTTCTTCAAGTAGTACGGCAACAAGAACAGCAGCAGGCTTGGGAGCTGGCGGAAACGGGGAAGGGGGAGGAGGAGGAGGAGAAGCAGAACCCGGATACAAAGCCACCCGTCGCGCGGCGACGGACTATATGCTCTCCCACCGCGACGACTTTGAGCCGTTCCTCGCCATCGACGAGCGCCCAGCCGCCGTGGGCGGGTTCGAGGGCTACATTGACAAGATGCGCAACACGGCCGAGTGGGGCGGGCAGCTCGAGCTGGCGGCCCTGGCCAACGTGTACGGCGTCGAGATCCGCGTCGTGCAGGACGGGAGGACCGAGACCATCGCGCCGAACAATGGGGCGGCTGGCGGGGACAAGACGAAGGACGGGGCCAAGAGGACGATATGGCTGGCTTATTACCGCCATGGGTATGGGCTGGGCGAACATTATAATTCGCTCAGGCCGGCGTCGTGAATAATGTGGCAATGGAAAGGGCCTTCAAAGCGCGTTCATTTGCTCAGAAGATGAATGACAGTGGAAGCTGCGCCGCGCGAATGAGCAGTCCGTGGAGCCCGCACAGCACACGCGAGACAGAGCGTCAGTCTTGTCAGCTTCGAGAGCATCGAATTTGGAGTTGAGCACATATACAGAACAATTGAGGGCCACTATGCTACCCATACACACACTAGATCCAATGCTTGTCAACACTTAACCGGCTCCCTTGAAGCGTGCTGCTGCATTGTGCGAACCTCTCTTCACGAAAACACGTCACGATTTCGGCTACTCGCGCCTGGTCATCATCCTCTTCATTATCATTACCCAGAATCTATCTTAAACTAGCATTCAAGTCTTGTCTATGCATCATGACCAGTTTCTAAACCATTGCTAGCCGTCTCATGCCCAATATCCGTTAATAGACCTGCCGTGAGACATTTGAGCCCGATGTCCCCTTCGTTGCATCAAGAAGCTGCTATAGCCAAGTGCCGATCTTGCTCGTCGTCAGCTGCCTATAGCTACTGCGATACCTTCCCTCGGGATGCAGCATTTCCGTTCCACTGCTCAATCCGCTGTCGCTCCGTCCTCCGCCATTATCGCCATGCATTCTGCCGGCATGATCTCTTCGACCTTGTTGCTCCTGGAGTTGATATTCTTCAGTCTTATCTTCAGGGGCACCACTCCTGACGTTACGAAGTCTCATCACCTGCGTGCCAGACTCCTGGAGGTAATAATGGTTCGCAGCCTCGGAGTACGAAATACGCCACGGAGTCCTCAGCTGCACATTTTCCGGCCCTCCACCACAACTTCCCCGGAGCGCCACACTCGGGGGCGAGTTGACCGCGAGGCAGAACATGTTTTGTGGCTCGGTGAAGTCGGTGACCATGCCCGTTCTGAACACGAGGTAGGCGAAACACATGACATTGATGACAAACACGAGAATCAGCACGACATAGAATATGCGCTGCCAGTCTGACTCGTACGATGAGGTGAATTGCTGCTCCTGGATGACGATCGGAAAGGTCTCGTAAACTCCAGGCTTAAGCCAGTTTTCGGGATAACCCCAGAAATGCTTGAATGTTGAGCCCAGGGAGCCGCCGACCAGCGTTGACGCGGAAAGCGAGGCCATGGCCTCCGCCATGCTCGGTAGGAGCGGGTCGAGTCTTGGCTGGGTAAGAATCAAGTTGGTCATGATGCGAGATGTTGATGCGTTGCTTGTGGAAATACCTCCGTTGAGATCCATGCTCAGGCGCCATTGATCAACCATGTTCTTCCAGTCGAGTGAAGGTGACGGCTGCACACCTTTCGCGTAGGGAAGGTAGGAGATTGTATCGTCGGGGTCCTCGCAATGAGCTTTCATGTTGCCACCTGCCGTGCCGGATATATCGAATCGTGTCGAGCAGTCGGCAGTTGTCCAAGAGCGCATCTCGCATAGAGTGTAGTCGTCGATCAATGCGGACTTGGCGAGCAGGTAATTAGCGTCACCTCCAACAACGGTTGTGTTGGTTATCATGTTGTAGTCATAGGGGAACTGTTCCAGCAGGTCGGTCAGCAGACATGAACAACGAAGCCCTGAAGCTACAGGTAGAGTGATCTTACCAATTGGAAGACGGGCGGCCGTCTCCCATACTTCTCGCCCCAGCGGAAGATGTCATCGACGACAGTCTTGTTGAGCCACTGGTCTTTGCTAGGGGGCGGCACCTCATTGAACCAGGTCTCATGGCCTCGCGTCTGTCCTGGCATGCCCGTCTCCTCGGTGACAATGTTGGGCCATTGAGTGTACACCAATGGCTTGAGCTCCGACTTTGCCATGTTCACACACAGGATATTGACAGCTGGCGACACCACTGCTGCCTTGATTGAGTACTCGCCCACGCCAGACAGCTCGTCAGGCTGCAGTATCCCATTGATAGGGTCAGTGGCTGACTCGTACACCCCTGGATGCGGCATTGCGAGGGTCACGTTATTGACAATGCGATTATACTTCTTGAAAAGTTCCGCAGGGTCACCAGTGCCCGTCTCAATCCATGAAGATGTCATTGTGGTGTTATCGAACAGGCTGTGCTTGCCGTTCGGTCGTGTCTTGAGTGTCGTTGCCTTCTGAGAGTCACCGGCATCATGGATGCCTTGCCAATCTTTCATGAAGGTGAGAAGATTGTGGTACGCTACCAGACTCGTCAGTATGAGCTACTTGTTCGCTCGTGCCATGCTGTTCATGTCAACTCACATTGACCAGAGTATTTGATGTCAAGACAAGATGCGCCATGAGACATCGCGTCCAGCTGCGCATCTATTGGTGTCGGGCAGGTGTCTTGCACGAAGAGTGGATTAGAATACGATGCCTGTACTAGACCCTGCAATTCCCGAGGGTACCAGTCTCCAAATCGCAGTTTGGGACTGATCATGGCATCTGCCGCGGTCGTGTAGAACAGAGCCGCCAGAGCTGCGACCATGGTGAGAGCTCCAGTCAGAGTCTTGCCTGCCAGGGGAATGCCCTGCCAGTATGTGAAGAGCGAGCCGGGTTGCTGTAAGTGTCAGACAGTTAGTATGGCGTTGCTGTAAATGCTGTTAATGTTCAGCACCCGGACGTACCACAACCCAATTTCTCATCGTCATTTCGGCCAGGGTGACACCCTTTGCCTGCCTCACGAATGCCCTCCGGGAGAGCACCTGTCCCAGGCAGGCGACGAACACCGTCACGAACGACATTTCGATCGTCCTCGAGAACAGAGTTGACAGGACAGATGCCGTTGAGGGTGACAGCACCACTGAGGAGTGCGAGCTGGACGAGACGCCTCTGCCGTAGCGAGGCTGGTAGATGGCGACTACGAGCCAGAGTCCGCTCAGAACGGTTGAGTAGATGGAGAGGAGAATCTGGATGATGTAGAGGGAGCTTCGCCGCCGCACGTGGACATCCCTGGCCGAATGGCAGTCTAGAGGAGGCCCCTGATCTGTGATGGTCAACCACGTTAGCTTTCCGATGCCGTATCTTACGCTCGATACAGAGCTCTGTGGCTTGCCCAGTGCTTTGGCTCACGTACTGAATTTCCTCACGAGCTCTTCATGGTCCGCATCGTCGTCGTCATCATCGTCGTCGTCAAGACGGCTCCCATTCGGAGGGCTCCCTCCTCCACCATTGCCACTACTGCCACCCTTGACACCGTGATATGCAGTGTCCGAGCCGATATCCAGTTGCCGCGACGGTGGAGATGGGTTGCCCTTAAGCATTTCCACGAACCTGGCCACACGCTGGCGCTTCCCCGGAGCTGGTGCTGCGGCAGCTGACTGGTCCCCCGCCGTGCCGGGAACACCACGTGAGGCATTGTCTTGGTGACGTTGCTGGGCAGGTAACGGGGACGCTGGCGATAATAATTGCACCATGACTGATGAATCCTGGTCTGACTTTAAGCCAGCCGACTTATCCTCAGGGTGTAGCCATGGCGAGTGCGGCGCGAGGTACTGCTGGTTCTGCGCTGGGAAAGATGGGCCGGATGTTTCCTTGCTAGCTTCCCCAGCCAGTGGTGAAGGTCTCGACGCACTTGACGCCATCTGAGATGGGCTTCTGGTAAGATTGCTGTTGGAGTTGTCGTTGCCCGCAGTGGCGAGGGGACTGTAGCTGTCGGCAAAGGGCGAGTAGCTTGATATGTCAACAAAAGAGTCTGACAGATCCTGGCTATGGCGCGCTGACGAGCTCAGGCTGTCGCTGGAGTCGTCCTTGCCGGTGTTGTTGTCGTCACCAACGCGACGGTCGTTGGTGACGTTTGTCATGGTTTGCGCGGTCTTGTGGAAAAAGCGAGCAAGGCAAGAAAAGCAAGTATGGCCCCTTTCCTTCAATCAAGATGGCACAATGTACAACCGACTGCTCATCTGGTGCAGCCGAACATGAGAAGGTGACCTGTCACGGGATACGGTGCTGGCGGCAACGGGCGGCGTGGATACCCGCCAAGGAGATACAGGGAGGGAGTTGAGGTGTGCCTCAGGCAGGGCAGGTGTGTTTGGGGTAGAAGGCAGATGATGTCTGAATGTCTGAAGGCCTGAGGTGTGTGTGTCCAATGTGTGCAGTCGCAAAGAGGTTTGCTCCTGCTCTGTCCTGTGTTTGTTTGAGCAAAAGTCGGCAGCGGCAGCGAGTCGATGGCAGTCCAAATCGGGACGTTGGTGGTGCCGATCCACCACTAAGCATCCACGGCCAGACACGCCGCAGATCGAAATGGGCAGTGGCCAGGGGGAGGCGTTGGCCCCCCTGGTGGGTCTCGCCACAGTATTATGTGTGACTTGGTGCGTGCTGCTGCGGATATTGGCTGTTCTCAAGGTCTGCTCTGTTCTGCTCTGCTCTGCTTCACTAATGAATTCAGATGAAAGGGCAGCATCACCATGGCCAAAGGTCTCGCTGCCCCCTCGGCAGGGCCGGCCTTGAACTTCTTCCCCTTGAGACAGCACGCGACTCATGGCTTCATTCTGGGGGAGCCTGCAAAGTAGGGGTCCATGCAACCTTGCCAGGGGGTCCAAACACCGTATACTCCTCTCATGTGCCGCACTGCAATCGACTCATCTCGAATTGGGCATGATTGCTCACAAAGTGCACTCACTATCCAGCCTTACGAGGGCATCCTCCAAGCCCTCCCAAGCACAATGCTAGCTAGTATGACGCGGCAACGAGAAAGCTCGCAACGTATATTTAGCAGGTCAGCACTAATATCTGCGTTCCTTGAGGTCCAGTCAGAGTCAACCACCTGAAAATAGGTCCCCAGCGCCCAGCAATGATGACAGTGGCGGCTCTAGCGGCAACGTGCCACACCTTCCGCCACGTGCCAGCCATGGTCCGATGAGGGTGTGCATCAAAGAGCATGCAACTGCGCCCCCAAGGCAAACTTACTTGAGGAAGGCTTACGTCCCTCTTGCGATTTTCCCCGTTTGGGACTGCACAGGCCTTGCGCGCCCCTGGCTTTGGCAGTGTTTCAATCACCTCCATGACCACATCGTTGCGCATTCAAACGAACGATCAAACTTTTCAGTCAGAGAATGCGAACCCTTCTGGTTGAATGGGTTGCTTCTTCTTCTCAGTTTCCCCTTTGGAGTATTTAAATTCGGGTAGTGATAGGTGTTGAAGCCTACCTAGCTTATACCTAGCCCTAAACAAAAGCAGCCCAGCGCGATACCATCATCTTCCATGTTGAAGGACAGACAAACCCGCAGCTGATAGCCTCAAGACAAAACAAAGCATGTGTTGTTGTTGAAGAAATAAAACTTGGACGAGCTTCTTCGTGTCCTCGCACCACTTTCAACAACCGCGCGTGCAACCATCCACGCACAAAAACAGCAAAACTCCCAGCCCAGCTCAGCCGAGTCCAGGCCGGGACCCCCCTTCTCGCGCGGTGCAGTCTAGAACAGCTTGTGCTCAAGCGTCATGTCAGACTCGGGCTCGAGGCCGACGCACGCGCGGAAGATGTTGGTCAGCGCGGCGCGCTGCTTGGCGAGGGCGTTGATGACGGGCGTGCCTGGCGGCGTCAGCGGCGCCTTGAGCATGTAGCTCAGGATGCTGAGCACGCTGTGGAAGCCCTTGAAGTCGCCGTCGTCCTGGCTGGTGGGGCCGGCGGCGGCAGCAGGACGAGCCCGCCACTGGATGCGCGTCATCATCTCGGTGACGAGGACGAGATCCAGGATCAGCGGCGACGCGAGCAGGGAATCCTCGCAGACATTGAAAATACTGGATGTGGTGGTGTGCGGGTTAGCTGCGATTCACGAGATGCGATGGTTATATATCTCGACCGGGCTAGGAAAATGGGGTCGGGAAGGAGGGGAGAGAAAGACTTACGAAATCGTCTGATGTCCGCCCATGAAGATCTCCGCATAGTACTCGTCCAGGGCGCGCTTGTTGTCACCGACCGCCGGCATGTACTTGATGACGACGGTGTGGTCTGGGTGCTCGCCTTTCTTGTACAACACCGAGTTGGCCTCGACCATGTCGTCCACAACATTCGACTTGGAGATCTCTTTGGACCGGAACTGCCTGTGGGAGCTGAGGTTCTTGCCGTCGTTGTTGCCCAGGTGGTTGTAGCTCGCGATCGACGTCAGCTTGATGCCCGCGTTGATCAAAAAGTCGACAAGGGCCGACTTCATCTTGGTCTGCCCGGACTTGAAGTCGTCGCCGCCAATGAAGGCGCCGTGGCGCTCCGCGAGCTCGACTGCGCCGGGCACGAACGTGTTCTGCGGTGAGCCGTTGATGAAGGGCACCTTGTCGAGGATGCAGGCGACCGCGAAGACGGTGGAGGGGGAGATCTCCTCATGGCCCTGCTCAATCGACCTGAGGAGGTTGTCGGCAGTGTCGTTGACGCCGGGGATGATGTTGGCATAACGCTCAGTGTTCGCGGTCCACTGGACAATGACCTTGTCCAGGCCGTGCTGGGACTTGAAGTCGCTATCTCACAGTCAGCCTTGCGAATATCATTACATTCCAGAACTTAGAGGCCGGCAGAGCATACCGAATATCCTTGCGAATCTTCTCGACGTGCTCCATGCAGGCCTTGCTGCCCAGCAACACATTGTCGGCCCGGTCCTCCTGGTTGGCCGCGATGAAGTCGGGATAGTAGATGCTGGGCAGGGGCACCATGGCAGCCATCTCCTTCTTCACAAGAGCCTTGAGCGTCGGCTCGAGCACGGCCGCGCGGTCCATCGCATCAGCAAGGTTCATGCTGCTAATGTCCCAGCCGCCGACAACCAGGTCGTTGGGGTGCACCATGGGCAGGATGTCGTGGAAAGGGATGTTGATGTCCTTGTTGGTCTCGGCATCCGCGCCGAGCTTCATGGTCGAGCCCATGATGACGGAGCCGTAGTAGTTGGCGACGCGGGGGCCCTCGCGAGTCTCCCAGACCAGCCCGCGGCGGTTGGCGATGACGCCGGCCGTCACCGTGGTGCCATTGTTGCCACCCAGCCCGACGAGCATCATGCCGACCTTGGGCACCTTGCGGTCCACCCTGAAGTCGTACAGCGTCTCACGCGGGGTCGCGATGTACTTGCCGGCAGCATTCCTGGTGACGCTCGTGGTCCGGTAGGTGTACTTGGACAGGATCTCGTTCTCGGTGTAAGTAACATTGGGAGAGTCAACTGTGAATAGCTCGCCGCGAGGCTCCGTGTGGCCATTGGTGCCGCTGACAATGTGCCCATCACCATTTGCGGCACCCGCATCATACTCTGCATGAGGAGCCATGGTAGGATAGCCCGGCAGCCCTTAAAAATTATCTAGATGCAGAAAGGAGGATTGTGTGTTTCTTGTTGAAAGAAAGCGTTTATTGGGTTTCGACCCAGTCTCCTGCACCCCCAGGAGAAGCAGAGCAGCGAGCTCCGGCGTATGGGTGATGGATGCTGCCATGGTATCAGAATGTGGTCTCGCGAGAATTGCAAAAGGATGGCCACTGGGCAGTGGCTGCTTACGAGTTGAGAAGATTGGAGAACGTCTTGACGGTGGTGGTGATCGCCACTCGAGAGCGCGATCAGGACGTTCTGGGAGCGATGTAGGCAGCGTAGCACGCTAGTTCACACGGGATCACGGCAATGCGATGATTCTGGGGATGGTCTCGATTGTTGGTGTTTATGGAGGAGTTGAAGACTGGGGGACTTCGAAAGAGCGGTCGCCAGGAGAAGGCATCCGGCTGGGAAAAGGCCGCGTAGCACAAACGTAGCCGAGCAGCCACACATGGAAGGGTACGAAAGAGGCTAGAGCCGGATAAGGAGACAAGGCACAGCTGGTACAAAGGGCACGCAATGCTATCTGGCGATGGCAGTTCTGCAGGCGGCGACAGCGGGCGCCGTGGTTGTCGTCCTTGTCCAGCCATGGCAACCAATAGTGCTGCGCCGCTTGAGGACCCGAAGACCCCACCACACCCTGAAAGCTGTCATGTTCTGGGTTCCTGAGTGCTGTTCAGGGGGCCGGGACGGAGGGGTTGTCAGGGGTCTGATTGGACCTCTCGGCTAACGGCTGAACTCTATCGCAAGAGACAACCCAGCATCATGTAGCTCTCATGCATTGTGAACTCTCCCAAGGTGCATCGCCCAAGGTCTGGACTGTTGAACGTGCTGCAGACGTGTCAACCGAGGTTCAGCATGCTTTACGAGGCGATAACCATGACCGTCGTACACGTGCGTGACTGCCTCTTCCCACTGGAGCAATCGAGGTGAACGCGCGTCAATCAATAAGTCACTTGATGCCGGCCATCTGTGACTTGCGCAGGATGCAATGGCAGCTCGAATTGCTTCCGCACGGATCGTAATATAATGGTCGCTCTACAGCTGCACAACGGACAGGGCACTCATTCCCTCTGTTTCTTTGACTTTGCAATATGGCCTGGAACTAATGTACTTATATGCGTGATGGTGACCGTCGCAGCATCATGTCTTCTCTCACAACCTCACTCTTACTCTGAGTAACTAATCGGGCAGTCCTCCGTCTGGGAAATTCGCATCTTATTAGCCGTGTCAGCCATTGAGTCCTGCGAAAACATGCAGATGCCCTTTTCGCCGGGAAGCGCCGGATCTGCCAGCACGTGTTGCTCGCGATCGATACCACATTCGAGCCGGAGGAAGCATACCATCTTGGCGCCCACAATCAACATAAAATCTCCCCTCAGCAACTGCACGGGATGTCGTGACGCGGCGCGGGAACGGCAGGCCCTCCCGTCGCCACGAACCCGGCACGGGACAGGTGCAGCATCACTTTTCGGCAATGTGCGTTTGGCAGCCGCGAGGTCGCCTGAAGTTAATCGTCAGGCGAGGCTACGGAGGTGTCGAGCCTTCCCGTCCCGTCCCGTGTTGTCCCGCTCGGCGTCGTCATCCGCATGCTCGAGGCAACTCACAGTACCGTAAGGTACCTAACCCGAACGCCAACGAACGATGATGGATCCCAGAATGCCGGTCCCTTTTAAAGTCGAGAGCCTCCCAGGCGCAGGTGCATGTGGGGGACCCCACGGCCCTCCTCAACTTAGGCAGGATCAGCAGGTACCAAAGCCGCGTGAATGTCGCGATCGTCGACTGACGTGATGAGTCCCCACGTCGTCAAAGCTCAGAAAGGGTCCTCCCTGCCTGCGTCGTCGGCATATCACGATCATCAGCCGCCAGCCGCCATCAAAACGCGGCTCCTCTGGGAGTTGGCTTTGGCGCTGCAGATCCTCCTCTCTTTCCCCTCCCTGGCCTCCAGGAGTCAGGCGGCTACCGTGTGTGTCTCTACTGCAGATGTGTATGTTCAAGCCGTGTCCGGAGCCCGCCAATGGATTGCCTACGTTAGGCCCATTAGCTCATAATCTGCAAAGCTGTTCCCCAATGCGGGCATCGCGAGATCCCGTCTCGTCCCTGTCCGACTTCATGTAGTGACGTCAAAGCCTCCGCGCAGGTGGCTGAGTCCCTGTTGGTCGCAAATCACAAATCCACTGGCCCAGTCTGTGTCTGTGGACAAAGAAAAGCACCGCTCATTCACTGATCGCAGCTTCTAGCGTGGCGTCCAGCTGTTTCAAATGTCACTGGAAGAATGCGGAGCGCCCCATCGTCACTGCGCAACAAGGATTGCCGTACATATCTCTTGGCCAATGGGAGATGCAGCATGCTCTGGACTGGCGCGCATTTGCCTATTATGGCCATCAAATCTGCTCTGGGACGCCTGTACTTTTTCCTTTCGGGCAAATCTTGAGACAGCATCTGGATGCTGTGGTCTGGTAGCTTGGCACAGCAACCCCGCCTGCAAGATCAGTAAACAAAGCCAGTATGTAAACAAAGAAACCATATGCCGTGCATGGAAAAAGAACCCTGCCCGAGGATCCAAAGCGATGTAACCCTCATGGTTCTGTCAACGGCGTTGAGGCTCAAAGAAGTTGGAGAGAAAGCAGCCCCTGGAAGTTGTAATCTGGAAGCTTGTGAGATGCCCAGTCGCCAGGGTCATGCCCCAGGGTCAGTCCAGGGAGCCCCTGCACGGGGGCAGAAGCAGCCCCTGAAACGGCCTGCACTCTTCGCCCAAAAGGTCAAATGCTGCATGAATTGGGAGCCATGGCTCACAGTGTCAACTCCGAGCTACCAAACTCGATCCAGACGCGGTTGGCGAATATAATGACACAGTGCCGGTACGTCCTTTGCCGTTTGTGGTTGCAGAGCACGTCCCAGTAACGTTATCCCCAGATCTACAAGGCCACGCGGAAGATGCTGATCCTGCTTTCGAGGTGGACTTGGTGCAGAGTGCAAGGGGATGCTAATCGATCTCTGAACAGGTGACTCGTCGGAATTATTGCATCCCTTCAAAAGTTGGCCCCCGTAAGTGTCCCTTGGGGGCCAACGCCTCCAAATCGGTCACATTCACCTTCGACCGCGCTACGGCAGCGCAACAGATATGAGCAGCGTCCGCGTCGTCGAGGAGTGGGAGGCAAGTCACAAGCGGCGCTACCCAGTTATACGCGATCAGCTGAGCACTAGTAGCCACTTGTGCGTGCGGCAATTTCCATGTCGCCAGCAAATGGCAGCGTAGAGTGGTCTTGAGAAATTCCCCAGCATCACAACGCCTGTTGCCCAGTGACAGGCATCCACAATGAAATGGCCACTAAGATGCGTTAGCGGGAGATCAATCATTTGACATCTGCACTCTCCACACCTAAGGAAAGCCAAGCACCGGAGCGCAACTGCGCAGGGACCCTTTGCGAATGACGCGCTAAACGCCCGCCATAGCCGCCTATTCGCGTGTCGGTTCTGCTCTAGAAGGAAGAGGCTGGTCGAGTGAGTTTGGGATGCCAACACCGGACCATAGCTGCGAGGAACTCTCATCGACTCCTGCCAAGTGGTGGGGCCTCGTGTGAATCACCACGCTCTGCTGCATTGTCTAGGTCAATGGTTGTTTGGGTAGAGTGCTTGCGGAAGATATGGTGCGGGCGTAGTGGACAGCAAAGCGACCAAATCAGGCAACTTTCGGAGCATCAACTTGTCGTTCTGCACGCCGCAACTTCGAGAATCTCCTGAAAGGATTATCCTGGATCTTCACGTCCGTGTCAGTGCGTGCGGCATCTTGTGGTCGCGATGAAGGCGGTAGCAGCATCGACGTCAGTCACGCTAAAAATTTGCCGAGCACGTGTTGCGCTCTGGCCTTCGACGTTGATGGTGTGTTTCACGACACGGCGCTTGTAGCATGATGTTATGCGTGACGTCTAGTGCTCTCTGGAAAGCGGCGTCTCCTGAAGGTTGGTCGGAAGTCCGCGCCCACCATTCCCTTGCACAGTCTTTGCTTTCAAGTGCACGTGCACCGTTTGTGGCCCGACTGATACTGCTCTTGGGCGCGACGCTCGCTGGCTCCGCTGTATGCTGGATAAGCATATTCTTGCGCAATTTTCCGAAATGGGCATCTTTTGGAAGCCTTAGGTGAATGAGGGCGCAATTGGCCAGAGCGGTTCCGTTGGTATCTTGGGTGCTCATGGGCCCCAAAGAAAGCTCGAGGCAATCTCCGGCGTTGGCCGCCACTGACATCGCCAGAGTTGCACCCGAGCCGAGCGAGGGATGTGGACGCACTGGTGAACCATGTCGAGAAATGCCTCAAATGCGCCTTGCTCTTGTAGCCGAAGCTTCCGCGAGACTTCCACTGATGGCTGATTGTATCAGGACGTTCGTGCTGTGGTCTCATTTAGGCGATCAATGTCCTAGGTCGCGCAGGCTGCCCGGTCATGAAGCCTCCTCGACTTGAGATACAGTACGCCGCGCACATTGGCCCGTCTCCGCTCCGCTACTTTAAGTGGTCAGCGCATTTCTGCAAGGTACCCGTCTGGCCCATGCCGTAAATGGCCTGGTGGCAAGGGTGGGTGGGATCGCTAGCTCATGCTGTGCTACCAATAAAGAATACCGAGTTGGAGGGCTTATGAAATTGCAATCAACGTGCCTTGTGGCTGCCTGTCAGGGTCCCGCCGATCATTAGCTCCGGCTCACCTGAATGGCCATCTGCACAGCAGCAGCCAACTTCCGGCGCTAGCCAATGGCTGTGGCTTGCTGTCTCGGTGACGGCTGGAGCGATAACGAGAGCTGTGCTGGCTGGATCCGGGCAGGCGGGCGAGGCTCGCAGGTCGAGACACTTTGCAGCTGACGCCTCGTCGCTTTCTGGAAGGCGCTTACTCGATCTGCTCATTTCGCATGCAGCTGCGCGGCTGCTGTGGGCGAATCGGCGCCTCTCGAGGCCGAAGCCACCGCCGACCTGGTCGGCCACACCGGAAGTGTTTGGGGTTCGTTTTGGTGCTGTATCACCAGACCCGCCGTTTCGAGGTGCTCGGGTGGCGATCATTTCCGGCATACCCTGGCCATGCTCCTTGGCGATAACATCGCCACGGGGCCATAAATCATACCCGGGACGGGCGCGGCTCTGCAGGCCTACGGCAGTTGGCGCAGAAAAGGCTTGATTTCCTGCTCGTGAAGAAATCTAGATCATTCGAGCACATCGCTAGCAGGAGGATGCCATGTTCTCGGGACATCCCGATATCGACGGAAACAGGGTCTCAGGCTGGTGGTCGTCAGGAATCTAGGGGCGTCTCAATCGCATGGCATCCAGGCAAGACAAGCTGGTGGTGGCTGCTATTTCCGCTCACTGGCCAGCCGACCATAGACAGCGCAAGGCTATGCCACCTTGAAAGCGCCGCGACAGCGCGAGAGATGATCGCGAATGGTGAGGGCAGAAGCGGCCGCATATGCAAGATCTCATGCATGACCGCCCATGTCTGCAATTGACTGTCCATCGAATCCGAAATATTTTCACAGCATCTCGGAACATTGTTTCACGGTCGTCGGCACGCGCAGCAACTACTTGACCATGAGGTCATCCCACAAGGAATGTGACTGTCAGCGTCGGAGGTTTGTTCCGTCGCGGAGGCTGGTGGCTCGGAGAATAGCAGAACATCAGCAGCAGTCGCCCAACCGTGACCACGATGTCTTAACCCACTGGCGATCATGTGGAATGAAGGCTCGCTCGAGCAGTCTGATCAAAGATCGAGGAGTCCGGCTGAGCTGGAGCTGGATCTGGAGCTGGAGCTAGAATCAAGTTGGATGGAGGAAGGAGGTGGAGTCGAAGCAGGGGCACTCCCTCTTTGTGCCAAGGGACGCTAAGGCAGGCGCCGGGGGATGCTGGGGCGCCCAGGGGCAGGTGCTGCCAGGGGTTGAAGTCGCTCGTTGTTGACACGCACGAGACCCCTGGCGGGTAGTCGCCCCAGGCGAGCTTGCTGCACTCCACGCCGTTCTCACCGACCTTTGTACCTGGTGGCAACTGTGTTTCCTCCTCTGCACGACTCTCTGGCTTTCTGCTTGCTTTGTTTCTCTGCACATCCATACCTCGATCTCCGGCATCACGGACCAGACTCCCCGCCGCCAAACCTTGACTCGTCGCCTCCATATTCAACCACTGCGGACTACTTCCTCCAGGTGCCCTCGCAAGCACAGAAATCCCCAGGAAACCCAGTACTTCCAGTTGTAGCTCAGGCACCAAAGGTCGACGCTGCCATCCGCTCCGGTGCTGTCCGCCAAGCGTCTTTGGGACTTCTCGACACTTGCTGTGGATGACCAGACCGCCGTCGACACGGATGGTGGACGCCGCCACGAGCCTCGTGCTGTCTGCCACAACTTAAAAACACCCATTCATCGTCAACACGCCTCGCCAACGCGGCCATGGCCGACACGAGACAGTCGGCATTCATGCCGACGATTAAATGCTCGATATGTGGAAATCAGGTCGAGATCTCCATGATGGGAGAGCACGTCTGCTCTTCCACATCCCAGGGTAGGTTCATGCGCCCTCCGCCAGGCTGTAGAGCGTCGTAGTAACATGAAGCAGACGCTCCACCGCAGCCTCCGCTGCCAGATTTGCTTGGCGGTGCCTTTTCATCCTTGAAGATGAATGTTTTTGACAAGTTCTCGGCCATGAAGGCAGCCCCAGTTGTCGACACGGTAGCTGCAAGTAGGTCGCCCGCCAGAGGCAGCTAGCCCCGCGTTGCCACGAGGAGATCGCTAACAATGCTGTCAGACGGGACCGCGCAAAGAGGTGATGAGCTCACACCAATCAGCACTTCCACAGGGTCACAAGCAATATCCCCAAAGACACCAAATACAACAATGGGATCTGACTACGCCCGCGACGACTACTTTGCGCCATCGATCGTGGACTCGCCTCCACCGACACAGACACGCCGCCCCGGAGGTTATGGTGGCTTTGGCGAAGCTGAGCCGATAAACGATGACCGGAACCTGTCCAGCAGCCCACAGAAGAGTAATTTCAACTTGCTGACGAGGATGAACACGATTGCGCGAGGGCCTTTTGAGACGAGCCGGCCGTCGACATCTCGGGGTGAGCCGAACCTGCTAGCCAATCCTGCGGATCAGGAGGCAAATTCCTTTCCACGCCCTGGCACGTCCTCATCTAGCGCCAGCGGTAATGTGGCCGCGCCACCGAAGATGCCGCGGAAGAACGGATATGGTGGATTCGGACCTCCCTCTAGGGACAGCAATGAAATCGAGCAACAACCTGGAGCGATGCAGTCATTCGGGGCCACTCTTAGCGAACCGTCGGCCGAGCCGGCGCCGATTGGACTGGGCAAGAGATCTGACACATTTCCAACCCGCCTAACGAGTAGTGATTCTTCTCCTGCGAGAACACCATCAGCGCCTGGCCCTCGGCCTGCTCGTCCAAGGAGACCGTCTGAAGCCCAAGACCAGCTCCACCCTACGGATTCATCCTGGACGAGGCGCCCCACGATTCGAGATACTTCTCGAGCACCTCCGCCGCGCACGAGCCTCGTGCGACCACCAACCAGAGATGGGAGCAGTACCCCAGCGATCAACCTGGCTGACGAGTTTGGCGTTGGCAATCCATTCCATTCTCCCTCGGTCTCACAGTCATCCAGTCATTCCGGATCTAGCGTTTCATATCGATCGCAAGCTAGCTCGAACACGAGCCCTGCTCGCTCCACCGCGAGTTCGAGGATGGGATCCCGACGCCAACCTTCGGATACCTCCCAAATTGAAAGCCTCATGAACGACCTGGAAATTTCTATGCATAAGGAGCCAGTGGCTAATGAACCGCCGGCACCAAAACCATTTGCGAAACCTATCGAGGCCCCTCGGCGTCGGGACCCTCCCAGCAATCTTCGCCTCGAACCCTATGCCCAGCGCGGCATGGGCTCATCACCACCGATGCGCTCCCCGAAGCCGATGCCCTTGAGCCCGTTGGACCCTGCTGTGCAAGACCCAGCTCTTAGGAGCCGACAGCCATCCGTGGAGAAGTCACGCGGCAATTGCAAGGCTTGCAGTCTACCCATCACTGGAAAGTCGATATCTTCAGCAGATGGCCGGCTCACAGGTCGTTACCACAAAGCATGTTTTGTGTGCACCACCTGCATGGAACCTTTCTCCTCAGCCACATTCTACGTGCTCAACGACAAGCCCTATTGCGAGCATCACTATCACAAGCTAAACGGCAGTCTCTGTGGCAGTTGCAATCGCGGTATTGAAGGCCAATATCTCGAGGACGAGAGCCGGAAGAAGTATCACGTCGCTTGCTTCCGCTGTGGAGATTGTGGTGTCGTGCTTCGGGACGGTTATTTCGAGGTCAACGGCAGGAATTATTGCGAGCGTGATGCCAGCAGACGACTACAGCCCGCTCCCCAGATCCTATTGCGAGAACCCTCGACACGTGCTCCTCCGAGGCATGCTCCTACACGTTCGGCAAGCCGCGCTGCTCCTGCGCCACAGAAGCCCATCGGACTTCCGTCAAACCCGGCTGCCAGTGTTGGCTCTTTGAACAGACCCTTTGGCCTTCCCAGTGGGCAGAGACTCGCCCCGGGTCAAGCACTAGGGCGTGGCGGACTTGGGGGTATGCCGAGGATGGAGAAGCGAATGACCAGACTCGGCATGATGTGAGCCACGGCTTATGATGCCCCTCATTCTGTCAATGTCGACCTGATACGCGCTACGAGCACACGACCTGCTGTTAACAACAAGCTTTGGCCTTGCTGCCACAACTATAACTCTTCTTGGCGATCGCGCCAAACCAGACGATGCCCCAGACTGCGGGCATACCATTTTCTTTTCAAGCACAGGTGTTTTGGACTAGGGCAGGATCATGTGTCTTTTTATGTTTTATACCCCATACCATTGTCCTTTCTCCATCGCCGGCTTAGGCCGTCGTTCAATAAGCTGGCCTTGACTGGTATTTTTGGTCTACATTGCCCTCCATCACTGTCTGTTTTTCCAATACCCGAGGTCTACCTGTTGGATTACTCTGCAAGCCTTTGATTATCTCATCGCGCTGGTTTACTGGTCTCCACCTGATCGCTATGCGAAGCACACATTACAATGATATAAATGTCAAAGATAGCCAGTAATTCTAATCTCTCCTCGAGCGTTGCTCCATGATTCGCACCGTACAGTGAGGGTGGCCATTAACAGCAGGCTCATCTATAATGATGAGTGCAGTCCGTCCTGGGCGAAGGCAACGCACGGCACCACATGATAGGAGGCACGCCCATTCTTACACATGCTCGAACGAGGTCACAACTTGTCTAGGCTTCATCCATCACGTAAACATCGGGATGCAGCCTAATGTTGGTGTGGAGATGGCTGAGCGGTGCCAAAGAAACGCTCGCGAGCTGACGGCAAGACTCGCTGATGGGGCGGCGAGTCTAAGAGGCTGACCGCCATGCTTGATCGAGTGCTCTGTGGAATGAAGAAAACCCCTCTCTGCATGTGCCAGCGGCTTGGCTACATCCGCATCGGTCGTTGCCCAGGTCATTTCAGCGTTGTCACAGGGATAGGCAGCACACCTGTATATCCTGCTCACGACAGTCATCTGTAAACAAAAACATTGTGTACGGCGACCATGATTGGACCCGCGCTTGACAGAGTTCAACGCTCCGGCTGGCGGGGATCATTAGCGGTGATGCGCAACGGAAAGTAAAAAAACCTTATAAGCGCGTGGGGCTGCTTGTTCTGCACGAAATCATCGTGACGAAGATGATGACAAGTGCGTGTGCTTAATGTGGCGCCAACCCCAAAGCGAGTGCTGGCGGATCAACCATGGCAATGACAGGTGGTGGCTTATGCAGGCTGACGCCATGCTGATTCGAGCCGTTCGCATCTGAAACACGATGCCGATACAGTTCGTCTACCAGCCAGTTGGAGTTAATATCATGTTGTCGAAAAAGCTCAGGGACTCTCTTACCCTTAGCATGTCGACCGATTTCCTCGGACGCTGCCAGTGTTGATTTGATGATCAGTGACCAGGCACAATCAAAACAGGCACGGACGAATGGCCATGGGCTCGTGTTTTCTTGACGTGCGGAGCAGGCGGCGGCGGCGGCACCCACGGCAATGCAATGCAGGTCTGACATATACGGGAGCCACCGTGGTCAGAGTTCGGCAAGCCGGCAACGCCTGCCACCACGGAGTAGGTGAGACAGATAATAGAGCGGTTGCTGCTGCCAGGCTGCGCCTCCGCCATGCGTGGCCGGGACTTTGTGGATACCTCCGCCCGGTACTGGTATGCACATCGAGTCTCGTGGGAGCCAGGCTATGCGTGCGTCATGTGAGGATGGGATCACCTTTGCAGTACGACGTTGTGCTCGGCGCCGGCCTGCGAGCACCGGCAATCGGCACCTTGGTTGTGCAACAGTGCGTTGGGTGATCTGTCAGGACGGAGACGGGGGTCACGGTCGCGTACTCGATGGGGTTCCGTATGACAGCTCGCGGATGGTCTGCCATCTACGGATGTGATGTTGAGACCAGGGATGCCGTAGAGGCCACATCAGAGAAGACAAGGCAGCTGGCTATCCTTATAGACGTGAACACTGCGTGGAAGCAGCATGGCGAGGTTGAAGAATGTATCTCGAGAACTGCGTGGCTTCCAAGGTTGCCGGCTTTGCCCCACGGAGGTGGCCAGCTTGCAACGTGCGCTAACCAGACTCAACCCATTAGGAGGGGGATGCATGCGGAAATCGGCAAGGGCGGTGGTGAGACACCCCCTACGCTTGACTAGTATGCTCTCTGGTGGTGAGTTGCGTTGCGCCAAGGCCTGCAGCTGCTGGACGCGCGTATGACCGTTGCGATCAGCAGGGACAGGCTGGGATGAGCAGGTGGCCCCGTCGCGCCTCCACGGAGCGCTGAGATGGCGATCGTGGCCGCTGTGGCTGTTGCCCGCAGCCTTGGCGGCGCTGCCACGCCCGCCCAACCTTGGAAGCGCGGCGGGCGCAGTGGACCAAAAGGGGGGCTTCTCAATCTCCCATGCCGCCCCGGTGCCTGCCTGCAAAATTGCGATCCTGCGCCCGCTATCGGCTCCATGTCGATGCTTGACTCGGCCTTCGATGCACTCACCCAGCTGGCGATGGCAGCCGGGTCTTATCTGGCCGTGCAAGGCGAGTGAAAGTTTCTTCGCTGCCGCAGTCAGGTCCCATTTCCGGACTGCCCTCAACTCAAAAGTCATGTCCGGCGTGGGTGGGTGCTGCTGGCCGCCCCACTCGCCACATGCGCCCCCAGAAGAGTTTGGAGATGCTGCATCAAACGCGGCTACACTGTTGCCAACCACCGCATCACCCTTCCAAGCTTCGCTCCATGGCAATTGCATGGCATCGCACGGGGCAGAACAAAAACCTCCGTGCTCCCATCAGCTTGATTGCGACCCCACGGCTACCTTCTTTGACTTCTGACACGTCCCATCGTACTCTGTACGTGTGTACAAGGCTGCCGGGACAGCGGAGAGAGCACCAAGTACTAGGGGAACTTGGCTCCCAAGCTGCTCGTCGTCGAGTTGAATCTACAGTACTGTCCATCTACCGGTTCCCCTTGGGCGCTATCCCCGGCCCACCACGATCCCAGGGCCACGCCGGCCCCAACCGCCAAAAAGTCGAAATCACACCGCTGCAACCCACCAAGGTCGCCCCCCAGCCAAGCACCGGGCCGGCCTTAGCTCGCCTGGGCCTATTGGTGCTCGACGCATAGTAAATCGCCCAGATCCTGGCCGTCATTTCCTTGGGGCCAGAGAGGTGTGGGACACCCGCTATACTCCTGGCATCTGCTCAAACGTATTAGTGCCACCGACCCCCTAAGCTCCTCCGGCCCGGCGCCTCAGCCTCCTTCCTCTTAACTTGCGTAGCTCCGCATGCCACCTTTTGCGTTGCGGCTCTCTCGCCAGGCCTCTTCTCGCGCCCATCTCTGGTAGCAGCCGCAAGACTTTCACCTCGCAGCAAGCCTCGAGCTTCCTCGCCCTTAGACTTTCTTTGACAGAAGTCTGTCCGCTCCTTTGAAAATACCGCTCCCCCCCGCACCGTGTCCCCGGCAACACGAAACCTACGTCAACACGAGATCATTCGTTGTTGTTACAATCTAGAACGAATCACCCCCGCAACCACTCAAGCTCGTTTGCGGCTCGCTTTTCTACAAAACTCTGCAACCCGAACACAACCACGGCCTGTTGCGCTGCTACCCTTCAGCTGGTGGTTTTGTGCCCAGCTATATCGGGCTTCGATCGCGTGACATCGCCGTGAACACGTTCGGATGGTCCCCTAACGGAATTCTACACGCCCACCAGTAGAGTTACTCGGCCACCAACCCACAATCACACATCCTCGGCGTCTCAGGTCATCTTCTGCCCTCGTGACGGAGACGCAGCCCCAATATGCTGGCTCCCCTCTCACGCCGAGGGTTGCTGCGCCCAAAAGCCCTGGCAGCCTTCACCCTGGCCTTTGTCATTGTCTACATGCTGGCCGCCCGATCAACAGATTCCTACTACGACTCTACACTATCCGAACTGCGTCTCAATCATAACGCCGAACCAAACTACAATGACAAGCTCGATTCCAAGAGCAAGCCGGTTCACCATGCTGGTGCTTCAGAGCCTGACAGGGCTGAGACAATAAGTGGGCAGGGTTCAAGTGGCCCGGACGGCGAAGCCAAGGTCGTGACGCCAGTTGGTGGCGACAGCCAAGATAATGGCGAGAAGTCCAGTTTCAGGGACCACGAGAACCAAGTCTGGGAGAACCTCGTGGTCAATCAGGATCTGGCTGTCGGCAAGATGACTGCGGAGCAGATGAAGAAGCAGTGGCAACAAGAGTACGAGCAGTTGGCCGAGTAAGTATCATAGTTTGCCATGCCGCTACTTGGCCACCTGGTCCAGATTACATGATTGTTGACAAACATACAGAGAACCTGGCTTCGGAGCAATCTACGGTAACACTCTTGCCACTCTCGATTTCAAGAAGAAGAGCCACCTCAGTAATGAGGCGCACCTCACACCTGCCGGTGCAAAGACAATCTACAGCGTCGACGAGCCCTACATCTATAATCCTTATCCGGAATACAATGGAAAGTCTTGGCGCTCAAAGCACGCCGAAGTCATCACGTGTGACGGCCCAAACGGCAGGCCGATTGATGACGTCCAGGTCTTTCGTGGCCATCCACACAACTTTCCGGAGCCTGGATTTGGTAGCTACGAGGCTCTTGGTCTGGATGGTAACCTGTGCTTCGAGCGCGAAACTCGTCTGGGCATGTACGGACTTTCTTCGAACGCGACCACCGACGAGGAGATTGAGGAAGAAGCAGCCAAATGGGACAAGATCAACTGGGGCGACCTGCAGGAAGCATGCGTCATGAAGAACAAGGCACGCTTCGATCTCAAAGGCGAGAAGAACCCTTACGTTCGTTCGGACAACCGTAAGCGGCACATGACCAGTGACGGCGGGGCCGAGTCGAGTTCTCTGGACAAGTTCAGTTTCAGACGACCCCACCTTGACAGTCTTTCAAAGAAACCGACCAAGAGGAATCAGCTGCACGCTCGTAGGAGTGCCGGTTCCTCTGACGAAGCGGATGCCGGCCAGTCCGAGTCTTCTTCGAACATTCAGAAGGAAGAGAGAACCGCCCTACTTCTCCGGAGCTACACTGGCAAGAAGTACAGCGAGAACGACAAGCAGGTCATTCGGTCGCTCATCTCGGAGCTTTCCCTCCGCACCGGCGGACGATATCATGTGTATTTGTTTGTCCACGTCAAGGACACTGCTTACGCCATCTGGGACGATGCGACTACGTATCAGTACGTTCTGCAGGAAAGCGTACCCAAAGAGTTTCGTGACATGACGATTCTTTGGAACGACGAGGCGACACAAGCCATGTATACCGCCCTTGACCCGAAGCAGGCGACTGTGCACGTGTCCCAGTGGCTGTCTGTCCAAAAGTTTGCCCAGGAGTTCCCCGAGTACGACTACATCTGGAACTGGGAGATGGACGCAAGGATCACTGGGCACAACTACGACATCATCGAGAAGCTCGCAGCTTTTGCAAAGAAGCAGCCGCGCCGCGGCCTGTGGGAGCGAAACGAGCGCTTCTACATCCCTGCGGTCCACGGCAAATATGATACAGACTTTCGAAAGGAGGTTGAGCAGAGGTCCAAGGGCATCAGTCAATGGGGTGCTCCGGACTTGCCCTTTATGAAGCCTGTAGGCCCTCACCCACCAACAGCACGACCGGAAGACGACGATTACGAATGGGGCGTCGGTGAGGAGGCAGATCTCATCACCCTGTCACCTATCTTCAATCCGAAACAAAGCGGCTGGGTCGCAGTGGACGAGCTCTGGGGATACAACGATACCTCGCACGCGACAAAGGACTTGCCGCGACGCGCTACGATCATCACACATTCGCGGTTGTCCAAGCGGCTGCTCGACATCATGCACGTCGAGAACATGCGGGGAAATCACATTTCATCAGAGATGGCGACACAAACCACCGCGTTTCTCCACGGCCTCAAGGCTGTCTACGCGCCCATTCCCGTGTGGTTCGATCGTGCCTGGACCGGCAAGGACCTCGCGAGGTGGTTCAACCCCGGACCGAATGGCACTGCAGGGGGCCACGGGTGCGCAATGGCTTGGGGCCAGGAGGGTAGATACGCCGGGAGCACATGGTACTTCCGTGCGGACCCGCCCCAGAGAATGTACCTGAACTGGATGGGCTGGGAAGATACAGGCATTGGGGGTCCGGAGTGGGAGGAAGAGTACGGCCGGCCATGCCTGCCGCCCATGATCTTCCACCCCGTCAAGGACATTGAGCCGACAGAACCTGGGTACCAGAGCGAGTCGAAGCTCCCATACGAGTGAGAAGCAGGCGGCGGAGCTTGTTGACAGACAGCGGCTGACTGGCTACCCGCAAGGGTTCCGGAACGGCCAGGCACGACATGATGACGCTCTTTGCGAGGCTGCAAAGGGCAATGCAACGACACGAGACATTCCCGCAAGCGACAGTAGAGCATATAAAAAAGCATCGCGAAGCGGGCGGGGACAGGAGCATTGGGTGGCGTTTTAGCATCAACATTCTCGTTGACTTTATTTTTTCCTCGTTCACTTCTTGATATGGGGCTAGCCCGGGGGGTTGGCCCTCTCTTCTTGTTGTCCTTGCCACGCAGCACTTGCATGCTGGCGTCATTCTTCAATTATACCCATACCATTGCCTTTGTTGACATTATTGTCATTGCTCATTTACAAAGTCAAAATCATTTCTCCCGATGCAGCTTCGCTTGACCTGAGCACGGTGAGATGGGGTTGTTGTTTGCATTGCGTAGGACAGAGCCAACTGCCATGGCAACAAGCCCTAGAGTGCGTGTAGGTTGGGCCTAGGTAACTACTGGATTAGGTAAGGCTTGGCTCGCCGGAAAACGTGGAGACCCCCGCTCGCTGGCAGCTTCCCCGGGAGAGGGGAAATGGGGCTCTCGTTAACCCAGGCACCAAAATTGGAACAACAGATTCACTAGCGACGAGCAGCAGGAGGTTAAGATTGTTGGCGAAGAGGACTGGAAATAGTGCGGCCAGAAGAGGAAACCGCAACGAAGAGGTTATGGCAATGTCTGGAGAAAAGACCTTTGGGTGTGCATTGAAGCACACACAACCCACACCGACTGCGGGCGTGGGCAGCCACGAGAGAGCAAGTCACCAATCAGGATCGTGGGGTTTTGACGAAAGAGGTAGTAACCCTCCAAGGTGCTTACTGCGTCTGGTACAACTGCAAGGTCTTGCTGCGGCTAGTGCGGCGGGCGGTGGTGGGGCCGGGGGCTCGAAAGATGCCTCGGTGCATCAATCATCATGTCTTGATTGCTGAGGCTGGCTGGGAATCACTGTGTCCCGCCTTTCGCAGGCAAACATTGCCGCAAAACGATGTGCTGGCTGCCCAGGCATAGCTGGGATATAGGCTTTGCCGGTGATATCTTCAGCCGAGTTTCCTGGCACAGCGCTGGCCTGCCTGTCGACACCTCGGGCAATTGGGAATGGATAGACGACTGTAATTATGGGTGCGCAGAGCAGACAGACCCCTGGCATCCTGCCCCAGGCCGTGCCGACTCCGCACGGGGGCCAAGCTCCTCCGCCCGCGGGGACTCCAGCCAGTCGCCGTCTATTGTCCGGGGTCGGACTGGGGTAGCTACCCGCACCCAGCCAGCGCCTTTGGTGTTGTCGTCGTGGCCGACCCGGCCTGCTCGGCTCAGCGTGGCCTCCTCTTTCTGGCCTGCTCCTTCCCTGCCAGGCCCGGTTTCTTGGGGATCTGGTCTCACTTTAGCCACAGCCGGTTTCCTCTTGCTGCCGCCTTTTCCACTTCCTCCACCACTTCTCCCACTTCGGCTTGCTTCTTCGTCGTTGTCGCCTTCACCTGCTGCGCATCTCTCGTCAAAGCGTCACCTTTCGATCCTCCCTGACCGCATCGGCAACCGCAAGCATCATCCGAGGCTCTACCTCATACCCATATCATATCCTCCCGCCATTCCTCCCGACTGGTTCACTGCCACCCAAGATGGTCATCCCTTCGCGATGGCAGGCCGACATCCCGACCTGCTCGGTGCAGCAGTGGGTGTTTGGCTCCCAGTTTGACGAGCTGCCGACGACGCCGCAGTTCATCGACCCGGAGCGGCCCGACACGCACCTGCTCACCGTCGCCGACTACCGCCTCTGGGCCAAGCGCATCGCCCTGGGCCTCACCCGGCGCGGCCTCGAGCCCGGCGACCGCGTGCTGCTCTTCTCAGGCAACAACATCTTCACGCCCGCCGTCTTCATGGGCGTGCTCATGGCCGGCGGCATCTTCACCGGCGCCAACCCGTCCTTTGTGCCCCGCGAGGTCGCCTACCAGCTCAAGGACTCGGGCGCAAAGTTCATGATCGCCGCCGACAAGAGTCTCGAGATCGCCCTCGAGGCCGCGCGCGAGGCCGGCCTGCCCACGTCGTCCATCTTTGCGTACGACGACACGGCGCTCGACCGGACGACGACGCCCGGCGGAAGCAGTCACCGGCTTGGGGTGAGCCACTGGACCTCGCTGCTCGCGGACCCGGCCGACGCCGCCAAGTACAGCTGGGTCGAGCCGGCCGACCCGCGGGCGGCGACGTGCTGCCTCAACTACTCTTCGGGGACGACGGGTGTGCCCAAGGGCGTCGAGATCACGCACCACGCGTACGTGGCCAACGGCGTGGGCGTCACGCACGTGGCCCGCATGCGGCCCGACTACGACGCCTGGCTCGCGCGCCAGCGCCAGCTGTGCTTCCTCCCGCTCTACCACGCCTTCGGCCAGACGTACTTTACCTGCAACTACCCGCACCTCCGGGTGCCCGTGTACATCATGCCGGCGTTCGACTTTGTCAAGTTCCTCGAGTACACGTCCCGGTTCCGCATCTCGGCCGTCACCGCCGTCCCGCCCATCGTAGTCGCCCTCGCCAAGCACCCCTTGTCCCGCAAGTTCGACCTCAGCGCGGTCGAGTCCATCGGGTGCGGCGCCGCTCCCTTGGCCGGCGAGATTGCCGAAGAGGTGGCCAAGCTCTGGCCTAAGGGCCATCTCCGCGTCCAGCAGGGCTGGGGCATGACCGAGGTGACGTGCACGAGCATGGGCTGGGACCCCCTAGACAAGGACCCGGCGCACGTGGCCAGCGTCGGAGAGATGATGCCCTCGTGCAAGGCGCGGCTCGTGGACCCCGTCACAGGCAAAGAAGTCACCGAGCCCAACGTCCGCGGAGAGCTCTGGGTCAGCGGGCCGACCACCATGAAGGGGTACTGGAACAAGCCCGACGCGACGGCCAGCACGGTGCACGTCGAGACCGCGGATGACGGCACGACCACGCGCTGGCTCAAGACGGGCGACGTGGCCTACGTCGACAAGTACGCCCCCGGCGCGCTCTTCTACATTGTCGACCGCCTCAAGGAGCTCATCAAGGTAAAAGGAAACCAGGTCGCCCCGGCCGAGCTCGAGGGCGTCCTGCTCGAGCACAAGGCCGTCGTCGACGCCGCCGTCGTGGGCGTCACCATCAACGGCGAGGAGCTGCCCAGGGCCTATGTCGTGCCTGACCCGTCTGCGGCGGCTCAGACGACCGAGCAGGACATTGCAAAGTGGATGGAGGGCAAGGTCGTCCGGTATAAGTGGCTTAAAGGTGGAGTCAAGTTTGTCAAGGAGATCCCCAAGAACCCGGTAGGTTCTTTTTCTTCTTCTTCTCTTTCTCCTTCCTCTTTTCCGCCCTTGTGTTTTTTTCTTGATCATGGCGACTAATGTGTATACCCGCTTCGCAGTCTGGCAAGATCCTCCGCAAGGTTCTGCGTGACCAGGCTGCCGCCGAGGTCGGCGACAACAAGCCCAAGCTATAGACGACGGGAGTCGAAGTGGGAAGCACGACAATCTCAAAGAGAGACGGCGATGATATATGCCCTCTGAGGATTCATCATAACGATACAACTGAATTTGGGGATCATGACGAGCGGTTCCGTACAACCTGTTTAGAATACATCTGATACATAGAGACCGCATATATGCCCCCACTCGGGATTCTGAACCGAGCCCACTGGCCTTTTGCGCCTCTCCATCTCCATGCCTATGTCACAGATGTCATTGTGTAGAGAAGGAACACACTAGACATGACCTGATCAGCCACTCACACCGTCGTCGTCCTCGTCGTCGTCGGACGAAACGACGCCCGACACAGCCTCCCTCATGGCCATCATTTCATATCCCAGCAGGACTCGGCATATAATGGTGTTCGCGCCAAAGCGCCACACTATACCCACCGCGTCGGCGAGGCTGATGAAGACGAGACTCGACAGAATTAGCGTCCCGTACAGCACGTGCGCGGCGGCGGAGACGCTGATGGCATAACCCAGAAACAGGTACAGATAGCCGTGCTTGCGGTGTTGGAGGATGACGGGATCCGCGTACGCCATGGGCGTGAATTCGCGGTGCAAGTATGTTGCTACGGCGGGCGGCAAAGTCGGTGGCTTCGGCTGTGATGCCTCGAGATGGTCCACCAAAAGGCCATTGCCAGGTCCTGCGCCAGAATCCTGTCGTTGCGACGACCTGTGAAGGTGAGCCAGGCCAACAGAAGACGACGGCGCACTTGTCTGCGGGATCTGGGAAAGAACAATGCTGCTCGGCGGGTGCGGCGTGAGGCTGCCCTGCCCGCTGCTGCTATGCGAGGTTTGAGACTGGCCATCGCTGTCGACCTCACTGACAGGCTTGAGCACTTGCACCCGCAGCAGGAGACTATACATGTGTCCGGCTTGTATCAAGATGACCAGATTGGCCCAGAGCCAAGGCTGCCAGATGGTAGCGGGCGCGTATATGCACACGGTCCAAGTGGCGAGCTGCCAGGCAACGACCTGGAGGTTGACAAAGGTCGTGACGGCGGCAAGATACTCGGTCGCTGCGATAGTGATGACCACGGCCCGCCTCTTGTCCTTCAAGTTGATATAGCGCAGACGTGGCCGCATGGTCTTGACGGCCTGACGCGATAGGTGTTGAACCGGATCGCTGAACGTGCCGGCCATGTCTGCGGAGACTATGGGACAGCTCGCGGCGATCAGGAAGGCGAGGACAGGTCTGCGCAGCGCCAGAGTGCCGACATCTGCAACCCGAGGCCCCATCTGCTGGATGATGAAAGGCGTCAAGCCCAGCACGAGGGCAGCTGTGGCTATCTCAGCCTTGCGGTATTCGGGAAACTCCTCGAGCAGGCAGTCTATCAACAGATAGGTTACCAGATTGCTCGAGTTGGTCGGGTCGAGATAGGCGGCATAGGCCTCTGAGCATTTGCCCTCGAGAAGCGGCCGGATACGGGGGTCCCATGCCGGAAATACCGTCTCAAACTGATGTGTTGGACGTTGAAGGGAGACCACAAAGGGCCAGGCGCAGAAGACGAATAGGAGGAGCCATAACTCCCACCTCTGGCGGGCGATAAATGACAGGCACGGCTGCAATGACATGGTCTGCGAGGCCGGGCGACTCGTCGCTGACCTGAAGGCTGGAGTGTTGCCATAGTGGAACCAGAAGAAAACAATCTATGAACGAAGCCTGGCCGAATGGTGCGGATGCTGGGAAATTATATGAGCTGTCGTGCCAGAAATCCGGCGGCCGAGGTACCAGCCAGGCAGATCAGCTCCCGACTATGGGCAAATCGGTGGCCAAACGAGATGGCCCTCAACCATTCTCGAGCCGTGGCTAAGCTGCATGCATGTCTTTATTTGACAAGGCTACATGCGGTGACAAAGCAGTCCGGACCATCCGCACCATTGAGTTGTACGAGAGACCAGCGATGGCGTGCATGTGCATCAAGTGTCAGCTTGCATTCGGGCGTCTCCTTTGGGCCAACGGGGAGCCTTTGAAATTATCACATACGAAAGGGCAAGGCTGCCGCATACTGGATGTCTTGGCCTACATATGCCGGTAGGAAGAAGAACGGATCTGAGTGGCCAGGAAGGCGTCAGTGAGTGCGGCACTGGCCGAAGGAAGCACCCAAGGCTACTGAGAGTGTAGACTACCCCTACGTGTGCCTCCTTGTGCTCAAACGAGAAATGAGGCGGAGATCCTGAAGGCGCAATCTGAGCAAGCTACAGACCAGCCGCTGACGACACTGTCAATGGTCCGCTCCTGGTCGTCGCTGCCCTCTAACCCACGGCTGTCTGCCCTCTCTGTGGCCACAGCCTCACATGGGAAGCTCAACGTTGAATCAATAACAACTGGGGTAAGGTCATCAAATCTCGTCATTCATGCTTGCTCTAGGTTGTATTTACAAGCGAGCACTCCGTCTCACATTCTCTCTGTCAGGAGAGCGCCCTGCGTAATTTGTCGTCAAAAATTGGGCAAAACCACCATTACCGCGCAACACAAACCCTGCTTCATCAAAGAGCAGGGCGAACCTGGATAGAACGCCGATGTCCCAAGAACATTTCCAAACTGCTGAACTCATGCGAGCAGCCCATCAGACCAACCTGAGTTAGTCTGCACGTCCCCGGTGGCTGCCCATCTTCTCAATCGAGCTCATGATGCCACTCCTCGAACTCAGGCCTTGGCCAGGACGAGCAAGCATGCCGTGGGAGCCGCCCAGCCTGTTCCTCTCGTGGCCAAGCCCACCGATCTTGCTCTCGCCGGGCTTCTTCACCGAGCCGGGGGCCCGAAGACCGCTCGATCGCACGCTCGCGAGGCTGTTTCGTGATTGCGGCACGGCTGGAGTCTTCGGCGGCTTGGCCGGGGTCGCTTGAGGCTTAGTATCCTCCTGCGTCTGGATGAAGCTCTGCATCGACTGCATTTGCATCATCTCCTCGGCAAGCTGGACGAGCTCCCCCTTCTCGACCCGCTCTCTCTCGAGCAGAACAAGTATCTCCGCGTTGTCTGCCTTGACACTCTTCACGATTGCCTTGAGCTGCTCGATCTCGGCCCGCATCTCCTTGATCTGTGCCGAGTCCTTGATTGACTGTTCGCGGCGCTCTTCGTCAATGACCGACATGTTGGGGTCGAACTTGGTCATCGTGGCGTTGCGACCGAGGCGCAGCTTCTCATTCTCCTCCTCAAACTCGCTGACCTTCTGCTCAAGCTCTCTAACCTTCTTCTCCCAGCGCTTCTCGTAGCTCTTCTTAAGCGCCGCAACCTTAGTCTCGTGCTTGCTCTTGTAAAGCGCATGAAGTTCCAGGCCAGCAGTCTCGACAGCAGCCGATATCTCCTTTTCGCGAGACAGCGCGGCCTTGGACTTCTCTGGAGACTTTTCGGCATCGGCGTAGGCCTTGCCAGCGCGCATGCCGGCCATTTTGCTCTCCGCCTCCTGGGCCATGATCTCGGCTGCCTCTCGTCGCTTCTCACTCTCTTCGAGGCGTGATTCTAGCGACTCGCACGCTTGTTGTCCCTTGGCGATCTCCTCCTTGACCTTGCGCAAGACGCCCTCCATCTCACGAGCTTGCCTGTCTCTGTCCTCCCTTTCGTCCAAGAGCGAGTCTCGCACGCCCTCGGCCTCCCTGAGCTGCTCCATGCACTCACCGACGCGCTTCTCAGCATCGCCAACGGCTGTTTTGAGGGACAGCACCTCGGCCTCTTTGCCGCTTAGAGATGCCTTTAGGCTACTGATCTCTGAGAGGAAAGCCGACTTGAGTGACTCCAGCTCTCGCTGCGTGACTGTGGGGATGCTTCTGGGTGTAGGTAGAGGAGGGATATCAAAGTCTAGTAGATTTGACTGGCGTCGTATAGGGGTAGAGGCGCTCTGCATGTTGCCAGTGGTGTTTGTTCTCCGCATGGGGGACTGTCTGGACGAGAAGCCGGCAAGCTGGTCGGTGAAGTCCATCAGCAGGTTGGTAGTGTTGCCCGACTCGTGAAATACTGGTGGGCGAGGTGTCCGGGCCGGGGAGAGGTCTGGCCTCTTGCGGGTAGACCCGGTGACTGTAGTGTCAAGTTTTGGGAACTTGCTGGGTGTCTGACCCAGCCGGGCAAACATTGTCATGTTTGGTACCGCGGAGAATGTGCTGAAAGTGCTGACCATGGTGTCGTCTGCACCGGCCCCATCGTCCTCGGCATGTACAGTGCCGGCAGACACAGAAGTCAGGTCGTGGTCATCCTCAGCAGTGTCAAGCATAACACTGTCCTCGTCTTCAAAGATCTTGATAGCCTTGGCAAGTTCCTTGTTCTGCTGCAGAGCGTCCTCGAGCGTGATGTCCTGCTCGGTGACAATAGGCTGTGGTTCGACAATCGGCGGAGAGGGTTCCGGCGCGTTGACACGCACGGGGAAACGCTTTTCTGGAGACGCTTTGCGAGGACTGCGCTGGCCACCGGATGGTAATCGATCTGGCGATCGCCCTTCTGACCTTGCATTGTCGTCTATGGAGCTGAGGATCTTGAGCGGGGAGAGCTCGGCACCGGACAATATTCTCGAGTGTCGTATCTTGCTCGGTGATGTGTTCTCCTTGTTGACGCTCGGCGCAGGCTTGGCTGGGGATACGAATGGAGAGCTCTGAGCGCCACTGTTGGCCACATTTGAGTCTGTGTTGTTCTGAGCTGGTGTCGCATCCGCGTCGAGACGGAGACTCGTCGAACGGGCTGTATTTGTAACGGCATCCATGACAGATGGTGTTTGCGGCCGTGAAGCCATTGCTGTGAGTGATGGTAGGTATGATACTGAGAGTCTGCAGGAGTAAACTACTGGACAGATGCTCGTGTCTGATCGGTGGTCCTTGGCTGATCGTTGGGCAAGCGACAGAACGAGGTTAAGCATGACATTTAAGACGCTAGCAGAGGTCTCGCGCTGGTGCTTGACGATAAACTGCTGGCGCATGACGACCAGCGCAGAGTCGGTGGGCTGGTTCACCCAGCAACCACGATCCTTTCGGCAAACAAAGCATGCGCCCCACTTTGACTGCCGAAACAGGGCGCTTGTCGTCACAACAACATTGCTTACGCTGGTTAGCGAACAAGTTGATTGCGAGGCACGTACGTCTGGAAATTCCCAGATGAGTCCGGGCGAGGCCAGAGTACTGGCGTGCGCCTCATTTCTTGACCAACCTTGGTGATTGTAGGGTGTCCTGCTCATGCACTCGAGAGCATTCTCTCAGTGCTTCCGTCTGCGCGCAGACCTGCCCAGATGTGGTCACCTTGAAGTATGGTGCAAACCCAACGAACTGTCCGAGACAACACGAATATTGGGACGCCAGGGCCATTGGCAGCGCATGGAAGATGTTGTGAACTCGTACATAAGGCCATGGCAACTTGCATTGCTGCTTAATGACTATTTAGTGCATGACCGTAAATCCCTGTCTTGATCGCAGAGTACCCCCCCCCCCTCTCGCAGCAGCCTCCCCGTTCTCGCAACATCAGGCAGAGATTGGCTCCTGTGCTTGTTCAGGTCAGCAAACTGTGAGTGGTGTCATGATATTTTTGATTCCTGCTTGGTTAAGACTGATCACCGGCTGACAGTCATCAGCAGTACACGGTAGCGAGTCACTTGTTCTGAACGGCAGTCCTGTTGCATACCAGGTGTCGCACGCCAGCTACGACAATAAGTCCCTTGAAATGCATTCTACCCGAAAATTAAAATCGCCAAGACGCCCTATACAATGATTTTTGGTAGCATGGTGATATGCTCTCTACACAAAGCACTCCCATGACGTGCAAGCTGTGTGTCAATCCTCTGTTTCGTCATACATGGTCGACCGTAACAAGCATGGACCGCTTCTTCCCCGTTCCAATGCCTCTCGCATTATAATGTTGCAGCAGCCTCCACTGCACCCGCAACCTTGAACCTCTTCTTGTTTGTCCATTGTATCTCGACGTCGTGGCTCCATTCCATATATCGCGCCCAGCCTAATTGCACCAGTTGGTCAGCTACGATGCCAATGATCGCCGGGTATCAAGCTTAGACGAGATGGCCTTGAACATACTCCAATACGCAAACTTCCTGCCAAAGTATTTCCCGGCAAAAGGCACAATGATCATGGTCAGCAGCAGCTGGAGCTGCTCGAGGCTGGCCTCCCACTCCTTTTGCGCATCGAAGTCATCGTCGGATTCGAAGCTCTCAGTTGAGGAAGACGGTAGCGAGTCGATGTCATCGTCGTGGTCTGATGAGGCCGGAATGTCGGGCACGGTGAATGAATCGGAGAGAGACATGTCGGTTCTGCGTTCGCGGCCCTTGCCTACTACAGTTCGGCGAGGATGAGAGGAGCGGTCGCAGGCGCGCGGATGGTGGCTAAGGGCTGAGGGATTCTAGGCAGCCTGCTGAGCGTGTCTGCATGGGCCTCGTCGGTTAAGGCAGTCGTCGGTTAAGGCAGTCGTCGGTTAAGGCAGTCGTCGGTGGATGGCGGCGACGTCTACGTCGGGGCTCGACTCGGCCCGATGATGCTATTGTCACTAGAAGATGTCGAGGCCAGCTCCGGGGGTTTGGAGGCACGCGCACCCAGCAGATGGAACGGGAGCTCCTCCTCGCCGGCAAGCAAGTGGGGACCCCTCGTGGAAGAGGGTACATGACAAACACTGGCAGGTTCCGCCCGAGGAGATGTATCTCTGGGCAGCCCCTTTGCCCATGTGTGGGTCATGGTGTCATTGATTGGCTGTCAATCACCTCCGAAGCCGCGGAACGTCACAGTAGGTCGCCTTCAGGGTGAGCCATGAACTTAAAGACCACCACAAGCCGAGGTGGAAAAGTAACTGCGACTTTACTATTGTTTGTGGTTTAGAGTTTAGGTCCCAAGCAACAGCCATCGCAGGTGACTAGAAGAAACGCGAGAATGATGATCTCCAGCTTGGCTGTTGGAGATTTCCAAAGCATATTACCTAACGTACGTACGCACACAGGTCAGCAGTTGACTCCCTAGAGCAAGTACCTGCTTGCGGCGCGGGTGCCCAAGGTGTCTATCTGAAGACTGGGGCTGCGTGCGACTACGTTAGGCGGCGCCAGTGCTTCTCTTCCCTTCTAGCCCAAACGTCATTTGCGAAACACATTTTCGACCGCATCAACCATCTGCACTTCTGAGTAGTCCCAAGCAGCAGCTGGGGGGGATATACACGCGCAGATATCATATTTTGCCCTTCAAAATCTCCAGGAGGGGTCGCCAGGCACACACTACGAGTCGCAAATCGACATCGCAATACACTCTACTCCCATTCTTCCAACACGATTTCAGTCAGATACTTCCGGAGTCTGTCTCGCAGATTCAAAGCACCAAGCACTCACAGCCAAACGACTCCATCCCCACGCGAGTCCTACGTACTCAGGCGCAGGTCGGCTCCATCCTCTACGGCGTCGCAGGAAGCACCGTCGCACAGGACTTTGCGTGGCCCAGCATGGCTGACACCGAGGTAAGTGTGATGTCTCCCATTTCTTCATTCCCAGCACCCAATCACGATTTTGTCCGTCATGATGCCGCTATCATGGTGGCGAAAAGGGCGCTCTTCCCAAGAGGCTTTCCTAGGCGGTGGTTCGGGCGCATCCTGCTTAACCACATATAGGCACGTTGCGCCGTGGCCGTTCTGCCTCAAGCGAGGCCTGCCGCAATCCGACGCAGACCAGGTGTGCAGATGGTGTTACCACCTTGTGTGCACTGGCTGCTCGTCTTTGTGGAAGAGCCGCGAAGTTTGCACGAGTATGCTCAGCAGTACCAACAGCCTCACCTGCATCCAGCCGCAGACTCGCCTCTCGCACCTCTTATGCAGCGTCCTCAAGTGGTGGCACTGCAGAGATGCCAGGTGTTGCTGTGGTGGTGAGCCGCTGCCGCCGCAACTGGCACGCTAGACAACCCCTCCCCCCACATTGGACGACCGCACCAAAAATTCCAGGCATTATTCACCCAAGCATGTTAAGAGTCATACCTCTCTACATGCGCTGCCCCGGTTGCGCACTGCACAGTCACCACCGTGCACCACCGCCTTTGAATTGCCTCGCCACTCCCAGCCCACTCCCTCCTCCCCGTCACTTCGCATCGTCCCTCTTAGCCGCCCCACCGACAGAAACTCGATTCTGCCCCTCGACCTCATCATTTTCTTTGGTTGACACGAACGACCACCCGCCCCGCAGGAACAACGACCCTCGATCCCAGACCGCAAACAGCGCAAGTCGGTAGTTTTCGATTCAGAGACAACCATCGTCGAGGCAGACGGCAAGGTCACCACCATGGCTTCCCCCGAAGAGACCAAGGTCACGGCAGAGTCCCACACCCCAAGTACGCAGCCGCTCTCTGACGCCCTTGGAGCCTTCACTGATCCTAAAGAAGCTCCTGTCGATGACGCGCCCCCAGCCGAGGAGGGTGGCCTCGACCTCACGATGAAAAAGAAGAAGAAGAAGAAGGTCCCCAAGGAGGGCGAAGAGGATGCCGAGGCTGGCGACGCGCCCGCTGATGGTGCCGACGGCGGCCTCGACCTCAGCATCAAGAAGAAGAAGAAGAAGAAGGTCAAGACTGAGGAGGGCGACGAGTTCGCTGCCAAGCTTGCCGCGCTGGACCTCGACAAGGAAGGAGAGGGCGCCGATGCCGAGGCTGAGGGCGAGGAGGAGTCCGGCGACATGGAGAAGGGAACAGGCATCTGGAAGCACGACGAGACTAAGAACATTGGCTACGACCTCCTCCTGAGCCGCTTCTTCAGCCTGCTGTCCCAGAAGAACCCCGACCACGCGTCGACCGGCTCCAAGAGCTACAAGATCCCCCCTCCCCAGTGTCTGCGCGAAGGCAACAAGAAGACCATCTTTGCCAACATTCCCGAGATTTGCAAGAGGATGAAGCGGTACGTATTACCCTGTCCACAACTCCCACTCCTTGCAGCTATGTACTGACGCGGTCGTGATGATAGTACCGAGGAGCACGTGACTGCTTACTTGTTCGCTGAGTTGGGTACGAGCGGTTCCGTTGACGGCAGCAGGCGTCTCGTCATCAAGGGTCGTTTCCAGCAGAAGCAGATCGAGAACGTCTTGAGAAAGTACATTCTGGAATATGTCACATGCAAGGTCAGTACATTTTGTCGACGTGAGCGTAATCACCGAGGCGCAGCTGTGCTAATTATGGATGTCATTTCTAGACATGCCGCTCACCCGACACCGAGCTCAACAAGGGAGAGAACCGTCTGTACTTCATCACATGCAACTCATGCGGTTCTCGGCGGTCCGTCACGGCGATCAAGACTGGTTTCTCTGCCCAGGTCGGCAAGAGAAAGAAGATGCGTGCTTAAGCGATTCAGAACTATGCTGTGGGGATGGTTATACTTGCGTGGCCAGGACAAACGAGCCCTCCGCCAGCCCTCTTGTACTCGCCGGCTCTCCGGCTTTTTCGGCGTCTTTCGGCTGGCATGAGGAGTCTCATGAGACATGTGGAAAAGTATATGTCTTTTACAGGTATCAGAAATTGAGACATGAACCATTTTCTGGGCTACCAGAACCGAATGATAAAGCAAGCGCTACGCGGGTGACCAGAGGCCAACAAGTGAACGATCGGCCGACTTGCATGCTGTTGAACAAGGGTTTAGAGGCAATCCATATTGGGGGCGATGTGAAACTATACTTATACATGTGCTTACAGCTGCACTTGTTGCTGATATGTTAGACTGGGCACATGCCACGTGCCAGCCTTCGGGTGAAGGAAACGCCTCTAAAGCACCTGGGAGTCACATTTAGGGCTGCAAGGCAAACGGGCATTCTGGGCGATAGTGCCGGCCGCTTCGGCAATGTGTCCGGGTTCGCTACATTCCTTCCAGCTCTCCCGGGCCAGCCAGGAGCGGTCCATAGCCATTCAAGGTAACTCTCTGGCCCGTTCGAAAGTTGATACCTCCTTGAGAAAACGTGATCGTTAATAGAGAACGAGCCTCTTTGATATCGAGAAAAGTAGTGTCGACTGTGTACGTTGTAGGCATGCATCGTTCGTCGCTGGGCAAGTTGCACAACTCTGGAGAGTCTGGCCCCCGGGAATGCAGTTCGCATCGGCGTGAAAGCCGGCGGCCGCCTCCACTTTTTGCAGCGCAGCTTCCGAAGAGGGGCCTCCGCAACACGCGCCACCCATCATCGGCTTCCCTTCCGATAACACCTCGAGCAAGCAGGGCGCCCGGAGGAGGTCAACCGTCGTCGGCGCCCACACAACCCCCTGGCACCCTGCCGTGGTGCCTCCTTGGAGCCAATGAGCCGCCGCTTCGATGCCGTTAGTCAGGTTCTTGGGGTCTGATTTGGGGAAGTCGAGGGGGTGGCACTATGTCATCGGGGTGCGAAATGGGGGAGGAGGAGGGGACATTTGGTGGGACAGATAAAGAACGTTCGCGGCCGCTGTCCCATGTGCGTGCGCGCGTGTCGTGAGAAGTCTGGTTCCGCTGTTCTGTACTTCTGTTACTGACGGTCGAAGTATCCGTCAATCTGAATACATCAATGAGTGCCCAGCAGGAGAGCATTGTGCCCCAGCTCGTCGAGCTGCTCGACAGCACGCGTGGTGTCAAGGTTCAGATCGACAGTGAGTCGCGTTTTCTGTGCCTCGTGCGGATGTCTAAAAGAGATCTATCTCGCTGACTGCCCCCTCTAAAAAGACCATGAACCACATTCAGTCAAGGCCATCGGGGCCGTAGCAGCAGTCCTTCGCAAGAGCTCACACCCACGTGAGGCCGATGCTCTCGAGCAGGTCGTCACGATAGCGAGAAACACACCCGACTATGGTGGCATGGGTCTCGGCACCGAAGCCACCACAGGCGTCTCCGACAATGATCGCTCCGAGCTCGTGTTCCTGGCCTCGGCGTGGCTCGAGTCACTCAACTCGGCGGACCGGGCGTCGCGCACGCTGCGGCCGACGGCTGGCCCGCCGCCCGCGGGCAGGAGGCCGATGAACGTGACGGAGAAGATCTTTGCGTTCCACGATGTCGAGAGCAAAGGTTGGGTCCGGCCCGGCGAGATGATCCGCGTCAGTGTGGACTGGATCATGTCGAGCGAGCAGAGCTGGCATGTAAGTGATGCACAGCGCAGTCCTCACTGGGAACCCACCTCGGTCTATATAGGCCTGGTCGACTTACACAACATTTCCAGGGCATGGTGCAAGTCTACAACCGCCTCGGCGACCCAGGCATTTTCCGCAACGACCGGCTCTGGCTGGCCGGCGACCACATTGTCGAGCCGCGCAACATGCACACGCCGCTGTCGCAGGACCTCATGGCCAAGGTTGCGAAGGCACGCAGGGACTTCAAGATGACCGAGTATCAGGGGTACAACTACACCATTATGCACACGGAGTTTTTCCGCGAGCGGACACAGCCGGGCATGCTCATCATCGGTAGTGACAGCCACACTTGCAGCAGCGGTGCTAATGGGTGCTTGTCGATCGGCATGGGCGCTGCGGATGTCACGAGTAAGTCTTCGGACCTCCAAAGCCTGCAGACCTACAATGATGCGTGGCGCTGACCAGAGGCTTCCAAAACTAGTGGCTTTGGTTACGGGTGAGACCTGGTTCAAGGTCCCTGAAGTCGTCGAGATCCGCTTCGTCGGCAAACCACCAAGAGGCGTCGGTGGCAAGGACGTCATCCTCTACGTCTTGCAGCAGCTCAAGAGAAACACTGTGGCGGCAGACAGGGTCGTCGAGTACACAGGACCGGGCCTGGAGTATCTCAGTCCCGATGCCCGCTTTGCTGTTGCCAACATGACTACCGTAAGCGATGCTCCCCCCGGCGCAGAACATTAATATTTTGAGGACTTGGAAACTGATCACAGCACTACGCCCCTAAATAGGAGTTTGGCGGCATCACTGGGATATTTGCGCCGGATCACATCACCGAGAACTTCATCAACCAGCGCAAGCTGGCTCGGCACAAGGACAACAGCTTCTACTTCAGGGCCGACGCCGGGTGCGAGTACGTCGAAACGCACACCATCGATCTCACCCACGCGGAGCCATTCATCGCGCGGTACCCCAGCCCAGACGACGTCGTGTCCATCAGCGAGATGAACGGCAAGGAACTCGACGGCTGCTTCATCGGCGCATGCACTACAGCCGAGGAGGACATCATCATGGGTGCGCTCGTGCTACAGGCGGGTCTCAAGGCCGGCAAGAAGCCCGTCAGCAAGGGACTTCGCAAGGTCGTGCCGGGCAGCAGGCCGATTCTGGACAAGCTGCGAAAGTCTGGTCTCGCGGATGCGTATGAGCAGGCCGGTTTTGAGATTGGCGTTCCTGGCTGTAGCTATTGCGTCGGCATGAGCACGGATGTTGCTGGCGATGGCGAGGTGTGGCTGAGCAGCCAGAACCGGAATTTCAAGAATAGGATGGGTCCTGGTGAGTTACTTGTACTCCTCTGGCAACTTCTCAGTGGGATGATGCTGTCATCTTACAAGGCGTACGTACTTTGACTAACACGGAGACATCTAGGCTCCATCGGAAACCTTGCGTCTGCAGCAACCGTGGCAGCCTCGTCATTTGATATGAAGATGACTTCACCGCTCGAGCTCATTTCCAAGATTTCCGAGGATGAATGGAATAGAGTCAAGGGCAAAGGCTCATTATCCTCGGGGCCTCGCGGCGCTGAACCGCAATGGGTCGAGCCCGCTGAGCCAGAAGGCCACTCCTCGACTGTGGAACCGCCGTCCGCAGGTGACAACACATCCGGGACAGCAGAAGCAGCTTCCAAGACAATCGCTACTGCTGCGAGCACCGACGACGACACGAATGCGTCCCAAGAGGAAGCCGCCAGCACCCTCAAGAGCATATCCGCTACAATCTATCGACTAGGCGACTTCATCGACACGGACGCCCTCGCGCCAGCGCAGTTCCTCGTCACGGCCAAGGACGACAAGGAATTCGGCACGCACTGCCTGGAATACACGAACCCAGACTTTCGGCAGCGGGTGGCGGACGGCTCAACCGTCGTCGTCGCCGGCAAGGCATTCGGGTGCGGCTCGTCCCGCATGGAGGCCGTGCAGGCCCTGCTCGGCGTGGGCGTCGAGTGCGTCATCGCCAAGTCGTTTGCCTTTATCTACTCGCGCAACCAGCCCAGCCTGGGCCTCCTGGGCATCACCATCACGGACGAGGCGTTCTACGAGGCCGCGCAGGACGGCGCGGGCATCGACGTCGATCTCGTCGCCAACGTCGCCCGCGTCGGCGGCAAGGAGTTTGCGTTCGAGCTCAGCCAGATGGAGAAGAGCCTGACCAGTCTTGGCGGCGTGGCGCCCGCGTTCAACAAGTTTGGTAAAAAGATCTTTGACGCCCTCACGAGCGGCAGTCGGGGAGTGACGAAGTCGCTCAAGCAGAGTCACGGCGGCTCGGCAGGGGCGGCGGGCTCGTTGAATTGGTAGAAGCATTATGGAACGGTTTATTTTTGTGGCTCAATTATTTACAGAGTGTATAAGTTAACTTGGACATATCAACCGAGATTAACGAAACGGGAAGATGCCCCGTTAGATCTTCCGAGGGCCGTTCAGAGACAGGCATGTGCTGTTTTAATCTACTGAACCATCACGGTTTGTAAGAGGGACGGAGCCACTCCTGGGGCACATCCAATGAAATTGTAATGGAGACCAGGGTGCTTTCACGTTGTTCAGCTTCTCTGGATTCACGAGCCAATAGCGCCATGTTTCAAGACGCCAGAACAATAAGTGGTCAAGTTGACACTACCGGTACAGGAAAAGGCTATCGAATTTCGGTAAACACTTTTCAGCTCATTCGGGATTCGGCTGCCGTCTTTTTCGTCGTCGGTATGGTCTCGGGCCTGAACCCTCTTAGACTCTGGAATCACTTTGAAGCATTACGCCTGGAAGATCTCCTGAAAAGGAAGCTTTCGGCTGAAGGATTGATTGCAAAGCTAGTCCATTCGCAACATCCATGTCTTGAATGTACAGCGCTCGAGAGGCGTTGATTGATCTGCCGTCTGGAAATTTCGTCATCGTTGTCACAAACACAGACAAGCGGCATATCGCGTCCCTGGTGTGGCGCTTTTCTCGGCACATACCGCCAATTATACAAATGGTCGACGAAGCCTACAAAGCGACTTTGCTCCCGGTTGATGCACCCGATATCCATCGAGAGCCAATAAAGGCGACAGCGCGCAGCCGCAGCCGCAGCAGCAGCAGCAGGCTGAGTCGGACGTCTAAGGTCGCATGATCGCAAGTGGGAGGAAGTGAGTGGTAGCCAGCGCAAGGCTCTGCCAAGAGGCTGCCTGAAGCTGCGGCGATGCAACAACTCCAAGGTAGCATCTGCCCTCCATGATGAAAGCCACCACGACTCGGCGGATGCTCTTTTGACAACCATGAGGTTCGACGAATGTGCAATTTCTGATCGGTCTCGGATGCATTGATTTGACGGTGCCATATGTTCAACAAGCCGTGGCATGTGATATACTATTGTCGGGAGTGGTAGTATGATGTTCGACGACCTCATGTCGTGGCAGATAAAGCCCAATCGTGGACTTGTTGGTCGAGAAAAGACTTGGACGGGGTGCAAGGATGAGAGAGCCGTTTCCCTCAGCCTTTCGTGCGGAGAAAGGATGCGCAGGAGGGGGGGAAGGACATGCTTGGTTGGTTGAGGACGTTGACACCTTGTCAGCGCAGTGCCTTGATGCATGATTTTGTCAGGCTCGATGCCAGGCAGGCGCGACTTGGACAGCAGAGCAACTTGTAGCTATGCGCGATGGACAGCACGTATAAAGAAAGAATTGTCGCCCCCGCCGGGTGCTGGCCTTGTTTGCCCGTCTCCCAGAGTCAACGACAAACTGACATGCCAACGTCAAATACACCATCAATTACTCCCGCGCTGGCAACTGACGCAAACTCATAATTACTATTGATAATGGCAGAAGCCCTCGCCATTGTCGGAGCCGCGTTTGGCGGTGTCGACATCCTTAGCAAATTAGTTTCCGCTATTTTCAAGGTCAGCAAGTGTTTCAAGCAGAAAGGCGACATACCAGACGAGGTCTACAGCTTCCTCGGACTCGCCCGCTCATTTGAAACACAAATCAAAATCTTTTTAGAACTTGCCAGCGCCTTGCCTCCCAGCCTCACTAACAGGAAGTCACGAGAGGCGCAGCGTCTTAAACGACTTGCCAAAGACATCAAGGCGCAGTGTGGGTCCGTCAGCAAGAGCGCAGGGAAGCTGGCCGATGCTTTTACAGAGATCAACTGGAGCGACACGAGACTCCTGAATACTGCAGTTTCCTTCATCCGTTGGCAGTTCAAGAAACCAGATATGGTCGAGCTGAAACTAAACCTCCAAATTGCTCAATCGAGCTTGTCACTGTTGGTCGGGCTTCATAATCTCGAGCGTACTATCAACCGCGGTTACGCTTCTGAAATATTCGAAGCAGAAGTGTAAGTGTATAGGCTGAGCCTATGGCTGTAGGCGCGTGGTTGCTAATTGTCAGCAGGAGGAGTAACCACCTCCAAATAATGGAGATTTTTAAGCAGCATTCGAAGCACATTAAAGAATTGGGAATCCATTGCGCCAATCATGCGAGAACTAGCCAAGCCAACGATCAACTGTTATCCTCCCTCATGGTAGACAATGTAAAACACATCAAGCGATACATTGAGCGCACCGTCGAGAAGGAGATGCGAAGATATGAGTCTAAAAGACGTGATCCTAGCGTGCCACTTACGCACAGGGGCTCAAAGACTTTCGGGCGAGAGGACAGGCCATCGATTTCATTGTCAACAACCAGTTTAGTACCTCCCTCAACACCGAATCCAGAGCGGGCTCTTGTGTTGGCCAGGCCACGTGGACTTGCAGAACCAACTCCTGCTCACCTACCAGTACCTGCTTTCGAGGTACCACCTGCAAAGAGATCTCTGTCCATTAAAGCGCCTGCAGCTCAGGTTATCGACTGCCGAGTGCGTGATCGGGGCGACGGACCTACCACCGAGTTTGGCGAGTGGCCTAAGCAAGTCGGCCAGCTAGTTGAGGAGCCGGATGACTCGTACGAAGAAGAGGAATGGCGGAGTCGAAGTACGTCTCGGGGCCGCAGCGTCACTACAACATGTGAGATCTCAAAAAGACCTTTAACCCAGGCTGGAGATGTCGATGGGCAGCCGGACCATACCCAGCCGCTTTCCGAACACGGGACAGCGTTGCGAAGGCCACAGGCATCACCAAGGAACCAGCTTCATCACCAAGAAAATGTTTATGACGACAGCGAGGAGGACGACGAGGAAGAAGGGAAGAATAACTTTGATAATGATGGGGTCGGCCAGCAACTCTCTATATGGCAGGAGGTGCCACCACGGGGACGGGTCGGAGGCAGTCGGCGGCCACGGATGCCACGATCACCTTCGCCCATTATGTGAGGAGCCCGGACGTTTAATAGCATATACGCGCCAGACTAAGGATGCAGTCCAAGTAGAACGACGTGGGACCTGGACCAGGAGAGGTTCGAGGCGGAAAGAGCCTCGAAGCAGCCAGACTGACACTAGGAAATCTGATTGAGTAGAACATATCCAATGCAGTACCGTCCGTGAGGATCGAGCACAGCGCATGACGTGATCGGCCATTGATTCATTCAGTGATCATCATCGGAAGGCTGTGCGTGCAAGGTCCGCCCCGAGAATACGATGGAGTGACTTGCAGTGAGAGAGGATCCCCGAGCGGATATGTGGGGGAAATGAGGCTTGCTGGGCAGGCGACATGATTGGACAGCCCGACGCATGGGAGAAACCCCTGAGATGACCCCGGTGCGGCAAGTACCTGTGCGCGGTTGCAAGGTGGCCGGATACCTGCCCAAGAGGTACCCATGTGGTCCATTGGCCGTGGTGGCAGCCAATGGGCGCTGTGCCAGCTGTCCCATTCGGACAGAGAATGGAAGGAGCAAGCCTCCAAGCCCGCACCCGCCCGCTGCCACTGCCAATACTGCCGCTGCTAATTGCGCTGTACTATTGCTGCCCCGTGGCTACCGCACTTTGTTTGTGTTTGGCCCTGGCGCTCGCCACTGGATCAACAAAAAAAGCACCCCGTGTCCGTGTCTCGGTCTGCCCGCGCCCACGACACGACACTGTACTTCGCGAACTTTTGTCTCGCTGCCACTCCTTTATTCCTTCACAACCTTCTGCAACTGCCCCGATCCAGCAGAAGCGGCACTCGTCCCCGGCCTTGCACGCACCGCCATCATGTCTGGTCGATACTCGCTCCGTGCGACTCCTCGGTAGGTCACGTCCATACCCAGCTACGCTTGCCTGGCCGATCGCAAACCCACGCCTGCGCGAGGATCTCTTGAGCCCATGCTAGCTTGGGAGTACAGCTCACTCTCTGGCTCCTACTAGCACATATCGCCATCCCATTCACTGACATCTCTTTACGCAACAGCAAGAAGGAGCTCTACGAGGGAATGGTGGAGACGCCCGGCCGCCGTACCTCGCGCCGCAGGACACCGCTCAATGGCATCGACGGTGCCTCCGACGAGGGCGAGTCCAGTTCCGCCGCCGAGACTGCCCCCAAGAAGAAGACAGTCGCTCGCAGACGTACGGGCAAGTTCATCGAGCACACCGACGACTCTGACGTGGCCGACACTTCTCTCGAACTCGTTGACGAAGCCAAGGCCCCCAATGGCACCTCGAATGGCCACGCGAATGGCCACGCAACAAGCGAGGTCGCACCGCCCACACCGGCCAAGGCCGCCGCAGACAAGGTTGACCATAAGAATCTGGTCGACGGCTGGGCCCCCGGCTTGGACAAGCGGATCGACTACTCTCCGCACTTCGAGTTCGGTGGCAGCTTCGGTGCGCTAGGACTCATGATCGGATTCCCGGCCTTGATGTACTACATGTGGATTGGCGCGACCTACTACGACGGCAAGCTGCCACTGCCCGCGCAGGACCAGTCCCTGTCTGACTTCTTCAGCCATCTCGGTCACCTCATCTACACTGGGGCCTTCCCGACCCTGCAAGCGTGGAAGATCTACTGGGTCTACTACGTCTTCGAGGCTGTCCTGTACATCTTTGCCCCTGGCGTCTACGGATATGGCAAGCCGCTGCCATTCGAGGACGGCAAGCAGCTCCAGTACTACTGCTCGGCTTTCGTCAGTTTCTACATTACCATTGCCACCATGGCGGTGCTTCATTTCACTGGCTGGTTCCCCATCTACACCTTCCTTGACGAGTTCGGTCCTATCATGTCTGTCGGCATTCTCTCGGGCTTTCTGTGCTCCTTTGTGGCATACTTCTCAGCGCTTGCCCGTGGTGCTCAGCACCGCATGACTGGCTACCCGATCTACGACTTCTTCATGGGTGCCGAGCTCAACCCTCGCATGTTTGGCATTCTTGACTTCAAGATGTTCTACGAGGTCCGTATTCCTTGGTACATCCTCTTCGGTATCAGCGCTGCTGGTGCCGCCCGCCAGTATGACCAATATGGCTATGTGACCGGCGAGATGTGGTTCCTGGTCATGGCGCACTACCTCTACGCCAACGCTTGCTCCAAGGGCGAGCAGCTGATCATCTCGACGTGGGATATGTACTACGAGAAGTGGGGCTTCATGCTTATCTTCTGGAACATGGCTGGTGTTCCTCTTTCATACTGCCATTGCACTCTCTACCTGGCAAACCACCACCCTTCCGAGTACGCGTGGAACAAGTGGGCTCTCGGCCTCCTCTTTGTGAGTTATCTTGGTGTCTACTGCGTGTGGGACCAGGCCAACGGCCAGAAGAACGCCTTCCGCGCCATGGAGCGTGGCAAGCTCATCAAGCGCTACACGTTCCCCGCGTTGCCCTGGATCTACATTGACAACCCCAAGACCATCCCCACCAGCACTGGCGACAGCTTGCTTGTGGACGGCTGGTGGGGTTATGCCCGCAAGATCGCCTACACTTGCGATGTCTTTTTTGCTGTCAGTTGGGGTCTTATTACGGGTTTCGACAGCCCGTTTCCATGGTTCTACCCTGTCTTCTTTGTTGGTATGATCATTCACCGTGCCACGAGAGACATCCAGCGTTGCCGCATCAAGTACGGCGATGCCTGGAAGGAGTACGAGCGCCAGGTGCCGTACCTCTTCATCCCTGTAAGTCATCTCTACACTTCGTTTCGGAATACAGTCCAGCGAGCTGATTGGCCAAACAGTACGTCATCTGAGCTTGCTATCGAGCAGCTCATCAGACTGCGGTGCATATCATCGCAAATTATGTCGCACAAGCATGTGCCTTGTGTGGCCCGTGACGATGGACATTTTCGCTCGCAGTATAGTCCGACTGCCAGCCACACTTACACGGCGACTTGTTACCATTTTCTTGTACAATACTTTACGTATCATCTTGGCCTTCTAATTGCATGGGAATCGAGCTTGGGCCTGTGGATATACATGTCGGGTAGGCTCGATAGGACACTGATAATGAATTAATGCATTCTGGACCTGAATCTTGCCTATAAGTGCGGGACAATATTGCGTCGCGGCTGGCATGTGCTTCCTTCACTTTGGCGCACCACGTGGCGTGCTCATTGGCTACTCTATGCCTAGCGAGGATCTGCAGCTCGATTGCTAGTTGCTGTGGCATAGTGTAAGCCAGAGTTGAGACACACGACCTCAACAAACTGTATCAGATGTCTGTCTGCGGGCGCGCTGTTGTTCATTGACAAATGTTCACTTGTACAAGACGAAACCGCTTTCTAGCACTCACATCTTCCTAGCATTGGGTGCACATGGCTATCATCACACAACGCGCTCGCAAAGGCAACTCCCACCACTTGGACAAAGAAGGAAGACTGAACAAGGATGGTCGCGAGACGTTGTCGTCGTCATCACTTGAGCCGGACTGGCCAGCCAAAACCAACACGGTATCGCCATGGCTGCCTTTCAAGTCTCTCTTCTCGTCAGCATGGGTGAGGCCGCCGCAGCTACTCACCTGGGACCAAGTGCCGTCGTGGTACGCCCAGACGGACCGGATCCGCACAGGTTTCCGCCCGGTCACGCAGTCGACGGCCGAGTGCCTCGCATCCCTGGCATATCTGCACAACGAGTCGGTCAACATTTACAGCCACCTGATCCCATCTCTGGTGTTCCTCGTCGCCGCGGTGGTTCTATTCGACGTGTGCCTCTTCACTCCGCTCATGTCCTCCCGGTGGTACCCGGGCGCGTCGTGGCTGGACATTCTGATGATCCGCTTCTTCCTGTTCACCAGCGCGGTGTGCTTCGGCGTGTCGGCCGTGTACCATGTCCTCGTGTGCCATTCGAGGGCGATGGCGGAGCGCTGGGTCAGGCTTGATTACGCGGCGATTGTGTTGCAGATCTGGGGCAGCTTTCTGAGCGGCTTGTACATGTGCTTTTATTGCGAGCCAGGATTGCGGAATGGGTATTGGGCCATGGTAAGCGTCTCTCGTCCCGACCTTGTCGATCCATCAGCTGTGCTGCTGTGTGGAAGTCGGCAACGTCAAGGAGACGTGGCAAACAAAAGTCACTGCTGAAAATCGGGCCCTTATTTCCAGAGCCACTTGAAGTTACGGGGGACTCTTTGGAATTTGGTGGCCTGACTACGTACATGCTAACACGGACAAAACCTACAGATCACCACCTTGTCCGTTATAACAGCACTCATCGTGCTCGATGCCAGGCTGCAAAGTCTGCAGTGGCGAATGCTGCGGCTCTGGGCATTCGTGGCCACGGGGTTGTCTGCTTTTGCGCCAATCGCGCATGCCGTCCTCATCTTTCCCTACGGCCAGCTTGACAAACAGTCCGGACTTAGGTACTACTACCTGGAGGGTGTGTTCATCCTGCTCGGCGCAGTCGTCTACGCCGTAAGTCGACTCGAGTGCTTCTTTGATTCTTGTCAGCAAGCAGGGTCATCCTTGTCTGGTATTTCATCACTTGCATCGACGTTGGTCGTCGTTGTCGGGCCAGATCAAATGCCGCCCGTGAACCACATGCCTGTCTTTGTCTGGTTGCCTATTGTTGTTGACCGGTTCGCTGATTCAGTGGCTTCCAGACACATTGGCCAGAGTCCTCGAGGCCGAACAAGTACGATATCTGGGGCGCTTCGCATCAGCTCTTCCATGTGCTCGTCGTTCTGGGCGCCCTTGCTCACCTCTACGGCATCTTTAGTGCCTTTGATTGGAACTATCGACATCCTCGCTGTCCTGTGCCTGCAACGGGTCAAGAATCCTGACGGAGCTTGCTTGTCTTCACATGAGTTGGGACGTCGGATCCGCGTGCCAGAAATCCACTGGAAAATAGACATAGACTAGAACGAAGAGACACCTAGAATACATGATGCAACTAGCATAGACTAGAAGGAAGAATGCTGAGCTGATTGCTCTCTCTGACAGGGCGCACAATCGCAGTCGTGCTGGCTGGTCCCTTTCATGTCGGCGCAATTGATTGTTGATGACTCTACATAGAAACCATGAACCTACCGCGGGGAGACACCATTTTCTTTCATCTTGTCATAACTCGGAAGTCACTTTCAAAGACATGCTTTCTTGAACCCTGTCAAATTCATTGCCTCCTCTGTCAGTGCCGAAGAGCCAGGGCTTCTGGAAGGCGTGCGTCTCCGCTATCGTGTTGGGGCCTGAAAAACCAACGTAGAAGTCCACTCAGCCACGGCGTTCCAGCGAGCTTCCTTTGTTCGTAAAAGTCGTGGAATTGTCAGGAATGAGCTGTTCCCAAGATAAATTGGGTGTCTGAGAGGACAGTCGGAATTCATCTAGTCTGCGTTGCTGCAGTACATACTCAACACAAAGAAACAATTCGGCCGAACTCTTCCTGTTACATAGCCGTCCGACTGTCCGTCCATATCTATGTCGGCAACCCCCCCCCCCCCCCAAACCACACACCTTCCTTTTCTCGCTTTGCCTTCGTAGACGGTGAACTTAAGGAGGACAGAAATCCCACAATGGAAGAATGCTTCAAAACTGCAATAGCCTGGTATCAAAGCAAGATTGAAACATCTTTCTCCGAGTTCGAGTAGCTCAAAAGACTACTTCTTGTTTGGAACATCCAAGCAAGCTATATTTTGCTCTAGTTGCCGAATGGTGCACAATCACTGGGAACCCTCGATTCGACGGACCCAATTTAAGGCAATAGTCGAATCCGCCCGGGTGCATCCCATCAACACGGTGTGTAAACATATGCAACATCGCTTTGTATTCGTTCAGTGTAATATAACGATCGTTTCATACGCACTTGGAAACCAAGCATATTCTAACCGGCTAGACACAGTGTCACAAGTCCGCAAAACGCGAAACGTGATCGCCATGAAGGCACCTTTCAGTTTCCTATGGCTTTGCAAAACCAGCGAGAAAAAGTTTCCTAGCCGTTGTGGTTAATTTTTTCAGTTGATTACTGGTTGAGACGTAGAGCGGCGCTAGGACCTCTATGCGAGCGGATGCGGTTCATGTTTAACCAAAGGTAGCTGCAAGTGCTGGTGGCGCAATGCGCAGCATCCAACTTTGAAGCCATGAAGTGTTAGGCCGGTATTATTGTTTCGACTCTTTGCTACTTCTCGTCTCTCATTTACCAGTTTCTCACCGACGTTCGTTTGGTGGCTGATCCATCAAGTGTTTGCCATTACCCGATAGGGTGAGTTTCCTGTGATCATCGCATATAACACTTGCAGGGAATTGAGTTCTTTGTTGTCACTTTTGTTAGTAATCTAAGCGTTGTCCCGGTCTTGTGAAAATGCGAAGAGGTCGCATGCAGGTCTTCTGGCTAGATCAGGAGTATTCAGGAACGGCCTTCTTTGATCAATACTCCTACATCAAGGACAAATGTTATGGCGAGGGCTTACATTTCCGGCACAGGCGTCTTCCACCATTGTCCAGCAAGGATAAATCCTGCAGGGCTAAGGCAGCTTCCACAATACTCTAATCTCGTGACCATCGGATGTCGTCCTCACCAAGCATCATCTTTGTGCCAGGCACTCAGATCTATTAGATTCTCTTATGGTGGTCGTCCGCGGGAAGAGGCTCACTTTGGAATGACCTGACTTTCTATACCACTGATCGTTACAGACACGATTCCGAACACATTGAGAAGGAACGAGTACTGCTCATACCCTTCACGATATCTTCACGGCAGCCCGATGCACATAAAGTCGAAGTGATACGCTAAGTGACTGACCAGACTTCTGCACCAGCGGTGGTACACAATGGGCAGAGACAAGCATGGCAGCGGAAAGAAGGGGTCCAAGGTATGTTCAACGCCTATCTGATGCTCGACGTTTAGCAACATAGCCACACACATGCATACTTTACTGTTGGAAAGAGGAATTCTGACAAAGGGCCAAACACCAGCGTGGAGACAAGCACGCGGAGATATCAAGGGCGGGACAGGCGACAACAGCCCAGCCAGGCCCGCCGATTTGGTTTCAGGCCATGCTCGACCGTTCTCGACAACTCAGCGAGCGATCGCGACTTGATATCCCACGGAGCGTGGCGCCACCACAGCGCCCGTCGCGGCCGTCGCGTTCATCACAGGCAAAGCAACGAGAAGCAGAACGAGAGCTGCAACAGCAACAGAGACAGCAGTGGCAGCACCAACAGCCAGAATGGGCTCGTTTCATGATCAAGAGTTCTCAATCACGACATGAGGAGAAGAAGACACAGCAAGCGCAGGCCGCCCCAGCAAGGGAGGCAGCACAACGCAAGCAGTCAGACAGGCGTGAATGGTTAAAGGTCGTGATGAACGACTGAGCTATACAGCCGAACCAGATCAGCAATGCCCACGAATATCAGGCATGCACGATATAGCATCTGCCTGTCAATGGACTAAAAAAAAAAAGCGAAGTTGGGAAATGGCCGACAAACTAGACATGAATGGTCATGTTTAGCTCGGACCCTTGTCGCATGTCGCGCAAGACCATTCTGAACAGTCGCGCTTCTATGAAGAGGAGCGGCCACACGGTAGCGGCCATTTCTGTGCCCGTAATACCACATGCTTTCTTGCAATGAGTATCCGTCTTCTCAGTTGGTCTTGTTGGTCGGTGCTTGTCTTTCGTGTCCTCTGTCCAGTCCGACTGATGAAAAATGTGCCACATGACAAATATCAAAGCATCCCAGCTAGTTTGGACTCGAGTGCTGTCAACGCGACATCAGTGCCGTCAATCTCAACGACGTCGGCGGTGTTTAAACCCGACATAACGGCGGTGAGTTTTCTGAGTATTAAGGCATTATAGTATAGCCGCGCTGGGCCTTGAGCACACCGCCAAGCACCTATATTTGCCGCGGTGGATGACCAGGCTTGGTTGGTTGGATAGGGGCTCCTGGGCGCATGTCATTTGCAAATCGATACGCAAATTGCAAATTAACACGCAAAATTAAACTGTTATCTCGGTGTTGCCATAGCGAGAAAACTCCACTGCACATGGCGGTGACGGGCCACGGGGTTACATCCCGAAGATGCGGTCCACTCGTCAAATGGATCCCCCATTGCGAGGAAAGGGGTTTACCCAAGACGGGAAAGTGACAAAGACGGTGAAGAACCACACAGAAGGCTTTTTGTTGGTTGTGCAGCGTCTGGTGTGAATAGCCTCAGCTACTTCCCGCAGCATTCCACAGCACAGCCTCATCATCACAGTTGTTTTCAAGGGGGAACCAGAATATTCTCCAGTCATAATTGCTTATATTTCTCTCGAGTCAAGTTCTTCTAGCGAGTCCTTGGACCTCAGAAACAATAAAACACCAAACTAAAGTTTTCCTCCGCTGATACTTGAGCTCGCCGCCCCCTGGATCTCAACAACAAAAGCGTCGAATGAACGAACCGCTTAGTTGACCTTGGCCTGGTTGAGGTTCTGGATGACGCGGGCGCCATCCTGGAAGCCATTGCCGACCTTGGCGCGGCAAAGGGACTTGCCACGCTCAATAACGTTGTTGTCACAGGCAAGGTTGGCCTGGGCGACACAGCTGAGTCTGCTGCCGCCTGTTGAGTGAAAGAAACAAATGGTTAGCTATCTGAAAAAATTTTTGGAGAACAAGGACGGGAGCGATGCGAGTGAGGGGAGCTTACAAGCCTGGCCACCGGGAACACAGCGACCAGCAGCGCCGTTGACGTTGCAGGCATCCTGCTTGAGCGAGGTGTTGGCGACGCAGCAGGTGCCGTTGGGGACGGGGCGGCCGGCGTTCTGGCGGGAGACGATGACGGCGTCACGCTCGGCGTTGCGGATGCCCTCGGTGTCAAGGATGGCGGCCGAGGAGAAGGCAGCAAGGCCGAGGACAATGGTGGCGAGGGAGAACTTCATTTTGAATGTTGGGGTATTGTTTTTGTGGAAAGAAGGGAGTAGCCGGACTCAAGAAAAGTTGACGAAGTTGTCTAAGGGGGTAGAAAATGGTTTGGATATTTTCGACAAAGACCGACCGGCGGCAAAGAGAATGTAAGCAAGTAGGACTGGAGGGTTTTCTGGTGATCGAAGGATGGGGAGGAAACGAGATCAGCCTACAAGATGAGGCGATCTCGGTGCCTTCTTATACTGTTTCTGCAGTTGCATCCATCCCCACTCGGCACCAGATTGCGAAGTTGGAAGTTCTCCGCTGTCCGGACAGAGACAGGCACAAGCCGTCCCTTGCGCCTCGAAACAGCGCAGTAATGCGCGCTGGCTGTGTACAGCAAGCCCAAACAGGCCTGCTGGCCAGGGGCGGGGGGACCCTCGAGTCCAAATTAGCCGTCGCTGAGACGTCTCCATCGTGGTCGCAGTCTGAGGTTCAGGTTGACTGGGGGTCCCCCTTCTCGACTGTGGTGGAAACGGACCAGGCCAGGGATGCATGCCGGGAGCGCCATGCTGGATCGAGGCAGCCAGGCCAGACCGCATCGGCACGTCGGCCGATCTCGTTTGGCCGGCGGTGGCATGGGGCGGCCATCACGGGCGCGGTTAGGTACGTATGCGACGAAACCTTGCCGGGGGGGGTTCTGGTTCAGTTCAGGGGCGCCTGCTGGTCCCATGCCCAGACCCCTGCCCAGGTTGCGTGTCATGTCCGTCTCGGCCTCCTGGCGCAGCACCACGAGACCCAGCTTGAGCGTTGCTGCGCACTCCTGGCCGCAACATTGTCAGTATTTGCCCACGAATGACAACACGAGCAGCCAGCCAGGCACGAAACGCGCACCCGGATCAGCGGCATGGGCAGTGGGGAACGACCAGCAAAGGGGGCAGGTTGGCCCAACATGAGACGACACATCTGGGCGTTTGGAAGCCCGCTCGAATCGGGGAGCTGGCCACAAGGGGACAGGCAGACAGACACAATGCCATGCAAAGGAAGAGGCTGCCCGCTGGAAAGAACTGATCGGCGTGCCGAGTTGCGATTCGTCCATGTCGTCGAACCAGATCGTCCCGATTTGGGTCGCCCCTTCCAGATTTGTCAACCGCGCAAGCCGCTGATTGGGCTTCGGGGCCGACGAGAGACGCTGTTGATTGGTGCACAGGCCCGCCTCAGTGCCCAGCAACTCCTGCGCATTGTTACTAGTGACTTCTCATTTCATGGTTCGATGACAACATACGAGTCCCCTCACGAACCAGGCCCGGCTGAGACCAGGGACGGCGTGCAACCGCAATGGTCAATCGCAGTTGGTCACGGTCGAGGGCCGTCATCACAACAGCATGGTGCTCTCCAGGGTCGGTTTAGTACAATCAGGAAGTACAAACAAGAGGGGAAAATGTGCATGAATCCAGGCAGAGAGCTGCAAGGTGCGTAGATAGACCAGTCACCAGCTTTTTTTCTCAGCACCCAGCAGTCAATGCGCCTCGGGATCCGGCTCGTCTTCTTCGACAAGACCTTCAGCGCATCACATTCAGCAGAGTAGACGGGATCGTTCAAGCACTCGTAGTGGCTGTCACGCCTCCTTGGGTAGCGATGCGTCCATGCTACGTATTGATTGTTTTCGTGATATATAAAGCAAAAAATTGGGGATCGTGTGCCCTGATGAGAATAATTCATGTAAAATGCGATGAACGCATGCTTCGGGATGAGCAGACTATAGGTAAGTTCTTTTTTTCCTTTTTGTCTATAAAAAAAGAAAAGAAGAAAAAAAGAAAATTGCCGAGATGCTTATCAAAACCTTCGCCCAGGTAGAAATGCACCCCTGGCGAAAATGTATGATTCGATGCATGCCTCTTCGAATACCAACACCCACATTGTAAAGGCGCTCTCCGGGTGCCGGTGATTCCAGCAGCTCCAGAACATGAGATGTAGTCGTTCTCATGGCCACAGGGTTATGGCCGTGCCGCATAACGGCTTGTTCGCGCCACTGCATAACCAGGTTATTTTGTCAATCCGAGTATGTCATAAGCGAATTCACCAGAAAGCGCCATTGAAGTTCACGTTCATCGTCAACCCTTTACGTCAACCGCGCTTCGGGACCATAGTCTACTAGACCCAGGCAGCATATTTGCCGCAAGTCCCTTACAAGACCTCTAGGCGAGAAGGGAGGAAATGTGAAATTATCTGTTCTTCCCGAGTCAGCGAGTCCGAAAAGAACCCAGGGGGTTGAGAGCGCTAATGGTGAGCGTGAAGCTTTGGCAGATCGAAACATGCATGAATACAAAATCACAGTCTCGTTGCATCTGGGTTCAGTCATATTTCATTCATCAATTATTACGCCCAAAATTGCATCTCAGACAACTCCAGATACTAGGCAATCCATAATCATCACACGATTCCTGCTTCTACTCGACACATCAACTCAGAAAAGGCACTCCCGCAAGCGACCGGCTTTGCCCAACTCATACTCTATCCATCTCCCTACGCCTCTCCGGCCAGGTACCAGGACGGCGCTGGGGTTCATGACATGACACCCCTCGTAGGTCACGCAGAAGGGTGGTGCTGTTGGATCGACCAGAACCATGGCCGTTGGCAGCGGGTACAGGTGTAATGAGCTTGCGTAATCCCAATGCACTGGTCGGATATTGGTCCGGAACGGAGAAAGGTAGCCTTGGTCCAAGATGGTCTTGACCAGTTTCCTCGCTGATTGTACGTCATGAGGAATTTCCGGCGCTGCCGGTGGCTTGACCGCGTCAACCTCCATGTCGTCGCCTTGGCCCATGATGTCAGCCATCTCTTCATCGTCAGGTACTTCGTCCGACTCAGCATGCTTATTGGACTCCTCAGCTGGCGCTTTCGAGGACTTCAGTCTCACTGAAGTGCGTCTCATGCGCGATGATAGATCATCGCGGAAGAGAACAATCTCGTGCTCCGGCCCAAACACGGAAACTCTTGCTGGATTGCTTGTCCAGATAGCCTCGCCACCATTCTGGACCCCCGGCTCTGCGTTTGCGGAAGCGAATGCCCTCCGGATTCGCGACGTGAACATTTCCGGTACGCCTTTGCGCGGTAAAGGAACAGCAGAGCCGGATGAGAAAGCTGATGCCCAGCCATCGTTGTCCCCAGGAACAAAGATGAAAGTGGCTGTTTGTAATAGTGTAGGGAAGTCAGAGAGGACGGAGGCAAGAGAGTCAAAGTATTCCTTGTACTCAACACTGCCACCACTGGCACCACCGCCAGCCATGACGGCATGTTCCGTAAAATTCCCAGTGATGACAAAGGACATGGGAGAGGTGCCCTCAGGCTCTGAAGCGTAGAGTGTCAAGATCTTGCGTAATGCTTGCAAAGCACGTGGTTGGTCCAGGTTCAACTCTCCCAGAACGACCACCCTGCCGCGCCCCGGGCTATCAGGGTCCTCTTCTCGTTGTCGCAGCAAGCGTTGCTCGATCTTTCGCATCTTACTGCCCACAGCTCGTTCACTACCAACGCCCAAGAAATCGATCCAGCCAAATCCACCTCCTATGGTGTGATCTTGGCCACCATCTGGGCCACTGACACCGAGCGTCGCTTTTCGTTTTTCGCAAGGAGGTTGACCGATGAAGAAACCCTGAAATCGGCCGCCGATGACGCCACCAATTCCATTTGTGCTTCCCAAGCCTCTTCCTGTGGCCTCCTCATCTTCCTCGTACACGCCGTCTACAAGGACGATCATGCCTGGAGTGAACCATGCCGAGTCCTCCGGAATAGAGACCGCCTGGGTGACGTCCAGGGCGATGGTACCCGTGAGGTCATTAATAGCCAAGGATCCTGTCGGAAGGACAGAAAGCAACCCCAGAAGCATATGGTGTGAGCCATGGCGTCCTAGCAGATTCGCAATAGGTGTGATTTTGTAAGTCTGTTGCGCGGTTGTGAGGCTCGACGATGATCTAGATAACGACGGAGCACCTTTAGCAGAAGCGACTGCAGATGTCTGAAAGGACTCGTTGCGTAAAAGTCGTTGATGTATGACATTGTAACGGTTCCGGAACAGTGTCGTCTTTTGATTCGCAGATGGCAGTATGGACGGTTTTGATGAGTCCCTAAGCCGGACGTTAGCAAGGCAAAACAGCCAAGACTTTGTCCACAACATACCTCTCGAAATGTTTCTTGGTCACATTGTAGAGCATGCGCGGTTGCTCTTGCGCACTGATGACCTTGGTCCATTTTCTCAGATCATTCAGGCCGTCATCCTCGTTATCTTCTGTCTCGTCTTCTCGTACTCCCAATCCAGACATGCCGAAGCTGGCCTGACTGTCATCTCTGGTCAGGGCCGCGATTGGCCTCAAGCCCAATCTCGTATTGGAAATATCCACATCTTGCGAAGACATGTCAAGAGCTAGGCTGTTCTGTCGCGAGAGCTCTCGGCCTGTGACTATTCGGCCACCGCTCATGTTGCCCTCGAGGGTTTTGAGTATATCCTTGAGCTCGCTGCTTGCGCCATCGACAATGACTCCGCCATTGCGATTCTTCCAGCCCTTGGCGACCTCCTCCAGCACCTTCTCTGCAAGACCCTCCTCACGCCATCCTGACCCGCAATGCCTTCCGATGAAGGATGCGAGCTCTTGGAGTGCCGACGACGTGAGGGTTAGACTGTGCTTCTTTGTGAATGTGCGAAACGCGAGCGGACGCAGTGTCGCAGGTGGCAGGAGAATTGGCAGGATTGTGGTTTTCGTTGTCGGTGCTATCACGAACGGTCTTTGTGTGTACGCGGGAGTGCCGAATGCTGGCGACGACGACGGAATCTGGTCTTTGGCAGGACCTGGCGTCTTTGGCGCGAACAGGGCCGCTACCAGCGGCTTGTCTCCGGGCATCATGACGGTCGATCCGGCGGTGTCGGGTGCGAAGTTGGTTGGTTTGTTGGTGTAAAGTTGTGGACAAATGCTTCAGGTCCAGTTCGAAGTCCGAATTGGGTTTGGCAACACCACTTGCTACGCTCGACGTGCTTGTGTGGGGCGTGATCGTGCTCCTCGTGGTGAATCTGGCTTGCACATGTCTCGAGAAGTTTACTGGTCTGGTGTGTGGGGGAGACGCGTTCGACATTGCTTCACGCGTTAATTGAGCCGGTCCAGGGGTGGGAGCCATGGAACCCCACCGTTAGCGCGTGTCATAGCAGAGACCTGTGGGTACCATGTCCTAAGCCTCGCAGAACGCTATGGGCGAGGTAGAGGGATGTAGCCCCAAAACTGGCGCTTGTCGTTCGTGTTACGTCAACGCTGGAAGGACAGGGAAGCTCAAGCCGTGGTCTACAGCTGCTTCTCAATTCCCATAGAGCTCCGGCCGACACATGGGCAAGGTTAGCAACTTCGCTTTTCCACGAGATAGCTGGAGGACCGCAACTACAACACGTAAATCTTGCAAAGTCGGCAGCATGCTTCTAGTGCGCACAGCCGCGAGCCCGGCCTGGCGGTCGGTCACCACACGCCGTTATGTATCTTCGTTGTCGCAGAACCCACACATAGTCAGTACTGCCGGCACCCATCCACGGCTTGCAATGCTTTCAGATTCAGTCTTTGTTGTCTTATAGAGCCTGGCAGCTAATACGCGGCCTGCAGAAAGTATTTCCTACCCCGGGCGGCCACCTGCTCACATACCTCGAAACAAACCCACCAAATGCAAAGCTCGCAATCGGCACGACGACAGAACTTCCCGCCACCCCGAGGTCATTCCGCGAGAACCCTGCGTTCATGCCAATGCTGAACGAGGTGCTGTCCAAATATGCGGCGCAGGACCCCGGTCTCAAGGCACAGGCTCAGGCGTTCGCCAGTCCTGGCGGCATGACCTTTGGTGCCGGAGGAGGGGCATTCTCGCAGCAGAGACGGCGAGCGACCAAAAGTGGCGATAGTGGCAGCGGAGCCAGCGGACAAGGTGGTGCCGGTGGAGGCGGCGTTGGCGGACACGTACATCTCAGTGATCTGCGCAATCCACCGGACTATGGGCGTATCGCGTGGCCGGAAGATATCTTTGGTAGCATAGAAGTCAACGGCCGCGGCGAGTTGGTTGGCGAGTTTGAGCCGAGTGGGACGTATCGCATCCTCACGAATGAAGGAATGTAAGTGGCGCCAGACTCTTATTGTCCGGGTGAGCCTGTGCTAATTCTCACCTCTATACAGTCTCGGGCTGTCCGACTTTCTTCGGACAAAGGTTGTCGAGTTTCTCAAGGCAAAGGAGAAGTCAGGCTAAGCCATGTCGTCGAGTCTGGTTCTTTCTTTGACGCAGTGGCCGAGGTGTCGGCCGATGGCCGCACTTCTTCACCTGCCAGCTCTTCGAGCCACCAATGCTGGCAAAGCAGCATAAAAATGTACTGTACCTGTAGAATAAGAGATACCAGAGGTACCAGAGCTTGAAGCCGAATGCACCCTAAAGAGCAAAGGCAAGCCGGCCGTCGGCATCAGCGGTGCGTGACTTTTTGGCAGATTGTGCAGAAACGTTTGTCTGAGGAGCTCCAGCCACGAGGCCTGTGATTATGTACGTAGCTTGTCGGACAGTGCACGGAGGTGAGCAACAAAAGCTCGACTCGACCTGATCATGAACACCAGCCTTTATTTGTGCGCGGTTAATCTCAGCAGTCAATTCGTTTTTCACATAAGGTCAGCATCCGCACAACTTGTCGCGGCTGCTGGAAAGAGCGTTTCATCCATGACTTGTGGAAGTGGTCAGATACGCCCTTGACGTAGGGTCCAGCCTCTGGACAGCCCCGCGCCCCGCTGGTGTCGTGTGTGAATCAAAGTCTGAGTAAGGAACCTCGTTCCACAAATCCTGGGGTAGTAGCAGGGATCATGACAGCTTCGACTTGTGCCGACCAGGGCTATACGTTGTCCGCGGTAGATAAGGAATGATGGAACGTGTTCAGACGTGCAGGTCGTGGACCGCCGGGCCAGGACAAAGTGAGTGGTACCTTGCAAAGATCCTTATGATCCTGATGATGGCTCCTACCAAATCCACACGACGGCTGATCTAGACCACAGGATTACAATGAGTCGACAGTGCATGGCCGTTGCATCAGAGACAGCCGAGGTCATGAGGAGATGTCTTGCTTGGACTTTCTGAACCACCTGCATCAGCCAGCCTTTGACGCGCCTGCAGGACGTGAGCCCACTAACGATCTCACCGGTTTCAAATGTGACCAGTCGCTTATCGAAAGTCATGCCATGCTGCCGCTGTGGGTGTTCGTGGCCGGCTCGAGAGGGTTGCTTGCTGCCCTGGCAGGAGCATGCATTGGGCCTGACCTGCATGAGGCAGGCCTGCTGTGCTCCCCACGAGACTCACCCCGTTGGCCCACACGCAGACAGACGCCTCTGCAGAGCCACCGTTCGTGTCTGGTGTTACACACAAGGCAACGGGATTTTCGGGACTTGCCAGTCACGGACACCTCCCAGGAGGCTCTGCTATGCGAAAGAAGTAGGGTGCATCCCCAGCCGCCCGTCCTGGGAGCTGCCTCTCGTGTCCAAAGCGGAGGGCTGCCAATACTTTTGTTCCCGGCAAGCCCATAAAGTGTTTGGCCCTGCCCGCCCACCTCTAGGGTCCAGGAGTCAGTCTGACGTTTTGCTCCCTCCCGGAGAAGAGCTCGTGGACCGCTTCGACTCCACACGCACGACTCGCGTCCGTCTGGACTCGTGCTGAACTGTGTGTCCTTATGAAGCAGCTCTCATGCCCTGCTTCCAGTCTTCCAGGTTTCTCCGCATGATGGACTGACGCGCTCCCAAATACACCCAGCATTTCCAACTTGTCGATACCGGCGATACGTCGTCGACGAAGCTCAGGAACCTTGGTAGTCGACATTCGCCGATCCTTTGGCCTGGTCAAATCATCAGTGCGGACTTCCGCAGCGTCTCTGGTTTTGACGCTCAAGCTACACCAGAGCCTTTGAACATCGGCTGTTGCAACGGCCGATCGTGGGGAACGCCGGCCCTGCAGCGCCCTCGACAAAGCTCGCGACCACCAGCCGACGGCACCGCTACACAGCGTCTCGGCATTCCGGGTTGCAAGCAGAGGCGGAACAAGACTGGATTGAGTTTCTGCAAAGGCCCAAAAGTGGAAGTCCCAGCGGACTAGCTCCTGTGGACACTGCAGCCGGCTGCAGGCTCTGTAAAGGGCACCAGACGGCCCGGGCGGGCTCCCCACGTTTGCGCTCAGCTCCCCTCCCGAGCGCCCCTCCAGGCTCCCAGGGCCCCTCCACGTGCAGGCCAGCACGCTACCAAGCACCGTCCCAGCAGACCAGCACCCCTCGCCCGACTCCTGGCAGACCGCCAGCCAACCATCCTCATGACGGCTTCAGACCACTCCACGCGCTCAGTCATTGACCGGCGGGTGCGCTTCGACGACAACATGGCTTCCAATCCTCGGGCCTACGACGACGAGGAGCTCTCCATCTCCCTCTCGCCCTCCCAGATCCGTCGCAACACCCGCAATGGCCAGCCCGTGCCCCAAATCAACGTCACGTCCGACGCCACACAGCATGCACCCCGCGACCGCCAGCCCTCGGGTCCATCCCGCGAGAAGATCAAGACCGAGCAGCGCATCGGCGCGTACAACGTCATCCGCACCCTTGGCGAGGGCTCCTTTGGCAAGGTCAAGCTGGCCGTGCATCGCATGACGGGCCAGCAGGTTGCGCTCAAGATCATTTCGCGCAAGAAGCTCATCAGCAGGGACATGGTCGGTCGGGTCGAAAGAGAGATCGAGTACCTGCAGCTTCTGCGCCATCCCCATATCATCAAGCTGTAAGCAATACCCCCGCCGCTCGAAGGATACTCACAGGCTTCGCGCAAGGCTTGCACGTTGGCCAGATCTTTGATGGCGGTGATAGGCTAACACGAACGCTACCACAGCTACACTGTGATCAAGACTCAGAATGAGATCATCATGGTGCTCGAGTATGCCGGCGGCGAGCTGTTCGATTACATAGTATCACACGGACGACTTCCCGAAGAAAAAGCCCGGCGCTTCTTCCAGCAGATGCTCTGTGCTGTCGAGTACTGCCACAGGCACAAGGTCGTCCACAGAGACCTCAAACCCGAGAACCTCCTGCTCGACGACAACCTCAATGTCAAGATTGCCGATTTCGGTCTAAGCAACATCATGACGGACGGCAACTTCCTAAAGACGAGCTGTGGAAGCCCGAACTATGCCGCGCCCGAGGTCATCAGTGGCAAGCTGTACGCGGGACCCGAAGTCGATGTGTGGAGTTGTGGTGTCATCTTGTACGTGCTGTTGGTAGGAAGACTACCGTTCGACGACGACCACATTCCAAGCTTGTTCGCCAAAATCCAGCGCGGCGTCTTCACCGTCCCCCAATGGATCCCGTCGGATGCAGCCGCACTCATACGGAAGATGCTACAAACGAACCCCGTCCAGCGCGCGACCATCGAAGAAATCCGGGCCGACCCGTGGTTCATGAAAGACCTGCCGTCCTACCTCGCACCTCCGGTCGAGGAGTTCGTCAACACCGGCGCGGACCCGAACAAGGCTATCAGGCCCAGTGATATTGCACCCTTTGCGCCGCGTAAAGTTCAGGAGCAGTTGCACAATGAAGTCACAGAGAAGATCAGTAAGACGATGGGTTACGGGAAGCAGGATGTCCAGGAAGCTCTCGAGGCAGACGAGCCCTCTGCGATCAAGGATGCCTACATGATTGTGCGCGAGAACAAGTTGATGCAAGGAAATAGTAGGTGCACGCAATCTGAGCTCGTGGAGAATTTTGATCCGCTAACAAGTCGACAGCAGCATATGGCACGGGCGCGGAGAACCCATATTTCGCCACATCACCACCAGCAGGAGGCGACCAGTCTGGTAGTCTTGCTGAAAGTCTGCACGCCGCAGCAGCGCCGAAGGAGGAGCCTGGCATTCCAACCCCTTCCGAATCGCAAGCAAGCCCGATGGCTGACTCGACACGGTCAACAACGTCCACGATTGCCGCACGCACTCATGTGAGCAAGGTCGGAATCCTGCCCACAAGCTTGCCAGGTCTCCACAAGGAGTTCATGGAGCGACATGCAGTTGGTATCGAAGAGTCACTTGACTCGCAGCCGATACCAGACATGCCTGTCCAGCCACGTACTCCTGCCGAGCAACAGGAAGCTGCGCGGAGATTGAAGCCTCACTCTAAGAGCGCCCGGCCGGACGAGCAGAACCGCCCTGCGGCTATGACCCCCGTCCAGCCAAAAAAGCAGAAGCCCACGCGATGGCAGTTTGGCATTCGGTCCCGGAATGCCCCGTGGGAAGCTCTTTTGTACATTTACAAGGCTCTTTCCAAGCTTGGCGCTACATGGGTGCCAGACGAGGACTATGATACTGTAGCCGCGGAAGGCTCTGAACAGTAAGCAGTCCTGAACTTTGATCTTTAAGTTTCTTATCGCTAACCAACCTCAGAACCGAGAAATTTGTCAACCACAACACCCCTCGCGGCAACCCCTACAAAGGCAAGACGCCCGAAGAGATAGATCCTGCGACTTTTGATCCAGCGAGATACTATCGGTTACCTGCGGATCCTTGGCACATTATATGTCGGTGGAAGAAAGATGGTAAGCGCAGCAGTTCCGGGCCCAAGCTTTCGAAATATTCCTTTGCAGGCTGCATCATGACTAACCATATACCAACTCCCAGATATCCGCAAGAGCACAGCTGCCTATGGTGGATCGTCAGCGGATGCCGCGACTGAGGAGAACATGCGCATTTACTCGGTGCTGGATAAGAGAAAGCAAGACTTTGTGTTTATGCGCATGGAGATCCAGATCTACGAGATGGAGTACGGGGTGTACCTGGTCGACTTCAAGTGCTCCGGGTACGAGCGGCAGGATGGCAGCATGCTGGAGGAGAAGGACGTCATGAGCCCGTTCCCGTTCCTCGACATGGCGGCGCGGCTGATAATGCAGCTCGCCGAGGCGGATTGAGGGACGCAGCAACGCGTGGCGTTTCCATGCTGGGTTTTACATTGCGGGTGGTGCAGAGGCGTTGGGAGTTCTTTTAGTCTGGGAAAGGGACGACATGTACAACCGAGAGCTTGTTTGGGGTCGTGGCATTTATCATCATATATACGCCTTGTGAATCCATCGATTCTTCCCAAGCCTGCGGCTCGTCGGCAGGTACTTCTTGAGGTGACATCCAGACGGAACGGCCATGACTGACCCGACACGTCGAGTACGAATAGACAAGTTTGGGAGGTCTGCTTTACTGGTACATTTGAAGCCAACAGACATTTGTTGATAAAACTCTGCTAAGTGCTCGACCTGGTATCCAGATTTGCATTACTTGTCCCGGGTTTGCGTGCACGGGCTTTCTGCCGATGACATCACTGCAGAGTCGAAGCGCTTCGTCGGGCAGCAGCACGGGACGCAGCTTCATCAGCCCCCTACTTAGCGATGAGCAACATTCCAATCACAGTATTGCTGACATGCGGAGCCTCGACGGCACACGCCGCACGCACGCACATGGCGGAACAAAGGAGACGGCCTGTGTAACTGACGTCTGGGCGCCAAAAGTCTTGGCGTGCGTAATTGGGTCCGTCCAGCGGGGGAGGGGACAACAACACGGACCATTGCGGACAACGGCGATGATCAGCAGGGCGTGTTGCCTTTTGTGTCTCGTGCAAAAGGACCGGTACGAAGTAAAAAGGTTACGACGACGAGAATCGATGAATGAGATTGTGCTTGGTATTTAATTAAGCAGAAGCCTTTCTCCAAGACACGTCTTCGTTCTAATCTGTGCTTTCTCGTAAACCACGAAGCTGGTGGTGCCTGACTCTATTTCATATCAGCTGCCCCTGCCCCTCCCGACATCGAACGAGCTCCCTGCATATCGGACCTGCTGGCTGGACCCCCCTCCGGTCGGCGACCGCGATAGCATTCACGACCAGCCCGTTCTTCCTGTCTGCTGCACACCGCTCTGTGCACAAGAGCGAGGCTTTCCAGCTACATTCAGAGGCAGGCGACAGAAGCAACAACGTCACAGGCATAACATATAGACACACTACTCCCACCACAATGACGCAGACCACCAGAGTCCACCCGACGCAGGCGACGCTCCCGAGCGAGAATCCGTCCAAGTCGTACTGGCACACACAGCCGTCCGAGAAGCTCTTGGGACACCGGACGACGAGCGACCTGCCCGAGTCGGCAGATGTCATCATTGTCGGGAGCGGCATCTCGGGCACCTTTGCCGCCCAGACGCTGCGCGAGAAGCGGCCGGAGCTCAAGGTGGTCATGCTCGAGGCCCGCGAGGCATGTTGGGGCGCCACAGGCCGTGTAAGTCGTGCTCCCAAAGACATTTCCACGCACGCGTCAGGTGCTAGCCTTTTGGCTATCGCGAGAGTTGCGACATAGCCGGATGCATCGTGGTATAGAGCTGACGTCTTCGTCTTTTGTTTTTGTAGAATGGCGGACATTGCCAGCCTCTGATCTACCTGCAACAACCGCACGTCGCCTCGTTCGAGCTGCGCAACTACTTCCACGTCAAGAGCCTCGTCGAGGAACTGTCCATCCCTTGCGACTGGCGCTCGACATCCGGCGTCCACGCCTTCTACGCCGAGGACGTGTGGGCCGCCGCCCAGAGCACCGTCAGCAAGCTCAAGGACACATACCCGGACCTCGCGGCCAACGTGTCGCTCGTGCGCAAGGGCAAAGATGGCAGCCCGGCCTGGCTGCTCGAGGACGAGCGCAAGGAGCTCACGCTCGACGCGCTGCGGATCGGCAACGCCGAGGGCGCCGTGATCCAGTGGCACGCCGCCAGCCTGTGGCCGTACAAGCTCGTCGCCTTTATACTGGAGAAGCTGCTCGCCGAGTCGGCAAACGACGATGGCGGCGGCGCTTTCAACTTGCAGACCAAGACGCCGGCGACGGGGATCTCGAGGGTTGTCGGGGGAACAAACATCAAGAACCACCCGTGGACGGTACACACCCCGCGAGGCAACATCTCGGCTTCCCAGGTGCTCCTCTGCACAAACGGCTACACCTCGCATCTGCTGGAGCAGTTCAGCGATCTGATCGTCCCGGTCCGCGGGCAGGTCTCGGCCCTGAAGCCACCGCAAGAGCCCTCACCGAACCACCCGCCGCTCGACATTGGCCACACCTACGGCATCATCGCTGGTCCGGCCGACGACTACCTGATTCAGAGACCGCCTCCGTCAGCCGAGCTCATCTTTGGAGGTGGCCGACCACATGCCAAGAATGAAGGTGTGGGCGTGTCTGACGACAGCGCCGTCGACGAGCCGGTTTCATGGTATCTGCGTGGCGAGCTGTCTGGACTGGTCGATCTGAGCATCCGGGAGACTAACCCCTCGGATTCCTCGGCCAAGCCATCCACAAAGGCCGACGACGAGGAAGCCAGCAACAACAACGAAACGGGACAGGTCGCCAAGCACGACCTGACCCCTACCCACGACTGGTCTGGCATCATGGGATACAGCCGCGACGAGTACCCCTGGGTCGGCCCCGTGCCCGAGAGCCTGGGCGGTGGCAAGGGGTTGTACCTGTGTGGAGGTTACACCGGCCACGGCATGCCGAATGCGCCGTTGTCGGCCAAGGCCGTGGTCGAGCTCATGTTGAGCGTCATGGTTGGGGATGACGACGAGGTGGATATACCCATGGAGTACCTGATTACAGAGAAGCGAGTAAACGAAGCCAGGCGCCGGAAGCCTGTCGGTGAGGAGAAGGTTGGTGTTGCTGGGCTACGGAACTATTGATTGGCCGCGTTCCAGCTGAAATCCAGCCGACGCTCGAGTGTACTAGAGACAGTGGGAAGAAGCAATTCCCCGGGGGGGGGGGGGGGGATAGCACGATGTTAGTCCCAGTAAAGAGGCGAGCATTGACGATGTTTTGCATAGCAGCATTAGACGAAATATCCACTCAAGATGCGTATAATGAGCAAGTTGCCATGCCAAAAAGTACACCCTGGGCGAGTCCATGACTCCACTGTGCTTGGTGTAGGAGAAGGACATTCTACGGCTTGCAGGCTGGTCCCATCCAGAGTATGCGCCCATATGTGCTGCATTGCGTGGATCTCGGGAATTGTCTAATGTTTAGCATTGTCCAGTAAGAGGCATGTTCCTCCCAGAGTGGCTGTGCCGAGAAAAAAGTTGAGGGGATTGTTCAGGCAGGTTTACAGGGTGTGACGAGAGGCGGGGCACTTGGCTTGGACGGCTCCAGTTACTCCCAACTATCAACTTTACACACCACGAGTGAGCACGTCCACTCAGCCTCTTGATTGCCTACAATACACACTATCCCGTCTTTAAGTCTCACGGGTGTTCACGCCATCAGAAGACAAAACAATGGCGTCAAGCAGCAAGTACAAGTTTCGGGCCGTGTCTGGATACTTCCAGCATGATTCTGTCGCACCGAGTCGGGACAGTAGAATCGTATGTCCATCAAAACCATGCGAGAAGAAGGCAAGATGTTTGACTGATCTTTGGATGCTGATTCTCATCTCTCAGTCAACCAGCACCGGATTAGGTCTTATTGACCAGCCCTTTGACACTGATGCCGACTTTGACCCAAAGAAGGACAAGACACTTTGGGAACGTTTCGTGTATTTCCTGAACGATCTCAACAAAAAGGAAGCTGGCCGCGCTGAATACAAGCTGTTCTTCCTCGCTCGGCATGGAGAGGGCTATCACAACGTGCAGGAGGCCAAGGTCGGAACCGCCGCGTGGGACGTAAGTCGCCCTGGATTGATTTGGCATTTGGAAGGTGTCGATTAGTGCTGATCCTATACCTGACGCCAGTCTCACTGGTCAAAACTGGAAGGCGACGGCACAGTCACATGGGCCGACGCGGACCTCACCGAGACGGGAAAGGCACAAGCACGCGCCCTGAACGCCTTCTGGCACGAGGCACTCAAGGATGTAAAGGTCCCAGCGCCGCAGAAGTACTACGTGAGCCCGCACTCGCGCACGCTCGAGACATGCAAGCTATCATTTGACGGCCTCGAGCTTCCAGCGGATCGCCCGTTCCAGCCCGTGGTCAAGGAAATGCTGCGTGAACGGTACGGCGAGCACACCTGCGACCGTCGGCGGTCGCGGACCTGGATTGCGGAAAACTACCCGCAGTTCGACATCGAGGACGGGCTGACGGAGAACGACGAGCTGTGGACGCCCGATGCAATCGAGGCGCCTGAGCATATCGCGGGGCGCTTGACGACAATGTTGGATGATGTATTCCGCCATGAAGGGGACGCGACGTTTGTGTCGTTTACGATGCACTCGTGGGCTATCTTTGCGTTGCACATGGCTGTTGGGCATCCTGGTGTCTGGGTCACACCTGGGTCTATGGTGCCTTTGCTGGTTAAGGCGGAGCTAGCTGCAGAGAGAAGCGTGTGAGACGCCTCAGGAGAGTTCGAAGATGGGACGGCGAAGATATCGATAGTCACAAGATTTGTTCAGCTGATCAATCTCAAATGTGCCCATGTGCCGAAGTGCCAATCTGCGCGGAGCTAGTTCAACACTGCCAGTGTTGCCAAGCGTGGAAGAATGGAAAGAGCGATGGTTGCAGGTGCAGTAGTTACTCAAATTCATCTTCTCCAGGAGGATCTCAGGCAGCCGTCCGGTGCTTGCAATGTGTGCGCCTTCCCTGACGCTCCGCGCACCACATGTACCTGCCTGCTTCCACCACTTGGGCAGGATCAACGCAGTCTCAATATTTCATGACCGAGCGCGGGACCTGTTTCAACTCCTACTTCGCGGATAACATCTCATACAGACTTCACTGCGCCCTCATAGTCTCGAGGCGCCTTCCTGCGTGCAAAAGTTTGATATTATCGCATCTGCCACAACTTTCCACTACCATATTAGCCATGTTCGCCCGAAACCGATTTAGCCACCGATTCGAAAGTCCCTCGGACCGAAAGGAAGTAGTTCAGAGCAAAACGAGAATGAAAAGCAGGCTTCTCCAGGACGAGGACGAGTCGAGCACAGAACCTGCCCCCAAGCGTGCCAGGCTTCACTACGGCGCGGGCCCGCTCTTCGCTCATCAGCAGGATGCCCGATTCCCCAACTTCGGCGCCGCCCGTCACAAGTTTGACCTGAGAGCCCGCCAGGCTGAGGAAGATATTGAGAGCCCACTAGCAGGCAAAGTCAGAGGTTGGTCAACAGTCAAGGTTGGTTCTTCGGACGTTGGGACGAAGCTGACAGTGAGCTCTGGCAGAGAATTATGCCAATCTTCGCGCAGCCGTCCACCTCGCCGCAACTACCCAGCTCGAAGAAGCTAGGGAATCGCTGGTGGTAGAGTCCGAGCAGACCATGAAGTCTTACCAGAAAGACGTGCTCCATCTAGAGAAGACTGCTCTGAGGCTCTGTGAACCACTATCGAACGCCGAGGTTGAGTACGAAACAATCGACAAGAGCGGCAGGCCGCGCACGGAGATTGTGAAGATCGGGCCTGCTGTAGGCCAGTTTGCCACCAAGATTGCCGAGACGTCCGCCGAGCTCAGATTGTTGTGGGCTACTTAGGAGGAGGCCCAAACCGAAATTGAGAACCTTTACAACAGTGTGGTGAAAGGTACTGGATCGGCAATGTCCACTGAACGGACGGAAACGAAGTCGTCAAGCAGGAACGCTTCCGGGCACAGCAATAATGTGGCTGAGCTTGTCGCGAATCTTGAACAGCTGGGCGAGGAAGCTGTCGATGAACTGAAGCAGCATGAGCAGGTATGCGTCAGACTTGGACCTGGCCCAGGCCCTCGCTGGTCGTCTTCTTGGATCATGTATACTGGACTGATGTGCTGACCCAGTTCTAGAAATTTCTTCAAGGCATGACCAATGAGGCGGGCAAGATCCTTCAGTCGTTTTTCCAGTAGAAATGGCGGCATCCTCAGGGACTCTAATGTCTTGGAGAATCCAAGATGTTGGTCCTGCGGTGCAAGGCCTCCGTGGCTGCCATTGCTCAAGGAAGTGGCCATGTGCTTATGGCGAGAACATTTCTGAAGAACCAGCCTTTGCCGTGTAGAATACCACCTCGACAGTGTCTGGGAGATGGTGATTCTTTCAGATGTAGGTTTGTCTGAGCTGTTCCGCTTGAAGGCTCTTTGGAGTTCGAAATAAGGGCCAAAAGGTCTATCTGGAGTCATGTTGGAACTATTGATGTGAATGCAGCAGATTGGCAGTTTGAGTGGGATGGACACAAAGAGGAGAGAGCCGTGGCCTTCAAAGAAAGCAGACAGAAAAGGCACGACTTAGTTATCAATCGGACATGTCCCACACTCGTACAGCATAATGCCCGAGGCTGGTTCCAAGCAAACTAGGGCCCCCTGTGCGACACAGCAAGCTTCTCTCTTGGCAATTGACCGTCCCGATCATTTGTCTGCGGGATGCCGTCATTTGCTCGTAGACAAACCTATTTTCGAGGGCAGAGGCAGGTACTGGCCCGTAGCGTCCGCAAGTAGCGCGGGCGGGCGGGCGGGCTTCATTGTCACGACTGACTGCCTGCCCTGGAGCCTATTCACTTTCTCGCGTTCCTGACAGGGCTTCAAACACATTCAAAAAGCGGATGCTGCCGTACGCACTAGATTGAGACTTGCTTGCTCTTAGCCACCAACGACGATATCAAAACACGAGATTGCTTGCCAAGTGTGATTAACACCTCCCAGATCTGGGTAGGCCATGAAGCTTGCTCAACGGGTTGTGTCCTCGCCGCTATTTGAAGCCAGCTGGTCCCGAGTGCACCTTTACTGACGCTGCCGGGAGTGACTCTAGGCTGTCACACAATAAGGTTCATCCCCCTTCATGCCTGTTAAAGACTACTGGTGCACATGGACCGTCCCGTCCCGGAGAGGTTTATCTTGCCTGGATTAATGGTTGCAGCTCACTTGGCCTCGCATCCGAGGAATCGTCTCCACGGCTGGAATGACGAATTAGTTGCTCAGCAAGCACTGGAAGTACATAACACTTGCTCTTGTGTCATAAATGTTGGATATATTATGATCTAGTCTACTCTTGTCTAGAGCTGAGTAAAATGATGAACAATGCAGTGAACTCGATTCCCAAAAGGAATGCCGAGAGAGATATGTACCCAAACGCCGTTTTCGCTCCAGAAAATGTGTGAAATCTCAAGAAGTCTGACCCCTCACGCAGGCTCTTCCTCTCCTGCGCCTCAGTGCGACACTTTTCATCTCTATTAAGTGGTCCTATGCGACAGACGCGCCAAGAACCACGATTTCAACTCATGCATTCTTCTGCCGATTCGAGGCGGCAGGGGGCTGCTGCACGGAGTTCCCCACGCGACATGTCCGAACTCCCCCACTTTGTGTCGGCTGGCAGTGCGTTCTGAAAGAGTCGCCATAAGTGCATGGTTTTGTGATCTCCCACAAAGAACATTCTACCCCACGAGGCGACCGCATCTGCTCGTGGCACGGCACAGTCGGTACAAAACACCGCCCATCACGTGGTGTTGCATGCCACGATAGCACGGCGCGTTGTGATCGACGGGGCTGCTTGGCGGCTGCATCTAGTGCTCTTCGGGAACGACGACGCCCCACGGGTGGTTCTCGCCTCCGTACATGATATCCTTGAGCCAGCCCTTGGCCGCAAGAGTGAAAGAGCCACCCTCGCCGGCCTTGCCCATGGAAATGTCGACATCGGTACCGCGGTGGTGGATGAGGGAGATGGGGCATACGAAATACTAAAAACCACACGTTAGCAGTCGGCTCGCCACGATGTTCGAATCCCACGAGGCTTTTGACTTACAGCAGTACCGGCAGCGAAGGACTCGACAAGTCTGCCCTCGGAGTGAGCCTTGATGACCTCGTCGATAGTGTACTTTCTCTCAACAACCTCGAGCTCGGGCATGCGCTCACGAGCGAGCTGCAGGACGCTGCGCCTGGTGACACCGTCAAGGATCAAGCGGTCGTCGAGAGGGGCAGTGACGAGTTGGGTCTTGCCCTCGGCAGTCTTCCATATGACGAAGAAGTTGCTGGCACCGGCCTCGGTACACTCGCCGTCCTTGCCGTACAACCACAGAATCTGGCCAAAGCCCCGAGCACGGGCTTCTTGTGTCGCAAGCAGAGAGGGGCCGTAGTTGGCACCGACCTTGGCGTAGCCGAAGCCGCCAACCCAGGCACGAACCATGTCGTTGGGGGATGTGTGCAGCTTCATGCCACCAGCGGGGGCGTCCATGACGGGCATGTAGGAAGCGATGATGTAGAGGAGAGCCTCGGCGGGCGCCTGGACACCGAGCTGGGGCTGAGTGCCGATGATGGTCGGGCGGAGGTAGATGAAGGAGCCAGGGCGCTCGCGGGGCAGCCACTTGGGTCCATCGACAGACATGAGGGCAATGATGAGCTTCTCGAGTTCCTTGGGCGGGAAGGAGGGCAGGCTGATGCGGACGGAGGACATGAGCATGCGCTCAGAGTTGCAGTCGGGGCGGAAGAGGCGCAGCTTGCCGTCGACACCACGGTAGGCCTTGAGGCCCTCGAAGCACTCGGTGGCATAGTGGAGGACGGAGGCGGTGGGCATGAGCGACAGAGGGCCGTAGGGCTTGAGCTCGGGAGCGGCCCAGCCGTTCTTTGCGGACCAGGCGACGGTGACCATGTGGTCGGTGCAGACGCTGTTGCCATTGATCTGGTGGACGCCCGGGGCGGGGACCTCGCGGGGCATGTCTGTGAACTTGTAGGTGATCTTGGAGGCATCAAGCTCGTTGATGTTGGGCTGGGCAACGCCGTTGCTGGCAGCGGCGGCCGCGTTGCCGTTGTTCTCAGTCATGCGGTGGTCGACGGCGGCGGCAGTGAGGTTGAGATCTTGCTCGCCGTTGTGGGCGGCAGGGACGGCGGAAGGGGCCATGGCTGGAGACTTGGTCGGGAGGGATGTGCTGGCGATGACGTTGCTGGGACGAGGACCCTCGAGACAACAAAGGAGGCAGTCTTTGTTGTTGTTGCTTGCAGTCGAGTGAAGTGGGAGGAGAAAGGGAAGCACGTGTAGATGGCGGGAAGGAGCAGACTAACTACCCAAACTTATTCGCAGGCCGGGCAGGGCAAGGGGCGGGCTCGCTCTGGTTAGTGCAAACAAAAGTGTCGCCCACGGCAAGCCGACTGCGGGCGACTATAGAGGTATGCCTGCGGAAAGGCGCGTTGGTGGTGGGGTCATGTCATTCCTCGCCCGCTTGACAAAATCGCAGTCGGTTCCGCCCTTGCAGTCCTGTCGCTATCTCGCGTGAGTCATTGGCCAATCCCAGATCGCAGTGGCTCGGGTCTCATGGCGCATCACCGCACAGCACACACACACACGGCCGCCGCCTCCGTTCCGCGGCCGACCCCACCTCTGCCCGGTGCCGATGGTAGGGCCAGGCCGCCTTCATCGTCTTGTCTTTTGCGCCTTCGTCTTCTTGTCTAATTGGGTGTTTTTTTTTGGACCATCTCTGGTCGTGTCTTGCCGTGTAGGTGCTATTACGTCCCATTGCTATTCGCTCGACAACGGACATGTCTGCCTTTGAGCGATTGTTCAGGCCAAGCCATCAGACCGGAAACTGTCCCCCTCCGGGCGGTGGCCTCGGCCTCGCGCGTTTCCAAGAAGTTTTCCATGCAGGGGTGCTCGCCTGCATACCACCCCCCCCCCCCCCCCCCCCAAAACATGCACGCGCACCCCCTCGCGCAGCCTCTGGGCGTCATCCTGCCTAGTACCTGCCTGCCTAGTCTGAACCGGGCTCCTTTATGCGCGGCGATAACAGCAACGACTCCAAGGAAAAGACACGGAAGGGGGGAAAAAAAGGAAGAAATTGTGGTCCCAGCTCGGCTTAAGGCGGGTGAGGAGTTCTTGGGTGCCCAGCCATTCCTTCAACGCTGATAGGCAGTCATGCGGACACTTGCACGAGGTAGCGTGCCAGGTCTTCTTGGCTACGCCCTTCCTTCTACATCATCTCACCGCCACGACGCGCTGCCTCTGAATGCATTTTCTGGTCCGATAATATGCAGCCTCTTGACCATGATCAACATACTCAAAAATTGGAGTTACTGCCCATTTGTATGCAGGCGGCACAGCGATGGAAAACTGTTATCTCAAAGGCACAGCTCGTTGTTCCTCCTTGCCCCTCCGCTGGAACCCATTTTTTCCATCCCCTGATGCCCCCACGCGAAGACCCGGCCGGCGGCTCCGGGCGGAGACTTTTTTTCCTCTCTCAGGCCTCCCCTTATGACGGAATGCGGACCAGCCCTTCGGGCCTCGTCTAGCCGCTTTTACCCCTTCAGTCCGGTTTGTGGCCGAGCGCTTTACATAATCCCACTTTTTCTTCTAATGATCCTCAGCCCCTCTCGTCGGCCATGGAATTGGAAAAGTAACTATGGGGTAATGGGTGCATACAGGCTCTTGACTTCTCCTCAATTCAAAGGTCATATGACCTGCAGAGACTGATCACAGAGGCGTCAGAGACAAGAGCAAAAGGAACGTCCGTGCCCACCCTGGCATCGAAAGACCATTGCACGTCAGGGATGACAAGGCGGCGGCGGCTATCGGATCTGGGGAAATGCGCAGAACGTGTGGGGTTGGCGTGGACAGAGAGACACAGCATTGGACTAAGAAAGCATAACGGATCGCTTCGACCAGCACTAGAACAGGCAGGTGACCTGCCCTGTCCTCTGTGAGACGACTGATGTCTCGCAACGAAGTCAATGCAAAGCTCACATGGGCACGAGGGGTGTCTGGTCGTGCTTGTTGCGCGCCTTTGGCCGAAACCAGTATGTCGAGACAAGGGGGCCATGGGTTTCTAAGTTGTTAGGCTCATGCCTTTCACGATCGGCTGTGCTTCATTGGAGGGATTCGCATCCTCAAAAAAAAGAACCCAGGTCACTTGTGCCGTCCTAGATACACACATAAACACAAGAACAAACCCCCAAAGCCCTGAAATGCTGTCCATGTCTTCGATATCCACATGTTAGCACGCCTTCGCATCCGCTGACGCACGCACACACACACACATCCCAACAAAACGTCCAGGAGGTCGGACTATGGTGTGTAGCACTGCAGCCGAAAAGCCCCCCTCCTCCACAGCATCACACACACATATTTCCTGTGTCACAGCCCTGCCCGCCTACCTGCCTGTCAGCCACACCGGTAAGCTTCCGAAATCATGTACCACGCACCCCCATGGACCGATGCTATCCCTTCGCTGCAACGCAACCTTACTACATGCACGCCTTTTCATACTTGACTGACAAAGGCCGGTTCCGTGGGGGTGGTCCGGAAGTCTGCATGCTTTTTCTCCCTCTTTTGTCTTTCTTCTTTTCTTTCCTCTCTTTCTTTCGGCTGTTCGGTCTTCTACTTGACTCCCCCGCGCTGTAGGACAAGAGCATGGGAGCACAACATCCAGTGAGGTAAGTCTTTCCGTTGAATGAAGCCCTGCGTAGGCGGAGGTGGCTTGCACATCTATATACATATAGCGGTAGTAGATGGACTGAGGTGCTTTAACTCCCATTATCGTCAAAATGAGGTGGGCCAGACTCGAGAAATCGCTAGACCAATCAAGCACGCATCAAATACAGTCTAGCACAAACCAGGTGCGTGAAGCTGCAAGTCGCTCGCCCTGAATAATGCACTGCTTGACTTATTGCTATGACTTCGGACCTTCGAGTCCTTCATCATGCAACATGTGGTTACAGCAGAGCTAGACCCGTTTTACCAAGCTTTACGGGCGAGAGGACCATAAACAGCATCGGAAGGAGTTCTGTCACATCATCAAAGAAGCAAGACAAGATTCAGCCTGAAAGGACTCGCATTTTGCATTTCGATTTAGATAAAGGCTCTCTTCGGAACCTGATTAAATAGTTATCACGCGAGACGCGTCGCCGTGCGCGTGTCGGTCTGTTTATGGTGAGGGCAGATTATAGTACAGCTAGATGCTTAAGATGTTGCGCACAGTCATGTCGTGGCAGGAAGGATTGATGTTGCTGACAGGAGTGGATGGCGTCCAAGTCTTGCACAGGTTGTTTGTGAGCAGCTTGGGAGTAGCATTATGCTCGCAGGGACTGTTGCGCTTGGAGCCTTCAAAACTTCCTCCTAGGCTGCTTCTAACGGCCGTAGGGATGGAATCCCCGGTTGCCGCCCCGGCCGCCGCCACGGTAGTTCGCACCGGGCCGGCCAGCATTTTTCGGACCTGTGGGTGCGTTGATGGGGGGTGCCGCCTCCGGGTCTGCGGGTCCCGCGTTTTGGAACTGGCCGCCGCCTCGGCTGCGGTTGTTGAACCCGCCGCGGCCACCACCACCCTGGTTGAAGTTTGGCTGCGGCACGTCGTCGTACATGCCCTCCCACGAGGTTGGGTCACCACCGGCGGCGCCTCCTGCAGCCATGTTGTTGTATCCCTGGTTCTGGTTCCAGTACCCGCCGCGGCCGCCACGCTTGCCGCCTCCACGCTGATGTCCGCCATATCCGTGGTTCTGGTGGAAGTTGTTGTGCTGCTGATGGTTGTTGGCAGCAGGCCCGGCAGCGGCACCGCCGCCTGGATTCATGTTGTTGAAGCCTTGGCTACCATCGCCTTCGCCTCCTTGACCTTGCTCGCCACCCATCATCTGGCCCTGCATCTGTTGCTGCATCTGTTGCATCATCTGGGGGTTCATTCCTTGCATGGCTGCCATGGGGTTCGGGCCTCCCTGACCAGCCTGTGCCATCTGTTGCTGCATCTGTTGCATCTGCTGCATCTGCATCATCTGCATCATTGGGTTCATGCCTCTGGACATGGCCATTTGTTGCTGCATCATGGCCATGTACTGCTGCATCCGCTGCATGTACTGGGCCATGGCTTGAGGTGTCATGCCACCCTGCGCCATTTGATTCGCCATCTGGGCCTGAGCAGAGTTCGGGTCATCCATGCCGCCCTTCTTGAACTTGCCCGCACGTCGGGCAGCCTCCTCCTCCTCCCTCATATTCCCCCTTGGCTGGGCCTTCTTGACCTCAATGGCCTTTCCGTGGATCTCAAGGGGCGTATTGAGGCAGGCATCCACGCCGGCTTCGCTCTCGAATGTGACAAAACCAAACCCGCGAGGTCGTCCAGTGTCCTTGTCCATCATGAGCGTGGCGTCCACGACGCGGCCAAACTGGGCAAAGTAGTCCTTAAACTCCGCCTCGGTCGTCTCTTGGCTCACACCGCCAACAAAGATCTTACTCGTCTTCTCCTGCTCATCTCGAGGAATGGCGCGCTTGGGGTCGATCTACTTGATGTCAATCGCGATTTCCCCATCTCGAAGAAAAGAAGCTCGTCGATACTTACAATCTTGCCGTCAAGAAAGTGCTCTTTCACCATGACGACGTTGACACATTTGGGATCTCTGAACGTGAGGAAACCAAAACCTCGAGAGCGGCCTGTGGCGCCGTCACGCATCACAGTGCACTCGGTTACTTCACCAAATTGCGAAAAGTACTCGCGCAGTGAATCTACTTGCGAATCAGCTGACTTGTTGGGTACACACAATGCACAGCGGCGTCCTTACCATCGGTCGTTTCCCAGTTGAGACCACCAATAAACATTTTACTAGAGATGGAGGAACAGTCAGTCTACACGTAACGCCGCAACTGGTCGCAGCATTCGAGCGGAAAACAAGCACGATGCAATTCCCCGTGCGTGTGCAAGTCCCTGCAGTTCTGAGACCATGCTTGAGCTCATCGATCCGAGATGCTTCTGTGCCTGTCCTTGTTGCTTCGCAGCTTTGGCAGGGAACTCCCCAGCAAGGAATAGTGGTTGTGTAGTACAGAGAACGCCATGACCAGGGTCGTCTTGGGTAGGCGTCGGCGATGTGCAGCGTGTTTTAGACAAGTTTTGTGGAGAGACGATTTCTTGCCGAAGTCTAGTCCTCGAAATAGGATCGATAGCGAGCAGTGTGTGGTTGGTGCCGTTTGGTGTGTGCGGGAAATGTAGTAGTCGAAGGTTGCCCATCAAACATGCCATCGTGCATAATCTTGTGAAGAGGAGCACAACTGCTCTGGTTGATGCCAGTGATAATGCTTGTCGATTGCCTGGTCTCTGGTCTTTTGCTATCGAGAAGCTAGATCAAGCTGTTTCGAGCGCTATTCGCTGCCATGTCTGGCCGTGGCTTTCCCCCCGAGACTTGACTTGCTTGTCGCTGCTTTATGAGCCTATCTTGGTATGATGGCTAAGTAGGTTGCACGGGACTGCCGTGACTGATGACTACCGTCGACAGAATATGTCTCTGAATGTGCCGAGACACTCGGACATGAGAGGCATGCTTCCACCTGTCTCTATTCCCATGTTCTGTGCATTTCTTGGGGAGGCGCTGGGTTGTGATTGGGTGCCTGGTGCACATAGTGACAAGATGGCCTTGTAAGATTGCTCTCCGCGGCTGCCCCTTCTGCCATTGGCGTTTGCTCAAGTCTAGGCCAGCTAGCCAAGATTGACTGAGCAGAGACCCCATCCTGACGGACTCTTCCCAGGCGAAGTGCTTTGTTCTTGCAACCCAAATCCACACCATTCGTTGCCTCAAAGCAGCTCTCCCCCATCGCTGCAGGCTGCTGTCGGGGGCGAAGACGCGCGTCGCGTCAAGAGCACAATTACACTTGCAAGGCGGCTATATGCTCCGGTATGGTACATACAAGGAACAGGGCCAGAAGGCCACCAGATCATGACGAAGAGCTTTTAAGGAAAGGCACTTACCCATCTTCTTTCGAAGTCGACGGCTTTGCGGATGCAAACGTTGGTGTTGACTCTTCCGGGGCTGGTGCCGAGGGCGCAGGCGCCGACGCGGCAGGAGTTCCGGACCCATTGCCCAGGTTGAAGTCGACTTCATCGTCATCGTCGTCGTAGGCTTCTTCGGCATTATCGTCGCCGTGTGCGTATGAATCGTCTTGAGCATAGGAATGCTCTACATGGCTATCAGTTGCCGCAGGAGCAGCGGGCTCGGCAGGTTGTGTCGGCTTTGCTGCTGGCGGCTGGGGTGCGCTTGCATTCTCGTTGTCATCGTAGCTAAACCATCACGACCCAGTCAGCATGGTACGAGACGAGCTTGCTCGTCGAATACTGGTTGACCAGCTCGCCCAGCTCGGTAGTCAATGCACAAGGAAACACGTACAGATCAGCGAAAAGGTCGTCGTCAAAGTTCTCTGGATCGGCCATGTTGAGGCGCTTGGCAGGGCAGCAGCCACTGGTCGATGGTTGTGATTCAGTCGCTTGCGGCTAGTCGTTGTTCGATGATGGAGGCTGCTTCCTTGATCAGAAGAAGGAGGCGCGTGGATACTGGGTCGGGCGGGAAAGGGTTGGAAAGGTTGCAAGCGAAAGAATGGCTGATGATTGCCTGAGACGGGACATGGATCGCGTCTGCGACAGCCCAGCTGGGTAGCGTAGGAGAGGCGCCCTATGAATCTTGCGTGTGGGTCTGCCAGGAGTTGATGCACAACCCTTGGGAAGGCAGGCACAGACGGCAGCTGGGGGAGGCCCGAGCTAGTGTGGGAGGCTACCTGGGACTGTGACTGGCCAGCGCTCACAGCGGCCGCTGTTGCCTTGCTGATACTGTACTGTATTGCTGCATGTAGCAAAGTTTGAGAGCAGCGAACCAGGCAGCGCCCAAGAACCAAAGTGCTGTTTCTTGCGTGACGGCAGACTGACCTGTGCAGTGCATACTCATGAGTGCATTCAAATATGTGTCTGGTTAAACGAAACAACAGCCCGTGCCATAGTGCTATGGATCAAGTCTGAGCAGAGGTTGTCACTGGAAAATCAGAGTCAGCGTGGTCCCTACGCTCAGAGACCCGAACACAACCGCCAGAGAGAATGTCATTGTTTCTGGGAATGCTCAGAGTGCGAGTCTAATCGTGCCGCTGCTTCAAGCAACACCAGCCCTCGACAAACATCAGGCGCCAGGCCGCGCCTCCTCGTCACGTACAGAGCGGGTGCTCCTTGCATGGTGGGGCTGTCACAGGGCCATGTGCATGGCTAGCTCCCCAACGGGAATGCCAGCTCGCGGATGCCCACCCACAGAACCACCACACGCTTCCTGCTCGTCCAGCCTCGTCCTTGACAGCTGTGTGCTGGGATGTCTCGTCCTGGCCATGTGAGATAGGCCACTCCTCTCCTCCACCGCTTGCACATCCGGCCACAATGTGGTCTTCCTCAGGGAGTGGCAAGAAGCCGCCGCCTCAGCAGGTGAGCTCACCCCGCCCGCTACAGTGTTCTCTGTCACCATACTGACCGCCGCGGCTGATGACGTAGGAAATGGTTCAAGTCGGTAAGCTAACGCCTCGTATCGAGTCGAGCAAGGACACGCTACTGGCGCGAGCGCCTCAAAGATTCTTGGTATAGCAAATGCTGACAATGCTCGTGCACACAGATAGGTCCGAGTATGTTGCCTCCACCTCATGCATCCATTGCTGAAGAGCCTACATATTCACAATCCGAATCCTGAACTGACCTGCTTGCAGATCTGCCTCTCCTTTCTGGCGGGTCCAGAGGGATAATGGCGGTAGGAAGAGCAGCCGAGGCGATTCCAGCCTGGTCATTGGCGCCGCTTATTCCCATGCCGACATGCTGAAGGTCGATTCACTGTATGTGCTTCGCGGGGCCCAAGCGCTTTCCCAAACTCTTGTCCACATTGCCAACTCAAAACTGACACTATACTGCTGCCAGGACCCTTTCAGGCTCGTCGTCACGGCCGAGAACGCCGCCATCGACATCGTCCCAGAAGCTCAGGAATATCGACACCAGCTCAACACCACCACCGCCAAAGCCCGGCCTGTCCTCCCCTCCACTCAAGTCGTATTTCAACTTCTTGTCCAACACCAACCAAGACTGGAAGGTCGACGATGACCCCGAAGGAGATGATGTTTATGCATACGAAGACGATGACGGAGACGACTTTGGGCTGCCGACGCTGTCCAACAAGAAACTCCGATCGCGGCGACAAGCACAAGCGCAAGCGCAAGGATCCTCGTCAAATCAAGGCTTGGATCAAGAGCGATTGAGTCCGACAAGTGGCTTGTCTGCGCGGCGCTACTCGAATAGTGCAGACATTGCGATCGAGCGGCCTACGCCATCATACCCCATGCCGAAAAAGAGCGAAGGAAAGATTCTCAGGCCGCAATACAAAGACATACTTAGAGACCCAGCAAATGCTCTGCACCTGATCAACCACCCGTCAATACCCGCCGGCGCCACACCAAAAGAGATCGATGCAATCAATTCTCGTGTAACAAGGATCAACAAATTCAAGAAGATACTGCAAGCTACGACAATACCACTGCCTGAGCTCAGATCCTTGGCATGGTCTGGTGTTCCTGAAGAAGTACGCGCAATGACCTGGCAGCTTCTCCTTAGTTATCTCCCCACAAGCAGTGAAAGGCGAGTTGCTACATTAGAACGGAAACGCAAAGAGTACCTGGATGGCGTTCGGCAAGCGTTCGAGAGGAGTGGCGGCAACCCAACATCTAGTGGCAAGGCACGAGGACTCGATGAGGCGATATGGCATCAGATCAGTATCGACGTCCCGAGAACGAATCCACATATCGAGCTTTACCAGTATGAGGCGACACAGCGGTCGCTAGAACGCATTTTATATGTGTGGGCCATCCGGCACCCGGCAAGTGGCTATGTGCAGGGTATCAACGACCTGGTCACGCCATTCTGGCAAGTCTTCCTAGGCTCCTACATAACGGACAACAATATCGAAAGTGGCATGGACCCTGGTCAGCTACCGAAGGCAGTGCTGGATGCTGTCGAAGCCGACTCATTCTGGTGTCTCACGAAACTGCTGGACGGCATCCAGGATCACTATATCGTGGCTCAGCCAGGCATCCAGCGACAGGTAGCTGCGCTCCGAGACTTGACCGCTCGAATCGATGCAGATCTCGCCAAGCACCTTGAGAACGAGCACGTGGAATTCATTCAGTTCAGCTTCCGATGGATGAACTGCCTTCTTATGAGGGAGATCAGTGTGCAAAACACAATCAGGATGTGGGACACATATCTGGTAAGCTACAAAGCCTTCTCCCAATCCTCTCTAGGGCCTCATTTACTGACCTGTTGGCTGGCAGGCTGAGGAGCAAGGCTTTTCCGAGTTTCATCTTTACGTGTGTGCTGCGTTCCTGGTGAAGTGGTCCGCAAAGCTCCTAAAGATGGACTTCCAGGAGATCATGATGTTTCTACAATCATTCCTGACTAAGGGCTGGACTGAGAAGGACATTGAACTGCTGCTCAGTGAAGCTTTCATATGGCAGAGCCTGTTCAAAAACTCGGCCGCACACTTGCGAGGTGGGCCAACCCGGGCACCCGCAGCAAATATGACATTATGAGATACGATAGAAGCACCGACCCATGGAGTGAAGCGCAGATAATGGTACCAGCCCATCCAGATGCTAGGCGTGTCCGAGGAGCACAATGGAGACAGGTACACAAAGGATACCACAAATAGCATACGGCATTTACAAGCATGCAGTGTTGTCTCACGTATGCATGCATCGATTCTAGACGCCGTTGGACACATATTTTACAAAGTTGTTATTTACAGCGAAGAGCACAATATCTAATCCCTGTATACCCTCGTGAGCCCTTCGGCGGGTGGCTGCAGCCAGTTCTTCTCGTCATACGTCGTGCCCTGACCCTCGATGACATGAAACGTGTAGATGATCCTGCCCTTCTTGCTGAGGTTCTTCTCGCTCTTGTGCAGCAGGTTGCCGTGGATCAGGACCAGCGACCCAGCCTTGACCTCGCCCATGACGTACTCGCCATTCTCGGCCGTCACGCCCTCGGGGGCCAGCTTCTCGCCGTACTCTTCGTCATTGGGAAACTTGGGGCCCTGGTTGTCCACAAACTCTGTGCCAGTGCCCTTTGCCGAGCGCACAAACCGCTGCTTGATGGGCGCCCAGCGGTGCGAGCCGGGGAGGAAGCTCAGGCAGCCGTTCTCCGCGGTCGCGTCCTCGAGGGCGTACCAGAAGCCCACGGCGCTGGGCCTGTCCGTGTACAGGAAGGTGCTGTCCTGGTGCGGGGGGACGGCGCCGCCAATCTCGGGCTGCTTGCAGATGATCATGCTCTGCAGGCAGCGCGGGTCCTTGAAGCCGATGGCCCGCGCGACCGCCGCCGGGTGGCTCTCCTTGCGGCCGGCCTCGACGGAACCTCCGGACGTGCCCGCGCCCAGCAGGTCCGGGTTGAGCTGGGGGTCGAGGAGTGCGGCAAAGGGAGGCGACAGGGCGTGTAGGTAGTGCCCGATCTTGTTGATGGCCTGGGATTTGGGCTTGACGAGCTCCCCGGTCTCGCGGGAGAAGGCGTCCTCCTCGAAGAAGAAGCGGACCTTGTCGCCCGAGGAGAGAAAGTAGTCGTCGCCGACGTGGTCCGAGGTCTCGCCCGTGCTGAACTTGGTCATCGGGTGGTCGGCGAGAGAAAAGTCCTCGAGCATGGTGTGCGTCTCGTCGAGCATGGCCTTGACTGTTGTTGGCGGCAAGGCATCCGGGATAATGAGATAGCCATCGCGGTTGAACTGCGCGAGCTGCTCCGGGGTGAGACCCCCGTAGGATCCGGTCTGCAGGACCATGGCGGTTTGTGAGGTGAAGTGCTGTTGGATTGTTTATTATGAGGTACCAGGTGCAAGTAATGTATCCAAACGGGTGGTTGCTGCCTTTTATATCTGAAATATATCCAGATAAGTCCTGATTCCCCGAACGAGGCTCCTGCCTGTGGAAACCGTCGGCGTGCGAGGACGTCGCGTGCCTTTTTGAGTTGTCGTTGATGGGCCGAGTGCCGTAAGCAAAGTTGACAGCCACGTTAAGCTGCAGTTTGCCGACACGATGGAGCCACTCTGCCCCGTAGACTACCAGCAGCTGAAGCCTGGGGTCATGCGATTTCGGCAAGCGGAAAGGTCACTGCATGCGCCCTACAGCACTAGAGTAGATGACGATTGTGATGGTGGGGTAATGGCAGCTCCAGCTTCGGGTGAGGGGGGCCACCTCCACTGTCCTGTCTCTCCGTGGCTCTTGGCACATGCCGGCGCACATAACAGTAGTAGCAGCGTCCTGCTGTCTCGCGAGTCTGAGTGCGCCCGAGGGAGCACGGAAATATACCGCAGCTAGCTTGAGACTTCTCAACATCTTCGCCGTTGAACCAGCGTTGTGCTCCATTGGCTAGATGAGGCGAGGGACCCCCCGGCCAGAGGACGACTTACACCGATCTAAAGGCTCCGCCTTTACACACAACTGCCCCACTCACTTCACTCACTCACCCCTTTCGACGGAGCCGACAAGCTTCGACACAACGCCAACAACCTAACAGCATCCAGCCAATCAACAGCGGAATATCAAGCCATTAGGAAATCCATAGCCAGCATCATGAGTTCGGAAGAGGAGGTTCTGTCTTGTCCTCCAGCTCCCGAGCTACTCGACGACCGCATCTGGGTTGATGGCTGCTGGGACTTCTTCCACCATGGCCATGCGGGTGCCATGCTTCAGGCTCGCCAACTGGGTACCGAGCTGTATGTCGGCATCCACTCGGACGAGTCTATTCTCGAGAACAAGGGTCCGACTGTCATGAACCTAGCCGAGCGGTAAATATCCCAGATCTTTGCCGACGCGCATAACCGAAACAGACATCTTGCTAATGCACGCCCATACTCTAGCATCTCTGCTGTAGATGCCTGTCGCTGGGTGACCAAGTCGGTCCCTCATGCCCCGTATGTCACACAGCTATCCTTCATCACGCATTTTGGGTGCAAGTACGTCGTCCACGGCGACGACATCACCTCGGACAGCAGCGGCGAGGACTGCTACCGCTTCGTCAAGGACGCTGGGCGCTTCAAGGTCGTCAAGCGCACGCCCAGCATCTCCACGACCGACCTCGTCGGCCGTATGCTCCTCTGCACCCGCACACACTTTATAAAGTCCCTGCAGCGTGTGCTCGCGGGCGAGGAAGGAAGCGGTACGCCCGAGGACAGGAAGAGCGAGGGCGAGGCCATGAAGGCCCGCATCGCACAGTACGCTACGGATGCCTCAGGGGTACAGCCTGGTGCCGACGTGTGGTTCTGGGCCGGCTCGCATGTTGCCCGCATCGAGGACAGCGAGGAGGAGGCTGGCAAGTTCGACCAGTTGATCAAGGGCGTCGGTCCCAAGCCGGGCCAAAGAGTCGTCTACGTCGACGGCGGCTTCGATCTCTTCTCCAGCGGACACATCGAGTTCCTGAGGCAGGTGTCAAAAGCAGAGGAGGAGCTCGCACGGTCTGAGGGCTGGTATGACGAGCAGGCTGTGAACGAGCGACTCGGCAAGGGCGAAGACTACCCACCGGCGTTTGTCGTTGCGGGTGTCCACGATGATCATGTGATCAACCACTGGAAGGGCGTCAACTATCCCATCATGAACATCTACGAGCGTGGTCTCTGCGTGTTGCAATGTCGGGTAAGTTGGTCCACTCACATTCAAAGGCTGAACGCGTCACTAACGAGGTTTTCCACGGCTAGTACGTCAATGCTGTCGTCTTTGGAGCTCCCTTTGCACCCACGAAACCCTACCTCTCCTCCATGCCATGGGGCACTCCCGATGCCGTCTACCACGGCCCCACCGCCTTCATTCCGCTGGCATACGACCCGTACACGGCAGTCAAGGAGATGGGCATCTTTCGGCAGGTCGGCAAGCACTCGTTCCAGGACGTCAATGCCGGTAACATTGTGGAGCGTATCATGAAGAGCCGAGCCATGTACGAGGAGCGGCAGCGCAAAAAGGGCGTCAAGGCTGAGGTCGAGGCGGCAGCGCGGGAGCGGGAGATTCTCGAAGAGGAGCAGCGAGTCAAGGAGGCCAAGATAGCCGCCGGCCAGCAATAAGTTGGTGGTCGCTTAGTGTCTCGTGGAAGGAAGTTGTTTATGTACATCTTTAAACAAGAATTGCATGGCGCTGGAGTGTTACTTTGGGTGGCCCTAGGAATGGCCAAGGCGATGAATAGCATAGATATCCGCCTTCAACAGGTAATGATTGAAAAACATGGACTTTTCGATTTGACAAAGCTTGAGAGCAAGTGTCCGGGCGAAAGTAATCACGGCCAAGTCGGCAATGCTTACACATCGTTCGAGATCGTGAGTCAATTGGAGAGAACTTTCCCCACACATTTGGGTCGTCGTGAAAGGGACCCTCACTTTCTCCGCACTCTGTTCCTGCGGAGAACATCGGGGATGCACTTTCTGACAGCGGGCGCACACCTGCTCTTCTCGACCTCTCGACACAACTGTATCCTTGAACTCATTTACATATAAGTACTGAAGTAATCTCCGCGCTATCCCAGGGACGCACTTACACACCAAGCCCGCGTGCAGAGCCATCCTCCTCCCGCGGATCAACTTCGAACAGCCCCTCAACAGCCGAAACAAAGGAGAAGAAGGAGGGGGTAACAATGTCCAGGATCATCCGCGTCGCGCTGCTGGTGCGGGACTACGACGAGGCAATTGCCTTCTACGTCGGCAAGATGGGCTTCACGCTGCTCGAGGACACCACCTTCCCCGCGAGCGAGGACGGCAAGACCCCGGCGCGCCGCTGGGTCGCCGTCCTCCCCGCGGGCGCGCCCCCAGGCTCGACCAACCTGGTTCTCGTCAAGGCGGCGACTGAGCAGCAGGTCGCTGCTGTGGGGAACCAGAGCGGTGGGAGGGTGTTTTTGTTTCTGGGCACGGGTACGTAGCCTTCTGGCCCTCTGTTTTTCTTGCCGTGCCTACATGGTGTACATGTTGTCGTTGTTTGCGCTACGACTGGGGGGAGCGACCTTTGGCAGATGGTTTACTGACGGGGGCTGGCACACAAAAGACGACTTTGACAGGGACTATAAGAAATACAGCGAGGCCGGATGCGAGTGGGTGCGCCCGCCGGTGAAGCAGCCGTACGGCACGGTGGCCGTGTTCAAGGACATCTACGGCAACATGTGGGACCTGATTGGGCCGGCGGAGGACAAGGACGAGGAGAGCGACGACAGATGATGCATGATTCTTGCGAGTGTCTTTGTTACAAGGAGGCGGGCTCATCTGCAAAATAGAGGGATCGGGCCGTTTGTCGTGGCAGATCTCTATTATCTGTTGGGGCGATGCTGCCAAACATGAGACATTGAGGACAACCGTTTTGTGTGTACAAGCATTGTGCAACACAGCGTGGGCAAAGCGGCAATGGTGGCACTAGGATTGATGTCGCAAGGGTGAACCCTGTTGCTCGCCAGGCTTGTTCTTGTTCATGTGTGAATTGAGTAGTAACAGCATGCAAAGTGATCTGTCGACAACCTCGACACATGTCGAGGAGATCGTCTCATGGATACATGATAGGCTCGGACAGATGCAGCCTGAGCGCCGAGGCAGACGAGGAGATACGAAAGCGCCATCGTAGCGAGTGCGTAACTCTTCGATAGGTGGCTGGAGCCCAGAGGGTGTGTGGGTAGGCGCCCACACGTCATGGGATTGCGAGTCCCCCCCGCCCCCTTGCCTGCTGCCAAGCTTCTTGGAAGTGCGCGGCCAAACCTCTCGGCCAGCGCCGAAGAGCGCGCTCACCAGAGCAAAGCAGGTTCAAAGGTGGTGCACGCCGGCGCCAGGGCAGGGCACGGAGCGGCACCTGGGCACTGCCGACGATAGCGACCAGGGCCAACAAAGAAACATTAGACGGGGTCCCCTACATCGTCTGCTCGCCCTCCCAAGCCCTGGATCTGCACCCTCTGATTTCCCATTGCCAACCTTCCCAACTCTCTGCTCTGCGTCTGGCTGTCCGCCAGCAACGACAGAGCGACAGGCGCTCTCCGTGATGGATGCGGGTGCCCCCGTCACGCCCGGGCGACCAGCTGCTCCTTTGGCCGCAGGGCCGGCTCCTTCAGCAGACGCCACCCGCACCACTGCCGGTGCTGCTGACAGGCCGCTCTCCACCCCGCTGCCCTTCCCAATCCGACCCACGACTGCGAGGACGCGCGGTTCCTCGATACGCCTGCGCCGCCTTACGTCCACCTCGCAAGCCTCAGACACACCAAACCCCGACGGGTACGGCAACGACGATGCTTTCAGTCTGCAACCTCTCACCCCCGGGCGCTTCGGCGAGGATGGCCCATCTCGTCTGCAGCCCCTCTCCCCGGCCGGCTCCCACCTGAGCCCCGATCTGCGCCATGTCACTTTTCTGCCTCAGATCCCGGGCGACCGCAACAGCGCGCCAGGCCTGTCCAGCATGAGTAATATACCGGCTGGCTTGAGGACAGCACAGCCCAGCACGAGTACTAGGCAGGACGACAAACATAAGCGCAAGGAGCGCATGGCCATGTTCGGCCGCCACCGTCTCTGGCCAGGACCAAGCGACGACGCGGACAAAGCAGGCGACACCACGCAGCAGCCCCTGGAGAACAAAGGCGATCACAGCACCATGGACAACAACAAACGGTGGGGCCAGCGGGCTTCCCTGCCACTAAATGGCGAGAATGACTACGATGCGGACATTGTCGATATGCTCGACGTTCTAGGTAAGCATGGTCGTCCCCCTCGACCACGTCGCCCCGGCGTTCAGCGTCGGACAACGAGCCAAGATGCTGACGGATGATTGCCATGCAGACCCCGAGGTTTCGACCATGTCCTCCATCACAAACGTCCAGAACTCGCTCTTTGTGCCGTCACTAGGCCGGTTCGTGAACAGGCGTCCAGCCTTCAACCTCACACCCTATCCCAGGAGCCCAGAGTCGCCAGCCCGTGACGACGACGAGGATGAAGAAGAATCGGACCACAGCCCGGTGGACAAGCCCGCGCGGGGTTTCAAGGAAGAAGGTGGTGCTGATGTCGCGAGACACAAGAAGACACTTGGCACGGCAAAGGAGCTGCCTCCCCTGCCACTTCCCATTGAGCGCCTACCCAGTGTCCTCACGGCGAACCACTTCGCCGTCCGTCCCAGCGACACGTCGTTGGCCACTTGGACGGATGAGGATCTGGCTGACCTCAACGACCATGTCAGACACATGCTGCACTCCAGGAGATCGAAGGTCGGCCGCAGGCTGCGCGCCTTTGGCCAGTATGTGAGCAGGCCGATGGGCTTCTTTGTCACGCTCTATGCCTCGATCATCATATTACTCGGCACGGCCTGGGTTGTGTTCCTTATCGGCTGGATCTCTGTTGGGGACGAGCAGTCTATTGTGATTGGCACCATCAATCTTGCCCTGGTGACGCTGTTCTCGCTGGTCGGGATCGGGTTGATACCATGGCGAGCTGTGGACACGTATCACATGATCTACATCGTGCGGCTGGAACATATTGCTCGCAAAAGGTTACAGGCCGCAGGCGCCACCGACACCGCCAGCAATACACACGCAGCGACAGAATCAACCGTGCGCATTGTGGTGGAGAACGCCGATGGCAATGGTGGTGGCCGTGTGACTGCGGATCTCGAGTCCGGCCGGGACCGGAAAGGCGTCAACGCTGACGACCTGGCCTCGGCGCTGAACCTGCAGCAACGCAACTCGCTCGAGCACCACCAGGCCTGCTTCGCCAAGTCGCACACATTCTACAAGCCTCGCGATTCTGAGACGCACCACGCCTTCCCTGTGCGCCTGCTCATCGCAATCGTAATCCTTCTCGACGGCAACTCGGTCTTCCAGCTCGCCCTGGCGCTCTGCACGTGGACGATCCGCTACCGGTCGCGTCCCATGAGCCTGACTGTCAGCCTGCTGTGCTGCGCGATGGCATGCAACATTTCGGCCGCGATCCTCATCTCGATCGGGGACCGGCGGACGCGCAAGAAGGATGCCGTGGAGCGGATGTGGCGCCAGGAGCTCACGCGAGAGGCCATTCGGCGGAAGGAGAAGAAGATCAAGGCAGAGGAGGACAAGAGACGGATACAGCTAGAGAGGGTAAAAGAGGAAGAAGAGTATGGCGGAAGAACGAGCTCGCAGTGGTTGAGGAAGTCATTAGATGTTGTGAGGGGGAGGGAGATATCCGTTGTCGTTTAAGCCGGTCGACCGGAATGCATTTATTAGCGTGGCGAAGTCATTGCCAAGATCAATTGGCACCAATACATAATTCTTTGATTTTTTTCATCGGCTTGTCGGAAGCACGCATGTATCGGACTCTTGCTGGTGGCTTACCGTGCACTCTTGTCATGCAGCCGCTGGACAGAAAGGAGCTTGGGCCAGGTGCCGAGGAGCATGGACCACATCTTATCGACGCCCGGGTCAAGGCAGCCCTGGAGGGAGGAGAAGCTCGGGCCATTTAGGGGGGTTGTTCTGGAAGAAGCAAGGGGTTGCGTCGATCACTTCTCTGCAGGAGAGAGTCATGTCGATCTGCCACGAACGCGCTGCAGGATCACGAAGGTTTCTTTGAGTTCGTACGAACAGATCCTGAAGTCGTCACTGGCATGTCAACTCGTGTTTTCCTTGCGCATGTTTCTGGGGTTGCGGTGCTGCCTGTCCATGAGACTTGCTGGACCCAGCACTTGGGTGACAGGTTCTCGGGATGGTCTGTGCTCGCCTTCTAGAAGCCTTCGAGAGGGGCACGGCCGCAGTGGCAGGCGGGAGCAAGCTCCTTCGCCGCCGCCGCCCCCCTCCCCATTTACGTAGCATGTCGATTGGGGTGGCGGCACCGTGGCGAGCACATGCCCTGCCTGCCTCTGGACCCAAGGCTGCCTGACGCAGACTGTGCTGGGACTTTGAGTTTGGGTAGTGCGTGCAGGCGGGAGGAGGTGCAAACAATGTGGGGTCTAGGCAATGCAATGGGGGACGAGCTCTCGTCAGGAGTAGGTAAAGTATGGCATGTCTGGTCTGGACGGCCTGGGCGCTGATATCATAAGGCGTTGCACTCAATGCTTGCGCGCCCCCCGCTCCCTCCCTCCTCTGTCAATCCCAATCCCGGCTGGCCCCTTCTTGTCTGGTCTGGTCTCGTCTGGTCTCCTGCTGGTCTGCAGTCCGGCAGTTCACAATCCTCGTCTCATCCTGTCCGTCATTTTCTCCAGTGCTGGCCTGCCGGCGCTTGACTTTGAGCACGACTTTGCAGCCCAACCACGCACCACGCACGACAGGCACGAGAGCACCCTCAACCTCCGGCCCCGGCACGACCTCCCACTAGTCTGCCATCAGCTCCTCTTCACCGTGTGAGCACCCGCCCAAAGCTTCTGGTGTGTGCACGCCCCGCCTGTCGGAGGGCACTGCCGTGAGTCTCTGGAGCCTCAGCTCCAACTCTAGCTCGCAACCTCGCAGCGGAGAGCTCTCCCTCCAGGGCACTCCTGCTCCACGCTCCGCTTCCTCCTTCTTGTCCTTTCTCCCCCACACACACATCCCAACACTCATCCCGACTCCTTCCAACACGCCGCCAGAGCCTTCACGTGCTTGCATCTCTCTCGATTACCGCCAAGCCGCCTCACGAGAGCTCTACAGTCAACCGAGCCCCGACCCGGCCAGAAAGCTCTGCCCTTGAGCTCTTGCCCCCGCCTTGACCAGTGCAGAGTAAGTCACGAAGCATCATTTCGTCCCTTCTCCGTCCCATCAGTTCGGGATCGGGCTCTCTTTTCGAGGTCTGTCGCCCAAGCATTCTTGTCTGTTCACTTCGAACCCCCTATCCAGCATCCCTGCACGTTCTTGACTGCCTAGGCCAGACGAGCTCCGCGACCGGCCTTTCGTCATCGAGCCAGAAGTTACCGACCTTGCCAGCTCAGCCCAGAGTCTTCACTTGGTCAATGGCCTTGTCTGCAAACCCAAGCTACCTCTCATATTCTGCAAAGATTCTTGCATTTAGCAGATAATCAGCCATCACGGTCAAAAAGTTATATCTACCCACGCCACTGTCGAGGAGCTAGTCACAAAGAGGTGTGCCAGCTTGACCATTGAAGGCGTGGATGACGAGGACGAGGCAATCTTTTGGCGGAGATCCAGCCTGCCTTGCCCGCTCTGCTCCTCGTCAAGCTGCCGACGGGGTCTATCCAAATCGAGAGCAAATCCTCCACTTTCCTTGCATCGTGGATACAGCCTAGTGGCCGGTATTGCCCATGATCTCGTAGCAGTCTGCCGTATTCACGATTTCTTGCTCTGAAGTCTCTTGTGTTTCCACTTTCACCCCATTTTGTTTCTTCGAAGGCTTCTAACAAGATCAAAACGGGTAGACGTCTGAGGATAAGCCATTGAAAATACCCACGCACATACCTGACCACGTACACTTCCGACACGGGTCGAAGCCATGGCTGGACCGACATTCACGAGCCCATTCGGCAATGCAAACCCATTCGGAGGTGACCCCGGCCGATCAGACATGGGAAGACCCTCGGGTGGAGGCTTGGGCAACTTGGCTGAAGAGGAGGAGCAGGACACAATTGCCTCGCCTATTAGTGGCCACTTCAACGCGAGCTCGCCATTCGGCGGCCCCTTTGGCGGCAACGAGGGCTCCCACGATGGACCGCCATCATCCTCTCGGATACCCCCGAACCCAGACTCATACCCAGCGCAGTACAACTTTGGACGCCGCACATCAGTCTCTGCAGAATCATTGAAGCCTACGGCCGATGCTAATGACAATTGGACCCCGCCTTCATACCCAAAGAGCCCCGAGCAGCTGGAGCGTCTGAAGAAGGCGATTCAGGGAAACTTCCTTTTTAGCCACTTGGATGATGAGCAGAGCAACCAGATCCTCGGAGCTCTCCAGGAAAAGCCAATTCCGGCCAAGGATATCAAGGTAAGTCAACAAGTGCAGAACGAGGCACAGCGTTAAGGGTATCACACGCCTGACACCAGAATGCATGCTGACGATTGTAAATAGGTCATCACTCAGGGCGATGCTGGTGACTATTTCTACGTCGTAGAGAAGGGCTCCTTCGATGTATACGTCAACCCAGCCGGCACAGTCGAACCAGGTCCCGACGGCATGGGCAACAAAGTGGGCACAATCGAGGCTGGTGGCTCTTTTGGCGAGCTCGCACTCATGTACAATGCCCCGCGTGCCGCTACTGTCATATCCGCTGAAGCACAATGCACGCTTTGGGCTGTTGAGCGAGTGACCTTCCGCCGCATCCTCCTGGAGTCGACTTTTGCCCGGCGGCGGCTGTATGAGGATTTCTTGGAGGGCGTGCCGATTCTCTCGACCCTTACGCCATACGAACGATCCAAGATCGCCGATGCGCTCGAGACGCTGAAGTTCCCTGCCGGATCTGCCATCATCAAGGAGGGCGATGCGGCCGATTCATTCTACCTGCTGGAGGAAGGCGAGGCTGACGCATTCAAGGAGGGCAGTGATAACTCTGTCAAGCACTACCAGAAGGGCGACTACTTTGGCGAGCTCGCCCTGCTCAATGATGCACCACGAGCAGCCAGCGTCGTCTGTGCTACCGATGTCAAGGTTGCGACATTGGGCAAGGAAGCTTTTGCCAGATTGCTCGGACCGATCAAGGGAATCCTGAGGAGAACCAAGTACGAGGGCGTCAAGTCTGGTGTTGAGGATGTCGATCCCCTGCACCCAGGCAATTAAGTGTGGCGGTGTGTGTTGTTACTTTCAAAATCCTCAACCGGGGGGGACGAAGCGTGGGAGAAGTGGCCGCGCGCAAGTCACGACGGAAACAAGACGGCGTTCAAAGGCATTAGTAGAAAGTACCCTCGTTTCTGTTTGGTCTTTTATTATTGATACTAGTACGGCTCATGAATTGAACGTGGACATCACTGCATGATCTTATAGGCTTTGTTTGGAGAGCTGGAATGTGAACTCTCGATGCAGAATGAGAATGGTATCATGCTAATCACCGACTTAAAGTCTCGTGCTTTGCGGACATAGTCTTTATTCACCAGATGCCTGGGGCCTGGGGGGCCCATTTGTCCCATGCAAAACGCACACACATAACTGCAACTGGCCATCGACTTTCAATCCTGCTGCTGCCGCCGCCGCGCATCCAAGACCTGCCTCCTCAGCTGATCCGCCGCGAGCTCCGTCTCGAGCACCTTGCCGACGCCCCGGCGCCACGTCTCGTTGAGGCTGCGGAGCTCCTCGCCGACCTGGTCCTGCTGCCTCCTGCGGTCGAGGTTGACGAGGTCCATCTCGCGCTTCGTGTCGGCCAGGTCGCGCTCCAGGGCCTGGAGCTCGGCCTCGAGGTGCCAGTTGCCCACGAGCCAGGCGTTCTTGCCGTAGCTGTCGAGCAGGTGCAGGTGCGTGGTGCGCGAGGTGAGGTAGGTGTTTGCCGTGTAGGCCCTGCCTAGCCGGGCTTGGAGGGTGTCTTTAATTTTGCTGTTGTTGGCCGCCTCGTCTACTTCGTCTTCGTCGTCGTCGTCGTCGACCTCGTACCGTGACAGGTCGATTGCTTTGAGGGGCTGTTTTGTGGCGATCCGGTCGAGCTCGGCGAGCATTGTGGGCGTGAAGGAAGGCTCGCGCAAGGGCGGTAGTAATGATGATGATGTGGTGTTGGTGGTGTTGGAGGAGGAGGATTCTGTGCTAGAAGAGGCGAGCTCGGCGTCTATGAGGGCTTGGGCGGCCGCGCGGTCTTCTGGGCTTGGTTCGGGGTCGATGTCTGTTTGGGGGAGGGTTTGTTAGAGAAGTACACCTTGGGTGAATGGAGTTCGTGGTGGAAATCTTGAAGGTGGGCGGGGGAAGGGAGGGGTTGGAAACGTACATGGCAAAGACTCGTGGACTGTTGTGCGGAATGACATTGTTGCTTGTGTGTGTTTCTGGCCTCGTACGCTGGCGCGACGGGTTTGTCGGGTTCGTGATGACCGTGATGGGAGGAGGCACGAGTTGCGGCAGGTCGTCCTGGGGATCGATATTTGTCCGGGCTGGCAATTGTTGGGGGGAGATCGTACGTGTGTGTGTCGAAACAGACGAAAACCCGCCACTGGGCGTATACAGAACAGTTGTTGGACGGCAATGATTGTTCGTAGATTGTCGGGTTGGTGTTGTCTTTGAGCGACGACTTCAATTCGCATGCGATCCTGGCGCATCGCGACTTGCTCGACGCACAGCGCCCCGGTCGCATCGCAGAGCAGGCTTATCGATAGGCGGCATGCACCCTTGCCTGAAGCTCCAAAGCTTGGGGCCGTCTCGGGGGCCTGGGCTGGTGCAGTCCAGGGTAGGTAGGCTACGGGATGCTGTAGCGCCGCTTATGACGATGTGACAACGGCATCCCTGCCAGACTGCAGGCGCCTACGTACGTGCCTGACGTGAATGGGCCCAGCCGAAGCTGCCGGCAGTTACAACTTGGCAGCTGACAATTCAAAGGTTCTCGAGCTTGATACTCGTGGTGTCGGAGCAACCACGAACCTTCTCCTCAGGCAGCCCTCCACGTGAATACATCTCATGCCCCATGACTGAAGCCTGGTCTCAGCATCCCGGTCTGTCAGGCGACCATCATCATCATCATTCAAAGTCTTTTGTAGCTCGATCCCGACGCATCGCATATCATTAGACTCGTGCTGCTCGAGTCAAACTACGACCGCCCCCACGACTCAGATATCGGCCCCGCAGCCTTTCCATATATCCTGCCCTGGCCCAACATCGCTCTCGAGCTCAATCATCGTTGCCCTTTGGAGGATGATATCTCTGTAACCTCGTGTAGAGATGCCTCCATCTGAATCAAGCGGCCCTGGTCGGCAGCTTCGGACATCAGTCCTTCCCTTCTTCGTCCTCCTCATTACTGCTGTAACATTTTTCTCTTATAATCTACTTTTCATCGAAACTGGGGAAACAGAGTCACTGTGGACCTTTGACCATGCTCGCCAAGACAGTGGAGACGAATACCTCCTTGGCGTGGGCAAGGCCGACATCACTGGGTAGGATGACAGCATGAATGTATTCACACGTGGGACTACCGCTGATCAGAATGCAGGCCTTGTGTCGAGCTCAACTTCATGGGCTATGCAGACCCGAACCAGGTCGGGACCGGATTGCGGCAGAGACTCTACTCGAGAGCATTCATCGTTGCTGATCCAACTAACCCAAGTGACCGCTTCGTCTACCTGGTTCTGGATACTCAGTCTGGGGATACAGCGGTCCGCTATGGCATTTTAGAGGGCCTCAGGGAACTAGGGAGCAGCTACGCAGACTATGGTCATCACAATCTCGCCGTCACAGGAACGCACTCCCACTCCGGACCAGGCGCCTGGCTAAATTACCTACTTCCCCAAATCACTAGCAAAGGATTCGACCAACAAAGCTATCGTGCGATAGTGGAAGGCGCTCTCTTGTCGATCAGGCGGGCGCACGAATCTCTCGCGCCTGGGCACTTGACTGTTGGCACAACCAAGGTCTTTGGCGCCAATATCAACCGAAGTCTCTTTGCTTACTTGGCGAATCCAGCACAGGAACGTGCCAAGTACAACATCAGCTCAGAAGATGACGGCTCTGTCGAAAAGGACCTGACATTGCTCAAGTTCCAACGCTCCTCGGATGGAAAGAATATTGGCGTCTTGACGTGGTTCCCTACCCACGGCACTTCTATGTTGGGTAATAACACGATAGTCACTGGCGACAACAAAGGTGTGGCCGCGACTCTGTTTGAGAAGAGCCTCCACGGCGATGCCTCTGCGGCAGACGGGTTTGTCGCCGGGTTTTCGCAAGCCAATGTCGGCGATACCAGTCCGAACGTACTTGGTGCCTGGTGCGAAGATGGATCAGGCAAGATGTGCTCGTTTGAAAACAGCACTTGTAGCGACGGCCGATCGCAGAAATGTCACGCGAGAGGACCATTCTTCACTGAGGATGATGAAGGCACCAGCTCCTGCTATGAGATAGGCAGGAGACAATTCGAGCCGGCCAGGCGACTGTATGACAACATGAGTCACCACGGATCGCCCGTCAGGGGAAATTGGGTCAAGTCTTTCCACACATTCCACAATATGTCCTACTTTGAATTCAGCCTTCCGAATGGCACGACAGTCAGTACTTGCCCAGCCGCTCTGGGCTACTCCTTTGCGGCAGGCACTTCGGATGGGCCGGGCGCCTTTGACTTTACACAGCACGATGGGAATCCTAACAACACATCACCAGTATGGAAGGTCGTCTCGGGAGCCCTCAAGGAGCCGACCCAGGAGCAGATCTCGTGTCACTACCCGAAACCCATTCTTCTTGATGTCGGGGAAGTATTCAGTCCGTATCAGTGGACACCAAATGTCGTTGATGTTCAGGTATTTCGCGTTGGCCAGTTTGTCATTATTGTCAGCCCCGGAGAAGCGACCACTATGGCAGGGCGACGCTGGAAAGAGGCTGTTGGTGCCGAGGCTACTCTCCTCCGGCATGATTCTCATGCAAAGGAGCCTGTCGTGGTGATTGGAGGTCCGGCGAATAGCTACACCCACTACATCACCACCGAGGAGGAGTACAGCATCCAGCGCTACGAGGGTGCTAGCACACTATACGGGCCGCACACGCTTGCGGCCTACATCAACGTGACACTTTCATATGTCAGCAGCCTTGGATCGTCGAGCCATACCACGCCGCCGCCGCCGCGCGGGCCAGAACCACCAAACAATAGCAACCGCAGCTTGAACTTTATCTCGCCCGTGGTTCAGGACTCGGCACCGCTGTTCAAGAGTTTTGGAGATGTGCTAGAGGATGTCGAGCCGAGCTACAAGAGGGGGAGGAAGGTCACGGTCCGATTCGTCGGTGCAAACCCGCGAAACAATCTGCGTCTGGAAGAGAATTACGCCGTCGTAGAAATGCTTCACCTCGACTCTGAGCCAAGTACTTCTTCTGACATGGAGGGAACGGATGAGGACGAGCTGCGCCGCGGAAAAACACTGGCCAGGGCTGGAAGTCATCATGCCAGGACGGCTCACCAGGGATGGGATGTCGTTCGTGATGATAGCGACTGGCATCTCGTCTTTCGATGGACACGCACCAATGGGCTGCTGGGTCACAGCGAGGTCGAGGTCACATGGGAAACTGAGCCGTGGGTCGAGCCCGGGAGATACCGAATCAGATACTTTGGAGATGCAAAGGGCCTTTTTGGGGGGATCACGGCGTTTGAGGGCGTGAGTGGGGAGTTTCTGATTACACAGTAGACTGGATACCCAGATAGAGCACTTTCCGTCTCACAATGTCTTCTTGCCGTTCCCCTTTCTGACTCTAGGGCGCTTTCCATCGTGGATGCGACTCAGCCCCCTCCTTTCTTGCTGTCTAGCTCCCCGCGCTGGGAGCTCAGATCACAATACCCTTCATGCGACACGAAGTGTCCTTGGCGGACATTTCGCGATAAAAGCTTTTCTCAAAGCAATTATGTAAAGACTGGCAATATTGTGGAAATGCTTCTCGGCCGCGACTAGATGAAGGCGCGAGGGTATGTCATACAGAGAGAGAGAGCACTAAATGCTAGCCTCGCAAGTGCCCATCCTCTAATACCAATAAACGAGGAAAAGAGTATTATGGACGTCATGTTCTTCTTCCGCGGAGAGGGTTTCTCACGAGATGGAGGCTGTGTACACACACCCACACACGAACGGGGGATCCTTGGGGCAGGACTACCATTTCATGCCAATCTTGCTCAGCCATCAATCAACCCAACAATGTTTGGGTGAAACACGCTTGCAATCTATCTGTGGTGCAGCAAGCCGAGACAGAAGACCAAAAAGAGACATCGCCAGTTGCTGTTGGGGTAATGTGCTCTAGCGGCGTGCTAGGACATGCGAGAGGTGTGCCGACGAGATTGGGAAGGATTGATCCGTGTAAAAAAGCACCGCCGCCCGCCCGCGATCGTGAGATGGGAAATGGGGCACAGATCGGAGCTAGACACATCTGGCCTGGGCAGAGAGCAGACAGGCTGGCAAAAAGCTGGGAGAAAGCAGGCAGGCACGTGCAAAAGGCATGTTTGAGGTTGAAAGAGGCGGTGCGGGCGAGAGGTTCATGCAGCGAGGGGGGGTCTCTGGTCGGTCTCCATACAAGAGTGCTGAAACACACCAGCGGAGAATGGGTTTGTGTGTTTTGAGCTGGTGCCAGACAGCCGGGGGGCTGGTTGCGGATTGGCCCCCATACAATAGGGTACTTTGGCCAGCCCTGGACATGGTCTGCACATCATTCACGACGTCTGGAGTTGTCAGGGATGCTTCAGGTCCGCGGCTTCGGCGCCCCCCTTGCGAGAGAGGTGGTGCGAGAAGGTTTTCTTGATGTTGTTGCTCACAGCGCGCGGGGACAAGATTCGACAAGAGACCCTGTGCCTGCCCAGGCGAGGCGAGTGGTGCCCACAGCGGTTGAGGCGCACCTGCCAAGCTTGATTGTGCATGACCACCGCTGCTAGCTGCCGATCTCGTCCCTGACATTGATTGAGTTGCAGCATCCATTCTTTTTAGCCTCTGCTGTCAAAGCCCTATTGCGCCTCAGCCCAACGGTATTCCTCCCATCTGTTAGACGGACGGGCGCTCTGGTCCTCCAACCTCCGCTCAGGCCGCCCGCAGCCATCCAAACATCGGGCATGGCGCTGCACCGCAGATTGCCTGCCCACTCCTCGCTCCAGCATATCGAGATGCCGCCGCCGCCGCCTGATGACGTCCAAGATCTTCCACGGACGGACAACGACGAGGCACCCACATTCGTCGAGCGCAACAATGGCCAGTCTCAGTCTCTTTCGTCGGTGGCCACAGCGCTCGCACCTTGTTATGCAACCAGAGATATACTATAGTCGCCCTCCTGAAACCGCAGTCCTTAAGAGTGAGCGGTAAAGCCGGTGGTGGGAAGAAATATTACTGTCAGTCGCAGTGCCTGGCTTGCTCCCGATCGGCCGACCAGCTCGCTGGTCCAGTACGCAGGCCGCCTCGACAGACCCTGGCTGGCGGCAGTTTATGCTTGTGCCGGCGACCCTGCAACAGCGCGGCTGCTCCATCGGGAAAGACTCCAGAACCATGGCCTCCCCTGATTGGCCGTCTGGCCCCTTGGCTCTCTGCGTCAAGTGCAAGCGGAGACTCTATTTGAAGCCGTAGGTAGCACACGTGGTGGAGATGGCGACAGCCTGCGGCACGCAGCCACCTCCGTCTTCTGCGTGCTTTCTTGCGGCCATCCCTGCCCTTGCCGGGTCGTGACACACGAAGCCTGCCGTCGATCCGGCCAGGTCGGAGGCTCACTGTTTCTATTTCTCCGAGGCTCAAAAGCCTTAATCGGTGGATGTACATGGGGCCCTGCTGTCTGGGCACCCAATGAGCATCTGAGGGTGCCTGAGCATCTTCAACATCCGCTTGGGCATGGATAGTCTACTTGGCCATCGTTCGGGCGTCTGCCCACATCCAGATGGAGCTCGCAGGGTTGAGCCGCAGGTTTACAAGCACTGACACTGCTGAGTCCAAGCGACCTGCCTGTCAGAAGAAACAGAACTGACGATATGTGCCCCGGCCCCTGCACTGATCTTTGTCGAGCCTGCTTTTACTTAAGTCGGTCCCTGCCTTGCTTCAGTTCAGCATCTTGCCTGGTGTTCCTCAGCATCGTCACTTTCAAGACGGCCCAGTTTCTTTACGATTTCCTGTTTCTTTTTTTGCTTATCCTTCGCGGTCCACTGTGTGGTCTCGTCACTTCTGTCTCTTACCGAACAGGTGCTTTGGTCACCTATTGCATTCCCTCTTTTTCTCGGCCTAGCAGGACTACCCCGTCTTCACTCGTCTAACGCATACGCATCACACGCCCTTGACTTCTTACGTTCAACATGCTCTTCTCCAAGAAAAACACCTCGGCCGTTGCCGTGGCTTACTTGCTTGCTCACGTGGGCGAAGCTCGCAATATTCCCATTCGCCGGGAGGCCGCGGCTTACCCAACCATCGCCCCTCCTACGACCAATGTCACTTCGTCATCTCTCCTTGTCAACTCGGCTAGTTCGAGTGTTCCCGTAGAGACCTGTAAGTACTATTTTGATGATGGTTGTATCTGCCAAAATCCACCTTGTCTTGGATACTGACCATTTCCTCCAAGTGTCTGTGTCTCTCTCATCTGCAGCGGCCGTCGCCTCCAGCTCCTCGTCTGCGTCCTCTGGACTCACAACGTCCAGCGTAGAAGCTGCCGGCACCACCACACCGGCCTATTCAACACTCTCGATCCCGTCTGTTGCTGGAAGTGGCGCCTCTGTCTCGGCCGCTTCTTCGCTCAGTGTATCGGAGTCGGTCTCCCGCCTTGCCTCGTCTTCGGTCTCTGTCGCCGCGACGTCGTCCAGCGTCGCCCCGATCGGCGGTTCCAGCTCCTCGGCTTTTGCGTCTTTCTCACTGCCGCCTGTTGGAGCCAGCTCGTCCGCATCGGCCTCTGCGTCGGCCTCTGTTGCGTCGGCTTCTGCTTCAGCCTCTGCTTCAGCCTCTGCTTCAGCCTCTGTTGCATCGGCCTCTAGTTCAGCTTCTGTTGCGTCAGCCTCTACATCCGCCTCTGTTGCGTCGGCCTCTACTTCAGCCTCTGTTGCTTCAGCTTCTAGTTCGGCCTCCGTCGCATCCGCCTCTAGTTCAGCCTCTGTTGCGTCGGCCTCTGCTTCGGCCTCTGTTGCTTCAGCCTCTGCATCAGAATCTGCGTCCGTTTCCGAGGCGGCATCGGCCTCCAGCTTGGCCTCCGTCTCTGGGTCGGCCAGCTCTACCTTTTCCTTGCCTCCTATCGGTGCTCCCATCACCGCAACCTACCCCGTCATTGCTGCTCCGTCCAGCTCGGCTAGCCTCAGCGTCAATGTCTCCGCTGCGAGCTCCTCGGGCATCGTAGCCAGCTCCTCGACCCTTGCCGTGGCTATCTCTGGCTCATCTAGCGCTACTCTCTCTGTGCCTAGTGCCAACGCTTCTGTGTCGAGCGCCAGCCTCTCTGTCCCGACTGCCAGCTCCGTCGGCACTCTGGCCAGCTCTTCCACAGTGTCAGCAGCATTGACTGGCTCGTCTAGCTCGGTCCTTGCCGCTGCTTCCAGCTCAGCATTGGCAACGATCTCTGTTCCTGGAAACTTGACCGTCACCGCCCCCCCGATCGGCGACTCCATCCCCACAACCTACCCCGTCATCCAGGTTCCGTCCGGCTCCAGCAATGTGAGCCTTTCGGTCCCTAGTGGCAGCTCCTCCGTTGTTGTGGCTGCGTCCTCTACGCTTCCTGTCAGTGCCACTGGCTCTTCAAGCTCCAGCGTCCTTGCTGCTGCCAGCTCCAGCTCAGTGGCTGCTTCTAGTTCCAGCTTCCTTGTTGCCTCCAGCTCTGGCAACGTGACTGCCGGAGCCAGCAACACTCGGACCGTTCCTGCATTCCCTACTATCACACCAATCCTGCCTCCTTTCGCCAACTCGTCCACGACCGCGGCTGGCGCCGGCTTGACCACTCTGACCATCACAGCCACCACCGTGGACACCATCATCTCTTGCGCCCCAGAGATCACCAACTGCCCAGCCGCGACCGAGACCTCTCTGATTTCCGCGTTGCCTTCTGACGCTGTCACAACCATCTTGGTCACAAGTGTCATTGGCGTCACGACTACAGTCTGCCCTGTCAGCGAGGCTCCCGCCATCTCCTCTTCTGTCATGGCTTCCTTGACTGCTACCCACATTGCAACTGTGACCGTTCCCGCCTCGGTCCCAGCTGCCACCCCCGGCAACGGCGAGCTCACTCTCGGTACCAGCTCCACGGCTCCTGTTGCCGGCAGCCCCGACGCCACCGTTGTTGCCCCCCCTGTTGCTTCCACACACATCGTCACGATCACAATGCCTGATCAGTCCGTCGTAACAAGCACCCAAGTCGTCCATGTTCCGGTCACGTCTACTGTGTATGTGACAATCACCGGAGTTGGCTCAATCCCCACCACCATCAGTCAGGTCGTCACCTTCACCCCTACTGCCCCGCCCCCGGCTGCCACTACGGCCATTGAATCGGGCCAGGATGGCCAGATCACCACCAAGATTGTCAGCCAAACCACCAGCATTCACCAGACTGTTGTCGTGACCGTCACTGCCGGTGGTGAGAACACAGGCAGCCCTATCGTCTCGACTGTTACCATGACGCTCGAGGTACCCACTGTCCACCCGACTTCTATTGTTCCCTCAGCTGTCCCCATCGGTGGCGCTGTGCCTCCCATGGTGACCACAATTACTGAGGCCATCACCGTCACTGCTACTGCTACCGAGACGGCCACGGTGACCTCTATCTCTACCGTCACTGCCAACCCTGCAGAGTGCGTCGCCGCCACTGTCACCGCCAATCCCGCGGAGTGTGTTGCCACTACCGTCACTGCCAACCCTTCGGAATGTGTTGCCACTACCGAGACGGCCACAGTGACCTTTGTCTCTTCCGTCACCGCGCCTCCTGCGGCCACCACAGCTCCGGCCACAGAACGTCATGGCAAGAAACCCAAGAAGCATGCCCTTGATGCTCGCGCTCGGGGAGCCTATTAAGCTGGTGAAAGTCTGAATGGCTCCAGCTCCGGCTGGGCTGCTGACTGCTCAACGAGGCCGGCAATGTACCACGTCTTTGCTTTTCCCTTTTCAGGTCACTCACTTAACGCGTTACGGTCTGGGGTTGGTTCTGGTATGGGCCTGGAGCCTTGTTTTGTGGGCGATATTTCTCAAGTTCAATAGTTGCAGGTTCTCAAGAGGAGTCCGGCTCGACATCATGTATGAATTTGGTTGACCCAGGTACAAACGGCGCAGGTGGAACATTACTGTATTTTGTAGCACAATGAATATCGGTCCACACCGAGATAGCTTGCCGCTGCATGCTAAATATAGTGCGTGAACATGTAAAACGGGTTCCCGCGCGATGACTGTCATGGAATGGGCCTGCTAGGTAAGTCAAGAGCGTGAGGAACGAAAGCTTGGAATTTGCGATTGCACCAGAATAGCCAGAGTCTGTCAATTGTCTTATGGCTTTGAGCCTCTTTCCGTGGTCTCTATAGGGCCTTGGGATTGGGAAGTGCGTCAATTAAACGCAAAACGGGTGCGAGGGCAACCTTATTGTTAGAGATATGGGCTTGCCAACATTGGAAGTTCGGCACTGAACATGGTGGAAGTGAAGTGATCAGACTGGAACTAGGACAGAGAAAACCAGGTCAGGAGCTTCCTTTGCCCACCTGATTGTGGGTTTCAAGCCGTTTTAGTAGCTTATCCCAATCCACGCTGAAGTCGATGGAAGACCCCGAAGGTAAGTCTGTCAAGGCTGTGATTTGTCGCGGTAGTCCAGTCTCTCTGAGGATGAAGCTCGAAGTGGACCACCATTTTCAGCAAGACTCACTGTGGAAACTGGCGAGTTGTTTGATTATTCGACACTTCCGATCATTTGCCCTTGGCCTCAGAATTGGCATAGACAAAGACAATTGAGAGTGCTTGTGCGTTACTAACTCAATACTTGTCAACTTCTTGTCACTGTGCCACGGTGGTGGGGCAGAGCCTCGAGCTGTCCCGCTAAACCGCTTTTGGGGCGGGACCCCTGCTGTTGAAGGCCGCTTGAGCTCCGCGAAATGGCAGGAGCAAGGGGCAAGCCAGTGGGCGCGTTCAGGAACAACGTCCAGCCAGGACGTCAACCGTCACTTTGTTTCTACACTCCCATCGCACCCTCGACAACACGCCGGGACGCACCACTGCCTGTCTTTTCCGCGCCGTCGACACGACACGAGGCAGCCTGCCCAGACTAGAGGATTGGTCACGGTCGCCGCCCATCAACCATCTTCAAGCCCCGTGCACCCCGAACGAGAAACTTGGGGGAAGCTGGCGTCAAGGTGGCAGTGGAGCTGCCAGAGTACCACACACGACAACCGCACCTCCACGACAATTGTGAGCAGCCACGCCCGCTGCTGCGAACATACGGCGAACCGCTAGGCGCAGCCAAGTCAGCTCACCACAAACATATCTCTCTCTGTGGACAGACCCCAACGAGACACCCACCGCTTTGCTGCCAGGTCCAGGCTCCAGACCGCCTGGCCCTAACACCCTCAAAAGCAACCCTTCGCCATGACAGACTCCCTCCACAATGCGCCGATAGTGCTCGACAACGGGTCGGGGACGATCCGCGCAGGCTTTGCGGGCGACGACTTGCCAAAATGTTACTTCCCGTCGTTTGTCGGCCGGCCCAAGCATCTCCGCGTGCTTGCGGGCGCACTCGAAGGGGAGGTCTTTATTGGCCAGAAGGCGGCCTCCGAGCTCAGGGGCTTGCTCAAGATCCGATACCCGCTCGAGCATGGCATCGTCACGGACTGGGACGACATGGAGAAGATCTGGGAATATGTGTACAGCGAAGGACTCAAGACGATGAGCGAGGAGGTAAGATTGGGAGACACTCCGATGACTGTGTTGGTTTGCTCGAGGACAACGAACTGACAGAGGATTGCCTGCAGCACCCGGTCTTGTTAACAGAGCCGCCGCTCAACCCAAGATCACACCGAGATACTGCTGCACAGATCCTCTTTGAGACATTCAACGTGCCCGCTCTCTACACATCGATTCAAGCAGTCCTCTCTTTATACGCCAGTGGCCGTACCACTGGATGTGTGCTAGACTCGGGAGATGGTGTGTCGCACGCCGTTCCGGTATACGAAGGCTTCGCCATCCCCTCGTCCATCCGGCGTATCGACGTTGCGGGTCGCGACGTGACTGAGCACCTTCAGACACTGCTGCGGAAGAGCGGCTACATTTTCCACACCTCCGCCGAGAAGGAGGTCGTCCGGCTCATCAAGGAGTCCGTATCATATGTGGCGCTCAACCCCAAGCAGGAGGAGAAAGACTGGGCCAGCAGCAAGCTCGAGCAGGGCAAGTCTGCCGAGTATACGTTACCTGACGGCAACAAGCTACGCATCGGCCAGGAGCGGTTCCGCGCGCCAGAGATCCTGTTCGACCCCGAGATCATTGGCCTCGAGTACCCCGGCATCCAACAGATTGTGACCGATTCGATCAACAGGACCGATCTGGACCTGCGCAAGGCTCTGTATGCCAACATTGTGCTATCGGGTGGCAGCACGCTCACCAAGGGCTTTGGTGACCGCCTGCTGAGCGAAGTCAAGCGGCTGGCGGTGAAGGACATGCGCATCAAGATCTTTGCGCCGCCGGAGAGGAAGTACTCGACTTGGATAGGAGGCAGTATCCTTGCTGGCCTTAGCACGTTCAGAAAGGTATGTATTCTGTACAGTGAATTGTGGTTATGCTCACCATGTCCACCGAAGCTAATTACGAACACTTTGCAGATGTGGGTCAGCATCGACGACTGGCACGAGAACCCGGACATTATTCACACCAAATTGACGTGAGCGGTTGTGCGTGTGCAACCCGGATACTTCTAGTTCAACTTGTGCATATATCATTGATCGTTGGGGAGCGGAGGGGGAAGGTGTGTCACGTCAGCCGAGAAGGTGAACGAGGTGAGGATGCTGGGAGTGTAGAGGGGAAGGGCGAAGAAAAAAGACACACAAAAAGAAATGCTTCTAGAGTGGAACGAGTTATCTAGATTAATGATACCCAGGAGTTGCCAGCGTTTTGTTCTGCCTCTGACTGCAATCCTGGCACGCGTTGCGCGTCCCTGCACCTGTTCTCTTCTCCGGTTCTATAAATCATCAGCAGGAAAGGTGACCGGTTGTTGTTGTTGTTGTCCACAGGCACTGTAGTATCAGTAGTCGCCATCGTTACTATACAGATATGTACACATGCCTCCCCGTGTACATCCACTCAATGACAGTCTATTTACCTCAGAGCCCCTCGGCAGATTTGGTGCCGCCCGACAGCTCGAGCGTTCCTAGATGTGAAGTGATGGTAGGCTCTACACCGACTCCCGTTGACGGTCCACTCAAAGAGAGTCAAAGTCGAGATCAGAGCCTGTTTTCTCACACGTAGAAAATGAGGTCGCCCGCGAATTTTGAGATGGGGCGAAACAGGATGGCAGGGGGGGTCTGCCTTTTTCCGTAGGGTACACACTCCCTTGATCCATATTTATGCTTCATTTACACGGAAGGAAGCAGGTTGTTCCGTGTGTTCTAATCACAGGTGTGGTCTAGACTAGGGCCATTTTCGGGGCTGGGATTTGGGAGGGAGGCATCGCAGGTAGGCATGGGCGTGCCTTACCAACGAGCGTACATATTAAGCGTGGGTGTGGTGTTTGGGTTTGACGCATAAATGGCCGTGGGGAGATTGTAGATGACCACGTTGCCGTTGCGGGAAAATGTTGGTGATCAAACTACGGACATAGTCCGCAGTCTCAGGCCATACAGGGACATATTCCGGGTTTCACTGTGTCAATGACAACTTGGCTTCAGTGCATGTTGCTTTGGGTGTACATGGTACTGTTCTGGGCACTTTTGACATCACGCAAATCACAGGAAACGAGGTCAGATTGTATGTTTATGTCTCATGATTGTATTGTATTGGTACAATAAGCGAAAAATTCAAAGTGGTATCTTGGGGGTTGGGTATATCCGTCCGTTAAAAACAACAAATCCGATCGCTACCAGAATAAAATTCACCAGATGACAAAAATTGACAAGAGAAGAAGCAGTGAAATGAACACCACCCGCCATTTGCGTGCCTCTCGGAAAAGATTGAGCTGCAATGCAAATGCCCCGGAATCTGCCAGCCAGGGATGAGCGGGGGGGTATAATCGTCTGCACCGTAAAGGATCTCTCGCAGTGGAGCTTTGTCTCTGAGGCCCCAATGATGATTGTGTGTCGCTGTGCTTTGTAAATGTGATGATGTGGGGAATGAGATGAAAATCCAAAAGCAACTTTTCCGTCGTTCCTTGCTCCTTTGTGCCGCTGATGTTTGGTTACCCGAGTTCAAGAAGTCAACCCGAGGGCATTATTGTGTCGTCATTGTGAATAAGAGAGAAGAGTGTCATGATCCGCTGCGCCGTGCTGAGGAATAATCAAAGGCAATAAATGCAAAAAGAGGCTTGTTTCTCAGTCCTTTGAGAAACGCTCTAGTGCTTGCTGCCGAGGCTCAGACGGGCAAAGAATCCGGAGCGGACGCTGGAGGAGCTGGTGGAGGAGCGGTGGCTCGAGGCATCGCTGCCCTTGCGGACGGGCACGCTGTCGACGGTAGCCTTGGAGTAGGCATTGCCGGCGCCGCCACGGCCGACGTGGCCACGCAGCTTCTGCTCGCGAGCGGACTGGCGGGCGTACTCCTCGTCAAAGGAGATGATGGGGCGCTCAGCCTTGGCGTGGGCGTTGCCAGCACCGCCGCGGCCCGAGTAGAAGCGGGCAGAGGTCGGGGGCATGGGCTTCACAGTGGAGGTGACGCCCGAGGCAGGCGTGGTGACGGGGGCACGGAAGTGGTTACCAGCACCGCCACGGCCGGCGTGGATGAAGGCGTCCTTGGCCACGGTGGGGTGAGGCTCGTTGATGGTGTAGCGAGGCATTGTTGTAGATGAGGTTGTGTGAGAGTGGTGGTGGTTTGTGGTGTTGATGGTTGTTGTTGTTTGTTGTAGGTATGTATGAGTATGTGTGTGTGTGTGTGTGTAAGTGGTGGTTACTCTGTTGATGGGCAGGCGTGTAAGTGGGCGATCAGGTACAGGCCAGCTCGGGGCAGGAACGATGGTCTAATATAGCCGTGGCAGTCACGGCAGGAGGAGGCCACACCACCTGAGCCAAGAATAAAACATTTGCAGCCAAGGATTTGCAACCGTCTCGTGCCACGGACAGATTCTTTTCTGCGGGCCGGGCGTGGATGCAAATCCGGGGCGGTGATGGCGTGTGCGTGTTTTGGTGCTGGCGCCACGGGCATTCATCAGCCGGCGTCGAAGGTTCCCGCAACGTGACCACCAGAGACCGCCAGAGCCCGCCAGAGACCTGGGCAGGGAGCGAAAAAACCTTGTGCAAAAAAACACTTGCGGCGCCGCAGTGGGCCCGGGCTGGTGGAATCCGGGGTAGCAGGACCGTCGAGGCAGGCGCGTGACGGCGACGGCGGGCCCGGCCCTGGCAAGCTTTTAGGTAACACATTGCTGTGCCGAGCCACTACACACCACTCGAGCCCATCACGCGGGCCTCACATTACCTAACGTTTACCCCATCATTTGCACTCCCCTGCCAACCGCTCCAAAGCACGCAACCAACACACGATGCATTGACCGAGCTGGCGTGTTCCAGTGTCGCAGTGTGCTGGCTGGCCGGCTGCACCCCTCGCGTCTCCGCGGGTGTCGCCATTATTGTCTCTCCTCGTCATTGTCTCGCAACATTGCACAACAATCAGAGCATCATCAACAACATGACCGTCAGCGCTGACGACATCGGCACCTGCCCAGCTGGGCTCAGCACTCGGCTTCAGCGCATCTCATGGCACCAGCCAGCGTCCACGGCGGTGCCGAGAGGGCGAGCTGGCCGCAGAGCCTCATTCACAGCCGCCGCGTGTGCATACCCAAGACGGCATAGCAAAACCTTGCAGGTCCAGTCATTCCAAGGATTTTTCAGCCAGTGGCACCATCTGGCAGCGTGCTGTGGTGCCCCCGGGCCCGCGCATTGGTTGCGCTACTCTAATTAGTTGCCCTAACTCCTCACGCCCAGCTTGCGCCTGGCCGGCGTCGCGGCTTCGGGCACTATTTTCCTTGACGCCTGCAGCCTGTGGACCAATAGCAGTGCTTGCTGAGGCCATATGACTACTGTCTGCGCGCGCTGGCGGTCGCCCCCTCTCGCGCCCGCGAGATCTGGCACCTGCGAGATCCCATCCGCGCCAGGCCCCTGGGTCAGGGCGCACACCGGCGCCGTCCGCCCTGCTGCAGGCCGCCCAGGCTCGGTCACCTGCGGCATAGCTGGGCAACAGCTTTCACTGCCATTGTGAATGCAGTAGACGGATTTAGGGGCGAGGTCGGTCTGCTGGAGCGAATGACGCCGTGGAAGGCGAGAGAGGACGTGCTTCCATGTCAGGCACACACACACACCTTGGTCATGCCGCCATCGCCGTTGTCGCACCTTGATGACACAGCAAGGCGCCTCCTCGACGGCAGTGACCTTCTTCGCCTCCTGGCCAAGATTTCTTTCGGTGACGAAGTGTGTGACTCAACACCGCCAGGGCCGAAGATCGCCTGGAGTGGCTGCCGTTCAATCGCTGAGAGCCTGCCACAGACTGGTCTCGCGCACGTCTCAGCCCTTGCCCACAATGCTCTTTGGCAGGGGCGGCACAGAACAGGGAAGGAGGGGGAGGAGCAAAAAAAAAAAGCTCAGTGACCCCTCGCCACCCCTGTCCGGTGCCTGCAGCAAGCGGCCGTGGACAAGCGCCAAGTCAGTCTAGAAACCTGGGGAACCTCGTCACAAGGGCGGGAAAAAATGACGACAGAAACTCGTGCTCTTGCCCAATCCCTGCTGCCCCTGCCCACTGCCCCCTGGGCATTGGCCTGGACCTAACCAAGCAAATGACAAAGAAAGCTCGGAACCAGATGCATCAAAACGGGACAGCTGACCAGCCAAACTTTTTCCGCTGTTTGTGGCCCAGCCCCAGGCGACACGGCGGACGCCGACATTGGACGCTGCCGCCTACCTGTGTGCACTGCACGGGGTCAATGCGGATCCTACATCACTGATCAATGCCACTTGGCGCGCTCGAGATGATTGGCAAAAAACATGTCGTGTCATGTGTCTATGGCTTGGACCTCGTGGCAAGTCTGCGCACAGCAGGCCAATCCGATTTTTCGATGCAGCGCGGCAGCCTGCTATTATGTCCATAGCACATGCGAGATCAGCGCCGATGATTCGTCTAGCAGGTGTTCTAGGACTGCATGTCCGTAAATCTCCCAACTGCAAGCAAGTACTGACCTTGCTCGCCCATGTGCCGTGCCGTGCGGAGGTTTGCTTATTTACGGGCAGGCTATCCACGCGGGGCGTTTACTGCAGTGCACGAAGTGTAATGTGTCGATCAAATAGCTGCATGGGGATTCCCAGCAGCAGGCACAACTCCCGATTTGGCCTCAACCAGGGAAATGCCGTTGTAGTGGTTGGGCAGCTCTGACAAGTGAAGGCGTTCATTTCCTAGCATCCCGCTAGTCTCTTCTCAGCTGTCCATAGTCTTCTCGACATACTCGTCATATCTCACAGGAAACAAGCTGGGCCTCTGCCATTCTCTTGCGTCTCTGGTGTGTGTAAGACACCTCCAAGGTTGCTCGACAGCTATATCAAAGGAAAAGTCCATGGCCAGGGACGTGATTCGAAAATGGACATGGCCGGCTTAACCCAGTTCTAGATCTGGAAACCACCAGAGTCAACTTGGCACTTCTGCATCCGACATAAAATCAATGGCATACGCACACGCACACGCAGAGACACAGACACACACACATATTCACGCCCACACGTACGCATAGGTGGAGAACTGATTGTTTGTTGGTATATACAAGGTCTATATATTACGTCAGAACCAGAGCCCGGTCCTCTCAAACAAGTTAAACTGTGAGCAAGACCAAACTCCTTCCAGGAAAACAAGCGTTATGCGCGTCGAACCCTCGCGCGCCCCATGTCTATATTCTTTCGTACGCAGGTCTCTCTATCGTCCAATTCTCACCTCCTGCCGTCTTTGGGCTTCTCCGCGGCAGGCTCGTCCGTGATCCAGTCCGGCTCGACGAGCCACGCGTCCGACGGGATGAGCGCCGTCTCCTGGACGAGGTCGCACCCGCCGTGGCCCCACTTCTGCCGGTACACCTCGCGCCCGGCCTCGGCAAGGATCCAGAAGGACTGCGCGAAGCCGTCCGAGTTGTAGTAGTACGGCTCGCCCTGCCCGCCGCGCTGGGAGAGCTGCCACGTGTTGCGCCACTCGTCGTCCCGGTACTTGTACTTGCCCATGTCGTTGCCCGTCTTGACGAGCTTGCGGAAGTACGACAGCGAGCCTTCAATGGCCTCTGGGTCGTCGTCGCGGTGCGGCTCGTCGCCGTCGTCCCGCCGGCGCAGGCGGACACGCTCAGTAGGCTTGTCCGCGTCCTCGGCGGCCTTGTGGGCCGCGGCGATCTCCTCGTCGACTTCAGACGTGGCGCCTGCTGCTGCTGCTGCTGCTGCTGCTGCTGCTTCGTCCGTCGACGCTGCAGCTTCCTGTTCTTCTTCTTGCTTGGGCTTCTCCTCCGCCTTGCCTTCCTCCTTGGGCTTCTCCTCGGGCGGGTTTGGGTCGGTCCACTTGGGCTCGACATTCTTGTCGCGGTACAGCACAATGAGGTCGTCAAGGACCGTCGAGACGTCGTTGATGATGCCGATGCGGCGGTGCTTCATCGTCCAGCCATCCATGGCCAGGCGGGCGTTCATGTCGCAGTCGCTGCCGTAGTAGGGCATCAGGTTGTCCCAGCCGCCGACGGCATCCATGGCCTCGCGGTTCACGAGCGTCAGATGGTCATACTGGAACCAGCGGAAGGCCCAGTGGTCCTCGCGGTCCAGAGTCGTGTTGAGCTCCCGCAGCGCGTTCTCGTAGATGGTGCGGTACCCCTTCTTGCCTGCGGCCGGCGGGTTCATGATGTCGTGCTTCTCGTCGTCGTCGTAGAACTCGAACTCGCGGTCGCCGGGGCGGTGGACGGTGTCGGCGCCGTCCTCGAACGAGTACACCAGGCTGTCCTGGTGCGAGTAGAAGTAGTACGGCCACGCCCTGTTGTGCGCCTCGGACAGGAAGAAGTTCTGCATCTGGCTGAAGGTGAGCAGCACCGGGGTCTGCAGGACGGTGACGCCGAGGCGCTTCAGTACCGCGTGGTTGAGGTAGAACGGGTTCTGGAGTGAGAGCTTGCCCTGCCGGTTCGAGAACTGCACGCCCGTGTTCTCGACGACGATGATGGACTCCGGCGGCCAGCCGGCAGTGATGTACGAAACCACGCACTGCAGCAGCATCGGCCACTGGCGAGTGAAACCGATGAAGAGCGGCGGGACGTAGTCGAGGCCGTACTCGTGGTGCATCTCGTGACGGGGCACGTTGTACGAGGGGATCGGCGGGGGGCGCTCGCCGCGCTCGAGGAGCGGGAACGGGTCTCTGATGGGCGGCGGGACGTGAGTCGGAACGGGCTTCATCTTCGGGGCCGGATGGCCGTTGTTGGGACGCTTGGGCGGCCGGCCGTTGGCAGCGACATTGCCTGGGTTGCCCTTGTTGCCGCCCGGGGTGGTGGCGCCGAGATTCGAGATGGGCAGGTTCTTGAGGAACTCTGAGCTCTGGCCCTCCTCGAGCAGGTACGAGGCGGTGATGATGAGGCCGAAGAAGATGAAGACAAAGATGCCCGTGACGCCACGGCGCAGGCTGAAGATGCCCCTCACCATGATGCGTGAGAGAGAGGTGTGTGTATGCGTGGATCAGGGGTCCAGGGCCCTGGTGCCGGTGTCGAAGGGAGTAGGGAGTGGACGCACGCCTTTATCGTGAGCGGCTCATCGGGTCTGGTCGGTCAGTCGGTCGGTTGCGTGTTAGGACGCGGGAGTAGACAAGATGACCTCGTTCTATGCCAGAATTGAGGCAATTGCGGCAAGCAGAGGAAATGTGGCCGGCAGCAACGGAGGTCTTGGAACCAAACAAAAAAACACGGCGGTCGTCGAGGAATGGGGCCGCGCGCGACAGGCCAGGGGTGGTGGCCCAGTATAATCTGTTCCATGCAGCGAACCGTTACGCGTATCAATGCGCTCTGAAAGACCACAGCTTTGTGGTCATTTCTGCAATCAGCTTAGGAATAAGAAGTTGCCTGCCAGACATCGAACTCTTCCGGGCACAGGCACTTCATAAGCCATTGATTGAGACGAGACTTGCTGTACATATCCGTGGTAGACGGTGTCGAAACCACGTTAGGCTTGAACGGCACTTATCAATGTTCCCAGGGGCGGGAGCTAATTACGACAATGACCGGGGGCGCATGAGGTAGAGAGACATGCTGCACGCACTGTAACGCGAACCGTGTGGGGTCTTAGCGTCGCCAGGGTCTTCGCATCTTCATGTCGTCACCAAGTCGCTTTCTCTGCAGAGCACCATCAACCGACTGCGATGCATTGATGGTGCACCATCTCTTCCCCCTCGTCGCCAACCCACCCTCACTCTGATCACCGCAGCACGACAGCCGGGATGAGGCATGCCACCCCGTCTCGCAGGCTCTTTTCTCACGTCGGTGGCCCAGCGGCAGGCACAGTTCACAGCCGCCTCTCTGGTGGCCAGCCCGACATCGGCAGCCGCCTTCCTTCACAGCACCGCTCGTCGTCAGGATGCACAGATTGACAAGGCGCGCAACCACTATGAGGCATTGAAGCTCGAGCCAGGCGCCACGCCTGCGGACATCAAAAAGTTCGTTTCCCTGTCCACCATCGGCAGTTTTTGCCGCGTCTCGTGACCTCGATCCTAAAACCTCGTGCTCTCCTCCCAGGTCATTCTACAAGCTGTCCAAGGCACACCACCCCGACCATAACCGCAATGACCCGTCCGCATCGAAGCGCTTTATGCGCATTAGCGAAGCCTACAGCACGCTTTCCATCCCAGCGAAGCGGGCCGCCTACGATCGGGACCACATGAACCTCAACAAGTCCGCGGTTAGTCGATCAGGCTCGTACTCATCCACCGGTCCAGCTGGCGGTCGTCCGGCATCTGGTCTTAGCAAACGTCGCGGCACCTATCGTGGTCCGCCACCCAGCTTCTACCGCAGTGGAGGCTGGGGCGGCCACACGGAGAAGCGGAGGGAGGCTCACGATGACAGCACTGGCGGCGCGGGCAGTGGCCGCGGGAGCTCTTCGACGACCAAGGACCACTGGTCAGCGTCAGGCACGAGTCCTGGCGGCATGGGGCCTGGGCAAGATCCCTTTGGCCATGCAGACGATGTGCCGCACTTTGACCGTGTGAGCCACGAGAAGACTGGGCGTAACCAGGAGGCCATGCGCGCCGCCCGTCGTCGCTCGGGGCTACCTAGAGATTTTGACGTCACTAGAGGCACGGGCGGGCTGGCGGGGTCGTTCTTCCTGATCAGTGGATGCATAATACTAGTCCTTCTTGCGCCGTTGACATATGGCTCGGCAACAAGTAAGAAGACGAAAGAGAGCAAGACATGATCTTTACGAACTAGATGAATATATCGGTAAAGAGCCAAGCATGCGCCATAGAGTTGTCAGCTATGAATAAGAAAATTACCACCAATTCTGAGGATGTTTGCATATGTGGCGCAGCCAGTAAAGTAGAGTCCGTCACAAGGTAGGGACCCGCAAATGGCGTCAGTAAATGGCATCTTGAAGATGGAATCTTGTACTGAGACGCAGTCATCACTACTCCCCAGATTGACCAGACCACACATTGATAACGCCTGGTGCGTTTTTGTGTTGTGTGTTTGACCTTGTTCGAAGTAGATCGAACTCACTGGGGTTACTCCACGTATCTGCGCGCTCCCTGAACGATCTAGGGTGAGATAGCCCATCGTGCAGATTCTGGGGTAGTGCGGAGAAGTTCCCGGTCCGGGATGAGGTTATCCGGAACTCTAGGTTCAGCCGCTTACACGTGGCGCTGGTGCAGCTAATTGTTTAATTCGAGTCCAAGTAAAAATCAGCCCGAGATAACAAGGCGACACTGACAGTGTCGTTCACATTTGAAGAACACAATAAACGCTTCTGTCAGGCTCTCAAATCCCGAGAGTCAGCGTGAGTTGTTGTACATTCGTCGCATCATAACACATCGAACGCTTTCATACCACTCAATCGAAGTGGCCAGTATGGCGGAGGCGTCTTCATTGACATCTTCTTCAACTCCTGCCATGACTGCAAACCGCGGCGACGCCCCGCCGGGCAAGCTCCTCAAATACACGAGCTACCTCTACCGCAATCCGTCTCTCACTGAGGCGGAGTTCCACGAGCACTGGCGCTCCCGCCACGCCCGCCTGCCCATCGCGGCGATGAAGAAGCACGGCATCGTCAAGTACTCGCAGTACCATTGCACCAGGGCCACGCGGGAGCTCGCGCGGCCGTCGTCCGAGGGGCGGAAAGCGGCGAACCGGCACGTCCAGTACGACATGTTTGAATATGATGCGGTGGTGCAGATCTGGGTCGAGGATATTGATGCCATTGCCAAGATGGGTGGGGAAGATGTCTTTGTGGACAAGATCTTTGCGGACGAGGAGTACCTGTTTGATCGGAAGCGGTGTCATGTGTTGGTGGGCTGGGAGGAGGACATCCTCGTGGATGGCAAGGTGCTCATCCCGGGATATGATGAACAGACTGAGGGCAGGCAGTGAGATCGGGAACCACGAGCACTTATGTTTCAATGTAGCAATGATTGGTCACATGGAGACTCATGATTCCAGTACAGCAACGACTAGGATATCGTTGCAAAGCCTTATCGCCCTCGTGTGACAAAATCTGCATGAGAATGGTGGCCTTCGCCAGCAAGTCAGAGACGTGAAATTGCCGTAGTTGTTATTTTGCATATTCAGTAATACGCATACCCTGCCTGCCACATCTTTGATTACTGCGAACACCAGGTGACATTGAGCAGAGTTACTATTATCCGGAAAAGCCGGGGGGTCGCAATATTGGCTTTCTCGACTCCAGATTCCTTCTCATAATCATGAATCATGAATCAGAATCCAAGATTCAATGTCCTAGGAAACTGTTACATGAACCCGTCAGAGTCTGTCGGCGCCGTATCATTCACGACAATGGACCCGCCGTTCTTGTAGGTGGTCCCCTGCAAGCATGATAACGGAACATGCAACGTCGTGAATTAAACGAACGCGCTGTAACTGTAGAGAGCGGAGCAGATTGACTCCTACGGCTCAATTTCTCTGTATGCAGCATATGTAAGGCGCTCCTAGTTATTCCTGTGCATTGGGTAGTTGCAGGAATTGCACAGTGCTGGATGAACCCAGGCAGAAAAGAGTGGAGAGGGTTAAGGACGACTGGGCAGAAAGCCAGTGCGCGCGCACGACTCTACACAGTACATATACTGTCCAAGGTCATCTCCGACCGCTGTCCACGGCGTCGATGCTTCCTGCACTTCCATCAACACGACACAATCCACAGTGGTGGGTACGCTGCGGCAATCACATTAACTATCAACGCTACTAAGCGTTCCTGTCACAATTTCACCAGGTCAAAATGTCACGAAAACAGCCGAGAGGCGAGTACATCGAGACGGTGAGCCATCTTTGAGGGTCTCCCACACTCATGGCGACAGTGGGACGGCAGCTAATCCTGGGCTATCTTAGGACACGGGCAACAAGGTCGCCAGGAAGGCCGTCCTCGTGGGCACGCAACACATCATGCTAGGAGGCAAGACCGTCATTCAGGCAGAGGCCATGATCCGTGGTGATCTCTCCCGCACGGCTTCATCAGCGGCATCAGGTGCTGCAGCTGGCGCAGCTCCGGCTTCAAACACTGCCGTCGCCATCGGGCGCTACTGCTTCCTCAGCAAAGGCTGCTGCTTGACACCGCCGGGCCGTACATACAAGGGGTGAGCCAGAATGAGCGAACATTAAGCCACTGCACCAATGCTGACTGGGGTTGCGCTTTAGTGCTTTCACATACTTACCCCTACGCTTGGGAGATCATGTGTTCGTTGGAGAGGGTGCAGTCGTACAAGCAGCCACCATCGGATCCCACGTACATATCGGGCAGAACGCGGTTGTCGGAGAGTTTGCAATCATCAAAGACTATGTGCGCATCTTGCCAGACACCGTGATACCCGCCAACATGGTCATCCCGAGTTTCAGCATTGTTGCTGGCCAACCAGCCCGAGTTGTCGGCGAAGTCCCAGAGGGTGGCCACGAGGCGTTTGAGCTTAAGGAGCTCTACAAGACGGTCGGCAACAACCCGCAGCCCATGGCGATATAACCAATGGCTCTCTTTGTTCGGGTCGAGCCAGCCAGTCGACATGGTCTGTGTGAAGAAAACAGATGCGCTGTGTTGGCGGCTACCTGGCTATCGGAGTTGTGTCTGCCCTTTCTCCAGTGCCCGCTGGAAACTTGGACTCTTTCTCCGAAACCAACCACAGCTCAGTGACAAAAGTTATTAAAGTAGCAGGAGGCCAGCGTCTTGTGCCCTCAACGTCGACGTCAGACACCATCCAAACCACACAAACTCCACATGGGAATTACACACCCTGTCTCTTCTGTTTCGCAGATACACAGAAGCACAACCAGCCCCAGAGACACAGTCTGAGCCTATACCAACACCACTCTATCACAATCGTCTGAAGCAGACCCAACAACTGCACCATGAATCAACACGCATATGTGGCCGCCACACAACAATGGCCAAGGTCACTCCTGAAATGGGTCAAACAACAGCGTGCTATGGAACGCTGGGACACAATCCCTTCGGGCACTCCATCGCCATCATCACCGATATCACTGCCGCGGACGCACTCAGAGCACTCAGCCACCCAATCACCATTGCCTCCGCCACCCACACCAGCGGACAACTCAACCACTTCACCAGGACTACCATTGCCACAGGTGCAGTCGGACCAAGGCGCACACAGGACGAGCTTCTTCCACCAGGAAGAGCACAACTACGTCTCGGTGATATCGTCCTCACCAGAGGGGCCTCAACTACAATTGGCCTCGGGTGTCCATCGACAAGGCCCCCGTACGATCTCATCTTCAGATGCCCACAACCAAAGTCCAGAAATCCAACGCTCGCCGGGCCATGCAATTCCAGACCTCGAAAATGTACCTCGTCCAACTACACAGGATGGGGAACAGCTGAATACAAACGACGGTGGAGATGATCATACAGCGCCGCTATCCGAAGGCCACCACCTCCCTACGCCGCGCCCATCGTACGTGGCTGCCGCAGCGCAAGCCCGCGACCTCATCCGCTTCAGAGGAGCTGCTCGTCAACTGATCAGGAGATCGCCTATCTTGGCTAAACAAGACTTTCATTATGTTGTTCAGCTAGCCAAGTTTCGACATATCAAAGGGCTACAAGATGCGGATTACAACCACAGAGAGATTATGGAAGAGTTCGCGCGGCTACAGAGATCGGCTCGGCGCGCCAAACTTCGTCGCACAAAATACAACGCTAGGCAATGGAGGAGATCTATCCGCCAAGCCGAGGCAGAACGACACAACAGCAACCACAAGAGTTCTGTGGAAACCACCATGGATTTGCAACCACTAGATCCACTTACTATTGGTCTATCCAACCCGGAAGCATACTTGTACGACTATCCCAAGGAAGATTCGGATTCGGACTTGGACTCCGAGACAGACAGCGACACAGAGATGGACGACAGCGACGACCCCGATGTGGAGGAAGAAGAGACAGACTACGTATACGCGACCACTTATGAGTACGTGTCTGCGAGTGACAGCGAGGAAAGCTGAGCTTTATGGATCGCATTTTTCATGTAGGAGAAGGACCACTTGTACAGATTGGAGCTGGAACGAAACGTAGCGGAAAAACGGGTATATGCAGCATATCTTAAGGACCCTTGTAGCCCATATTGTGGCTTTTGTTCCATACGTGTTACTGTGACTGGTAATGGACAATGGTACAACATCGACTCATCTATTACCTTGCGTAAATTCTCCCTCGCGTGCTGCAGTGACGTATGAGTACACCATGTTTGGGCTTCGTCTGCTTGCGAATAGGTATTTATCCGCCTGCATGACAATTTTTCAGGCGGCTCACGAACTCAGGCCCAGCCTGTCCTCGATGATAGCCACTATTTCGGTCCACTCCATCATCGCGCCATCTCCAATATCACCACAGGCCAGAATCTTGTGCTGCGGCCTCAGCACCTCGAACCACCCATCGTTCTCCTGTTCTTCGCTCTCTTTCGCCCCATCCCGTGCTATGTTCCTGTCAGCTTCCTCAGTATCAGTCCTTGAACCGGCTGAGGGTGTCTGTCCCCTGTCCCCGCCATTCATGGCCTCCTTCTCTCCAGCAACACCCCATTCTTCCTCGAGCACGCGGAGCTGCTTCGCCGTGACCGGGTGCCGCCACATGGCTGTGTTCATCGCTGGTGCGACAATGATGCGCTTCTTCCGACTGCTGCGCTGCCTCGTGATCGGGCCTCTGCTTGCCTGCTGCTGCTGCTCTTCGCCCCTCACAGCCCCGTTACTACTAATACTGCTACCACCACCACGAACCACATCGGTGTCCAGCTCGCCCCTCGCATCCCACGCCCTGATGACAGAGGTCAGGATCCCGTCCGCGAACCCGTTGACAATCTTGGCCATGGTGTTGGCGCTGAGGGGTGCGACGACGAGCATGTCCGCCCAGCGCCGCAGCTCGATGTGGAGGATCGCGTTGCCGCGCTTCCACGGCTCCCGCCACTCGTCCTCGTCGAGGTGGATCCCGTCCACCCCGGGGATGTCGAGCAGGGACTGCAGGCGCGGCTGCTCCGCGGACTGGCCGTCCAGGAAGCGGGCTGCTGAGGGGGTCAGGAGGATGCGGATGCTCAGGCCGCCATGGGCGCTGTCTTGTTGTTGTGACGATGAGCCCTGTGCAGGTTGGGAGTACCGTTCTGACAGGGTCTTTACTATCAGGGGTAGCTTGATGGTTGCGACGGAGCCGGAAGCCGCGAGGAGGAGGTGGACTTTGTTGTCCGAGAGGGACGAAGTTATGCCCTCGATAGCGGAGGACTGGCTCATTTTTTGGAGCTTTTATATGAGAGAGATATCTCCCCTCGCAGTGCTTTTGTATTGGAGACAATGATCTGGGATCGGATGATGCGGAGAGATGTGTAACGGATGTGGTGGATTTCGAGGTTCAGATGCCGACTAATATGGAGCAACCCAGCGGCTCAATATGGTCTTTATTTGAACTGCGTCTATAAGTGTAGCTGGACCAGATTTTTGCGAACGTTTTAGCCCGTAGAATGTGGCGCAAAGCACTTTTCTTGTCGTGTGAGTGAGGACGTTTATACTGGCAGTATGGAGTTGAAAAGGTATGGTAGCTGCGGCGCTGTTTGCCTTATACAGCCTCGTAACAAATTGCAGAAGTTGCTTGATTTGTGAGACGCTCGCCGTCCGTGAGTGAGCTTCCGCGGGGTTCTAGACAAGCCCCCTGTAACGTTTGCCCTGGGGGGACTCTGCTGCTGACTTAGCACTGCTTGTCGGCAACTCCATTGGTCGCAGGGCCCCCGGCGCCGGCACACTTGCAGCGGCTTCGGCACTCCTTACATCATCCGCCCATGTCCTTCTAATCGGGACCGTTGGTCGGGTGTGCACCAAAATTCGATGCCCGCCGCCATTGCGACATCGTGCTAGCCAGATCCAACATCACCACCACCCCATTGCCACCTTGCAACGCCGTATTCCCGCCTGTGCCCTGCGACACATCAACTCGCACGTCTATACTTTTCCAACATTCACATAAAGCAAATATAAGGGAGACGGCAACGCTCCAACACGCGAAGATGTTCCAGCGGTCGCTCTTCACAGCTGTACGTCTGATCGAACCCCATCCCGACTCGCATCCTGGCGCACAAGATGTATAGCTCTCGCATGGACCGACACGCCGAAGCTACGGGCCGTGCCCTACGCCTTGCCTACTCTCCTTCCTTTCCCACGATGCCGTTTTCTCCGTACTGATAGCTTCACCCTCATCCCAGACCCTGCGGCAAGCAGCCCGCCCCATCGCCCGCCAAGCCACCTCCCCATTCATCAGCAGATCCAGCACAACCGTCCTTAACAACCCCTCGACGCTCTTCACCCCGTCCCAACAGGCGCGCTTCCTCTCCGCCAACACGCGCCAGGCGATCGAAAAGGCCGTCGCCTCGGCCCCCGTGGTGCTCTTCATGAAGGGAACCCCCGAGATGCCCCAGTGCGGCTTCTCCCGGGCGAGCATCCAGATCCTGGGCCTCCAGGGCGTGGACCCGGAGAAGTTCGCCGCCTTCAACGTCCTCGAGGACGACGAGCTGCGGTCCGGCATCAAGGAGTTCAGCGACTGGCCCACCATCCCGCAGCTCTACATCGACAAGGAGTTTGTCGGCGGGTGCGACATCCTCGTCAGCATGCACCAGGACGGCTCGCTGGCGAGCATGCTCGAGGAGAAGGGCGTTTTGGCGCCTGGCGGTGGTGGTGCTGCCGCCGAGGAGGAGGCCAAGTGAAGGATGCCACATTGGCTTTAAGTAATTCTGGTCAGAGGCATGGGCCATGGGGGGGACTTTTTAGATGGGCTCGGGAAAGGGCATGTCCTCCCCGAAATCCATGCCGTCCTAGCTGTGCGGAAAGCCAGGCTGAGATCAACTTGCGACCAAGTTATTTTTCAGACGTTTCTAATGTCGCGGGCGGGCTTCGAAGCTTCGTAGACAAGTGTATAATGTAACGACCATGTACGATATGATTGCTGATGACAAAGCACCCGTCCACAATTTGACATGCGCATCAACTAGACCAACCATGTTGCAGAAACCAAGATGTCTAGACCAGAGTCTATTCCTCTGATCATCGGATTGATGCGCCATGTTTTCTAGAGTGCTCCTGGTGCTCTATTCATGGGCCCTCGTCTGATTCATGCTGTTTCCTATAAGCATCTACATTACGCAGGATAAGCCGCACCGTCACCACGAGGATCACTACCAGCGCTCCACACTCCGGCTCCGTCCTCCAGCGGATCGACCGCCCACCGGATGATCTGGCCCCTCCCAAACAAGGCGCGGCCCATATCCTTGACGACTTCAACCTTGTGGCCGAGTTTCTTCAGGCCCTCGACCGTGCTCTCGGGCAGACCCTCCTCGCAGAACACTGTGGGATCCAGGACTTTGCCATTCTCCGGCATGCCCGCTCCAATACACACTCGGGGAGCATCCATGGCCTGCTGTGGGTTCAGCCCCGCGACAATCTGACCGAGAAGGACCTGGACGTGACCCTGGGGCTGCATGAACCCGCCCATCACGCCGTACACGCTATGCAGGCTACCGTCGTGGAGGTTGGTCACGGCGGCCGGAATGATGGTGTGGTACGGCCGCTTACGAGGGGCGAGAACGTTGGGGTGGCCAGCGTCAAGCGAGAAGTTTGCCGCGCGGTTTTGCAGTGTAAAGCCGCAGCCACTGGGGATGATGCAGGTTCCGAAGCCTCCATAGTTGGAGTTGATGAAGGAGATCGCATTGCCCTCCGAGTCGGAGCAGGCAAAGTACACTGTGTCGCTGGACTGCATGGCCGGAGAGCCGTGATCGACGACCTCACATGCCGCCTTGGGGTCGAAGAGTTTGGCTCGCTCCGCGAGATACTCTTTGGAGATGAGGGACTTGGTGGGCACTTGGACCTCGTTCGGATCCGTCACCCACCAGCTGGCGTCGGCAAAGGAGATCCGCAACGCCTCGATGATGGCATGCAAGTAAGGCGCCGAGTTGAAGTCTTCGGCTGTGAAGGTAGGAATCTTGCCAGCCTCCTCGAGTTCCTGGATGATTCCAAGGGCCATGAGCGCCACGATGCCCTGACCATTGGGTGGGTGCTCCCACAGCTCAAGTCCCAGGTCAGAGTCGCTCTTTGCACCACCTTGGACAGACTCTTTCAAGACCTTGGCGACGTTTTGACCACGGAACTTGAGCGAGATCGGCTCGACTGGCTCGCTGCCCTTCTCCATATGGTGCTTCAGGTCATCTAGCTCGAGATGGCCGCCAAGGTCCTTGACAACCTTGATGAGCTCCTCAGCGATGCGTCCCGTGTAGAAACCCTTCTTGCCCTCCGTTGCCAGCGTGCGGAACGTCTTGGCCAAGGTCGGGTTCTTCATAATCTCACCGGCACGCGGCGCCCGGACGCCATCGGGCGCGGAAGCGTCCTTCTTGAGCATCTCGCGAAAGTTGGGAGAGGCACGTCTGATCAACTTCTCAGATCGGTTCCACTGCAAATCTCGTGAATTAGTCATGCTGCAGGACAACGAAAGTCTAACACGAGAAACATAGTACTCACGAAGTACGCCACGCCTTCGCTGACCGGGAAGCCCTTCTCGCCAAGCTCAATGGCGGGACCGAGGATCTGCTCCATTGACAACTTGCCGCTTCCGAACCGCTCTACGGCGTCGACCCAGCCAGCCGGGGCCCCGGGAACAGACACCGCCTGGACGCTGTCCATGGGGATCTTGCCGTGCTCGCCGTCGGCAATGTTGAGCGACTTGCGGATGGTCTCGAGGGTGCAGTTGGCACCGGAGCGGCCCGAGGCGTTCATGGCCGAGATCTTCTTGGTCTTGGCGTCGTAGAAGAGGCAGAATGCGTCACCTCCGATACCTGTCGAGCAGGGCTCGGTCATGTTCAGGCCAGCGGCTGAAAGGTTACAAATGGCGTGTTAGTGGGTTTCTATGTGACTTGAATGCTGCTGTCGTCGCGACGAGTGAAGCAGGATGCAGTTGGATTTGGAACGCAGGACTGGGATCCAGCACATACCGACTGCCACAGCAGCATCCTATAGGTCTCGGTGTAAGTGTCTAGATCAAGCAGTTCCAGGATCCCGGACAAGACAGAAGAACACGACTTACAGCGCAGTTTCCTCCGGCATTCAGCACGTCGATGCCGCACTTTGCCGCAAGGGGCTGTGTGCATGCGACAATGCCCTTTGTACTGTGGACGACACTTCGCCTGCTGGCAAACTTTTGGAAGACTGCCGACTCGGGCGGAAACACGGATGGTGTTGTGAGAGGCATGGCTGCAAGGCGTTGTTGTACCGGATCTCTATTACCACTTGAAAGAAGATACTCGGAAGCAGCAGCGGCAGCAAGCAGCAAGCAGGTTGCAAGATGTTGATGCCCGGAAAACCAAAGGAAAACTCGGGAGACAAGTGGCAGTCACCACCTTGACGGATCGGGCAGTCGCGGACTAATAAGGCAGCACGTGTTGGAGAAGCGCGGGGTAGAGGTCCGGTCTCGACACCACGGCATCACGGGCAATGGGGGTGGCGGCGGTTGCCGTCCGCACGCGTGGGGCGGTAGGCCGACCACACACACAAGAAACACGGAAGAGGCGCCCACAGTGGCAGCCATGGCAAGGCGCTATCAGTCAAGCCAGGGGCAGAAGCCCGGAGAGCGGAAGCCCTCGGCCGCTATCCAGCTCCAAGATAGGCATGTCCACTCGACATCATCGGCTGTTTTTGTGTCGCCTGAGTCCGGTGCCGGCCCAAGCCTCCCCCGCGTGGTGAGGGGACGTGGGATGGGGAACCTCGGCGGGACATCCTTCCGACCGGTCTTCGGCCACCCTCCGATCGCGACCACAAGCCCTTGATGCCTCCTGCGTGCTCGACCGCGGGGCCCATGTCTGCATTGGTAATGTACGGATCGAGCTCAATCTGTTACCTGACGACATCTTGGTGTAATTATTCTTGGTCGCCTCCTTCCTCATTCGGCAAGCGTTGACCAACCTGTGCTCAATCACCTGGTGCAACCACTCTTAAAGATCATTCAGTCTTCGGTTTGAAATCGACCCCCAAGCGCCCAATCAGTCGGCTGTACCATAGCTTGAGAGTTTCATACGTCAGTTGATGCATCTTCAAAGCCTAGAGACAAGCATAGGATTCCCGGCGCCCCGTCGGACAACACCTCAACTTACCGTTTCCCATCCAGCACCAACGCTCTTGACCTTGATCTTGGTCAGCAACCAGGGCGGTTGCACTTTCTCGAGTCGGAGTACAGCATCGTCATCTGCAACGTCCGGGTTGAGGATAATGTCACGGGGCAGGTGAGGGTACACCGTCGCCGGGCGTGCAATGCCGACAAGATCACAGTCGCCCTCGGCCACAGCAGCCTCCATACCACGCCGTGTGCGGAAACCGCCAGTGACCATAAGGTGCAGATTTGGCAGGCTCTTGCGGATGCTTTGCGCAAACTCCAAAAAGTACGCCTCCCGGGCAAGTGTCCGTGCTGACTTGGTCTCCGGCTGGCTGTAGCCCATGATTGCCTAGTGAGTACAGGTCAGAACAGCATTCCCAGGAACCGTGGTGCGGCAATATTACCGTAGGATTCTCGTATGTGCCGCCGCTGACTTCGAGAAAGTCGATTCCTGCCTCGGCGATGGCTCTGACTTGGTCGATTCGATCTTCTAGTGCCCCTCCTGCCTCGGCTCCAGATGAGTAGTCGGCAGAGTTGAACTTGACTCCAACGCAGAAGTCCTTGGGCACTACCTCCCGCACTGCTTTGACAATCTCGACCACAATCAACGCTCGCTTGACTGCGGAGCCACCGTACTCGTCAGTCCTCCTGTTGATTTCTGGTGACAGAAATTGAGACAGGAGATAGCCATGCGCGGCATGTATCTCAACACCGGCAAATCCAGACTCCCAAGCCGCCTTGGCGGCCCGCGCAAACTGCCCCACGACGTCCTTGATGTCTGCATGTGTCATTTCCCGAGGTGTACCAAACAAAAGCGCCACAAGAAAGCGTGGCCAGAGGCCGTCGCCCAAGTTCATTGGCACAGCACTTGGCGCAAGAGACTTTGCAAAGATGCTTCTTCGGCCTGCTCCTAGCCCTGATTGCCGACCTGGATGGTTAAGCTGCATGATGGCACTCGTGCCATTCTTGCCAATGGTTGCAGACCATTTCGTCCACGCTTCAATGATCTTGGCTCGGTCGACAGCTTCATCATACGCCATGTCTCCAGCCTGGCCTATGTAAGCCCTGTCGACCTGAACATTGCCTGGAATATGTTAGTGTCAGCAAGAATGAGCAGGCTGTCGTCTACATTACCAGTCAAGATGAGACCCCATCCGCCTTCTGCCCAACACTCGTATGCCGAGATGCATGCTTCAGAAGTAGGAAGCGAGTCCTTGTCCGCGAGACATTCAGCCATGGAGGGATTCACCAGCCGGTTTGGCAAGGTGAGCCCGCACCTCAATGTCAGGGGCGCATTGAGCTTGAGATCTGCCATGGCGAGTCTGGAGTCGGGACGCTTCAAAAGCCGACGTGTTCAGTGAAAGGAGTCGAATTGCTTCTTCACATGAGTCGGTAATTTTATCTCATAGCTGCGGTGTTGTCAATCACCCCGAGGTCCCCAAGTGCGGGCGAATCCTGGCCCGTCTTGCAGACTTAGCGTACAAGGTCGCCAGGGGTCCTTTGAGTCCACTGGAGGAGCCTCGGCTCTCCATGACCTTCCTCTTGCGGTGATCTCGACACCAGTGATCGATGGCTTTGAAGTCTTATCAAGCGAAGATAGACCAAATCTGAGCAATGGCATATCTTGTGACGAACACGAATGCCTCGTGGCACTGCATAGTATGAGCGGAGACATCTCTGTCGTATCCAGCGATGAAAATTAAGCTTGAAAACAGATGGTTGCGGATGGTTGAGTCAATGGCGTGCGGGAAGCAGAAAGGACTAAGTTTGCGAGCCTTTCTGAGTCCGAGGTCAGAGGTTGAAAGGGAAAGTGCTCCTCGTCTGACCTCAGCGAGTCCTCGTCTGACCTCAGCGAGGAGGGACGTTCCGCGCTTCAGGCCTATTGTCTCCAGATGTTGGCCAATTGCAGCCCTGAAAGAGCGCTGTAGTTCCGCGCTTGTGCTTGGCCAGGAACCCTGCATGAAGAACCAAAAGTTGTGCACACCAAGAAACTCAACACCCAATTGCTCACCACACACCAACACTCACACGACAACATGAGGAGGACAGCTCAATGGGTGTGCCAGAGCTGCACTCGGGCACTGGCACAGCCCTCGGTGTCCACGAACAGCCGCCGGTTCCCCCGATTCGCAAGCACAACAGCCTCACCAGCCTCGACGCAAGCTGCCTCTGCAGTCTCCATACCCAGAGCCCTGATCGAACGAGCACGCACCCTCGCCACAGAACACGACCAGATCACAGCTTCTCTGTCCGACGACTTCGACCCCAAAGCGGCAAAGCGCCTCGGCGAGCTGTCCCGCGTCGCAAACGCCCTGAAAGAATGGGACAGCGCGCAGAGCTCCCTCGCCGAACTCAAAGGCATGCTCGAGTCTTCTGACAAGGAGCTGCGTGAGTTGGCAGTCGACGAATTCAAGACGACGACGGAAAGCCTAGAGCGCCTGGCCAACTCGCTCTCGGCATCGCTGACCCCACGCGACCCTTTTGCCGACATGCCCTGTCTGCTCGAGATCCGTCCTGGGCCTGGCGGTATGGAAGGACGGTATTTCGCCGATGCGCTGTTCCGCATGTACAAGCTGTACTGTCAACGCATGGGACTGCGCACGAGAGTGGTCAAGTACGAGACCGTGGACGGCGGGACAACTGGCTTGGCAGGCGTCGCCAGCGAGACCCCTCTGCAGGAGGCACTGCTCGAGATTCTCGATGCGGGCGCATACGATGCATTCCGCGGTGAGGCCGGCATGCACCGTGTCCAGCGAGTCCCCGCGACAGAGAAATCAGGCCGCACACACACTTCTGCCGTGGCTGTCTGGGTGCTGCCCTCCTTCCCTGAGGAGGACCCGGCAGCAGCGATGGACTACAACGACCCTGAGAGCATATTCTACATTGACCCCAAGGAGGTCCGCGAGGACAAGATGCGCGCGAGCGGTGCTGGCGGGCAGCACGTCAACAAGACAGAGTCTGCTATCCGTCTCACACACATCCCCACCGGCATTACGGTGGCCATGCAGGACTCCCGCTCGCAGCACCGCAACCGCGAGAGCGCGTGGATGCTGCTGCGCTCACGGATGGCCCAGAAGCGCAAGGAAGAGCGCGAAGAGGCCGCGGCGGCGCTGCGCGACAGCGTGCTCAGCCGCGACAAGATCACACGCGGCGACAAGATCCGCACCTACAACTACAGCCAGGACCGCTGCACCGATCACCGCAGCGGGCTCGACACGCACAACCTGCCCGATGTGCTCGAGGGCGGTCCCATGCTCAGCAAGGTCATGGACAGCACGAAGGAGTGGCTTGTACAGAGGGACATCCGGGCTTTGATCGCCGAGGAGGAGGCCGCTACCGCTATTGCGGCGAAGGAGGAAGCAAAAAAGGCGGCGGGCAAGTGATATGACTGATGAGTTTTACGAAATGGATAGAGAAAATTGAGGACCTTCGGCGTGACATGCTTGTCAGCCGTCGGCATGGTCAGAGATAGACTTGTATTATACTGTACGAGAGATATACCAAAAGTGACATAGATTTGGTGCTGAGCTAGTCTTGTTCGCTGCGGATGTTCACTGTGTTAAGCTGACGATGAACCCTTTCCGTGCTTTCGTACAATACAACCCAAGGAAAAGCTGTGTGGAACACACCGCTGGTGCTCGCGACCGTGAATGAAGTAATATTCAGCAGAACAAATCGCTTATGTACTAGAGCAGAACGAGCTCCGTTCTGCTTCCCAATCGCCAGAGTATATACAGCATAAAGACAACCACTCCCACTTCAGATGCAATGCCGAAACAACAACCGCCAGAAGACGATCATACCGCCTCGTTGGGCGTCTGGAGCACGCCGTCCTTGGAGGCGTTGACGATGGCCTCGAACCACTGTTCCCACCCCCGCACAATGTCAGTCCCGTCACCGCGGTTGAGCATCCAGCTTTAGAACGGTAGGGGCACACTTACAATCATTGCCATCTTGATGTATCCATTCCGGTTAGGATGGATCCCGTCCTCCACGAGGTCGTCGCGGGTGATGTACCCATCATTCATCTCCGCCAGGACGACCCTCTTCCCGTCCTCGGCGCCCATGCTCTCGACCAGCGCCCGGAACTTGTCGTTGACGCCCGCGACCCGGCCGTCGACCACGTCGTCCGCGTTGGGCAGCAGGGTCGACAGCACCACCGTGGTGCCCGGGATCTCGGCGAGCAGCTTGTCCACGAGGTCCCGCATCCGCTCGTGCGCGGTCGCGACGTCGTAGTCCTGAATGCAGTCGTTCGTGCCGGCGTTGATTAGCACCACGTTGGGCTGCTCCGGGATCGTGGCGTCGGCGGCGCCGCTGACCTCGGCGATGCGCCAGCCTGGGTGGCCTTCGTTGTCCTATTGAATAGAGAGAAAAGGGGAGTGTGCATGTCAGTTTGTCTGGCTTCTTTCCTCTTACTGAGTATAAAAAGGAGGGTAAAAATTCCCAAGCTAAGTGTAGACCGGTGACTTGATCTTTTTCTGTGGAGGGGCCAAGTAGAAACACCCACCTTGTCTTCCATATCACCGCTCTGCTGGCTGCCCACCATGTCCACGGAGAACCCCAGCTCCTCGAGACTGTCGTACAGGACCTTGCGGTACCCGTTGCCGTCCTCGGACTCGGTGCCCCACGTGATCGAGGCGCCCAGGGGCATTATCCGCAGCGGGACGGATGTGTCCTGGCGTGTGGAGAGAAGGTTGCCATTGTTCTTGTTGCTGTTGTCGTTAGGGACGACAGGCTGGGCGAGGACGCCGGCACTGCTGGCCGTGATGCTCAAGAGGAAAGCTGTTGCTGTGGTGCTGAGGAACTTCATCTTTTGTTGTCGTTGCTGTTCTGGTGTTGCAGGCGGTTGTAAGTGGTCCGAGATGAGGGTGACGACGGCACGCGGCGCTTTAAGAAGACGAGATCACAGGAAGTGAGTGAGTGCAGAGAGTGTTTGTATCTGAGTAGTATATTTCTTAAATCACAGGACCATCGGTGAGAATGATCAACGACTCATATATGTATAGATCCCACAGGCCAGCACGATGTCAATCGCAGCCTGCATCACCATCCACTCGGCAGGGAACAAGGGACGGGAAATGCGGATAGACGGCGCCCTATAATTGGAGTCACGATGTGGGGGAAGGCACCGCGGATCCCTGCCGACGCCAGCGTCATAGCTCTGGCGCGGTTCCTGCCAGGGCATAATATGTTGTCGATCGAACAAGGCGATAGGCCCTGCGAGAATAGATCCCTGAATGGAAATAGAACTAGTGCTGACGGTTATGTCTGGGGCGCAGTCGCGCGAGCGGGTGGTTGTGTGGATGATGTCAATGGAAGTCCAGGGGGGTGCTCTTGAGGCTCAGTCGGAGTGGGACGAGACAATCCTCTGGGATCGCTCACTCGGACTGCCTAACTCTATGATATGTGCCTGTGCTTCTTGAGCCGTCTCGAAACCGTGAAGTTGCAGCTTCAGGCAGTATTCTCACCCCCAAAACAATGACTCGTGATGCTTCAAAGCAAATGGTAGGATGTAAGCCTGGTGGTATGACCAGCCGTCTGCCAATACCAGGTATCACCAATTCCCCAGGTGGCTCAGACAGAAACACAATGAGCTCCCATCTGTAAATAGCAGCCCTGCCCCCCGGAGACCCTGGCCAGGAAAGGCGCCGCATAACCGAGTCACTCGCAGCGGCACGAGCGTCAACCAGCCAGCCTCGCTTGTAAGGCTGGCGGCGATTGGACGTCAAAGGGCACCGCAATCCTGCCATTTCTTTTCCTCTCCAAGAAAGGGAAACATTGCTGCTTTGAGAAGACTCTGACACACACAGAGTTCAGTTCATGACCCACATCCCACTTTCCCCTTTGGCAGACTTCACCAAGGAATTCACGAGCTGGTGCAGTACGGTAACGCGGCACGACCATAGGCCTATTAATGGCTGTGTCCAGGGTTGTAAGAACAAGCTACGGGACACAAGACATCAGAACCAGTGCTACTGGAGAAGTGACTTCGCCTGTTAAATTGACTGATATTCCGACAAAAAAACACGCGATCTTCTGCAAGTCATCGTACCATTCCCTAATCGCGTTTTCAGTGAGTCTCTTGGAGTGTTTCTGAGTGAGACTAGCCACACGCCAATGGGCGGATTTAGCGCGGAAGAACTGCAGCGCCCATTTGAGAGCACTCCTCAAGGTCAGGGCTAGCATGCATCGCCGTCGCTTGCCGTCTTTCAGAGACCATAATCTCATACAGATGATTACATGTTGCAACAATCTCCACTGACCTTTTGAAGAACACAATGCACCGTACGCATCTAATCACCACTCCCTCGTCACGAAGCGAGTCAAGTATACAAAACTTTCACTGCCGAAACATCTGGACTTTCTATTTTTCTACACTCAAGAGACGACTCTACCAAGCGCAAAGAGACCTGTCTACCATGTCTCTAGCTGCCACGGTTGTAGAACTCGTCCGGGAAAAGGCAGCCGCGGTCTTTCTTCAGAATGACTCGCGTCACACCCTTCAGGCCATTACTCTGCAGAGTATATTTACGACTCGAAGGTGAAGCTGGCGCCGACCTTGTGGGTGGCCTGGTCAAGCTTCTGGGTATCGAAAGAGGCACCGAGGCCGAGAGTGACGCCGGGGCGGAGGAGGACGTTGTAGGAGACGGCAGCGACACCACGGTCGTTGATCTTGGCCTGGAGTCCACAGTGTCAGTGATTGTTCTGAACGATAGGCGTTCAATTGACTTTTTACGAACCTTGGCGAAGGAGACGGGGTCGAGGCGGTACTTGCTGGCGACCTCGAGGCCGACGGCGTTGCTGGCCTTGGAGTCCCAGGTGGCCTTGGCACCAGCCTCGGTCTGGCTGTTGACCTTGTGGTAGTAGCTGGCGGCGAAGACGCTCAGGTTGCTGGAGGCAGTGATGGCAGCAGAGTACTGGGGAGCGACGAAGCCGACGGCAGCGCTGTAGCTGGTGACAGCGGCCTTCTGGACGTCGTAGCCAGCCTGAGCACCGGCGAGGAAACCCTCGTGGCCAACGACAGCGTCAATGTTGGCGGTGGGGCCCTTGAGGAGGTCGAAGAAAGCGCGGCCGTGGAAGGCGGACTGCTTGAAGGTGAGGTTGAGCTTGGCACCCTTCTTCTGGGTGGCGGGGAGGAAGGAGAAGACACCCTCGGCCTTGAGGCCCTTGGCGACGCTGTCGGCGAGCTCGATCTTGGTGTCGAGGTTGTTGGCAGTGTTCCAAACCTGGGTCAGGGTGAGGCCTGCGCGTTGATACATCATTAGTAAAGTGGTACATTGCTGTTGGAAAAACACGCTGAACTCGTGCCGCCATCTGGAGTTGTTGGCTACCGCTATCCGCGAGACCGAAAAGGTTGCGTTACGGAATTTGCGAGCGTAGGTTTTTGAAGAGGTGGTATTGGTAGATTTACCGAGAGACTTGTCAACGTATTTGCCCTCAATCTGTAGAAGGATGCCCAGACGGCAGAGTCAGCAATTGATTCTGGAACCAGCGGACTGTTGTCCAATGCCCTGTGATGCGTCGCGAAGCTCCAACCATAGCGCCAACGGCTGTATCCGCAGCAAACGAGCACAGCCGCTCAACACACAGGAGAGCCCCGCGAAGCACGTCGGACAGGAGGAGGGGTTTTCTACTTACGGCACCGCTGGTGGCCTTCTCGTGGCTGCTCTTGCCAGTCACCTTGAAGGCGACATTGTTGGGGGTGTTGCTCTTGACCTCAATGGTACCAGCCGAGAGGTGGTAGAAGTCCTTGTTGAGCAACTAAATGGCGCGGCGTGGAAGACGAGTTCGTTAGCGGTTGATCAATGGCCGAGATGAGGCAGTCGTGATGCTCGAAGGATTGAGGTTTCTTGTCAAGTCCTCGCTCGCTGGCGGTCAAGCTTCCGAGGGCGTGGGGCGCGGAAAAAGCGCTCGCGCTGGGAGAGGCGAGGGGGAGCTCGAGCAGAACCCGCACGTATGCGAGGCCGAAGCAGGGGACTTACGTCGTTGGCGGACTTGGAGATGTCGGCGAAGGCAGGGACAGACATGTTGGGCGGTTGTGTGAGGATGGAGAGCTGCGGGGTGAGGGTTGTGTGTGTAGAGTGGGATGTTTATGGAGGGAAGAGGCACACGGTCGAGGAGGTGATGCGATGGTGTCGTGTATTGGGAGCCGGCGGGCACAAGGTGGGAGCCGTTCGGCAGAGTGGATAATTTGTTGTCATGGGCCGGAAACTGCAGGAACGGGCCCTCGAGCTCCAGATGCACGGACGCCTGCTCCCTGTCGCCCTGCTGCTACCACCAGCTACTAAGTCAGGAGGATAGTTGGGCACGGAGGTACCTGTCCTCGCACCCAAGTCTGCCCCTCAGTCATGTACAGCATGCATAGTGCAGCCTTGCTGCGGCTGCCAGCACGCAATTTGACCCCCTTCTCTTTACCAGCAGGCACTTGCAAATGTCCATTCCTGTGTTCTTGTTTCGTCCAGAAGTGTCTAGCTGGAAGTCCTGGGACACGACCCCGCGAACATCACATCTATCAATAAGCCGTGAAAGTCACCTTAGGGCACCTGTATTTTGCTTCCAACAAGCCTGTGTGTGCATCCTCCTTCCAACACCATCGAGTCAGGCAATGGAACAAAACGAAGCCTTCGCAGGTCAGGCCGCTCAGCCTGTCGACCCGACGACTGCTGGTGCCCCTCCAATATAACGACGCCAGTGGTGCGGCCACTCGCACAGGTCGCTGCCCACTAACGGCATCGCCCTGGCGATTCATGCGCCCATGCAGACTGTTGATTGGCTCCAATTCCTGCCGCGGCCTGGTGTGGTTTTCGTTTCACTGCACCTGGGTATCAATGCAGAACAAAGAGCCTCCAAAACCCAAAGTCAAAAAAGTCCGTTGTCAGGGTCTCCTTTGACAACTCAGGCTCCGCTCTGATGCAGATGTGCGCTGGACAGCACGTATTTTACGTGTAGAACCCACAAAAAACGTGGTCAGGCCTCTATCGGGACTGGCATCTCCTTTAAATTTTGTCTATTTCATCGTGTCTATTGGCTTCTCCAGCTCACGATGCTCTCGTGAGCGCGATACCACCCCGTGCCGTGAGGTAATGCTAGATCGCGATCATTTCGGCTAATATTACCGATGGCGCCCCGCAATCACCCGCTCCGTACACCGTACGCCCAGTATCCTGTCATCATTGTCCAACACGAATCTTTCGGCCGTCTATGCGCACAAAGCGGAACATCCTGATTAACCCAGGCGGATCGAGCAGTATGGTATTTGCAAGTCGCGATGCGAGATTACACGCTCATGCGGCGTTCTCGTACTTGGCGTTGTGTGTAGCGATGGCACTGTTTCACGTGAGGGCCAGGTTAGCGGGTCATGCTCTCTCGATCCCCGGTCAAAGCGACTCCACGCGCAGTGGTCCCATGCTCTTTCCCCAACAAAAACCAAAGTGGGAGCACCCGAAATGGGAATAACAACTTACCGGCCACTAGGGTCAGTCTGCTTGGACCAGGTGGGGGTCCATCGCATGACGGTCGAGGCACAGCGAGGCGGGAAGTGCTCGTCGAACATCAGGCGGTACCAGTACGCCTCCTTTGTATCGGGGATGTCAGTGCCCCATTCGGCCTTGGGGTGAGCCAACATCTCGTCCGTGACGTGCAGCTCCGCAGCGTCCTTGAGACCATCGATCCATCCGTATCCGACACCGTCAGAGAACTGCTCCTTTTGTCTCCAGAGGATGTTCTCGGGCAGGTAGGGCTCTGCGCTCGGGTCGTCAGAGGTGTCAAATGCCTTACGCAGGATGTACTTCTCGAGGCGCTCCTTGGTGATCATCTTCTCTTGGGGATCGATGTTCATGCAAGTCTCAAGGAACTGCCGAAGAAGTCGTGGAGTTAGTATAGAGTTCATGCCATATCCAAAAAGATGCGGTGTTCATAACATACCTCCTTGTCCAAGAACGGCACACGAGCCTCAAGACCCCAGGCCGATGTGGACTTGTTGGCGCGGAGGCAGTCGGCCAGGTGCAGGTTCTTGACACGGCGGACAGTCTCCTCGTGGAACTCCTCCTTGTTAGGGGCGGCGTGGAAGTAAAGGTAGCCACCGAAGATTTCGTCACTACCCTCACCACTGAGCACCATCTTGATGCCCATGGCCTTGATCTTTCTCGAGAGCAGGAACATAGGTGTCGAGGCACGGATCGTGGTGACATCGTAGGTCTCGAGGTGCAGAATCACATCAGAGAGGGCGTTGAGGCCGTCCTCGATGGTGAAGGTCATGACGTGGTGCTTGGTGCCCAGAAACTCGGCAACCTTGACGGCAGCCTCGTTGTCGGGAGAGCCAGGCAGACCGATAGAGAAAGAGTTGAGCTGAGGCAGGAAAGTCATCGTCGAGACCTTGCCGTCATCGTCGATACCGACCAGGCCTTCGCCCTTGTTGGGGTCGCCCGAGGTGGCCTGGGAGTTCTCGAGGGCCAGTTTCCGAAGCCTCAGTGTCTCGCGCTGTGCGATCGCAGCGACAAGACTAGAGTCAAGGCCACCAGACAGAAGAACACCGTAGGGGACCTCAGCCATCAGCCTCTTCCGCACAGCCTTCTCGAGGCTCTCACGGATCGCCTTGAGGTCGAGGGGGTTGGTAGGCACTCTTGAGCCCTCCCACCAAGTCGGCTGGAAGTAACGGGTCATCTGGCCGGTGGCAGTGTCGTAGACGTGTCCCGGGGGGAAGGACTGGATCTTGTCGCAAACGGGGTGGAGGCACTTCAGCTCGGAGGCGAAGTACGCAGCACCAGGCTCCTTCCACGACCAGCCCTGGTAGAAAGTTGTAACACCGATCGGGTCGCGGGCGGCAATCGTGCGATCGAGCTTCTTGTCGTAGAGGACGAACGAGAACATGCCATCGAGGTACTTCGGGGCATCGAGGCCATGCTCCATATACTGCGAGTGGTGTTATTAGTCTCTAGGATTCCGCCTGGTGTTTTCCCCTTTCATTCTGTATAGCACTTACCAGAGGAATAATGACCTCGCAATCTGATGTGGTCTTGAAGTGGTAGGGAGTCTTCAGGTTCTTGCGAATGAGTCTGTGGTTGTAGATTTCGCCGTTGACGGCCAGGATGATGGTCTCATCCTCGTTGGTAAGGGGCTGAGCACCCGACTCTGAGAGTCACATCAGTCTGCAGTCCCTGATTTGGATCCAACGATCAAGGGCGAAACTTACCAACACCAACGATACTCAATCTCTCATGGCAGAGGACTGTTTGTTGTGTCCATGTTAGTCAAGCTGCTTACCGTAAACTTACAGCGTAATCGTTACTGGCAAAAAGAAACTTACTGGTCTTGTTGGAAATGACGTTTCCACCTGCACAAATCAAGCTCTGTCAGCATGCCATTATTCTGCGCAGTATCGGTGTGTTGAAGGACGAAATCGTGTCTCGATGCCGCCGCTCGTGCGCGTTTGCGCCCCCCGCATGTGTTGTCGGTCGGTACTTACTCCAGTCCGGGCCTCTGTGGCGGATCCTGTTGCACAGCCCAGAGTCAGTTCCGAGTTTCCCTCGTTCCAGGAGGTCCGGGATTGACTTACTGCTTGGCCAGCTTCAAAGCCTGAGGCTTGAATTTCTGGACGTCAGGATGACTGTGGGGGTTGAGCGTGTTAGTAGCGGGCGTGCGGAACTCGGAGGATGCCCCTCCATGGCTGAAAAAGTTGAGATGCGGGTTTGAGCGCCGTCGTCCACGCCGAAGGGAATGTGATGGCCGCAGATGTGTCCTGTTGCTTAGCCTGGCAGGTGCTGCGCTCTTGCGACAATAACAGCCTGTATCTGGCTACCTGCCCGTGCTTTCCATGGTGAAGAGCACATTGTGGCGGGAGGCCGCTCACAAGCAAGCCCGTCCCCTGGAAACGGCGGGGCATTTGGCTCGTGCAGTGTCGAGCATGGAGATGTGGGTAGAAGGACGACGCAGTACATACCAGTGACAGGCGAAAATGCCACACATCTTGCCGGCTCTTCTATTGCGTGAGGGTTGCGACGACTGGCAAGCTCGAGCGGTGGTCTTTGGCGGAAGTTCTTGGGTTGGTCAGGAGCAAAAGGTCTCAGCTCCGGAGGGTGTCAGAAGTGGCAATGGGTCGTGTTGTCTTTGCTCCGGATGGGCAGCGGGAGATAGCGCCTTAATAATGTGCGGTATGTAAGGTACTGCCCGGTGTCAGGGACCCGGTTGGTCAGAGACAAGAGTCAAAAACGGAGCCGAAGACCGCTCTTAATCGCTGTGCTCGGTGCTTCCACCTGCGGCTTGCTGCTCGCTGCCGATAATTTAAAGTCTAGACACCTAGTGCGAGCTGGGCGTCGGGCGCTAGCCGCATGACACTGTCAGTCCTGGATATTTTTTGATGGACCGTCGGAGGGGCTGCGGTGCTCACTTTTGTCGCGCAGCAGATATCTTCAGCGAAGAGTAGAAAATGCAAGAAGTCAATTGACGATTACAACAGCTCTAGACGTGACTGCTACAGGCGGCGACTCTAGTCTTATACACCTCGCCCTCTATCTATCGATGCCTCGTGGCATTTCTGGGTTCCTGCTGCAAAGCAGCAGCCACGCGACATCCACAAAAAGTCGGTTACGTAGCCCCGATCTCGGCGGGAACCGTGACTGTCCCTCGCGACGGGCCTGTGATTGGCCAGGACGCCCTTGGCACAACTGGACGGGATCCAGCCAGGAGGGAGGCGGACCCTGGCAAACCCATCGGCTGGAACGAGGGGCAGCGCGCCATGGCACATCCACCCCACTATGGGTCGCGATAAGGGATTCCCTAGGAGCGCATATGCAGTAACGTAACACATTTTAACGACCACACAGGCATTCCTGCTGGGTGTCTCATAACGGTGCCGTCATGGTCTTCACATCATCACCCAAGTCCAGCCAAGGCGTCGAGTCACTGAAACCTCCCGGAATATGGTCAACATTCAGATTTTGTATTCTGTCCTGTCTAAAACGCCTGCCGCTAATGAATGAACGTCTCCAGTCCCTTGCCCCAAGCATGGGGCGTGTTTGATATGATGAGCGTGCTGTTTCACAATCACCAGCTCGGCTCTCCACGGAGTCACCACAGCCGATTTCAGGACAGGCGCGTCCGATTTGCTGTGAAAAAAAGCAGTCGAGTGTCAGCCCAGTCAACACCACGGTGCTGATTGCATGTTTCCCGCTGCCAGCGACATCTGGCGCGCCACCAATCGTGTCTTAATACCTGATCATTACGTCTAGCCAAAAAGCTCAACTGCAATCCAGCCGCAAGGTCTGGCAGTATCGCCATTCTCTGCGTCGCCTGCCGCGTGTTCTGTTCTGCAATAGGTACCCGTCCCCGGATGCCGGATGCCGGTGCAGTGGTGTTGGTGGTCGATCAGGCCGGAGCGTTTTCCCTCACGACCCGCTTGACACGCTTTTCGTATTCCGCCTTGTCTCGCTTGAAAAGATTGTACGCCTCGGCTTGTGCTGGAGATTCGGGGTTCGGGTCGTTGAGGAGGTCTTGAACACCGAGAACGATCTGTTTGATTGTAATGGCCGGCTTCCAGCCCTCGTCCTCGTTCAGGATCGACAGGCAGACAGTGCCGGAAGGGTAGACATTCGGATGGAACAGAGGCGGTGTGAATTTGCCTAATTATGCAGAGAGACGCTCGAGTCAGAATCGCGAATGCACACGTGCGAGGAACAACTTGCGAAGAGGGCGAGGCTTACATTTCGGTGGCTTCGTCGGATATTCTATGAGCATCGCAATCGTGGTTAGCAGGTGAGGCGGGGAGCTCGCAGGACTGCGCGGATCTTACCTTCGGGGAATGTCATTGTCATCTTGAACACGCCTCCTTCCCATATCGTCTTCTCCTTGCCCGGGATGCCGCACTCCCAAATCTTGAGGTCAAGCACACCATCAGCGCCCTTGACTGGCCTCGCCCAGAAGCCGAATGGATGGTCTTTGCGCCATTGCTTCCTATTGCGACAGGTCAGATAGAGGGTTCTGCCAGACAGCGCTGGTTCGAGGTCTCGCGATGCGCATCAAGCCTCCCGTCCCATGTCCTGAGGGCAGCACGACTGCTTACCTCTCCTCGCCGAGGCGTAGAGTGCATAGAGACATGTTGCCAAGACCGATGTGGTTCAGCGCTCCGAGTCGTCGTTACGTTGCCGCGGACTGGCCTATGTGTTCGAAGCGGCGATCGTGGGTGTGTGGCGGCAGGTTGGTTGCGCTGGTGTTGGTTGCGAAAAGTCGTTGCAAGGCACAGCCTTGAGCTCAGGCACGGCACGCAGCCTTCTCCTGGTGGAGGCGGGCAACTGCTTCGGTGCAATATTTGCCCCAGCAAACGACAACAGCTTACGCAGAGAGGGGTGAGAGGGCCGCGAACGGGCGTTTCTACAAGGCACAGAAATCACAGGGAGCCACAGGAACGTTCTGAAACCGAAACGTGCCATACAATATCACAATAAAAGTTGACGAGGTTGTGACGGTGGCGTGAATCGGATGATTGTAGTCGGCAGGGAGCTGATCATCGGCGTGGTTGAGCTGCGCCCCGGCACAGTGTGCCAATTAGCCTGTAGGCACTGTGGAACTCTCAGGGCTCCCTCAAGCTCGAGCGACCGCCTGTACAGCGGCATAAAGGGACACATTTTTTAAGCTGACAACAACAATAGCATGCGGAACAGAGTCTCCAAAGAGTCGACCCAGCGATCTCAAGGCGACTGAGCTCGCAGAGTTTTGGCGCCCACCCCTCCTCTCAGTGGCTCGATTCCAGTCCGCCGTTCGATTCCCTCGTGGCTAAAGGCAGCCATGCGTCACCCTCAGATGTCTTAAAAGTGTGCAACACAGATCATGACTGCCTATCCGTATATTCTACACATAATTGCTGCTGGGGTCTGCAAAGTGAGCCCCGAGAATGAAGAAGGTTTCGTCTTCCTCGATCTGCGACCACATCAGCTAGGTCATTCACGGCAGTTCAGATGCTTGAGGCAGAGACCCCACAGGCCAGGACCAGGCCAGGACAATAGTCCTTCGGGGTCTGGCCAGTCCGGGACCCGGCAGTCTGGCCTCGGCTACATCTCGAGCTTTCTTTCGCCGTGACACCTCATCATCACTGATAACCTTTTCTCCCAGTCTTTGCTTCGCCCACACACTTTTTCCCTTCCACCGTCGTGATACCGAAGGACTGGCTGGCTTTAGATGCCTCTGACGCGAGCACGAGTTATTCCACCCTTTCTCAATTTCACCAGGAGCTTACAGCCCTAGCTCGCTGGGGGCAATCACAAGCTCAAACACACTGGAGAGCTCCCCAAGACAGGCGTGCATGTGGGGATAACAGACCCCGCGAACAGCGTTCCCCATTTCCCCACGGAACCTCGTCTCGTCTTGTCTCGTTTGCGACTGTTAGCTCTACAACAACGCGCGCGCGTCCAAAAGAGCATCGCAAGCTCCTTTGATTTTGTCGCGATGGAGTCCTCCGACGCGCAAAAAGCCCAGGCCGATCCTGTCTTGCCCACCACGCCGACACCAGACGCCGCCGCAGCTGTGCCCACCACAGAAGAGAAGAAGGATGCCGTGCCAGTGCCGGCGAGCACCACTTCTCAGGCCGCCGCAGCGCCAGCGCCGGCGCCGGCGGCAGTAGCCGACGAGGGCAACGACGAGGGCGACGATGTCCCGGATCCCGACGAGGATGACCTAGACGATCTGGACGACATGCTGGACGAGTTTTCGTCTGTCAAGGTCGGTGGATCGCAAAAGCAGCCACCCGCCTCTGGTCCCGGCAGACCAGCTGTAGAGCCAGCGACTGCCGCGGCCCCGAACGCACCCAGCCTGAGTGCCGAGGCGCCTTTGCCTGGTGGTGCTGAAGATCTCTCGGAGGCGGAATTCCAGCGCCAGCTGCAGGAGGGTATGGCCGAGCTCATGAGCGACTTGGAGAACTCGGTATGTTGTTTTCGAGGCGGGGGATGTCTCGACACCTGCCGCGCGCGCGCGCGCCCTGCAAACTGTCTTCAAGACATGCTGACGCCATGTTGCGCACACACACAGCCCGACATGCAGAAACAGTTCGAGAGCATATTCAAGGGTCTCAACGCCGCCGTGGAGCCAGATGAGCCCATCGGCAGCACTGGGCCGAGTGCTGCGTCAGGCAGTAGTGATCCGGCAGGGGAGGCCTCGTTCCAGGAGACGATCCGGCGGACAATGGAGCGCATGCAGGCATCCGGCGACGAGGCCACAGCCGCGGCGTCCAAGGGTGGCGTGGAGGACGACTTCATTGCCGAGATGATGAAGGCCATGAAGGACATGCCCATGGGCGGGGGCGGAGAGGGCGGCGAGGAGGACTTTACCAAGATGCTCATGGGCATGATGGAGCAGCTCACCAACAAGGACATCTTGTACGAGCCCATGAAGGAGCTCCACGACAAGTTTCCGGAGTGGCTGGAGAAGAATCGCGACAAGGTCCCCAAGGACGACCTCGAGCGCTATGAGCAGCAGCAGGTGCTGGTCAAGGAGATGGTCGCCAAGTTTGAGGAGCCAAAGTATTCCGACTCGAATCCCGCCGATCGCGAGTATATCGTGGACCGGATGCAGAAGGTAAACGCGACCAATCCCTGCGCTGGCCATATTCTTCAAACAAGAGCTTCGCTAACACTGCACAAACAGATGCAAGCTGCTGGTTCTCCTCCACCTGATCTTGTGGGAGATATGCCGTCCGCTAAAGAAGTCTTGGACGGTCCAGATGAGTCGTGCGCACCGCAATAGCAGTGCGTCATACATAAACCACAGGATGATGAAGACATCCGGAACGATCACCAGCGGATCTTAATTGGCAATGTCTGTACATAAGGCTGCACTTGTATTGTTCATCTTATGCTTGTACTTCTGCGAAATATCTTCCCTTCCCATGTGTTGTGATAAAATCGAGCTATCATAAGACAGCAACCAAACTCCGACGCAATGCCCTGGGTTACAGGCGGGTATTGAAAGTCAAATAGAACAGAAAATACAAGTTTTCATGAACGCGCTGCCCGCATCACGACATGTCCATCTCACCCGAGCATGCAAATTCTTGGGTGGCCGCATGACTCATTTGTGAGAATGATGGCCATGCGCCGCCATTTCCGCCAGGACCAACCCCGCCCACATGTTCTTCCGAGGCCAAGTCCATAAAGAGATCATCGTACTCGTCGTCGGACAGCATCAATGGCGAGTTTGGCCTTTCACCGCCGGAGCTCTGGCTCTGCGCATGAGAGGTGGCCGTCTCCATTGACATGGGTCGCTCTGGCTCGAGAAGTGAGAGCATGGCGTCAAGCTCGCGCTGTTCTTCGAGGGCCATGGCGTCAGCCATCATCTCATCGGGCTCCATGCTATCCGTGTGTGCAGAATAGTAGCCGTCTCTCGTCGCGGTGGAGTGCTGTCCCGTGGTGAGCTGCTGGAACTCATCGATATCATCTTCGAATAGAATGCCGTCCACATCAGAGTCCTTTTGCTCGCGCCATTTCCTGTCCAAAACGGCCCATTCTAGCCTGAGGACCTGTAGATCGTTATAAGAAGCATACGTTAGCCGCACAGCCCTGGGTCGCCACGACAAACAGGCGCGTAGGACCTACCTCTTGATCACCACCACGCCGCTCCCAGCTCTTGTCGTCCGCGCGCTGGCGCACATTCTTGAGAAACAGTTTCCGCCGACTGTCCTGGGCATTCTCGCGAGACTGCCGCAGAGGATTCGGCTTTGTGCTGCGCGAGGCGTACTTGGAGAAGCGGTTGCTGCTGTTGTTTGATAAGCCAGCGGGGGTGCTGGCCGCAGGTGAGAAAATCGACGAGAACGAGCACTGCGCGGGCGATGACTGGACGTGACCGCGTGGGAGCGCGTTGATGTCTCGTGGCGAGAGTGGGGGTGATGACGATGATCCACCGTGGTGTATGGGACTGCTCTGGGACGCCCGGATCGGGGAGGAGGAGAGAGGTGAGGATATAGCTGGGCGGTGCTGCGAACTGCGATTGAGCGGTGTCGCTGGGAACTGAGAGAAGTCGAGATTGAAGATTGGGGTGTTGCTGGTGGGCTGCTGCGGCGCCATGGTGAGGAGCATGGTGATGGTCACGCGCGCAAAGAGGTGCAGCGATGATCCGTTGTCTCTTTCTGGTGAATACTGGCACGGTGGACGCCGCTTCTGCCTTTGATGTAAGTCCCGTCGCGGCTCTGGTTGCTGTAGTGTATGGTCGTGGTGGAGTGATGGCTCAAGCAAGTCAGAGGCAGACGAGAAGGGTCTTTTAGCAAGTGACGCGACGAGTCGGGGCGACGCGTTAATGGGCTAGCTGCACCTGCCAGCCGCATCCCTGCGCGCGCGAGACACCACCACGGCCCAGCACTCGGGAACAGCCAAACATGCATCCCTCCCTGCAAGCACTTCGTCATAGTTCAGCACGCTGCACTGCACTCACAACTTGGGCCACCTGCGGCTTGCATTTGTATCCTTCGATAAATCTATGGAAAAAAGGATCGACTACGACTAGAACTCGCCTCTTTGGTGCCTGTACAATTTGCGCTAGTGCCGCCCGCAATCTCGGCACAGTAGTCACGACGGATTTCCCCTGTGCCTTGCATCACGCGAGAGCTGTGCGAACAGTGAATCACAAACAACAGTACAGTACCATAGCATGGCATATCTCTCCATACGTGCCATCCGAGAGTAGCTTGCGAGCCTCGGCGCAGCAAAGTGGGAGAGGCGCGTGATGCCAGGCCCATGCCCCCTGGCGGGTCATGCCTATTACGTAGTAGCCCGCGGATCCCCCAAAATCCCCAACGTTTTTATTTTTTTATTTGCCTCGCTCGCCCGGCCCGCGCATCTGGTCCCTTTGAGGAACTTTTCGGAAGCGTCATTGCTCCAGCGGACCCATTGCCTTGCATCCACCGACCTCGACTTGCACTGCATCCACTCCTTCGGCGGACTTCATAACGCCATGTCTCTGCACGATACTCGTCTTTAAGATTCAGCCGTCCGCGCACCCGAGACTCGCCTTCCGCATGCATCAAGTGCAGCCATGAAGGCCCCCTCCGTCGCCCCCCTGGGCCGGTTCGTTGCTGCGGGTCGGTCCCCGTGGACATGCTCGAGCTGCCGGTCACAACTTATCACCAGACCAAAAGCACCGACGTCGGTGACCATCCGCACTACGCCTTTTCAATCACGATCCTATTCCAACGGCAACTTCAGGAGCTCACGAGGATCCGCCAAGTATGGCAAGAGCCGGTCGACACTCTATGCGGCGGCTGCAACTGGTGCCACAGGGGCCGGTCTTCTGGCTTTCACCGACGACATCAAGCACAGTTATGAAGCGACCGAGAGAGCTGGGAGGGTTGCATCTGCCCTCTTCATCTGCATAAACGACTATCGAACCTCACTCAACAAGAGAGACAAGACCGAGGACCCTGGCGCCAAAGACAGTATACTCCGCAGATGCCACAAGCGCTGTGCCGAGCGCACGCTCAAGGTCTTGGAGAAGAATGGCGGCATTTTCATCAAACTCGGGCAACACCTGGTACGTCATGGGCTATCTGACCGCACCTCCACGAGAAGACTTTGACTAACCTGGAAGTCCATGTAGAGTGCCATGACATATCTACTGCCGATCGAATGGACCGACACTTTTATCCCGCTCCAAGACAAGTGCCCAGTCTCGTCATATGAGTCGATTGTCCAGATGTTCCGCGAGGACAGTGGCGAGGAGCTTTCCGACTATTTCTCCTACTTCTCAGAGACACCCGTCGGGGCTGCCTCCCTCGCTCAGGTACATCTGGCCACCATCAAGGAGACTGGACAGAAGGTTGCAGTCAAGGTGCAGCACCCCACGCTAGCACGCTGGGCGCCACTGGACCTTTCCCTCACATCCTTTACATTTTCGACGCTGAAGCGCTTCTTCCCGGAATACGACCTAGAATGGCTATCTTCTGAGATGGAGGTGTCGCTACCACAAGAGCTCGATTTCCAGCTAGAAGCCGCCAACGCGATCCGGACGAAGCAGCATTTTCAACAGCGCAAGGACCTCCCCCTCGTTGTCCCCGAAGTGATCTGGGCCAAGAAACGCATCCTAGTCATGGCCAACGAGTCTGGCCACCGCCTCGACGACCTCGCATACCTCGACCAGAACGGCATCGATCGCGACGAGGTCTCCGCGACGCTAGCCCACATCTTCAACGAGATGATTTTTGGCCGCAACGCTCCGCTCCACTGCGACCCCCACGGGGGCAACATCGCGATCCGCAAGAAGGACCGCGTGGGCCCCGATGGCAAGAACTTTGAAGTCATCCTCTACGACCACGGCCTGTACCGCACGATCCCGGAGAACCTGCAGTCGAGCTATGCCAAGATGTGGCTGGCCGTGATCGACGGCAACATGGAGGACATGAAGCATTACGCGCACGAGGTTGCTGGTGTCACCGAGGAGCAGTTCCCGCTGTTTGCAAGCGCCATCACGGGGCGGGACTTCACGGTGGTCAAATCCTCGATCCTGAAGCCCCGCTCGACCGAGGAGAAGAAGGAGATGGGCGACGCCCTTCAGGAGGGCCTCCTGTCTGACCTTGTCCAGATGCTCGGCCAAGTCCCGCGCATCATCCTGCTCATCCTCAAGACCAACGACCTCACCCGCAGCCTTGACGAGAACCTGCACACCAAGCAGGGCCCCGTGCGGACCTTCCTGATCCTCGCGCGGTACTGCGCCTGGACCGTGTTCCGCGAGCAGGTCGACGAGCTCAGGCAGCGGCCCGGCAGCTTGCTGAGCCCTGGCAACGCGCTGCGGCTCCTTGGCGCGTGGATCGGGTATATGCGCGTCGAGGTCAAGCTGGGCGCTTTCGAGCTGTGGCTGACGCTGAAGCGCATCACCGGCCTGGACGGCGGCAGCTCGTTCGGCAGTGGTGACTTCAGGAGCTCCGTGATCAATCACTGAAAGAGTTTCGGGGGGGTTTTTGCGTCATGTACATAATTTTCTTTTGCGCACGCCATTATGAAACGATGCACCACTATGGAGCGGCACACAAATTACCAACATACGGCAGCCTCGGTCTGACGGGGGGCACGCCGAGCAAGGTCAACAGCACCACGAAAAGCCCAAGATATGGCATCCCTCCCCGCCTAACCAGCGTTCAACCGCGAAACAGGAATATGAGATAGGCTCCACGCGAGGAAGCGACGAAATGAAGAAAGTCACGAGTACAAACGAGAAAGGAAGTTGGCAAGCGGTATCAAAAGCATGTTTGCATCTAAAGCGCCTTTTTTACTTCCGGCATTACACATTACGGCACAGTACAGCACAGCACAGCACAGCACACGAAGGGACGGGCATGACGTGGTTTTCAGGTGGTGGTGTATAGAGAGACAACGATAGAGGTGTATTAGTTCATTGTTGTATTCATAGCATTTGCAAGTCAGCGAATTGACTCGTGCGTTCTGACCACTTAACGACGTGATGCTTGCTGGTGTTTGGCAATTCTGTCCGTCATGAGCTGTGTTCACGTTAGTCAGGAGAGTGCCACAAACACAGAGAAACCGCGTCACATGGTACGGTCCAGGCCATGTTCAGAGGTAATTGTCTATTCAATTCTGTCCGTACGCCTTTGGCTTAGGATCTGCCAGGATAGAAGGCTGTCACCTCCATCTTCTCACGCAGCCCATTCCCCAAAATTGTACATCTTTCCCGTCCCGTCGAAAGTCAAACTAAAATGCAGGTAGTCCCTATGGTACCAGGTATCATTCCTTCCCCCAAAACGCCTCGGAAATAGGATGCGGAAAAAAAAATCAAAAAAAATCTGCTATGCGCGTGTATTGAGAAGCTGAAGAGTGATCAAGTCATGCTCGTTTGTTGCTGGTTGGGCTGCCGCATCATGCTGTCTGTGTCCCTGTCGTTCTATGCGGATCCCTGACTGGGTCAAACGGTACGTGGGGAGAGGACGTGATGCGCGGACAATGGTAAATTATGCCAAACAGAGTAATGGCGAATAGGTGGTCGAAATCGAAAGGAAGTGCTGGAGCGCGCAAAGATTGCAGCGCTCCAGCAAAAGATGCCTCAAAAGGACCAACCACGCCTTCTCATGACCGGCCGCCCCATCTCCAGCCGGAATTCGAGGGTGGAGAGCGGGACATGGGTGTGAGTGCTGGACTGATATGCGACCCGACGCTGCGGTCGCTGTCCATGGAGCGCTTCTCGGGAGACGGCGAGCGGTTGTTGATGTTGTTTGGTGTCGCGTAGGGCCCGGTGCGGCTCAGGGGCTCTGGGGAGGTCTGGCGGCCGACTTGCCAGGACTTGTAGATCTCCTTGCACAGGTGTGCGGACATTGTGTAGGTGGGCGCCATTGTGTGGGTGGTGGTACTGGTGGTGGTGGAGGTGGAGACTGCCGAGTGCTATTGAAATAGCAGGCAACTACGAGACAGGTAGCTGAACAATGAGTGATTGTATCGAGGCGTGCTATAAAGACCGAGGCTGTCTACACGGGTTCTCAAAGAGACGAGTTGGTGTGGTTGGTGGTTTGTGTGGTTGATGGAGGACCCTGGTGGAAGGATACGCTACCCGCAGGTGCACAGGCGTTGGTCAGGGGCGGCGTGGTGTAGATGTTGCCGGTAAGTAGACGTTTGGGGGACGACGAGGATCAGGCCAGCAAAGGGTGTTGTAGAGGGCCGGGCACTATTTGTCTGAGGAAGACCTGGACCAGCTGAGCGTAGAGGAAGCCTGAAATTAGTCGAAGACTAGCATTGAGGGAGGGCACGCGCGCAGGTCGGCCGAGAAGGGCGATCCCGGGCGTCTTATACGAGGCGGCAAGGCGCCCGTCCATCTTTCGATACGTGGAAGTACCAGCGACTTTGGGCGGCCTCGAAACACGCCGGTGGAGTCAGCAGGAATGACGCCTTTTGCGGGTGGGTGGCATTGCCAGCGTCGAGTCATCTGGACTTGAAGCCCCCAAGGTCAGGGCTGGCTTGGGCTTGGCTCAAACCAGGCTGTAAACCTGTCTGCGTCGGGGTCAGGAAGTGGAGGCTGCTAAGCATGCTAAGCCTGCTGGCAGGTAGGGCGCGGTCCGGGGTTCAGGCACCTTCCCAGGCGGCTCACATAACACCAATCACTGCTGCGGTAATCATCTGTAATCACCACTTTTGCGGATTGCCATTGGCCAGCCCCGCCGCTGGGTTCCGTCGGAGGTGTGCCCTGCGACGGTCATGCCACCATCGCAGCCCGTCACATCACACCACCTGGCCCAGCCTGGACGATCCGCGCCTGGCCAGCCCTGCCTACTTTACAGTACTTGCCCTCTTGTGCCCAAGCGGCAGGCAGACGGAAGGAAGAATGCCATCGGGTGGCCCCCCGTTACTTGCCGAAGCAGCCCACTCGGTTGCAACCCGGGCGGCAGTCCCCGCCCTGTAGCGACTCTCGTATGACTATCGGTTCATCGCCCTGCCTGGGTGTCGGCCGAGCCTGGCTATCTCAGGAATCACAGCCGCGAGATGGTCTGGTGGCAACAATTCCCCCCTTTCTGCCCAAGCGCTGCGTCTAGAACAGATTGGGGGAGGTCCCAGTCCCTTGCTCGACAATCTGCCAATGCACCAGTCCGCCTGTCTCTGGAGCACGCGATCGGGCGGGACAATGACAAAGCCTGCAAGCAACGCACCCGCCTGCCTGAGTAAGCAAGCATTTGATGACCGAGCACGCAATTCCTTGAGGAGAACACGACAACACCTGCCGACTTGGAGCAAGAGCAAATCGCGACCACGCCAGTTGTATCCGCTACATTGCAGCATACAGCCAGCGTGTTCATTGGATGGTCTCCATCATCAGGGCACACTTTTGGTCCTCCCCACGGCGATTGGCCTGCGATTGTATGCAGCGTCGTGCTCCACTTTGCGACGTTGCTACGCCCTCTCCCACAACAAGAAGTGGTCGTCAACCACCACCAATTGTAGTGCAGCCCGCAAAGGCCGCCTTTGGTATGGTGGCTGATATTGCGGTAAGGGTCTCAGGACGCTCCGCATGCGCTGTCCCGAAGGCCATTAGGGATGTCAGACTTGTGCCGGACATTCTCTGTTCGGACAATTCTGATGCCATGGCTTTTATCGTGACTTCTGGAGTAGGCACCAAAGACCTCCGCCACAAGCACACCCTACTGAATGCAAATACGGATAGACCATCCGACAAAGAAATTCTAGACTCCAAGCGGAGATTTCCGGGGGTTCATCGACGTTTTCAAAGTACGACAGCGAGAGCACCAATGATGAAGCATCGGCAATAAGCCAATGCCAAGCTTCGTGATTGGCGAAACGTTGCTCTGACTTATATCAACAGCAGGCTACAGCCATCCCCTTCGCCGCACGAGCTACAACTGCCCCGTGCACTAATCCTGGTGTGACGTTTCCCATTGCCGCGTGTGATTTAGCTGCCCTCTGAGCCAAGGTGGGCTTGTCCGACGAGCGGGTTACATTCCGACACAGTTTCCTTCCTCGAGTGAACTCGCCTTGATCCCTAGCATTGTTCTTTCGCTCCTAGATCCATACGCTTGGTCCTCCCAGGCGAGCGCAACGCGGACCTTGGGATTTAATTGACTCTTCCCCTGAAATTGTGCTTTTGCATCAACGGGTAGTTCCGTCCACAGGGTGCTATAGTAACGAGCTCGGGCCTCCGGCTTTGCTTTCACACTGTTCAAGAGGGTTTTTGTTTGCCTGGCGTGTCACATGACCGTGACCTGCGCACGCTCGCCTGCAAATATTAAGACCACACCCTCGTATCGCGCCGTGTCACCACACAATATGGACCACCCGGGCACTAGAGCAACGTGGCTATAGTTTCTGGAACAGTAACAACCGCCGTTCCTCATCTGAAATGTGATTGAAATACTTGGTGATGAGCACACTTATACCCGCAGCGTGTGTGCCTAGCTCGCAATCTCGAAGATTCTCGGTTACTCAGAAGTGCAGCAGACAGGACAGAGATTGCGACCTGATATAGGGGCAGCCATGCCACAACCGATTTATAGCTGCTCACGCGACAGTGCCTTACTCATTTTTTTTATCTACTGAACACGACGAGTGAATGGCAAATCTTGGTTTGGTAAAAAAATAAAAAAAAATAAAAAAAAGAACATGAGCCGTCAGCTATAGCATCCAAGTCCTTAGGAATTGGCCCCCCGAAAAGAAAACCAACTTTACTACAACGAAGCAGTTGTTTCACCAGAAATATGTTGCGTACAGCCAGTGTGATGATATGTATGTACAATTTATATCTATCTCAATCTTGTAACGTAAAAAAATTATATACAGTGTAAGTTATCGTTTGGACCCTCGGAACATAGGGGGAGGAGTCCAACACTATACGATCTTGGAGCCAAGGGGGGGAAATGGCCCCAAGCTCCTGAACTGGTGCGGAGCATGCTGTCCGTTTCGTCTGCTCCCTCTCGACTCTTGACTAGTAAAGAGCATGTGTCCGTAGGGTTATATATATGGATATGTCTGGGTTGTGTGTGTTGCGTCGTATGTATGTATGCATGCTTCTCCTCCGTGATGATCGTACAAGCACGAGTTGCCGCGTGTTTTTCAGCACATGCTTTTGTCGGTCGTGTTGATCGCCCTGGACATTATCTGTCGCGCGTTGCGTCATGTTTTGTCCGAAACAACCAAGGAACGAAAAGTCGGAGGATTCGTCGCTCAGAGGCTTTACACCCGGCCGTCAAGCATCCACCTGGCCGCAGCCGGCCAGAAGAGCACCGCGCTCATGAAGCCAGAGTAACTATAAGAACCAGGCCAAGCCGGTCAGCCTCTGATACCAATCATTAAGGGAGAACGTCGCACAGAAGCAAGAGAATGTAACACTATGGAGACTTGGGACACCAGGGGGGAAAAGGAAGAGGGCGTTCGGGGGTTGGCTTACAGGACCAAGTTCTGTCCCCGGGTGCGGACGATCCGGCCCCAGTCTCCGGGCTGCGAGCCGGTCATGGAGATGGGCTGCGGGTGCGCCTCGAAACTGCGTGCGAACTGCCGCATCGAGGTGTAGAGGGTGCGGCGGGCGACCTTCTGGACGGCAGACATTCTGGTTGGTTTTAGGGTGGTGGTGGGTGGGTTGAGGTATGGTGAGATATGGGAGACGAGGGTTGTTGAGTGGAGCTCTGAGTGCTTGGTGAGGATGAGGATGATGAGAATGATCTCTCTAGAGGATGTGTGTTGTAATATCTGGGTGTGCTGGTGGTGAAGACTGTGTCGTTGTTGTTGCGTATGGCTGAGTGGTGGTGATGGAGAGGCAAGGCTGGGATACAAGACAACATGGTACGATGCTCTGGACTTCTTTATATAGTTCTACAAACATACGATGCGGCTCACGACTTCATCTCGACGATCAACCCTGTCCAAGGTTACTGGCCGGAACAAGAATGTCGGGGGAGAGTCCAGGGGATCTGCGTAATCGACGAAGGCTCCATTGGCCCGGATCCTTCGCTGCACGAAAGCAGACGAGAGGTTCTGTGGTGCCCGAGAGCACGTGTGCGGATGACCAAGAACGACACAGATCAGGCCACGAGCAAAGCCCGGGACACAAGGGCCAGAAGTGGTGGTGTGACCTTGTGTTTCTGTGACAGCATCCGTGATGCATGGCTGGCCGTTTGTGTCGGCGGGTCACCAGCTCCGGCTGGGTCCGCCCTACGCACAGCGGCCGTGGGCGGAAGCGCGCCGGCGGAGACCGGGGCCTCAGGGACACCTGCGCTGAGCTGTCAAGGCCCAGAGGACCGGACACAAGGCGCGGAAAGACTCGCGACTGTCGGAGGGCGGATGTTCCAGCCGAGTGCCCTGGTGCTGGCTGACCTCACCTGCGAAAAAGAGTCTGCAGGGCTGCAGGGCGTCAGCGTCGTACGACGTGGTGCCACTCCGGGGGAAGGTAAGCCCTCGCGCCGACGGCACCGCTTCTCGGTGCATCGCCTTCTGCATTGAAATACACCAGAGACCCCGTTCCACATGCTCACGAGGCGGCGTCTTGTACACGGAGCGAATCTCCACGGTTCCCAGTGGCTGCCAGCTTTTCAGGGCCTTTGGACCTAGGACGGGACTTTGCGTGTCGCGATGCCCCCTGGTTTGACATCGGCTTTTATGCTTAGCTTGCCAGCACTTCGGCCCGCGACGACCCACCACGTGGCCCGGCAATTGTTGTGTCGAGCGGGCAACCACTCCATGATCAAGCTTCTCTTCTTATTTGGTCGCTAACCATATGGCTGTCGCTACTACAGTTCAGGGAGCGTCTCGCAAGACTCGCAGTGGCAGGAGCGAAAGTTGGAGTCGAGCGGTGATGGTTCATCAATGTCGAGCCACGCCAACTCCGGTCATATGAGAGTCGCGTCCAGATGAAGCGATCCGCACCCGTTTCGGCAATCGACGCCTCCAGACTGAGCCGTTGTCGGTTGGGTTTGCACGGCCTGTTCCCGCGGGCCATCGCGTAGCTATTTGGCTCCGGAAAGTTGCAAGGGACGAGATGGACAGCGCAATCCGTCAGTTCAAAGTCGGCTGCTTATCGTGTGGATAGCACAGGCATTATCTAGGACCCAGGATGACAAGGGCCCAGCCCATCATGCATTAGTGACTCTCCGCCAAGAGGCAGATTTGATAATCAGTTGGCCGCCCTCCCGCCGCGTTTGTGCGTGAGGAGGACCGTCGTGACGACGGGCGTTGTGTGCGAGATGACAGGCAACATGGCCAAAGTGAGCTGGGTGAGTTTGGAGAGGGCTGGCTGGCCGCGAAGGTAGGCCGCCTGCCTCTGGCCAGCAAATCAGTAGGCTGATTTGATTGCTGGCCTTGCTGTCAAAGTGGGCCGGGACCCTGCAAAGGGCCATTCCCGCAACTGCCATCTGCTGCTGCATCGACTCGGGCGGTTCCTGACGCGTGCCGCAATTGCTCCCAGCCCAGTAAACACTTTGCGCCGCTCCTCCTCCACGCCGGGCAACCCATCGCCTCGCCTCGCCTCGCCACGCGCCCGCCTGCTTGTCTGCCTGCCTCAAGGTGTCTTTGCCTGCTGTTCGTCTCGAGCCGCGCCCGCCATCGCCCTCTCTAGAGCTGGCCCTCGACGACGACCAGCGCGGCCTGCGACCCGAGACACCACTGGCCGCAACATCGCCTGCGCCGCCGCGCCGCGCCTGGCCCTCCCCTGGCTCGCCCGCTCTCTGCACACGCTACCACGCTCCAGATCGCCATCCACCCTTCTCCGCCGGGCTCTCTTGGTCGTGATCCAGCGACTATAGTGCCCGTCGCACCTCCCAGCCACATCAACCTCACCACCGCCGCTTCACCTTTGCCCCCCTGCGCCGGCCCTTTGCGCACCAATTCCTGACAGGTAAGGTCTCCCCGTCTCTGCTCTCATACATGGGCCCAACCCTCACCTGCGCTTCATGCGCCTTCCCGTCCACACGCGCCCTCTCAACGCCTGGTCTGTGATGAACCACTGGTAAAAGGTCGGACCGCAAGTGCGGGAGCCCCAGGTTTCTCATGTCTCTGCCCGCCCGCCTGCAAGCAGTTCCCACCTCTCCTCTCGTCTCGACGAGGCGTCTTCCGGTCCACATTCCGGAGCAGCACGCGCATAGTTGTGTGGCTCTCGTGGACCACGAGGCGGACATGATATCAGAGGGTTGAGCACATCGCCCTCTTTGTGCCACTATTTGGAGTCCTGGCCCGCCCTGCCTCTAGGCGACCTGGGGCCAAAGGCTGTGGCGGACACTTTGTTCCAATGGGCCTCTTGCTGGCACGGGCTAGGCAATGCGAAGCCGTCGCTCTCTGCGGGTTGACGATATTCAAAAAGACAAAACTGAAAAGATCTGAGACCATTTCGGGCGCCTCTCCCTATGCACCGCCAACCCCTTTCATACCCTATCACACACACACAGCTCGCAAACTCTCTGTCTGGTGCTTGGTTCTCCCGATGCGCCAGACTGGCTTCCGGGTACCCACTTTTCCGGACTGATCTCCTTTTCCTATACGTCGCCGAGTCACGCGCTCACTAACCCTTAACCACAGTATACTCGGCCAGCCTCAACTTCGCGACTATAGCGAAATCTGGTCATACCTTCACCACTCCACGCGCTCCCACCCCTGGTGCGCGCGTCACGACGACGGCACGTAGCCTGCAGTGGCGTGGTAAAATCGCCATTCAGCGGTCTGCTGCAGTAGGAACGCCCGTCCACCCGCCTGTCTAGGACCATTACGTCTTTTCATCTTCGCCCTCACGCGCCAGCTGTGGGGGCAGCCACCGCGTCGCAGTCCCATTTCATCGCATCTCATTTCATCGCATTGCATCTCATCTCACCGCGTCGCATCAAAGTCTCGCATCTTCTCCGTCATTGTCCTCCTCACATCGCTCTTGTAGAGATTGAGGCCAGGGGTAAGCCGCGCGGGCTCGGCGCGTCTGCAAGGTGTCGTTCTTACTCTCCGTGGCCTTCATGAGGGCTGGCGACAATGCTTCAGCTCCAGCTCACGTTGGCCTCTCGGATTCCCGCGCGCGTCCAGTGCTTGACGGCACTGCGTTCGCTCAAACCATGATGGTGGCTTCCGATCCTTCGTTGGGCGCTCCACAGCACAGGCAAGGTCAGCTGTTTCACCATCACGGCTCGATCAACCTTGGTGAGCAGTGCCGCCATGAGGGCTGCAATGCACGGCTTCAGCATGGAAACTTCTGCATGCAGCACACTCAGTTCGACTCTCAGAAGATGCGCCAGGCCCATCTGCCCGCGCACGCAGACTTGGGTGATCGTGGTTCCCACAGCAGGTCGCCCTTAGCCAGAAATGTTCCGATCGCGCCTCTCCATCGACCCCCGGCCACAAATGGAACTCACGTTCCATCAGGAGCTCCGGGCAATTCATCCTCGAGCTCCCCATCAGCCCCAAGCAAGAAAATGCTTCCGGATAAGATGGTGGCCCGCAAGAGTGTCTTCAACCTACCATCCAATGCTGGGAAAGTCGGTGCGCACAGTTCGCTTGATACTTCTCGAACTGGAAACGAGAAGCGACCTATCAAGCGGCAGCGCACCTCGGACGACGATGCCTGGAAGCGAACACCCTATACTATCTCAATTTCCGGGGACGAGTCGGCCGGTGGCTTCGGTGTTAATGGACATGTCTTTGACGGTCCACCGGACCAAGCAAGAATTCGTGAGAGCGTCTTGCGCGATCCCTCGACCGCTGGGGTCTCAGCGCCCTCATCTCAGGAATGGCGTCCTCAAGGACCAGAGACGATGGATCGTCAGCGACCCGTCACATATTCACCCTCAGCAGCGCATTCGACGCTGGTGGAGAGGAACGTAGTGTTCACCAGTTCTGGCGAGACATCTGTGCCGACATCAGCGCCTTCGCCACCAGAACCGCTGGTCAACGGAGTCCAAAAGCCCTCGCACCCACCCCGGCAGAATCCAATGTCTCAGCATGTGCACTCCCCACAAACGATAGCGCATGCGCCGGATCTGAATCAGTCCAACAGCGCTCTTGAGACTCTGGCCAAGTACAAAGAGAACAAGCACAACTTCAGCCAGGCCGAAATCAACGAGATGATACGGATGGCGCAATCGCGCCAGTTGCCTCGCTTCCATGGTCCAATTGGCCCAATTCGAGGGACGAACGGTGACTACTTGGGGCCCGCGGCCACAGACGTGGTGACGAACGGACAAGCTCGAGCACAGGAGATTAAGTCGTCGCATACGTCGCCAATACGCCCTGCCTGGCGTCCCTCAATGCCGTCCATGAATGCGACCCAGGGCTGGCGGCCCGGATTTGCCATGATTGACCTCACCCAAAACGGCGAGGATCCCGAGATGCCCGTTGCGAACGGACTGTCACCAGTCGATAGAGGTCCTTCGCAGGCGGCCAGGTCATCTACCACGTCCAATGGCGACATCGTGCACGTGGATGGACCCAAAGGTGTCGCCGCGCAGGATAACAGGCCCCCTGTTTCAGCACCGTCACGACAACCCGAACCCTCCGAAAAAATGCTGGTCAATGTGACGGATGCGCCAACTATTCCTATGCCAAGTGTGGTCCAGTCTCCTTCCAAGGCAGGCGCTTCTGGAGGGCACGAGGATGTCGCGCCGAAGCTGCGCCGTCCTGGGTCCACGGACAACAACGACGTCCAAACGCTGGCAGCATCATCCAGCAAGTCACCACGAAGTCCGAGGACGGTCTCCCTTCGCATCGGGAATGCTACAGAGGCCAGGCAACGACGAGAGAGGCAACTTGAAGCCGCAAGGAGAGCCGAGGATGCCTTGCGGCAAAGCACGGCGCAAATTCTGGCCGGTCCAGCCTCCGTCCCTGCAAGCGGTGACACTCTGCGCGTGAATGGAGTGGTCAATGGTGTCGACGACGACCACGTCATGCCAGACGCTACTGTGCCGTCACTGTCAGCGGCAATAGTCAAGCCGCCAGAAGGACTTCCCGAGCCTGAGAAGAGGCGGCTCGAGTTGGTGAGTAGGCACGACCCCGACCAGATGGACGCCTTTATCTATGGCGACCTGAATGCGCCATGCCGTCCGCTTTCGCGATTGTTCCACATTGTCTCAGAGGAGCATCCACCACGACCAACCCGCGCAGCCCAACATTTCGCGCACATCGATCCACGCCTGCATTGGAGCCGGCCCCGCTCTCGGGGTTGGTATGAAGGCATGCAGGCAAAGATTCGGGACCGCGGCAACAAGAAGAAAGGACTGGGGCAGGCCGCAAGTCGGCAAGCCAAAAGAAAGCATGAAGATGCTGTCGACCGTGGCGCGACTGGTGGGCAACCGATGGTGCAACAGGTTCAGCGGCCGGAAAGGGTGATGGCCGATCCATTGTGGACGGCAGCATCGAAGGAGCTCGATGACATGGCGACCCAGTACCATGCAGATGAAAGGGTCAAGGCATCAGGGGTTTTACCAGAAGCAAGGACCAGCAAGCCAGGAAAGCCAACGAAAGGGGCGGCCGTGAACGGTGATGGGCCAGTCACGAGACGCAGCGAGCGGCAAAATACTCGGCAGCACGATGTCGGGACTGCCAGCCCGGCACACAGTGAAAAAGCAGCAAAGACGACCCCGGCCCGGAGGATCCTTAGGACGAAGACAGCCAGCCGACCGCCTGTAACCGTTGAAGACGCAGACGAGAGCGAAAGCAGTGATAACGACGAGGACAGTACATGGGGAGAGGGCAGCGGTCATCGGCTGCGCCGCCGTGGCGCCAGCAGAGATGATCATAATCGGATGGATGTGGAGACTACTCCGACAAGGTTGAGAAGTGGTCGATGAGCAGCACTACGACAGATAATGTTTTCTTTCGAGCATATTCGGCGGAGTACAGCGGGATGCATTCTCTTTTTTTTTTCCTTGTCTTTTCATTTTCAATCACTTTGATTGAAGAGTTGCGTGGAACTGTGCGTGAAGTGTTGCCGGAGGGACGAGTCGGTGCCAGTGACGGCACCGCACCTTTGCACAGAAAGAATGATGGGCGCCGGGGCATGGGGTTCCGGTTTCTGGGCGGACACAAAAAGGCTATGGGCAATGACCGGGACAGCATCGCCACTATGCAGGAAAGAACTGTGCATGCTGGCCAGTATGACGGTTCTGGGCAATGTTGGGAATCTCGGGGTTGCAGGCCGCCATATATACATCTACATAAACGTATAATTTCAGAAGAATCTACATGCCTGAGGCTGGCGTTTTGATACCAAGACAACTTTGCAACGTGCATTGCGTGGGACGACTAGTTACTTGCAAGTTTCCTTTTATGGCGGGGGCGGCGGCCAAGCGCGAGGAACAAAGAACAGCAAATGTATGGCACGTGCTCCACAAAGACAAAAGCCAGAGGCAGAATCAAATGTTCAGTGGGCGTAAGAGAATAAAACGTTATAGGCGGATTCCCGAAAAACTGGGTGAATCAGTCCTTGGCGTATCCTTAGTGAAAATAGAGTTCGTGGTATTCATCAAGCTTGGTGGAACACAGTCGCCTCAGGCGGGGACGGATGCACGGGAGGAGGGCCCAGAAGGTCCAGATAGCCAAGCCGTGGGAGCTTTTGAGGGCTCGAGCTGATAAAACAAGGTGCTGGAACTCAGAGTCGGTGCGCCAGGTTCAAAGACGACAGCCATTGGCCGCTTTCACTCGCCTGCTCCTGCTTAATTCACCATGAGCTCCTGGGAAAGAAGCGTGCGCCTGACCTCCAATTCTGTTTATGCATTGTAATTCGTGTCTGACAAAATGGTATCTCTATTTGTACTTGCACTCCTTTTCCAAACCCGGCGAAAACCTCAGGTGGTAGTGCTTCTGCTTCTGCTTTTGTTTTGAACCTCTCCGAAAATCAAACCACAAACGCCATGTACATAGTGTATCTCCATTTCTTGGATTCTGAGCACATTTTCCAGAACTTGCTGTAGATCATCACGCAGACTGCTGGCTCAACAGGTTGAGCGCACTGCCTGCAAGGATAAACCCAGCCTGATCCTTGCTGACCGCGTGCTTGGTCTGGATCAAGAACTCCTCGCCAGTCTTGTTCTTGGTCACCTTCAGCGCAACTTCACCCTGCCCGCCGTTCTGCAGCATATCGTACAGGCCTACGGTGGCGACTTCATCGCCGGCGCTGATCTTGTCGTAGTCGGCTTCGTCGGCAAACGTGAGCGGCACGACACCCTGCTTCTTCAGATTCGTCTCATGGATGCGCGCAAAGCTCTTGGTAAGCACGACGCGAGCGCCGAGGTACCGCGGTTGCAAGGCGGCATGCTCTCGCGCACTGCCCTCGCCGTAGTTATGCTCGGCGACAACGAGCCATGGCTGACCGGCCTCCTTCCAACGCTGACCGAGCTCAGGGATCGTGTGCTTGGACCCGTCGAGGTCGTACGCGACGTTGACCTCGCCCGTCTCGGCGTTGGTCGCCGTGTTGAGCGTGTTGGTGCTGATGTTGGGCAGGTGACCCTTGTACTTGAGCCATGGACCGGCTGCGGAGATGGTGTCAGTCGTGCACTTGCCAGTAACCTTGACCAATACACGAAGACCAGAGAGATCAGATTGGGGGAAGGCGTCAAAGGGCTCGAGGAACGCAAGTCGCTCGGAGCTCGGCGAGATGGCAACCTCAACTGATGCGTCGGGTGGCTGGATCTGAGCACGGAACTCTGGTCGGGCCTGCTCGTACGGCTGGGCTGGGATCTCTTGGCCATGAGGAGGGGAGAATTTGAAGTCCTTGCCCGAGGCGGTCTTGATCGAGTCGGTCATGGGGTTGAAGGTGGTGCTGCCAGCAAACGCCATGGCAGTGACAATCTCTGGCGAAGCTAGGAAGTTCATGGTGTCTGGGTTGCCGTCGTTGCGGCCCTTGAAGTTGCGGTTGAAGGAAGTAAGGATCGCATTCGGAGTGCCCTTCTCGACACCGTCCTTGCGCTTCCACTGGCCGATGCAAGGTCCGCAGGCGTTTGACAGTATTGTGCCACCAGCCTGCTTGAACGTCTCGAGAGGGCCGTCTCGTCTGAGGGTCTCGCGAATCGTGTCGCTACCAGGTGTGATGTAGAAGTCCGTGGCAGGCTTGAGGCCAGCGTCCAGCGCTTCCCGGACCATGCTCTCGACTCTGGTCATGTCTTCGTAGGAGCTGTTGGTGCAGCTCCCGATGAGTCCAGCAGAAACCTTCTCGGGCCACTGCTGCTCCTTGACAGTGTCCTTGAACAAGGAGAGAGGAGTAGACAAGTCGGGCGTTGCCGGTCCATTCACATGCGGTTCGAGACTTGACAAGTCGATGGTGATGATTTGGTCGTACTTGGCACCGGGGTCCGCTCGCAGTCCCACAATGGCATCAAACTTCTTTGCCTCCTCTGCCACATCCCGCCTTTGGGTAGCCTCAAGGTATCTGACATGCGCGGGGCTGAATGGGAAAATCGACGTTGTGGCTCCGACCTCTGCTCCCATGTTCGTGCTTGTTGCCATGCCCGTACAGCTGAGGGTCTCCACGCCTTCCCCAAAGTACTCGATGATGTAGCCGGTTCCACCACGGACAGTCAGCTTGCCAGCAAGGTGGAGGATGATGTCCTTAGGCGAGGCCCAGCCATTCAGCTTGCCCTTGAGCTCGACACCGAGGACGCGAGGGGCTTTGAGCTCCCAGGGAGCACCGACGAGCGCCTCCACAGCATCAGCACCTCCAACGCCAATGGCGATGGTGGCCAGCCCGCCGGCGTTAGGGGTGTGGCTGTCGGTTCCGAGCATCATAAGACCAGGGGCGGCATAGTTCTCGAGGACGCTCTGGTGGATGATGCCGGCCCCTGGGGGCCAGAACTCGATGCCGTACTTCTTGCCGGCCGACTCGAGGAAGTCGAAGACCTCCTTGTTGGTGTTGATGCCGGTCTCGAGATCCTCCTTTGCACCACGCTCACCAACAATCAAGTGGTCGCAGTGGATGCTGGCGGGAATGGCGGTTGAGGGCAGGTTGCAGGTCATGAATTGCAGGAGGGCCATCTGGGCCGAGGCGTCCTGCATGGCGACACGGTCGGGCTTGAGCTTGAGGTTGGCGGAGCCACGGATATCGCGGCCGCCGTTGGTGCCATTCATGAGCGACTCTTCGACATTGTCGAGATGGCTGTAGAGGATCTTCTCGGCGAGAGTGAGGGCAGTGCCCTTGCCCAAGACTTCCTTGACCTTGGCATAATTGTTTGCGAGCTTGAGGTACGGCGGGATACGAGGATTCGAGGTGTTAAAAGTGGGAGTCGCGAAGCCGCGGGTCTGGCTGGCAACGCTCGAGCGAGCAGCATTGAGAGCCTGAACAGGACAGGAGTATTAGTTGAAGATGTGTAGAAGGATTGGCCAATGGGCAGACTCACACGAAGGCTCATGCCACGACGGCAGGCAGTGTCGACAACTCCCATGTTAGCTTGATTGACACGACAATCGTCCTTAGCAGCGAGGAGGAGAGTCACAGAGTTGAGGAGGGCACGACACAAAAATTCGGGAACGAGCCCGCACCGGATTGCATTGGGAGGCACTTGATTGGGCAGGCGGGCCGGCTTGCAGGGCCTCGCAGGTGCGATGCCGGAGGGAGATCATCTGGAGACACCTCATATTTGGGGGGTATACGCTGCTTTGATTGGCTCAGAGTGACTCGAAGTAGAGCGGGGCAGTGTACCTGCACATCTCAGGCGCTCCCCAACTCAATTGAACAGGACAGTTTTTGGGTATACAGATTGGCTAGGGCTCGGATTAGTCACTTAGGACTTGGACTTTGTTGCCTTGAGTTCCATCGTATGATGATGAGATGAACAAGTAGGCTCATCTGTACTACGAGACTGTGTAAGCACCGGAGCACAAGGCCCGAACTCTGAGCTGTCTTTTAAGAGCTCCCCTCCACTAAAAACTGTCTCGGTAGCGTCTGGGCCCCGGGAGATCCCAGCTGGGGAAGACGGAAAGCCTCGGCCGTGGTAGGGCATTCCCCATCACACAAGTGTGCACTCTCTGACCGTGTTCAGAAAGAAGGCAAGAAGGGCCAAAATATGGCTGACATGTTACAATATTACGATATAACGATATATATGACATTTTTTCCAGGACAAGGCATCGTCCTGTTGCCCATAAAACAGGTAGTCCCCAGGCTGGGAGGGCCATTGGCGTCCACGCCACCTTATGGTCCCTAGGACGACAGAGAGCACCCGAAGTTGCAGAGAACGAATAATAATCTGAATCTGATAGAGAGCGTCCCATGCCGCAAAGCTTGTCGTGTGACGAGGAGCGGATGTTTGGAGGTTTCTCATTGCTCCGTTGGAGCAATGAGCCAGGCTCAAAATTGAAGCAGTCGTGTCGGAACTTCTTGAGAAAGCAGTCCTGATCCCATGGCGAGATGTTACCTCTCCTGAAATGAGTGAAACACAACCTCTCTTCAGAACCAAAATCTGATGAAATTGGCAATACACCTGGATGGACCTGTTTAAACTGACCTACAGAGCTGGGTGAATGGCTCCACCCCTGGAGAGCCCTGAGTCAGCAGCCTCCAGGAAGTACCCATGGCACCCAGCCACTGCGCCACAAAAGCGCACCAGCCTCATGATGACGACGGTCCGTCCTGTCGAGCTGCGCGGACAGGTCTCAAGTGCAGTGCATAATAGCACCCGCAGCTTGTCTCTGCGGAAGGCAGCGCTGACACCACCCACTGGAGCTGCACTGCGCCGTGAGGCACCGAGCTACGCTACCAGCAGGCACCGCCCTATCGACCGACGTCAACCTCCAACCCCTCCACCCTCCTGCCCTCGACCCCCAAAACACCCTCACCACCGACGCCCGCGGTCCAGACGGATCCCAATTGTCCCACGACGACCTCACAGCAGGGCCATTCGTCAAATCCCCGCCGCAACCATGTCGGAAGCTCCCATCGGTCAGTCCGCGCACACAGCCGTGTAACCACCCGCCTGCTCAAGCCAGACCAAGCTAACCACAGCGATTTCGCCCGACACACAGTCCTCGATGGAGGCACCGGCTTCCTCAAGGTCGGCTATGCTGCCCAGAACTTCCCCGAGCACCAGTTCCCCTCGATGGTCGGCCGGCCGATCCTGCGTAGCGAGGAGAAGGGCGCCGACACCAGCGACCTCGTAATCAAGGACATCATGTGCGGAGACGAGGCCGCCGCGGCCCGCACAATGCTCCAGATCTCGTACCCCATGGAGAACGGCATCGTCAGGAACTGGGAAGACATGCAGCACCTCTGGGACTTTACCTTCTTCGAGAAGCTCAAGGTTGACCCCCGCGGCCGCAAGATCCTCCTGACCGAGCCTCCAATGAACCCCCTGAAGAACCGCGAGCAGATGTGCGAGGTCATGTTTGAGCGCTACGGGTTTGGTGGTGTCTATGTTGCCATTCAGGCCGTGCTGGCGTTGTATGCTCAAGGTAAGTCGTCTCGGAAAACCCGCGGCCAAGTTCGCAGTTTGTCTGCGACTAGAAACTAAACATGTGCCCCCCTACAACAGGTCTCAGCTCCGGTGTTGTCGTTGATTCTGGCGATGGCGTCACCCACATTGTCCCCGTCTACGAATCCGTCGTCCTTAACCACCTCACCCGCCGACTCGACGTTGCCGGCCGCGACGTCACCAAGAACCTGATCTCCCTGCTCCTGCGACGCGGATACGCTCTGAACCGGACGGCCGACTTTGAGACGGTGCGCCAGATCAAGGAGAAGCTGTGCTACGTCTCGTACGACCTCGAGCTCGACAAGCGCCTCAGCGAGGACACCACTGTTCTTGTCGAGAGCTACACCCTGCCCGATGGCCGCATCATCCGCGTTGGCAGCGAGCGCTTCGAGGCCCCCGAGTGCCTGTTCCAGCCCCACCTCGTCGACTGCGAGCAGCCTGGCATGGCCGAGTTCCTGTTCAACACGATCCAGGCCGCCGACGTCGACGTCCGCGCTGACCTGTACAAGGCCATTGTCCTCTCCGGAGGCAGCAGCATGTACCCTGGCCTCCCTTCGAGACTGGAGAAGGAGCTCAAGCAGCTGTGGCTCACGCGCGTGCTGGGCGGCGACCCGACACGCCTCAACAAGTTCAAGGTCAGAATAGAAGACCCTCCCCGCAGGAGGCACATGGTATTCCTCGGCGGCGCCGTGCTCGCCAACATCATGGCGCAAAACGACAGCATGTGGATCTCCAAGGAGGAGTGGGCGGAGCAGGGCCCGAGAATCCTCGAGAAGCTGGGTCCTCGATAGACAAGGTAGTGGTCATTGGTTTTTTCAAAGTGTATAGAGGGTGGTCTTTACTACGTAGCAAAAAAAGCCCATTTTTCGTCAGCCTTCGTTGTGAGCTCCTTCTCTCTCCTTGACTTTCTTACTATGCAGTGACAGTGTACGATATAACACTTCGGCTGTGATACATACATGGAGCACGGTAAACAGTGAAGAAGTTATGAGAGTGAAGTTTGATGATCGCACGATCGGTTCATTTGTGTCAATTTTTTTTCATTTGTACAGCAGCAGCCAGTAGCTGCGCCAGCTAATCTTCATTTTCCCTTCCTTCACAGGTGCTCAGAGTCTTGCTTTCTACCCGCCAGGCCATTCATCCATCCACCCATGCATGCTATTGTGTATTTTGACAGAAGGAAAAGAAAGAAGGAGAAAGAAAAACGAGAAGAAGTGGTAGCTATCAAAATTTCAGATGGTACAACCACAAGAACGCCTGCTTGAAAGGTTTGATATTTCAAGGTATGCTGCTGCTGGCTTTCCCTGTTCCCGCGTATCTCTTCGTGTTTTTTTTGGCGTGGATCGGACAATATTACAAGTGAGTCGCGTCCTGCCCACTTTACGCCCCTGAATACCATTGCTGCTTGCGAGAAAGCAACGCTCCTTTTGCGGTGCACAATCACTTCAGATCATTCGGATCGTGCCGGAAAGTACACTGATCGCCCTTTGCGCACAAGCCCTTGGCCCAGAACGAGCATGGCTTGGTGCCGATAAGGGCGCGGTTGATGCCTTTATGGGCGGCCGCACCGCCTCTGTCACCACCACTGCCACTGCCGCCGCCGCGGTCTTTCCCGCCGTGGTGTCGCGAGGCACGGTCACGGTCGCGCGAGAAGTTGTCGTGGTGTCTGGGATTGCGGTCATTCTCGTGGTCGCGGTACTGCTCGTGCTGCCTTGATGGGTGGTTGCTGCCGGAAGCATTCTGCTCCTGAGAGGTGGCGTTGTTGTTGTTGCTGCTGCCTGGTGCCTGCGCGCCAAATTGAGCATAGTAGGCTGCCCACGCTGCTTGCTGATCTGGCTGTGCCTGAGTCTGTGCTTGGGTCTGATTCTGGTAGTGCGCGGCCCAAGCTGCTGCGGCAGGATCGACAGGGCCTTGAGGCTGGCTGGCAGATGCCGTCTGCCCGCCGAGAGCGGCCAAGAGAGACTGCACGTCGTTGGCGGTCGCCTGAGCTGGTTGTGCGGGCTGTTGTTGGCCGGACTGAAGTGCTTGGACTTGCTGAAGGATCGCAGCATAAGCAGGATCTTGGGACTGGCCCTGTTGCTGTTGGCCCTGCGCCTGAGCAAAATAGGCAGCCCAGGCCGCCATATCATTGGAGCCTGCAGCAGGGGCGGCAGCCTGTGCTGCCGCTTGAGCTTCCTGGGCAGCTTTGGCCACCGCAGCATTGCGAGCGTGCTCGTCCGCCAGAGCTTTGGCACGAGTCTTGGCGTCCTTGACAGCTCTGGAGGCAACGTCGCGCTCGTGGCCGGCCCACCACTCTCTCGCACGGTCCGGCGCGGTGATGTGCTCAGGGGGCTCTGTTGGGGGATAAGGCTTTCCGCGAAATTTCTCGCAGACAGCCTCAATAGCATCGGCAGCCTCTTGCAGCTTGGGATCAGCATAGTCGTTGCGCCGTTGCGTCCGTGGGTTTGCTGGATCGAACGGTGTAGGGTCCTTCCAGTTCTTGACGGCGTCAGATCTGAGGAGAGTCAGGACCGCCTCGTCGCGCTCTTCTTGGGTCATGAAGCGTGGCGCGGGAGCTAAGGCGGTGCTCGGTCTAGACTGCTCAAACGCCGCCTTGGACGAGCCCGATTGATCGAGGCCAAGTCTTGACAGCGCCAATTGCTGAGCCGCAACCGGGCCGTATTGGCCAAACTCTGCCCATCTGCGATGGACTTCCTGCATCTTTGGTGTGTCTGACGGCAGAACGGCAACCTTGGGTGTGGTTTCCATCTCAGACAGGGCTCTCTGAGGCGGTGATCGTGGTGTTTCCGGAATCTCTGCGGCGGTCGTATAGACGGCCATCAGCTCTCGGCTCTCGTACTCTTCCATAAATTTCCTCTGCTCCGAGCTGATGTCCTTAACACCACCACGTGATACAAAACTCTTATCCCGCTGCGCTTCTCCAATCTGGTCGAAGCTGATCATGTTGGGTACGACCCATTCCCGTAGGCTACTTTCGCGAGGCTTGCCATCGTCCTCGGCATCATCCTCGTCATCCCGGATACCCATTTTCAGCATCTGTCCCTCGGAGCGGTTGTCCCGAGCATCACGCAACATATTGGTTCCACGTCCCTCGTCCTCTGCTGCATCGTGCGTGAAGATCCGGACTTCCTCGAGCTGGTCGTCTGGTTTCCACACAACGCGAAGCTTGCGACGCTTCTCTTTCCGGAGTCGGCGAGCTGTCTCTTCGGGTGTCTCTGGCGCACGTTCGGGTTCTTCCCGAGCCTTTGGCGCCTCTTTGGGTTTGGCAATCTCTGCCAGAAGACCGCTGATACTGGAGAACGCGCTGGGTGCTGCAGGCTCGGGTCTCTTTGTAACGGGCTTGACAATTGTCCGTGACTTGCCGGGCAGTATCGTTGCGGAAGGCTTGGGCTTGGCCGAAGCAGTCACTTGCTGTGCCCCGGGGCCAGCTGGTGCGGACACGTTGGCATTGGAGGCTTTAGTCGTCGGCGCGCCAGCACTTCCCTCCACCGCAACCTTTTTAGCGGTTCGTGAATCAGGATCATCGTCGCGAGGTCTCTTGATGGGTGAACCATTGATGGCGGGCTTGGGTGCACCATTCGGAAGCTTTCGGGCAGATCCCAGGCCTGAATAGTCGATCTTTTTTATCTCAGGCGCGAGCTTCTTCGTTTCGACTTCCTTCTTCACCGCCTGGACCTTTGGCGCGCCTGAGCTTGGGGGTAATGGCTTCTTTGCTGGATCCGCTGAGAGCGGCCTGGTTGCCGCCTTCTTCGGCTCTTTGTTGGCCTCGGATGGCTTCGTCTTCTCATCACGGATTTTCGCATTCTTTATGATCTGATCGATGTATCCCTTCATCTCGCTGTCAATCTGCTCGCCATATTTTGTTCGGAGAGCGTCGAGCTTGAGCTTTGACAGAAATTCTGTGTCGATGGTTGTGAATCGGGACATGAGTTTGAGAAGAACACGCGGGTAGGGCCCGGTGAAGTCCTTTGTTGTGAAGCAATTGGCCAACGCATTTCTCATGATTGTGCAGAGCTTCCGATTCCCACCCATGTTGGAAACAAGATACTCCTCGCCAAACCTCTCTGCTGTTTGAATGGCGGTATGCATCATTTCATTCTGACGACGCGCCGCAGCCTGCAGAGAAGGAATTTTGTCCTTCTCACCATTCTCTTCGGCCGTCTTGAGGCTGTCCTTGAGTCGTTTAACTTCAACCCAGAAGCCATCAACAAACGTGCCAAACCACTGGATGGCCTTGGACGTCTTGTCTTTGTCGTAAGCAGTATGTTGGTCTTGCCACACCCTTTGGACCACTTGTTGTTCCACAGCCTCAGGAGTGTTCTTGGGAACCCCCATCTTGATCATGATCTTGACAGCTTCACGGTCCAATTCGGTCTCTCCATCCTCCTCTTCCTCCTCACTCTCCGAGCTTGATGAGGCTTCTGCTTCCTTCGTGGACGAGGTCTTGCGTGTGCCCGCAGTTTTCGGCTTGGGTGGTTCGGTCTTGAAGACATGCTCAACTGGCGTAAACACGGCTTCCGCTCGACCTGCTTTGGCTCGATATCTGACTGGCGCTGATGAGACTGTGAGGTGTGGGTGGTTGGGCACAGCCTGGAAGACTATGGGGGCGGTGGGTTGGGGTTGAGGCTGGATTTGTCCATAAGGCTGGAGGGTATTATACGGTTGTCCGCCAGGCCCATGGGGACTTGCTGAGGCCGGTGTGATGGTACGCTTGCCCTGGGGGACGTGTGACTGATCCTGAGCAATACCAGAACCTTCCTGAGCCTGAGAATGCTGCGGAGGCACGAATGGTTGGAAACAATGCCCTGGAGAAGCATTCATTTGTGTGCTCGGATTTGGATGGGCACCTTGCGGATACCCATTGGCACCATAGGTGCCCGGTTGCGGGTTTTGAAAAGTCCCCTGTTGCGAGATGGGGGCTGGTGATTGCTTGCCATTGTACATATGTGGTCCTTGAGCTCCGGCAGTGAAAGCAGGACTCTGGCCACTATACTGCGGCATGTATTGTGTCGCATGTGCTTGCTGAGGACTCTGGTGGTTGTGAGAAGCCTGCGGCTTGGCAGCACCGTCAGGAGTCTGCTGGGGAGCACCAGGTTCCGCATAGCCGGCATATTGCACAGGTGTATGTCGAGCTTGTGTGGGGTTTGGACTGGCGACATGACGTGGCGTAGGCTGGGCCAAAACTTGTTGGTACTGCGGATGTAAAGCATGCTGGCTGGGCGGTTGGCTGTACTGCCCTTGGGCCTGCGGCGGGACAGCGTACGCAGAGGGTTGGCCTGGCTGATAACCGCTGGCAGTATGAGGCTGGAACTGGGCATTACCGCCATGACTTTCGCCTTCGTACACCGGGCGCTGCTGCTGCTGTTGATGATGCTGGTGGTAGGCAGGGTTCAATTGCGGATGTTGGCTAAGGGGGGCCTGATGACCGGTCCCGTTTGCCGGCTGAGCATATGCTTGTGAAGGACTCTGAGTCGGCATGTCGTGATAGACGTGTTGTTGCCTCCCATGGCCAGGCTCATAGTGCCCTGGGTTCACCTGGTGATTTGCAGCAGGCTGTCCACCATAGCCACCAGCGGCAGTCTCATACGGTAAATCTGACACCTGATTCTCTAGCAAGCTGTTGTACTCGCCAAACGAGTAGTCTGCATTACCGTGAGCTGCATTTGCGCCATCTTGGTACCAATACCCGGCGTGACCCTGTTCCATCGCGGCTGCCGTGGTTTTGGCTGGGCCAGCGCCCTGTGCAGCAAGGTGTTCAATTATCAGTCCAGCCTCGGAAGAGATGCCAATTCTTCTTTGGAGTTTTTGATCTGACACGGTACAGGATGCAAAGATTCAACAGCCTCAGAGGTTCAGCAGGGTGAAACTGCTGATGGCTGGGGTTGGCCAATGAGCTGGCGCTGGATTGGGGGGGTGTAGCTTTAAGGTTGTGGGGTCAAGTGCTGGGCAAGTGCAGCAAGGTGACGAGGGCCTAGTCCCAAAAGGGTAATATATGGGTATCTAGAACGCAAAGAACAAATCAGCTTTCAGAGCCCATCTCGGGATGCATCGTCGATCCAGTCGGACGTGCAGAGTAAGTGAATAAGACGAACGAGTGCCAACGTTGGATCAAGAGGCTTTCCAACTGGGCATGAGAGATTGCGACATGAAGTGACGAACTGGCTGCTGGCTCCTGGGATGATATGGCGCTGTCGTGGGCTATGACTGGATGATGGGATTGTGGGAGATCAACGCAAAGCGTCCACATCAGGCCACTGGCGATGAGAGCATCGCTCATGCGTGGAAGTCCTCAAGATGCGCTACTCGAGGGATGCGCAGCACGACGAGAACTGCGCAACTGCCGAATTGCGGAATGAACACCCCAAGCCTTTCCTCGTCGCACGACAGACTGCTCGTTGATGCCGCTGTCAATCGTATCGACAGGTTGGCGCGCTGTCGTGGGTATTCTGACAAGCCGTACCCCACGCAAGAGTCCTTCATGTCTGGTAACCTGGATGGAGCTAGAGGTAGAGAAGGCAGGGGGTCTGAGAGGGCAAGGGAAGCATGCGAACATTATGTGTCGCGTTGCTCGACTGCTTTGCAGGAAACAGCCCAAGTGCGAAGATTCATTCGTCCTCGTGCGCTCTCCAGTGTCCCTCTGTTCGGATGGAGGCGAATAACCCACTCACGGCTGCTGGCGCGGCGCGTGCTGGGCGGGCGTGACTAGCCACCATTTCCCGCCACATGATCCCTGCCCCTCTGCAATTCAATCCTGCAGGGTGGGAGGTCTCGGTGCGGCTTTTGGTCAAAGGCAGGCTGGAGCAGCGGAAGACGCGCGCGTCGCAGGTCAAGGAGCGCTGGACGACCAGCAGCCGTTTTTGATGGGCTTTGTTCGGATGGTAGAGGGGAGTGCGTGCGTTTGTGTTTGTGTGTGGGTGCAGAAAGAAGGGATGGGTGGTCATTTTGCAGTCACCTACCTTAGGTACCTTGTAGCTCCTCACACGGGAAAGGTGTGCATCAGAATGCCCGCGACCAAGCGAAAACGCCCACCAGTGCCCGTTCTGTCTTGCTCTCTTCAACTGAGAGTGGGATGTTTACAACATAATAGCCCCCCCCCCGAGTCATTAAGGGACCGGATGGGCTCTGCTGGTGCGCTTTGGCAGACAAGAACCCTGGCGATGCGTACAGCAACTATTTGGGTCGTCGCTGACGGATGTGCACGCGCTGGCGAAGTCGTCTTCACCACGGCGCTCCCAAGACGTGACGCGAAGAGGTCGGATTAAGAGTCCTTAAGCACTGGCGCGTAATGCCAGCGGGACAGGCAGTGAAGTCAGAGACAGATGGCGAATTATGCAGGCTGGCAACAAGAGCGCTGCAGCAGATGTGGCCGATGGAATCAAGGCCGGCGATTGATTCTGAGGCTGGCGAGTGAGGGCCTGCGCGTGGACGCGGAGGGAGGATGTGAAGGAGAGAGAGTTGGAGGAGAGGGCGAGGGTGCGCAGGTAGGGGGTTAAGCTGGCGGGAGGCAGGCAGGTAGGCCGTACCTCGAACAGGCGAGGCAAGCACTCTCCGTGCCTCAGCGTGTGACCCACTGGGAACTCGCACCAGGGGACACGAGGCCCTGAATGGACCAGCAAGGCCCACTCGGCAGCATTGGCTATTCTTCGACCGATAAACTGAAAAGCGTCACATTTGCTATCCATTGATTTCATCCCCGACCGGCGAAGCCAGATCCAGGCACGATGCGTGCGCAGCTGTGCTTATGGACTGCAGTGTTCCTCAGCAGAAGATATAAGCATCCCTGTGGTTACTAGGTGAGCTATAGATAGAGCCTGTTGTGCAGCCGCACGGAACAAAACAGGTGCTGCGGTCGAACACAACAGTAGAATCATACTACATGGAGACCGCGGTCGATTTTTGAGCCTGCCTCTCTGAACTTCTCGAGCCTTTTTCGGTCGTCACTGGATGCCCAATATTGGAAAACAGTTGGCCCACAAAGGCGCTGGTCGCATGTGAAGCAACCTTGAAAGCATCCGTAGACCGTGTCTGGTACCAGCCGCCCCAGTTGGCCGTTCCCGCACCCCACGTCACTGGTACCTTGCGCCTCAGGCAATGGCCAAAGTGGCATTTCGAGCTCCAGGTTGCCAGCGTCTAGATCCCGCCAAAGCACAATAGCTGGGCCTGCGACAGCTTCGCGACACGCTTTGATCGATCGAACCCCCCATTACTGCGAGCCCGACTGTTCCAACTCGACGTGTGCACGAATCGCCTCCCCTAGCCATTCGCATTGGTACTCCGTTTGCGCTCTCCGCCCCATGGACAGCCCCTAATCGCGCGACATTGGCCAACCTACCCTGCCGTGCGACTCGACTACGAAGCTCCAGGGTGAATCACGAACGACGGCACAGAGCCCGACACTACCGCTGAACCACGCGCACCATTGCCGCGCCGACCCCTGAGAATGGCTTCGAGCGGCAATTCTCTCAGAGACCGCCAGGTCGCCTCTCTGAAGCGCATACTCAACCTCAACGAGACCGTCGACAATCAGGACAACGAACCCCACGCCAATGGGCTCGCCCCAGCAGGCTCCATCCTGACACCAGAGGGCCAGCCGATATGGAAAGTTCTCGTCTTCGATGAGCTTGGCCGCGATGTCATCAGCAGTGTCCTTCGTGTCAGTGACCTCAGGTCCATGGGCGTGACCATGCACATGGGCCTCGCGCAGCGCCGTCACCCGATCCCCGACGTCCCAGTCATCTACCTCCTCGAGCCAACGAAGAAGAACCTCGATGCGATTGCAACCGATCTTGCCGCTGGCCTCTACTCTCCGGCGTACATAAACTTCCTCTCTACGATACCTCGCCCGCTGCTGGAAGACTTCAGCAATGCTGTTGTCGCTGCCGACACGCACGAGCACATTTCTCAAGTCTTCGACCAGTACCTCAACTTCATTGTTGCCGAGCCGGACCTCTTCTCGCTGGGTATGCAGAAAGAGCACACGTACTGGGCCTTGAACAGCGCAAAGACCAAGGACGAAGAGCTCGACCATGTCGTTGATCGTATCGTTAGCGGCCTCTTCAGTGTCATTGCCACGATGGCCGTTGTGCCAATCATCCGGTGTCCCAAGGGTGCTGCTGCAGAGATGATTGCCGCAAAGCTCGACCGGAAACTCCGCGACCATATCCTCAACAATAAGGGCAACGACAATTTGTTCTCGTCGAGCAATCGGCCGTCATCATCAGCGGCAGCACCAGCCTCAAGACCTGTGCTGATCATCCTTGACCGGAATGTTGACTTGAACCCCATGCTGTCACATTCGTGGACGTATCAGTCTTTGGTCCACGATGTTCTGAACATGAAGTTGAACCGTATCACGATCGAGACGCCCATAGACGAGGAGAATCCGGCCAAGGGCTCGACGAAGAAGGGTTATGACCTTACGGCGACCGACTTCTTCTGGGAAAAGAATGCAGGCGTGCCGTTCCCTCAGGTGGCTGAGGACATCGACGCAGAGTTGACAAGATACAAGGAGGACGCTGCCGACATCACAAAGAAAACGGGTGCATCCTCGATTGAAGATCTGCAGATGGACACGAGCGCTAGCGCACAACACCTGAAGGCTGCCATCACACTACTTCCCGAGCTTCGCGAGCGGAAAGCTGTGCTTGACATGCACATGAACATCCTCGCGGCGCTGTTGACTGGTATCAAGAACCGCCAGTTGGACAACTACTTCCAGCTCGAGGAGAACGTCATGAAGCAGACCAAGGCTCAGATCCTTGAGGTCATTCAGGACGACACCAAAGGCTCAGATTCGTTGGACAAGCTTCGGTTATTCATCATTTGGTTCCTCAGCACAGAGCAGGAAGTCAGCCGGGCAGACTGGACACAGTTTGAGGAGGCGCTCACAGCACGTGGGGTGGACTGTACATCACTGCCCTACGTCCGACAGTAAGTCATCCCGATTTTGCCAAGAATGATATATCCAGGATTATGATTGTCTAACACATTACAGAGTCCGAGCAACCACCAAGATGACACAGCTGACCACAATCAACAACCCATCATCCCACTCGGCAGCACAGTCTAGCGACCTGTTCGGCCGGTTCTCTTCCTTGTCCACCCGCCTGACCGATCGCCTTAAGGACACAGGCGTCGGCGTTCCCGGCAACCTCGCATCTAATTTCGACTCGCTGATTGGTGGCATAAAGAACTTCCTTCCCGCCAATCGCGACCTGACAGTCACCAAAATCGTCGAGTCTATCATGGACCCACAGACAGCTTCGTCATCCGCGATCGCAAAGACCGAGAACTACCTCTACTTCGACCCTCGTAGCGCGAACGCTCGAGGAACGATGCCTCCGGCAAGCCAGATGCGCGCGGGCAACACCGGCGCCGGCGGCATGCCCGGCGGCCTCGGAGCCCCGGCCCCAGGTACTGGCGCCAGCTTTGGGCAGAGGAGGCAAGGCTACTCAGACGCCGTTGTCTTCACCGTCGGCGGCGGCAGCATGGACGAGTACGGCAATTTGCAGGAGTGGGTTCACCGCACAGGTGAAGGCAAGGCCAGCAAGAAGCGCGTCGTGTACGGAAGCACGGAGCTTCTCAACGCGCGCGAGTTCATCACCGAGGAACTGGAGAGGCTCGGCCGCGAGACCGGAAGCTAGAGTGGGTGTGTTTGATTATGGGGGATTGTACAGGGTCAATGGGAGCGCCACATTACACAGCATAATAATCACATTGCAAGAGCATATGAGAATCTGCGCGTACAAGTTTTCCATGTTCTCATCGTGTTTGAAATCTAGCGATGGAGGCGGCTAGGCGGCAGAGGCACTTCGGGGCCACTAGTCCTAGAAAGTTCCTCCGTGCTCAAAGTCTCAAGGTCTAAGCGTCCATCGGCCGGCTGCACTTCGAGTACTCCAGTGGTTTTGCAATCACCGATGTAAGAATGATCCGGGTCTTCCTCTTTTCCCGGTTGTTCCAGCAATACCTCTGCCAGTTGTGTGGAGGTCCGCCAGGCACATTCCAATTCCACGGGTAGACATGTCCTGCAAACCCTTTACTCCGAGAGGGCTTGCAGAAGGAGAATGGAAAAATTAGCAAGTATCTATGTATACCTCATTTCTTGTCGGTCTCCACAACTTTGTGGCTGCCGCTTTGCATATTGTTCTGCTTGTGGTGTTGACTAGCGATCATGGACGGAGAGCTGCAGTATTTCACAAATATAGTGTCGCCTGTGTCGCTGGGGGCGCGGCCACCCCAGTGACGGGGCAATGTTTCTGGACGCAGACAATGATAAATTACATTAAATCATAGAATGAACAAAAACAGGACAGGAACATGATTCCTTATTGCGCCTCGAAACCAGAAAAGTCAGATCCCTCCTTCCCCTCCCTTTACCGTCACAGGAGCAATGGCAGCTCTTCCTGCATCAGCACAAGATGATCGAGTTGAGCCGATGCTGGTGTTGCGCGATTGCCCGCTTCTGAACTCTCGGGTCGTATTTGCCGGTGAACTTCGCCTCATATAAGCGGTAGGACTTGACCTCGCCTACGTACAAGAACCTAGGCACGTCTGCAGTTCTGGTGTTTGATGGTGATGGAGTCCGCGGTGGCGAAGGCGGATGGGACGCCGTCCCTGGGCCAGAGTATGGCCGTAGAATGCAGGAGACCTTGCCGAGGTGCTCGTAGTAGCTATGCGAACGCCCCTCTGCATCGTTTGGCAAGCATTGGATTTCGACCTTGGACGGGCTGCAGAGCACATCATTCGGTTGGGAATGAGACGGCCCAATGGCCATGACTGGCCATGGCATACTGGGCTCTTGAGTATGCTTTTTCGAGAAAAGTGATGACGCTTTGGAGAACGACGAGACACCAGAAGTGTCCCCGGTATCTGGACTGATGACGGTTGCGAGCAGGAGACATCGGCCAGACATGATTGTCCGAATTGCTCGGAACAGGTCTGGGCTTGAGGGCGGCACATAGACCGAGCCCCGGTCGCCCAGGACCATACGTCGGAATTCTGACGAGCTGCGGAAGGTGTCGAGCCACATTCCGTTGGTGAGTTGCAGCCAGGGTGAGTGAGGATCTTCGGTGACGAGCCGTTCGAATTGGCCAAGGAGGACCGACAATTGTGTCCCGCTCAGGTTTGACGCCCTTTGTAACTTGCAAGTTACAACTATGACCTTTTGCCAGACGCTGCGCACCCACGCGGCAATACCTCCTTCTGAAGCGTCAGAAGGGAAAGCAGCTGATGCAGAGTCCACACGTGAGTATGACACGTAGCCAAGGGACTCAGCTTGCCCATTGACGGGTGGCGAGAAATCGATACGAAGCTCGCTCATGACCTGACCGACACGGACTTTACAGGTCCTAAAGTCGATACCACCGGACAAGCTGCCGCGTACGGGTGACAGCCGCCAATCCGGAGCCCATGAGCATACGCCTTGGATGCCTTTGAGATGTGTTCCATCTGAGCGCTGGCTTGCTATCTGTAGTAGCCGGCCAAGCCGCGTGCGATCGCACAGATGACTAGCAGCGAAGTCAATGTAGACTTCTTGGACAGACTTTTCGTAGTCGACCTGCACAACAATGTCCGTATTGTAATTTGTTCTTGGCCGCGGCCCGTGCCGGATTGACACATCCGAAGCCAGACCAGCGAGCGCAAAGATGCAATCACGAGCATCTCCACAGGCAAGGCTCGAGAACGAGGTGAGTATGTCCAGGATGCCCGTGTTGGGAATCGGCCCGGCCTGAGTTCGAGCACGGTGCGACTCTTGCAGAGTTGACATCATCTGCACTACTCGGAGCCCACCGACCGAGCCCGAAACACGGACAAGATATAATACCACGTCGATGAGTCTCTGCCAGGGCATATTCGCGGACCGGCCGCAGTAGACCTGGACATGCGTGTTGAGAACTGCTTCCTGCACGACCCATCGTCTCGTGAACCACTTCAAGGCCAGGAGCCTTTGCACATGAGGGTAAACGTCCTTCGCGACACCGGGGAATTCGATTTTGCGTGATGCAGCATTGATGTAGTCGAGTGAAGAACCTTCGGATTGGTAATCTCCAAGCCACATCAGGACCATGGAGGCGGTGCGGTAGATATCGGCCATCATGGGAATCTGGCGCGCTTTCTCCTCCACATCCTCCTGATTGATACACAAGGCATCAACCCACAGCCGAACCACGCGATGGGGGTCCCTGAAACGGACCAGAGCATCGTGCAGGCTGGGCGTGATCTTGAGATAAGCGTCTCGGTCGAGGATGATTTTCTGCGTGAACGTTGGCGGGCCCCAAGTATATGACAGCGCTCGATAGTCATAGTCCTGGTAGATGTTGATGTCCCTGAGGGAGCCTCGGATAGCAGCATTCCTGTCCGGTGAAGGGGACAGTTCCAATATGCGGCTGTGACATTGTGCTGGCAGGGGTTTGTATTGGTATGAGTGCGTCATTGTGCCTGAAGATGTCCAGGAGACCGCAGAAAGGATGAGGTAAAGTTAGATACACATCAGAGCGACTGGGAAGCAACTTTCCATCTTGGCAGAACACACGTCTTATAACTATTTCATGATTGAAGAGGCGCTCCATATGAGCCGAGTTGCCGCGAAGAGGGTTGCTTAACCGCCCGGGTTGCATGCGGGCCGCGCTTCTGTTTCGAAATTCTACAACCAACATCCAAGGCGGCAAGTAGTGCGGCGCTTGACTCCAAGAACCAACAATTATCTTCAAGTCACCCGAAGTCGAACAGAGAAGCCCTATACATGCACATGAGCGCCGATGAATCGATGCGCAGATGATCGCTGATAGCTATTCCTCGTTGTGCTCAACTACCTGCTGCTGCCAGCATCAAGTACAGACAGCCGTTAGCTTGAGGCATGTCGAGAGCCGCGAGGTAACACTCCAATGCGATCGCACATTCAACAACCACGAGCCAACAACCACATTCACCCGCGTGATGCGGCAAGCTTAGCGCCATAAGCGCTCCGAACCTAACTACTTAAGTACCTTAAGGTACCAATGGCCGGCCTCCTTCCTGGCGCTTAGGGCCGTTCAGTCGCTTAGAGTCACCATAGCGTGTGCTTGCAAACTGGGACTTGTTCCAAGCATTACCGGAAATCATTGGACGGGAGCAAAGGGTCAAGAACACACCCTGTACTTCCCACAGAGGCACTGCTAACAGCTGTGCCGGCAGTGTACGCTAGCCATGGGTGCAATGCCCACACCAGGCACCCAGGCGAGTGAACTGGGTGTGGAAGGGGTGGAAACGTACAGAGTTGTGGCTGAGTCCCCTGGTTGGCTGAAGGGTTGCCACTGTAGCTAATTTTGTAGCGAGCCAGCGGACCAATAGGTATCGTGCATGCTGGGGCTTCGAGCCTCACGACCTGATCTGTACCATCGTCTAACCGTCGCAAAAGAATATCTCTGCCTAAAATGGCCCACGCCATAACGCGCGGCTTCTTGCCGCTCAGTCAATACGGCCCAAGCGTGTGATGGAGCATTTGATGTGAATCTTGGGGGAGGGTCAAGTCTCTGAGCGCCTTCGGTCTATCTCGAATGGTCCTGAGCCTGGATGGTGATTGTGTCCTCTCTTGGATCCAGCCTTGTAAGCCTCATTACAACCGAGGACGCCACCAGAAGCATGTCACGGGGGTAAGCATGCTTTCGTCAGGCACGGCCTGTTGTCAACTGCAAACGGAGGATTGAGTATGGCTCGGTACGTAGTCAGAAAGAGGGCGAAGTCTCGCTGCAGAAGCTGGTGCGGCTGGCTCGGCGCTTGCCAAAAGTAGATGACAGACTGACGAAAGACATGACCTGGGGCAGTGCCAGCACTCTTGGCAAGAGGTTTGGGGAGCAGGCTTGAAGGGCTTGAAGCTTTAACAGGAAGCATGGGGAACAGGGTTTGCCAAGCACAGGCGACTATCATGACGCGTTGGGAGTGCGTTGCTGCTGCTGTGATGGCAAGTCAGAACCGGATTTCTCGACATGCTGGACATCGACGGAATGCCATGGCAGAGGCACTCCAAAGCTGGCGAAAGTGCCGGGCAGACAGGGGGGTCCGAGGGTCGTTCACGTCATCCCTGGATGGTCTGCTGAAAGGAAGACTTGTGAGAGGCAGACGACCCCCTGTCGATCGACCGAGGCAGGGATGGGGGACGTGGAAAGCGTCGTCGGCAGGACGGCATGGCGAGTAATGGGCAGAGACAGGCAGAGGGGCTCAGGGCGGCGCGGTGGCAGCACAGCCCTCCAACATGGTGCTAAGGTTGCTAGCCTCGAAGGCTGTTGTTGCTGTTGTGTTGACGATGGTGCTTTCCAGAGGGGGAGAAGTGCGGGTCCTGTTTCCTGGCAGGCGCAGCTCCTTCCCGGAACAGGCGCTGTCAAGTGGTTGCCCTGTGGATTCGCGACTTTTGACATCAGCGGGCGGCGTGGGCCAACATGAAACGCGCCTGCCCGCCGCCGCCGCTCCCCCGTCTCCCCATCTGTGTGTGCCTTGTGAGGATCTCGCTCCCTGTCGTATTTTATCTCAAACGCCGCCCCTTTTCCGCAAGGCCCCTTTGCTGCAATCTCACAGGCCACGACTCCATCCGGCTCCCTGCGCATTGACCGGCCCGTTGCGTCCTCGCGCCCAGCAACGCTGCTGTCTCACCTTCCGACCCCTCCCACGCCTTGCGCTCGTTCTCTGGTTGGCCGGCTGCCCCGAGCTCTCCCTGCCGCCCGCCGCGCTCTCCCACCTGACGCCCTCCATCTCTGCGACCCTGTGCGACGCATGACCACTGCTCTCCTCGACCTGCCTCGAGTCCCATTGCCTCAGACACGCGAAAAGGAAGCACCAGGCTGTGCTCGGCAGCATCGCAGGAATTGGCGCGCAATTCGCAGGCCTCAAGTCTGTAAGTGAGTTCCGGCGGGTCTCTGGAAACCGTGCTCGTGGACGTGGCCCATGAACCCATCGTCACAGTCAGCCCCAGCCCACGCTGTCGTCAGCTACATTCTTGAGTACTGCTGCGAATCACGCTGACATCGCTCGAGACCACTGGCAGACGTTAGGAATTCTTCTCGGTCTCCAAAATAGATTCCTGGTTTTCCGAGCAAGTCATCTGTAAAAGCGCCCGGCAACACTTAGCCAGCCAAAGGAACGTCCTGCACGGCCCGCCCACTCCACCTCAACCCACGGTCGACTGTTTCGTCCATCCATACCCCAGGTCGAAATCACCAGATCACGAATCCCACACTCACTCGCAGCTCGGGCCTCTCCCCCAGAGGGCAAGTAAACGCACACCATGTCGTATAACCGGTTAGGTAGGTCATGCTCATTTTCCCTTCCCCGTTCCCCATACTTTTCTTCTGCCCAGCCATCATTTGGCATTCCACTTTCCTTCTGAGCTGTCTCACTGCTTGCCACCCTTCCCCAGCGCCGTCGCCCGTTGATCGTGGTTGAGCGTGTCGCCCTCCCGGATTTGCCATTCATCCGAGCTTAGTCCACTTGTTGGCCTCTGGAAGATTGTCACAAGCTCGTCCTGGTGACGCCAACACATTCGACCTTCGCTATACTGGCACCACATCTACTTGCCTTTTGACGGTTCTCTGCAGCGTGTCCTTTTCTAACCTGAACGTGTTCAGACGACGACTACTACGATCCAACAATGGACAACAGACGACCGGGCCATCACCCCTCGCCATCGCCCGGGCCAGGTTATCATGGCCAGGCGCAACAGCAGCAGCAACATGGCTACCAGTTGGACGATATGCCCTATGGTAACAATTATCCACCTGCTGCTTCCCACACCAACCTCGATCTGCCTGGCGGCCCCGTTCGGTACGGCTCGTCAAGCGATATGCTGTCACTCAACGCTGCACAGTCCGTGACCGACGTGTCGCATAGCCCGTACGGCCACGGGCAGGGGCACCCTTCCGAATACTCTGTCAATCCGGAGCAGCACCACGACGCGTATTACAACCAACCCTATACTCCTAACCCCGAGACTCCGTTCGGCGACCAGCACGCGTACGATTACGATGACCAGTCGCGGCCAATGCTTGAGACCAATGACTCCCACGTCCAGGGTCAGGAGCCATACAGAGATGAGCCACGTCCAGCAGGTCAGGGTCTGAAGCGTTGGAAGACAGTCAAGCAGGTCTTGCTGTACAGAGGCAACCTCGTCCTAGATTGTCCTGTGCCGCCACGGCTGTTGAACCAGCTCCCTCACGGCGAGCGTGACGAGTTCACTCACATGCGTTACACCGCCGCTACCTGTGACCCCAACGACTTCTATACCGAAAACTTCACGCTTCGTCAAAAGCTTTTCAGCAAGCCTCGCCACACTGAGCTGTTCATCGTTGTCACCATGTACAACGAAGATGATATCCTGTTCGCACGAACCATGGTTGGTGTTTTCAAGAACATCGAGTATATGTGCAGCCGCAAGGAGAGCAAGTCATGGGGTCCTGATGCGTGGAAGAAGATTGTCGTTTGTGTCGTCAGTGACGGACGTGCCAAGATCAACAAGCGTACGCAGGCGCTCCTCGCGGGTATGGGAGTGTATCAGGAAGGTATCGCCAAGCAGCAAGTTAACGACAAGCCTGTGACGGCACACATTTACGAGTACACCACACAAGTCGGACTGCAAATCAAAAACGACGTGGTCCAGCTTATCCCGAAGAAGCAGCCTGTACAGATGCTGTTCTGCCTGAAAGAGAAGAACCAAAAGAAGATCAACTCCCACAGATGGTTCTTCCAAGCCTTTGGGCGCGTCCTGAATCCGAACATTTGTGTGCTTTTGGACGCGGGTACCAGGCCGGGTGGCAACTCGATTTACCAGCTCTGGAAAGCGTTCGATCTCGAGCCCATGTGCGCTGGTGCTTGCGGCGAGATCAAAGCAATGCTTGGTACGGGAGGGAAGTATCTGCTCAATCCCTTGGTTGCGACGCAGAACTTCGAGTATAAGATGAGCAACATCTTGGACAAGCCTCTAGAGTCGGCCTTCGGGTTCATCTCTGTGTTGCCAGGTGCCTTCTCGGCTTACAGATATGTTGCTCTGCAGAACGACAAGAACGGCCAGGGCCCGCTGGAGAAGTACTTCAAGGGCGAAACCTTGCATGGTGCCGGCGCTGGTCTGTTCACATCCAACATGTATCTTGCTGAGGATCGTATCCTGTGTTTCGAGCTCGTCACGAAGCGCAACTGCCACTGGATCCTTCAGTACGTCAAGTCTGCTACTGGAGAGACCGACGTGCCCGATACGATCACGGAGCTGGTCTTGCAGCGCCGTCGCTGGCTGAACGGCTCGTTCTTCGCTGCCATTTACGCCATTGCCCACTTCTACGAATTCTTCCGGTCCGACCACTCTGCCTTGAGAAAACTCATGCTTTTCATCGAGTTCGTCTACTCCACCATCAACATGATCTTTGCGTGGTTCGGTATAGGAAACTTTTTCCTCGTCTTCAAGATCTTGACCACGAGTCTTGGTAGCCCTCATCTCCTGGGTCGAGTTGGGCAGATTCTCGCGGTCGTATTCGAGTGGTTCTACGCTATTTCCTTGGTGGCATGCTTCGTTCTGTCCATGGGTAACCGGCCTGCCGGTTCTGGCAAGCTTTACACTGCCATGGTCATCTTCTGGGCCATCATTATGATGTGAGTGTTAACAGCCCCTTTGAACCCTATATACCATGGATGACTGACTAACGTCCACGTAGATATCTGACCTTTGCGGCGGTCTACATCTCTGTCGACGCCGTGCGCACTCAGCTCGCCGATGGACAGTTCCAGATCAGCGATATCTTCAACGATCCTGTCTTTTTCTCACTTATCGTATCGATGCTGTCGACATACGGTATCTGGCTGATTGCTTCACTCCTGTTCTTCGACCCATGGCACATGATTACGTCTTTCATCCAGTATCTGCTCTTGACGCCGACGTTCATCAACGTTCTCAACGTTTACGCCTTCTGCAACACTCACGACATTTCGTGGGGTACCAAGGGTGACGATAAGCCCGATGAGTTGCCCAAGGTCGATACCAAGGATGGCAAGGGCAAGACTGACCTGCCAGACGAGACCGATTTGGACAAGCAGTACGAAAAGGAGCTTAGAGAGTTCTCTACCAAGTTCGTGGCTGAGAAGAAGCCACCTACCGATGCCCAGAAGGCCGAGGCGCAGATGGACTACTACCGGTGGATCCGGTCCTTGGTCGTTCTCATCTGGATGATTACCAACTTTGGACTTTGCGCTCTCGTTTTGAGCACCGCTGGTCTTGAGAATCTGGACGCGAATGCTGAAAAAGAGGCGGAGAGCCTGCGGGCGCAGCTCTACATGAAGATTGTCCTGTGGAGTGTGGCGGTCCTCAGTGCCTTCAAGTTCATTGGCGCGTGTTGGTTCTTGATTGTCCGTATGTTCAGAGGTGTATAGTTGCGGTGCAGTGCGGGCCGTGGTGTGCCTGTCGAGTGTGGACGCGCGATTTTGTATCGGTTTAAGCTGGGGTGCAACCTTCCAAGATACCCGATAGTTTTGCAGGCTCTTTTTCCTTTCTTGCCCAAGGCGGCTTATTTTCGACATGCATAGCACCCACCCGCGAGCTGGATTGTGGAGAGGGTTGTTTTGGCTTGTTGTACTCGGAGACGTACAAGAGATGCTGATGACACTTTATGATTTACTTATGTTGGTCGATACACTATTTTGCCTTGATTCCCGCTCTGAAACGGCAAACAGATATACAGATTTCATCTACGTATCCTTCATTGATCGTGTCTGCTTGTTCCATTCGAGACGGTGGCTTACTTGCGAGGGCACTCCTTGTCCATACACTGCTGTTGGTAAGGTGCCTGGTAAGGTGTTGTTCTTGAGCGACGGTGCGTGAGCAGCGCCCGGCCGTGGCTCGGCAACCCGGCACGGAACAATGGCACCGACCGCGAATGGCAGATCTCGCGACAGACAGACGAGGGAAGTGACAGCCAAGTGGAGACGCGGCCAGCCAGGTTTTTTACGAAAGAAAAAACCCTTGGATTTCTTGTGATGAGGCGACATTAGAAGCTTGTTGAGCTGGGGTGAGCTGGGGGCGCGTGATGTCGTGATTGCGGCTGGTGATTGCGCCAGAGGCGTCTCAGATGAAAGATCCCGCTTGTCTGGCAACCGTGATTTATACAAAAAGCCTCATCGTCCATGGGCGAAGCAGGAGTATGTATGCGTGTACTATGCGAGCATTATTGCTTCGAGGTCTAGAGGTCTAGAGGTCCAGAGGGCCAGAAGTCCAGAGGTCCAGAGGGCCAGAAGTCCAGAGGTTCTGTGGCGTAGTGGTCCCAGGGCCGAGGGCTTCTATCCTTGGAAGTTACAAACACATTTACTCTATGGCAATGTGGCTGTGAGTCAACCATGCATGATGGCAGGCACAGCGGCTGAAGTTTTCCTGCCGCCGTCTCCCGCCAAGCATTAACATTAATTGCAGTTCTTTGCGAAAGCGGGTGTTGCACTTCGGCTGTCGCACTTGAGACACGGCTCTGTACTTGCCCCGGGCTGGTTTGGGGCATGGCTTATCTCTCTGTGGCATGTCGCCGAGTTCGGCGCGGACGGTGCCGACGGAGGCGGCCTTGGCGCGGCGGGCCCTTGTTGTTTCCGATGGGGTATCGTGTCGCGGGACCTCTCAAATGTGGTGAAGGGCCAGGGGTGGTCGCCGGCGCCATCGTGAGGCTAGTCTTGCCTGTGGGAAATATTTCGAACACGGGACGCCTCAGGCTCTTTTCCCTCCGGTCCCTCTGTTTCCTCTCCCCGTTCCCTTGTTTTCATCACTCACTTGGGCGATTGTCCAAATCCACAGCTGTCAACGCCAGCGCGCAGCCCTATCAAAGATCGACCCTGCATATTGACAGCACTGTAACAGTACCAGCTGCGGCCCTGATTGGACGATCCAGCGAGGCACCTCCAACTGCCGGCGCAGAAAGCATTGCGCTCTACAGTAACCAATAGCTCGACGCTCCAGTACATAATAAGATGGCCGGCCAGGAGCCCGTCCTGCCACTGACAACGGCCGACCTGACGGCAAGCCCGCCGCATACCGCGACGGCGACCGCCAACGCCTCGTCGGCGACGTCCATCTCGTCCAAGGCCGGCGGCAATGGCAACAGCGACAGCACCAAGCTGCCACAGGACCATCAGCAGCAACAACAACAACCCACCACCACCAGCAACGACGACGATGACGAAAATGTAGCGCCAAAGACATCCTCATCACCCACGCCGCCCACGTTCCTCTCCACCCTGTCCCACGAGATCGACAAAGCGTACGCAGACATCCCCGTCTGCATCTGCAGCTTCGTCTCGGGCCTCTGCGACTCGGTCGTCTTCTCCGCCGCCGCCGTCTTCGTCTCCATGCAGACCGGCAACACCGTCTTCCTCGCCCTCGGCGCCGCCTACCTCCCCACCCACGTCCCCTTCATGTGGCTCCGCGCCCTGTCCTCCATCGGCGCCTTCCTCCTGGGGGCCTTCACCTTTGGCCAGCTGCGCCGCTTCAAGCCCACCTGCAAGCTCACCCTGTCCCTCAACTTCCTCGCCCAGTCCCTCATGATCTTCGCCGCCGCCGCCCTCGCCCAGTCCGGCGCCGTCCCGGAGCTCGCGGACCTCCACCTCGCCGAGGAGATGGCCGTCAACGGCGAGATCGACCTCCTGGTCCTCGTCCCCATCGTGCTCCTCGCGTTCCAGTTCGGCGGCCAGATCGTGAGCTCCCGCCAGCTCGGCTTCAACGAGGTGCCCACCAACGTCCTCACCAGCGTGTACTGCGACCTCATGAGCGACCCATTGCTGTTCAGCGGGCTCCACGAGAACCCAAAGCGCAACCGCCGCGCCAGCGCCGTCGTGCTCATGTTTGTCGGCGCCGTCATGGGCGGATGGCTGGGCAGGGCGGCGGGCACCACGGGCATGGCGGCCGCGCTGTGGATCGGCGGCGGCGTCAAGTTTGTCATTGCGGTTTCTTGGCTCTGCTGGGCGACTAAGGCGCCCGTCAAGAAGAACATCGAGGAGACTGCCGTGGTGAGCGAGAAGAAGTAATTGAGGAGGTTGTTGTTGTTGTTGGGGGGGGGGGGTCGGAAATCATGATGATCGTTATTGTTTACGAACTCCTGAAGGAGGGGACTGGTTCCCCTCAAACAGAGTCGCCGTCGACTAAACGCATCCCCTTTCCACTGGCGATACCGGATCAGTCATGTCAAGTCGTCAGATTTGGTCAATCACATACTGGCGATTCGCGGTTCACAATCAGCGATGGAAAGAGGCCCAGTGCGACCTGGCGTATAATACTAGAACATAGAGAGACTAGAAACTAGAGACGATGTGCTTTCGAAGTAGAGATTAGAGGTACAGAGGTACAGAGGTACAGCTAGATCTAGAGCGAGAAAAGACGGCGGATGATACCCTTGGTTAGACACAATATAATTTCAATACATCACAACACAATATTCCCCAGAATTATCACCAGAAACCTCTTGAAACTGAACACAACACTGCTATCCTGAAAATTCGGAAAAAGAACCAGCCCGTCCAAACCTCTCTCCAGGACCAAATGATTGCCAAAGGCAAACAGAGAGACACCATGCAATGACAATTGTCGGGGCTTGGGGAGAGTCTTATACGAGTAAGCCGGGCAGCACTAGTTTAGCCCAGGAGGAAGTGGTCTGACATGGGTAACAAAGACACATCAAGTGTTGTGACTGGTTGTAGGACGTGGCTCCCTGTCTTCGCAAATATCTATCGTGGATGTCTGGACTGTGTAGACTTTCTCCTCTGGCAAATTCATCTCGTTCGATGCTTGTGCTCTGCACCCGCCGACTACTTGCCTCCCAGTCAACGTACCTGCCTATTGCCTGCCTGAGTGACGGGACGTCACGCTTCACAAAGTTCAATCGCTTGACCATTCACGGACGAGTCAATGTTCACGGTTTGCGGAAGCAGGTTAATCAATCTTTTCCAGTGGCCCCGAAGTCTCGCAATCAACGTTTCAGGGAACAGTACCTCTGAAAGGGTGGAAATGACTGACATTGAACCTCTCTTGGTAACATTGATTGCTCATGAAAGTAGTCCGAAACAAGTAAGTAAATAAACAATTCATAAAGACACGCACAAGCTGTCGATACCGTGCCGAAACGCCTGTCCTCATAAACAAACCTAGGAAAACCCACCGAAACCTCGCTGCCAGCTCAATAAGGGAACGCCATCACATCCGGCTGGCCACACGCAACCTGCCCAAAGACTCCTCCCGTGTGTCAAATTTCCTCATGCAAACGACGGAGCTGTGTAGATGAGTGCAGAGAGCACGCCGGCGCCGCCCAAGGCGAGACAGGCTGCAAGCTCAGCAACTCGCCGCCGTTTGGGCGCGTGACTGCGTGTCTTGCGGACGATTGTGGTGATCGCAGCAGAATCGACGACGATGTCCTGGTTTGCCACTGTGGACACTGTCGGTGTGATGTTCTGAACCGCGGTGTCGATCTCATCAGCGGCGAATGCTGTGTCGAAGGATCGCTTTGTGGACGCTGATGCGAAGGACTCGCCCGGACCGCTTGGTACGGTGGCTTGTGGTTCGGCAGCGAGCAGATCGCTAATAAGCAGCCGCTTGACAGCATTCACATTCTTGCTTTGTTCAAATGTGAATGCGCTTGTATCGTCGACGTCAGGCTGCTTGTCCGCACTACCCTTCAGAGAAGCGACCGCTGGGACAGACTCTGGATTGTTGATGAAGCTAGTTCCAGAATTTTCCCATGCTGAAGAGACCTGGGCGTCTGCTGGCTCCAGGTTGACTTCAGATGACTCTTCCATGGCACTGAGAACGGGCTGTTCGTTCTGAGCCAAAGCCTCGTCCTCATGAGAAGTAGTTTCATGCCCAGAGTGGAAAATAAAGTCACTCGGTGATTTATGACGGGTGGACGGCTGGGCCTCCAAAAAGCATAAGTCGATGGCCTGCTTCTCGGGAATAGCTTCAGCATCCTCGCTAGAATGGGATGCCACTGAGAAATCGTCTGCAAAATCAAGTCAGTATTTATGCTGGTATTAAATCGTCTTGAGCAACTTACCGCCCTCTTCTTCAATATCTTCGTCGTCCATGTCGTCAATTTCGCTGCACAGAATCGATTCGTCATCCTCCTCGATACTGTCAACATCACTGTCTTTGTCAGACATGTCACTGTGAATGGAGGACTCATCGTCCGAGTCCCATAGTACCGGAAGATCGTGCTCCGCGTCCACATCAGCCTCATCTACCGAAACCACGTCGATTCTGGAGATTTCAGGGTCGTCTATCACGATTGTCCTGTCGAGGTCGGTCGTCAGATCAATCACGTTGGTTGGCTCCTCCTGGGTGAGATCGACTGTCTTTATATTGACGTTGTTATTCCGAGGGGGTTGGGGGGTCTCCACAACGCTATCGTCATCGCCCTCCTCCCCATCGCTCATAGCATCATCCGAATCAACGTCGTCAGGCACCGAGAATTTGTTTGTTGGCGTCAGCCGGCTGATCGCACTTCGACGCTGCTCCTCGCTGATCTCCACAGAGACGATTGTTGGAGGATGCGTGATTTCCGACCGGAAAATGTTGATTCCGAAACGGAGGACGTCTTGGTGGGACAGTTTCTGAGCCTGACCAGCAGCGAGTTGAATTTCGGAGGCGGTATCGATGGACGTGTAAAAGGTTCCGTGGAGGGACCCGCTGTCCTTTATAGAGATGGACTATGAGAATGGGAGAATATCAGCTCTGAAATGCATCTTCATTAAAAATTACTGCTTCACATACCTTATCGTCAAAGTTGGCGAGAAGCTCGGCATGCTGACGAGACATGACCGGGCTTTCGAAGAAGGCGTTTGCTTCGCTCGCAACAAAACCCTTGGAGGTGACTTTCGAGGCACGCCCTACACAGATTACGGGCTTCTCAGGTGTGAAGACGAGTCGTCGGGTCGTCTGTTGTGCGTGGTTGCCGCGAGATACGTTGAGTGTGACTAAGAGCATTGCTGGGGACCTTTTAGTAGTATTCCTAGAGGTTGCACAGCTTCCAGGTGACGCACCGTCACTGGCCTTGCTTTGGCCTTGTCCGGAGGAGGGTGCGTCCATGATCTTGTACACGACCAGCAGGTAGAGGGATAAAGGGTCGTGATCCTGTAGTGCGACGAGGACAGTCTGGCCGCGGGAGGTGAACCGTTCACAAAGCCAAGAGTGAAGTCTTGTAGCGAAAGGTCGGATGAGGCTTGGACTGCGACAAGTGACTGTCTGGTGAAGAAGTGGTGACGGCCTCGGAGGAGCGAGGCAGACGAGGCAGGTGCGGGAGCCTGCTTGGTAGTGGGCAGTCACAGCTCCGAGGGGAGGAGGGGAGCCCGGCTGGTGGACAACCTTGATAGGCGGCAGCGTGACTGCCTCGTTCGAGACGTTGCCGACGAGACGGTTGTGCAGTCAGAGACTGTGCCGCAGTGAGACAGGCTCTTCCACAATCAGGAGCTCCTGGATGTACGAGAAAGAGAGAGAGAGATGTTGGCGAGTAGTCACCCGGGATCAGCGTTGGTGGACAGCTGGTGGTTGTCCTTGAGGAGAGAGTGCCCCGCGTTCCAGAGCTGATGGAGGTCTGGTTTGGTCCGTGCTAGCTGCGTCAGCACACCCTACACAGGTAGGTTCTTATTGGCTGAAAGTACTGCAGCACCTGGCTTTGAGCGTGAGCAAGCAGAGAGCTCTCTCAGGGCTGAAAAAATACCAGACTCGAAGTTCAGACGGTTGTTGTCCATGCGAAGGATCTCGAGTTCATTCCAGGTCAGCATCCGACGTCGTCCGTCTTGTAAGTCAAGACGCCCCCGATGCCCCAAGTGCTTGGTGGGGCGGCCTTGGGGCAAGCTTATCACCAACGTGAATGGACCAGGCAGCAGCAGGCCCCTCGATGCTCTCGTTCGACCCAAGACGCCAGTAGCACGGTGGGAGCTTTGGTGGACCTTGATAACATCCAAGCGAGGCATCTCTAGACCGCACTATATCCCAAGAACTACTGTTTCTCGTCGCCTGGCTGTTCAGCGAGTATCTCAAACGACCGCAGCTGCCTCATGCCTCGGTGCACGATAAGGCGCGTCCGAGGTGGGCTCGTACAGGAGCTGCCAGGCTGGTGATTCGGCAGGGTCCAAAGTGCATGCATGCAAGTGGAGCCGCCCCAGATCCCGTGCCCGCCTGGGACCCCACTGGGCCACGTCTCTTGCTGTCCCCGGGGCCGTCGTCCTCATCCTCGACGCTGAGCCGATCACAGCCAGCAGGGCTCGACAGTCTCGAGGGACGAGAACGGACAGGTAATGACTGCCTGAAGCCATGTCATACCCAGGATGTTTGCAGACAATATAAGGGAGAATAGCGGGTGGTTACACGCAGGCCCTCTCTGCGACAGCCTCGGGGTGTTGGGCCACGGAGCTAGGCCACTTGATCACATGCCCATCCGGGGGATGCTAAACCTCAGGTGGCCTCGACTAATAACGTACTCTGTAGGCACTGAATTCTCTGGGCTCTAACAATGGTTATCGCTCCTTCTCCCGGGTCCTACCCGCTGCGACACAGTACCTGGTATGCTTGCACATGGTGGCATCACGTGGCAACATCACCATTGGAGCCCTGCTGTAGAGATCTCTTATGCACATCTGAGAATGGCATCCGTCCACACCTTCATCATTTGGTTCGATGTCCTCCAGTTCCACCAGCTGTCCACGCGTTTCGACTGTACGAAGCTCCTCCTGCACCACATCATCTGCCTGATTAGTCACTGTGCAGGCGGTCGAGGGTGAGTCACAACTACTTGCAGTGAGCGCTAAGTCGAGTGTGCTTCTGAGCGTGGTTCTTTGCTTGCTAAGCAAGTCACTCTAAGGGGAGGTTGTCGCGAACATCATCCAGCAGATGCAAGGTAGCCACTGTAGTTGAAGCACGTTAGTTGGTGCCTTGTGCAAGGCTCGCGGATGCTCTCTGCCCAGGAGCCCCATCGCATCGTCATCGCAGCCCACCAAGGCGGGCCGCATGACGCTATTCCACCTTGAAGCGCCCGCCTCCAAAACTTTTGGTCAAGCACCACCACACCCACCATCACAGCTGCGGCCCTGCTGGAACTGCTGAACCTTGCTTGCCTCTTTAAGCCGCCGGCGCATGCTGTCCGCCCTTCACACAGCCCGGTCGACTTCGCCCCCCTTGCAGCAAGATCTACCTGTATCGCACAAAATCCGCCATCTGCTAAAAGTTCTTTCTTGCGCCTTTCAAACACCTTATCCCCGGTTCTTGCCTCCCAGTTCAACTCCCACTCTGGATCACAATAGACACAGCCCTGTCGACCCTTTCTCCGACGCCCAGCCCGTACATCAGGCTTCATGACTACCATTCGGAGATAGCTGCCCAAAACACGCCAGTCAGGACCTTTCTCCGTTGCAGTGTGCAGTCTCCAAGAAAACCCATATAACACCCAACGTCCTCCAACATCCTCATGGACTACGTTTGCCAAAAACCAAGCTCGTCATTCCAAACACTCGCCATAGCATACTTGCACAGCCCAGACGCCTACACCTGACATCCATCGAACGAGCTTGGCCAGAACCCCCAACCACACGCAACCAACGCTTAAGTATACATCAATCCAAATACCAACAACATGCACGACCTACGCAAGAAAGCCCTGCTGGAGAGCGGCAAGACCATGTCTCGCAAGGCTCGCTCACGGCCCGAGTCCGCCCTACACTCGCCCATGGTGTCGCCTACTCCATCTCGCGGCGGTTCCCGCGCCCCGAGCCGATACGCTTCCGAAGACGAAGCAAACTCCAGCTCAGACAACGAACAGAGCGTCGCCAGTTCTTACCAGCTATCAGATGGTTCTGATGAGTACCAGGATGGAGACGACGACGCCACCGCCGCCCAGCCATGGGACGAAAGACTCAAGGACAACATCGTCGGCCTTCTCGATCGCAAACGCAGCAGCGCTGCCGTTAGAGAGACCATGCTCAGCGGATACTGCCACCTCCTCCGCCACAACTATGCCGAAGGCAGACTCGACGGCCAGATCAACGACCTTTTACCCATCATTATGAGAAGCATCCGCGGCGGCAGCACCACAGAGGAAAGTGTTCTTGCTCTCAAGGCGCTCCAGATCACAACCATCAGCATGGAGTCTGACTTCATATATGGCCGCACGTTCCAACACCTCAAGGGTGTCTGCGAAGACTCGGGGGAAGAGATTGTCAAGACAGAAAGCATCATCGCCATGAGCGTCGCTACAATGTGCGGCGGTGGCGACGACCACGATGCAGAGAGCCTGCTCACTTTCTTGACAGATATCGTCGCAAGTGATGGCGCCAGTATCGACGCACCTGACAATGGCCCTGTCGTCACTACTGCATTAGTGGCGTGGGGCTTCGTCGCCAGCCAACTTGACGATCTGCAAAGCCCGGCCAGCGAAGCCATGGACGCCTTTATCGAACAACTCGACAGCACCGACGTCGACGTCCAGATCGCCGCTGGCTTCAACATCGCACTCATCTGCGAATCCCTCCGCGAATACGAACAAGAGAATGGGGAGGTGTGGAGCCTCGATTACAACAAGCCCCAGCTCATCAACCGGATGCGCCTGCTCACAAAGGAGTCATCGAAGCTCATCTCGAAGAAGAACAGAAAGCAGCTTCACCAGAGCTTCAAGAGTGTTGTCACCTCACTCGAGCGAGGCAAAGGACCCGGCTATTCCACTGCCCTGGATGAGAACGAGCGCGAATTTGGTTACAGGGAAAAGCTGCGCTTCCAGAACATCAGCCTCACCATCGACTCCTGGGCCCTCTCTGTGCGCATCGAGATGCTCACAAAAGTTCTTCGCGGTGGCTTGGCTACACACTACACAAACAACCCAGTGGTCAAGGACCTTCTCGACGAGGCGGAAGCCGAGGCTCTCTGCAGACCCAAAAACGGCAAAAAGAACGACACTGCATCACTAAAGAAGGGTCGCAAGGCCAAGGCTGCCAGGAATGCAATGGTTTTTTGAGCTGTACTACAATAGAAATACTCGACAATCGGCAGAGTACACGCGGGGATACGGTTACATACACAGGCGCTGGTCATTGACTCGGTCTGGACGACAACCGCCAGGATGGTTTCATAAGTCAACGACACGGAGGATTTCGGGTTATCATGAAAGAGGAAACGGAATGCCAGTGATAGACTGGTTTGCTTGACGACAGTTATTGGAGTTTACTGGGTACGGTTTGATTTCATCAGAGAGTTTGATATTAGATATGGTGCGGTGGTTTTGCATGGTATGAGATTTCGCAATTACAGGTCTTTATGAAGTTTTGCTGGTGCAATCAATCTGGTGCTCCGTGAAGCGAGATGTATAGTCTCTTCATCGTTGTGATTTCATGTTGTTGTTGCGTAGAGCCTTGATGCCATTGATGGACCTTCCTGGCCAGTTGGTGCTTTGCGTCACAGGCTAAGTGGAGATGTCTGACCCCCTCGATGACATCGTCATAGGACCAAAGCTGGTTTTTCTTTCTAGACCCAGAACGTGTCAGCGTGATCTCGTTTTAGACTCGTCCAAAATCGAGCCGTGTGGGCAAGGGCCGGCGAGCTAACTAAAAAGGCCCGCCCCACCTAGCAAGGCTGGTCGCCCTGCCAAAAGCGCTGGGGCCACCAGGACAACCGTGAGCTTTGCAAGGTCTCCTGGACGGCGGTGATCGGACTTCAGGGTCTTTTGAAGTGTCAACAATGGAATTACCTCGACGTGGGGCGAATACAACAGCTATCAGCAGGCAGGGCACCGCAGACTAGTTGACAAGAGAGGCATGGAGGTGAAGGGTTCGACCACGGCACGGCCGGGCATCGCGGTTCAGTACGGACGGGATGTAGCCCGATACAAATCGCACTGCCGTGTCCTCGGCCGGCCCAGTATTATTGTCTCACGTAACACGCGGTCCTTCATGGGCATTGTTTAAAAGACTGATGCTGAGACATGTTCGGGAAAAAGAAATGGCAAGGGGTCAGTTTCCGTCAATAGCTAGATCGAGACGAGACGAATCGTGCACGACGAAAGTCACCATGGCCAATATGCTCCAACTTGGAAAGAGCACGCTGGAGTTTTGTTGAGCGAGCAAAGGGTAGTAGTTCATGTAAGTTTGGGCACTGACAGCGGCACAGGAATGCAGGCTATCGACCCAAGGTGCGGTTCGTGCATATTGGGCTCCGGGGCTGGGGTCCTTGAAAGCGATGTTTTGCGAGCCGATTCGCTGGAGGTTTCTCCCGCCCAAGCAGGCCGGCCACGCCTGATTTGCCAGGCGCTCCTTGTCTCCTCGGCATCAGCAATACAGACGAACGAGAGATCCTGCTAGGGAGAGATGTGACGGTGCTTGATTGATTGCGCTCTGGCAGGTGTGATTCCCGACTTCGAGAGCCTGGCCCCTGCGTCACGTTGTTGCGCACAAGTGGGTGCTCGGCCGCGCCATTGGTCACACCAGTCAAGCAACGCCAGCGCATCACCAAGGTCGTGCCAGGATCTCTCCGCCGCCCCAGCCCCCCAGCCCCCCCGCTGGTCGACGACAGGCAGGCGCAACGCGAGCAGACAGCTGGAGCCTCCAAGTCGAGTTGTTTCTGGGGCACTGACACTGACAGCCTGCCCGCGTTGCTCAGCTGTGAAGAGCCGGTTGCCACTCCTCGCTCGTTCTTATCCCCTCGGCTTGCTGTCGCCTTGGCCTGCTGGTGCTTCACAAGCTCCCTCCTGCATTCAACAATAATAATTCCATGGCGTCCTGTCCTAGCCTCCAGCCACGCACAACCGCCACCTCTCCTTGAGCGACTCTACCACCACAGGCACTGCTCGACACTCGCCCCCGGCCTTTGTCTGATACCAGCGTTCTGGGCTTGCTTGCTTGATGCTCCAGTGCAGACAGCAACCCCTCCTCTGACCATCTCCATCTGGCAGCGGAGCATCGCGCTCGTGTCAGTGACCAGCATCGCACAGGCGGGCCTGCCCTGCCATCTGTCGTGGGTCGACCGGCCAGGATCCCCCACGGATACAGCCAAACAACGTCGAGGCGGCTCCCATACCCGCCACCCTCCAAGTCTCTCTGTGTGTGTGTGTGTGCCTGCCCCGTCCCTCTCCCACACCTCCTCTTTACATTGTACCGCTCTTTTTCTTCCTCCCATTTGCTCTTTTGCCAGCCTCTTGCCGTGCTGCATGGGTGACCACTTGCTCATCCTCGTGCAGCAATTCGGCGCAACGAGGCGCCTCTGTCAATCGCCATTGGCAGCGGCCTCATAGAGCAGTGACCAGATTCACTCGCACGACGGCGATGCGCACAGAGACATTCTGTGCTGCCGACGGACGCTGGTAGCTCGCCAGACCGAACAAGCTTCATCCTTACTCTATCGCTCCACCACCACCACACTACGGGAGTGCACCACCACCACCATCAACAATACAACCACAGCGACTTGGGCTCAATTCTTCCTAAAGCCTCAATCTCTGATCCTCCCTGGAAAGTGCGTGTTTCGAAAACATCAGTTCTCAATTTCCGACACAACCGTCCCCAATTCTTTGAGTCTGGTTGCCACTTGCAAGAACCGCTTGGCTAACTTAGCCTTACCGCACTTAGTCCCATTGTTCCCCTTGCCCATTGTTTACTTCAGCCGATGCCTCCTACAAGGTCAATCCGCTGATCTTGCGCGACACCATTCGGTCATCCTGCCTCGACTCGCTCAACGACCAAAATCCCGCACCGCAGCCAGGCATTACATTTGCCGCCACCGAGTCCGAGCTTTGAGGCAGCTGCAGTCCAAACAGGTGGCAAGACAGCTGGGTTTCAAGCTCCAAAGACGTGCGCCTGACGTCTTCACAATCCCCAACCCAGCCTCTTGACGCAAAGCCATGGGGGTCGAGAGGAGAACAATATTACCATTACCCGCACCCACCGAATCCGAAATCGCGCTTCCCCCGCCATCGCCGGACGAAGCCTCAGATCTAGCCGAGCCTGGCGACGAGAGGTCACACTATTCTCTCCCCGATGACGGCACGCCCGTCACAATAAAAACCCGTAGTCATCGAGCCAACAAATCACAAACCTCACTACTAATAGAATACTTCGAGGGCGGCAAGTCCGCCGGAGATCACTCAGGGAGTGGCTCGCGCGATCGCCGACCAAGCGTTCGTGTGCGAGTTACCCCTTCTTCCAAAAGTCGTGGGACGAACGACCACATACAAATAACAGAGATGTCTTCCCGGAAAGCCTCTCACCATCGCGGTGAGCTGGACGAGCCCGAAGATGCGAGAAGTCTGCATTCATACGCCTCGGCGACTGAAGAGTCCAACGTCTCTCGAAACCCCATAGAAGTCGAGATTGATCCCGGGCATCGCCGGCGACGAAAGCCGTCGAGCCCTCTCATTCCCACTTCTGACAGCAAGGTCTCCTACCTGCCACCCAATATGTCTGACATCTCGGGCATTCCGACAGACAGTTTCCTGGATGACACGCCGCCAACGCAGCGCAAAGACGATTATGGTCGCACGCCAGCAGGAAAGGAGGCACGAGCTGTCGGCGCAATAGACACCGCAAACAGCATACTCACTGACAAGTCGAGCAATCGCGGCAGTACACGCAGTGATCTTCACGAGCGCAACGTGATGCAGAAAGCTGTCGAGAAGGCCAGCAAACCAGACAGGAAACAAAAGTCCCGAGCCCGGACCAGTCTGGGAAGCGAGAAAGACTTTGACAGGATGAGTTCCCCGAGAAGGAAGTCAAGGAGCACGCCAAAGGATTCCCTCATCTCCGGCGCAGAATCGAGTGTGCTGTCCTCGCAGCTGACGCCCAGTCACCGGTCGTACGATTCATATTCGTCGTCAAAGATCTCGATCAACAACCCCAAGCTCCTGGAGACAGTCGAGGATGCCATCCGCCGCCTCATCTTGCCGGAGCTTGATGCCATCAAACGAGAGCGCAGCCAGCGCGATAGCCGCCGCCCGAAAGACCGTGATTCTTTCTCCAGCTTGACGTCAGCATCAAGAGAAGAGATCTCCGTGACAAGCAAGCGGAAATCTGCAGACACCTCTCATTCGACCAAATCCAAGACAAGCCGTGGACGTGAAGCAAGGAACGACCTTTCACCACAGAGCAGTGCCGACGACGTTTCAGTCAGCGAGGACGTCTACAGGGATCAGATCACGACCCGGCACGACCGCGGGAAGGATGGTCTCGCTGCTGCTACTGTCGGTGCCGCTGCTTTGGGAGCCGCTGCGGCCCTGCGGTCACAGTCCCGGGGCGATGACAAACGTCAGCGTCGCAGACGGAGGGGGGATCCCTCGAAGCGTGAACAACATTATGCCGATGACTATGGCGATGTCGAGCACGAGGTGGTGCCACCAATGCCACTTTCCAGCGAGATCAACCCGTCAGAGATGACAAGGACATCTATCCTGTCCGCGGAGAGTCAGCGGCCACATTCTGCAAGCGAGGAGATGACGCCAGTGCAGGAAGTGACCCGTGGCGTGGCATCAATGGAGCCTACCAGAGATGCCCCGACGCCTGAGCGGACTCCAGCTCAGACAATACAGCCTCTTGGGACTCTGCACGCGAGTATATCGCATGGAGATCTGAAGAATCTCCCGCGCCGTGGCACCATGGACCAGGACGACTTCGAAGACGAAGAATTCAGGAGGGAGCGCTCTCGCGGGGAAGATGACTACTACGACGACTACGACGACGAGGCTCGACTAGATGAACCTGGCATGTACGATGAGGAGGAAGAAAGACTACAGCAAGCTTTCTACGGCCACCAGGACGTCCCCGCGCCCCTTCGTTATGTTCCATACCAGCAAGAACGACGCGGCCTGAGTCCTATCCAGAGCGTGTCTGGCTTTACCGAGGGTGAGGGCAGCGAGTACCAAGGCCACAGAGACTCGAGGATAGCGCCGACAAATAGCGAGCTCTCATCCCCAGAAAAAGATCGGGGAGTGTATTCGCCGAGCTCTGTCCCTAGCAACATGCGCAGCCGCGAGTTTGGCGATGAGGCCAGCAGCGTTCTAAGCTCCGGCGTGGGCTACAGACAATCGGCATACACTGAAGACAGTGAGCTCGATCATCCTGGTGGCCGTGCCGTCCACCTAGTGGGCGACAACCCCCGGATGATTCACCGCGATTCTGGTCCCGAGTCAGCCGTGGCATCTCTGGTAGATGGTTCCATGCTCGACCCCTCCATGCTCAGCGGGGACAATGGTCAGGACTACCGTAATTCTCAGTTCTCGTACGAAGAGAGCCCAACACGTGCGCGCTCAGCCCAGGGCAGTCCTCTTAAGCACTCCATGGAGGCCGAGCAGGACATCCGCCACCGCTCAGTGTCTCCAATCTCGACTGCCGGTGGCGAGCCTTCTACTGTCTCTCAAGACTTTGTCGAGTACGACTTGGATGAATACGGAAGAAAGGTCCCCAAGCCCCAGTATAGGCAGTCTCCAACAGCTTCCGAGTCCGCCATCACCAGTGCCGCGCTGCGACAGGCCGCCGCCGAGGCTCTCAAGCGGAAGAATGTCTCCCAAGACCCTGTTGAAGTGTCTGGCGAGGATTTCGTGGGCGACGGTGTCTCAAGAAACAAGTCCTTCAAGGAGCGCGCCCAGGGCAACTTCAACCTGGCGTCGACACCGAAGCACAGCACCGATCGCCTTTCTGACTACGAGCAGCCCAAGATGAGCGCGACTGGTCTGCCTGATATGGGCAACCCCATGCCGGAGATTGGCTATGGCTACGAAGATGGCCAGCACTCCAGGCAACAGACGCCTTCTATCGTCGAGGGACAGCCCGGCGACCACTACATGGAGGACCGCGAGGGCAACTGGACACCGACGCAGGAGGCGACTCATTACCAGTATGACCGTGCATTGACCCCGAAGGCCAGCCAGTCTGGACCTCCTTTCTTTGGTGCTACAGATGCAGCTGCTGCTGCTACCATTGCCACTGCCACTGCACTTGCCGCTGCTCACCACAGCCGCCAGCCCAGCCAGGACCAGGACGATGAGTGGCAGCGGACCTCTGGCGATCGGAAGAGGGATACACTGGTCACAAACCCGTATGAAGGAGCCAGCCCAATCGCCAATCTTCCTGGCCTCGATGGTCTTCAGGGCGGTGGTTATGGCGCGAACGCCTACCCCAACTTCAACACAGGTAGCCCTGGCATCCCAGCTGGTGATGAGGGTTACATCTCCTCCGCTCCCAACGAGATGCGCGAGGGTAACGCGAAAGGCAAGGGTGTCGACTTCGTAGACCAGCCACGCGCAGGTCCTTCAGAGGATCCTTTCTACAGCACACCAAAGCCGCAAAGGCAGATGAGTGGCTTGTCGCAGGGCGTGGGCTCGCCGCTGTATGATGCTGCCACCGGCACCGGCATCGACAGGATCCAGTCCAAGGACATTATTGCCCTCATGGAGCATCTCATGGTCCGTGATGCTCAGCGCAGTGCTCGAGACACCGAGATGCTCGTGACGCTCGTCCGGTCTGCAGCTGAGATGCGCAATTCTTTCGAGGACATCAAGCGCATGCTCGCCGATACCGAAGATCAGATAATAACTGAGATCAAGGACAACACCGAGCAGACTGTTAAGCGCCACCTCGGCGGACCGCGGCCATTCCCTGGTAGTGGTGCCAGATCAGTTCAGGGTGGTGGATCACAGGCCGGAACTATGGACGAGGTTGCCAAGAAGAAGCGCAGCTTCCTGCGTAGAGCTCTGCAAGGCCTTGGCACTAAGGGTGCCAGCGACCTGGGACGCATTGAGGACATGCTTATGCAGCTCCTGACTGATGTTGACGTTCTGAAGCATCAGACCGCTGGTCCCGCTGACGCGAGCCCCGGAGCGCAATCCATGCGCTCTGTCGAGCAGCAAGAGCTTGATGCTCAGTACGAGGATCGAGGATATGAGCCGGAGGGCCACGCAGGGACATCGACCGCCAGCTACGCTAGCCACTCTGGGCCCCTCTCCATTGGCAAGAACTCCGGCAGGATCGTGCACGACCGCAAGGTCTCAGACCACCGCATCAGCACTGTTCCCGAAGGCAACGAGGAGGACTACGAAGACACCTATGTCACCGCCAACAACCAGTACTCTCCACAGCAACAGGGATTCCTCTCTCCAGCTCCCCAGCAACGCCGTGGAGGCTCCGTTCCCCTCGGAACTCCTCCTCAATCATCGCACCATATGCAGAACTCGTTGAGCAGTGAGAACACCCCTCGCACCGAGGATGGCAAGAAGCACAAGTCCCGCGGCTCCGCCACGTTCTTCCCAAAGATATCCCGCTGGTCAGAGACAACTACTTCCAGCTTGGGCAAGGTCTTCCGCAACAGCAACAACACGAAGAAGAACCCTGGAGAGCCTCCTGAGGAGTTCCTTCAGCATCCAGCGTCGCGCTCGGGCTCCGTCGATGAGTACGACCACCAATATCAGTACGACGCTTACGGCCAGGACAAGCTTCACTCAGGATTTTCCGAGTACGACCTGTCCGCTAATGTCGGAGGGCCTGAGCCAAGCTCTTCCTTTGGCACCCACGGAGGCCCTCCAGTCAGCTATGCCACACCAGAGGATCCCAAGTACAAGGCGCACCGCAATTCGCTGAACCTACAGCACCCACAGCCGCGTGCTGGCCAGACTGAGCGCTTCCGTACAGCGCTGGAGTCGTCCGCTCAGATCTTTGACGACCCCATGTCGCCAAGATCTGCCGACTGGGCCGGATCGGCGACGTCGCTGAACCGCTTCCCCGAGCAGAACACAAACCGGTACAGTGACAACAGTGCTCTTACCGGCCAGACAGGGGACTCCTACCGCTGGCAGCAATCGCCGGCGCCTCCCAGGCCGCCCAAGGAGCCACTCGAGGGTTCGCCGTTGGCTCAGATGCACTCCCCTCCTCAGAACTCGCGTCTGAGCCAGATGCACAGGACCAGCCCTATGCCCTACGCTAGCGCCGTCGATAGCGGTTATGGCACTGGCTCTGCCACGCATGCTGGCAGCTACCACTCTGGTAGCCCAAAGCCTGAGAACAAGAACCTGAGCACCGCGCTTGGCGTTCCTACCCGCCGCCCCAGTGGCCCTCGCGCCATGACGCCGACGCGCAGCATTGACGACAGCGAGAACGAGAGACGGAGGAAGCGAGGTGAGTTGCCATGATGTTTGACACGACCGTTCACGTGAACTTTTCATGACTGATTCTTTATGCAGACACATTCGGCTCTGTTGCTAGACCCAGCTCTGCCGCTAGCCAAGAGACAGACACTTTCTAGTCTCTTGCCGTCGGCTGCGTCCCGCCTCCGTTCGGCTGTGAACCAACTAAAACAAAATCTATCCACTGCTCAGCTATCTGTATTCGCCATGTACCGAACTATACCAGCATTAGCGATCCCTTTTTGACGGCCACTATTTCTCCATCTTGCAACAGGCCCGCCTGAACGATGGACTGGGATCCGCTAGCGATAGACCGAGTCATTTCGTCATTTCTGCATGTCAAGGTGTTCTTTCTATGATTTCTGGGTATGCAGAGAATCTGATTTTGGGTTTTGGAGAGCAAGCAGCAGTTGTCATCATTTCTCTGGGAAAAGTGTCGCTCCTCTTTGGTATACACAAAAACCAGCATCACGACGTTACGGCTCTGAGACGTTTCAGAATTCTTTCTTGATTTCTGCTCTGCTTTTGTCAAGGGACGATCGCGATACCACCAGCGACATGGAATTCAGGTCTTCTTTGGAGATGGGAAAGGAAACACGCCTGCATGGCCCGCAGGCTTCTGAGGCCTGTTAATAAGACAGGGGAGTGCAGTGTATTGTTTAGACAGTGGGAGATGATGGCATATAGCACAATAATACAAGAGGAATGATATCGCCCCTCACAACAGAGTTGCCAGCCCAGACTTTTATAGCCAATCCGCATTGTTCGTAGCGTAGTGAAGAACCAGACGTGATGATGTTGTTGTTCCTCACTTGCGCATTTGCTGCCTACCATTCAAAAACCGGCCCCCTTGCTCACCCTCACTGAACACGTGGCCATCCATAGACAACGGGGAAGGCCGAAGGCAGCGCAGCGCAATCTGGGAACAGGACTGCGGTGTGCTGTTCATTTTCAGCTGGAACGTTGAAGAAGCTCGTAGTTCCCAGGCCCCAAGCCCGTAGTCATTCGGGGCCCCACACGTGATTGATCAACGATAGGACTACTGGACTTAATACCAGGCAGGCCCTGGACCCCTCCAACGTCATTGCATGCGCCGGCCCCGACCTTCTTTGAATCACTACTCCCGCCGGCAACAAGTGGATTAAACTAGGAGAGACACGGGCAATGAGTAAAATGGAGACTAGCCACCGCATGACGCCAACATGAGCATGTTCCGGCGGCAGACGGACGTGAGCAGCACCTCAGAGTCCGACGACGGGTCCGAGTATGAAAGTGAGAGCGGGAGCGAGAGAGGGAGCAGTGGTGGTGCCGAACAAGGAGGCCAAGTCGACAACAATGATACTCACACGCGCCGCAGCCCCCCCGGCCACGGCCAGGGCGATGCAAGCAAACAACAACTCGGCAGCAGCAACAGGAACAGAACCAGGACCAGGACCAGGACCAGGGTGCTGCTGCACAGGGCGAGGACGATTGACTCGGAAGAGGACACCGGAGCGTCCCGGCAGGGCAATGATAACAACAGCCACAGCAGCCTCTCGCAGACGCACTCGCACGCCGGCACGGACGGCACAGACGATGATGATCATGTCGCCGCCTCCTCGCCTTCCCACCGTGACGGTGGCGGGGCGCCGTCGACGGAGATCCTCTTTACCAATGGCGAGCTGTCGTCCACTGGCGGCGGGGGGTTCGGCAGCAGCGATGGCACCTCGACGGCCGCGCACCGGGACATAATGATGGCGGGCCTGCTCGAGCACTACTACCACTCGCGGGCGCTCGACTTCCTGGTCGCGGCGAACCCGGGCGTGGGCTACCACCGCGAGTCGTCCGAGGTGAAGCAGCTCGGCGCACAGCTGCTCGCGCAGGCCACGCAGCGGCTGGCAGCGGGCGGCGTCCTGGACGCGGCGACCTTCACGGGGGACAATGCCGAGATGAGGAGGCAGTACCTTCTCGGGTTGGACAGCCTCGCGCTTCCGGGCGTCAATGTCGAGACGCTGCAGTCTGATGATGGATCGTCGGCGGCGGCGTTGGTGGCAGAGGGGCAGCAACAGGGTGCCCGTACACGCAGGAGGAGAGGGCTTGTGTCGTCTGTTCACGACGAGGTCGACGACGACGACGACGAGAGCAGCGATCTTGGAGGTCAACATGTAGTCTTTGCGCGGCCGAATAACAGCAACAACAACAACGCTGATATCAAGGATCTCGTCATCCCGATGCGGGTCATGGACATGGGCATGGGGATGAGGCTTCCCTACGTCCCGCACCCGGCGAATGACCTCCAGCTCTCCCTGCGCCAGCCGCCAGTACCCCCTCAGAGGGCGAGCCATTACAAGACGTCCTTTGAGGAGATTAGTTTCCTTGGCAAGGGCGGGTTCGGGAGCGTGTTCAAGTGCTGGAACCGCTTCGACGACAGGATGTACGCCGTCAAGAAGATCCCGCTGTCGCCGCGGCTGAGCAAGAGTTTCTGCGAGGGCGGGCATGACCGCCTGGGCAAGTTGCTGCGAGAGGTCCGCGCGCTCGCGACGTTTGATCACTCAAACATTGTCAGGTATCATGCTACGTGGATCGAGGAGCCGAGTCACTCTGCCACGGAGAATGCTGGACGCGCGAGGACGACGAGAGTAGGGTATGCGCCCCCGCTGGCGGCGCAAATGAGAGCAGGGAACCCACGGAGGCAGCCGAAGCTGCTTGAGCATCATCCACTTCACACAGCTAGCGACAGCGAACCCAGCTTCTCGGACAGTCCTCAGCAGCATGAGGTATCTGCTGGCAACGACATTGTTTTCGGCTTTGACACCAACTCGGGCCAACCCTCAGCAGCAGGACACAGTAGCCTTGCTGGTCCCCCGGGCCCTCAGTGGTCTGAGCAACCAGGCTCTACAAACAGGATCGAGGAACTATCGTCATCCGAGGGCCAAGATGACAGCGACATATTCACCGATGGCGACAGGCTTGGCGCTTCGGCGAGGGACATTGTCCCCACAGGTATAACCGTCCCCGACCCAACGGTCCACGTCTTGCACATCCAAATGTCGCTCTACCCGATGACGCTGGCGCAGTACCTGTCGCCGACAAGGCCGCCGACGCACTGCTTCCACCTGATACCCAGCCTGCGGCTCCTGCTGTCCATCTTGACAGGGCTGCAGTACATACATTCCAAGGGGCTGATACACCGTGACATCAAGCCAGGCAACATCTTCTTGTCACCAGCTAGTCCCAGCACGACGGAGTCGTCGCATAGCGGGTACTGCAACGTCGGAGACTGCGACAGCTGCCATGCGGCAAACACAAGTTCATCTGGTACTCCGCCAACAACATCATCATCGCCAACGTCATCCTCGGCAACGAATAAATCATCTCCGATATGGCTGAATCCGCGTATAGGCGATTTCGGACTGGTCACACAGCTTGCGAGGGAAGGGCTCTCTTCTTCGTCTCCAGACTCGCTCGAGCAGAGTCTGAGCGGCGTGTTTGGCAGCGAAGTGTCATCAGACAAGGACGAGCATCTCGTCGGGACCATGTACTACCGGCCGCCGCGCTGGCCGCCGTCTTCGCAGCCGTCTAGTCCCGGGAGAAGGCGACCAGAACAGCCTCCGCAGCCTCCGCAGCCGCAGCAACAACCTACGCGAAAGAGCGCCAAACCCCGCAATCTAGACGAGAAGCTGGACATTTTCGCCCTCGGCGTCGTCCTCGTAGAGATGCTCGCGTGCTGCCACACGGCGATGCAGCGCGTCGACATGCTCAAGGCCATCCAGGACGGCAGGATCCCTGCCGAGGATATACGGCGGTGCTGCGCGGTTAGAGACCATCATCTGCGCCACCAGGAACAGCAGAAACGTCAGCTGGAGCAGCAGGTGGTGGTAGAAAACGGGATCGCAGACCAAGTCGTTGCGCTCGTGGAGGGTATGCTGGCGCTGGATCCTGATGAGCGGTGGAATGGTAGCAGGGTCAGGGCCGCTGTCGAGAAGATACTCATCGAGTACAAGGCTAGCAAAGATGTAGTTGACTGATGGCTCTTGAAGTTTTCACGGGTTCAGAGCGTCCAGACCAGCAGCTCAAGCCCAGACTGTTTCAGGGGTTGATTGCCTGTGTTCTATCGACGAAGAACCCATGATCTTGTTGGAAACTCCCAATGGTTCTCATAGATATTCCAGCAAGAGACACAATATCGAAGACGCACAATATCGCTACGACTCTTAAGAGCGTTTCAATGGAGTCTTATTCTTGGAGTTGCCGGCTCATTGTGGACGAGGCACGTTGTTGCTATTCATTAGAGATGGCTAGAAGGCTTGACCTAGGATGGAAGATGTCCCAAGTCGCCCAATCCCTGGTGACATTGCTAGCAGTTGTGCGAGAGAGGGGATTTCGCGAACCCCTCAGAATTGGGCTGCTGACATCAGGGTGGCCACATCTTTACCCATTTCAGATCGCACTTGGAGAAGTATACTTGAAACAGGCGGGCATGCCGGTCCGATGGACAAACAGCACAGGCTACGCTCTAGAGTTCGCCACACCGTGAACATCGGGTCGTGCGAGAAGAAGCGACGAAGCTGGTACTGTAGCTGGACGAAGGAGCGGTGAATCGGCACGAAGATTATCTTCCGACCCCCTGTTACCGACAAGCTAGCCCACATCGTTCATCGCCGAATTCGATCGTGAGTATACCCGACTTGTTGCAGACCTTTGTGTGACTTGCTGGCTTTTGTCCGACCATGGATTCGACGCTTGGCGTAACGTTGCCTCAGGAACACGTGTGCCTCGGTGATTCCCTGCAGGGATGCACTGGTTCCAGGACCAACACGGAGAATTAGAAAACGAGACAATGTGTTAACAATAGCTGGCCGAGGACAGTGGCTTTCGAAGAGGGGCAGTGCTCTTGCATTCTAGTGAGCAGGCATACTTCATGCTTGCCTATCCAAGTTAAATCTAGTATTGCATAATGATGCTGATATCAGAGGACCACGAGGCAGGGCAGAGGTAGAGCTTTGCAACAAACAGCGGGAGGAAAGCAATGACGACGGTATCAGGGACTAAGTCTTACAGACAGGGCTGAACCGCCCCTGCCGGATCGCCACTCCTCCCGACGTTGTCGTCGTACAAGCTGGAAATAACACAACCTCTCTAAGAGAGGATATGGAGAGAAAAGCGGCGGGGCTGCTAGCTGAGAAGGCCGCTCGTGGACAGGAATGTCCGTGCCACGCCGTTTTCACTTCTCGCAGCATAGTCGCAACTTGGTAGCCATCAATAGTTGCTGAGACGATCCTTGCAGCACACCACGCAGCAGCATGTTCACTTGGGAACGACAATTGCCGCGGACTTTCCAGTCGGACGCAAGGTAACACTTACACAGTGACGTGGTGGTAACATGTCCTGCACGCGAGCGGCGGCTGAGTCCTGCGAGACATCGCCATGGCCATCCATCCGGCCGGGCGTGTCGACCACCGGGGCGGATGGCATTGATTGGCCACACACCAAACGAGGCAACCACGAAAGGCTGCCAGAAATGCACATCCTGGAAGGCTGCCGCCAAAAGAAGGTAAGATGAGACGGATGAATAAGTACCTACCATGCTTGTGAAGTGATCAGCCTGACCCTCGAGGGTTAAATTGTCATTTTCGACGCCGTGTGGTGGTACGGCATGGACCGGAGGTAGTCGTAGGCTTATAGCTCAGAGTCTGGGCCAGCCCCACCCCCATTATCCTGGATTTTTAATGCACGAGTTGTCCTCGGCGTCTGCGCTCGGCTGGAAAAAAGATCAATGACATTGTGTTGAACACAAGAACGAGGCTTTGACGGAGCCGGCCGGGTGCTGTTTGATGTCGTCTAAACCACTTGCTAGAATGTACAACAGCCAGAACTGATCTTTGACGACTGGAGGTCTTTTGTGGCGAAGCGAGCGTTGCGTGATGCTTGCGGACCAGTATGTGGTTGAGTTACGATGGAAGCCGCAAGTGCTGTTCGCATCTCTTGCGTGCCTGAGCATGCCTCGTACCGGGCAAGTGCGTGATCTTGTCATACCACCTTGCATTCAGGCTGTTCATGAGTATTAGATGAACAGCTCATCTGCACATGGCAGGCTTTGTCGAATGAAAAGGCACCGGAGAGGAACAGCCACAGTTCCGGCTAAGCCAGGCCGAGCTGCCTAGAGTGATGCGGCATGGAACTCACGCATGGAATGTATGGCGTGTGCAGCCTTGCGGGTGACTTGAGCCAAAGTGGTGTGGTGCGCGCACCATCGTTCGTGTGCTGTTTGCCTTTGGGTAGCATCGCAGTAGGGCTGGTGAATCTGAAGTCTGCTCGTCCAGGGGCTTTTGATTGACTACCGTGCCTTTGGCAAGATCGTCATTTCGCCAACCAAAGTGATGTGTTGGCACATCGCCACTCGGGGCCTGTCTCGAGCTGAGGAGGAGGTCGGCTATAAAAGAGTGAACTCTTGTCTTTCTGAGGGCGTAGGCGTAAATGCGCGTACCTTGAATGTTTTGTGGCCATTTTCAACCAGAAATCTCCTACACAGGCGTCTGAGATCGGATTGCCCTCGTCCGCTTCAGGCGACCCCCATGTACCATGGCGCAGCACAGAACCACTACACTCTTGATGGACTACATGCCAACAACATGCCCTCGATGTGCAGGATCCTTCAAAATGTGGGCACCTAAGGATTGAATGCCTGTAAATTACCAAGCTGACCTGAGGCTTCAGGGACTGCGAACATTGCAATAACACTGGGGTTGTGTTGCACGCAACAGTGCCCTTACCTGATTATGATGATGATTTCCACGGAACACCGGACACAGATTCAAGACCTGGGTCAGGCGTACACAAGACGTCGACCGGGGGCAACGGAGAACCGACAACTGGGAGATGAAACGGTCACATTTCGACAACAGGCGAGGCAAATACTAGTGGCCCAAGGTCGCTATTTGGAACAGCTTGGTAGAGGGGTGGACCTTGTTGTACTGTAAATATGTGACGAAAGCTGGAGAATTGAAACCATCTGCGCGGGCCTTTCCAAGGTTATGCCCGGTATTGGAAGGTACGCGTATTCAAGTACGAAGGGTCTGGTCGCTCCAATTTCGAATTCTTGCTCATTCAATCAATTCATCGGGGGCTGCTGGGTGTAAGTCAGCAGGAGCGACCCAGACAGTGTCCCCACTTTGAGCCTGCTTAGATGCATTTCCGGATAGAGCGATGCTCAGGTGCCCAGCTCTACCCCACACGGGGAAGCTCTGACCGAAAGCTCCAGGTCGCTGGCACGAGGATGTGCGCATGCAGCAGTCAGTGATTGCAGACCAGCCATGATCATGATCAACACCAGACATCGCCAACATGTCTGTCATTCTTTGCACAGGTAACATCCCACATCTCGATCTTGCAACCCCCGCGCCCAGGTGCTAACAACTAGAAAGCTGGCTATGACCACACCATCAGGTATTCCGAAGCCGACCATTTGCGACACGAGCTCCAGGCACGCGATCGACTGACACACCCACCACAGATTCTGGGAGGCACTCTCGGGAATATGCTCGCGCACGATCCAGCATCCTGACTCACAAGTGAACCGCCTCTGCATCTCGCCCGACAAGCGTTTCCTAGCTGCTGCAGGCAACCACACGGTCAAGCTGTTCGATATCAAGTCGACAAACCCCAACCCGCTCCTGACCTTCGAAGGGCACACAGGCAACATCACCAGCGTCGCCTTCCACTGCGAGGGCAAGTGGATGGTCACAAGCTCCGAGGATGGCACCGTCAAGATTTGGGAGACACGCAGTGGCACCATTCAGCGGAGTTACAACCATGGCTCGCCGGTGAACGATGTAGTCATCCACCCGAATCAGGGAGAGATAATTGCCTGCGACAGAGGTGGAGCGGTCCGAATGTGGGATCTTGCTGCGAACGAGTGCTCTCATCGCCTCATTCCTGAGACTGATGTGTCAGTCTCAAGTGTCACTGTTGCCAGTGATGGCACTCTACTGTGCGCGGCAAACAATACTGTAAGTCATTCCCCGACCGTGGCCGGTCCACGACCACCCCATAGGTCAAGTTCTAATAGAAGGCTTCGTCTTCTGTAGGGAAATGTATACGTCTGGTCGCTGGAACAGTCCTATGATGCGACTAAAATGATCCCGATCACTCAGTTCAGTGCTCACAAGGAGTATATCACGCGGATCCTGCTATCGCCTGATGTGAAGAAGCTTGCGACCTGCAGCGCGGATCACACCGCAAAGATCTGGGAGGTCGAGATGACACAAGACAGAGCGGGCTTCCAAGACGCAGCTGGAGAGCCCAAGCCATTTCCGCTGGAAGCGACACTCAGCGGCCATCAGCGCTGGGTATGGGACTGTGCCTTCAGTGCCGATAGCGCCTACCTTGTGACAGCATGCTCTGATCATTATGCCCGATTGTGGGAGCTGCACAGCCAGCAGGTCATTCGGCAGTATAACGGACACCATAGGGGCGTTGTCTGTGTTGCCCTGAACGACTATTCCGAATCGCGGTAGCTAACATGCTTGGACATTCCACGTGTCCCAGTAGAATGGTATCCACGATGGTATCCTTGCGATCATTCTTGGAGCATATGCCTGTTCGAATGCTTTGCGCAGCGGTTTTGCTTTCTTTTTGGTACGGCGTTAAGGGTAAGGGTATGTCCGGCATATCTGGTGATTTGTGCACTTGAATTTCAAGCTCGCGTGGATATCACGCAACGTTAGATACCTATAAACTTCTACACCTCTGGTCATTCACGCTTGATTTATGCCATGGCCACAATTACCCGTCATACATCTAAGCAATGCGTTGGGATTCAAGGCCACGCCTCATTTCACACGTCGCGATGTTGATAGTCGTTGACAGCTTAGTGCAGTGCCGTTTGGTAGAGTCCCCGCCCCACAGAGATCGTCCCAAGGTCGGTTCTGAACCGCTGCTTCTCCATTGGGTCAGATGCAAACCTCCCGCATTCCAGCTACCGATCATAAAACAATTGACGACTTTTGCCAATACACCTTGCGTACGAGCCAAAGACTTCAATCTCCAGCTGAAACTCCAGCTCACATGAAACGGTCTGGCATGGCAAGCTCCAAGGCATCCAGAGATGCGGCGCCCTCCGCATCAAACGGCGTCTCCAAGACCACGATATCTATCGCCGGTCTCGCACTTGACATATTCGGTCTATCTGAGCTGATTCCCGTTCAGACGAATGTCTCGTGTCTCTGGCTACATCACGGCCGGACGCGGCGGAAGGAGGACATGGCCGAAGTCGCGGAGCGGATGGTGTCCAGCTTCAACCAGCAGCTCGGCAGGGGTGGCAACAGCAACAACGGCGATACCGAGAGCCACAGACGGGGCCTCATCGTCGTGACCTTTGACCAGCGGAATCACGGCACGCGCCAGACGGACAAGCTGGCCAACAGCACGTGGCGGTCCGGAAACACGCGGCACGCGCAGGACATGTTCGCCACGGTCACCGGCACCGTCGTGGACACGATGCATCTGATGGACGTGCTCGAGGGGTACCTGTGGCTTGAAGACACAGCAGCACCAGAAGCAGGAGCAGCAGCAACGGCAAATGCGAGGAAGACGATCGACCAGCACCTCGTGCTAGGAGTCAGCCTCGGCGGGCACTGCGCGTGGCAGCTGCTTTTTGAGGACCCGCGGATTACGGCCGGCGTGGTGGTCATCGGGTGCCCGGATTACATGCGTAGGTCCTGCCCATCCTCTTTCCATCGGATCATGGCCGACTTTTGAGGACTCGTGAGGGGATTTGCTTACAAAAACCAAAACCATTACCAGGCCTCATGACGAATCGGGCCAAAGGCTCAAAGCTGCCCACTTTCCAATCCCACGACGGCGGCGCCTCGTTCCTGGGCAGCAAGGACTTCCCGCCTGCTCTCGTCGCTGCAGCGAAGAGGTGGGACCCGAAAGCCCGTCTGTTCGGCACGGACGCCATCCCGCCGGCAGGAGCCCGGCCTGAAGAGGTGCACTCTCTGCTGGACAGGACGATCCGTGGGAAGAGGATCCAAATCTTATCTGGTGGCAAGGATAAGCTGGTCCCGTACGCGGTGGCCAAGCCGTTCTTGGACTTCTTCAAAGACGCTGTCGGGGCGTGGTACAAGCACGACGAGGTATATGTCGAGGACAATGTGTATCCAGAGGCTGGGCACGAGTTTAGCGAGGAGATGAAGGAGGATGCGGTACGGTTTGTGCTGGATTCTGTGGGGAAGGCTGATGGCGCTACGGGACAGCAACAGGAGAAGCAACAGATTGCTTTGCCAAAAATGTAAATGAGCAAGCCTACGTGGAGACAGAATGAATCGAATCGATAGGCCTGGCAAAGTACTTTCGCAGCTCAGGACGATGGCTAAACTGTCGACCAAGGCTGTACTGCTCCCTCTAGAAGCACTTCTCTCCCTCTGTCCCCATTCAATCGCTTCGTAGCAACACCGCTGGCCCTCCTCTCCTCCTCTGTCAAGAAAAGATCCTGCTCGACAGCCCATGGGTTCCTCCTCTCCCTCTTCCCAGCGAGCACCTCTCCGTTCCCGTGAGGATCAGCGCGCCACTGTCTTAGCGCCGCCTCGTTCCCCTTCATTGTCCCCTCGTCATCTAGCACACCGGGCGGATCGATGCCGATATACGCCACCCTGTTGAGCGGGAACCCAATCGCGCCGCAGTGCTCGTCGACCAGCCGCTCCTTCTTGAACGAGTGGCCCACGATGGTGAGGCGGGCAGGCCAGGAGTGGGCAAAGTCCCGCCAGAACTGGACCAGGCTGAAGAGCACGTTGTAGTACGAGTCTAGGGCTCGTTCTTCACAGCGGATGCGCTCGTGAAATGTAGATGGGGGGGAAGAGGCCGTCTGGTGGTGGGGTTGGTGTTGATGGGCCTGTTTCTCGCCTTCTGCTGCTGCTGATGATGGCAGATCAAGGCCGAAGTAGCTGTTCTCGCGGACGAGGTTGGCGTAGCTCAGAGCTTCTGACAGTCTGGTTTCTGGACGTGTAGGACCGCTTTACTCAGCGAGTCGTCGCAGATGGATGAAAAGAGTTAGTAATGTGTGCTCAGGGACTTCCAAATTACTGTTCGTTGATCTTCAAGATGCGCATGGAAATATTTCATTTACCCAGAGAACATCAACACAGCGTCCTTGTCATCTCTGAGGACTTTGAGTCCCGCCTTCATGTGGTCGATGAATGTGGGCGTCTCGCCGGCTTGGAAGGGCGCAATTAGCCACTCTCCTGCCTCGTCTGAACCACCAGTTGGACCGCCAGCCCATATGCCGTGGCAGCATACTATGACCAGATGATTGGGTGGCATAATGTCTTTGCGGCCACAGTTTTGACGGGGACGATGTGAATCCGTTCAGACACGTTCAGGTTAGTGTGACGGGCCCTGACATCTTCACAATCAACTCAACAGCATCCGTCAAGCCCCACTTTACTTCACGACTGTCCCGCAGTGAATCCATTGGACTGACTCTGCCTGATCTATCTGCTTGAGCGAAGGAGACGCAGGATGTCTGAGACCAAATACAGACTGCCGGCTATCACCAGAGGACCGCCGTCAGCGACTTTGGAGGCGTTCCTCAGGGCAGCTGCCAAGTCTATGGCTGGTTCTTGCCGCTCGACATGGGAAATACCCATCCGCTTAACCGCGCCCACTATCGTGTGGGAGTCCAAGGGCTTCACCCACGGCATACCGTCTACTGGTCCAAATTCCACGGCGGTGACTGAGTCCTCTGGGCGAAGTATCAACCCCAGGATCTCTTGGATGTCTTTGCCAGCAGAGGCTGCGAGGACCCACGTCACTCCTCCGGAGGATGTTGGCCTGAGATGCTTGTCCACGTATGAGGCGAGCACCTCTGCCGACTGAGGATTGTGGGCACCATCTAGAACCACGTTGGCCTTTCGACCTGTGAGAGGCTCGACACTCAGTGACTGAAGCCGCCCTGGCCATACCATGCTGCGTATTGCGCTGGCAAGTGACGTGGTGGACTCGGCCGCTTGAGCGTAGACCAGTCGAAATGCTTCATGGGCGCATGCCAGATTCTGCCGCTGGTGTGGCTCCAGCTTGTCGGCCAGCTCACTCACGAGTGCATTGGAGGAAGGGTCAGCAAGACGGAGCGGAGCACCTGTTTCTGCAGCGTGCTTCCTGATTACATCTAGGACGGTGGTAGAGTTGCTTAGATCGGCCACGCAGGGTACACCTTTCCGCATGATACCGGACTTGTGAAGGGCAATCTCTTCGAGCGTGTTGCCAAGGAAAGACTGGTGGTCAAGGCCGATTTTGGATATGACTGTGACGCCTTTGCTCTTGAGTACATTGGTGGCATCGAGCTTGCCCCCCAGGCCTACCTCGATGACACCAACCTGCACCTTCTCTGCCTCGAAGATCTCGAAGGCGGTGGCCGTCAGCAGCTCGAATTCCGTGGCCCGCAGCTGGTGTTCGGCGTTCCTCTTCTTTATTAACTCCTCATAGTGGAGAAAGGTGGTCTCTGGCACGGCCTGGTCGTTGATGGTGATGCAGTCCCAGCGGTCCAGGAGATGCGGCGAGGTAAACCGGCCGCAGGAGATCTGGTTGGCCCGGAGCATCGCCGTGAGGTATGCACAGATAGACCCTTTGCCATTGGTGCCAGCGACGTGGATGGCGTTCCATGTTTGTGGTGTCTGCTTGAGCAGAGCGGCCACGCGGGCGAGGCCGAGTTCTATCATTGTGCGGGCTGGGCGTGATTATTGGCCCGGTAGCCACGGCGCAGAAATCACGACGCTCTGCAGTTGTCGTGGCCAGCCGCGATCGTGCCAGGGCGGTGCAGCACTAAGTGGACTCGAGGATCTGGTTGCCCGGTGGCAACTTGTCAGTGGAAATGCAGCCTGGCAGCGTGACTCATCGAGGTTGCCGCAAAAGTCGTTGTCTGGTGGGTTGCTGTCTGCCCAGAGGTTCTGCGGGCAGGTCTCGGATCGATCTGGCAACGACCCCTGCGGATGGCCAAAGCTCAACCAGAAATGTTTGAAGGGAGGGCCATCCTGGGCCTGTCAATTGTGCAGCCGCAGTTCGTGCTGAACGCGTCAAAAAACAGCCCTGGAGGTGTGGAGGCCAGGTGGGCGCCCGATAATCGAGTACCGCAGCGCGAGGCGCGTTCTGGCTACGATGGGCAAGTACCGTGCTAGCGGCGGTGATTGGCGGCAAGGCACCCGTGACGCCACCGGCAGGAGCGCGGCCAGGACATGACATGGATAACGCCAACCCCGGCCTCAGCAGTGTCGCGCAGCGGCAGGTGCGACTGGACGGGGACTGGCGCCTGCCCCCATGACACTTTCCCTCTGAGATTTCTCTCCACCCTGTCCGACCCCACGGCCGCGCAGGACCCTCCCGGGCTCGCCCTTTCGACACCATCATCCACACTTGCATGCCGCCAATGCGCCCAGCCGGATTGCTGCGACAACCTGACGATATCATCTCGCCTGCGCGCGCACGCCTCTTCCATCACGCATCGCAACCTCACATCCCTCGCTACTCTCATCGGCACAGCTTTACCAGACCTGGACTGCGATCTCTCAATCTACCACTGTCCTGCTCGCCGAGTTGCTACGGCAGCTACACCAAGGCGTACACCCGCTAACCACTAAAATGGGGCTCCCGTAAGTCCATCCCCAGCATGACGTCGCAATGGTTCAAAGTGCACAGAACGCGATTGTGTAGAGGTCTTGCAATGCGCGTGGCGACCGCAGCTTCGCGATCATCTCTACTGCATCTAGGATCGAGAGCAGCCTGATTGCGAAGACTCCATGCTTCCGCAGAGTCTCCTGTGCGCGGCCTGTCTGTCTCAATTGGTTCTTCACAATAACAGGCGCTGATCACAATACCATTACAGACTCTTTATCGCGCCCGTCGACTCAGACATCCCCTCGAAACTTGCCGCAAAGAGTCCTATCAGTGCGTCGCACGCCCGCTCGCCAATTCGCCGAGACGCGCCAGGAGTTGTCAGATCAAGGCGCCGTCAGATCCAGGAGGCTCGGGAACATCGCTTTCGTCTGCTCGCGACTCTTCAAGGCGAAGAGGAAGCGCTCCTTTCTGCCGTGCGATCACAAGGCATTGAACCCAGCATATCCTCCACCACTGCCACTAGTGTGGAAGATGTCGTGTCGCGACGACGCGAGTTAGAACACCAGCAGCGGAGGCAGAATGCGGAGAGGGGCACATCATCTCTGGAACCGACATCACGGTCATCACCAGACGATCCGTCATCGAGGCACATAGAATGGGCATCCAGTGGGCGTACCAGTCCTCGCCACTATTCGTCATGGGGTCGCGAGCCCTGGCTGCCTGAACTCCGGGCAGGGAGCTTTGGAGCGCGTTCGGTAAGTTGGGTGATGCCGTATTTCTCCAAAGCCCTGAACACTGACTTATCCACTTATAGTATGAGCGGCAAGATCCTGCCTCATCGACATACTACCGACCTGGCCGCCCTGAGGGCATCTATGCAAGACGTGCTCCTCTGTCACATGGCACTTCCGACGAACGGCTGCGTTTGCGTCGGCTTGACCAGCCCATCCATGCGAGATCGCTCACCAGCATAAGGCGCAACCGTCTTCGCCCATATGACGGGTTGGGAGATCGCGACCGCAGTCTTAGCCCCGAAGGTGACGCAGTCTGGGATACCTTGCAGTCAACGTTGACACCGGATCCTCAGCCGCCGAGTGCGAGCTCCTCCTTTGCTTCGACTAACGCCTCCACCGTTGCGTCCCAAAGAACTGTCCCTTTGTCGTCTGCCAACACCTCAATGACAAGTCCGGATGAGCCGGCAGAACCACCTTGCGACCCTGTCGCAGACAATTCAGAACTTAACGACAGTGAAGATGAGACTCTCGATCAAATCCTTGGGCAGCGGCTGGCTGGTGCTTCGAGACGATCAGCCACTGACTCCAATCGGCGCTCGTATGCCGATGTGGCTGCTGATCTCTCTTTGGGAGGCATATCGACTGACGAAGGAGCTAGCGACTGGCTCACGGGATTGCATCGCATTGTCCGCGGTTTGGTCTCTCGCGACGACATCCCCGACGAATGGTGGGCTGAGGTTGGTCTGACGCGCTCGATGCGCGAGGACTCGAACTAGATACCCGTCATATTCGATGTATCCACGGTCTGGAGCGGGTGTTGATTTTGACCCCTTGACGGAAGCCGGGGGGGCGTTTTTGGTTTTTGGTTCCGGAGTCTAAGGGTCGGACGGAATATGGAAGATCAAACTCGGCGCTTTTTTAAAGCCAAATCTGTACGAAAAAGCCGGCTCATTTGGGAGGCGCAACGGCGTTGTATTCGAATACCAATGTTTTAGATTTCTTCGTGTTTTGATTCTCGGGAAACTTGAATCTCGGTATAGCTATCATTCAGCTGTAGGACTTCTTTAGGTCTGGGGAATGCTGCAGAAACAAAATCATTCACGTGTTGAAACAAGGGCACTTTTTGCAACACCGACCACAGTTGCAGTTGTGGACGAACACCAGATTGTGGGAAATCTTGTTACCCTGAGCACGGAGATTGCGCCATGCCTATGACGCACTTAGCTCGAGCTCATGCAGGAGCTAGCGATACTCAAATTTCAATGCATAAAGTCGGCTAATATCTCAGGACCACTAGCACGTGTTAGTCTTGATAATCGCTGAGCCAATCCGTCTTTGAATTTGCAGACCTGGCGTCCAGAAAACCATCTGCTGAAGTTAGTCGCCAAGCCAAAAAATGATAATAACCATTGGAGTGAAGAATTCAGCTTGTTTGTGTAGTTGTCTTAATGTGATATCTGCCTGTTAGCGTGTCACAGCCAGTCGTTGTCGTGGCTCCAATCCTGGGATCCCTTGCCAACCCCACACTCACAGAGCTGGGCTGCAGCTACACCGAGTGGTGGCTCACTACGAATGACCGCCAGGCACGGAACCGCCGATGTGTGACAGTGCAATCCTGTCTCGCCCGTACTCCGCTGCTGGCCGCCTGCCATCGATCAGGGGACTACCGGCTGGAAGTCTGTCCCTTCTTTCCCAGTTAAACCGACCAACAAAGTGAGCAACTGGACTCTGCGATTGACCAGCTCTGCCCCGCGAAGGAGTGCCGCCCTCGCCCTACAAGGCTCCACGCCCGCTAGCAACACGATTCACGATCTGACGACGCCCATGCTCGCCCATTGCGGCCCGACCTCGCTCCTGATACCTGCACAAACGACCGAAGGCGGCCCTTTACCGAAGCCAACGCCGTCTCGAGTGAACGAGCACATGGCCACGAATTCCTGACCGACGACCACCCACAACTTCTCGACCCTGGACGAACCCTTGTCAGAGCCACCCGCAATCCGCGCTGCGAACCGCTGAGGAGGCTGTTCCCACGCAGCGCCCGTTGCGGGCAATGGCACCCGCTTCTTCGACACACAGCTCGCACCCGTCGAGCTCGTCGCAGCCGGGCGGGCGACAATACCACAACCAGCAGCAGCAGCATGCGACCGGCGAATCGAGAGGCAGTGCAGGCGCTGCGACACCGAGGCACGAGCGCACGCCAAATACGCCGAGGAAGGAGAGCAATGGCCGGGAGAGAGCCTTGCAGGACCCAGGCCTGCGGGACTACGTATGTGTACCCTCGGTGTGGCACATGCTTGTGGCCATTATTATACAATGGGTGGAATTGGAGGGTTTGGGGATCCGTGGGGTTTTGGGCAATGAAAGGCTGACATATTGTTTGCTTGGGTCATGCATAGCGGCTCGGCGAGTGCTTAGGCAAGGGCGCATTCGGCTCCGTCTACAAGGCCATTCACTGGGGCACTGGCGAGGCAGTGGCTGTCAAGCAGATCAAACTGGTGAACCTGCCGAAAAGCGAGCTGCGGATGATTGAGGTGAGATCTCTTGGTTCTCGTGTTGTCCTAGAGCTGTGCTGACGGAGGGCTACAGGCGGAAATCGACTTGCTCAAGAATCTGAATGTGAGTAAAGCCCCAATGACAATGGCCTTCAATTGTGCCAGATTGCTGCCAAAGTGCTGACAAGTTTTAGCACGACAACATCGTCAAATACATCGGATTCGTGAAGACTACCGATTGTCTGAACATTGTCCTTGAGTAAGTTCCCAGCCTGAAGTACAACATGACCGTTTAAATGCTTTGCTTATCATTATTTTCAGGTACTGCGAGAATGGCTCGTTACATTCGATATGTAAAGCATACGGCAAGTTCCCAGAAAACCTTGTCGGTGTCTACATGACACAGGTGCTTCAAGGACTCCACTATCTCCATGATCAAGGTGTCATTCACCGTGATATTAAAGGTGCCAACATCTTAACGACAAAAGATGGAAAGGTCAAGCTGGCGGATTTCGGTGTGTCGACTAGTACTCTGGCTGGACCAGACAAGGAGGCACAGGTCGTGGGCACACCGTACTGGATGGCGCCCGAGATCATCGAGCTATCTGGTGCCACACCGGCATCTGATATATGGAGTTTGGGCTGCACTGTGATCGAACTCCTACAGGGAAAGCCTCCATACCATCACTTGCAGGCAATGCCAGCCCTGTTTGCGATTGTGAACGACGATCACCCACCGCTACCGGAAGGCGTTTCCTCGGTACGTTCCACCAGTCTTGTTAAGCTCTCAATAACGGAACAATTAACGGGATCATAGGCGGCACGCGATTTTCTCATGCAATGTTTCCAAAAGGACCCCAATCTGCGCGTCTCTGCGAAGAAGCTGCTCAAGCACAATTGGATAGTCGGATGCCGGAGAAGCGATGCTCCTGTCGCGAAAGCCCCGTCCAACTTCAATCAGGCCGTCGAGGAAGTGAAGCAATGGAACAAGGCGCTCACTTCTTCAGAGTCCAATCTACGTTCCTCCACTGGCTCGGAGCCCGGAGGCATGCTGCATCATTCGCAACAAACAGCACGATTCGGCGCACAAGAACCTTTGCGGTCCAGTGCCAATACGCCTGCGAAGGGCCCGTTTTCTTTGTCGAAGCCAAGGCCTTCCGCTGGGGACTTTTCAGCACCTGAAGCTGCAGGTAAGTTATGCTCACGTGTTGAGCACAATTGCTTGTCCAACGCGCTGTAACTGACCTTCTCAGACGATGACAACTGGGACGACGATTTCGCGACCGCCATCTCGCCAACGGCATTACAACTTCCTCACATAAAACCTCAAGACCACTTTGGCGGCATGTTATCAGCAGATCGCTTAAAAGCCTTTGCGTCTATTGATAGTTCTCGAGACTTTTCCGGCTATTGGCCAACCGAGCACGACGATGAAATGACAGACTTGAGCAGATTCGACCAATATCAGGACGAAGAATCACAGGAGAAGACTATTCGGCCGAGTCGGACCCGATCGCCTGCGAAAGCGCCACTACCTCCCACAAGGTCTTCACCACGCAAAAGATCTGCTGACGAGCATAAGCGCCAAAAGTCGTCACAATTCAGGTCATCTCTGGTTGGTAAATTTGAACTACCTGCCAGGCCTGATGTAGTGTTCCGAGAGCAGTCGATCGAGGATTACTCGGACCTTATCGGAGATGATGACGACGACAACATCTTTGGCGGTAGTGTCCTGCAACATAAGAAGGTATGCATCGCCGTAATCGAGAGTATCTCCTTGATATTAACGACAATTGCAGCAGGATGCGCCTCAATTGTTCCACCCGTCTGATTTGACGACATTACCAAAGTCAACACAAGGACTTACCACTGGTAGTCTTCGGCGGCAGACGAGCTCCCGGCCATCGATACTTCCGGACCGACCTCTAGAACGATCGCTGTCCGCGATTGAGATTCAGAAATTCGCCGAAGACGATGAAGAAGACTTCTCAGATATCCTAGGACCTGACCGTGTCTTCCAAGAGAAGGAGGAGAGCGACAAAAGCTCTGAGGACGGAAATATCATGGTCCTCTCCAGAATCAGTAACAGCTCCTGGGCAGCAGAAGACGAGGAAGAGGACGACCCGTTCGCATCCATGGATCCTGGCTGGGATGAGATGGACCTCGAGGCCAATATCGCTAGAGACAGACATGCCCGTCTCGCAGAGAAGATTGAGGAGCTGGTTAGGTCGATGAAGATGACCGAGGGCGAGGACAAACTGGAGTACCTCTCGGAAGACCTGCTCGCCATGCTGTGGGAGAACGCCGAGGTCAAAGACCTCATAATCAGCGCCCACGGGTTGCTTCCTATACTGGAAGTGTTGGAGCCGTGCAGTGTGAAGAGCCGGCAGCCGATGATTCTGCAGCTTTTGAAGGTTGTCAACACAATCATTCTGGACGACGTGGAGCTTCAAGAGAATCTCTGCTTCGTTGGTGGTATCCCCATCATCACGAAGTTCGCTGCTCGCCAGTTCTCGATCGAAATCCGCCTCGAAGCCGCCGCTTTCGTCAGGCAGATGTACCAGACCTCAACACTGACATTACAAATGTTCGTTAGTGCTGGTGGTCTGAATGTCTTGGTCGAGTTCCTGGACGAGGATTATGACAGCGCAAGAGACCTGGTCTTGATTGGCGTCAACGGCATATGGAACGTCTTCGAGCTGCAGGGGCCGACGCCAAAGAACGATTTCTGCCGGATATTCTCAAGGAGCAAGATCTTGGACCCTCTGGCATTGGTTCTCTTGCGAGTGCTCGATGAGGACACAGAGGACGAGTTAACAGAGTTGATCGAAGGTCGGATAGTGAATATCTTTTATCTCTTTTCTCAAGCGGAGAACTACGTCAAGGAGATGGTGGCGGATCGCCAAGTCCTCAAGGGTGAGTTCATTCGAACGAAATCAACAAAGTCAGAAGCTAACAGAAACCTGCACAGTCGTTCTCAAAGCACTCCGGCGCATGACGCCAGCCCATCAGATCACGATGCTCAAATTTATCAAGAACTTGTCTATGCTCTCAACGACTCTTGAAGCACTCCACTCAGCGGATGCAATAGATTTCCTTATTGAATTGCTCAGCACCAGCATGAAGAAAGGACACCCCCACTTCCGGGAGATCTCCAATCAAGTTCTCAACACAATGTTTAATCTCTGTCGTTTGAGCAAAGACCGCCAGGAGTATGCAGCGGTCAACGGCATCATTCCTCTGCTTATGAAGATCATGAAGACCGACAGACCACCGAAGGAATTCGCGCTGCCGATCTTGTGCGACATGGCGCATTCCGGGAGCAAAGGGCGCAGGTTCCTGTGGCAGAACAGAGGTCTCGACTTCTATGTCTCTCTCATTGCGGACCAGTACTGGCAGGTGACTGCTCTTGATGCCATCTACGTGTGGTAAGCAACTACACCTTGATATCGTTTTGTGCTTAGTGACTGACAGGCAGAGACAGGCTGCAAGAAGAGACGGCAAAGGTCGAGGGCTACCTGCTGAACGCCAATTTTACGGGCGCCATAATAGCCTGCTTCAATACACCAAAGGTCAACGCCTTCGATCCCAACCTTCTTGAACCTCTGCTCAAGGCTCTACGATTATCCCCATCGCTTGCCGCTTCGTTGGCGAAGGCTGAAATGTTCAGCGGACTTGGCCAGAAGCTTGGTCACAAGAAGGCTGTCGTCCGGCTCAACCTTCTCCGCTTGGTTCGCAACATTCTGGACGCCCGAGAAGCCGACTACTTTTCTGCTGGTAGGGACAGGAAATTGCGAGGCCTTCTGGACGAGATCCAAACGCTAGCGGATAAAGACCCAGCCGTTCTCGTACGAAACCTTGCAGGCGAACTTGTACGTTCGCGCATTGGCGGAAGTCCGAACAACAGCCTGCCACTACCGGCGTCCAGTGCTTCCTCTGCAGGATCCAGTCGGTCGCGCTCCGGTCCCAGACGCATATATACACCACCTTCTTTGCAGTCTGCCAACAGTGTTCCTCTTACTCCTACACATTCTCACAGGCCTTCGCTGCCTACCCAATCTTCAACGTTTATCGAGGTTGCCTCTAGTCCGAAGCGATCTGCCGTAGCCATGACGCATGATCGGGACGCAGCCCTGTACCGCCCAAGGAGCAGGGACGGGTCAGGAATCCCCGTAAGTTCGATTCCTCGGCGAGTAAGCGGCGAGATAGCCGTCGTGACGCACTCGCCTGGCCACCGGAGCCGCCTGTCACGCAATTCCAACATTTACAATCCTTCTCGGCCGAGCCTCAGCAGCGCCGGCCTCGGCTCCCGCAGTGAAGGAGGGCTATCGGGCAACAAGGACAACACCGCCTCCAGCGACGGGCGGCCATCGTTCCTAATGATGTCCTCAGCCTCCAGCACCGCGGGCAGTTCCCGGACGCCCGCGATCAACACGGATCTGCCATTTAGGACTGGTGACCCCGGTACCCTCAACAGCGCTGCATCGTCGACCGCATCCTCGTCAAGCTCGCGCCCATCGTCATCCTCGCGCCCATCGTCGAGCGGGTATCTAGCCGGTAGTGGCGTTAGTGGTGGCAGCGGTGGAGGTGGTAGTGCTGGCAAACGACGGACGCGTGCGCCGAGCGATTCCCGGCGATGGGGGTCTTGAGAGGAGGCCAAGGTCCCTTGACACATCACTTGGCCCTGGCATGCAGGGAGTAAACTCGCGTGATGGAGCGAAGCTACACGAAGCTGCACGAAGGACTCGAGCCTGCTGGTTTGGAATGATTTATAGAAACGAACATGAATATGAACCACGCCATACATGTCAAGTATGGGCTTTACAGACGTGATGATACCTTCTTCCATGCGGTATACTGCGTGCATGTGATACATGAACATTATGTCCGGCTCATCCTGGTAGAGCCTTGCCAGCTCAGGTAGACCCGTCCGGTTTGCACCAGAGACAAAACGCGCGGTTTGTCTTTCGGGCTTGCGCCTTTACTACCACAACTACGAACGCTCCCCCCAAGCTCGCCGCTCTTCTGTCCGGACTAGTACTACCAAGTCTCGATCTTGAACCGCTCCTTCATCTCGCACACCCACGTGGGGTCCTCGGGGCTGTTTACGTGCACCGTCACGCCCCCGGCCTCGAGGTACGTCCTGATCTGGTCCGGCTTCGTCCAGCCCTGGCGCAGGTCAAACACGTCGCCGGGCCGCTCGGCGGTGAGGGTCCTGTTGACGCAGCGGATCGTGCAGGAGGCGGCTGGCAGACTGGCAAACGGCCCCTCTCTGGCAGCGGCAGTGGCAGTGGCTGGACTGGCCTCGACGCTTGACGTAGTCAGGGAGCTGAGGTCGTCGATGTCGGGGATGCTGAAGAGCGCGCGCAGGCTGGCGTCCTGGTCGAATCTGTCCCCGGAGCCTGCAGAGGGGGACTCGCCGAGAAAGACCTCGAGCTTCTGGAGTTGTGGGGGCAGGATCTCGGTCAGCGGTGGGATGTTCGAGGGAGTCCAGATGGCGCCTCGCCCGTCTTTCGGCAGGGTCGGATCCGTACTGCCGTTGCGCTCGCCCGATTCTATCGAAGGTCCGTAGAACATGCGGTAGTCGATCTCGAGGGACTCGAGGCTGGTGAAGCCGTGCAGGTCCACAACCCCGTTCACGATGGTCCCGAAGAAGTGAGGCTCCAGAGTCATGGCGAGGTGCTTCAGATGGCCGCCGACGTGCTCCCTCAGCGTCTCGAACATTTCTGCCGGGTTGTAGTCGTAACCCTGGCCGTGATGCTTGATCGCGTATCCGAACTTGAAGGTCTCGAGTGCTGGCGTGCCAGCGAGTAGCGGAGCAAGGCCAATGTCGTCGAAACATGAGGCGGCCAGCTCGATCCTGCGTAGATTGTGATGCACGGGCATGGCCTGCGGCCAGCTGAATATGGTCTGAGAGCGACCTTCAAGTGCGAGGAAGCTGGAGGCGTAGACCTCGGTCAGGGTGGGGATGGTCAAGAAGAGCCTCATCGCTTCGAAATGCTTCCAAGTATCGTAGTCGACAGGCGGGAATGAGAGCAGCGTCTTCAGCTGCCCAAGCGGTGCGTCAAAGGGATTCTGAGCTTGGGCGGCTTTGATGGCCGCAAGTACTGCCGCCTGAGGGCCATTGGGTTCTGCCGTTGCAGCAAGCGTCCTGCCGACTTCGATGCGCAACGTACGGATATTTTTTAGCATGGAGAGTATAAAAACCTGGCTCTGGATCGACTCGAAGGAGCAGTCGCACTGGTCCTGGGGCACGTCGAAGATGGGGTCCAGCATCTGCCGGCCCCAGGCATTGGTGTCGATGCCAGCAGCTCGCAAGCACGGAGACCGCTCGATGAGCATTTCAATGTCACACAGAGCCTCGTGGTCATCCTTGAGACGGTCGAACTCGAGAAACGGGGTCGTCTGCCTCAAAGCACGGCTGGGCCGGCAGGCCTTTGTGGTCGTGGCAACAAAGCTAAGGTTGGCCGTGGTCGCATATCGGGCCACGTCTGGATTCTGGGCGATGCGGTCCAGACAAAGCAGGATGCCTCTGCGATCTGTGCGCGCGTCAACCTCTAGGGTGGAATATGCCGCCCGCCGGGACTTATAGAGCGGCACGAGTGGCTTGGCGCAGTCGTGCAACGTCCGGCAGGTTAGCAGGAAAGCCTCGAAGCTCTCGGGCATGGCGTGCCGGGCAACCTCGTGCAGAAGCTCATTTGGCAGATCCAAAAGGCTAGACGGGATGCGAGCGGCGGCAGCCATTGGAAGGCGGAGGAAATCTCGCTTGCTTTCTTGCTTGCTTGGGGGATCGTCGAGTGCTGATACGCTACGGTGGCGCCCACGAGGAGCTGTCAGCCGTTTGATATTGCTTGAGCCGCACGCAGTCGGCAAAGTCGTCTTCCAAGTCAGAGGCGCAGCATGTCATTCGGGACGCGGCCCGTTCTTTTACATTGTCATGGATGCTGCCTTGTTCGTTACGATGCCTCGGATCCAGCAGTAGGCGACTCGGGCTGGCAGGCAGATGCTTGCCATGGGCCGATTGCAATGCTGACGCTCGACGAGCCACGCTGGGGGATGCAGCAGAGCTGTGCTGTCATGGCCAATGAGTGAGCCGCCTCGCCGCGTCCAGCTCAGGTGCCTGCCTCGTCCATCCACAACTGTCCAGGCATCGAATTAGCGATGCTCTGCCCTCGCGTCATCATCTTGTCCCGTAGCCTTCTTCGAGATGCATGCGCTTCCCTGACACGCCCTGCTGCAAGGGATCAACCCAACACGGCAGCCACTGAGCAGCACGCTAGACCAGACTCTGGAGAATACTGGGACCGTCTGGATCGACATGTCTCAGAGCGCGCGCCTGCCCCTCTGCCCTGTCAGCCCCCACCGTCCGGCATCGGCCCGCCTCATCCCAATCGCAGCTCAAATTCTTCCAGCCACTCACTTCACTTTGCGATTGGCTGAGCCGTTTACACGAGGTTTGTTCTCACGATATTGCACGACCTCGCTCACTTCAGCTTGCCTCGCTGAGCTCTAGTAAAGCCCTCTGCCATTTTCAACCCCGCCCTTCTGTCCAGCTGACCGGCACGGTCCCCTCCCGTAACCATGGAGACCTTCACCATCAAGACACCCTGCACCTCGGCCAACATCGGCCCCGGCTTCGATGTCATCGGCCTCGCCCTCTCCATGTATCTTGAGCTGCGAGTCACCATTGATCGCTCAAAGAAGTCCTCAGACCTGCCTCTCAACTGCCGCATCACCTATGAGGGCGAAGGCGACGTGCCTCTTGACCCAGAGTCCAATCTCATCACCAGAGTAGCCCTCTACGTTCTTCGCTGCCACGACCAGCGCGCGTTCCCCGTCGAGACGCATGTCCACGTGGTCAACCCAATCCCATTGGGCCGTGGGCTCGGCTCCTCGGGAGCAGCCGTCGTTGCTGGTGCCATGCTCGGCAAGGAGGTCGGCGGCCTGCATCACCTCACCGACGAGCGTTTGTTTGACTTCTGCCTCATGATTGGTACGTTCCTCGGTCAACCTTGGCTCAATGGCAAACGTGCTGATACTCCCGGATATGAACAGAGCGGCATCCAGACAATGTCGGCGCCGCGCTCTTTGGCGGCTTCGTGGGTACATACCTCAAGCCTCTCAGCCCGGAGGATGTTGCCCGGGTCGAGATCCCGCTGAGTGAGGTCCTCCCTGCCCCTGCTGGCGGAGAGGATACAGGCAAACAACCTCCGGAACCCCCGATCGGCATCGGTCACCACATCAAGTTCCCCTGGGCCAAGGAAATCAAGGCTGTTGCCATCATCCCAGAGTTCGAGGTTCCCACCGCCAAGGCTCGCGAGGTCTTGCCCAAAGAATACCCCCGACAGGATGTGGTAAGTCTTCTGTAGCGAGCCCGGCTCTCTGGGCGTTGTACCCATGCTGTCAAGAGATAAGATACTGACCTGCTATCACATGAAGACTTTCAACCTGCAACGCATTGCCCTGCTTCCCGTCGCATTGGGCCAGTCGCCCCCTGACCCAGATCTTATTTACCTTGCTATGCAAGACAAGCTACACCAGCAGTACCGCCAGACCTTGATCCCTGGCCTGGGCGAAATCGTAGAGTCCATGTCGCCTGCGACTCAGAAAGGCCTGCTCGGTGTTTGTCTCTCGGGTGCTGGCCCTACCATTCTCGCGCTGGCTACGGAGAATTTTGAGGAGATTGCAGAGAATATCATTGGGCGCTTCCGTAAACAGAACATCAGCTGCAGGTGGCTGCTCTTGCAGCCTGCTGAGGGCACCACGGTCAGTCGGTAAACTGCCAGGTCTGCACCAACGCTGAAACAAGACAGCGTGCAATTAGTGCAATAGTCAAGGAAAAGGAAAACAGTAAACAAGATACCCAGCATCTCACGAGCCTTATCAGACGTTCATGCCAATCACGCAACTCCGGGCTCCAGGCTCTCAACCGCTGATTGGTCACCGTTGCGATTGCCACCTCGTGCGAGTCCCACCATCCGCATAGAGATGCCGGGGTCATCCCACGACAGCGCAATATTCAGGGGACATTTTTCCGTGCGATCCACTCACGATACCTCCGTCCCAAGCATGAACACATGCTTGATACATGTTCAATGTCTGCTTGTGGAAGTTTGTGTGCGTTCTGTGTAGCGTCAGCAAAAGCGAGAGCTGTCCACGTGGTGAAGCCGGCCTGCTTCTGGGACAGCTGCCGCTTTAAGCATTGAAGACAACGGGAGGCCTTGTAACAGAGTGGGGGCGGCGATCGTGACACATCTGGAGCTGAAAGAAGCGAATCGAGATGGGGCAATCCGAGCTCGCATACACGAGAAAGCTGGCAGTACTCCAATCGCAATCCCAGACCGAAACTGGACGAACTCAGGCCGAGCTTGCGATGACTTGTTGCACAGACGGTTGCCCGGCGCCTGTGGATTGTTTTTTCTGCTGGCCGTTTCAGGACCCGGGCATAAGTGCCAGCTAATCCGCTCTTTGACCGTGCAGTATGGGCCAAGCTGCCATTCAGCCGCAGCCAGAGTTGCACGGGCACGGGACTTTATATGATTGAACCTGACCACCAGGGACCTGACTCGGAGACAAACATCTGACTTTGAATTGCCTGGTGCCGTCAAAGCTCCTGCCCTGGCCTGTCGTCATCGGCTCATCCTTGCAAGAATGTATACTATCTCGGATCTTAAGTGACAGGCAGGGGTCTGCATGTGCCGCATACCCTCTAGGCCCATCTCCACCTTGACTAGCATCGGCCGAGGCCCAGTCACCCGAATTTGCCTTCCTCTTGCTCGCATGCCAGTACTGCCTGCAGTAACTCGTTGCGAAAGTAAGGAAGCCGTCACTCGCATTGACTAGCGGGCAGTCATCTTTCACAGCGGCATGGGCTGTGTACCTCAGCCTCATTCGAACGGACACGCGCTACCGCTTCATCAGGAATGCTCCTCGTCAGGGCTCGACACTCACAGAAGCATGCCAATGCGATGAGGAGCAGCCAATGCTCGGAGCAGAAGTGTTGCTGCCCAATCGTAGGCGCTCCGGTCGATCACAGCTGGTGGTCATGCTCCGCTTCGTGCCGGTATCCCTGGACTCAACACAGGCTTAATAAAACCGCGGAGCCGCTCGGATGGCACCACTCTTGAACCAGTGTTTGGTAGCAGTAGTGGAGCGGCAGCGTGCCTTCATATAGCGTCTAAGCGACAACGGAACAGCGTGGCCCGCAGTGGTACTGACATGCATGATCCTTGTCACTTAGAAATGTCCCAGCCAGTGGTAAGTCACTATCTAGATGCCACAGAAGGCATCATGCAGCATGGCCGATATAAAGTTGGCTTTCACCACTGCCGAGGAGCCGTCAAGTCCTTGTTGCTGTTTGGGAGGTAGCTCAGTTTCACCTGAACCACCGGTGCTCGTTGTCGAAAAGTCTGTACCCGAGAGCTTTACCGGCTTCAGCTACTGCTCAAAAGTAGAATCCTCTACGACATGTTGGCCAAACTAAACCAGCTGCTACCTGCAGTAGCTCTGCTGGCCACTACAGTCGTCTCTCAACAGAGTACCTGCGACCTCGTCCAGGCCCAGACGAAAATCTCCATTTGGAACCGCTTTTCCATCGACTACACAAGAGAGCAGACCGAGTACTGGTCGACAGCATCGGGTGCTCTCAAGCCAAAGTGTATCCTGACTCCGCAAAACGCAGATGAGGTCGCGGCCATTGTTTCGATCCTGCGCGAGAACAACGAGACTTTTGCCATCAAGTCGGGCGGGCACAATCCCAACAACTACTTTGCGAGTGTCGATGGCGGACCGTTGATCTCGACCAAGAAACTCAACGAGGTCGTCTTTGATCGGGCCACAGAAACAGTCCGCATCGGGCCTGGCAACCGCTGGGATGAAGTCTCTGGTGCTCTGGATGGTTCGGGGTACACGGTTGTTGGAGGGCGTATTGGAAACGTCGGTGTTGGAGGCTACCTGCTTGGTGGTAAGACATGATGAGCACCACACGATAGCAGGGCTGAGAGACTAACTCGAACGACACATAGGCGGTCTCAGCTTCATGAGCACCGAGTACGGCTGGGCAGCCAACCAAGTCCTCGAATACACGGTCGTTCTGGCCAACTCGACGATTGTCAAGATCACCCCCGATAACCACCCGAACATCTACACGGCCCTGACCACCGGCGGCAACAACTACGGCATTGTCACATCGTACCTTGTCAAGGCCTACCCTCAGGGTGATGTCTGGGGCGGAAGCCTCGTCTTCACTGCCACTCCGAACATCACGGTCAACCTCCTCTCCGCGCTCCGTGACTTCACCGAGAACTATCCCGACGAGAAGGCTGGCATCATCATGACGGCCGAGCGCACACTGGGCACGCTGGTCGATCTATGGATCATGTTCCTGTACTACAATGGACCAGAGCCCCCTGCGGGTCTATTCGACCGCTTCATCAACGCTGGAGCCAGCATCAACACCTGCAAGACGCAGTCCATGCACAGCCTGCTCTCTGGCAATAATTGGGCGGTCGTCAAGGGCAGCGTGTACACCATCGGCACCGAGACCATTGCCCTCCCTCCCGCGGGCCCTTCTGGCACGGAAGGCGACGCAGTCATGCAATCCGTGTACGACCTCTGGGTTGAGGTGAGCAACAAGGTCAAGCTGGTCCCGGGCCTGATTGCGAGCATCGCGTTCCAGCCGATGCCCAAGATGCTCACGAGAGTGGCCAAGACGCACGCTGGGGGCGACATGCTGGACCTGGACGACTCGATCGACCGCATGATCGTCGAGCTCGACTACAGCTTCCTGTTTAACAGCGACTACCCCAAGGTCGACGCCATCATGCGCGAGACGTACACCGGCATCCGCAACGTCGCGGACAACGCCACGGCCGCGGGGCTCATGCCGCAGGGCTACCTCCCGCTGTTCCAGAACGACTGCTTCTACCCGCAGGACTACTACGGCCGACTGCGGCCCGAGAAGAAGGCCCTCGCGCAGAAGGTGCGGGCCGAGCTGGACCCTCAGGGCTTGTGGCGCGATCGTACCGGCGGCTTCAAGATTGATCTCTGAAGTCTGGACGAGTGCGAGTTACTCACCCTCCTTTTTTATTTTACATTTTGTTCTGATGTGTATAGCCTTCGACTGAGCTTCAGCATGCATTTACTTTGGGGCCAGCATCGTGTTTATAGCATTTGGGTATTACACACGCGGCTATTTGATAATCCGCGGCATCAACCAACGCTGTGATGCTGCTGTCCCTTCCCGGCTGGACCGCATGCCTCCTCCTCCTCCTCTTCTTTTTCCTTAGCTTTCAGCTATTCTATGGAAACCTTAGATAGCAAAATTCAAAATCCTCAAGCATCACCCACTCTCCTGTGGCACAACTCTTCTGTACATCAGCTCCGCCCTCATCGCGTACTTGACACCCTGCAGCACATCATCGCCCGCGTGGTACAGCCGCTTGTGCTGGAATATGAGGACCCTGCCGGCCCTGGGGTGTACGTCGATCTTCCGGGTCTCGTCGTTGGAGAGGAACGACGTCGCGCCGCCTACAAGCCCGCCGCCGCCGCCGCCAGTCTCTGCCTCGTCACTGTTATTGGTATGTCGTCCCTTCTCCAGAGCCGCACCGTGTGAGTCGTTCAGGTACAGCTGCAGGGTAAAGTGTGTCGTCAGGTCCACCGTCTCGGGAGGAACACTGCCGCTACCGTCTAGAAATACCTCGGCATCCCGCTCAGTGTACGCCCCGTCGCAGTGGGCGCGGAAGAACTGGCCCGGTCCGTAGCGCAGGAAGCGCATGCGCTTGTTCATCCGGACAAAGTCCCACCGCGGGACCGTGGCCGGGTCGTCGGGGATGTACTTGCGCTGGACGTGGTCCCAGTGTGTAGGGGGAGGGTATCCCAGGAGGGAGCCCTGGGTGAATGAGAGTAGTGGTGATGGCGATGTTGATGATGGTGATGGTGATGCGGAGGTGGAGGAGGAGGAGGGAAAGGAGGAGATCTGCGGGACTTTGGACAGACGGTTGTCCCATAGCCGGTTCATGAGCTCCTGGTGGTCCCAGACTATGCGGTCCGAGTTGCGGTAGGTTGGCTCGAGGATCTCGTAGCCCCCGCCGATGTTGACCATTGCCGGGCGCCAGGAAGTCAGCTTTTCTGTCGAAGTGGCGGTGGCTGCGGCGGCAGCGGCGGCATCTGGTGAGGGTGATGGTGACGAGGAGCTAGCTGAATTTTCAGTGCTGGTCACCAGAGTCTCGGGGACCCTGTCCTCCTCTGGCACGCTCTTCTCGGCGAGGGCGAGGAGCATCTTGCACTCGGACGGGCTGAGGACATTGTCCAGCACGACGGCGTAGGCGCCCGCGTACTCCGGCAGGACCGTCTCCGCCCAGTCCATCTGCTTGAAGGTGATGGGCTTGCTGTCGGGTGCGGGCTTCACGAGGAAGCCGTCGGGGATGTCGACTTGCTTGGACGCATAGGTGACTTGGACTGGCTGGTGGTGGCTCATCGTGGGCTTTGGAGGGGGTGTCTGGGAGACGGTCTTGTGGGCCTTGGCTTTGCGGAACATGGCTGCCGTTCTTTGGCAAGGTGGAATAGAGGATTTGGGTGAAAGGTGGTGTGTTTGTATACGCTTGATACTGGAATCCTGCTGTAGAAAGCTGATGGGTGTGCGGGCTGTGTTTATTGTCAGCAATTGCCTGGCATGTCAGGTATAGTTCTACGGGGTGGCGGTGTCATAATATGCCTGGACGCCAGGCATCCACGCCGAGCAGGCAGCTGTTTTTGATATGGCTGTTATTTTGCAGGTCGCTTCGAAAACAAAAAGAAGCAGCTGAACCGAACGAACAATAACCTGGTGCCGTTTCTCTCCCTCCAATGGGCATGACAGGCAATGACTCTTCCAAAAAGTGTCAGCCTGTTGCCAGGGGCTATCTGTCAGTTTCTCTGACTTGTCATTCGCTGGCTCGGCCCCTGGAACCACTGGGTCCAGCCTTGTGGCGCCCCAGTCGATCAGCGCCAGGCACCAGCTGCAGGCAGGGCGCGACCCGCCCGCCCCAGACTGGTCTTGTCCTCATCCCAGTTCATGTTGGAATTCCGTCATGGAGACCCGCACGTCTGGGCGATATTACATGATCACATGTTCTTGTCCCAAGTGGAAACTCGCTCTGGGCAATGGATCAATCGGTCCACCCTTTCAACGAAGCGCACGGCCTAAAATAACTTGAGCTGCTTCGACTCATCAGGAACCGTGCTGGACAAACTTGCAAGGGTTGCTGCTCCAACTCACCACGACCAGCCAAGCATGGGGTTCTTGAGCAACCCCGCAAACCCCAAGTCTTTGTTGCTCCAACACAAGACCTCATCGCTTTTGACAACCCTGACAAGTCCTAACACTGCTTGCAAGAAATGCGCAATATTGAGAGACTGGAATTCGCCCCGTGCCTGTTAGCTTTCGTCGGTCCAACTCCTCACACTACCGCATTTGTCCAGCATCATTGAAATGGGCCTCCATAGCCCAGCCAGAGTCCAATTTCTCCATTGCATCCAACCCCGCCAGACGGCATTGGCCTCGAGTTTCATCGGCGCCGCAATCACCGTGTTAAGGGCATTGGCGCAGACTCTCGGCTCAGACAGATAGGGAGGGAAGATCCCGGAAACAAGCTTCTTGAGGCCGTCGAGGCTGTCTGTGAGAAGGGCGTGGTCACGGCTGATCTTGGGGGGGTCGGCAAGGACAGATGAGGTCAGGGCAGCTGTCTGTAACGAAGGTATCAGACGGCGGACATTGAAGAGCCGCACTATAAACATTCAGCCTGTGCTGTTTCGAAAACTTGCCGTCTACGAGTCAATCGTTGCCTACGCCTAGGACCACTCGTAGGCCTGCATTTAGCGGCCCACCATGTAGCACATAGTGGAACTGAGGTGCGTTCAATTGTGACGCTTGTCATGGTCTTGTTAAGGTATTGTTCTACACCGTTTGAACCATTGGCCTGTCATGGGATCGGATGGACTTCAAGATACGGTCATGACCGGGATGCCTGTCAAGAATTCAGTTAAGCTTCCAACCCAAGGCCTGGAGATTTCTTGGCATGCATGGCATGGCCGACTCGATCTTGGCCTTGCATCTCCACAACCAGCAAAGAATCCACGTGGACATGTTCAAGGACCCGCGAGGGACATTTCATGCGAGCCAGACGGTCTTGGTCCACGCAAACGGCCCACCCAGATGCCGGGAGAATAACACCACAGCTTTGTCTGGCTGATCCAAGGGATTGCTGGACGCACGCTGAACTGAGACCGCCTCAGCCCGGAGGTGCCCCGCCTGCCGGATTTGGGCATTTCTCGAATGCCAAGCGCCTGGTCCCAGCGAGAGACGTCTCACAGGCAAAGCAGGCCAGACGACAAGACACGAATGTCTCGGCTGGGGTTGCGCTCAGCAACGACCCTTGGTGTCCTCGCAACCATGTTTGCAGCTGCATCAGGGTCTCTTGTCCATGTGCCACACACTCTCAGGAATTTACCCGTACGTCCCCAACACTGGCAATGGCATTCTTCCGTGCTGGTGTAAGGCCGATGCGGGTGCACAAAGAGAGACGAATGGGATTTTATTCCCGGCTCTGCAACCTGCAGTCATCTTCCTTTGCAGATCCATGTGGCCGCATTCTTGACAGCGACTTCTGGACGGTCACTCATCAGGATGAGCTCAGTTTTCAGGATTACGCCATCACCACCTCCAAGATTGACAACACATGGGACGAGCTAGACAGACCGACTGGGCCTACATTACTCATTCTCTGCTTGCTGACTGCAACTGAGCCTTCTTCTCATCGATTTCTTTTCAATCCTGATCCAGGACTCGCATTAGCGCTTTCCCCATCCAACCCCCGCGGGCAACAACCTGCAGTCGTCATCCCGCAGCAAAGCAACGTAACCAGCCCGCCTCGCCTCATCCCACGACCGCCCAAACACGAGGAACCAGCCCCCGTTAGCACCAGCCAGCGGACCCGTCGGCTCCTACCGCTGGGGCTACGTATTGTCGCCCGCAGCCGCAGCAACCATCACCACCCACAGCGCTAACACACGAAAGCTTACGCGGTCACCCACCCGCCAAAGTACGGCAATTAAGGTTGCGACCTTTTTCCTCCGGGCAACCCACCCCGATCTGGGCAGCCGGGTGGCCCGCCTCCCGCCCGTACGGCGAAGCATACGTTACGTACTTCTTTCCAGCCCACTGACGACGCTGTTTCGTCTGGTCTGATCCCCGCCAGCCAGGCCAGGCCTGCCTGCCAAGCTCCTACTGAAAGCTTGAGCCGGATTTACAGGCAAACCAAGCTTTCGCTTTTCCTCTCTACTTACTCGACCCGACTCAGAGAACGATGCTTGGCTGGGCTTAGCTTCGCGGGGTTCAAGGCAGTATTGCAACTTTCTAGGTTCTCAAAACGAAGAGGGTTGGAGCCCGGGTCATCTGTTCTTCGTTTCCCATCGTCTCCTCTCGCCCTTCCGTCATAGACCGGATCCTGGAGCCGGGCCAGCAACAACCAACACCAGGCCATTTATTTCCGAGAGCACTGCACATTCCGTATAATCTCAGGCTTTGTCTGCAATCGGGGTTGCAGGTCTTGCTAAAACCCGATTTCCTCTTGTCTGCAACTCTTACCAGGTACTTTGCCGCTCGACCCTGCTTTTTGCAGTGCACCAGACGACAGACACCTTCAACGATGGCCTGCAAGGCCGCCACGAAATCATGCGCTGCGACTGTGTGCGCCGTCCTGCTCGGTCTTGCAGGATTGACGGATGCAGCGCAATATTACCAGATTGATTCCGTCGGTAAGTGTTGACTTACACACACTTGCACCGAAATGGCAGTCGCTCTGCCAAGACTAACACCGGGGAAATCAGATGACATCAAAACCTCGGCCAAGACACTGGCTTACGATTTGATGCTCAACTACAATGGCAACGAGTCTGGACAAGTCCCAGGCATCTTGCCAGGCCCCCCACCGGCCGGGCCGTATTACTGGTGGGAAGGTGGTGCGCTCTGGGGCGCCATGATGGACTACTGGCACTACACCGGGGACGACACTTACAACGACGTAGTGATGCAAGGAATGCTCTTCCAGACGGGGCCCAACAACGACTACATGCCACCCAACTGGACTGCGTCTCTGGGCAACGACGACCAGGCCTTCTGGGGCATGTCGGCCATGCAGGCTGCCGAGCAGAACTTTCCGAACCCGCCAAAGGGGTCGCCCGGGTGGCTGGCCCTCGCGCAGGCCGTTTTCAACACGCAGGCCGAGCCTGATCGGCATGACAAGACATGCGGCGGTGGTCTGCGATGGCAAATCCCCTGGTACAACAATGGGTAAGTCTGTTCTCCTCGTGTGCTCACAAGACACAAACCATAGGCTTACCGTCGTTCTCTGTTCTCTCACAGATACGACTACAAGAACTCCATCGCCAATGGCTGCTTCTTCAACCTGGGCGCCCGGCTGGCGCGGTACCTCAACAACCAGACGGCGGCGCAGTGGGCGGACGAGACATGGAACTGGATGGAGAGCGTGGGCTTCATCAGCAAGGACAACCGGGTGTTTGACGGGGCGCACGTGGGCACCAACTGCACCGACATCAACAAGGCGCAGTTCTCGTACAACAACGCGATCCTGCTGCTGGGCGCGGCGCACATGTACAACTGGACGTCGGCCAGCAGCGCGCACGACAACAACTCGACGCCGGAGCTGTGGGAGACGCGCATCACCAACCTCCTCAACGGCACGATCCGCGACTTCTTCCCCAACGGCATCGCGTACGAGGCGTCGTGTGAGCCCATCATGTCTTGCACCACCGACATGCTGAGTTTCAAAGGGTACACGGCCCGCTGGCTCACGCAGATGACGCAGCTCGCGCCGTTTACGGCGTCGACGATCCTCCCGATCCTCCAGACGTCGGCCAAGGCGGCGGTGGCGCAGTGCACGGGCGGGAGCACGGGACGCGAGTGCGGGTTCCAGTGGAGCTCGGGCAAGTTTGACGGCAGCGTCGGGGCCGGGCAGACGATGGACGTGCTGGGCGCCGTGTCGTCGCTGCTCGTCCAGCAAGGGGCCGCGCCCGAGGCGCCGCTGACCAGCTCGGACGGGGGCACGAGCCCGAGCGACCCCAGCGCCGGGTCGACGAGCGTGCACCTGAGCGACCCGGCGTCGTCGGCGGACCTTCCCGTGACCACGGGCGACAGGGCCGGCGCGGGGATCGCGACGGTCGTCTTTGTGGCGCTGATGGCCGCCATCTACGCGTGGATGATGGGTGACTGGGGCCAGGGCTCTGCGGGTGGTATTGTTGCCGGGACAAAGGCCGGTGCTGGTCTGGCGGGGATGGGCAGAGCTGGAGCTGGCGGGACGATGCTCGTGTCGGGCGCGAGCGGTGCTGGCCCGTATGGTGCCACGTCGGGTCAGGAGGTCGAGTATAGCGAGAAGGGGAGGATGCCGGCAAAGCTCAGGAAGATGCTGCCTCCGCTGCCTGCGCATATCGGGTGAGCTGGGGATTTGTCTCGAGGGCTGGTGTATGTCATTTTGATATGTTTTTCGGGCAATCTTGGCGTGGACGGAGCGTTTTATTTGGGAATAACAACCACTGTTTCCAAACCTTGTGAAAATGACCAGATTGGTATTGTACGTTGTTGTGACTTTGTGATCATGAGAATGATTGATGAAGTGGGGAGACGTGGAGACGTTGAGGTTTGTTCCACACACGCGCGGGCGGACCCGCGGCACCTCTGCGACAGGGGACAGGGGGGCTCTTGGGGATTGTTTCATGTTTGGTGGTGGGCATTTACTCGAGCTTGAAACCTTCAACATCGCCCGGGGCGCAGCTTGCATGCATGAAACCGCTCCAGCACAGCCATACATCTCTCTTCACCTATTACTCCTCGACTTTTGCATACTCCTTGCTGCCTTTATTGTTACAACTCCAGCCATCTACATCACCACTCAAATCATACATTAAAGAGTCGGCCCAGAGAATTTCAAGACCCAGCAGCTCATACCAAGATGCCGGACTTCACATCCCCTGCCGTCTTCCCATCCTTTTATGAGCTACCATCAGCATCTGCGTCCGCGTCTTCATCTTCAGCTTCACCTACACTAACCAGCACATCTGCACGCGAGACCGGTGAGACCGCCGCGGCGGGGGAATGGTACCTCCTCGCCCAAGTCAAGGAGAACATGACCATCACCCAGCCGACCCTGATCGTGACGGACCGGACGGGCGTGGACTTTGCGCTGCTCTTTGACGACATGGGGAAGAACCTCAAGAGCTTCAAGAAGGGGTACACGGTCGTGGTGCCGCGCGCGGTGAGGACGGACAGGGAGGGAGACGGGAAGAAGGCGGTCGTGCGGGTTGAGAAGGGGCGGGGGGAGAGTGTCAAGGTATGTTTTTCTTATTCCTTTTCTTCCCTGTCTTTCTTTCTTTCTGTTTTCTGGTGTTTCTTTTACATAACTTCTCCACTACAAGTTGTTTGCGTCATTGTCGTACATACGGGAAACGAAGAGGACTAAAAACCCGAGGATACAGGTAATATCCGGACGCCTGGCCAGAGTTCTCGAGCTGGGCAAACTGCTCGACAGCGGCGCCCTGGGCAAGCGGTGCGGCTCGTGCGGGACCGCCGAGGGCACGCTGTCCCGATGTCTGGGATGCGGGATTGCAGTCTACTGCAGCAAGGTATGTTCCTCGAGGCCCGTGATGACAAGCATAGTACTGATCTTGGCTCCGGTCTACAGGACTGCCAGGCCACGAGCTGGAATGAGCTGGATCACAAGTCGAATTGCAAGGTTCTCAGGGCCATTGACTCGACATGGAGTTGAGAAAGCTCGGGCAATATGTATCATGTTTAAGTAAAAGTTGAAGGTACCTCGCATAGCTTGCCGGAATGATTCGCCTTCATGGCCCCATACTTGAGAGTTTGAGTCAGACCATCGTGCAACAGAGTATGTTGTGGTAGTTGTGCTGATGGACTTCCGACGCTCCTCGGCGAAAGAGACTGGTCTGTGACATGCTGTCGAGTGCTCCATTGGTTGAGAACACGCTTCCTGGCGCTGAAATCGAGCAGACTACGCCCCAAACAGCATGGCTACTAGGACTATTATCATCGTCACCATGGCCACCGCCATCCGTCGCAATTAACAACGGCAAACAAAGACGGGCAAATCCAGGACCCCCACCTTATCATAACTACCCTCCGCTAGCCGGTACTCTACCCCCAGTACCAACCAGGACAGCGCCAACGACGTTGATGGTGGAATCTCTGACGGGTCGACCACAACAGAGGCTCGCTCATTCCCCAGCGACAGCCACTTGTCAGTCTGACTAACGACTAAGCTAACCACCTAGGTATCTCGGTACACGGAGAGCCACATGGCACATAGTAGCCGCTTAAAGGGGTTGACGTTGGCCAAACAAGATAGCAATAATCGTGACGGGGCCGAAAAGTCAGTGGTGCGTGGGAGTACAATTCTTATCCTATCCTATCCAAGTTTGGATAATAAAGAGAAGGGTGAGATTATACACAGTTTATGCTCTCAAGATCATCTGATTCCGAGCACGGGACTTGACGTCGACTCAATATTGGCGAAATGGAAGACCCATATTCTTCCTGCCTTGCCTCCAATGACTACGATTGTACCACGTCCTTCACTGTTGCATTCGGTAATGCTCCCACCCCGGTAGCCTGGAGGAAGCCAGAGTAAATCCATTGTGTTGCTGGAAACCCAACTGCCCTCATGGCTTAGTTTGAATCGGCGAGCCGTGCGGGGGAGATGAGGATTCCAATCCGTGATTAAAACCTCGTCTGCGATAGCGTGAGAGGACCCGATCTGACCCGTAGCCTCAAGTAAGGATTTGGAAACGGAATGAGCTGTTCGTCCATAGAAACATATGCGCGTCGCTAAACTCCAGAGGCCGACAATATCTCTGAGCGACCCAGAGATCACATGCTGACCATCTGTTGTGAATATTGCCGAACGGATGAGAATGGCACCATTCAGGGTAGTTTCGCATGTGCCCGTGGCCGTGTCCCAGATTTTGATGGTCTCGTCATCTGACGCCGACACCAAGCGATGCCCCAGGGGCGAGAAGGCGACGGAGACGACCCGGCGAAGATGACCTCTAAGGGTTGCTTGACACTTGCCCGTAGCGACGTTCCAGAGCCTTATAGTACCATCGTGCGAGCCTGTGACAACTTGATGCCCGCTTGACGAAATGTCGATCGACCCTATTTCCCCAGTATGGCCCACGGGTGCTTCTTCTCGTGCATTCGTTCTTGCGTCCCAAATTCTAACGGTGCCGTCGTCCGATGCTGAGACAATGCGGAGACCGTCAGCTGAGAACGCTGCGGAGTTGACTGGCCCAGTATGACCTCTGAAAGTTCCCTCACAGATACCGGTATTGGATTCATAGATTTTGACGGTTCTGTCCTCTAATCCCGCAACAATGCGTCGCCCATCTTCCGAGAAGGCCACTGATCGGGCTTTTCCCTGGATAGTCAACTCGCACGTGGATAATACCGTATTCCAGATCTTGATATTGCCGTTTTCAGATGCTGAGACGACGCGCAGGCCATCCGCCGAGTAAGCTGCTGCTGTCCACACAGTGGCGTGGTCACTGAGTTCCGTGACACATTCACCCGTCTCCACGTTCCAAATTCCAAGGTTGGCTAACGTTGCAACTACGACGCGCCGCCCATCTTGTGAGAAAGCTGCCGAATAGAAGACATCGAAAGAGTGCCCCACAGTCTTGCAGGTGCCCGTGAACGAGTCCCAAAGTTTCATTGACAAACCCGCACGCAAGACCATGTATCGTCCATCCGCCGAGCAGGCAAACATCTTAGAGGGCCATACCGGGCACATGAGATCCTTCTCGCAAGCAGCGGTAGTGGTGTTCCAAAACTTGACGGCTTTTTGGTATCCTGCGATGACGTGCGAGGGGCTTACCAAGGTCTTGTCGAAGAGCCCTTCTATTGTCGTCTCGCATACGCCCGTGACGACATTCCAAAGCCTCACTGTGTCGTCAATCGAGGCCGAAACTATGCGGAGCCCATCTGCCGTGAAGGCAACCGATTTGACTGGTCCGACATGGCCCTCGAGTGTTGCCTCGCACGCACTCCATTGATCATCTATTGCCGTTTGACACCTCACCCATGGCGGCTGTTCCTGATAAAATAGCTTGCGGACAGGACTCTGGGTAGGGCTGAAGACGAGAACGGAGATGTATGTCTGGAGTGGCCAGTTCTCTATTGCCTGCCGAAAGTTCTGGAGGAGACGGTAGGTGTCGAGGGCCACCTCTCGGAGTCGAGAAGAAGTCTCATGCTGTGTAAGCATTTTCAAACTCGCCGTTCCGTTAGGAACAGCGCGCAACAAAACCAGAGCCTCGATCCAATAAAGACATTTGGTCTGCATGAACCTGTCCGCTCGTCCTCATTCTGAACATCGCCTCCATGCTGTCTTCCCCGGCATGAACCGGCCTCCAGCAAGTGATCGATCCAAAATATGCATGAGTACTTGATCGTGGCCAGTGGGTCACAGGCCGGCGTTCTGACGTGTTTAATATGGAGACCTGGGTCACGTAGTTCGTAGATATCGCGTTTCAGCATCTTGCTCATCGCTTTGATCGACCTTAAGAAGATGTGAGCATCCACGGTAGCTTGACCTTCTGGGAAAAGCAGAGCTGCTTGTTTTTGGAGCAGATATTCCTTGGCGGACTGATGTACAAAGTAAATTGTGTCGTTCCGGATAACGAGAAAAGAGCCGCATGATGCAACAAGTTCCTCCAACGATTCGAGGTCGACCAACATGCTGTCGCATCCCTCAATTAGAACTGTACATTCGGAAAGTGACAGAGGCCGGCGGGCTTTTGTAACGACCGCAAGGAACTCTGTACAGAGCTTGACCCCATCAAACTCAAGAAGATTCTGAATCATCTGCAGGTAGAGATGATCGAGGCCAGCTGGGAAAGACTTCAGTCGCTGTAGCACGCTCCATCGGGGTGCCTTGTCGAGCTCCTGCAACACTAAAGCAACCCAGAGAAATGTGCCGTTGGCATTTGCAGATAGGTGTTGATGGATTTCCATGACGACATTTGCACTGTAGCTCTTCTTTTGAGCAAGCTGCGCAACCTTGTGGTTGATGAAGCGCTCAACAGCATCTGCGACCGAGGTCGAGTTCACTTCTAGCGAAAGACCCCGAGCTGCAGTGCTCAGTCGTTCCTCAATCTGTGCCCAGTTGCGGCTTGAGACGAGCCATTTGACGCGAGACCTTGAATGCGATACCCGCACAATCAGATCGAGAAGCTGCGGCAGATCTGTAGCACACTCATCGAGCGCATCGATAGCAAGGTATACTTCGTGGAGACGTGCATCTTGGAGGATGTCGACAAAGATATTGCACAGAGCCTGCCATGCATTGACGTCTTCAAAGAGAGCCCTGCCGGCGGCCTCATACTTCCTCTCGAGATGCGAGAGGAGGGTAGCGTCTTGGTCGATGAGCATGAAGATCAGGCCGCGTAACACGTTTGTGGCAGAGTTGATGCGGTCGTCAGTGGTCTGACAGAAGAAAAACGCGATGAGTCGCCGCTTGTCGTGTTCGACCGGCCTCAGGCGCAACTGATCAATAATGCCACAGAGCAGCATTGTCTTGCCTTTCCCTGGGTCACCCCTGACCCATAGGAGGCGCTGGCTTTCGCCATCGTGCCACTGGCGGAATCCGGGATTATGTAGCACCCAGGTGTATGAGTGCTCTAGCAGACCTCCTTTGGTCTCTTGGATTCGCAGCTTGTCGTCTCGAGGATCCGTCACACGCAAGTCAGCCAGGCACTGCTTGCCGGCGTCGCTGATGAGATCTTTGCCAATCTCCCATCGCAATCGACTCATTGCCTTTTCTTCTCCTTCTCCATATATCATGGGCATAAATACGCCGAAGATGCCAAGCAAGCAGTACGCCTTGTCTTCGGGACGTTTTGTCTTGCGGTTTCCCACCCATGAGAACCGGTCGTTAATGCTGAAGTCGGCTAATGGTGCCCCCTGGAGCGCTTCAGCTGGAATACCGGTAGTCTCGTGGAGGAGCATCTCTAGAGATGCCTTGTCCCCTAGTCGTTGTCCCTCTTTGGCAAAGAAAATGACCGACTTGGGAGCTACCAATTCTTGTAGTGTCCAGCCGCGTGTTAGCCACCGACTATTCCTGAAAGCTGTCTGCCATGATGCGCAAGCGTCGGATACATCAGTCAGGTAGGCGTAGCAGTGAGTAGCATTCTGGTACCAGCGAAACATTGAGTTTATCGCCTCGTATAGCTCCGTGCTGTTACTCTGATCTATACAGCACGTATCGACCCAGAAGTACTGCAAGCCATCCTTGGAGGCTTGGAGGGCGCAGAACATGAGCTTTTCGTAGCCGTCCTTGTGCTGGCCCGTGCCATCTTGGATGTCGCGCAAGTTCACCTCCTGTTCGTCGTCGCCCCAAGTATGGGAGAGGATGGCGTACCGTGGGATGTTGTCAATGAGGTTCCCTGTAATCCGCAGGCTCCCATCCGTGTGACACCCCAGAAGACGCATGGTGGTCGTGACTGCCAGTGCCTTCGAGCGTCATGGTGCTCTTGCTTGTTTGCAAGACGAATGCCGGTTTTTGAAAGGGGGGTAAGAATGCGACACAGCGAGGCTGGGCATTCTGCCTTGCCAATGCATGGTGGCGAGGCGCACTCAGCGTTGGGGTCCGAGTACACTGAGAGCCTTGTTCGCATGCAATCTTGGTGTGCTTTAGGCATCAACACCTCGAAGAAGCCTGGCCCCTGTTCAGCGACATTTTGGACATGCCAGAAGGAGGCAGCAATGCTCACGGAACATCCAGTTGAGGATATCGGGGGCTAGTTACCTAGGTAGAATTTACAAAGGGAAAAAACATGAATGATGGGAGGTGCACTCAAGAGCCCCATTCCATGGTCCCGCGTAGGCAAATTGCTTACATTAGTCTGGTTACTTGGTAGTCCAACGTATCCCGCAATGAAACCTATGATGTTTGTTTCACGTCATATTTTCATTGGAGCAGCAGCAGTATTGCTGAAGCACGTCCTTCAGCGATCTCCGCAGCGTTGTCTTAGACATGCACGAAGTCTGCCTGCCGTGCGTCGCAGATGTCTCCCGCGGGAACACAGCGGGAGGTCACGGTGCTGGTATGTGATCGTGCCGGAAACTGATCTGCTTAGTTTATTGAAGGTGAAGGGTCCCGGCCCAAACGCTCAATTGTCGTTGGCGCGGGTCGGGTCTAACAGTCCATTGAATACAACAGCGTTCTTTCTGGGACTAAATCACCGTACTCGCGGCCGTGGAAAAGGTCCAGCTGGACTCCAGCAGGCTGGGGTGGGCCATCGATCATTCGCAATAGCTGGAAACAATGTTACTGGGCTACCAAGACCTCGCGCATACCGGGAAATCTTTACCGAACAGTCAGGGTCTGAGCATGGTGGGGTAACACTATTGGGGTCGCGCTTTCAGGGTCTTGCGTGTCACGGCATCATTGGCAAGGTTGCTGAGCGCGCATTTTCTTGTACGTATCAAGTGATGCACTGGTTCCTACTTGCGATGATACTTCTAGGATTCGCATCTCTGTAGCTCATTTTAGACGCCTTGCAAAGAAGTATAGCTTTGGAACCAACGAAACGGACGTATGTGGAGGGCCTGGCGGTCACGAACCACGAGGACGTGATGTTAAGTGCAGCGCACAATCTAAACGGGATCTTGTGCGGACGAGCACAAAACATAATCATATTCTTATTCACCTTAATGTTGCCTATAAATCTGGTTTGATAGTCTCGATGAGGTCAGTCGACGAGAAGCAAATACTTTGAAGACGGGGTATACCCCAACTTTCGGCCTTCTGGCGAGCTGTGGGGCATCCCCTCACTTCTACCCCAGATCCGCCTGTTTGGCAAGCGTTTTCCGGCATGGCGCCCGCTTCGCTTCTTCTTCTTAGAATTGGGGTAATAGTGTGTTGGGCAAATGGCTATATTTAAGGGTACCGGTATCTCGGGTGGTCTGCTGTTAGAGGGGCCATTCCTTTGTATCTAGGTTGGTGCCTTGCATTCGATTTTGTTGTCTTGACTTTTATTTTTCGGTTTCTCTCTTTCCGGGAGTGTCGCTACACCATCGCGACGACGGCAAAACCCAACCCTTCACAACCAGAACCATAACACCAGGAATCGGACAGCAAAACTGAATCGAAGCACCGCAGAAATGGTATACCTAAAATCCACTCCCGAATACACCGACACCACAGCGCCCTTCACCCCCGGTCCTAAGAACAGGCACTACTCGGATCCAGACCCAGTATGGGCGGGCATGGTCGACGCTGTCGAGACCGCGATGGCACCGATTTGGGCCCCCGAGGTGTCCATCTCCGACTTCAAACAGGCCTGGCTCGCCTCACCTTTATCGCTGCCCGCGAACTGCCCCGAGCCAGGCAAAGACGTGGTCATCAGCCAGTCTAAATTCCCCGCAAGGGACGGTACCGAGATCGGGCTGCAGATTTACAAGGCGCCGAATGTGAAGCCGGACGCGACGCTCGTGTATCGGATACATAGCGGCGGGTGGGTCGTGTGCGGGCACGAGGTTGAGGAGGGCGAGAACCGGAGCATTGGAGCGCTGGGAAATGTTGTTGTTGTCAGTGTGGATTTCAGGATGTAAGTTGTTCATTGTACCTCTCTCTTCCTTGTTCTTTGTGGTTTGAGCAGAACCGGTATGACTGAAATTTGCCGCCGTCTTGACAGGGCTCCCGAGTACAAGTTCCCGATTCCGTTGGAGGACTGCTACGATGGACTAAAATGGGTATGTCAACAATTTGGGAGAATTTCAAGACAACCATAGCACTTGGTTACTGACAACACCTCATACGAAAGTGCAAGGCAAACGCCGATAAGCTGGGGATCAACCCTGAGAAGATCATCCTGGTAGGAAACAGCGGTGGTGCCAATCTTGTAAGTTTCACGCTTTCTCCCACGAGCCTACGATGCTCGCCCATGAATAACAAGCTAACGTCATCAAGACTGCCGTCGTCGCCCTGCAAGCCCGCGACGAGGGCCTGACCGGAATCAAGGCCGTCAACCTCGGTTTTCCGGCGACCTGCCACCCCAAGTTCTTTGATCAGGTGCCCAACAAGGACAACTACGAGCTGCTGAGCTATCGACAAAACGAAAAGGCCGGCTTGGTCAACACGCAACGCATGGAGTTCTTCTGGGATACGTATCTCCGCGAGGAGGACCGCAAACCCGACTGGCGGCACTCGCCCCTGCTTTCGGACAATCTTGGAGGACTGCCTCCGCTGAGTGAGTGTCCTTCGGAATTTCCTTTGCACCTTTTGCTCCTGGGTGAGGAGCGTTTTCATTAATGAATCATAACTGACTTTGCCTGGGGTTGGCGTGCAGGGATCACTGCGTCAGGCTGCGATCCATTACGAGATGAGGGCATCGCGTTTGCGGAAGCGACCAAAGCAGCCGGTAACGATGTATCGCTCACTGTATACGGCGGCCTGCCGCATTGTATATATTTCTTTCCCCAGGCTTTCAAGCAAGTGGACGAGTACTATAGCACGCTGCTCGACTTCATCCGGAAGTATACAGATTAGACTAGCCCGCGTGGTCATTCAGTGGAAACGCGCTGTTTAGTGAGAACCATCATTATATTTTACCTGTAGTAAGAGAGTTCAGCACGCAACGTGTTCATGGTTGGAGTTTGATATGTTTCTGTGTACGTTTGTACAGCCCTGAAAGGGAACCGTTTGAAACGCTAGGCAGATTTGCATTGATTTCTGGTGCGCTCGGAGACCAGTGAAGAATTGCCGTCTCCTGAACTATGGACTTTGGAGATGGAGACTCCTCTTTCATACAAAACCATTCCTCACATTTCGGAAGGCCGTCCACTGGCTTGGACCTTGAAAGAATTTCCATGCTGAAAGACCCTCAAAGACTAAGGTGGCCTGGCTGCTGTGTAAGTCGATCCATTCAGGGCCACAACGGCAGGGGTACTTTGGTGCGGGGCACTCACAAGCCAGGGGTGGTGCTGCCGCGTTGTTCACAGCTGCGCGCCATCGCGGGGATCTTGACAATGTGTTCACTCTTCCAAGGCAGCTTCACCCGAACACCACTCCTTTGCCTGCAGGCAACAAGACGCGACAGCAGGACCCTGTCGCTTTCCTGCAACACCCTGCAGCAGCTCCAACATACTCACCACGACGCACATCCTGAGCAGCAGCTCCTAAATTCTTGTCTCAAGCTTGGTGCTGGCTGGATCACCTTGCCCCTTGTCTAGAAAATCACCATCGGGCTCGTTCAAGAGCCACACGGTTTCATATCTGGGTGTCGAACTTTCTCACAATGAACTTTCTCAAGTCCGCCGTGGCCTCGGCCATCGAGCGCGGCCCGCCATTCCCGTACAATTTCGGCGACAAGGTCGACATCGACGCCTCGATATGGACGCTCTACAACGGCACCCGCCGCGAGGACGGCTCCGACTGCAGCATCTTCTCGTTCGACTGCGTCGCCAACAAGTCACGCCTCCCTCTTGCGAAGAACGCGCTCAAGAAACTGCGCACTATGCGGCACCCGGGCGTCGTCAAAGTTCTCGACGCCGTCGAGACCGACACATACATTTACATCGCCACCGAACGCCTGATCCCGCTGCGATGGCACGTCAAGCGCAAGAGCTTGAGCCCAGAGACGATCAAATGGGGCCTGCACAGCGTCGCGCGCACCGTCAAGTTTATCAACGACGAAGGGTCTTCGATACACGGCAGCCTCCGCGCGGCGTCAATATACACCTCGGAGAGTGGCGAGTGGAAGCTCAGCGGGTTCGAGGTGCTCAGCAACGTCAAGGACGACGATGCGGTGATATATACTTACGGAAGCCTGGTACCGGATTCCGGGCGTTACACGGCGCCGGAGCTTGCGCGGTCTGGATGGGACGCGATCAAGAAGAGCCCACATACGGCGGTGGATAGCTACAACTTTGGCACGCTCATCTATGAAGTCTTCAACGGTGATTTTCCGGGGCCAGACCAGGCAGGACAGACAAAGGGCGTCCCGCCGACGATGCATGCCAGCTACAGGAGGCTTGTCAATGCCAACCCAAAGGCACGAATCACAGTCAAGGCGTTCTTGGAGCAAGGGCAGCGGGCGGGCAGCTTTTTCGACACCTCACTCATCAAGCTCACTGAGGGCATCGATAACCTGGGTGTGAAGACGGAAGAGGAGAGAGCCGAGTTTTTAGATGACCTCGATCAGGTAGAGGATGACTTTCCGGAAGACTTCTTCAAGATGAAAGTCCTGCCTGAACTGCTCAAGTCTGTCGAATATGGTGGCGGAGGACCCAAGGCGTTGGGCGTCGTTGTCAAAATCTCCACAAAACTTACAAACGACGACTTTGAGACCCGGGTACAACCCGTGATTATCCGCCTGTTTGCGAACCCAGACCGCGCTATTCGCGTTTGTCTCTTGGACAGCCTCCCGCTCATGATTGACAGACTGCCGCAGAAAGTCGTCAACGACAAGATCTTCCCGCAGCTGGTCTCAGGTTTCACCGACATTGCACCCGTGGTACGGGAGCAGACACTCAAGAGCGTGCTCGTCGTCATCGGGAAGCTCTCGGACCGCACCATCAACGGCGAACTGCTCAAGTACCTCGCCAAGACGGCCAACGACGAGCAGCCTGGCATCCGAACAAACACGACAATCTGCCTCGGCAAGATTGCCAAGAACCTATCCAACTCGACCCGATCCAAGGTACTCATCGCGGCATTCTCCCGATCGCTGCGCGACCCCTTTGTCCATGCGCGTAACGCCGCGCTGATGGCCTTGTCCGCGACCTCGGAGCACTTTTCCGACGAGGACTGCGCGGCCAAGCTACTTCCCGTAATCTGCCCATCCCTGCTGGACAAGGAGAAGCTCGTGCGCGACCAGGCCAACAAGGCCATGGAAGTGTACATGGCCAAGATCCGCAAGGCGGCAGCCAAGATGCCCGACACCGTGATCCCCGTGACTGCCACGCAACCAACGACAGAGCCCGCCGGCCCGCGCATGAGCACGCCGCAGCCGAGCCAGGCCGCGTCCTGGGCTGGCTGGGCCATCTCATCCTTCACCAACCAAATCTCTGCCGCAGCGGGACAGATGGAGCAGACCGCGGCCACCAATGGCACCGCATCCGCGTCGTCCTCGATGCCCGGCTCCCCGTCCCTCGCCGGGTCTGACAGAAAGGTCACGCCCAGCATGTCCTCGGCGTCGGCGTCCGCGCTGCACAGACAGGCCGTCAAGTCCCCGCAGCCTTCCTCGCTGTCACTCGCATCCCCACCTCCCGGCGCTGCGGCGGCCGAGTACTTCAAGGATCCTGTCGATGACGACGACGATCAGGATGCGGACTTCGGCGATGCGTGGGGCGAGATGGGCGACATGGATGATGACGAGGACAACAACAGCGGTTCCAGCAGCACGCCCAAAACAACGACCACGACAAGCGGTACCACTGCGACAAAGAAGAAGTCCACAACGTCGGCGGCACCAAGCACGAGTAGCGGCCTGGGCATCGATGATGGCTCAGAGCCAGATTTCGCGGGCTGGCTGGCCGCGCAGTCGGCCAAGAAGACTGGCGGTGTCGGCAAGCCCCTTCCCAAGGGGCTCGGCAAGTCGTCCACGACGGTGGCGAAGAAGCCCACGACCACGGCAGCGAGTAAGCCGAAGCCAGTGGTTGCCAAGAAGATCGATATGAAGCCAAAGGACACTGGGGACGATGACGACGGGTGGGGCGATGGGTGGTAGACCCGGAGGAGAAAACAGGATTACGGGTCGCTGCGCGAGGGCCCAGATCTGCATAGACGGAATGTGTCACATATATACCCTAGATATCTAAGCGCTGTTTGTATTGAAGAGACCTTAGTTGCTACCGATGGACGTTTTGCCCGTGACATTGTCTGTATGGTTGGTGGTAGGTATCATTGAGGAGCGCGTCCTAGTGCAATACTACCACCTCCATTCAATATCTCGCTATAATCCACGTACGCCGCTCCTCGTCACTCAGTCCGCTCAAAAGTCCAACCTCGGCATCCTTGACCGTTACGTATCTCTCCACAAAGTCCCTGGACAGGAAACCGGTTGCAGCCTGGTCCTTTTCGAGGGCTCGCAGGGCCTCGGGCAGGTTCGCAGGAAACATCTTGGTAATGCGCAGCTCTTTTCTTTCCAGATCGCTCAGCTTGGCCGGGTCCCCTTTGCAGTCTCCCCAATTGTCCACACTCGTCTTGGTGCGAAGTATACTGTCCAGGCCGGCCGACAGGACCGCCGTGACCGCAAAGTACGGGTTTGCCAGGCCGTCCATGGTCTTGAACTCCCAGTGACTGCCCTCGCACTGGCGCAGAGGCGCCTCCTTGTTTTGCGTGCCCCAGGTGATCCAGCGCCCCCCGGCCCAGAAGCTGTCCACCATGCGCTCGTAGCTTGCCGGGCTGGGGTACGTGACAGCCAGGATGGCCGCCATGTGGTCCATGATGCCCCCATAGAAGAGTTTGTATGTTCGCTCCGCATCGGCTTTGCTGCCGTCGTTCTTAGAAGTGACTGATAAATGCATGTGAGTTGCAGTGCCACACGCCCGCGGGAACGGTTTTGGGTGCAAGGTGACTCGGAAATCGTGGCGTGCTACTACAGATTCGATGATCTGCCGGGCATGCAGAAGAGTGTCGCATGCTTCCATGGGCGGCAGGGCTGATAGTACGATCTCATACTGACCGGGAGCGCTCTCTGGATGGAAGGCCTCGATCGAAATGTCTGCGTGGTCCAAGGCATCCATGATCTCGTCCACAGCCGTTCTGAAACTCCCGTCGCGGCCCCAGTCGGCGAGGACGCGGGACATGCCCCATGCGTGGCCATCATTCGGCAGAGTCTGATAGGCATCATTGCCAGATGAGTTGGTCGTCCTCTGCATAACGACAAACTCAATTTCAAAGCCAATCAGGAAAGACAGGCCAGCACCAGCGGCTTGGCGAAGAGTGTTGCGGAGCAAGGTCCGTGGGCATAGAGGCACCTCAGCCCCGTCGTCCGTGAAGTGCCCAAAGCAACTAACATGATCAGTGACCGGACCTGCCTTCATGGTTGTCCAGTCCACGTTGAATCGGTACATTCCCGTACCAGTTACCCCAGGTGCACACATGTCCACTTGCAGTATTCCCAAAGAAGCCTTGGTGATGGCCACAGAGAATTGTCCGTCTCGCTCGAGACTTTTCCAGACTTTTCCCATTGGCACGAGCATGCACCGCGCGCTGGAGGTGTAGTCGTGCCAATATACACGGAGCCATTTTGGGCCCAGGTTGCGCAACTGCTGTATGAATGATGGTCGCTCAGTGTGACACAAAGCTACAGAGCCTGTGAGGTCTGTATGCTGCGCTGCAACGGTAGGAGCTTGCACAGCGCCTGGACTCTCTATATGCAAGTCGTACAGCTTGTTTGAGTTATTGAAGAAGACATCCTTGACAAGCTGGATTGCTTGTGCCTGGCTCAAGTCACCCAGGTGCACCAAGTCTCCGAGAACCTTTTGAGATGAGTTAGATGACGGCCTGATGTTCGAGAACCTGCAGCTTTCAGATACCACTTACCGATTTGAATACGTTCCGAGCTTGAATGGTGGCAAGGACGTAAGTCTCGGGAAACCAGTGGCCGTCTGTGCTCCACAGTACCTTGGTCCAAGGACACAACTCGAGGATCTGCCTCAAGATCGACTCTTGGCCGTGGCGACTCACCATGGGAAAGACTTCGCCGATATCCGCGTAGACATTGGCGTAGTGAGTGGCAAGATATCCCATCTCTCTTGTCCACGGGTAGCCGCCATGGAGCAGCACAATTGGCACACTGGGATGGTCCCGGATGAAATCTTGCAAGTGCGAAGGAGATGAGCGGGTCAGGGTAATGTCGTTGTCGCCAAGACCAGTATGGAATTGAAACGGCTTCTTCTTTTGGCCTTCACCTTCAGCGATAGCCGAGGCGGTCACGTGGACGAGCAGTTGATTGAGACGACTGTGGCGGAGTTTCTGGAAAGGCGCGGCACCATTCGCGTGGCCCTCAAGAATGGCCGCAAGCTCAGTCGCTACGCTTTTTTTGTCGACACTTGCACGCCGGGAGATGTCAAGGCCGCTTCTGTAGCAAATAATGGACTTGAAGCCAACAACTTCTGGGTCCTCCACTGCCTGCTTGATCGCTTGTTGGAACTGAGAGAAGATCTGCTCAACGTGGTCTGGGATGGACCGTGTCTGGTCCTGCAGATATTGTGCACAATGCGTGCGGATGATGTCCTGAGCCACTGTCTCTATGCGGACGATTCGCTTGCACTTGCTCCGTGTGAAGCGATCATGCCACGCATAACCATGCACCTCTCCTGGGCCATCTAGCCCGTCATCGAGTAGCAGCGTCTCGATACCCGCAAGGCATCTTCTGGTCCATGCCTCCGGATCTGTCTTGCGAACATGTTGGATGGCTGCCTCTACATGGTCCCAACTGTTGTCACAGCCAAGCAGCGTCGCGAGCTGGCTCGTGGCTCTCAGATGAGGCAGGCTGCTCTTATGATCAGGCAGGGCGTCGCCGTGTGCCTCGCTGGCAATGGACAGCAGAGAGTACTTATCCAGGTACTCGGCCTTGAGCAGGGGATGAGCGTGGTTGTCGATAATGGGCCATGTGTCGATGACTCTGTCGAGCTCGTCGAGGTTCTTCTCTTGGGGCGGCATACTGGCGATGTTCCGTTTAGTGAGCCTGGTAATGGCAAAGGATACGTCTGTTGTGCTCGTTGTAGCACACCCTGCGGTGAGTTATTGTAGGCACAGGTGTGAGGTCGATGTCCCCGTCTTCAATCTGACCCGGCTCCTCCGCTGTCACGTCCGTGCAGGGATCCAAGTAGCACTGAGTTTATTCGCGGGACGGCAGGGAGGCGTAAAGTATTGGGCGGCTGCTGCAGGAAGCCGCGCCTGCAGGTCTCGGCACCGATAAGACGATCAGTGACGTGCTTACACAATCCGCTTGCACAACACGATTTGGCCAGTCCACGCGTAAGGGAAAAGGGCTTGTCATTACACGGAGGCTCCGGTAATTTCTATGCTGTACAATCGATTTGTGGTTGACGGAGGTGAGAATGTGAGGAAGCACGACTGAACTTATAGTTATACTTTCTTGTAAGCACTACTTACTAAGTCCTCAAAGGTAGACCAAGGTAGATCCTTCTTGCTCCCCGCTTACAACGACCTGCCCACCGCTGTTTGGAAACGCCAGAACATTGTCTCAGCGTCCGTACAAGCCAATTAAGCGCCACAGCAGCACACGCTGTCAGACGTCGGCCAACTGTCAGAGTGTCGAAGGATTCTTTTTGTATTACCATGGAACTTTTATTGCTTACAGTTCCTGCACAGAAAAAACTAACTGCTCTCCTTGACAATCGTCGACATGGCTTTCTCATATTCAAAGGCCTCTTTGGCCCCAACGAGGGTAAGATCCCTTCGCCGGCCCTCAAACACCACGGTCGGCACACTGTCCACACCATCAGAATTGCTCATCTGAATCTTGCGCTTGACCTGCGCCAGGCCCGGTTGTTGCTGGTCCACACCCCCGACAGCCTGCTGTGCCTCATCCTCCGGCACGCCGGCTTCGACACACGCCTTGACCAGCGTCTCGGCACTTGACGGATGCCGCGCCTCCTCAAAGTACATCCGATACAGCGCATTGATGATTTTCGATGCCACAGGAGGGCCGTACTTCGTGTACCTCTGTTGGGCAGCCTTCTTGTCGTCCTCGCTGTCAAAAAGGTCTTCCTCGTCGTCCCCTGGCTTAATATCCGGCGAAACACCTTGGAACCACTGGATCACACGGTGGGCGTGCAGCGTGTTGGCCATTGGGCCGTCCCAGGAGAATTTGATCCCCACGGGCTCGCCATAGGACGCCATGACGGCCTCAAACTGCGCCATCTGCTCAGCAGAACCGTGGTACTTGGTCGTGGTGTACCATTCCCGCTTGCTCTGGGCCTGTTCGCCGAGCGACGGGTAAAGCTGGAAGGGCGCAAAGCGGACCTTGAAGTCGACAGGTGCGTGGCCATTGGTGGAGGCGGCATAGTTGGCAAGGGCAAGGTCAAGTCTGTATGCCCACGCCGGTGATTAGCATCAATATGATCTCACGTCAGATGATCTTCCATCTGGCGTGCTGGCGTGCCGAGACTAGCCAGTTCGAACAGCGAGCCGGAAAGGACCCTGCGCGAAGGTTTGCTCTTCGTATGGCGGAAATGCAGAGACTCACTTCTTCTTGCCGAGATACGTCCTGCAAGAATTGCGTGAGCATATTTTGCTAAAGAAAGCACTGGTCCATACAGGACGGGAGCACCTACCATGGACACATCGTGTCGAAGGTAAATGTCACCTTCGATTCATACGCAGCCATTGTGGTGGATGGTGAGAGGGGTACCGGTCGCAAGTTTTGTTCGTGTATGGAGCCGCGAAAGGGAAGGGTGATGGGAGAGAAAGCAGCCATGCCTTAGGAGTGGGAGAGCGAGACTCAAAGCAACCTCGGAAGCAGCCCTCAAAGTGTAATTACGCACGTCGTTGATCAGGTTCTCCCCGGAGCAATGGAGAGCCCCCCCCCCCCCCCCAGAGTGGGGTGGCCGCAGCGCATTGGAGCTCTGGGAGAAAAAGCTGGGGAAGGCGAGAACCGCCTCTTTGCTGGTCTAGCGTCCGCGTGCGGAGTCGGATGCCGATCTTGCATTCACAGCCTCAACACCACCTGCACATCGTTTCCAAGAGTGGAACCCATATTTGAAGATGGCCGCCGCTGCAAATGGTCAGGCGGTCATGGGGCATCGCTCTTGCTTTTGGAATACCAACAATGCTAGCAATGCCAGCCTAGTCAAATGTCGTCTTCTTGCCCTGGGACTTGACCACAGAGCCCGTGAGGTACGACGCAACACCGACCTCACCATAAGCCGGCTTAGCTGGGACTCGCGACCCCGGTGCCGACTCGTCCCGATCACCACCTTTTTGTCCGCCAAACTCTCTTCTCTGTGGTTGCGGCTTGTCCTTGCCGAACCTCTTCTTGTACCGCACCTGGTCATCCTCGGCGAACTGGATCTTGAGCTCGCGGCCCTTGAGCCTGTTTACCCACCATTTCCTCGTCTTGTATTTCCGCTCCGGCTTGGACGCTTCCTTGTTGCCATCCTCTTCGCCATCCTCGTTGTCGCTCTTGTCTTCGGCGTCTTTGAAATCCTCCTCCGTCTCAATTTCCTCCTTGATTTTGCAGAAGCCTTTGACCGCTGACTCGGCGGCCTCTGGCTCCTTGAACCTGACCCATCCGAATCCCTTGCACTTGCCACTGTCCTCGAATGTCGCAACCTTGACAAACTCGATTTCGCCACACTTCTCAAACTGTTGCCGCAAGTCGTCCTCCGTGACCTGGAAAGACAGGTTCCCGACATAGATCTTCCGTATCGTGTTTTTAGCAGCGGCTGCCGTGCCATCGGTCCCGTTCTGGGCACCCGCAGCTGGGGTCTCTTTTTGCGGCCGGCCCTCGTAGGACTTTGAGTTCTTGATGAGTACCTTGCGCCCGCTGATCTCCGTCTCGGTCAGAGCCATGGCTGCGATGGCAGATGCCTCCTTGTCGAAGTCGACATACGCGAATCCCCGGTTCTGCGGCTTGGCGTCCTTGTCGGCTCCGGGGGCCTTGATTTTGCTGGTGGGCAGGTTGACTCTGGTGATGCTCTCTTCTGTGATGGCGCCACCAGAGCTCTCAACGAGCCATTTGAACAGCTCTACTCTGGTGACTGTGAAGGGCAAATTGCCGATCCAGATGCCGTGCTCTGACCGCTTGCTCTCTTTGCCGTTCTTGCCAGCGGATTTGGGCGGCAAGCCTTGTTTGACGTCCTCATCCTCCTCCTCGGCATCGCTGTCTTTCTTGACGGGTAAAGGCTTGCCCTTCTTGAGCAGACGCTTCGCCTTCTTAGACGGCGGCTCGGGGAGTGTGAGATCGACTTCAATCTCCTCCAGGTCGGCCTTGCGCTTTTTCGAATCGTGGATGTCACCCGGTTCGACCGGGGAACTTACGTCGTCTGTTGACATGACTGCGACTGGACTGCTTACAGCGCAATGGTCGGTCGTGTACGAAGTGGCTCCGGAATTGAATTGAACGGTGTTGTCTGGTCCCGGGAAGTTCACTTTTGTTGGAGACGGGGTGTGATTGAGGTGCCTGTAGGAAATGCAAGAGATGCGATGGCTAGGAAATTCCAGAAGTTTTTCTGGGGCTGATAAGATAACATGCGGCTTAGGTGGGGACAACTCGTGCGGGCCTGCAGCGTAGCCTGCACTGCCGGGCCTGAAATTGCTGCAAGGGAATGCGTTAGCGAGCACTGTTGGTCGCATACCTGGGCAGTTTGGCAGCTCAACGATCTCTGTGATTGCCATGTTTTGCCTCGGCTTTTCATGGTCCATCATCTGTAATGGCAAGCGCACCCTGCAATTGATGTGCCTGCCCGTTGCTCATGACCTGGACCGCCATTGCATCACGCATTCGTCGTCCCGCGAGCACCCCGGTCCCGATTCCCCCACCATCAGACAGCCACAGCAAGCTTGAGCTTCGGCCCAGCGCTTCTCCGGCTTGACAACGCAGAGCCCACGGCCGGGGCGGCGGAAGGAGGACGAGGTCCTGCTCCGTGTGGTGACGAGCCGTGGAGCATCGATTGGCTGCTTGGGCGCTGGTGGATTGTGGTACCCGCCGTGCCCGCCTACAGCAATTAATTAATGATCGCCGTCCACGACTCGCTTCGCGCCGCCGTACAGTGACTCTCCAGCTTGTCCAGACGGGGTCAAGTGCGAGCGGGAAGCAACAGCAACAGGGACAGAACCAAGCTTCGAGAAGAGCAGACCAGGTGGGCTCCCTGTCTTATCTGATCTCGGCCTGTGTCGTCACTAATCTACTGCTGTCACAAGTGATTGGCCTGGGGAGAGGCTCTTCGCCGCCTGCGAGAACAAGCAACTATTATGCGTTTGCGCCGCCCACGGCTAGATGCCCCACACCAACCAAAGAGCTCTCTAGGGGTTTCCATCACCTAATCCAGGACTAGCTGAAAGCTCAGACTGCTTGCGCTCGTCGACAGCCACAGCCACTTCAACAAGCTCTCATTCTTCGGCGCGGCTGGGCCTTGTCATATCTGCTCGATACCAGATTCCAGCCTTGATTTGACTAGTATCGGCAAAGAGCCCAGAGACTGAGCACCGCCGATGAGTGAAACCACGTCCTTTCATCGCTCAAAAAACCACACTTGGGTTGACCCTCCTGGTAGCTCTCCAGTGGCCCTCTCGGAACGAGCGCCTTTCCCAGCCAAAGACGACATTTGTGACGGCCTGAGGATTGAGGCACAGTAGCACTTCCCGCGTCGGCGGACCTATGTTCACGCATAGTCGAACGGGAAAGGGGCTGGCGAGGAAGCAGACCTTCACATGCTCCAGCGCGAACCGCCAAGCACAAGTGACACCCCTTTCGTGAGCAGCCTGGTGCACATGAGTAACGCGGCCTCCAGCTCTCTCTGAGCTCACCGGCGACTCGCGGAGGACCGCCAGGTTCCAGACCATGGCCTGCCAATCTCCCGTCGACCTTCTGCCTCCAGAGATTGTCTTGAGCATCTTTAGCTGGCTGGATGCGACCCCGCCCTCCGAGACAAACTTGTACGACCAGCCTAGCGCCGTCATGCTGCGAGGCAGCCCAGGGAGCGTCAACCTCAAGCAGGCTTCCCTGGTGAGCAAGACCTGGCGTACGATGGCTTTGCCTATGCTATTCGAGCACGTGGCATGGATACCTCATGTCTCATCGCTGTCGGCGTTCACACTCAACCCTATTCCGTTGTTGCGGTTTCTCGAAGAGCAAGGCCTGAGCCGGTTCGTGACCACGTTTACGCTTCTAGTCGACTTCGTTGATAGAGATGCCGAGTCGCACGACTTGTCACCGCAAATTCGACCCGTAGACTTGGAGTGGCTCTTCGACCAGATCTTCTCGGTCCTGGACCCTCTGCGGTTTACAGTCATAGCACCTCCGACTACACTTGCTGCATTCATGTCTCGCATGCTGTTTCTGGAAGATGCATGGTCCTTCAGTATCCCATATCATGTCTTGTCTCTGTCGAGACCCGCCAGGGTCAGGCACTCCGATGGCATGATTCACACCGACATTTCGAGCATGTCCAAAAAGTCGCAGCCGCCAGCACCACCACCGAATACCTCGAGGTCGGCGGCACAGCCAACTCGCACCAACACAAGAGGCCATCTTCACATCTCGCGGCGAGCGAGACCGCCAGTATGTCCATTGTTCACGATTCGCCCGTGGACATCATTACTTCTGAATGAGGGCTCCTCTACCAAGGTGTATCGTACATATGAGTTCTTTTTACGACAGCCACCGTCCATGCTCTCTGCTCTGCTTGGGTGCGGAGAGTATCCCAACGACCAGCCCTTGGTTCCAGCGTCCGTCGTGGAGTTCAGCTACATTGCCGTGTTCCCGCTATCTTCGCACTTCGCCACACTTGTACGACACCTGCCACGGGTGAAGCGGTTATATGTGCAGCTGGCTCCGTTGGAGGGCAGCCGAGCGTTTCTCGACGACCGTCGGGAGATGTCACAGATAGATCCAGCCGACTTATGGATGGAGCGCGACATGAGCTACGGCTTCGTGGTTCGCAAGATGGTCGCTGCCGCGAATGCTGCTGCCGCTGCCGAAGCCGCCGCCGCTGCTGCTTCTGCTGCTGCTGCTGATGCTGAGCAGGATTCGGACCATTACGGCAGCGGGCAAGTCAGCGACAGCGATGACGCGGACACCACTGCTGACTGGGCCGGGGTGACGGGTGTGCACTTTGGCGACATCAGCAGTGTCAGCACGACCCTTGGCAACGTCAACAACCGAAACTGGGCGGAGCTCGAGGTGTTTGAGAGCGGAGATGCGGCCATCGACGCCGAGGCGTGGGACATGGCGGTGCAGGCTCTGGACCATCAAAGTGGTTCTGTGCGCTGGTGGAAAGTGCAAGATCGGGGAAGGATAGTCAGAGTGAAGAGGTGACGCGACGTCCAGGCAGGACATGTTGGTATAATTAGGTGTAATTGCGTAAGGACCAGAACGAGTGTTTTGTCTCGTATTACGGATAAGCGAATGGGCAATGCTTGAGGATCACAATTGGATTATACCCCTCGAAAATGGGCACCTACAAAGCCTGTCTAGGTTAAGACCAGGAATGTCTGGCAGCACCCTGCTGCTGTTCATGCCAATCAAAAAAAGAATTCAAAAATTTGGTCTCTCTCAGATCAGTTCCGCTAATAACCAAACTCCATTCAGGGGGCAATCTATAACCAGCGCCCCAACTTCTATCGAGGTGTACCCAAGAAAGACGAGATATGTACATAGAACTCTGCCGTGCGTAATATATAATATATACACGAACTCTGAGAATCCCCCGTTTTCCACTTTCTTTTTCTCTCGCTGAAAAATTCCAGCATCTCTCAGTCTAGACGACCGTCCTTGTCGCTCTCCTCATCGCTGCTCCAGTAGTCCACGGGCCCTCCGACCCCGCCGTGACCGTGGCCGTGCCCGCGAGAGCCGTGCTCCAGGCTGGCCTTGCGCTCAGCATCCTCGGTCATCTCGCGCCACGTGCTCCAGCTGAGCATCAGGAAGGCGCCGATGATGAGCACGCCGCCCGCGAGCGCCGCGAAGCTCAGCCTCTCGCCCTTGAGCAGCCAGTCGGTGATGGCGACGATGAAGATGGTCAGCAGGGACGCGACGGAGGACAGGACGGGGCTGGTGAGGCTGATGAGGACGAGGAAGGAGCCCGCAAAAGTGGCGTTCATGACGACCGAGATGCCGAGCCAGAAGGCCGTGTCGCCCGTAGGCAGCTCAAAGGGCTCCCAGCCGACCATGTGCAGCAGCGGGATCGGGATCCAAAGCACCGTCAGGGTGAAGAGGCCGATGCAGGAGCCGAAGCAGTTGGCAAAGATGGTGCCGCGCGTCGCGGAGACGCCCTCGGGCGGGCAGGCCCAGCGCTTGTAGAGCACCTCGTACAGCCCGTAGAGCACGGACCCGGCGCCGATGATGATGTTGCCTAGCAGGCGCGACGAGGCGGACTTGGCGTCTCCGTCGGAGGCGGATGTTCCCTTGGAGTCGCCATAGGCGACAACCAGGACGCCCACGATGGCAATGAGCACCGCGATGGATTTGTCCAGCCGGAGTTTCTCTTTGAGCAGAGGCACGCTGAAAGCGTATGCGAAGAAGGCCGAGCAGTTATAGATTGCGGTCAGGTCGCTCGGACTCGTCATGTCGACGGCCAGGTACCAGCTCAAGCCGGCCACGGTGAGCGCGCTGGTAATAAAGGCAGTGGTGCGCATCAGGTACGGCCAGGGGCTGACATTGCGGACCAGGTGCGGCGAGACGTCGAGGTCCTGTTGCGCAACCATGTGGGCGGTCGAGCGCACGATGTAGAGATGCCGCCGCCAGAAAGTGCGCCAGGGCATGTTCCACTTCTGCAGGCGCAGGATGAGCAGCTGCGTGGGCCAGAGCAGCGTCCAGGACCCGTGGGTGAGGTAGAGCATGCAGTATGCCTTGTTCCAGCCCAGGTCAGTCTGAACGTAGGCAGCCAGCTCTGTCTGGATACAGAACGAGACGAGCGAGACGCCAAGAAAGAAGGCGGCGAAGGTGTACTTCTTGCGGGCGGCCAGCCGGGCCTGCGTGTCCGGCGAGCGGGAGCGCATGGTGGACGTGCGGCTGAAAGTTGGTCTTTGGGGTGTTGTTGTTACAGGGAGAGAAGAGGAAGAAGGGGACGTCGGCGGGCGAGGTGAGGTTGGTCTGGAGTGGTTGTATCGGGCACGGCCTCTGTCGGAGTCGTCGTTCTTCAAGAGAGGAGTGCCGGAGCGACTCGGATCGAGGAAGGCGCGGTGGGAATCCGACATTGTGTCGTCGTCTTCGTCGTCGTCGCCTAGATGGTGGTGGTGGTGATCGTGGGCAGTGCCGGTGGGCCGGTCTGCGGCTAAGTTGAACTGCACAGCCTTCTTGGGGGCCGGCTGAGCATTGCTGTCGATGCCAAAGTCGAGAGACAGGCGGCTGCTGACAATGGATTTCCGGCCGGAGAGCGGTGCCGTGTCTCTGTCGTCGTCCGTGTCGTCGTCGTCGTCGTCGTCGCTGTAGTGGGCAAAATGGGAGGGTGAAGGCAAGGAAAGGGAGGGACGCGAGGACGGGCCAGCGGCGGAGGTGGAAGAAGAGGCGGTAGCGGGTGCGGCGGCGGCGCCGAGGGAGTGGACTCGGGAGGAGGACGGGGTTGAGCGAGCGGAGGAGGTAGCACCGGGCCGGCCGTGAGAGCTGCCTTTTAAGGACGAGGACATGATAGTGAGGGCCAGAATGCAGATAAGGAAGGATGCCGGGAAACGAAGGGAGAGAGGGAGAGAGAGCCCGAGGCCCACACACGACCTGTGCGCGTGCCGATTGGGGGCGGAGCCTGTGGCTGCTGGGCAAAGGAGCGACTCAGAGGTCAGGTCAGGTCAGGTCGGGACGGGACTGGTCTCTGTGGTTATCACTGGATGCAACCTCGGGAAAGAGTCCATCAGATGGGCTGCCTGAACAGCGCGGTGGTGGTTGTGCGGGAAAGGGGACGCTCGGGATGGGGAAGCCCTGCCGTAGTGGACATGTGGCTTTGCTGCAGCAGATGACGACATGCTGCTGGTGCATGGCCCCGTGGGCTTCCAGTGGGCTTCCAGGCGCTCCGGGCGCCTGCCTAAATGCAACGCTTTCAGGGGTCTCTGGGGCCCAAGGGTCCGTTCCAGGATCTGCTTGCCGTGACAGCTCGGGTCGGGGTGATTCCCAACCCAGATTCAAACTGTGATGGTGCCACCTTCACCAGCTGTCTCTTCCACCAGTCCCAGTCTGTGCAGCTGCATGACCGCACCTTTTTGTGTGTAACCGTCTTCATCAATATCTGTCGCCTTGCGCATGTGGCCCTGTTCTCTGCGCTCTCCTTTCACTCCGCCAAGCACCCGCCAAGATCACGATCGGCCCCGCGACTGCCGCCATACCCGACAACCCAAGCACGCGCCATGTGGGCGGACACTGGTCCTCCACTTGCACCCCTGTCCCCTTCATCATATCCGGTTCTCTTGTGCAGTCACTTGCGTCCCTTGGGGCAGGTCACATGCTCAACGCGAGCGTGGGGGCTTATGATTCTTCCCGCCGTATGCTGCCCAACATGCGTCCGTCGTTTCCAAAGTACTCGTGTTGAAATCTTTTTCAACCATGCCCAGAAATGCAGGAGACTGCCTGTGATGCACGCAGCATATGACGCGATTGAAACGAGACGGGATCAGTGAATTCTCCAAGGTCGTTTTTGTCGGATCGATCTGGTCACAAGACACCTTCTCGCAAGGGCAGCTACCTACCTAGGTACATAACTCGGATCCGAGTCAGTAAATCTTAAAAGTGAATAAATGCTTTCAGTACGTTTACCTTACACAGTTAGGCCCGTTCCTTGCGCCAACACCGCTCTCTGTCTGTCCACTTCCAAGGTTGGCCAGCAGCAGTTGCGCCGCGCAGCGAACTTACTCCGACTTGCCGCCAGGAACGTGCACGTCGTGTGGTCTCGGATGTCCTATTGGAACCAAAGAATCCGTGACAGCACGTCCTCTGTCCAGACAGTGCTGCGTTTTTGACTCACTGTCGATGGGAGACTCCTTTCATTGCGCTTTACTAATTTTTTTTTGTCTTCGGCAAATTATGTTCAACCCCCGACTTGTTGGTTACAGGCCAGGAATGATCGATGCCATCCGCATCACTTGGCGTTGCATTGAATTCTCGCTGGTAAGGAAGTGCAGAAAATTGGCCAATGCAGCACGACAGGCTGTTCCCTAACCACGAGGCACTTATTCCGGCATGCTAGAAAATTGAGGCCAAAATTACAAACAGCTTAGGGAAATATGACAGGTACAATGCCCTCCGGAACAATTTTGAGCTCTGACGTGACCTATATGTCGTCTTAAAACGAATGGACCAATCATTTATCCCCCCAGCGTATATATCGTGACAAATCCAGGCTGACCTAAGCGTATCCTATCTTTGACAGTTCACAACCTAGAGTCGATTTTACCCCCTGATCCAGACTGACCGGACGATAGTCACTTCGCCGCAGCCCCAAAGAGCGCCTCCTTGGTGTCATATGTGTACGCCAGCTCCTTGTGCCAGTAGTTTGGCGCCTCGGCCTTGGTGATCAGCCACGCCTCGTCAAGCGCCTGCACCACATCCTCCGGCAGGGGACCCTTCTCCAGCGCGTCCAGATTGCCCTCGAGCTGCTGCAGGGAGCTGATGCCGATGATGATGCCGTCGTTGCCGCCCTTTTCGGGGAGCACGTTGAGCTTCGAGTGGTGCACGACCCACCGCAGCGCCGTCTCGATCATGGTGAGGCCCTCGCCCTGGTGCTTGGCCACGGCCTGCTCGATGGTCTGCAGGGCGCGGAACGTGGCGTCCTTGAAGTACCGGGCGCGGTAGTTGGCTCCCGTGCCTGCATTGTCGCTAAACCGGCCCTCCGTGGGCTTGATGTCGGCCGACTTGATCTTGCCGCTGAACAGGCCTCCCGCGATGGGGTTGTACACGACTAGGTCGAGGCCGTAGCGCCGGCAGGCGGGGACCAGCTCGGCCTCGATGCCGCGCGTGATGGCGTTGTACATGGCCTGGTAGATGGTCGGGCGCACCCAGTTGTTGTACTTGCACGTCATGACGACCTCGGCAACCTCGGCCGCCGTGAAGTTGGACAGGCCAAAGGTGACAAACTTGCCGGCCTTGTGGAGGTTGTCGATCGCCTCGAGGGTGTCGGCGAAGGGGGTTGCGCGGTCCGCCGCGTGGAGGTAGAGGATCTGGTGTTCCGTGTCAGTTTGCACACATCTACGGTAATGTTGTCGATCAAGCGATGCCCGTTGTCGTTTGCAGGATGGAAGAGAATGAAAGCAAGCAAGAAAAAGAACTGACATCAATGGTATCGGTTCCCAGCTCCTTGAGGCTGACCTCGACACTCTCGAGCACCTTGCTGCCGACGTTGGCGCCTGCCTCGTTGGGGTACTTGACCTTTGTGGCGAGCGTGAGGCCGCGCTCCTTCCACTTGGCCTCGCGTGTGTGCGCCTCCTGCTTGCCGCTCACATAGACGCGCGCCGTGTCGACCTCGTTGTACCCGCGGCTCTGCAGGGTGTCGAGCACCTTGTTGTACTCGCCAATGTCGGTGATGCGGGCGCCTGCAGACTCCTGGCCGGGAGGGCCAAACGTCATCAGCCCCAGGATGACGCGGGGCTTGTTGCCCATCGATGCGATCAGAGGCATGTTGGATAACTACGTATGGAGTGGTGCTGTAGTGATGTGTAAGTTTTGATCGTGATGCAGGGTGGAGAGAGATGCTCTCAGGTTGGGATTTGGGGCAGTGCAGAGGCGAGGACGAGAAGATGGGAGCTGTGAAGCCCTCAGTTTATATAGTCAAGAGCCGTCAACACCAAATTGCGTTATCGCCGGGCTCGGCTTCACTTTTCAGCTCAGGCTCAACGTCGGGGTGCGTTACAAATCACAGGCCTGGGTGGATAACCCCGGCGCGATGCTAAACAAGGCAACCGAGCCCTGAAGCAGGTAAGAACTCTAGCCTGGTTAAGGTAACTAGGTTGCGCAGAGCATGGTACCTTGCCGATTCGAGGAACCGAGCTACTATCGACCACGCAATATAGCCGTTGAGGACGGCCACAACGTAAACTCCAGAGTCATCACCGTTCCCAGGTGCTCACCCGGAGATATGCTCACTCAGGAGCGACGTCAGGCAATGCGTTCAGTCAGCAAACCTGGCCTTCCTAACCAAGCTTTCCTGCTAGCCCCTCCCAGTGGTGGAGGAGGATCGGTTGGCGTCATCGCAGCACCCGCTGTCGCCGCTTCAAAAATCCCCGCACGGCGGCGTGCTTGTGCGGAGACTTTGGAGCGAGGGAGCGGGGTATTCAGTCCGCCCTCGCATGGCCTGTCCACGCCACGGCACCAGCTGGATCACGGTCGTGTGCTAGGCCACAACATTCGTAGAGTTCCGTCTTTGTGAATCCTGTGTGCTTGCTCATTGATTGTCTGATTGTGATCCTTCAAATGCCCATCGGAATTGGTTTCATGGCCATTAGGCACTCAAGCATAAGAAAGCACACACAGACAGAGCGCTCAAAATGAGTATAGAAGATTCGTATCCTCTGAGTGAATATCCAGCATCCGTTGCGTTTCTTGCAACGGCCTGGGCTTGCCAATCTGCAAGAGATATCCCTACAAAGCCAGTTTTCACCATCGAGGAATGTCTGTTGTTCGATTGATTCTTGAAGTGACTTTTCATCGACTTGCTCCGATCATCCCTGCAGCACTATCAGAGTCGTGAAAAAAAAAAATTCCAGCTTTCCACACGGGAAGCTGAGCGACTTCTCCCAGCTCACGGTCGTCAAGAAAATTCGCAATTCTGTTGCACTGCTTCCTTTGGAGACTTGGACAGCCAGAATCTCCGCAAACTGCACGAGCCTGCTATCTTCGCCCCCAACACCCGCATCCGATCCCTGCGAGAGACGAGAGCACGTGGCAATCGCTTGCATTTGGCTCACAGATCGCTGTGTTGTGCTTACTCTGATGGGCTCCAAGCTCAACAGAGTTTGCGTGCGACCGAGACACAGCTGGGTCAACACGTGTTCCGCAGACACTCCACGACTCAAGCCAGGGCCAGTGCAGAACTTTTGTAGGGCTCGCTTGAGGATGCTGCAGGATCTGGTGAATAGTGTCCAGGCAGACCCTCTTGGACCTGTGCGAGGTCTCTTCCGTCTTAATCGTTGCGTAATTGCAAAATAAAACCAACGGAAAATGCTTGCTGTGAATGCTAGTAAAACAATGACTCGGCTAGGGCGGCTGCTTCGAGACACCCGATGAGGGTGATGCAGTGCAGCAAGGAATCTCGCCCGAAAAAGCAAGCAAAACCGACGGAAGTAAGAATCCCTCGTCTCGACTCCAGGCTCCCCTCAAGTTGGCCACATGCAGGCGGAGATGGCCACGCTGTCTCCCACACGCATGGCAACGAGAAAAAAGGAAAGTGATGGACAGAAGACAACCTTGTATACCACGGGCGGGCTCTGCGGAAGCTCATCCGGCTGCATACGCATGCAGAAGCCGTGCGTTCTCGTGCTTTCCAGCTTCCACGGCCCACTCTGCTGGCGTTCGCTTAGAGTCATCATGTGCGCTGCTCGGCGAGCCAGCCTCCAACAAGCGCTTCAGCACCTCGGCGCTCGGCCCAATAGCCGCCAGGTGTATCGCCAGCGCGCCGCCGTAGTTGGGCGATGGAACTGCAACGTCGGCGCCATGTCTCAGCAAGAGGTCTATTATCTGCAGGTTGCATTTCGACGTGGCACGGCACAGCGGTGTCTCGCCCTTGGACACGAGGTTGGTGTCGGCCCCAGCGGCTAGGAGCGTCTCCGCAACCTCGCTGCGACCGTGCGATATTGCATAATGCAAGGGCGTCTGGCCGTTCTTGTCCTTGATATCGACGTAGGCTCCGCTCGCGCAGAGAAGCTTGATCATCCGAGAGTAGCCCTGGATGACAGCGGTATAGAGTGGCGTTCGATCGTTGATGTCCGTCGTGGAAACATCGGCTCCGTGCTCAAGCAGGTCCTCTGCGCGTTCCAGGTGATCGAAGAGGACGGCCGTGAACAGTGGTGTTCGACCACGGTCGTTCTTGATACTGATGTCGGCACCATTCGTGACTAGTATCCGGACAAGCTCAGTGTTTCTCATTTCTGGTAAGGCCGAGCTCATGGCCGCATAATGCAGTGCCGAGTTCTTTTGCTTGTCAACAGCATTGACATTTGCTCCAAAGTCGATCATGAGAGAGGCAAGATCATCCGTCATCTCGCCTTTCGCCACGCGGATGAGTGGAGAACGACCTTCATTGTCACGAACCTCAAGGTCTGACCCAGCGATGACCAGAGCCGACACGATGCGGATAGCCTCGGTGGCTGCTGCTTTGTCGTCCGACTCGATGCACTTCTCGGCTCTGTCCAAAGCTCGATGGATTGGAGTGAGGGACGTCGGTTTCAGCCCAGCATTTGGATTCGCCTTATCCGCTAGAGCTTTATGACACGCCTTGTAGTCGCACCTATCGATGCCCTCGTGCAGCTTTCGTAGGGATTTGAGCTCGTCCTTAGCTGATCGACCTGACTTTTGACGAAACTTGGTCAAGAGTTGCTGGACTTGACTTTTGTCGGACAGCTGTGGAAAATTGATTTCGATCTCTGTAGTGACTGGTGACTTCAAGGCTCCAGTCATGGAAGCCCTGGTCGAGACCGACATACTATCACTAGATTTCATCTCGACAACCGAGGCCATTTATCTTGGAAAGGTCAGTACGGATGACTGTGATTACATGACTGTTTGTTCAACTCACCTCTTCAAAGTCATATGTTGACAACATAAAGAAGCCAGACGCGTCTATGAGATCCCCAGTGGTTCGAGTTGTTGTCGAGGAATGGGAATTGGACCTTCGATGAGGAAATACGTCAAGATATCATGGCAGGTCTATGCCTTTGCAAACCGAACTCTTTGGGGTTGGCCTAACAAAAGCTGTGAACCCGCCAAAGAGAAAGCTCGAAAATGAAGAAAGATAGTGGAATGCGTCTGGAATACTCGCCCGGACATCATGTGGACAGGAAACATGATCTTATGTGTTGAGATGCAGGGATGAGCCGGAGTAAAACAGCCTCGGCACCCCCGGAGACCCGGCGTGCGAGGAACAAAGCATTGGGTGTCCGTCGGAGGCGTTCTTGAGCGCATGCTCTCAGTGATCGGTGTCATTTTAGCCTGCAGCAAAATGCCCTGGGGTGTGAGATGTCCAGACCAAAGGTCGTACCACTTGTACCAGCCCAAGGCGCTACTGTACTTAGCGCAGACAACCACGTTCGCCACGTTTTGGAGGGGGTGGGTTTTCCAAAGCGGACAAGACTCAAGCCTAACCGACGTGCGGCAAGAGTGGAACAAGCCCAGCCTGAACGCCACAATATTCAGCTTCGGCAAGAAGCACTGGTGTGTTTTTCAGCAGGGGGCTTTTCACCATGGCTTACCTGCACATGCCACAGCTACTGCGATATGACTTTAGTAAATTAGGTTTGGTCGCTGAATTACATCACGGCGTGTGATCCACCAGCCTGCAAAAGGACCTCGGGCCCGATACCTACAAGTGGCTATCCGTGAAGCGATCGATCCCCAGCTGCATGGACTTGCTGTTCCCCCTTTGGATTCCGAGTAGCAATGACAAAGCGTCATCAGCCAGACTTCAGGGCCATCATGACGATCAAGCTATTGCCAAGAGTTCGTCCGGTAAATGGCCATTAGTAGATTCTCGTTGGTTTCGTCCCATTCTAAAAGATTGGGATTCTTGTAGATATCACTTCAATTTGATGGGGCAGCGGCGACGCTGAGGGTGCAAAGAGTTGACACAAGGCGCCAGTATATCGACTTCCTTGGAATTTGTTCATGGTAGAGGCGACCCTACATCATGGCGTCAGGCGTACCTGGTGGCATCATACTGCTCACTCGCCATACTTTGGGCATCCCATACTTCCGAGCCACATACGCTGCGTAGGACACGTGCGGACCGTTGAATGATCCTTGTCTATGATGCGAATAGAAATGGTCTTCAACCAGTGGATTCGCCCAGAGTGAGACCACCCGCAGCGGTGTGTGGTGGAAAGCTGGCAAACCATGATTTGGTCCTGTGAACGTAAACTCGTAGTAACCACGTGGTTTTGGCACAGCTAGTGTCGGGCTATCCTCAACCTTCTGGCGGGGCTTGGTTTGAGAAGGTGTGGACAAGGGCCTAGACTGCTTTGATTGAAATCGCAAGCGAGATCCGATGCTCCGCGATGGCACATCGGCTGATCATGGATCTGGCTCTCCATGGCCTGCATACGCGAGGGCGTCGACAACGGTGCCGTGCAGCGATCTATGCAGGGCCACGTGTGAAGGCAGTGGTTTCACGGAACAGGCTGTGTCTTTGACCGTGGCTGGCAGAAGCAGATATGACTGTGCACACGAGTGGCTTGGAGGGCAGGTTGCGCTCACCAGTGGCCAAGACGTCTCGAGGGGCAGGCTCAGCAGGCCACAGGATTTCGAACAGCTGTAACAGGAGTATTAGAGATGCAGAGGAGAAGCTCGGTGGCTTTGACAACCAATCAGCTAGAACGCGTCCGACGATTCGAGAAGTGGTCCAGGGTGCCGCCGCAAGATTTCCAAGGTTGCGCAGTGGAAGTGGGTGGGGAGAATGGATCAGCTCCACTCAGCTTGAGCCGGCACAGCTTGGGATGCCTGAGGGAGGGGAGCATGGCCCGTGCACGCGCACTCTCTCTCTCTGCAAGTCATCTACGCGCTCTGGCGAGGCAGGCGCGTAGACTCGCGTCGCAGGCCTTCTCCGCGTTGCGAGGAGCGCGATTCCAGTACCCGCCCACTTTAGCTCCCCCTGCACAAGGCCTGGTTCGACATCCCTGGTTCGCCAAAGAAGCCTCACGACGCTATCTGCAACTGAGAGCCCTCACCGACTCGCCCTCTGTCTGCGCCAATCGACCTCAGGAGCGTCCCGCATGCGCTTGCTTCAACTCTGCGACTTTGACGATATCCGCTATTCCCGCTCGGCACGATCTGCTCATCATACGAGGTTCGCCGATGCGATCAAAGGAGAACTCAAGACACCCGACCGATTGGCCTCGATCTCACTTGCGGACGCCTGTACACCCTTGAGGCGATTGATCAAAAACACGGTTGAACCCGTTCGACCACATTTGCCTGCAAGAAGATTGCCTTTCGAGCACTTTCGAACATTGCCAGTATGGTCAAGGCCGTCCCAACTGGCCCGCCGCCTGGGCCCGGCATATACAGTGCCACATACAGCGGCGTAAGTCCTCTTCTCAATGGGATCTGCTCAAGCTATAGTGGTTATTTATGCGCATTCCCACATACGGGATATTGGCCCCTGACATGAGTTCCTTTAGATTCCGGTGTACGAATTTCAGTTCGGTGTCGACCTCAAGGAGCATGTTATGAGACGGAGGCAGGACGATTGGATCAATGCGACGCACATCCTCAAAGCTGCCGGCTTCGACAAGCCTGCAAGAACCCGAATCTTGGAGCGCGAAGTGCAGAAGGACACACACGAGAAGATCCAAGGAGGCTACGGAAAGTATCAGGGCACTTGGATTCCTCTCGAGGCTGGCGAGCAGCTTGCCCACCGGAACGATGTCTACGAGCGCTTACGGCCAATCTTTGAATATGTCGCTGGAAGCCAAAGCCCACCGCCTGCCCCTCGTCATACGAGTAAACCAAAAGCGCCAAAAGTCAAGCCTTCTGTACCGAAATGGCCAGGTAAGTCCCTGATCCCACTGCATTTCTGGCTGATCTTCATGTTCATTTGTCTATCAATAGTCAAATCCGCCCCGGCCCCACGCGATGATTTCGATGCCACAAGTCAACAGTTTGAAGACGACACGCCGGATAATGTCACCGTAGCTTCAGCCTCGTACATGGCGGAAGACGATCGCCACGATTTGTCACATTTCTCGACGGGCCACCGCAAGAGAAAGCGGGAAGAGACTATTCATGACCTGACGGAGCAACAACACTCGGTCTACGGCGACGAGTTACTTGACTACTTCCTCTTGTCCCGTCAAGATGGCGCTACATTCCGACCAGAGCCACCGCCCAACTTCCAGCCTGACTGGTATATCGATTCCGAGAAGCATAGCGCATTACATTGGGCAAGCGCTATGGGTGACGTTGATGTCATCAAGCAAATCAAGAGATTCGGCGCCACTCTTGGCTCGCAAAACTGCCGTGGCGAGACTCCTCTGATGCGTGCTGTCCACTTCACGAATTGTTACGAGAAGCAGACGTTTCCTGCGGTCATGAAGGAGTTGTTCGAGACGATCGACGCACGCGATCATTCTGGCAGCACTGTAATTCACCACGCCGCCATTATGAAGAGTGGTCGTATTACCAGCCACTCGTGCTCACGGTACTACCTTGATTGCATCCTGAACCGACTGCAAGAGACGCACGATCCGAACCTGGTGCAGCAACTCATTGATGCACAGGACAATGCCGGAAACACCGCGTTACACCTTGCAGCCAAAACTAACGCCCGGAAATGCATACGTGCATTGCTTGGCCGCGGGGCTTCAACAGACATCATCAACATGGATGGTGTTCGTGCAGAGGAGCTGATCCAGGAGCTCAATGCCTCGAAAGGGCCCAAAGAGCGACTGCCACAGCGGTCGTCTTCACCATTTGCACCCGATTCACAACGTCACGTGTCGTTTCGGGATGCACTCAACGACCCGATTCCTAGATCTACGGTCGTGTTCAACTCTGAAGCAGCCAATACCGTGCAGAACTCGATAATGCCTCTTATCCAGCAAAAGTTCGACGACCTGACACAAAGCTTCGAGGAAGAGTGGAAAGAAAAGAGCGAGGCTGCGAACGAGGCTCGTCGTATATTGGGCAATACGCAAAACGAACTATCCTCAATCCGGCAGCAGATCGCAGATATTGAAGCCGAGCTCGAGTCCGAGGAGGTCACCGCTAAAGCACTCTCTGATGCCAGTGTCGCTCAAATGCAACTGCAGACCATTCTGGCGAGTCAAAACCGATTTCACGTGGAAGCCGCTGTTCAGCAAAATCTTGCTATGATGAATGGGGATGATGAGGATGATTCAGCCGAGGAACAGTTACGATTGGCCCAGGAGCTTGGCGCTCTCATCAAAGAACAGCGGCTGCTGGAGGAAGAATATGTCGAAGCACTCAGTCTAGCAGGGACCGGAGAGAAGATCGATAAATACCGACGTCTTCTAAAGCAATGTCTAGATCCCGAAGCGGCCGAAGCGCTGGATGAAAACCTGGACGATCTCATCGACATGATGGAGGAGGAACGAAGCGAAGCTCCCGTCATCATGAATGGCCACCCGGAGCCGATGATGATTGGGTAGGCACAACCATGCTGAAACCATTGTGGCTGACCGAGCTTTGGGGCTCTAGACTGGCTGTCCTTATAAAAGCTAGGCTTCTTCTTCTTCTTCTTCTTCTTGGTTCGATATGGCGTTGTGGCTGATCAACGGAAGTATGGTCTTATGGACATTTTATTCTTGGATGGTGTTTTTGGTGTCTAGGAAGGCCCGGCGTGTCAACTTTATATTGGGGTATATCATATAATTTTCTTCTTTGCGGCAACGCCACAATACAGTCTTGCCGAACAGCATCATCATGCGAGCAGGACCGGATGTCTCGCAACTTATCTCAGTCATCCGTGCATGAGCATTAATATAGGAGTGTTGTGAGCTCGCGTGACAGCGCCAACACGGCAAGCCGGGCCGGCCACACGGAACGCGATGCAGCCCATCACATCGTTTATCACGGCCCGGCAGAAGGTGGCTGGCTGGAAGCTGACCGCACTGGGGAATCCGCTGCAGAGTGCTGAATTTACATGCCTTGAAGGAAGCGCATGCGTAGTCACGCAGAGTGGCTTGCGTGGAAGTGGGCATGGGATGTGCTGGGTTCACGCCCCCCTCTTTCTTGAGCAATAAACGAGCACGGTACAGCTCGTATCTGTACGTCCATGAGGCATGTAAAACAGAGCTTGGAAGAGACGAGTGCTACTGGAAGTGTGTGCTGAGAGCGCGGGATACGTGCGGAATAGTTGCGCGCTCTGTTGGTCGGTGTTGGGTGGTCGTGGATGGCTGATGGGCAGACTTTTGCGGCTTGAACGTACAAGACGTGGGCAAGGTCTCAGGCATGCTTCCGTGTGGCCCCGAGCCTGGCCTCGAATAACCTCGAGGTGCATTACTTTAGACATTGTTCTCTGTGCCGGTGACCGTTCCCTCACCTTGGGAGTTTTGTACCAGTTCGCGGTGCTTGCCAAAAAGAAAATACCACTGTTTATTATTTGGACCTGCTCTGCCTTCAAAATTACGCCTCAATCACCACAAGCACATGTGTCGACCTCATGCCCGGGCTACGACAGAATCGCATCCACCTAGTTGAAACTGCGCCATCCTCATCCCCTTCGTTGATTAATTTGAGGAGACCAACTGCCGCTCTGCGATAAGTGATTCAGAAGTTGCTTGGCTTTACTTGGCCGATACCGTGAGTTGGGGCCTTGATGACTCAAAGCCCAACATGCGTCAGCCGCAACCTTGTGCAGAGGTGGAGTAGCACCAAGGACCCTTGAAATAAGGCTGACTCTTGGCCGATGCCTGCTTCCAACGGTTTCCAAGGACATCTCTTCCACATCCGTGGACAGAAAGCTGTAGGCTCTTTGGCACTTACGCTATTACTGTCTCTGCGGCGACTTCCGTACTGGTGCCAGCATATCGTCCACATTCACGACTACTGAGGCCGACTGACAGCATTCGTGTTTGGCGAAACCGCAAGGGCCTGCCTGCCTGCCTGCCTGAATTGGCCCTGGACGGCTCGAAAATGGCGACCATCGAGGACCTGCCACGGGAGATATTCCACGAGATACTGCAGGACCTGGACCTGCCGTCCTTCGCCAGGCTGAAATGTGCATCTCGACGCCTCAACCAGTTTCTTCGCCTCGAAGAGCTCCCCCAGTGGAAGCGGGTGCAGTTCATGCAGGCGGCAGACCGATTTCCGCACAACGAGGACTTGCTCGCGTGCTACCGGTGCTGCAAGATGCTCCCGAGGGACAGTTTCGGGATCGGCCAGCGCAAGGGCAAGCGCAGGAAGTTCGGCTCGGTCCCGGCACGGGACCGCTTCTGTCTCGGCTGTGCGGCGGCCAACAAGCTCTACGGCCACATGGAGGCGGTCGTCGCCAAGAGAGGCGAGGAGCCGCGGTTCCTGTGCCATCACTGCGGTCGCTATGGCTCTCGTTTCCAGAGGTGCGGGCCGGGTGCTGGAGAGGATGGCAGGTGGGTTTGCTGGTCGGAGAACACTTACGGCACGCCATCTCTGGGGGGTCTGCCACCGGAGGTCATCGACAGGCTAGTCTCACAGCTGTCCTACAAGGACGCCATCCATCTGTCCTCTTCTTGCGCGTATCTGCGAAAGAACGTCGACTATTCGCATGTCTCAGTCGAGAGTCGGTTCGCCTTGGTCGCCGGCAAGGACTCGGAACCCAATGGCACGGCAGGTACCCAGAGGACCAATGTCTGCTACGCCTGCTTCAGAGTCCGGCCGTCCGAGATGTTCACCATCAAGCAGATCTACACGGTTGACGTCCAGAGGAGCAGACCGTACTGGCAGCGGCGGTGCAGGAGCTGCCTGTACAAGATGCATGCCAACAAGGACGGCAACAAGGCGTTGCAGAGCTGGCTTCGACAGAGACCGTGCGATAGCTGTGGTACACTCAAGCACGAGGACACAGAATGCCAGTCATTCATGTGTTCAAGCACCCACAGTGCTTCAGCGAGCACAAAGAATGCAGTAACAGCAACCATCGGGGCTCAAGCACCTCATCCGGACGATGGGACTGCGCGCACCCGCACCGATGCCATGGTAGCTTCCCAGGCCTGGATAGAGCCCAGAACAGCGGGCAATTCCAACCGGGGTTCAGAGTCACAGGCTCAAGGCATTTCAGGGCCGCGAGGTACAAAGCTATCGCTGTTCGAAACCTGCAAGGCAGCAGAACATGGCCCGAGGTTAAGAAAACTCAAAGCACATATGGGTCAACCCGCGAGACTCTATGTTCTGAGACGCCTGGAGGCACTTGAGCTCCCACAAGCTATTTGAGGAGGCACTTCTGGCACGTCACGGGCACCCCTGATGAGGGCCTTCTCTCTGCATAGTAGGCGCAAAAGCCCCGTGAATCCGTAATACCATATAATCAACGGCCATATGGCTTCAAGTGCATCAAAAGCGTTGGCGTAAATGGGGGCAGACATGTATTGGAGATCAAGCCTGTAAATAACATACACAAAGCATGCTACCCATGAACGCAGTAAAAGAATCCAAATGCCAAAAACTTGCGTCAAATTCACACACGAGTATTTCCATCTCATCTATAGGCTTGTTGTGTCTTGAGCTACCGTCAAAGTCGTAGGTGGTGTTCCGGTTGTGTAGAACCACCGAACATATGGTGATACTCTCGAAAATGTGTCGCTGCTTGGTGTCTACACCTGTGCAGCATTAGCCGCGTGTGAATCGGACTCGTTTCGAGGCCGCTGGGCTTCCTGCGGCACCTTTCTTCCCAACACTCTTTGGGCGGATCGTCCAATCGCCAGACAAATCTTGAGGAGACACGGTCCGAAGGCGAGAACCAGGCAAACCAGACCCAAGATATCGGTGCTGACCAGGGTCCAGTTCCAGGCAGATTGGAAAGCGCTCAACTCCCGGCCCTTGAGTTGGCTCTTTCCTCCAGACTGCGCCCAGCTCCATTCGTAGTCCTTGTGGACAAATCTTTTGATGGGGAGAAAGATTGCCAGAGGAACATAGCAGCAGATGAGCGCACTCTCGAGGAATGCTATCCAGATCTTTAGTGTATCGCTGCGCTCATGAACGCTGAGCATGACGAGGATAATGCAGGCCAGGTCGACAAAGAACATGAAACAGGGCGCCATGAGAGCCGTTCTGCCACCATTGGATAGCACTCCCCACCAAGCTTTCAGAGTATAGGTGTTGATGGTGAAGTTGACGAGGCCCAGGTTGTACACTAGGCCTAACAGGATGTCGAGTTTGTGTTTCCAGAGCCATTTCGCGAATCTCTTGAGACGGGCCATGGAACGACTTTTCGAGACTTCCGTTTGGGTTCCGCCATCGGCATAGTTTGGCCGAGTATTCAAGGCGTTCCGAGGCCTTTGGACATCTGACATGCCATTCTCCGCAGATGACGTGTTTGCTTCATCGCGAGTATCTGGCGCAGAGGTCATGGTTCCTTGTGTTTGTGTTGCCGGGCCCGGGCCAGCCGAAGTTCCTTGGTCAACCACTCCCGCGCCTGCCCCTTCGTTCATCTCTGGTCCACTCCGCTCGGCAGGCGATTGTCGATCCTCAGGCTCTGCTACTACAGCCTCTCCTGCTCTCGGCAATGGGTTTTGTCTCTGAGTGGCAATCACGCCGGAGGAAGCAGTAGATGGCGACCTAGCTACTACTGTAGCAGGTGCCCCTGCTGGGCCGGCTGCGGGCGAGGGAGATGTCTCCACGCTGGGAGTGCTGAGTGGCTGACCCATGTGCTCTATGTTGCCCTGCTGTCGTGTATGATACGACAACTCTTGTTTCGGGTGTCTTGATGCCAGGTGGTCCTCCGTATCGTCGTGAACCTTCCTCGTCCCAGGTAGGCTATCGTCGTTGTTCACGAGCTCTGCCTGTGCTCCTTCTCCGTAATGCTCACCTGGGCTTGTGATGTGTACCTGTTCCTCAGGGCTTCTTACAATTATGGCGTCTTCTGCCGAGTCTGGGGGACCAAAATCAGAGCAAATACTTGGGCTTCTCACGCTTGCTGCGCCTGAAAATGGAAACACAGTTTGAGGAATGCAGTTTGCCTCGGGCTCTGATGGCAAAGCAGAGACTACCGAACTTCGTCGTAAATTGTCCTGGACGGGGAAATCCGGAGTTCGAGGGGGTGGATTATCAGGTGCAATGTCGTTGTTGTCCTCACCGTTCGGACTCATACAAAGCGACTTTGATGGGTTAGGATGGCTCAACGGCGGGCTATCGGGATGGAGTGGCGGGGGAAGAGCTCGCCCACTCTCTGAAGTGGGAGACGCAGCGGCGGCCTGTGGCGTTCTCGTGGAAATTCCAGAGGAAGAGGGACTGATAGGACGTGGACTGTGAGAAGAGTAAGTGCTTTCCTTGTCTTGCGGTATCTGCGTCCAGTCTTGTCCTTGTGTGTGTTGGTCTTCCTCACTGTGGGGAGGTCCTGTCCGAGGTGTTTCTGAGTTCTGGCTGCTACCTGTAGAGGAGAGGCTGAGGGAGCGGGTGCCTGCACCACTATGCAAAACTCTGCCGTCAGATACTCTTTGGATTTCAAACTCGTCGACTCCCTCAGGATGCAGGCTTGGACTTAGCTGGGAGTAGATTGAGTGGGGGCTTTGAGGGAGGGCATTTGGAGCAGTTTGACAGTCTTGCTCGCAGAATTCTTGGTGAGAGTTCTGAATGTCGGGAGGCTGCTGTGACTCGTAAAGGCCGCTTGCGATGTAGCTGCGCCTCAACTGAACACTCTGCGGGCGGCTACTGGATACACTCCGAAAGTCTTGGTCGTGGACACCCACGTGGTACTCCTCGTCCTTGGAAGGATGTGGAGCATTGGAGGCAAGGCGGCTTTGGGCTGAGCAGAAGCTCTGAGCACGAGACCTTGGAGCACTGCCAAGCTCTGGGCTCTGCGGGCTCGCCGGTTCCCGATCGAGGTACTGGATGGGTTCTCCCTCGGCTAAAGCAGAGGTACTGTCCTTGCTAAGTGAATATACGCTGGGCGAACGAACAGCGGGACTGCCTTCGTTGTCAAGTCCTCGTTCTTGTGTTTCGGCTTCGTTTTCGCTATCAACTTTGTCGGCAGTGTGAGGATCTGAAAATGTTGAAGTGGCGTTGTGGCTAGAGTAATCACTCCCCGGCTCGCTAGGTGTGGTCTCTCGTGAATATGCTTCCGGTAAAGATGTAACAGAGGAACAGCTTCCGCTATCCGGCAGAACGTTGCTATCTTGGTCCTTGGCTTCCTTCAACGGCGAGTCCGGAGTACTGTATGCTGGGAAATCACTGGTCGAGCCGCAGCTGCTTCTGGTTAGATTGCCTGGTGTATGGGGACTGTGAAGGATTTCGTCTGAGTTGTGACTCCGTTCCTCACTCTCAAGTACAGGACAGGACCCTCCGTCACTGCTTTGTGCTGAATCTGCTTCGTGGCCTACCCCTTCGAATCCAATTCGGTCTCCTTGTTCAGATGCTTCCTGCTCTTCAATCTCGATTGGATCGCTCAGTGGTGTAAAAGAGTTGATATCTTGTTGCGAACGCGGTGATCCAAAACTCTCATTTCCGACCGGATCTGAACCCCCGAAGATTGTCGAAGACAGCGCGACCACTGGCGAGCTGGTATCCTCCTGACAATCCGAGCTATGCCTGTAGATTCCTAGTGCGTCGTAAATGCGATCGCTGTGGTTCTCTGTTGTGACAGAGGCACTATCGTTGCCGTTTTCGTTATCCTAGTCCTCACTGTTGTGGGTAGTTTCCAGATGCACGCCTGTTTGCTCAACGTGGATCTCTGGGGTGACTGGGTCCCCGTCTTCGAAACCCCGTGTTCCTTCAGATGGGGTCTGTGTTTGGTTACTGTTCGGACTAGTAGCGTTCGATTCTGGCTGGCCAAGTAAGACGTTGAATATATTACCCCTGTTGTTTGCGTCCCTCTTGAGACTTTCGAGAGCCCTCTTGGATCTTGAACTGTCTCTTGCTTCTTTCAGGCTCGTTAAGGATTTTGACGGCTCAAAGTGCTCGCCAATCCCCACGTTTCTCTCATATAGACGAGGCGTAAGCAGTATTCTCAGATCGTCCGTAGATGGTTGGCAAGACTCGCTCGAGATGTCGTCTTCTTGTTCGCGCTTGATCGCTAGTGAGTTCTCAATATCGACAGGCGACCGCACGCGTACCCGGCCTTGATGATTCGAGCGAGTACCTTGTCGCCTAGTCTGATTCTTCTTGACTGTGTCCTTTTTCTTCTTAATTTGGCGTTGTCTTTGGTATCGATTTTGCTTCTGGCCGGAGTTTCCACACCGACGTTTGCCCGAGTACTTGCTGCAGCTTTTGCCGTTGCCGCGATTGTTCTGCGAGTCGGACCTTCTCATATGAGCGAGATTGAAGTTCGACCAGCGCCTTCAGAGTGTTGTCTTTGATGTGGTCAGAGCTCGTTAAAGACAACTCACGACCCTGAAAAGAAGTAGACACTGGAGGTTCATCGACTCCCGGCTGGGTGGACAGTCGCGAGGTAGGGATATGAGTTGCGGTCAGATTGGTCGTGGGATGTTCATCCTCTGCTTAGGTCTCTGGGATATCGGGCCCGGTGATGTTATATGCTCGTCCAGAACCATCATGGTGTGCTCGACTTCTTTGTGTTGTGATCGCTCAAGGCACATGCTATGCCTTTTCTTTTTCCCGGCGCCTTCATTCTATGGCAACAACTCGATATCCGCACAAGCGCCATGTCGCACAAAGGCCACAATCAACATGCACCTCGACACTACCTTTGCAAAGAGGTTGATGGGCTTTAAACCCTTTCACAAGGTATTCTGCGGCACATCACGAGATGTTTCACTTGTGCGCATGGGGCAAAGAACAAAGCTTCAAACCCGAAGAAGACCGTCCTGGCGTAGGAGCATCCGTAGGTGTGAATCAGACACCAATAAACCTCGCATGCTTCTGGCTCTTTGTCCGTCGACTCTCGTGAGACTACTCGCCTTCTCGCAGTGGCGAGCAGGGCGCAGTATCAAAGAGATAAGACCTATCGCTGGTGTGGGTTACCCGGAATCCCTTTGCATGCTTCTTTGTCATTAGATCGGGCTTGTTGGCCCTGAATTTGGGTAGCACGTCACCCGACCTCGGCCATCCCTGCTCGCAACATTCCAGAATTTGAAGATGGCTTGTCTTTCATCTACGAAGACATACCGCCTGCCTGCAGTTCATGAAAGCTTTGACATGTGGCCCACACACGAACTTGTTCCTTTGTGGCTACATTTCAGAGACACTCTGTATGACTCGAGTCAACCCACTGCGAAGCATGATGATGATGATGATGATGCATGGCTTGGCCACTCTCTCAAGATCTTGATCTCGACACACAAGAACGTAGACACTGCTGACTTGGTGGGCACTAACAAGGAACCATGCCAAGGCTTAATCGTCATCTTGCGGTCTCTTCTCCAAACCAAAGAAAGAACGGAAGCAATGAGGGTGTGTGTGTGCAGTGGTGCAGGCCTTTCTACCTTACCCACCCACCTGGACAAGCCGGCTGCCGAGTAAGCCTGCTTCCGATGACTCTTATTCAGTAACGGGGCAAGGATGAGAGGATCGTCGAAGCCTTGCACGCGACTCTGCTCGGGCCCGAGTCAGAGTCAGCATGAAACTCCTCTGTCACCATCCAGCCCGTGCCAACCGTGCGCATTTGTGTACCCGATCTGGCTACCTTTCCGCGTGACGCAGCCTTACGCCCCACTTGGGATCCGGCAATGTTGCATGGCATGGGACCGTGGTCATGAAGTGGAGGGAGAATTCATCTCGCAGGTCACCGCTCTTCGTGGCGCAAGTGTAAGCAGTTAAACTGGCAAATCTGCACTGCACAAGCACGGAGCAAGTGCCTGTCCGGGGAATCAGCCAATGTCATCGGCAATGGCCATTTCCTGGATGAGGTCAGACCAGGCGACAGGCGATCCATGTCATGGATTCAAACGAAACATGCCAGAAGTGTGCAGAAGAATGATAACGGTCGTTACACTCAAGTCAGCCGACTTAATGCAGGCCGGGGCCATGTCAGACGCTGATTCTTTGGTGACAGCCTGCACAGTTGGATTATGCCGGCAGAGTATCTAGGCCAGGATACTGGGATTAAGAGAAGCAGTTGCCTATCCCATCACTCACAGCCGAGAGCCTGCTCGCATAATCGGAATTGCAGATTTGGAGAGCGTCAGCCAGCCGGAGCTTGTGGAGATTGTCTGTTCGACTGGGGTGAGGCTTGTCAAAGCTGTCTATCTGTGGGGATCTCCGGTTTATTTCCTGGTTCTGCATTTGGACACGCAAGGTGAAGCGCTACTATTTTCCTGATCTGGCCGCTCAGGAAGTGGACATTGGCGACTTGAATTGCTTGTATTGCTTGGGAGGTACGACGACGTTCCAAAATTGGCTCAGGGGCAGCTCATTACTTGTTCAGGTCCTGGGCGTGGGCCAGCTCAAGCACCGTCGGTTTACAGGCATGCTGCTCCCAGAGTTTGGTTGAACAAACCTCCGCACTAACTGGAAGTGCGCAACCTGCACGAAGGGGGTCTGCCCTGCCCACACGGCTAGTTTCGGAGATCGAGGGTTGCATGCCTGTGTGATTTCATGCATTGATGACTCTTTCCGAGCCCAGACCGCTGATGCAAGTGCTTTCGACAAGCCGTAATCATCCTGCACTTCAGCTTGGCAGCAGTCCTTGACCGACGCTGACCAAAGATGTGTCCAGCTCATCCGGGTAGAGGAAGCTTGCCCGAGCTTAATGTCGTCTATTGCGCGGACTGTCGAGAAGACTATCGTGAAATATGGTTGGCGACTACCAGAAGACAGCTCGAGCAGTCGGCGATGCTATTGGACTTCCCATGCCTACACCTGGTTGCGCTGTCCAAGCCTAAGGATGCATGGTGCGCTCCTGCCGCGACCGAATGAGCAGGATGTCGGCTCTCCACTGGCGTCTGAACGTCGGGATGCGACTGGGCAGCCCAGTGGCCCTGGCTGGTGGAGGCACGTCCATCGTCGCGTGACGGCAATCGATCGGATGGCGGAGGCGTCAAGTGCTGAGTCTGATTATACGCAGACACTTGTGGCTGAAATGTCGGAGAGGAAAGTCGGCGGATGGGCTGGCGACAAGCGGACAGCACGGGAGCTGAAGCCTGGACCTGGCAAATGGGGCCGTATGGCTGGAAGGTGACGAGCTGAAAGAGGGTCCGGTGCGGCGCTACGGATTAGACGTGCAGCATCGGCGCAACTCGTTAGCGCAACGTTGTGGTCGCCCGTCCAGGTGGTGTAGACGAGTCGACGATGCCATCGCCTCGCCCAGCCAGACTTGCGGTCCGTCGTCCTTGGCCAAGGCGTCCAGAGAGCCGAGATGGGCTCTTCAGTCTGCGTGTGTTGCTTTCGTTGCTCTCAAGTGTTGGCCACAACGCGTGATGGTTGTTGGTTGGCGGGGTCTGCATGGTCGCTCTTGCACAAAGTCAGCATCGAGGCCACGCGGGGTTGCATCGCGTGCCACCACGGCCCGTGGTATCTCGCATGCTCGACAAAATGCCATTCATGCAAACCGCCGCCCGCCAGACAGTCTGGTGCTCGTCTATCCGGCCCACCCTTGTCACGGGATTGGTAGCCGGCCGCAAAGCTCAAGGTCTCTCCAGCGGAGGCCCCCTCTGCCTCCCCAGAGCATTCCACCCGTTCGTTGGTGTACGGCGTCTTGCCGCCGCGTGCCTCACCAAGGTCAACCCCCCAAGGCGAGCACCACGAGGAACACCAGACCATACAGGTACCAGAATCTGGAATCGCCAAGCGTGTGCCGCTGACAAGCACCCGTGGACACCACCCTGCCGTCTGCCTATGAGCCGAGTGTACCTTCTAGATCTACTGTGGGCGTCCTCACACACAGCCATGGCCCGGACGGCCCAGTCTGTGCCCGCCGACTCCACAAGCAAACACTCCCAACTCTTGGAAGCTGACGAATCGCGGACCAGGGCTCATCTCAGCTCAGCTGAAGTGAACTCGACGATGGCGCAAACTAGCCCCTTTCGGCATTGCTACCAGGTCCTACCATGGCGCGCGCGCGTTGACATGGTCGGTGTTCGCACTCTCGCCACTTTGATGGGGAAGTGGCATTGCCCTAGACGGGACAATGTCCAGGCAGGCGCCTAAAGGCAGGTCTGGGCCAGCATCGTCATGTTACGCGGACGATGATGCCAGCAGCTCAAGTGTGGCTGTGAACAGAGGCACCCCACGACCCAACCCCAGGGCCGGGTTTCCTGGCAGGATGGCCAGCTGGCAGAGGTACAATGTCTGGTCTACCATGCAACAACGACATGGCGAGCGGGACCTGCAGAGAGGACCTTGCGGCAGGCCGGGCTCAACACTTCCGTCCGCTGGATTCCGAACCATCTAGTCAGACAGTCAATAAGCCACCTCATGTGCACAAAGGACTGCAGGCCGCTCGATGCACGCTGCAAGGATACACATCTGGACGATCCAGCCTCCACCCAAAGTCCGTCCCAGCTCGACACGATCAGCAAGGATCCCGCCTCTGCAGGAATGGGCGCCGCGCAGAAGCCTTCCCACAGGCCAATGCGACACGAGCCAACCAAGTTTTCTGGATGCAACGTCCTCGTGCCGTGCATGCAAAGCACGAGATGCCGGCAGATCAGAACCAGAGGCTCGTGTCCGGTCTAGAGGTCCCGGTAGCCTGGTATAGGCCAAGCAGCGACCCACTCCTCGCTCCAACAGGAACTAGGATCCGGAGTCCCTCCAGGCTGCCTCAGACGTACCTGGAAACAATCCCAATCCCCCACGCCGCTAATCATGCCCAACTTGGTTATTGCGCAGAACGTGCCCTCAGAGGCAAGGCAATCCTGGCCTGGAGAGGAAGCCTCAATCAGCTCACGAATCTTGTGGAATTGGGCATGACTTGAAGTTTGGCCTTGGTGGACTCTGATTGGTGACAGGAATCTCATCAGCGACTCACGCAGTCGCACTGGACTCGGACTCGACAACGAGGCGCTGTGGAATGCGGAAGCACGCAGCCAACCACGCGCGTTCGAACCGCAAGTCAGCAACCTGCCGGACTTGCTCGGCTCATTCGCCCCTTCGTTCGTATCAACAATGGTAAGAGGGCCCTTGACAGCGTCTTCCCTGCCGTTGTCAATAACAGGAGTCAACATTGTGGATGCAGGTGGCTAGAGAGAGGGCAAGCGGTCCGAATCCTTGATGCCCCGCATAAAAGTCCTCGGCGATGGACACCAGGCTCTTTGGTGGCCGTGACGACCTTTCATGCTAAATTTTTCATCCTTGATTTGGTATACCAAAGACTGGCTCGTGCCTGAGCTTTTGTGCGTCCTCTCCTCTGTCTCACGTCGGGGCCGAATGAGGCTGACTGACAGATGTACAGAAGAAGCGTGGCTTCAACTTTGTCCCACACTTGACTGGGATTACCCTCCCTGCTCATCAATTCCACACCCCCGACTAGACACACCCCTGTGAAGCACTTGAGTGCTCCTAGCTTACACGGTATTCGCCTATTCAGCTCCGGGGCGGACGTTCTCAATTTTCTCAGGCCCAGGAGGATCATCAGCTGTCCGTATGGACATAAGTACATGTCTGACGTCCTGCGTGTCCGTCATTGCACGTCAGAAGGGATGCAAGCTGAAGAACCCATCGACATTCTTACTTATAGCTTAGACTGCCCACAAACGACAACGACGATATCTTGTTCAAGCTTTGCCACAAAGCTCTGTCCTCACTCCACAAGCCAGTCGTGGCAGCGAGTTCGTAGGGTGCCGCTTGGCTGGGCTCTCGGGTGAGTTTCAGCTACTAGTCTCGGCAGCGACCGAAAACCACAGTCTCGGTCCCGGATACTCGTCACATTCTTCTGATCTGGACTGTCGTTAGGCTGCTCGCAGCACCATAAGAACAGGCCGCTGCCGACAACAACGACAACAACACCAACAGTGTGCTGTCCGCCTGCCTGGTCAATCAGTAACGCCTTGCCGCTGATAACTGGCAAGCTCAGCTGTCGTTCCCTTGTCAGATCGCCCCGTTCAGGCTACGCGGTACACCCACAGTCATCAGAGTCCCACCCTGCTTGCTCGTCATTGGATTGTCGCAAACCTGCACTCCTCAGGCGCTTACCCCAGGCGGTCGCTCTCCCTGTCAGACTTATAATCCTTCTTCCCGGTCCACACCATGTCACCGATAGATCACCACATGACCGAACAACTTCCCGCGCCAGGACTCGACTGGACGACGCTTCCTCACTGGCGATACCCCGATTGCCTTATCCTCGCCTTCCCCTTTTTCGGGCTGATTCTTCTTGCACGATTCGTCATAGCCCAAAGAAGTGGTCAAGAGGTACATACCAAGCAATACTCTGACGTGGTGTCCGAAGCAGTTCAGCAACAACGCTTTTGGGCATCGGAGAAGTCACGTGGGGTCAGCAGAACCGGGCCGTTCATGCCAGCCAACCACTCACCACGAGACTCCCATTCGAGGTCTGGACATAGTCTCGACTCGGTTCAGGACGCACGCCAAGCTCTAAAGGCCATATCTGTGATGGTTGACATTGGCGAAGGAGCACAACCCAGTCCGCAGACTAGCGCGCAGACTTGGACCACACAAAATCGACCACGGCCACCACCACCTTTAACACCTCCTGTACTGTCTAGAGCGCATTTGGACCTCAGCATCCATCCATCGCAAGCGGGCAGCTCAGGAGTTGTTGACTTTGACAAAGACTTCTTCGGTCTTCCCAATCCGGATTATATGTCGGCCACAATGGATTCAACTTCTGCTACGACATCCTTCCATCCTCAACAAGGTTCATTTGTGACCCCTCGGCGCAGATCATATACAAAGGTCCTTCCATTCGCGCCAGATCAATCTGCAGCTGAGGAGGAAAGCAGGTCACTCGTCGCTACACAACGCACCATGTCAGAGCCTTACCCCTCTTCACATACAACCGCTGAGAGTCGGGAGATGAATGTTCAAGGAGAGATAATATCGGTCCTGGACGATACGGGAGCCGGTTGGAAACGTCACACACGTGTATACGGAGGTGGCGTGTGTCTCGCCTGCCTGGAGGCGGAAGGGAGTGAGGGAGGCGGCTTCTATGGCGCCAATGTACGACCCGAAGACAGGCGGCATTGAGGATCTCCGCGTGTCCGAGGTCCGCCGAGACACGGACATTATGGCCATTCTTGACGACTTCTATTGCAGCCTACATCAGCTTCGTACTAGGAGTTTGCATCGGCATCTGGCCTTGATATGCCTGGCAATCGAAAGTCTGCGCCATCATGCAGCGGCGCCCAAAAGATCCCCATCACGATTGCACTAACGAGCTATGAATTCACCATCTCTTTTTCTCCATCGAAACTGTCTTGCAAAAGTCCAGGAGGCCCGAAACTCGGGACTTGGGCAATTATCACTGGCGGTTTGCATCTCCTCACCAACTGCATTGGCGCATCTCGCTGCAAAACGATATATAGGACGTAGCTACGAAAACAAAGATGTTTCGGGCAGCCTTTCTCTCGACCTTGATTGACCACTACGTTTGAGATCTGAATATCTTTTTACAAGCTTCCCAGCAATGACGTGGCGATAGAGACCAGCGCTGTGCTAGGTCTACAAAGCAGTAGCGCCGTGCGTTGTTCGTGAAGACTGGCTGCGTCAGAGGAGACACAGCACCTCCCAAGCTGAAACCCCTGCCTGCGACGACCAGGCGTCATCCGACATGGGCATGGATCGAAATGCAGACGACGCATTCCTTCATCCTTCCAGGGGCAAGCACGCATACGCCATCGCCTGCAACACCCGGCATGGTTGGTTTACAAGTCCCGCATGTGTGGTACGCACACTTGTGACCCTCCCCAGGCCAAAACACGATCGGGCATTTGCCGCTTCTGGTCTTTGTCGCATGACCGTTGTCGAAGCTGGATCCGCCTTTGCACGCTGCCCAGAACTGCACACTCGACATCCTGCACCGCTGGTTGGCTGCTTCGGAAGCAGAGAAGGCGGTTTATCAAGGGATCCGCAACAGCGAGCGGCTGCTGCGGCTGTGCTCTCGAGTTTCGAGTGCCCATGTCAGCATTAGGCGCGCGGACAGGATGGGCAGCCCAGCCCTACCAACGCCTTGCTGACGCCGATCACAAGCGCGGGCTGCGAGGACGACTGGCAAGGCAGGGTACGTACGTCTTGCATGCATGCATGCACGAGCACAGGGGGCCGTGGTCCTTGACGGTATCGTATAACGGTTTCTTTCCTCTCCCCCTCTTTGCCCCCCATCGGAGGAGGTCGCAAGGGCGGATGACGACACTTGTCAGTGTAGGATTGCTCTCGGGCTTCTGGAGCTTTGGTTCTAGTGGGCTATCTGTTTCTCCACACTTTTATCGCGCAGTACCTTCTCTCGGTCTTTCCGTTTGGGGGCGAAACTGCTCTAGTCTTGAGTCATGATTGGCTAGCGAACGAGGCCAGCGCTTTTTTTAGTGCGCCGCGCGACTCGGTCGAGTCGCCGGGGTCCAGATCCAATCGGCACGCCAGGGACCAGGGAAGAAGGGGGGAAACCAGTTCGTGGTATGGCTTCTAGTCTGTAGCATCGGTGAGCTGGCGTTGATCACCAAAGTTTAATCAGCTTTTAGGACCTCCGTAGAAGTGCTGGAGCGTCACGGGCCACAGCCCAGCGGCAGGGCAAGGGCCACGACGAAACAGAAAGTCCTGTTCTGTCCTGGCAGCACGCACTGGTAGAGCAAGGCCTGTTGTCTCTGAGACATTCGCGGTGCACGGCCAATGCACAAACGCCGCCGACGACGACGACCCATCGCCGACTCTAGGTGCTCGGTCTGCTCGGTCTGCTCGCCCTAGCCCTGGCCTCCTCCGTCGGGCTCCTCTGAGGACGCATCTGGGGGTCCTGTCGGGTACCTTTGAATTGGAAATGATACCCGCCCCCAGCGGTGCCCTTACGTGGGGGGGATTGTGGTGCTCAAGTCAGCACAATTACAGCAAGCCTGCCCCGAAGGTGAGTTTTGGGTCATCATCAGCAGCCTGTTTTTTTTTCCCTTTCGGTGTTTTTTATTTACGCAGGACCAAATGATCCCCGATCGAACTGGGACCGGTGCTGGCGTTATATCTACACACCTCTTTGGCTGGTTCTTGCGTTCTGCAGCAAGTCGTGTCCCTTGTTTCAACGCATGACCTGGTAGATTAGCTGGATGGGTGCTTGAGGACGCAGCACACAGTCTGCCCGGACCCATCGTGAGCATGGACAGCTAGTAAGCTATTGTCCTGGTTCGTTCCGAGTTGTTTCGTATCTCCGTATCTTCGTATGTGAACGGTGTCTGCGGGAGGGGGGAAAGGGGGATTGTTCATCCTGCGGGTGCACTCACGCGATATTGAACAGGAGTTTCACTCGTCGTTGCTTGGAGGCCTGGCCAGATCGAATTAAATGTGGGTGAAACTCGGCAATTACTCCGAGGTTTGAACGCAGGAATAAGTCAAGCCTAAACATGCACCCAAGTCGACGGGTCAAAATTGTTATCTGCAAGGGGCCAAAGAGAAGAGATCATACACACAAACACATACACACACACAGCGAGATATGTATATATAGAGAGAGAGAGACACACACACACACACAGAGAGAGAGAGAGAGAGAGAGTGAGTGAGAGAGAGAGAGAGACAGAGACAGAGACAGAGAGAGAGAGACAGAGAGACAGAGAGAATTAGGGGAGAACTAAATATGTAATTGGCTTTTGTGATGGTCCTAGACTCAAGGTTGATAGAAAGTAGGAGGTTGAGAGAAGGGCATTCTTTTCTATAAATATTTCCGCTGGCTTCACGGCCACCAAACTCACGAGTCAGACCGCGTATTTTTCGGTAGTCAATTTGCAGCAATTGAGAGGGTGTGAGCGATATGAGTCAGTTTCAAAGCACAAAGGCTGGTAGAATCCCCCCTGCGAGTAAAACATGCCGGGTCTCACCGGAAAGAAATTATTCGAGTTGACTGCGAGTTTTAAGTGAGAGAGGTCCGCGTTACTGCTGCGCTTAGGATCGAGATAAATGTCGATGGAAATGGAATTGTACAAGCTCAGAACTCTGACAGTCTCACCCACCGATCATCCGGCCGGTCACATATCTTCGGTTAGGACAGGGTTGGGGCCATCAAGGCTGGGCTGAGTCTGCTTCAGATCAATTTTCATCGCGAAGCACCACCGGGAACATCGGGGCAATACACATGTTCTCTTTCATTACAAGTGCTCAACTGTGCTATTGACCTTCTTCCTCTTCTGTAGATTCACGCGAATTTAGTTCGCAGACTGTCCGCAAGCCTGTAAGCAAATATAGATGTGCTACTGGTTGACTTCCGTCTTGAAGCATTTATCGGTCTTTTCTGATTAGGTGTCTAGAGATCAGATTGTGGTAATCTTGTACAGTATTTGAAACTAATTGTAAGGATTGTTCATAGCATGTACCATTTGCGCTTTTCCTCTGTCCCAAGTTTATCTTTCATGAGGCATTTCAGCGGTCGCAAGCGTGGAGGGCAGTATCCCATATCTTGCTGTGCGTGCCGTCCTCAAGGCAAAGAACTCTCACGAGCTCCGCGACTCCCGCTTCTTGTCCTGTATGTCTATGCTGAATGCTCACTCTACTGCGCAATTAGAAGAAGAAAAATAAAGATTGCCCGAGCACGTAATAGATTTTGACAGTGTATGCGGGCATCTGGAGATCTTTGAAACCGATATCAAGAACCATCCCCGTGCACATCCCTGTGAGAGGACCGTATGGCGGTTCGTTTTCAGCAGATTGATCAGGTCTCCTGTTGTTCTGGTCTCCCTGGCTCAACCAACCGAATGTCCGAGAGGCGACTACTGCTGTATGCTATCCACCCTTGGGACGGTCTGTACTGCTTGGTTGAATGAAGGCCGGCATGATTTGAGATAGCCCAAGATTTCACAAGGCTCCAAAATAAAGTGATTGACCGGTTAGTTTCCAGTGAGGTGGATGGTGCACAGAGGCGAGAAGCATCTACAAACAGAGATTGACTGAGGTCCGGGATCTAAACTCGACACCACTTTGCATTCATGCTAGAGAGTTCCTGCATCGCCTCATTGAGCGCCATAGCGGCTGGTTGCAGAGTCTCTGCCTTACCATCAATTTGCAGATACGGCCAGTAGAAAACCACAGACAACACTCTCATGAGGACGCAGACAACAAGAAGCAAACAACAACCATATGTTCCGTCCGCAATCTTATCACTGCCGCGTTATGCGCCGGCTGTTTCTTGTCGGCTCGGTTTCTGAACCTGTATCCGGGCGTATCCTGCTAAATGATCTGAGTTTCAGGACTTTTCCGCGCACTGGGATCACACCGTGTCCCAGATATAGTGACAGATATATAGCAGAATCACAGCCTAATGATGACGGCATTATAACAGAAATATGCCCCGTGAGAGTAAGTCAACGGAACCCCTCCCCCCATTCCAGCACATCGTACTCAGTCGTGACCTCGGCAAGCGCACCTTCGTGCCCTTCATTCTCGTGAATTATTGTTTAGCACCAGCACTCTGGCCATAGTTCTGCGAAATTCGACACCTTCACCACAACCTGCGTGTGTCTAACGATGCGACATGTCAAAAGTGCTGTACCCGCACTCTGGCACGCACAGGATTGACTGTCCTGCCGAGCGGCTGGAAATCACATGCCAGATCGTCAGGCCCAGACAGATAGCGAGAGAACATGCTCTCCACCATGTGAACTAATATGGTACATCTCCACACCAAAGGGGCTACCAGTGTACGCATGGGAGTGAGAGAGTTGGCTCGTCGTCTTCTCGTAGAACAAACTTGCTCGCCCCAACCAGGTTCGACACGTGTTTCTCTGATAAGCTTAGCCAACGTAAGGCGCGCATGGCTCTTGGGACACCCGGAGAGTACACCTGAGCATCATGCACGTGAGAATTCATGTCACACGGTCCTTGTTTCTCAGGTGTAGAGCTGCTGGTACTAGACGCTCCTGTTAGCCTCCAGCCTGTGCCGCCCCAATGATCGCACTGCCTGTGAACTACAATAGGGTGGAACAGAAATATCGCTCATGGTCGAACTATAAAGGCGTCACAATCAGCTTACCAGGACGCGATCATGGGAATCCCTTGACTTGGAAAACATCGCCTACGTCCTGAGCCACGCACATGCGCACGCACGCGGGTGTGATGTTCGCTGCTTGAGCTACGCCAACCACGTAAGGCTTCAGAAACCCTGTGTTGCAATCGGACATGAAGAGAGTGCTGGAATAGACATGGAAGTGTTCTACTCGTGGAAGTTTCAATGTCATGTTTTTGTCTCGCATGCAGTAAATGCTGTTGGACGTCCTTACAGTACTTTGGCTCTTGTTCTGGAAAGCTGATATGATTCACTGGGATTGTCGAGGCCCAAGGGCGGACGGAATAAGATTCTGTTGCTGCTGTTTTGAACCCTCGTTACGGACAAGTAATGGGAATCCCAACTCAATATCATGCAGGAACGGGGGAGCTCTCGTCAACAGCCCGTAAAGTCATGTGTGTCCTGGTTTTGTTTGCTTTCCATGAATATGGAAGAAAGTCTGGGATACCTATACCCACACGCGTGTTTGTCCACTCAGCATCGGTCTTGTCATTAACGTTCCGAATCGATCTGCGGCAGCGGGTACCGAGTCACCCGCCGAGCACAGCGCTTCGGTTCTCAGCTGGACAAAGAAAAAGAAAGCGCTGATGCGGGGTGAAGTACAACGTCACATGTTAGCCCGACCAGCCAACGGGTTCACGGCGTCGTCGTGTCATGTCCTATTGATAGTTCAATGCTGTCTTTGGAGATTTGTATCGTGCTGAAGCAGAACAGCCACATAGACACTGGGCACACACCAGTGGCCGGCTGAGCAACTACCGAGCAAGCAGCTTGTTTTCACATGGGACGCTCAAGGATTGGCAGAACGAGATACACAAGCAGAAGGTCGGCTAAAGGAAAGAGCAGGCACACGTGTGTGTGAACAATTGCAGACGCCGCCGCTGATCAGATGCAGTGTCGGTGGCGCGGGCGGGATGCTGGTTGGCTGTGGCCGTCCATGGCTTGCAGGACGTAAGCGCCCGCCACTCCTAGCGCTGTGGACTCGTGTGCGGTGCGGTGACAAGCACAATGGCACCTGCAGGGAGGCTTGCATGTCGACAAGCAGGGCCTAGCCCGCCATGATATGGCACCTGGTGCCACACACAAAGAGCTGGATGCGATGGGTTAGCTCTGTGACGTGCAACGTGGCGAGCAGCTCCCCTCCAAGGATTGTCCTTCCTGGGCGCGTGTTGAGCAGCCCAGCGTCTTTTGAACACAAAGGAAAACGGTCTTAACAGACAATAGCGCCGAGTCGCCAACATCACCAACTGGACTGGCTATCTCGGGAGCTATGGCCAGGGCGACGCGACAAGGAATCCAATCGGCGACGCGCCTGTTGCCACATTCCATGGGATCTGACGAAGACAGGGGGAGCCAGCTTCGTGCTTGTTGTCCGCCCACGGGCCCATTCCCCGCGCGCTTGTTTCAGTCTGGCGATACAGGCTCGACGGGTGACAGGATACTGCTGGCGCGGCTGGGCCCGGACGACAAAATAGTTCAGACGTGGTTGTGGGCCTTTGGCAGCGTGGAAAGAACACTCGCTGTTGATGCAATTGGATGCCCAGCCGAGATCAACGGCTTTGCCGTCTTGGTACCTTCTCTATGATTCCGAGGAAATGGAGACTGTCAGGCCCTGTAAGCACTGCGACGTTGCACATCCGCGTTTCTGGATGTGACCAGCCAATATCATATGGATTCGATGCTCGAGGCTCCCGCTTCTGATCCGGGTCACCGCTCGGCAAAGGCCGTTGTAGCCACATGGGTAAGTGGTGGCATGATGCTCCAGGATATCCACCCTTGCCCCCAAAGGTCGAATCCTCAGGTCCAGATTTACCTAGGACCGGAAGGTTTCATACCGTCTCTCGTCCCTGACGGCGGACGGAGTCACTCTGTGTCTCAGATGCACCGACGAAGCCCTATGGCAGGGGTTCGATGGGCCTCGGACACGGGCATGTGCTTCAGCTCCACCAGGCCAGCTTCCCCTTCCAAACTGGCAATGAGTCGTGAAGTACAGTCTTTGTGCACGACCTACCCCAGACAGCCTTCTCTTCACAGGACCTCCCCAAAGCAGACAATCGTTTGATCCTCCGCCCCGTGGCTGGGGTAGACGGCACACCTCCTGCTCCAGACAAGCCAGGCTCGGAGTGGGGCTGTGGCTCAAGCATAATTTCCCGCACATGTAAGGCACTGCGCTTGCCAAGCCGGTGACTCGTGGCACACTTCTCAGTGGCTGCTGTGAAATGGTGACTCGGCTGGCGCTTGGTCTACAGGCAAGCATCATTGCTCGAGATCGTTTTCATTCGATGATGGGATAGAGCTGGCGGGAAACTTCCCTTGTCTACCGGCAGCGGAGCGGAGCGAGGACCCAGAAAAGAACCAAGAACAGCAGCGCGGTCGCAGTCCCAAGCTCCCATCACAAGCCCAGCCAAGTTGGAACGCCTTTGCCACTGGCAGTGCCCAGCTGGCGGCGAAGGAGGACCCGCCTGTTCAGGGGTTGTGCCAGAGGACTGTCGGTGTCATGCACACCCTTGCGCCAACGCCCAAGTGAAACATGCCGACTGCAGATCAGAGTGCTCCCCTCGTTCTTCGACGGATGCACCGCCATCGGAACCATGACGGAACCAGAACAGGTCAAGCTGTCGATGCTCACTCTCCCCAGTGTCTCGACAGGGCTTGCTGATAGAGAGATGGCCCTTCGAGCCGGCAGGCCGGCGCCTGGTGGCCCTGTTCTCCACAAGTCATTGCACCTGTGAGCTCCTCGGCCTTGGTGCTAACTCTCATGCCAATTTAGAACGGAGGCGAGGCCGCTTTAGATGAGCAAAACTGCTGATCGTATGCAAGAAGAACAATGGAAGGTTGGATCAATACTTACTTTAGCTTGTGCGCAGGCGTCTCCACAGGGTCCAGCCGTTGATGGAGTCCTGTAACGGCTAGTAGGGAGCACCAATGTAAGTCAACAAGAAGAGTTGCTTGCTGGAGCTGTGGCGTGGATAGCACGGCGTTGCGGAAGACCCGATGGCACAAGATGAACAGTAAGAGTTGCAGTTGATGTTGTCGAGTAGTGGTCTTTTCGCTGTCTAGGATCAGCATTCTCCATCTAGCAGTCATGCGACCGTTCCCACCGTCCCATCGCACATCGGACACAATCTATTTGAGAGCACGCCCAAAGCACGCTCCACAAGCCAGCCCCGGCTCGCTCGTTCAAGCGGGCCAACACCAGTGCGGCATGATCCCAGAAGGGGGGCGTTGGACGACGGCGGCACGAGCTCCTGGTTGGTCGGATCCAGGTTCCACCACAAGCGTAGAGCACAATCGGTGCTGGCCAGTAGGAACCCACAGCTTGTCAGGCACGAGCCGGTGAGCAACCTCGATGCTTTCCACATGGTGCTCGGCTGTGGGTTGGGCTGGGCTCGCGTTCGTACCGCGAGCGACAATATGCAATCATCGGCCAGCCTCCAAGGTTGCGAGTCACGACGCTCGATGGACTCTGTAATGGCGATTAGAATGGCAACACACCGGTGGGCGTAGGGCGAGCCTATTGCGCTGCTGGACGAGTTTTGCGCGTCAAATGCTGGCTAGTGCGAGGCACGAAGAGATTGGGAAGATGGCACACGAGGTGGGTGGCGCCTAGCTCGCTGGGCTGCAGCCTGCAGGAGAAAGGGCTAAATGCGTCCGTCCTCTCCAGGGCTGCTCATGGCTCGTACAGTGTGCCTCGAGTGCGCTTGGGTGCAAGTTGACAGTGCTTTAGACAGTGTATTGCTATCAGGGGCACGGTCCCCCGTCTGGCGATCACAGAGCCTGGAGGCGCACAAAGGCGCGGTGCCATTGGCTGACATGGCCGCCGGGACCCTGGAAAGCTGCCACCCCTTCGATCCCCACTGCACAGTGACAGCCGCAACGTGTGGCCTGCCCGCCAGGCCCGCTCCACACGCACCACCACCACCACCGCCTTGGCTCCTTGTCGCCTGGCAGGGCCCCAGTGCCAGGTAGCCCACCCAGCTGCAGTGGCTCGCTGGCGGCGGTCGTCGCTCTCGGGTGGTGTGCTGTGCCCAGCAAGTGCGAGCATGCCCCAGAGGATGGGTGCGCCTGGACGGGCGGGCCCTGCCCTGCCCTGGCCTGGGCTGGCCTGCCTGACGAACCTGGCTCCTTTCTCTTTTTCCTTTCATCACCGCTGCCCTCGCGTCTCGGCTTCTTCATCTCTCTCTCCTCCTCCTCTCCTCTCCACGGCTCGTCCTTCCTTCACTCCCTCCTTGCGCCCGCCTTCCTCCTTCTGCCTTGGCCTACTCTTTCTAGTCCGCGTGTCCTCTTGTGGCTTCTCACCATCCACCCGTCCGTCGTCGACTCGTTCGGCTTACTGGTCCGCTGCCCCAACAGACAAACCCTTCCCGCACTGCCTCTAGAATCAGAAAGCACTCCATCGCACCGGTTGCTCGCCATCCCGACTCCCACCAGTAGTCCAGCTCCGGCCGTCGCCACCGTCAGCATCAGAAGAGATTTTGGAGGACAAGAAGAAGAAGTTGAACAAGAACGCGCAAGCTCCGGTCTGAAACCAGTCAACAACTGCACTCGCCGAAACACTCTGCACACCTCTCGACAACAGCCAAATCTCAACACAGCACAACGTTTATTAATTCTGTACTCGTTACCCACTCTGCCGAGTCGTTTCTGCAACCCAGCTCACCATCGACATACACCATCGATTCGAATAATCATCGCCCAACTTCTGAGATAATCCCGACCGCGAGACTCCTGCACCCAACCTCTCGATCTCACTGTGGTCCAGTTGACTGTTGACCCTGTGCCATCAACGACTTTCGCAGTTCCGCCCTAGCCAGCTTCTCGGCCACCGCAGATTACTCGACCTTCACTCCTTCTTGGTTACTTCGGCCCAATCGATACTTACCAGCACCCTAATAGACGTCTTCTCAGGCTGCCTGCATCCATTCCGGGCACATCGCGTTTGATACGACGACACAGCATCTTCAACACCCTCTCTAATACACACGCATCTCGGAACAATCATCAGCGAAAGATTGACCATTACCTGGTTGTAATATTGCACTTCGGTATATCCCACTTGCCAGCGGATATCCAGCCTCATTCCTTCCTTTCATCATCGCCTCGAAGTTCGAGGTACTTTTCCCACTTCGCGTCCACATCACAATCTCGAGTATGAACACTGGCGGTTTTGCTCAAATGTCTCACAACGGCTTCGCTTCGCCTACTGGCATGGGCATGCCCGCTGGGGGCCTTGCCTCGCGCCGTGGTGGTGGTCAGAACATCAAGCCGCTCTCTTTCGATGTCACCAAGACCATCGACCCCAAGGACAACGGCGTCCCGACACCTCGCACGAGCCGCTCCCACCTTCTGGCGGGCCTGCGTACGGCTCCCAAGTCGGCTACCGCGGCCTCCTTTGGCTTGGCATCGCCCACCACCAGCGGCCCCTCTCAATCTCAAGTCTTCAACCGTGGCAATGCTATGCAGTCTGTACAGGAGCACATGAACGGACCCAAGACTTCGCTCCCTCGCATGGCGACTCAGAACCAGTCTCAGCAGCAGCATTTCCAGCAGCAGCAGCAACAGCAGCAGCGCGCCATGTTGCAACAGCAACAACAACAACAGCAGCAGCAGCAGCAGCGTTACAACCAGCAGCACTTCACGGCTGAACAGATTCTCGCCCCCCCGGAGATCATGATTGATGAGCAGGAGCAGATGGATCCCAACTTGTACAACCAGTTGGTCGCCACCAACATGTACCTGGCCCAGCAGCAGCAACGTCTGCAGCAACAGCTGCTGAATGTGCAGGCTGCCGCGCAGCAATTCCAGGGCATGAACCTCAACAGCCAGGCTTCCTTCCAGCAGCAGATTGCCCTCCAGAACCTGTACCAGCAGCAGCAGCAGCAACTCAACAATCTGCAGCAGTCAATGGCCCAGGTCATGCCGACCCACCAGAATGTGTACACCTACTATGACCCCGTTACTGGTCAGCAGGGTTACTACGTTGACCAGGGCCAGGCCGCTGCGAGCTACATGGATCAGACACCAGCCACGCCCCTTGGATTTGGTCAGCAGCAGCAGCGCAACGGCACTCCTCGTGTGCAGGTTTCCCCCCCAATGGAGAGCCAGCAGGGTTCGTTCCGCTCAAACAGCCCTCCCAAAAAGCTTGAACTTACTGGCGAGCACGAGCCCCTTCCCCCTCCGTCTGCCAACGCTTTCCGTCGTGGCCATAAGAAAGCCCCGTCTCTGGCCAAGCTCAATCTCAACAACGCCGCCATCGTCGAGGAGGCTCCTGCTTCTGCTGGGCTCAAGTCCGCTGCTTTTCCCCTGTCTCCTGTGGTTCCAAGTGGTTACGGCCCTGGGCAGGCTCGTGCCGGTGAGCACCCTGTCCGCCAGCCTCGCGGCCCTCCGGCTCTTGAGGAGCTCAAGGCCAAGCCCACTACCAGGTTCGAGGGAAGCAAGAACTTCTCCACCCGCACTCGTCGCTCGGCCATCAAGAATCTCGTCAAAGCCGGTCTCGAGAGACGCAAGGGTACTGGAAGCAGCTGTGGAAGCATGAGCCCTGTCTCCGAATCTGCCGAGGAAATCGCTACTCCCTTGACTGACGATGAGTCGGACTCTGGTCGCAGTGGCTCCGGAAGCCTTTCTGGCGACGCTGAGCCGAGCCTTGCTAGCTCCCGCACCTCAACTAGCGGAAGCTGGGGTGCCATTGGTTCTGAGCGACCAGGCTCGCGCCAGAAGACTCGCAAGAGCCACGAGAGCCTGTCCAGCGCCTGCGAGAGCGACGGCAGCTTCGCGAGTGTATTCAAGAACGGCGCGCAGCGTGGCGGCAAGGACGAGCTCGCGGATGGGCAGCGCAAGACGAGGCTCGTGCTCACGAGCGCTGAGAAGCGCAAGTGCAGCAACCCCTCTGCGTAGAGCACCTTTTTTCGATTCCCAACCATGCTTCACGACCACACGTTCACTACGCGAAATCTTTTCTTCTCTCTCACGACCATTGCGCTAGGAGTGGTTGACCTGCTCCAATGCGCCATACGACTGCATTCAGCGTGGCTGCATGCCGGATCTTCGATCACAGCTGCAGCAGCTGACTTCGATGGTGTTCAAGGACAGTCGGAGGGCTTGGGGTTATTCTGTTCTGCATTTGTGGCTTGTTCCGGTTCTCGTCTTTGAATTACGTTGTTTGTTTGCTATACCAGGAAGGTTTTTGGAGCTCGTGTCGGAGAACGACATTCACTTCGTGAGAACAGATTCTCGCTGTGCCGAGTTCTGACACCGGCGTTTGAGGGATCGTCTCGAGTTTTTTTCACGCCCACTTGGGTTAGCGGTCTCTTTCAGATCGCTGGCCAAAAACATGATATGCTTGGGTCGGACAGGGCACTCTAGACTGGCGGGTATGCTCTGAGACATGATGGCATTGCACTTATGAACCTTGTGGATGCTTCGTGTTCTTGGTCGCGACCCGAGATATGCACCTCCGGGTCTTCGTGGCACCTCGCAATGGGTACAGCTAGATAGTTATGAATGACAAACACGGAAATTGGTTGTCACAATCTCGTGCTTTGTGCGTGAACTGTACATCCGTCCTCGCCGCGTGTTGACCTCTATCTTGATTTTGATGGTTGTGACCAAATTGGGCTAAGGAACCCAGCAGGCGGGGTCAGCCGTCGTCATACGGGACCCTGAGCCCTGAAGCTAGAGAAATGCGTCCGGCGCAACGATAGAGCGGCGGTAACTTCCTCCTCGGTGGTTCAAACGCTTTCGCTGCTCCTCTGAACTCCTCTTGTGCCTCTCACCCATCGTCGAAGCTCGAAAGCGTTAATCGACAGGTCTGGCATTCACTGCTGCTGCTCTTCTGCCCGACAATCACGTCCCCGCCCAACCACATACTTCCTCCCTCCAAGGACGCAAGTTTGGTGCTGCCCTCGACTTCGTCGCCCCCCAATAAGGAAGCGGGAGCGAAATACCATAACCTCGTCTTTGCAACCTGCCGTCGACGAGGCACGAGGCACAGAACGTAGACAGCCAGCTCAAAGCAAGTGCGACAGCCCGATTCCTCGACCATTAGCGAGCGCGAACGGTCTTCTCCGCGGTCAATCGAGCGATAACTAGCCTTGGAGCCCCGGGGGCGAGTGCGAAACGAGCCAACACACACACGTTCACACACACACGTTCACACACACACGTTCACACACACACACACACACGTGTGGCTAGGCACACATTGAAAACACAGACGTCCGGACACATTTCTCCGAAAAAGAAGAAAAACCGCAGAGATGGCGCCGCGGTCAGGAGTCGAGGTGAAAGAGGAGGAAGGGGAGAGCCAGAAGAAGATCTCGGTCTTGTTCGTGTGCCTGGGCAACATCTGCCGCTCGACCATGGGGGAGGGCGTGTTCCGGAGCCTGACGCTGTCCGAGGGGTCGCCTTACAAGCGCTTCGTGGGGAGGGTCGATAGCTGTGGGACTGGCGGCTACCATGTACGTTGTTGTCCCACCCTTTTTTTCTCTCCCTGCAATGTGGTCTCTGGGTTTTGTGGTCCTTTTGGATGCTCCGTCGTCGTGGAGGATGTGGCGGACTTGGGTGGGTGGTTGCTCAGCGGTAGTGAGTGAGTGAGTGGGTGGGTGGGTGCCTTGGGAAGCGGGAGACGGTGGCATCCATTTTGAACGTGGCGAGAATAGGGCGAACATTAGATCGTTTGGACACGGAGAGGATTATCTCGCTTCAGCGGGGCATCACGTCGATTAGATATGGATGGAAAGCTGAGATTCCGCGGCATTTCTGGTCGACGGGAAGAATATTCTTGATATCAACATCCAAGCTAACTCTCAAATTGCCATGCAGACAGGAGACGAGCCCGACTCGCGGACAATGAGCACTCTCGAGGACCACGGCATTACGGATTACAGGCACGCAGCGCGGACGGTAAGTCTTTGACTTTCTTATCTCGCGTCTCTTGGAGGGGGCGGGATGGTTTCTAGACGTGGTGGAAATGCCATGCTCTTAGTGGTATCTCCGGGCTGCTTATTTCAGAGTGCCATCGAAGATGAGGACGTGGCATCTTCCCTTCTCTGGTCTCTCATGCAAAGCTGACCCTGTTCTTGCTGTCAACTTGCAGCTTCGCAGCCGCGACTTCAAGGACTTCGACTACATCTTCTGCATGGATCACAGCAACCTCGAGGACGCGCAGCGGTGGGCCAACCGGCCTGCCTCGAAGGACGGCGCGAAGGCACAGGTTATGCTATTTGGCGAGTTCTCTGGCGTCCCCGGCAAGAAGGAGCGCGTGTCGGATCCATACTACGGTGGGCGGGATGGGTTTGAGAAGGCGTACGAGCAGTGCAGGCGGTTTTCGATCAACTTTTTGAAAGAGAAGCTCCCAAATGTTCCTGGCGGAGAGGAGTTTCTGGCCAATCTCTGACGTTGCAGGTGGGAAAAGGATAGACTACCTTGGTTCTACCTAGATCATAAGATCATAGATCAAAGATCAAAGATAATAGAGCGAAGAGCGCCTCCACGAGCTAGCCAGTATAGAAGAGCCTAACATGTGATTGTGTCCCGACGCTGCGGTCCACATCTTCGAAGATCGAGGTCTGCTCCAGTGATGCGACACTGTCTGAGCTCCAGACATCATCCATGCCATGCCATAAGTTGGGGGCCGCGTAGCACTAAACATTTATCTTCAGACAAGAAAGCCCAGGCATAAGCTGTGCGGCTCTAGAGATCCAGAATCTCGATGTAAGCGTGCTAGAAGGACATCGAGCCGCCTTTTCACTTCGACGACTAGCGCTGTCGAATGGCCGCGGACATTCGGACGAATCGGCGCACCAGCGTCATGCATGTCAGAGCTGGGTGAGTGCGAGGGTACTGCCAGCCAAGACAGCTGCTGAGCAGGCTGTCGCCTCTTACTCAGCCCTAAGGATGACTATGGCACCGTGGCACAGGGTAGCTGGCAAGGGGTATAGCTTCTCCCGCATTGGAGGAGTCAGCTCATCTGGTTCCGGCCAGCTGGACTGCGTGTCCTAGCGACAGCTACTCAGTAGCAAAAGTACGTTAGGTAGCGTCCGGCTGGTGCATTAGCTCAAGTTCGTCCTCTAGAGGGCTCGTCATGACCAAGGGCTGAGCTGGTTTTGCGCAGCAAGCTTGCCATCTATTCTCAAGCACACAAAGCCTCGTTAGCCGAGGGCGAGACAGACCAAGCCGATGCTGATAGCTTGCCCCTGCTGCTCTCTGCAGAGCAGTTGCTTCCACACTCGCGGGTCTGAAGGTGACAGGACTTCCGGGGGCCGGGGGTAGTGGGGGCGGAGCTGCTCACTTGCCGGCTCAGCCTTCAGCGAGGGACTTTGAGATGTCAGCGTCGGGTTGGCTGCGAGCCTGGTTTGGATTTGTGCCGCACCGTTCCGCGCTGGGCTTCCGTTTTGGCGTCAGCCATGAGATTCCGGAAAAGTCAATGGTTCGGTCCCCATCTCAAGAAGCCATCATCAGGCTCTGGGCACGCATCCCTGCCTGTGAAGACTATGCCGTGATGGGATTCGCTGCTGGGTTGTCAGCGGCAATCTGGTGGTGCCAGCCAATGGCCTGGCGTGATGGGCAGGTAGCCGCTGGAGGGCGAGAGCTTGTGTGGGGCGTCACCTGGAGCTCTGTCTGTTGGTGCAAGGTCAAGATCAGGAGACAACCTTGGGGAGATGGCCAGATGGGCAACGGGAGCCACGCTTGAGTATTACCCTAAGGCAGGATGCTGGGCTGAGCTTGCATGAACGAGCATTGGAGCGGCCGCCGATTGGTCGCAACCCGGCTGCTGCCCATGCAGTCGTCGAGGGGCAAGTTGCGACTCGAGCGCGCGAGGAAGGCAACTGCCGCATCTGACAGCGCCGCGTTGGACACCCCGCCATGGGCCCTCCAGCTTAAAGATGTTGGCGCAGCCTGCCTCTGCCCTCCTTCCTCTGCCCTCGCTCTCTCTTGTCGTGATCTCAAGTGCTCGTACACAGTCAAGCAGCAACGGCTTAGTGGACAGTTCTTCTCGGTTCCTCCCAGATCGAACACTCTTTTTTCCAGAGCGGCCCCCCTTACGACCAACACGACTGCAGTCAAGCGTTGTCGTCGCCACACTTTCACCCTCACTCAACCTCCGCCGCTGCCCCACGCCGCGACCACTTACGCGCACGCCCGACGACGATCACCCTGTGCCTGGCCTGTCCCAGTCCTGTAGGCCTCGACCTCCGTGGCGGCCCGCCCGCAGGCAGTCCCCGCTCCATCGACATCCTCCCATTCGCAGTTGGCAGCCTGCATACAGTGGACTCTCGTCTCACTGCCGTGTCGCATCTCTTTCCTGCGATTCCTTGTTTCTTCTCCTCTCTCCCTCTTGCATAGCATCTGCGTCGCACAAACGAACCCCAAGCCACTCAGTCAAAATGTCGGACCTCTCGGGGCGCAAGGTATTCAAGGTCTTCAACCAGGACTTCATCGTCGACGAGCGCTACACCGTCACCAAGGAGCTTGGGCAGGGAGCCTACGGTATCGTCTGGTACGCAAACTCACCACCCGTCTGCCCCTCCACCTGGCCCCTCACGAGCTCCAATGCAGCGCCTCCACGGCCAAGCCCGTGAGCCTGCATAGGAGCTTCGTAACCCCTTGAACTGCTCGCGACGACAATGCTGACTCTAGCACAATAGCGCTGCCGTCAACAACCAAACCAGCGAGGGCGTCGCGATCAAGAAAGTGACCAATGTCTTTAGCAAAAAGATTCTCGCCAAGCGCGCCCTGCGCGAGATCAAGCTGCTCCAGCACTTTCGCGGACATCGCAACGTAAGCGCCTCACTACCCCGCCATCAGCTGCCAGTCTGGTACATCCCTGCTCTTTGGAGCTACCTCCGGTTCATGGCTGCATTACAACTCGCCTTCATGGAGCTGCATCAATGCTGGATCTGAGCCCATTTCGAGGATACTCAAATGGGCTTACGCAGTCTGAATCACTCAGCTAACATGTTCACAAAACTATAGATCACATGCTTGTTTGACATGGATATTCCCAGACCAGACAACTACAATGAGACATATCTATACGAGGGTCAGTTTGGGCACAGCATTATCCGAGACCTGTCACAGTGGTCAGTGGCTAACGATCCTGCTTGCAGAGTTGATGGAGTGTGACCTGGCAGCCATTATCCGCTCCGGCCAACCTTTGACCGATGCCCACTTCCAATCCTTCATCTACCAGATTCTCTGCGGCCTCAAGTACATCCACTCGGCGAATGTGCTTCATCGTGACTTGAAGCCCGGTAACTTGCTGGTGAACGCGGACTGCGAGCTCAAGATTTGCGATTTCGGTCTCGCTCGTGGTTTCTCGGTGGACCCGGATGAGAATGCTGGCTACATGACCGAGTATGTCGCCACTCGCTGGTACCGTGCTCCAGAAATCATGTTGAGCTTCCAGAGCTACACGAAAGCCAGTAAGTGCAATGCATAACGCTTTGACTCTCGCAGGTCACTAATCAGATACTATTCTTTTAGTTGACGTTTGGTCCGTTGGTTGCATTCTCGCCGAACTGCTTGGTGGTCGGCCATTCTTCAAAGGCCGTGACTACGTCGACCAGCTGAACCAGATCTTGCACATCCTCGGCACTCCCAATGAGGAGACCCTGTCGCGCATTGGATCGTCGCGTGCTCAGGAGTACGTTCGCAACTTGCCGTACATGGCCAAGCGCCCCTTCCCGTCCTTGTTCCCGAACGCCAACCCCGATGCACTCGACCTCCTTGACCGCATGCTGGCCTTTGATCCTTCGTCACGCATCAGCGTTGAACAGGCGCTTGAGCACCCTTACCTCCAGATTTGGCACGACGCCTCAGACGAGCCCGATTGCCCGACCACCTTCAACTTCGACTTCGAGGTTGTCGACGACGTGGGCGAGATGCGCAAGATGATCCTTGATGAGGTCTATCGCTTCAGACAGCAGGTGCGGACGGTACCTGGGGCCAACGCTGGCCTCGGTGCTGGTCAGCAGGCTGGCGCTGGCCAGGTGCCCATGCCTACTGGTGGCAACAGTCAGTGGAAGCAGGAAGAGCCTAGGCCACAGGAATACATGGACAGCATGGGCGGGCTGGAAGCCGACCTTGCTGGTGGTCTGGATGCTGGTCGGAGATGATGCAGGAGCCGGCAGTCTGTAGTCCAAAGCGATTTTGAATAGAACGATACCACCTCAATGAGGAATATGAATATGATTCAAAAGAAGGTTGCACTGTGTCGTCACGGCATGGGGAGGAGCATAATCTCAAGTCAGCGGGCGGCTCGAATGCTCTCAAGGAGAGTACCTAAGTAAGAGTTCGCAAAGTCTATCGGACAATTTGACATGTAAACAGGCGGCTACCGAACGCCAAAGTGCAAAGCGCAGAGTGCTAAAGATTCGCAGCACTAGGACAGTCGGGCCGCAGTCTATGCTTCATGCTAGACCGAGACCTTCAGCCTCTGGTGCTGGGTTGGTCAAGATGGAGGCCACTGAGAAACTCGAGGGGTCTTGAAAGGGCTGGATAGTGAGTGTGTAAGTGCAAGTATAGGTATAGGTATAGGTATAGGTATTGGTGGTGTGCATGCGTGCGCGTGTGTGCGTGTGTAAGTGTTTTTGTGTCAGGTTGAGTGAGTGACTGGGTAGGTGGGAGGGTGGGTTGTAGATAGATGACGTGTAAGCGCCCAACCAAAGACAAATCCCAAGGAACGATCAGCCCTCGAGAATATGCGTACGTACTTGCCCAAAAGACGCTCCGAAACACAAGGCACAGACGATCCCTCCACCCGTGCACGGCGCCAAGGGAAGTGCTAGCCAGCCAGCCGGCCAGCCAGCCGTCCAGGTCAAATCCGTGGTTTTAGGCCCAGCGAAGCCTTGTTGAACACAAGGCTGGGTGGAAGGGGCAACTATGGAACGGGTGACGGCGTGGCTGGCGCGCGCGCGCGCGGCGATCGATGAGTGGGTGTGTGGCCCAGCTTGGGTTTACGTATTCGTCGTGGCGAGGGTCTTGTTGTAGTGGTGTGTGTATGTGCGTGTGTGTGAGTAAGAGAGAGAGCGCCTCTTATGATGGACTTTTAGTACTCCTCGGTGCCCTCCGCGGTTTCATCTTGTGTTCTGTGTGTATCTCTCTTCATAGTTTTGTTAAAGTGGAAGCCTGGGACCTTTGTTTTTATGAAAGATTTTTGTTTTGTGTTTTATATTTTTTCTGGTTGCTATGTCTAATAGGCTCAGTCTCTCGCTCCATGTCGGAGCTGAAGGACGAGAAAGAAGTGTTCGCTCTAAGTCAAGATAAGAATTGCAGGAACCCCAGACCCCAGTAACCATTATGGGCCACTTAGGTGGTGATATCCGCATGTGAAGAAGTGAAGATAAGCCCGAACAATAAGAAACCCCGTGAAACTCCGTGGCGCTATGCTGTAAATCACAAGTCTCCCACTCCATCTTTCCTTCTCGGATACCGTATACTCTCGTTGGCAAATGAGTTCAGGATAGAGATTGCTACGCTTTAACCGTAGAACCAGTACTGAGCAGTGTATGGGACGCTGTCGGTCTGGCCGGCCTCAGTACAGGCAGCAGCGACGCCACCAGCAGTGAAGACACGATATGCGAGAGTGGCGCCCGAGCTGGTGCCAGCGTCACCGAGCTGAAGCCAGTCGACGGCACCGGAGCCGGTGATGCCCTTGTCGGCAGTGGCTGGGGCGGGAATGCCATCATTCTTCTTGCCCACGAAGTGAACCTTGTCGGCAGTGCCAGTGATGTCAAAGGTAGGGACAGAGCCGTCGAAGTAGTGGTGACCAGCGAAGGTCATGGGGCCCTGAACACCCTGCATGGTCAGATCGACTGGCGCGGGGAATGGTGCAGCCGTGTCGGCCGCGTATGGGTGGCTAGCATCGCCGGCTAGGTTCAGAGGCAGGTCGGTGTTGTGCAGGACGTTGACAGTCAACGCATTCCAGTCCTCCGGAGAAAGGGCACGAGGGCCAGAGCCGGGGAACAGAGGCTTGATGTCCCACAGAACGGCCAAAGCACCAGTAGCCGTGGCCTTTGCGCCGGCAGCGGAACATGTGTAGTTCTGGATACCGTGGCCGATCAAGACCTGCTTAAGAGCCAGGGAATCAGGGTTGGCAAGTTCGCGAGCACCTAGATGTTCGTTAGACAGAGGTCAGATCTGTGAGACTGGAGCAGGACTTACCACCGTTGACAGGCAGAGTAGGAATGATCTCGGGAAGAGTGACAGGAGGGCCAGCTGGGTCCGAAGGGCCAGGTCCACCAGGAGTAGGAGGTCCAGGAGGCGTGGGCGGGCCAGGACGGCAACGCTTGCCAATGGGCCCGGCAGAGACGGTCAGGGCCGAAAGGAGAACAAGGGCGAGTTGAGGAAGCATTTTGGCTTGTTGTCAACTACCGAGTCTTTTGAGGGTTTGTGGTGGTTTTTTGTCGAGATCGATTATTATGCGGTCTTTGAGTTGCAGGTCGTGTATAAGTCCTGAGAAGGAGAATTCCAGAAACCGACGATAGGAAAACCCAGAGAAGAAGCCGATGGAAAGAAAAAAGAACTACGCAAGGCGAGAGTGCTTTTTTCAGAAGTCGATGCCAACGGGAGCTGGGGAGGCACAACTAATATAAGGCGGCGGCTAGAGCTGAGAGGAGCGGGCAGCTGCGTGGTGTTGCAACACAGTATGCAGGCTAATGTCGCTACAAGATGAGGTCGGCCGGGTGGGCGGCCGTTGGGCGCTTAGTGCTGAAGGCTGGAAATAGCAGCAGTGTAGGTGGAGTCCGGACGGGGAGAGTGGGCCAATGGGGCTGTGGGCTGTGTGGGCAAGTGGACAGACAAGGTGAGGCGAGGTAAGCCGGTTACACTCGATTGAGGGTTCAAGATCAACTTGACAAGTGGAGAAGAAGAGCGGAAGAAAGAGCGAACACTCGAGAATGATGGGAGAGCGACTGTGCGTTGCTTGATGAGCGCTAGGAGGCAAAGGCAGTCTAGAGAGCGGGAGTCTGCGCGCAATTATATACATTCTCGGTTGGGCAGGTCGACGGGCGTTGGTTCCTGGACTCGTTTCCCTGTCAGAGCCTGCAGCTCCTGCGCCGTATCTCGTCCGCGAGATGAGCACCATGGGGCAAGGTAAAGTTCATGAACCAGGAGTCAACCCCTACATGGAAGACCCTCGTCAGCGTGCCACGGGCGTGGGGCAGCAGCAGCTCTGCGGACGGGAAGCCATGGCGGTGGTGGTGGGGGGCCTAGGAGGCTGGAGCTTGAGGCGGCTGGCGTCGTGCTGACTGCCAAACGCAAGACTGATCACTGTTGTCAGTCATTGCCGCGGAGGAAGGCATGCGAGCCGAGGGCGGAGCAGGCGGAAGCTGACGGGGCCGGGGCCCACGGCGCTCTGCTTCCCCAGGCGGAAACGGACAGCCCCAGGACCAAGGCTGGCCTGGGAAGGAAGCCAGGGTCCAGCAGCCACCATGGGAGCCCTGGCGACCCCTGGCGATGAGCATCCTTGCTCGACGTGTCGCAAGCCTGGTGGCATGCACAACACACGGGCCCCCTTGGCCAAATCGGGGCGTCGGAATCCAGGTTCTGCATGCAGCGAAGAGATTGCCCGCGGGCGGCGAGCTGACTGATTAACCGGGCAGAGCATCCATGCTTTTGTTTCCGTCTCATCTTGGCCGCCGTTGTTTCTTCTGGCACAATGGCGGGCCCCACGGGTCGTACGAGTTTGTCGGCCTGGGAGCCGGGCCCTGGTCGCTCCAGGACGTCGATCTTAGCTGGGCAGTCAGTCACTGCCAGGTTCTGTGCCATGGCGGCGATGAGGTCAAGAGAGCGACATGGGCCGGGCTGCTTGGGAAGATATCTCTGTCCTTGATAGAACGGTGGAGATGGGGGACACGGGCCCTGCAGTAGTACATGCAAAGTAAACCTTGGAAGTGCGGTGTTGGTCGTGTAGGTGCGACGCTGCGCCCGTGCTCCTTCCTCAAGCAGCCGCGCCTGCCACGCGGGCTGACGAGTCGCGGGATGTGGGTTGCAACGTCGAGTCATTGGCCCATTGCCGCTGCAGGCGAGCACTTGGCCACCTTTGCTGGTGCGGTGCAGACCAGCTCCAGAAGGACTAGAGCTAGACTAGCTGGCTGCCCACGTGCAGCCACGCCTCTCCCGCCTGCTGCCCTCAGTCCAGGCCCCGGCCTCGTCCTCCTACTCGTCCGCCTGGTCGATCTACGGCAGCCCTTGTCCCGACGGTCTCAGTCTTTGAGGACTCGACGGATGCAGCCCCCTGGCGTGTCTCTTTCCACACCAAGTCGCAGGCTCGGCCCAGACGGCATCAACCGATGCATCCGAGTACTCGTGGGAGCATGTCTCAGTCTTGCTGCAGCTCAATGGAGAACATTGCATGGGTCCAACTGCGAAATACGTGGTTGGCAGGCCTGGACCAAGATTCTTCCTACCGATGACAAGTCGTCGACGACCTCTTCCGGCCAGATCTGGAGGCACTGCAGGGTTCAACACTCGCGACATGGTATCCATGGAGACAATCCGGAGCCTGGCCGTACTGCGTAGGTGAGCTTCAAGGGCATCGACAGAGCAGGGCAGCATTTATGCAGGCGCATGCAGGCACCTGAGACGACGATACGCAGCCACCAGCAAGGGTGTTCCACGCCACACTCACTCGCCTCTCGGCTCGGACCCGCGAGCCAACATCTTTTTACTCAGACATTGGGGAGCACTCGACTTGTTTCAGTCCGAGCGCAGCCTCTGTTTCAACGGAAGCAAACTTGAGTGGCTCCAACCTGTCAATGTCATGTCAAATGTGAGTTACAGCGAGCTGGAGAGTGGCTTGGTTGCTCGCAAAGGTTCTCGCCTTGCGCGCGAGCCGAGTCAGTCTACTGCACGCACACACCCAGAGCTCCAGCTGTTCATGGCATCCTCACAGCTCGTGGCTGTGGCAAGTAAGGTCCCCCTGATTTTGCAAGTCGTCACGCGTGCCTGAAACCGGAATGCATTGTGAACGCACAGATTCGTGTCGCAGGGCGTGCTGCTTTCTTTACTGACACTCGCCTAACTCCCTTCAGCATCTCGTTGACTTGAGCCTGAATTGCTTCGCACAGCCTGCGACAACGATCAACTTGGCGACCTGCACTGCTCACAGCTAGATCGGAGGGCGCAACCTGTCGTATGGAAATTCGGAACTTACAGCACCTGGTTCCACCACCGCGTGGCACAGCTCCAGGAAGGCAATCCTCTGTCTCAGCACTACTGGGAGCCTGGGCGGGACCCGTTGCAAGCTTCGTGCGCTAGCCCAGGAACCCGACTCATCTCAGCCCGACTGCTGGATGACCGGGTGGTTGGCTCCGTAGAGCCCGGCTTCACGGTTCTTGACTTATCATGTTGAAGCTGCTGTCAACCTTTACGAGTTGTTTCAATGTTTCAACCGGGCGAAGTGGACAGTGTTTCCTGCAAGGGGTCCGTTGACTTTCGACTCCGCGTTTCATGTCTGATCGACAAGTCTGATCCCCACCCACTGACGGGAAGGACGAGGTCCGCACGGACGACATCCACATTGCAACGGTTCACGGGCTGCCCACCCTGTTAGCACCCCCGCCAGATTCACTCAACCTTCTCGAGAAGCATTCTGCGCCCATGAAACCGACTTTCAATTTATCCGTATGTTCATCGCTTGCCCCTGAGGTTTCCTGTTCATCCTCCTTGCGCACAGCACACGTATCTCGAAACAGATCCCAGACAGATGAGGATGGCGAGCATCCCGAGCTCGATGGCTCTGGCTACCTAGTGTCACCGCTTCAGAACGATACGATGGCTGCGCCTTGTGGCTCCCCGGGCGGGCGGGCAGCACCATCAAAGCCTGGTGGAGTCTCTACTTCTGGGAAGCACGCCGCCCTCTAAACACAAGCCTTTCAAAGATGGAATGCATCCCTGTCCGGGCACCATTGCTCGTTCTCCTGGTGGGCCCCTGGCAGGTTCGGCCGAGTCTGCTAGTTCTCCTTTGGTGACCTGATCGTGAATCCAGACTTGTCGCAAGTGCTCCGATAGGTAATCGCACAGGCCAGGTCAGGGACTCTCGGAAACGTGGACCCGAACGTCCCAGTGTCCAGACTTGGCACGGCACAATCTTGCCAAACGTCGACTGTTGACCCAACAGCACTTGAAGAGCTCCATTCAGATTCGCACTGCGCTTGTCATCTTCGAGAACTCCGCTCGTAGGGCACTCCCGCGAAATGGCCAGAGCTTTTCAAGGTCACATCAACGGGTCCGCGGAACGGTGGCCAATGGCCTGCCTGTCGCTAAGCCCTAGGTTCTGGGCAGCCTGGGCGGCGCTTGTGGCCCACCCCATGCCCTGCTTACAGCATCCAGCTGGGGTATTAGACCAGGCAATATCGCAGCGCAGGCGTCAGACATTTCCACGTTAATGGCGGGAATTACGAGCCCGCTTTGGGCGTACCTGCCCACGTTCCTGGACGATAGCGACCAAATTATTTGCCCGGCCGCATGGCCGCATTGCTCACCTCTCCTGGCAACGGTTGCTGGCACCAACTGGCCCTGCAGAGAGGGCCTCCGAGCTGAATGCACTCAACCTTGGCTGTAGTGAGTCTGCCTGCACGGCGGCTATTGCCTCAGTCGAACCAATCTGCTGGCCTGGGCCTGCAGCTATAGACCGACCCTTAAGCAAACAGTCTGGACTTAAGCGCTGCCTTGGAGGCGGTCAATTGGGAAGTTGTGGCGTCACTTGGCACTTCTGCGCCCTGGGTATGGTAGGCTATTCTCGTTCTGCTGCTGATTTCGGGTCGACTTGTTGAGACAGTGCTTGTAGAAAGCATCGCATGCACTCTTGTTCAAGCCCGAGACCAGCTGCTGGGTGCATGCATCTGACTAGAAGCTTTTGGGTGGTTTGGGCTGTCATTGGCTTCGTTTGACAGGATAAAGGGCTTGAGATGCGATAGCGACGAGGAACATTAGATCAACCTCCTCAACGGAGGAGGTGAAACTTGTGAATAACTCTTCTCGTGCCGCACACGTCCAGCAGAGAACGCACCACTAACGGCTGAATAAAAGCTGAGAGCGAGACCATTCAGGCGATGGGGTTTAATATACGATTTCATACTCACGAGGCACCTGGGTCCAGATAACGACGGATGTCGTCTGTATCTACGCCTCATTTGAGTTGTACAGATGTGATCGAGTAAGCTCATCTGTACATTCAAGTCAGTCACTAGATGCGTGGAATAGAGCACCAGTGTAATACGAGTTCCCATGCTTTGACAAGTCTTTGGGCTTTTCCTACCCTTTGTTGTTGATAGCCGTGCGAACCATGAGAGATTTTCGGTGAAGTTTGGAAAAGCACCCGAAATCAGGCGAAAATTTGTGAAAATCTGTGAAAAGAAAAAAAAAAACACTCAGTGGCTGCTTCGCTTCAGGATTATATAATTCTTGTTTCGAAAAGACAAAAAGTGATTCCCCGCCGAGAACTGCGACCTGCACATATTTCCGATCTGCAATTTCCCATCGTGATTTTTGGGTGGCAGTAAGTCACTCACGACTTGCTCTTCCCCAGGGGTGGGGCAATGTGGGTGGAAAGACCCCCGATATCGCGGCCACTTTTTTTTCCAACTGTGCTTGGTGACCACGACACCAAAAAAATGCACGCCCAACTTTTTACTTTTTAAAGGTCGTGTGATTATTTAGAGGCCATGAATGCCTGACGCCCCCTGATACTTTCTTTGCCTCCTTATCAGCCACTCGACTGCCTGTGAGAAAGGAAGAGTACTCTCAATTTGGCCAAGCAACACAAATACGGCGACTGGATCCTGGAAAGGGGCGGTTTGGAGGCTTGCAGAGGCGACCACGGGCGAGCAGTTGAAGACGCCTGAGATTCACCCCAGTTCCCTGAGCAAGTACTCTACAACAGCCGTGGCCGATCACAATGGGAAGCAGTGGCTGGAACATGCTCCCGCCAGAGCTGCTTGAGATGCAGCTTGCCCAGATCGACCTCCTCATGGCCATGTACCCCTCGGCCGAGGAGCTCGTCGTGAGTGACGACACGAGAAGGGCAATCGAGCGGATCAGACAGGTCTGTTCTGATGGGGAAGCTGCTGGTGCTGCTGCCGCCGCCGCCGCCGCCGTTACCAAAGACATATATCTCGATCTCAAGTTGGGCCGCCTGCAGACAGATGGGGGAGGTGAGGTCGAGCTTGAGATCACTATACCTCTGGGTTTTGATCGCGAGCACGGAAGCACCAGCACTTCCTCCTCGCCGCCAGACGAGCCGCCCAGAGTCAGGACGCGCATGAGGCAGCCAGCTTGGGCAAGCAGGGCAGAGGCCGCCTCGATCAACGAGGGAATCCCCATGGAGGACGACATCCTCGGGATCATCGAGTACATCCGCGAGGCGGCGGCCGAGAAGTACACCGAGTCTCTGACCTCTGCTGCGGGGGACGAAGACGACAAGGCACAATCATCATCATCAGCAGCAGCCAGATCCAGCACCACCATGACGCTAGGCTCGACGACGTCCTACTCTGCAACGACCAAGGACCTGGAGCCGCTCGTGCGCGTGTGGTTCTACTTCCCGTCCATCAGCACGCGGTCCAAGCGCGACGACCTGGTGCGCAACGCCCCCGCGTACGGCCTCACGGGCTTTCTCCTCGCAGGCAAGCCGGGCCTGCTGTGTCTCGAGGGCGGGACGCGCGCGGTCGACGAGTACATGCGTTTCATCAAGACGGAGAGCTGGGGCGATATTCCCGCGCACCATAAGAAGGTCAGCGAGCGGTACCGGGAAGAGAGCGCGGGTGGTGGTGGTGGTGGTGGCGCAGCAGTCGGGCGCGTGTTCGCAGACATGACCGAGATAACCGACACGGTGGGTGGCGAGCGGCGCGGGGAGAGGGCCAACCGCGGAGACATGAAGGCCATCGAGGCGTGGCTGACGGAACGAGGCCTGGGCGAGGCGTTCACCAAGGTGCTCATCTGAGCGGAGTGCCGCCGTTGACGCGCCGGCGCAGGGTGCATCGTGGTCCAATTCAGCCGCCCTTTTCGTCTGGACGTTGGTTACCACAACCTGCAAAAAATGGAGCTCCCCATTGTCTGCATTGTCCTGGATTACCTTGGGCATTCTCCATCACATCAGAGACGATGGAGATAACGCGTGGTGTGCACACACATTCCAGAGTACCGGAGAAAGGTGGCTGTCTCATGCGCATTCCACAAATCCCATATATCGGCCCTTGGGGGCCCCCAGATTTGCAGCCCAACACCCCAAAGGACCCAGACGTGGCTCGCCAGATCAGATTGCGATAGGACAATCTCGCAAATACTTCTTATGCCCTGCTCTGCGACGACACCGACAACGATACCGCGAGGCAGCCCCCATCGCAGGAGGCGATCAACGCCCAGCATACTTCACGATGCTCGAGTTTTCAATGGAGCACGACCTGCAGCAGCCGCCGCGGCCCACGCAGTCCCACAGACATCGGAAGAGTCTGAGCCGTCAAAGCTTCACTCTAGGACGCCGAATCCTCCAGGGCAATTTCAATACTACTTCGATTGCCTCTGCAGAACAGGATAGCAAGAGCCAGGAGGGGCACCACGACGACAAGCATAACACGGCCGCAACACGGGATCAGACAGAATACACGCTTGATTCAAGGGAAGATAGTAGTGCCGCAGACCCAAACAGTGTCACGGTGAACTCGGCCCTCACTTTCCACGAGGATGACCAGCCTACACAAGAAGGCTCCAGGATTACTGAACCGCTTTCCAGCAGCGAGGAGAAAGACGCGGAGGAGCGCAATCGGCCAGAGAACGAGATAGACTCGCAATTCGGTTCAGATGCTGGAGGTGATACCAAGGACTCTCGCCAACCGGTTGTCCGCACACCCACCCAGTATAGCGTGGATCGGTCAAACGACGCCAACGAAAGACATGAGCGCCGTCAGATATCATTTTCAAGCGCGGAAAGCACAGCCGTCAACTCTGACGAGGATGAATCTATCCTAGTTGAGACTCAGCAAGATATCCCTGCCTTCAGCACTAGCCAGCGCCGCCGTCAGGATATCAACTGCTCCTGCGACAAATGTGTCTTTCGCCAACAAGTTCTCGCTGCCGTCGCTGCAGATACACAACAACAGAGACGGCGAAACCAACAGCACCAGCAGCGCGAACAACAAGATCAACAACAAGACGGGGAGCCGCTGCTCGCGCCGCTCGTCTTCCAGACCATGTGCCTTGCCGCAAAGGTCTTGGGAGACTCCATCCGCAGCGTGAGAAGAGATGCGGAGAACTACATCATTGATCTATATGTCCACCAGTCGATGGAATTGTCCTCCCGGTCCACCTCCGAGGACAGTGCCGATCACGATACGGACTATGGTGTCTGGGAAGACGAAGAAGATCAGAACGCCGACACCAGCATACCACACCCAGATCTCATCGGCGTCGACCCCGACATCATCATTACGCCTTCCTTGCCTTCCGACCGCAGGAGCACCACCCCCACCAGCATAAAGCGACAACGAGTACCAGTCCCTGTGCCGCGCAAGCCCGTCACTGCGCTCCGTGCCGCGGTCGGACTGGCAGCCTGTCTTGCAATCTGGCTCTTCGCGCGGATCGCCGTCTTCTTCGGGCCGGAGCTGCTGTTTGGGGTATGTTTTGTGTTCGTCGCGATCTTGGTCGGCCCGGGGTGCAGGCTGGTGTTTGACAACTATGATGACGACGATGGTGGTGATGCTGGCTCTGTGGTTATGAAACCTGCAACCACAGGCACAGGCGCGGATATGCCATACGACGATGAGACCGAGGAGGAGGAGGAGGAGGGGGAGGCAGCGGCGATCGAGATGAACGACCGGTCACGTACGCGGGCGCGGTCAAGAAACCGCCATCCTCGACGCGGCAGTGAGTCTGCTTGCGATGCTGATGGAGAAGAGGAAGAAGACTTAAACTCTGACGACATCTGCTCGGACTAGGTGGGTTTGTCGAGGTGTAGAAACCGGCCATGGATGGTGGTTGCTGGAATCACATACAAACACATGTCCATGTCACCTCAAGTTGAGTGACAGCACAGGAGTGATCAAGTATATGTGCTTCAACGCTATAGCTGTTGCAGAAGCTAGCTTCGTCAAATTGTCTGTCTTTTAAGCGATAGTATGAAATCAATCTTTTAACTGCTGCGAGATGGCGTCCGTGATCAAGGCTTGCTTCTAGAAACTCAAGTGAGATGGTGCGGTATCTGCTTCCACAAGGAACTATGTCCAGAGGTGAGGACTTCTACGGCCATCACCACTCCACCCCAAGGACACAGAGCCGGCGGATGCTTGGGGACCAGCCGAATGTCAGTGTCACACGTGAGTATAGCAGGGCCTCCTCGTACTCCCGGAGCTCGCTTGTTTTGAGCTCGAGGATCTGCTGCCACGACTCAGCTGGTGGTGTCCCGCCGTCATGCTCTTCCTGGCAACTGTCAGGCAGGAGAAACTGCTTCCAGGCGTCGTCACTCCACACCAGCTTACTCCCCGCTAGACAGCCGCTCTCGTCGATGAAGGTCTTGAGCGTCCGGGGATTCATGGACAGTCTCTGCGTTGTTCCGCAGTTCCTGCACATCACGTCTACCTTGTTTGCGCACAAAGGAACGCCACAGCTAGGACCGATGTTAGTCGAGTGAGGCACTGTGGGAACGGGAGAACACCAACCATTCTGTGCAACCTATTGTCTCCAGCCTCCAGTGCTCAAGCAGGCTTACCTGGAGAACCATGACGTTGAGCTTGCCTGTAAAGCTGGTGGAATCGTCACTGGTGATTCTCTCCTCCATCTCGGCAATTGTGTACAGCACGCGCTCAGCGCCCTTTGGTGCAAGTGCTTTATTCCACTCTTCGGATGGAAAATGAATGAAGAATGCCTCCCTCTGTCTTCTTCGCTCAATCGTTGACCTGAGCCACTCGGCGCGGCCAAAAGTCGGATTCACCTCGACAATCGAGTTGTAGTTGAGACTGATGCGTGCCGGTTGGCCAATGTCGCACTTCTCAGGGTTGTACTTTGGCATGGAGATGAGCAGTACCGTCTTGTTGGGCACCCATGACCCCGCGGATGGAGTCACGTCTCCCCAGAGGGTGAGCATGATGCTTGCTGTATGGTCAAAGATGCCAACTTCGACAAGGTTTATTGGAACCTCGCGAGTTCTCGCTCGGACAGTTCTACGCAGGCCAACACTGCGCACGCAGACAAGGATCTTGGCTTCCTCGTACTCGAAGCCCGTGTTTAGAAACTCCTGTAGCGTCATGAGTCCTGGCAGGTCACCAGTGTCGGCATCTGTCATTCTCAAGGGGCTTCGAAACAGATCACAGCCATCAGAATCCTTGTGGAAGACAATATGTGTTGTGCCGGACCGTCCGGGATATACTGATGTCGAGCAGGGCGTTTGGTTGAACTCGCCGCCAACGCTGACGCCGATGAAGCTCGCCCAAATCGTGACTCTCTGTCCCAAGAGCGGTTGGTACTCGTGCCGATTCCGGCAATGCAAATTGACCTGCACTCTCTTCAGGTATTAGTGACACTCCCATCAAGGGAATCTCTCGGTAGAAGTTCAGCCGGCTTACACCAATCATCCCAGTTCCGTCAGAAACGGTCAGATACCAGAACCCTTCCGACTCCTCTGGATTCTGGCGTTTTCTTGGCGTCCGTGAGAAGTTGACGATTCGCCCCCCAATCTCGTAGTGCCGTGCCCCCATTTCGAGGAGCATGATGGGGCATGGCTGATACGCCCGGGCCAGGTTGCTGTTGATCGTGGACGGGTCAAGGACCTCGTTGATCTCGGAGGAGGTGAAGCCGTCGCTGTTATGCTCATTTTTGACTATGGCCGAGGATGGCAAGTTGCTCTGGGGAGTTTTCACTTCACGCTCGAAGAAGGACTGGATTGAGGGGAAGATGGAAGTGCGCATCTTGGGCGGGTCGAGGGCTTTGGGCAGGCTTCAGCAGTACTTTGCACTGCGAACGTCAGCGAGTAATTGAACCTTCACAGCAATGTTTTATCACGGAAGCCGCAAGATGGCTAGTATGAAGAAGAAGTCGATTTTTCTTTCCCGGAATCACTTGACGTAGCTTTGGCGGCTCTGCAAACAGACCTCTGCCAATCTTGTTGCTCGCCTGCACGACTGTGGACGGCACGACTCCAGCCGTGGCAGGCGCTCCTTCCACTTCCCGGACTTTCTGATCCAGGCCACCCGTGGGCAGTATGGCGTCGCGAAACACGATAGCACTCAATTAAATTTTGAACAGCACCGACGAGAGTGTGCAACTTTACCCGCAAGCACAAAGCTAACAACAGACATCCCAACCTCGATTTTTCTTTTTTCAAACTAAATCAACCATGCCTTCTGCCTCTCCACGGCCTTATCCCAACTCTCCTCGCCGTCCTCGCGCTTGAACTCTTCAAAGCTCTCGACCTCGTCCGCACCGAAGTTGCCGTACAAGTGCGGGAACGTGTTCTCCCACTTTGTCTGCGCGCCAATCTTGTCGTACGGGACGCGCAGGATGTACAGCGAAGCCGTGCTCTTGAAGAAGAGGTTCAGCGTGCCGGGGACCTGCTCTTCCATGAAACGGGGGATTGGTGAGCTGGGTAGGTGGTTGGGCTTTTTCCCGCGACATTTCAAAAACGAGGAAGGGGTTTCAAGGAGCGGGTTTGATGACGACGACGACGACGACGACGACGACGACGACGACGACGACGACGATGAGGACGGGGGAGAAAGGGTTGTATCTGGGGTCCTGATAGAGAGGAATCTGATGCAACCACTTTTCGCAGGCACGCCTACACCTATCGAGTGCAAGTTTCCAAAATCATGGTTTTCGCTCGTGCCCAGCCATGCCTCTCACCATACTGGGCTGTCGCCTTGCCCCGCGTTCCATGGGCCGCCATAACAACCCACACGCATGCCTCACTACCCCCGAAAGCCATAGTAACAAGTAATTGACACACTAAAAGAAGATCATGACTGACCTGTTGGGCGGTGCTCAGGTGCACGAATCCGTCCGCCGCGTCGAGCTCGGACAGCGGCAGCTCGCGGGGCAGCGGGCTCGGCGGGCGCGCAGGGACGATCTTGTAGACGTACTTTGGCGGGGCGGACTCGGACATTGTGGCTCTTTTCTTGCCGCACCGGGGCTCTTCAAGGGCGATGAGGTGTTCTGGAATGGGGCAGTTGAACGATTTCTGCAGTGCTGAATGTGGTTCAAGTCGTTTGCCCGGGAAAGCCTTGTGATACTGGTGTTTCTAGGGTGACGTGCTCGGCTGTGAGGCTGGGGGAAAATCAGGGTCCACTTTGACGGGCAGGAATGCCTCCGACACATGACTGTAAAAGCGGGCTGTCTCGAATGTGCAGCAGCAACCTCATCTCGAGAAGATTGAAGACCTTTGTAAAAGTAGTTCCGGCTTGACTTCGCTATGGCACTTTCCGTCGACAACTACGCGTTTCTGATCACCACGAACAGAATGACACTGATATCGAGGGGTGGAGGTCATTAATATTACTATTAGCTTTCGAGTGTCTCGAGCACCCGCCTGCAGGTTGCATAATTGTTCCATTCCTCATACTCCCCTACACAGCTCCTGACGCCTGGACCAGTGATTCTGTTTCGAGAGTTCGCCAGGTCTCGCCATAATGAGTCTCTCCCCGCTGCATCGCCCATCCACAGCGGACTGTCCAGAAGAGCACATATAATGGTGACATGAACAAGCCCAGAATCCCTCCGTACAGGAGCTTGAAAATCTGCGGAGTCCAGATCTGAGGATACACAAAGTCACCACCAGACCGCGTTCCGTGGCTTATCAGGATCCCGACCGTCGGGCCGACCATGACGGCGAAAAACGGGATGGAAAAGATGAAGCCTCGCAACGCCTGGTCGCGGATGAAAGAGAAACGGGAGACCAGTACTGATAGACATCCTTCCTCCTTGCCGGTCTCCACTTTTGTGACTGGTGCCGAGTCCTCGGGGTCGAGAAACATGAACCACCGGATGAGCCGGTTCTTGGGTTGCTTGACAAAGCCTATGGGAGCCACGCCGCCAGACCGGAGGTCTCCATTAACCATGAGCACGGTGATGAGCCATGTAATGATGCTCTGCAGGATTGTAGTCACGCCGGCATCGCCCAAGAGCGTTGTAGGCAGCTGGAAGAGCCAAATGGGTTCCGTTGTGCGAGCATACATTCCTGGCCGCGGAGTCAGAGAGAGTTGCACGCTTCAAGAAGTGTGGGTCAATGGATATGCGAGCAAGGGCGTTTCCGCTTACCATAAGCAACTGCGAAATTGATGCCGCCGGATATTATGAAGCCACCCAAGCCATTGATCACGAAGATGTACAGCAGCTGGTGTACTGAGAGTTTCTCAGTTGGGTCGCGAGGGCCACCGCCTCCAAAGATGCCCATTGTGGTGTGATCTTGTAGGCTGCAGGACCTCTCTGGGTTGGACGGGAGGCACGCGAAGTGCTGCGACCAGAATGCGAGCGAGGTCTTGGTCTCGCCAGGGCTCGTTCCCGCAGGATTAATGTTGATCGAAATATGAGGATGGCAGTGTCAGATGTTGATATGCATGTTGTTTGGTGACGGAGACACTGGAGCCCAGGTCAGGTGTTTGTGGCATGTTTGCTGGCTCAGGCCGGGACTGCCGGGCGTCTGTTGGCCTTGCAAAAGGGGCAGCCGCCGTGGTTGCGAATGCTCCTACCACTCACACGATCCCTATCTCCTGGGGTCCCATCGTGAGGTGCGAGGCCGTGCACAAGCTGCTCTTTGGGGCGCTCCCAGCGACGAGCTGGCAGGCTTGGCGGCGGCTGCAAATTGCGGCCCACTCGGGCGGGAGGCCTTCAGAGATTGCAAGCCGAACAATTTGCTCGGTCGAGGTGCACGATTGACAAGATGTTGAGCAGCCGGTGCTTGTGTCCACCTGTCGACATGGCTGGTTCGTGCTCCGCGGGTCCTCCTCGCCTATGGGTGAGCAATCAGGTATGCGCAGCAAACCTGTGCCGTCGTTGCTGGAGAATGATGCACCCAAGACTTCTAGATGGCCTTCGAGAAGCAGATCTTGGCAGGGACCCTGGCACAAGTTCAGAACGCTGTGGAGAAAAAAGGTCCACACTTTACTGTCTACCGCCATCAAAGAGACTCCGACTTCACCAGCAATTCGACACAAGAGGATGTTTGCACCTGTGCAACAAAACAGACGTCGCGATGGGGTTCAAGCAGGGTCATTTTCAAGACCGTACGGGTACGGTCAGACACGATGGCCTGTCTCGCCGAGAGCGTGGCGCAAAGGGTGGCAATGGGGGCAGGTGATTCAACACCTGGTCCGTGAGCCCGATACAGAAGTGGCCAACGCTGAGCAGGACGGTGGTGGTGATGTCAGACGAGATGGGCCATGGCGGCAGGTGACTAGGTTTACGGGTTGACGGGTCGAATCGACAACCATCACAGGCCTGATAGGCGTCGCCTTTCTGGTTTGACTCGCCTGGTGAGACATGCAGAGACTGGGTCCAGTGGTGGGAATGCTTAATCATGTGCGGTGCCCGTGGTGTTTCACTTGGTAGGCCGCGTCGTCATGGTCAGCACGGCGGCATTCGACAGAGGCGGGCGGGTTCAATGTTGCTCCTGGCGCGCTGTTTGACGATAGAACCGACAGCTGCGCGGTGCGGTGAGAGTCGCAATTTCTACGAGGCGCTAGCTGTTCAAGTTCAGACTTGATCGACACTGGCAAGGTTGGGTGGCGGTTGAGCAACTGCCGGCAAAAGGCAGCATACCTCAGGTAGCATGCAAGGGTCTGCCAGTAGGCAATAGACGCAAAGAGGAGGCCGGCGATCCAGGGGACGATCAGCCAATACGTGGAGGCCTGGTGTGCTTGGGTGCAGGCAGAATGTTGAGAGACACGAGCCAGTTAGTCACACGGCATGCACGTCGTCTCAGTGCTGTCGTCTGAGAGGACGACGAGGAGCTGCCGGCGGTGCCGTCTGCACAGTGAATCAGCAAGCTACTGTATGTCTGGTACTACCGCTCTGGACCTCGTGCAGCAGGTTTGTGCATTCCGTCTCACAGACTCCAACGTGTCGCTCGTCCGTCTCTTCTTTGTCGCCCTCCACGACAAAGGCTGCCTCGCGGCTTCTCTCCCCTCTTTGTCTCTGTGTTTGTAACCTTTGCCCCTTGTCAATTACTACCACCACCTTTCCCTTGTCGTCTCACTCTCGCCAAAGTGCATCGCAGCTTTTGCAGTCGAAATCCGGCCAAAGACAGACTCCCACGGGTCCGCGTCCACAAAGAGCTGTTTTCTTGCCACCGCTGTGCCCGACTGGACGACACTCGACGTCGTGTTGCGAGCAGCGAAACTTTGTATGTCCCTCGTCGAGCGTCACAGTTGCGTGGCCACTGGACTGACTGGACGGGCACAGGCCAGGGCAGCACCCCTGCTCCCGGCCCCGCGTGCTGTTCGGCACCGGATTGCCGGTGCCCTACCTCCGTCGTGCGTAAGCCGTCTCTCCCATGTTTCCTCGTCGACACCTCGCCCTGTCAAGCGCCCACGCCAGTGCCGACTCGGGACAGGGCCGCACCGGGGGCGGTGCTGTGCCTTGCTGTCGCTGTCGCTGTGTCCTATGGCGGCCCGTGGCGCGCGTAGCGCCATGTGGTGCTGGTGCAGGTGGTGGCTTGCGCAATTCATTGCCAACGCCACCTGCCCCAGGCTCAGCCCAGCCCAGCCCGCGGCGTGCGTGTCCTCCCAGGCACCGGCTTGTTCTCGCTCCTGTATCTTGCCAGGGCGGTGCCTGCCGCAGGTGTGGTGACGCCTTGTCCGGGAATGCCGGCCACCTCAGAGATTAGCTTTGGCACCGCTCTTTGTGCTCTCTCATGTGGCTGCTGCTGACAGGCACCTCTTACACAGGCACCAGCCAAAGAAAGCTTGTGGACACCCCTCCTCAAAGCCACTGACGGTAGCGTGCTGCTGGGATACACGCAACTCCGCCAAAACTCAAAGCCCTGGCTCGCCCCCAGCACGGCTAGAGGCACGTCTTGTCTTGCCTGTAGAACCTTAGCTGCAGATTTAAAAGATCCCGCGCGGCGCAGAATTGCCGGAGACGAGCCTTTGCGATCGCTGTCCACCACACGTTCCAGAGGGGATCCCGGCCTTTCGGCACCGCAGACCCACCTCCGCATCGTCACGCCTCAACCTCTTGGTCCCTGGCGCTTCCAGTATATGAGGACGAGCAAGAGCCGCCCCTCCCTCACCCAGACCAGCTCGGCTCCTGGTGCCACCAGACTGCAGACTGCAGAAAACACTTTGGAGATGAACAGGTTAGCGACGCTCGTCTCCGACAGATTGCCCCGTCGATCAGCATCATCGTCATCAACATCAACCCTGTCATCCACACGATCCTCATCACCAGCCACAATGTCGAACCTCTCCATCAGCTCGGGCAGCAGCCAGCACACCACTCTGGACTGGGATACTGGCTTTCCCGACAGCTTTGTGAATAATACAACTTCTCGCCGGCACCCAGAGGCCAAGACCGGCGAGTTCGCCATCATCCAGGCCAACGACGTGGACCCACAGTTCGCCATCAACCACAGAAAGCACCTTCTCTTCGCCAAGCACAGGCGGACAATCAGCCACGGCAAAGTGACGCAGCTCGAGACAATCTTCTCTAGCGAGGCAGAGACAGAGTCTCCCCACCACGATACTGGGGTCAGCCAGCCTCAGCTGGACGGTCAGTTGGGGTCCGCTGCTGCTGCTGAGCTCGAACGTCCCATGTCATCGGCCTCCAGTGTGAGCGACAAAGGCAAGCGGAAGGGCATTTTCAGATGGCGCGGGAATTAGCACAAGGCTCGGCATCTCGAGGTGCTTTCTCTTCATCCTCTGGGAAAGGTAGCACACCATCCGACTTTCAGGAGACTGGTGCTGAACCCATCTCGTAACACTCCTCTCCACAAGTGCTTGGCAAAGCCTCGCACAACACATTAACGACGACTACGACATTTCTTATGTTTGGGTATCAGCATGAACATTGGTACGGTCATTTTATCAGCGAGGAGTTTTACTGGGTTTGATTCTGGGAATTCGGTTCATCCCGGCGCAGAACAAGCACGGCGGAGAATTATTGGTGTATCGCGATTAGCAGGTACTCACATCAACAAAAATGGTTATTCGTCTAATACAGATTCTAGAAATAGTTGAGAATCATCGTTATGAAGAAGTTGGATTTCTGCAAGTGACCGTGCCGCCTAACGTCCAGTGAACTCGAGCACAGCACGCTTTACAGGAGGCAAGCGGTTTGGATGGGAGCGTGCTTGAGCACTTGTCTCGTGCCCACCATCTAGCCAGAAAACCTCAAGCCATCCCATGTCGTGTCTTTCTCTTTGACTAGTTGGAGTTATCGCCTATTCAATCAAAGGTCTTAGTGGACCAAGACTGGCACCCTCTCGATCACGCAAAATCTTTTAGCAATTAAACACCCTCCATCACTCCTATACTCTTCATATATATTGGCAACTTCTACTCTACATGCCAGCGAGCCGCGCTCAACGATCCCGGGTGATGATAAGCCAAAGTGCCCAGGAGTGGAGATTCTTGAAGACCGCAGCGCCTCTGAATCTCATTTGGCTATCGCTGAACACAAATCTCCCATTCTGGGGTGTGGTATTGATTAATCTGCCGAGTTTTTAATGTTTATATGTATGCTTCTCTCTATGTTCTTGTTGTTTCGAGAGGCTTTCGGGGGCTGGTAGGTATATAACGTCAGGCGAAATGTGGCCATTCTGTGCCACCAGCCTGCTCGATAGCCACGTTGCTTGATCTGGAAAACAGTTGAGCAGGACGAGATGCTATCATGTCGTGGCCTGAGGTCGTGTCTTTTTTCCGGAATGAGGTTGATTTTGAGTCTACAAGTGGAGCACTAATCTGTGAGGATGCGATATACCACACGCTTTGGATTGAACGGACTGGATGAAAATATGGGCAATGAGTCACAGGTGGTCCTGAATTGTGAATGGAGGTAGTTCACGTTGATTGTAAGCCGGGGTGTCTTATGGTCTGACAAGGCAGGGGTGCAGTCGTTTGGGTTTTTGTCGGGGGGGGGGGGGGTTCCTTATATTGCCATCCTTTTTAATCCCCTTCGCAATCAAATTTGCCAGTTAAAGCGAAGCACGGCTTATTTTGGGGTGGGTTTTTGTGAAAACGTGATTACTTCATCAATCCGCGGCGGCCCCTAAGTTTCAGAGTAACGAGAACAAACGCTGAGCCCTCTCACCGATCAGCATCGACTGTATCATGGTGCCATCAAGCCCGGACAACTTACGATGTACGACACACCAAGCCAGCCGAGGAATACTCACGGCCCCAAGAAGAAGAAAAGCCATGTGTAGGAACACGGAACTTCCAAAAGGAGTTGCTGGGGACGCAAGATCACCTACGCACCGCGGAGTTGAGGCTGGATCTCGTGGAAACCGTGTCACATGCGACATGCGAGGGAGAGGGTTGCCGTGTTAGTTCTCCCTTCCAATTTTCAGAGGTCCAGCGAGTGATTGTGTGAAAGATTAGAACTGAAAAGATAATGAAGCTTCAATGTAAACATAAGTGCGTTGCCGTGGAGGGGAGTGGGGGTGGGGGGGGGGGGGCGGAGGTTCCAATGCCGACTCCGGGGACTTCGAATACTGTGAAACCAGACGAATTCTACTTTTCTTTCGACATCGTGAGATCTCCCTTCATAACGTACAGCGCCCTCAGGAACCAATAGAGTCAGTTATTCTCCATCCCATGTAGACGGGGAGGGTGAGGGTGAAAATTGCGCTGCGTAGCCCAGACAGCCAGTCCGTAGTGCGGAGGATATAGCCTGAGGACACTGGCACACAAGACACCGCATGGCCTTCCTTCTTTGCTGCATTTTGCTGGGAGTATCAGTGATTGAGAATATGTCGAGCCATTGTAATGCATAGTAGAATGCCATGCCGTAGAAAAGTAGCAAGCAGGGAGCCGATATCAATTTCTCCCCGCTCCTCCTCCTCGCATAGACAAGCAGTCCACAAACGCTGCACCTGTAGCGAATGCAGAAAAGAAAAAGACGTAAACTCAGAACAAAAGTGAGGAATAAAGGCCAAGTCAAAACGAATTGCCGGTGTAGGACTCCTTGGCAGATTGAAAACCGAAAAGACGCTCCGTGGAATGTGTCAAGTCCCGAGTTCGCGGGCGCTTGACACACTGCGAAGGCCAGATTCAATCGCACGTGTTTCTTATGCCCATCCATGGTGCTGTATAAAGCCACTCTGACCTTTTTCTTCATGAGTTTCCGAGACCAGCATATTACTGTGAGTCCAGAGACAAATCTCAGTTTCTCGTTTAGCCTGCATAGCAAATTTCCGTCTCCTGAACGGTGCCAATCTTGCCCAGACTCTCGGTATCACGGCCAGCGAGCACTTGACAAAGTGGACAGGTACAAATATCACGTTCCGATCCCAATCGGGGCAGGATTTACTGTTCAGACTCTGTTAGAAGTCACGACAAAAAAGCATAAGATATGGTCGATGGCGAGGTATCATGAAACAAACCTCTTCATCTCTCGATGAGCTGCAGCGACCATCATCTCACCTCTGCTATCAAGTGACGACCCTCGACCAGCTCGTTGCTCAAATATGGCGTGCTCGCTCCACCAACTCATTGACATGCCTGACAGCAGCAGGACGTGTTGAGAGGGCCACTTTACTGCTCGGCGGTTCTCTCATCTGCACGACACCGGCTCAATTTCTGATCTTGGCCTTCCCGGATACGCACGCACAGGTCGCTGACACAGCAATCCATCAGCTGATGCGATAAGCAAAGACTACTAATATAACGCATGATAAGCATACCTGAGGCTGGAGCGCCGTAGAACTGCCCAGCGGGACCGGTGGGGGTTCGGCGGAGCCCCTTTCAACCTTCCCGTTCTGGCGTTATAGAGTTCCCAGGACGTCCCATGGTATGCGGGGAAAGCTCCGGGGCGCGGCAATATGGCGGCAAGTGGCCGGCCTTCCAGAGTCTAGATGACTGTGTCTCAAATGACTCAAGCCGGTGCTGGATGCCTACATGCATTTCCCTGAGGCAACATGGATCATTAATCGTGCAACGAGTACAGTCCAGACCTGCCTGTTTGTCTGCCTGTCTCGCCTTGTCCTGCGGAGGCTGTTTCGTACGACGAACGCGCGGATTTCAAGCATGAGCATCGCCACTCTCGGAAAAGACGCTGTCATCACGAGCTTGCCATGACATCTGGTGCGTGAGACGAGCTAGAAACCTCCTAGGTCCTTATCGCTGCTTGGGCAGGTTCTAAAGCAGGAGGCGTGTTGCTAGAGCTAGTCTGACCAGCGCCACTACTGGCCCAGCATTTGGAGTAAATGGACAAAAGCCACGGTCAGCCTCAACAGGTGGTCCTGCGCCGATCCGAGCAGTCCCGCGCGTTGGAGACTCAACCCGCCGACCCGGCACAGCGGTTGCTTTTGAGTTTGGACGATCCGGCAAGATGATGCTCTCGCTCGATGTGTGACTTTCATGATGGAGTCACAAGCCCGAGCCAGCGGACTGTGAGCCGACGCAGAGGACCGCACACACCAGAGGCGCAAAGGTGCATGCAGTCTTCAATCGCTAGCTGACTCGTGATGGACGCCCAGGAAATCGAGGATCGGGAGCCACAGATAATGACCGGCGGGCGAAACAGCTGTAGCATGCGGGCACATGACCTCGACGATGGGATGTGGCCCGGCCGCAGGTGCAGAGGAATGGCGACCATGGCTGGCGCTTACAGGGGTTGCTTTTGCCGTCTGGCGGGCAAATGCCATGCGGTCCAAGCTGGAGCCCGCAGTTGGCTATCGACAGATCATCGAGGTTCAGGGCCGGGGCAAGGGCTCTGCATAGAACGTGCCCTCGCGTGCATTGCTAGGCGCAAAGTGCTGGCGCGAGATCGTCCAACGTGTCGCAGGAGTGGAGGCAGACGTCGACCAGGGATGGAGCCCGGAAGCGAGCCACGTCGGGTCGGGGGAAGACGGCAAGGAAATGTCTCGTGTCGCTTGCAGGGCCCGGGGCCAGTTGGGGTAACAGGGACGGCGCAGTGGCTGGACCAGAGTATGCGAACCAGGAACTTGATCGTGTGTGTGTGTCTTGGGCGTGAGCCTGGCGACAACTGAGTCGGGTCGGATTGGCAGACACTGACACGAGCAGTGCATGGGCATGGGCATGGGCATATCGATAGTTGGCCTGGCTGGGGTGTGTGTGTGCACCGTGGATCGCTCCTTCCAAGGTGAAGAAGCAGACTGTCGCCTCTGAAAGAGTCAATCTAAGTAGCGTAGCCAGGGGCGCGGACTGCACAATCTTGCGCTTCCACAAGCCGCCTCAACCTTGGGAGAGGGAGGGCTGGCTCGTAACATGCTCGTCACATTGTCTCTCGCTCGCGCTCTCGCCGGCCGACCGCCCATGCGCCACCGCCAGTCATTCGAGCAGCGCAACAGTTCCATCATGACAAGGTTTCGCGCCTGCTGCCCAGATGCGCCTGCCAGCCTAGCCAGCCCGCCTGTCTCGGGCATGCCAGATTCCGCGGTGACGAAACTCCCATGCGCACAACCATCAGCGAGCGCCGCCGGCCCCGAGCGAGTCAGAGAGCGGCGGCGCCTCAACGTCACGGCCCACCGGCCTGGCACCAGCGTGGAGCCGCCCGCCGGAAGCGCTCCTGCGGATGTCGACAATGGTCTAAGGTTGGGGTGGAGCGCCCGCCCCTGGTCGCCCTGCATTTGCGCGCGCGAAGCCTCGAGCCCCCCGGAGCCCAGCGGGCCTAGCACTCCATCACCTCCCGCCAATTTCGCCATCCCGCTTTCGGAGCCCCTGGGCCTCGCCTTCGTCATCGCCACGGCTACCTGGAGCTGCCAGCAGCCCACCGCCCAGTTTCCGGTACGCCCGACAAGCACCACATGGGGCATGCTCGTGGTGCTAGACAGCCCAGCTAAGGCAGCGGGATGGCTTGAGGGCCGTGATTCGCAGGCTGGTGCCATGGCACAGCACGTCTGGCCGTGCTGACAACGGACACATGCGATGATGCCCAAAGCAGAGCAGAGCAGAGACGGCAATGGTCGCCAGAGGCGGTCAAAAGGCAAAGGCCATGGCGGAGGCCGTCCGTGGAGCGGTGCCTATCGGAGAGGACCCTTTGCACATGCATCGCCAGTGGGCGGCCAGGTCCCGTGGCCATGCGTGGGTGGACCGGCCAGACTGGACCCCTGGGGGGCTGGCCGCTCCCGTGCCTTCGCCGCTTCGCGCTGCTCGCTGGCCTCACTCGCCTTGAGTGACTGGATGAGGTTGGAGCGAGCGAGGCCGTAGCCGCGGTGCCCAGCCAGAATCATCCGCTCGTCAGCCAGTGTCAACGTCACGCTCTGCTGGTGGCTGCTTCGCCCCATAAGCAACCTAGGTGCCTACTTGTGATCGCCATCATCCATCCACTTCTCCGTCCTTCTTAACCGGCCAGGACCCCAAGCCCTCTTTTTCTCTGATCTTGTTATATGTTGGCCTTGAAAACTGCTGCCTCTCTGTCTTGTCTTCACTTGACTCATTTATCCCTTACACCTCCACCTTGTCCAGCTTGACTGAGCAAGCGTTCTCGTGTGCTTACGGTGCACCCTCTCACAAAGCCAGTATTAGGTAGGTTCTCCCTCCCACAGCGTGGCCCAACCACTTGGGCCATCAGCTGCCCTCTTTGACACCCGACCCCTGCTCGTTTGGTGTTGGAGATGCCGCCGCAGTCCAGCCCACCGCCGCCGCCTTGGCCGGTGCGCTGCTGCAATGCCAACAATCATGCCTGAGTGTTCGTTCGTCCGCCCTCAGGCACCCGGCTGTTTCTGGTCCGCCTTGCATAAAGGCCCTCCGGCTTATCTCCTTTGCAGCCTTGTGTCTCCCTCGTGATTCCATAAATACCTGCCTCTGCTCGTCCTCCCGGCTGACATCTTGCCCTCAGTTCTTGCTTGCTCCTTCTGTCAAGCCAGCTACCTTCCCACAGCCGATCCCACCTACCTGACGCTGCCCACCTCGGCCGAAGTCGCATTCCCTGATCACTCATCACTACCGTCACAACCAACACTTCGGACCACAACCCCGGTCGTCTCCAGCAACGTCATCTACCACGCCACAAACAAGCGGCGTGTTGCACGATACATTCACCACTCACCAAACAACAACAACACCCGCCTACTTTTCAAAATGGCCGGCCCCAAGAAGCCCAGATGCACCTTCAAGGAGTGCGGAGCTGCCGCTCAGCGCATCGTCGGCGACTGCGGATTCTGCGACGGTCACTACTGTGCCAAGCACCGTCTGCTCGAGGACCACAAGTGCACAGGCCTGGAAGACGTAAGTGACTCTGCTGTGCCCTTTCCTAGCGATGGTCAGTGGTGGCTCGTGGGCTTGGCCGACGTTCTCGCAGAAGAGCATCTGGTCGATCCCAGCCACAGCCACGACATGGCAAAGCGTTGCGAAGTGTTTTGCACTCCCTGAGGTCAGACATTTGGCTAACACGTGAGTTCGCCATGATTAAAGTGCAAGAAGGAGTCACACCAGCGCAACGCCGCCCAGCTCGAGGCTGAGCGGACACACGTAATCCGGGGTGTATAGACTCGTTCCGCACATACAAGTCACCGTCGCCATGCCAGTCTGTACCGGGTGCGCATCAAGGCGCTCACAGCAGCATTTTTGTCTGCTGGCTCTTGCGGCACGAGTGCCGCGCACAGCGCCTCCATCAAGCTTCACGACGACCGGGACGACGACATACACACACGCCTGCTGGAGTCAAGCCATTGCCACACACCAGCAATTCACTTCCACTGATCTGCGGCCGATCATTTGTATATATCAGGAAGCCCGATCAACTGCACATATTCTGCTTTGGCACCACTGCCATGCTCTCTGCAGCCCTTTTAGTAGTACGAACGCCACCGTCGACAGGTTCACGACGGTCCATCAGAATGACCGCTCTGAGACCCGCCGTTCGATAAGGAACAGTCGACAACTACTTGTTATAACATGGTTGAAGTACCATGATGTTGCGTTCCCGTAGAGGATAAACAGTCCTCTAGGACCGCACTGTACATAGACTCCCCATTCTATCTATGAATGACAGAACATATCAAGCCAATACACAGCACCTTTTCGTGATGGCTACATGCAGCTCAATATCCCCTTTACAATGTGACGTTGTCGAGATATGCGAAGCCGTCTTTTTCACCAGCCCTCGACTGCCATGACAAACGCCGACTGCCTACCCTGCAAACTGACTCTACCCATATCAAGGCCTCCAATTATATCAGAACACGGATCCGGAAACCAAATAAAAATGTGACATGGTTTGGTGAATCGAGCGTTACAGATCATGAAGTTTAGACCTAGACTTCGAGATAACCATACCATCACCAAATCTTCTCTTGATATATTTGTCGTACAGCACGTTCACTCCACACAACAGCGAATCTAGGAGTTTACTATCAGAAAGATACATCCTTTCATCCCATATTCATTATTATATGTCATCCCTCTTCTATCTTGATCTTGATCTTGACGTCCTCCCCAGCAGACGCTGCCGCCGTCGCAGCGTCTTCCCGCTTAACGAGTGGAGACGTTTGTCCCTGTCCTTCTTCCTTTTTTACCTGAATGGCCAGACGTTTCTCTCCGTCGTCGTCGTCGGCGGCGCCGGCGGCGGTGTGATCGTCCTCTTTGATGATTGTGTTCCCGGCCACTGGGCCCTTTTCCTCCTTCTTCACTCCCAGGGTTTCATGCTTAACGTCAACAAGGCTTCCACCCTTGGTCTCTCCCTCGACATCCTCCTCTTTTTTCTTCGTTGTGTCCTCTTCTTCCTCCTCCTCCTCCTCCTCGCCCTTCAGACCAGCACCGCCAATACCAGCACCACCGCCGGCGCCGCCCCGCCTAGCAGCATTAATCTTCTTCCGATCCGCCGCCCTGCACAAGCCGGCCAAACCGATCCCGCACTCTCCACACCTCTTGGTGACGGGCCCGCAGACCGTCTGCCCCAAGCCGACGAGCAGCCAGTTGATGTCGCGCCACTTGTCGCGGGGCAGCCACGCCTCGAGCGCCTTCCGCGTGTCCTCGGGCTGCTTCGTCCCCGCCTTCCCGGTCCAACCCCACATGTTGGTGATGCGGTGGACGTGGACGTCCACGCCGATGCCCTCGGTGCGACCCCAGGCCGCCGACAAGGTGAGATGGGCCATCTTGGGCCCGACCCCGGGCAGGGAGACCAGGCCCTCGAACGTGTCGGGGATGTCGCCACCCCAGGCGTCGCGGCAGATGACGGCCGCGGCCTTGATGTACTTTGTCTTGTTGTTGTGGAAGCCCACCGCCCAGATGAGCTCGTTGAGCTTGGCCGGGTCGACGGCCAGGATGTTTTCGAGGTTCAGCCCCGGCGTGGTGCTGGGAGATGATGGGTTGGCCGACGGGGAAGAGGCTGGCGCGGCGGCGGGCAGCTCTGTGTGCAGGCGGTGCATGGCGGCCGCGTTGGTCGTGTCCTTGGTCTGCGAGGACAGCATGAGCGCTATCAGCGTCTGGAAGCGCTGGTCTCGCGCGGATGCGGTGGGCAGGGCGAGCCGCTCGCAGCCCATGGTGTCCACGGCCGCGTTCGCCGCGGGGGAGCCGGGAGTCGTGCGGATCTTGTGGAGGAGAGCGAACATCTCTTCCCAGCGCGCGGGAGGGAGGATAGTAGTAGTGGTGGTGGTTGTTCTCGTGGTGGTGGTTGCAGAGGAGCCAAGGTCGTCGCTGGCCATGGCGGTGGTGGTCGTGGTCGTGGTCGTGCGTGCTATCCGGGCCGGCTTGCGCTCGCGTTTTCGGCGGATGGGCAGAACGGGCTTTGTCTCGTTGTCAGAGGCAGAGGGTGCGAACGCGGCGTCGTCGTCGTCGTCCAGGTCGTCGGTAGCGTCGCGCTTGTGGACAGAGAGACTGGCGGCGTCGCTTTCTTCCGATACTTCCTCCTCCTCCTTCTTCACCACGCCGCGTGTGATTCTGGTCCGTGTGGCTGTACCCCGAGCAGCCCGGCTTGGGGAACCTCCCACCGCAGCCCGAGGTTCTGTCTTGATCGTGGCTATGGCGGTCGCCGTGATGCGCCTGCGCTTTCTCGACGCCCCAGCCTCGTCTTGTTGGGCCAAGTCCGGTATGACATCCTCGATATCCGGCGTCGTGGTCGCCGTCGCAGTGCTCGCGCGGGAAGTCGCCGCGCCGCGCCGTGAGGATCGCGAGGAAGTCGTCGTGGATGCTGCCTTTGTGCCGTCTGTCGCCACCGCCGCAGCACCTCCGGTGTAGGCAAACCGTGCGAGCGCAGACGACCTCGAACTCCGCCGCAGCTCCTGCTGCCCAGATGACGCCGTCGTCGTCATTGCCCCTGTGCCACTGCTGCCACTGTTGGCCCCGGAGCCAAAGATCCTGCCCACCTCCTGGGATATTCGGGACGCCCTCATCGCGGTGCTGGCGGCCGCCGTATTGACAAACACGGTATCCCAGCCCCGAATGTGGCACCCAGGAAAAGGATGCTATGCCTTTTCTTGTCAAGACGATTCTTTCATGTCGAGTTGGGTAGTGCGATGGTCTCTGGGAGCACCCGAGTTTGTATGAGGATGAAAAGGAGCTCGTGCAAAAGGGAAAAGAAAGTTCAATGGCTGCTAGCCGGCCCAGAAGACCAAGGGTCCAGAAGCCACGCTCTCAGACCCCTGCAACCCAGCGTTGGGGAAATGCCCCACTCCTAATACCAGGTGCCACACGATGCAGTGTGGAGGGATGGAGGAAGTCCAGATCGATGCTCCGGTCTGCTCCCGACGCTGCAAAGTGGATGGATGGAATTCTTCATGAGACACTCTATCTGATTTGCCACAGTCTGCCTACGAGATTGCAAGCAATTTCGGCCCACGGTAATGGCTTAACAACTGAGGGATTAAGATATAGTCCATCCGGGGGAAACTCGGAGGAGACTTGCAGATTCCTAAGCTGCTGATATAGTAATGATAGAACCACAAAGTCTAGTAAAGACACGCTCGCTATGATGCTAATGCGCCGCACTCCCCAAATCAAAAGTCCAGCAGATACAAGCGGCCAGACCTGTAACAGCGATCATGTTGGGCATCTCAGAGAATGAACTCCTCGTCGAGCCAGTGCGACAACACTACATATCCCTCCTTGAACCTCGCCACCTCCGACCTCACAATAATGGCAGCATGGCTGTGGCGAACGTTGTGAATCCACACAGGATACTTGTTCCAGTTGAGGGTGTCGAGGTTGTTGATCATGGTAAACTGGCTTGGGGCCAGCGCCAGTGTCGGAAGCGGCTGGTGCGACTGCTTGCGCTCCAGCGACAAAATCTCGGCGTCGGCCTTGTCAAAACCCCGCGCCGGCGACTCGTCTTCAGATTCGTCCGATGAGGCAAGGTACTCTTGCTCATGCGCCGCAGTGTTGAGGCTCTCGTATGTCTCCTCGGCGGTCGCACGGAGCTCACGGATCAGCAAGGGCACGCGGTAATCTGCGACCTTGATGCCAGCCTGGCCCAGCTCGTGTAGGCGAATGCGTCTTGAGCTGCGGACAGTCTGGTAGACCGAGCTGGCGAGGAAGCCAGCGACTCCAATGGGGATGAGCACGGCAAGCAAGGCGAACACGGGCATGTTCTTTGCATACGAAACAGTGGAGTCGGTCATTGACTTGAGCGTTCTGGACTCCTTTTCCAAAGCCAACGGGGTGACGGGGTTCCTGGGGTCGAGAACGACATCCTCGTAGCCAGAGACATAGTTGGCCTTGACTCTTTTCATGTCGGTGTAAGGGTCTGTCTTCATGATGCCAGAGGTAAAGGAAGCCACAGTCCTGTCGTTGACAATGTTGGAATACAGCGTCCGGCGCTTGAACTTGCGCAGACCATTCATAAAGATGGACTGGGGATCAGCGAGCACTGCCAGTAGGGGCCGTCCTGTGTCGCGGAATTCGTCGATGAGGAAGAGCTGGTGGCCGGACATGGACAGCGTCCTTGCTCCGAGCTCGTTCCAGAGGCGACTGTGCCAACCTGTGAGCGGAGTTCTCACACCAAGGTGGGGGGTTGCAAAGGTGGTGAAGTTGACAGGCTCGATCTCGTCAAAAATACCCTTGGCATAAAGCAGGCCGACGGCGTAGCGGGCGACAAGGCCGCCGAGACTGTAGCCGACGATGCTGATCTTGGAGATGTTGCCGCCGCGGCTGCGAATGGCTGCCAGTTCTTCCTGGATCTCGGCGACAACGCGCTCGCCGCCGCGCTCGATGCCATCGTAAGTGAAGCTGCCTTGATTGCGCTTGACGAGGAGAAGATGCAGCTTGTCGGCGGCGTGCTTCTTGCGAAGGGCCTTTGCGACCTGGTGCATGTGGCTGGGATTGCCCCAGAGGCCGTGGACGAGCACGCAGAGATGATCTGCGGCGGGAGTGCCGCCCTCAAAGTCCATTTTGAGCGGCCGCACGCAAAGATTGCTGTTCTGATTGGAAGGGGTGGGTTATGGGTGGGTGGCAGGCGAGGATAAGCACTTGTCTGGCCTGGGCGCTCGCTTCTAGAAGGCGATTCCTCTCTCGACTGGATAGTGGCAACTGTGCCTAGCTGGGATGATCGGCGACAGCAGGATGCAGGCGGCACTAGGCTAAGGCTGCGAAATGCTCGGCGACGGTGTCAATGGCGAGATTGTTGAAGATGGGCGGGGAATGGGAACCAGAGCTGGACTGGAACAACTTTAGAAAGGACTGAGGGGCTTACGTATTTATGAAGCCTACGTGGGCTGAGGCGGCGCGCGGTGTTGCCGAAGCCTGGCTGAAGCCCCTGGCAGGCACGCACTGCGAGAGCGAATGCGACCACCGGCCGAGTGGTTGAGTGGTGACGACAGGACTAGCGGAAAACACTTGATTGCTTTGTTAACGCCGGTAGGCACGTAACTACGAGGTGCATACGCATCCATGGATTGCTGGCCCGTTGGCCAATGGTGCTGAACCCGGCTCTCGGAGACCATGTTGGACCGAAGACCACGGTGCGTTGGAATGCGAGCCGTCCCTCTCCCAACTCCATGCCCATGATCATCCTCAATCCGCAACTGCCGGAAATAGGACATGCAGGTGGCTCACACTCACACGTGGGCGGATTTAAGGCACCAACAAGGTTATCTCCCGGCCCACTTTCGAGGCACCTTGAGGCGCAGCCACGAGTATCGACACACTACTGTAGCGTGCGTCTGCATGTCGGCATGAATCTCTCGAGAGTTGGCCATTCGCATCGCCAAGGAGGCGTGGTAGCAGTGCCCGCGCCCCTGTGGCTCACTCCGTCAGAACGGGAACGGGCATTGTCACGAATTACTTGACCTTCGAGCCCGGGCACTGTCCATAACTTCTCAATGACTGTTTGAGTAGGCTTACCTAATCAGAGACCGTGCCTCCCTCTGTACCTTATGTAAGCAGCCCGCGCTCTCATACCTGGTTCATGCAAGGGACGCCTGGCTTGCTTGCCCTGATCTGATCATGCCAACCGCATCGTTCGCGACCATTCAAGCAAGCACCCAAGCACTTTAAGCTCCCCAATCTTCGTTGTAACCTGTCGTTGGCTCCTTTCCCGGCTGTCCAAGGCGCGCCTGTTGTTTGCTTCTCTCGAGCTCAAGCGCATCACAAGTGATCCGACCGTTTGCACGTTCCAAGGTTCCCATTCCAGCAACCACATGCTGCCACTTCTCCCAGCTCCCGACGTCATCCCGAGCAAGCTTCCTAGGCCGATGTCGGCAGACGCAGACCTCATGATGCTTTGAATGTGTCCTCACCGCTCGAGGGATTCTTGTTAACAATATACCGTACCTGCACCGAGCTTGCATATCACTACGACCGCTTCACCGCATCTCGGTGCCGTCTTGAGCAACGTCCTGTGGACGCAGAGCTACGCGTGATCGCCCATAGTACAGGCCGAGCTGATGAACGGCAGCTCTTCTGGCCGAAAATCGCCGCTGGGTGAAATCCAAGAGGCCTGGAAGATCAAAGCCACGGCAAAGGACACTGAATGCGTGTCCTGGTGGCACTTTCGAGCGTCCACAGCTAGGACCTTGAGTACCGGCCAGCACCCAGGCGTATTCGTGATTCCGAAATAGTCACTCCTACTGTTCTTCGCGTTTACTTTAGCGCCAAGTTGCAATCATATCGATTCCACCTCGCAAACAAGGCAGCATGGACCCTCTCGCGGCCCTGAAGTCAATGCCATGCCCTAAGGGCGCCGCCTGCACCGCGTTCCAATGTCTGTTCCAGCACAATGACAAGCCGATAGCAGCGGACCTGGAAGCCGAATATGATCCTACCAGACCCTTGGGTGCCCTGCCAGACCTGGATGATCCCCAAGACACGCCACGGAAGAGACTAAAGGTAGCTTCAGATGATCACCTTGCACCCACAGGCGATGTAGGGTCGCCAGCGAAGCGACAGAAGACCATACCAGACCGCATGAGCACGACCAGCAATACAACATCAGGTGATGCCATAAGGCTTGCTACGCGAGACAAACCAGTATCGCCTCCACCACTTGGTCGAACACCACGTCCAAGCACGACATCATCATCGTCGGCAGCTGTAGACAAGAGTGCCAGGGCGGACTCAAAAGGCCCGGGCAGAACCACAACTGCCACCAAGGTCACTCCTGCCAAACCTGCAAAGGCTTCGACACCAAACCCCCCTCGGAAGGTCTCTACAGAGACATTAAACCCTCGACATATTCCGAAAGCACCAGCACAGCACGATTTGAGGCTAAAGCTCGTCAAGGCGCTTTACGAGCATTATAAGCGTCTCAACGACGAGCTCAAGGCCGACGCCAGCGATGACGAGGCCCAGCTAGTCATGACAGATCAACAGCTCATCGTGCGCACCTTGGACGAAGAACAGGAGATTGCGACCACGAAGGCGTCAGTCTATGCCAACGCAGTCAAGAACAGGATCATGCAGTACAAGCGCATGAACGTCTTGAAGTGGAAGGAGGAAAGAGAGCAGGCAATCAAATCACGGTTAGCGGCTCAAGGGCGGACGAGACCGGATCCCTCAGAACCAATCGTCACGGGCTTGACCCCGGCCCAGGAGGTCAGCTTCTTATCTCATCTCATCACGCAGCTGGACAGCCTGGCAAACTTCGGATATGTCACGACGATACCGAGTGAGAGTGACATCGAGGCGGTCAATCGAAGCGTAGAAGCGTCTGGCAACACAGAGCTCTGCGACCGGAACGGCTGTGGTCGAAGATTCCAAGTATTCCCCGGAAGACGAGAGGAGGACGGAGCACTCACATCGAACGGATCCTGCACCCATCACCCAGGCAAGGTGTACACTACAGAGCGCTTTGCACTCGACCGTCTGAGCAAGGCACAGCGCAAGTACCGCTGCTGCCAGACCAATCTCGACGACGACAACGCCGAGAAGGGATGCACCACGTCCCCCACGCACGTATTCAAGGCTTCAGACCCAAAGAGACTCGCAAGCGTGCTGCAGTTTGCCCACACTCCTTCCAACGACGCAGTTCCAGCGGACAGGGCCATAGCGTTCGACTGCGAAATGGGCTACACCGTGTACGGCATGGAGCTCATCCGTCTGACGGTTGTGTCGTGGCCGGATGGCGTGGAGCTGCTCGACGTACTCGTCCAGCCGTACGGGGAGGTCCTGGACCTCAACACGCGGTACTCTGGTGTCCGGCCAGAGGACATGGCCACGGCGATACGCTGGAAGCCAGGCGACGATCACCGCCCTATCGTCACCCCTCTGACCACCAGCGACAACAACAGCAGCAGCCTCAATCATCCACAGCAACGCAAGCTCAAACTAGTCCCCTCGCCGGAAGCAGCGAGAAGTCTCATGTTCAGCTTGATGTCCCCGCGGACCCCCGTCATCGGGCACGCTCTCGAGAACGACCTCAATGCCGTGCGCATGGTCCACCCGACCGTCGTGGATACCGTGCTTCTCTACCCGCACAAGCGTGGCGGACTTCCCCTGCGGTACGGGCTGAAGTATCTCATGGATTACCACTTGGGGCGGAAGATCCAGACTGCTGGGGATGGCAATGTCACTGCGAGTGGTGGAGGTGGTGCTGGTGCTGGAGAAGATGCTGCCAACGCCGTGGGCCACGACAGCGCAGAAGATGCCAGGGCGGCGGGCGATCTGGTTCGGTTGCGGGTCAAGGAGCAGTGGCAGAAGATGCAGGTTGACGGGTGGACGATTGATGTAACGACGGGTGCTTTTGTCGCTCCGCCAGGTGGTGGTGGCAAGAAGTCTTGAGATCACTGGGTCCTCCATCTTGGGTCTGGGGTGAGACCATGGGGCACGAGGTCTGTCGTGCCATGTAGCCGCCCGGACATACAAGCAAATCAAAGAAGACAATTGAGATACTTGTGCCGCGAGATTGGAGTTTAGCAGTCAAACAATGTTTGATATGACATGAGATTATCGTTCCATTCGCCATTCCTTTGTCCCTAGATTTTTCTATTGTTACATGAGTGAATACAATTGTTTCAAACATACGCCGCGAGTCTGAATGAGCGGGGGGTATGTCGTGTATGGATGGCATGTTTGGCCTTCTCCTTCTGCTCCTGGGAGGACCACTTTGAAGATCGCTTTCTCCTCTCCAGGTCATGTCTGTACGGCCTCTCCTCTCAACACATTTGAAAGAGCCAGCCCTCTTCCACAGCGACTGGGCCGCAAGAGAAAAAAAAAGAGACCTCTCGCCTTTATCGCTGACTACTCTCCAGTGCACCGGTCTTGATGATAGCTCTTCACGCCTTGCCGACATTTAGCAAAAAGTTGCCGCCGCCGCCGTTCTTGCCGCTTGGCAGGTAGGCAACGTTGGGGTTGCCCGCCAGCGTGGCGGCAATCTCGCGACTGGCCTCGATCTTTCTGATCATGATCAGGCCGTCGCCAGACTTGGCAATGGCGCGCGAGATTGTGTCTGCGGACTCGGCCTCGCCCTCTGCGCGGATGACGTTGGCCTGACGTTCCTGCTCCGCGCGCTCGACGATGAAGCGGGCGCGCTCGGCGTCCTGCTGGGCAATCTGCTTCTGCTCGACGGCGCGGGTGAACTCCTTGCCAAAAGTCATGTGCGTGATGGAGACATCCTCGAGGGCAATGTTGAACTCGGCGGCGCGGCGCATGAGGTCCGTCCGGATGCGCTGGCTGACGGCCTCGCGCTGCGTGATGAGCTCGGCGGCGTCGAACTGGGCGACGATGCTCTTCAGGACCTCGTTGCCGATGGAGGGCAGGACGCGCTCGTCGTAGTCGGTGCCGAGGTTCTGGTAGATCTTAGGCAGGGCCTGGACCTCTGGGCGGTGCAGCACGCGGAGGGTCAGGGAGACCATCTGGAGGTCCTTGGAGCCCGTCGTGGTGGCGATGTTGCGCGGCTTCGTGCGGACGTCGAAGATGATGGAGCGCTGGAGCCAGGGGACGAGGAAGTGCGTGCCCTCGCTGACGACGGTGTCTTTTACTCCGTTGATGCGGTCGAAGATGACGGCGCGGGTGCCGCCGCGGACGTCGTAGATGGACGACTGGGCGACTCCGACGGCAATGGCGGCCGGGACGGCTAGCCGGTAGAGGGCGTTGAGTGCGCTGGCCATGGTGCTGTCGCTGTGCTGTGGAAGGGTATCGTGACAAGACCTCGGGTGGGTGCGAGGTTGAAGAGCTCACTAGAGCTGCCCGGCGGGTGGAGACGGCGGAATGGCCGGAAGCTCTATGACCGAAAGACTGAGAGATGCTTGAACAGACGGAATACTCTATTATCGTGCTAACCCGGAGAAGTGTCAGCTGTGTTATCGTCGTCTTCGTCTTTGTCTCTAGTGCCAGTGGAAGCCGGAGAGCTGGGGTGTGAGATCTGCGGGAGCTTGCAGGCAGCTGCTGGTGATGCTATGCTCTCTGCAGGTGGTGGTGGTGGTGTCGTTGTAATCGATGCTGGACCAGCAGCTGCCCACAGTGGGGCAGCACCACACGCCAGCGCCCAGGCAAATCATGGGCGGCGCAAACACGATTTGCAACCGCAGCCAGCTGGTCCGAGCTCCCTAGCCGTGCTTGATTGGCCCTCGAGCCCAGAACAGCGGGGCTCGCTGTAGCCGACGCTTCTCTCTCTGCCAGGCGTGCGTTGCGGTTCATCCCGGAAAAGCTTCACTTCCTCCTGCCACCACCTCGCGCGACACCCTCCGACTTCGTCGCCCTCCAGCTTCTTCCCACCACCACCCAATTGATCACCCCGTGTCTCTCAAGAGACACCCCGATCCTCAAGATGCGTCCCACGATGGCTCTGCGCGGCGGCGGCGAGTCCCCGCTCGGCAAGCACGGCCAGTAAGTTGAGCGACTTTTTACCGCTTGCGCTGCTCCACGACAAACGTCAACAGCCACAACCGCGAAGACCACGACGACTGCGATGACGACGGCAATGGCAAGCCCATCAAAGGGCTCTTGCAGGAACTTGGATGCGAGTGCATCAGGCCGCGCTCTCTCCCCTGAGCCCCAGGCCCTCTGTGGAAAGATCATACGTCGAAGCCCACGCCGTATGACGATCGAGTTCGCTCTTCCTGTGCGCCCGCCTCAACCGTCGTCTAGTCAATGGTCAATGCCTACCCTATTCTTCCCCTCATATGATGACAACCTTCTTAAAGCCTAAAGTGTACACAACTGGTGTGGCTTAAAAATATGTTTTAATTAGACTCTGACACTCTTCCCTTCATCTGATGTATCTGTCTGACTGGTTATGCTCGCTTCGAGACATTGTACTGACGATATCATCAATAGCTACCTCGGCGGCTGGGGCAACTTTGGTAAGCACGCCCAGCGGTAATGCAATGACCGGCGGTGCATACAGGAGGCAGCCTGTGCAGACCGAAACGAAGACTCGCAAAAGGACTGGCGACAAGCACCGCATACAGCTACGACATTGATAGATATCCTTCGATGTCAAGCCGCGAAGCCACAATCACCGCCTCGAACACCATCGCTTACCTGCGCCCTCTTCTGCACTGGCTTCGCCCTCTGGTGTTTCCACCATCTTGCTGATCAGGAATGCGGTCTGTGGCATGGCTAACCCATGGTTCCTCACGATTCTAGGCGGCATGAAGCAGAAGGGCATCATCACCTACGCCGTCTCTCCAAACAAGCAGAACGTCCTCGCCGGCACCGCCAACGCTGCCGTTTTCAACACATGGCGCCGGTTCAGCAAGCAGGTCCTCTACTGGGCCCCCCCGCTCGTTGCCTTCTACTACGCCATGGAGTGGGCCACCCACCGGTATGCTTATCTCTCTCGACTGGAGGTGTGACGAGGGAATGAAGACTGATAACCTGCAGAAACCACTACCTGAACTCCAAGGCTGGCCGTGCCGAGTACGCCGATGAGGAATAAACTGTTTTCAACAATGCAAAGCACTGATTTTTTTGTGATATAATGCTACGAAGTGGATCCGCACGTCCAAAGAGAGGATCCGGGAGGGAGGAGAAATGAGGACAACAAGGACGCTTCCGCTCCCATGGGAAAGGCGCGGAGAGCTTGAAAATGGCTACGGCCATTATGTACATCAATAGATATCGGCCAAAAGCCGTTTTGTGCATCAAATGACATCATTACCTTTCCCTTTGTGCCGTTCCCGTTCAGTCGTACTTCACTATCTCAGCATCCACTTGTGCGCTGGGTGGCGTGCTTGTCAGATTAGGTATCTCCACGAGAGATAACAACATGACAGTCGACAAGCCATGTCACGAATACGGCCGAGGTACGGGCTTTCGGAAACACATCTCTTTATTGACGGACATCCTACAAATTGTTTATCGCGCCTGGCAGGCCCTGCTGAGTTGAAATGCCATGTATTATTCGCGCAAGGCTTTTCGGTGTCGAGCTGGACCGAATCCATCTAGCGCTTGCGCAAAAGTTCCATGCTCTGTCTGCTACGAACAACCCGAGCTCTCCCCTGAAGCAGCCTGCGAGACCAGATGTCGCGGGCACGCTTCTGCTCCTCCAATGGCAGCGCGTGGAACTCTTGGCGTCTCATGAGATGCATGAGACTTGCCTGCACTGCCGTCCGTTCCTCGAGCGATGTACCTTCGAGCTGGATGTCCGCCATGAGGGGACGAAGTCTCTGCCATGTGGCTATCAGCCCTTCATAGTCGGCTTCCGAAATCGAGCTCATGATCTCGAGGACCCGTTGGCCTGCTGGTGTTTCCACCTCCTGCTCAAAGACGGCAGTCTCTTTCACAGGAACGTCGAGCAGGGTCTCTTGCTTCTGACCATGGGCGACAATCTTGTCGGAATGTGGAGAGGTCGCGGGATGTTCGACTTTTGTACTGTCATCGTTCTCTAGGTCGATCAAATCAGCCACTATCTCAGGACCCTTTGGTTCCATGACTGTCGAGACGACAGGTGCCAGCTCAGGTGCTTGCTGAGCAAGCGCCGTGGCTGTGTGAGCTTCGCTACCTGCCAAATCCACAACAGGCGTTGGTTGACGACCCTCCTTCAAGTCTTCAAGCGCATCGGCAAATTTCTGGGCCACGTTGGAGTTTTCGAATCTGAGCTGCGTCGCGTCAGTCTTCTCATGTGGAAGCTGGTATCGCAGCAAGAGTGCATCGCCGTAAATTCGCAGGACCGAAAACGCTGTAGCCTCTGCCTGGAAAATGATAATGCTCTCTTGTGTCAGAACAAGAGATCCCACAACATCCATGGATTGTTTGTACCCAAGGACTATCTGGACGCGTGTGGTTTTCAGCTCGCCCCCCACAGCCACCTCGATATCCGCCGAGCAGCTGAAGCGAATATCAGCGCAGATCGTGGCCTTCGCTTGTTCGATTATAAGAACCGGTTCCATTGCAGGCCTCGAGTCAACGGCAGATGTTCCTCTCCCGGTGGGCGATTGTTCGATGGTTGGCAGCTGATCCATCACGGGAGCCTGCTCCTCCTCCACATATAGCTGGCGGGCGCCGGGCGGGCTTGCTGGGAAAATGGATATCGCTGTTGGCTTTGGGGGAGACATCTCGTCCCATGGCCGAGGGACAGGACAGATCGGCACACTAACAGGCGGTCGGCTTGAAGCGGGTTTCAGCCTCAACTTGGTGACAGGCATGACCTTTAAGGGCTCAGGCCTTGGTGTTCTTGGCTGCACATAGAGTGGTGGTGGTTCCACCGCTGTTGCTTTTTTCTGGGCCTGGTTGGGAGAAGGAACATCGGCAGGGTGGATTGGGATCGGTAGATTCGGCATGCTGACGAGTGGCCGGTCGGCGCCAGACCTGGGCTTTCGGGTCGTTACGGGAGCCGGATGTCTGCCTTCGGCAGCCACTATGGGCAAGGCAAGGTTCTCGTCTGACCGTGTCGTTGTTTCTTCTGAGACAATACTCGCCGCTGAAGATATGGGCGCTTTTCTGGTGGCCTCCCATCTCTTCGTTGCCATGCCCGGGGGCAAGAGGACACCAAAGGAGGAGACTTGAAAATCGGGATCGACTGCTATATCCCTTGTAGCAGACTGCTGATTGTTCCCCCTGCGTTTACCCAGTTGTCTGTTGGTCACCTCGTCAGCGATGGCTCCAAAGCGTGCAAGACGGCTGGGTGTTGACTTACGTCGGATCATAGCTATTATTGCCGTCCAGCAACTGGTTGACGGTATTGCGGGAACGACGAGTGCCAGAGCCACCAGCCTCCCGGTTCAGCCGATGTAGGTTGCCGTTGGCTATTGGGTCGAGCTGTTTGACGCCATCATGGTCAGAGTCGTTGAAAAGACCTTCCTTGATGGCATCTACGAGATATGAACCGTCAGCAGGGGACAGAAGGACGCGTGTGGAAGGCTCACTTACTTGTCCACATATTCGTCGCCCCAATTGCACCTTGAGCTGAAGCGAAAGCCCTGTCCGAGAGAAGAGGGACAGAAGCACCTCTGCAGTCATCCTGTGCCACCTCTTCAGCACGGGCAAGGCCCAGATCGTTCTTGGTGGCAGTGTGAGGTTAGAACGGACAGCCAGGTTGTTATACTTCTGTAAAGGCAGCTTACCATCATATCTTCCAGCGCTGGATCCATGGTGGGCGTAGGCCTAGAGATCCTCTCTGCTCGATTTGGGAAGTGTTACTCCAAAAAAAAACCCCGAAGACACTGGCAACACTTTGGGCAGTGGCAGGGTGTACTCGCTCTGATGTGGGAATAAGTAAATGGGGAGAACCTGCAAGGTGAGGTGAGGTGGATGTGAACTGCCCGTCGGAGGTCGCAGAAGTGATCCCGTGTTGTCAGTGGTCGGCCCATAGATAGGATGTGTGTCCATGTGATGGCACCTGCAGCTGGATGCCTTGGGCCGCGAGTTCACTTTTGCTGCCTCGCGCCGAGCTGATGACTTTGTCAGATGAGTGGAAACAGGAGCAGACGAGCAACTGCTGGCTCGAGCGGGCACAGGGTGGCAACAGTGATGTTGGCACTTTCCGCTTCGTGAGTTCACCGGGGCAACCGCTGCCAGAGACTTTCTATTTACAGTCGCCTGCGGCGTGGGCAGCTCTCGCTCGTCATCAAAAATATAATAAACTCCGGGGGTTGCTGTTCTGCGCATTAGGGAACCACAGGCGGAATTCTAGGATGCCTCAGGACGGGCTCATCAAGTGCATCGTGTAAGCCATTCCCCATGGCGGGAGGGAGACGTGGACAGATTGGACACCAATATTGCACATGAGATATCTCCAACATGGGCAAACGAGCCATTCGCATCACTTCGTCTACCTGGTTCGTATTATGGACGGCCTCGCAGGATCGTGTGCGTATCCGTTGATTGCTGCTGTTTGGTTGCATTTTGGTCCCTTACTGTCAGCTGTAAAAGAGGCAGTGAGCCAAACAAGGTACATCCAAACTGTCGTCAAGGAGGCTTAAGCAGTACAATCCTGCTCCAGGCAGAGCTGAAACGGCTTCTTCTGGTCACATGAAGTTCTGGCAATGCTCATCCCAGTGCCGAGATGCCGTCGCTGTAAGGGTGCTGGAACTGGAAGTCTCGAGGAGGACAATATCAAGTGGGGCATTGCGAATGCCGGCGTCGTGATTGGCTGCCACCCCTAGCACTACCCGGCACCGGCGAATCTCCGGATTGCAGCTGGGAAACCCGGCTGCTGGTGATGCACGCAACGCTGTGACATTGCATCCAAGACTCTGAGTATCAAGCCAACGACCCCGAGCGCCATCAATCGCAGGCACTGTCCTCGCACCCACAATACATAATGGCGTCCAAAGTCGCAGCGGCAGCTGCCGGTGGTGTCATGAACATCAACACGGTACGCAAGCCAGCCCCTCGACGGCTCCACGGACTTCCCGGGCGCGATGATGGCAGCAAGCCGATGAGATGCTGCAATAGCAGCACCACCTCCCTCGGCTCGCCCCCTGCCCGCCATTCCCTCCAGTTTCGCAAACCTCCGCAGACATGGTGTTTATGTTGCCGTCGCTAACCTTCCTCCCCCCTCTTCCAGAAGCAATGCGTCGTCTCTACCGGCGTCTGGGACAAGATCCGCCGCGTCTTCGCCGTCGACCCCAACAGGTCATCCGGTGTGCCCTTGAACCCATACTACCGCAACCCGACTCCCGGCGGCACAGACCCAATGCTTTACGACGATCCCGTCACCGCCCCGGCTGGTGACATCGCCGACAACCCGTACTGGAAGCGCGACGTCCGGAGGGCCTACCCGAAGCTCAGCTTTGTCAACCAGAGCGACGCCGTCAGCCTGCTGAGCGTTGGCAGCGCTGCTGCGCCCAAGCAGGAGCTCATCGGCGAGGCCGGCGAAAAGTCGCTGGTTGCTGCTAAGCAGGAGGGCGAGACTGGTCTTGCGGCGTTCTTTGAGAAGAAGTCTGGTGCTGCCGTCGCTAAGGACCTGCTTGTAGATGGCTTGCCCCCGCTACCCAGCGGCGTCAGCCTCAACGCGGAGAAGTGGGATGTGTACAAGTACGATCTGACAGACTCTTCGTATGGAGAAGAGAAGCTGGTCACATACCCTTGCCGATCGTTCAAGTAGACGTGTCGAATAAGGAGAGAAGTCGAAATGGGATGAGGACGACGGAGGATGGACACTGTACATATGCGAAAAGAGACGACAACTCTAGATTTTCTTGGCCCAAGTATGATGCATACAATCGACAATGATATGTGGAAGGATTGTGCATGCTGGGATGAGTGCGAATATCCATCTATGGTGAGGGCTCTGATGCCGGAGCGCAGGGAATAATATCTGTGTTGATCTTATGCTATCAAGAGGTATTTTCACTGATTGAGACTGTTTTCAGCCAATGGCCGATTCCACAACTACGGCCTTATCCTGCCAACATCCTCAATGCTGGGTTCTTTCGCTGCTGACAATGAGGAAGCACTGGCACTGGCACTGCCGGGCGCCGGCTCCGCCACGGGTATCTTCTCCCCAATAGCCCGGTCAATAATCTTGGCTTTGCCCTGTGCACCTTTGAGCCGGCTGTCAAAGTCATTCACAGCCGCGTCGTCATTCTGAGTCGACAGTGTGCCCGGCTCTAGCAGGCCGTAAAGAGTGACGACGTTCTTCTCCAGGCGTGCATTTGGGCTTGGTAATGATGGCAGAGACGGCGTTGTCTCTGGGCTGGTTGTGGCATCGCTGCTTGAAGCAGCAGCATGTGACGCATTGCTGTTGTCGCCGCCGCGAGCACCACCAGTGAGGCTGGGTAGTCGGTTGGCCCAGACCAGCGCTCTGCCCTGCAGCCTGCCGGCCTCGAGAAACTTTTCAAACCCCGACTTGAGACCGACCGAGCGGCCCTCGATCTTACCCGCCTCGACGCCATCCCTAAGGCCCTCCGTGTAGCCCTCTTGATAGTACTGCTCCTCAAGATTGAGGACGTCGTCGAAGAGATCGTCGTTTGTAGTGGGCATTCTTTTTCTAGTTTGCCCGGAGGGTTTTCCCCGAGTACCCGAGACAGTTTGCGCGCGGTGTCTTTGGAATGAATGTGGCTGCCGACAATCGGATTTCTAGGGCTTTCAAAGAAAATAGGGCAGATTATGTATGACTCTGTATGTCTCATGTATTGAGTTCTGGTGAAAGTGAAGCCGTAGTGGTGTTGACTGGAACCTGCTTCAAGGGCTTGTTTAGTGTGCAACTGCACGCCAAGAAATAGGCCGCGGAGGTTCTACACGGCCTTTCGCATGAAGATTTGGCCCAAAGATTAATCGTGCTTGCAGTTCGCAAGCTTGACTTGTGCAAAATAAAAACTCACTGAATAACAGTGCAACAGAGGTACAAAGATAGAGTAGAAACCAAATATATTGCTTGAGCTGCTTAAGTTCGACGCCGTCCGCATGCATGCGGCTGCTTCCAGAAGTGCTGATAGAGGGCTTCTGGCGTGGCGATAACGGAGCTGACTGCCCCTCCAACGCGCCGAAAACTGAAGCCCCAAGTACCACCCCACCATTGGCCAGCCAGCCGGCTGAGCTAGTCAGTCTCAGCCAAGCAGCTCGTGTGTGCCCATTGACTCATCCATTCCTTTGGGATATCCGACACCTTCTTGATCCCTCTGTCTGCCCTCCTGCAACGACCCTGCGATATCCTCACGTCATTTCCAGTGCTCTTGTTCTCGTGCAGACCATTGCTGGGGCAGCGCGGGGCACTATGGCCGCCAAAGTCATCCTCCCTGAGGAGGGCAAGAAGAACACTCTCATCACGAGTGCGCTCCCATACGTAAACAACGTCCCCCATCTGGGCAACGTTGTTGGCAGTGTCCTGAGTGCCGACGTCTATTCGAGATACAGCAAGCTCCGTGACCGCCCGACTCTCTACATCTGCGGTACGGACGAGTACGGCACTGCGACCGAGACCAAGGCTCTCGAGACCGGCCAGACTCCGCAGGAGCTTTGCGACGAGTTTCACGCCAAGCACAAGGCTGTGTACGACTGGTTCGAGATTGGCTTCGACTACTTCGGGCGCACCACGACCGACCATGGAACGAGAATTGTCCAGGACATTTTCCTGAAGCTCCACAAGAACGGCTTTCTCGAGGAGCGTACCACCACGCAGCCGTACTGTGAGAAGCACAACGCCTTCCTTGCCGACCGGTTCGTCGAGGGAACCTGCCCAAAGTGCCAGTACGACGATGCTCGTGGCGACCAATGCGACAAGTGCGGCAACCTTCTCGACCCCTTCGAACTCATCAACCCACGCTGCAAGATCGACAATGCAACTCCGATCCCTCGCGACACCAAGCACATTTTCCTGCGCCTGGACAAGCTCCAGGGCGACATTGAGTCTTGGTTTGAGAAGTCCAGCAAGGAGGGAGGCTGGCCTGCGAACGGCGTGGCCATTACCAAGGCATGGCTCACCCGAGGGCTTGAAGGCCGCAGCATCACCAGAGATCTGAAGTGGGGTGTCCCTGTACCGCTTGAGGGCTATGAGAACAAGGTCATCTACGTCTGGTTTGATGCCTGCATCGGCTACCCGTCCATCACAGCCAACTACACGGATCAGTGGGAGAAGTGGTGGAGAGACCCCGAGAACGTCAAGCTCTTCCAGTTCATGGGCAAGGACAATGTGCCCTTCCACACCGTCATTTTCCCTGGCTCGCAGATCGGCACTGGCGACAAGTGGACGCAGCTCAACCATCTATCGACCACGGAGTACCTGAACTACGAGAACACCAAGTTCTCCAAGTCTCGCGGTGTCGGTGTCTTTGGTGACTCGGCCAAGGAGACCGGTGTACCGCCTTCGGTCTGGCGTTACTACCTTCTGAGCAACAGACCGGAGACGAGCGACTCGCAATTCATCTGGTCCGACTTCGTCGCGGGCAACAACAACGAGCTGCTTGCCAACCTGGGCAACTTTGTCAACCGTGTGGTCAAGTTCGTCAATGCCAAGCTCGACAGCACGGTCCCCGAGTTCTCGGCCAGCTACACTGACGACTCATTCGACTTCCCTGCTTGGATCGCCGAGGTGAACAAGTTACTGGGCGAGTACAACGACCTGATGGAGGCGGTTCACCTTCGCTCGGGCATCAAGAAGGCCCTTGAGATCAGCAGTCAGGGCAACCTCCTCCTCCAGTACCGTCTCGACAACGCCGCTCTAGCGGAGCACCCGGAGCGGACAAAGACGGTCATCGGCCTTGCTCTCAACCTGTGCAACCTCTTGGCGTCGATCGTCTCGCCTTACATGCCATCTACATCAACAGGCATTCTCGAACAGCTCAAGGTGCCACTGAGCTCCATTCCGGATACCTTCAGCCCGGATGTACTCAAGCCGGGCCACAGTATTGGCAAGGCCACCTACCTCTTCTCTCGGATAGATAGCAAGAAGGTGGACGAGTGGAAGGAGCTGTACGGCGGCAGCCAGGCTACGCGAGCGGCGGAGGCGGCGGCCAAGAAGAAGAAGCAGGAGGACAAGGAGAAGAAGAAGGCCAAGAAGGCTGCGCAGAGGGCTGCCGAGGCTGCGGCCAAGGGACCCGCAGTGCCAGCCGAGAAGCCTGGAGAGATCAAGAACCTCCCCATTCGGCAAAAGTTGATTGACAAGGAGGGCCCGTTGACCACAGAAGCGTCAACGGTGCCGGAGGGCACAGCACCATCGAAATAGACCTAGATGAGATAGAAAGCTGGCCGGGTTGTCGACCTTTGTGAAATGGAGCAACACAAAACCGTGGAAATTACCTTGTGCTCGGCCAAGAGCAGCGTCTGCGAACCCTAGTGAGCGCCCGTCCACATGTCACGTTTCACCAAGAGTAAATCAGTGATCTGGGGTAAAGCTGGATTAAGCAGTGTCCTGGATGCATGTATGGTTGTGGCGCACCACAACGGCGGAAGCCGCCATCTCGATGTTGGACAGGCCGTGCAAGGGTCACGTCGAAGTGGATGCGAACGGCCCCTGCCGACGAAGACATCGAGCCATGATCCATGGAATTTTGCCGTGACATGTGGCACATGCTGTACGGAGTACGTCCTCGGTAGCACAGGCCACTAACCCCTGCGACTTGGGTCGTGCAGTTTCAAACACTCGGAGAGATTGAGGAGAGCTGACCCCCAGTACTGTAGACACAGCAGATGGTGGTGGTTCATGAACTCAGGGAGAATGATTCGCAAGGGAGCACTTGACCAGCCAGGCAGGCATTGGGTGGACCGGCCGTGGCGCTCAATGTGAGGAGGTGATTGATTAGGCTGGTGTAGTAGTCTCAGGCGATACCACGGTCCCAGAGGCAGGCAGGGCAGGGAGTGCGGAACAGAGTCAAGGTCGACGCTAACAAACACACCACCATGGCTCGGTTGCGCCAACAAGTCTGGTATCTGGTAGAGTGTCATCTGGATGCCTTCCCCTGCCCTCCCAAAGCCGGCAGACGGGCATCAGAGGTGGGGCTGGGCCGGCGGCGCAGCCCATGAGCGGTTGCCGTGACTCTGCCTGGCTCCTCCACTTAGGAGCCGTGCCAGCACCCCCGGGCGGCACCAGGACCAGCCCCAGTGCGGTCCGGGCGCCCAAGGCAAAACGAAAAACACTACCACCCAAGGAAAGCTCACCTCCATTCCTGCTTTCCCCCCATCCCGTCCTCAGCTCGGCCACCTGACCTCGCCTCACTCCAACTCCCAACTCCCCCGACCGCCACGACGCTGCACTCTCGCCATCCGCAGAAGACGACGACGACGACGACGCCGCCGCCGCCGCCGCCAGAGCCCATCACAAATTCCACTCTAGACGACTCTTGCAGTGTTTTGGTCTTCCGCTCCGACACTGTAGGACTGTCAGACTGTCGCCCGCCTCCGCACTGAGAGATCGGCAATCACAGACCGCTCCCGACCGCCACCACCACAAGACGTCAGCACGAGTGTGATTCTGACATCACACAGCCAACGTCTCGGACCTTCGCACGCATTCTTTTGCGGTCTCAGGGCTGCATTTGGTCGCCGCGCAGTTTGGTTGTTTTCCACACGACGCAGCCATGAATGTGCTCCTGTCGCCGCAGCCACCGCTATTCCCTCACCAGCACCAACAACACGAACCAGCTCGCCGGTCGCCAACCAGATCAAGTGAGTTCTTCCACACAAGCCTCGTGTCCTCCCGCCAGCCGTCATTGTGCCCACCTGCTAACTTAGCCTGCCAGTGTCCCCCTTTCCGAGCAACATGTCTTCCAAAAAGCGGAAAGCCGACGATGACGAGGAAATGGGCACCTCACCCATGAGCTCTCCCGCCATTCAGAATCGCCAACTATCGAGGCCCTCAAAGAAAATCCGCTCGCAAAACGAACTCGCCGGCCGCCCGCTGGGCCTCCCTCGCCTCCTGGAAACCCTTGATGCTTCGCAGCTCCGGACCGTGCTGCAGACCATCTGCGAGAGACAACCCGAGATTGGCGAGGAAGTCGTCCGTAGTGCACCTCGGCCTACCGTTGCCTGCGCTCTTTCCGTCCTCCACGAGTATCAAGAGAAGCTTCGCGAGGCGTTCCCCTACGGCCAGTCCAGCTCCGACTACACGTACTACAGAGTCAAGCAGCCCCTTGTTGCCCTGCTTGACGCCCTGAGCGACTTTGTCTCTCAGTACCTCCCACCGCACGAGACACAGACCAGCGTGTCTCTCGAGTTCCTGGACGGCGCCACCAAGATCGTCCACACCCTGCCCGACTGGGAGAGTCAAGCCTACCGCTACCACAAAGAGAACATCTATGACGAACTATCGAGAGCCTGGGCCTTGGTTGTGAACGAAGCCTCCAAGAAGGGTGCTGGCTTTGTCCTGCACTCCGGCGGCTGGGATCAAATCCTGGCCAAGCACAACCAGGAGTCTCACGGCCGTCTCGGTGCTGCTATCAATGCTATGCGTTCCAACGTTGGTTGGGTTGGTGGAAGTGCCAGCGGAGGCGCTCCCGCCCCTGCAGCCAATCCCTCGATCCTCGATCAACTCATGGCTGGCAATTTTGGCTCGCCTGTCAGAGTCGGCCCTTGGTAGGACCAGGCGTCGCAGACCACCCATCGCTGAGCAAACAAGTCGAGCCAAAATACCTTAACGCAGCACGCACATACTCGTTACGCCGTCATGATCACCACGTCTTCTCTTTGTTGAGCACTAGCATATCGCGGACTGGGCATAGACATTTTCACTTTACATACTGGGCCTTGTTTTCCTGTCTTCTCGTCATGTTTCATCTGGTCTCGGCTCTCTGGCGTTTGGCTATATCATTACATCATCCATCACCATCATCAATATCAATCCTGTTTTCACAATCACCACGGCCAATTCATGTTCCCCTCCTGCCGTTTTGGATCATTCGATATCCCTGTATGCCCATGCTTTTTTTCTACCTGTTTGACTTGGCCTGATGTGGTGCCTAAGCAGACCAAAGTTCTGAATGAACGAGATGATTGTCACATAGAGTAATACTTCGCCGCAGCGGCCACGACAGCATAGTAAATATGATGATTGCTGAAACCGGAGAAAAAACGCAAGGCCAAGTTGTGAACCTCTTTCATTCTTCGACAATCAGAGCTGTGGCAGTCGCAGCCATGCAACCGGGCAGGGATCAGGCTGTGTGAAGTTGACTGGTCAGAGCCCACTGCTGCCGGCATATTGAAATTTGGCCATCTCGTAGGCGAATTTCCGTCACAAAGTGCTATGGCCGTCTGGACCTGTGGACCTCTAAAGCTGAAAGAGTTGAAAGGTCACGACGAAAGAGGGAGGCACGAGAGAGGCACGCGAGTAGAGGCTTCAGTAGGCAGATCAAAGCTGATGACCAAGGAATGCGCCGTATGTGAGCAACATATGATCGAGGGACCTAATCACTAGACGGCGAATAGACTTATCCGTGCATGACTACAATTGCATCAGGAGCGAGTGCTTGATGAACGACGAGCCCGTAAGAAGCATCACGTGACCTGGCGTCAGTGTTGCCTAGCTTGGGAGTGGTGAAGTCCCACTTTGTCGCTGGACCCCCATGATGTGATGGAGCCCAGTCGCGGTGCATGGCTGCTGCCATTAACGCGTCCCGCACACAGCATTAGTAAACGGACCTCCAACAACGAAACACCCAGCCGCTTCTGTCGCAGCTTGCCCGCACAACTTGCATCTTGCAGTTGCAGACGAATCGAGGACTAGCTATGATCACGGCTATTTAGGTCAAGTAGTCCTGAAGAAATGCCTGCGTGAGTCAAGTTCTTGCCGCCCGCCCTGGTGCTTCCACCGAAGGCACGTACGCGTCTCGCTTTGGCCCAGCTAATTCAAGCTACACCACAACCACAGCCCTGGAGAACAGCACAACGGCATCGCCAACCCGTTCGAGGAGGCGAAGCCTCGCATCTCGACATACACGGCCACCGAGATTGCCACACTGCAGGCGCGGCTCGAGAAGCAGCTCGGGCCCGAATATCTCTCCGCGCGGAGCGGACCGTCCGGCCAGAAGGTGCACTACATCGCGGCGGAGAAGTGCATCGCGCTCGCGAACGAGGTGTTTGGTTTCAACGGGTGGTCGTCCAGCATCCAGAACATCCAGGTCGACTTTGTCGACGAGAACCCGCAGACGCTCAAGATCTCGCTGGGCCTGTCGGTCATTGTCCGCATCACGCTGCGTGACGGCACGTACCACGAGGATATCGGGTACGGGCACATTGAGAACTGCAAGGGCAAGGCCGCGGCATTTGAGAAGGCAAAGAAGGAGGGAACCACGGACGCGCTGAAGCGTGCGCTGAGGAACTTTGGGAATGTCTTGGGCAACTGCATCTACGACAAGGACTACCTCGCCAAGGTCACCAAGATCAAAGTCGGGCCTGCCAAGTTTGACGAGACCAACCTGCATCGACATGCAGACTTTGCGAACAAGAAGCCCAGCGTGCCGGCAGCGGCAAGGGCACCGTTGAAGAGCGACGAGAGTGGTGTGGTGGGAACCGCCGCTCCGTCTGGTCCCACTCCTGGTTCGTTCGACTCTGACGGTATCGACTGGTCGGATGCTGATATTATGGACTTGTAGGCACTGCGAGCACCTCGCTAGATGAGGAGGAGTTTGGAGACTTTGATATGGCGGATTTTGGTGTGACAGAAGACGGGCATCCAGATGAAGTCATGCTACCAGCCTCACATTCGAGCAATATCAATGATACTCCGGCGAACCGCCGGCCAACAGCGATGGGCAGCAATGCTAATCAGCACATGCAACCGCCATCGAAGCCGCCGGTACGAAATGGTGCGAATGGCCCGCCGCCGCCGCGACAACCCCAAACCCCGAATCAGGCTCCTCAGAGACCACCTAGTGTCGCCCAGAACCGGCCAGGCGTTCCAGCACAGAATCAGCCACCGCGACCACAGGGTGGTCAGCGTCCAATGCCAGGGCCGCCTGCGGGTGCATCTGCCCCAGCACAGCAGGGTCCATCACTCACCCCCGGAGCCGCCCCGCCTGGAGCACCCTCGGAACCGGTGGCATTCTTCTCCGCGCGATCAGTAGTGCCCCTGGCTGAAGATGCGCCGCCAGGAACTGCAACTGTTCCAGCGCAGGGCGCAAAGCTCTTCGACGCTAAGCTAGAGAGTCCTTCCATACGCAAAACACCAGGCATCGACCACAACACGTCACGACCACTGGCGCGAAACGGACAGCATGTAGCACCCGCAAAACTGGACGATGACAAGGAGGCGCCAGCGAGTCCCCTCATTGGTACGGGTCGAGGTGGTTTCACAGGTGCTGGACCAGGCAGACCAAGCATGGGCATGGGCAATCCGGTTCTTAGTCAGACACGCCAGATTGGTGCCCCCATGATGGGTGGCAGTCCGATGGGCAATAGGAATCAGTATAAGCCTCCAACCATAAAACGGCCTGCACCTGCCGCCGGCACGACGGACGGTGGCGGCGGCGGTGTGGGCATTGCCCGGCAGGCTCTCACGGACGTTTCCACGAACGGCAATGTTAACAGCATTGGAGGTGCCGGGAACGATCCAAAGAGGCAGAAGATGGCATGAAAGTGACCGGACTGGCATATGAGCGACCTTGAGGGGTGAGGATAGCGCATATCTGACACTGCGTTGAGAAACGCGCCTGGTTGAAATGCCGAAAATCAGGCATTCGGACCTCTAGTCGTTTCTTATTGGCGCACATGAGATTGATGCATTTCGGTCTGGCACGGCGTATTGGAGTGTTTGTTTTCTTGATTTTTAGGTCCGCTGGCGAAAGGACTACATGTCAGGTAGTCAATGTAGATTTCGGGCACAAAGGCAAGCTTGTAACAGTGCTTGGAAGCGCAGAACGGATCTTGCTACGTAGCACAGTTTTATCACGTGGAACAACTTTGGTCTCGCAGGATCTCTTCGCTTTGCAATGTTCAGAGTTCTTGCTAGTCGTGCCGCGTGGTGAATGTTCTACTCACCTACCCCTGTAAACCTGCCGTTCTCTCTTTCTCATTCTGCGGAAACTTACGTCTGTCCGAGTTCGGCCACGCCATAGCACAGAGCAAGGCCAGACCGAATCAATATCCGTGTCCGACACTTGAGGAGATCATGTATCGGCAAATCACGCACAAGCAAACTGTGGTGTCGTGATCAATCCTCGCCATGGCCTTCTGAAGATTAGTGCAGCGTCCGGGCCAAATCTCTCAACGAGCACAGTCGCAAGAATTGGGATGCGACAGGGTGGAACGCCATCGGGAACCACCACGCAGTCATCGTGCGTCTCTCGTACCGGTTTGGACTGCGATATGCGATTGGTAGGGTCGGGTAGGGGGCGGGGACGTGCTTTTCAACCTCGCTAGATGGGCAAAACACGGACAAATGGTCACACACACAGCCCAGCCGACAACCCGTCCTTCTGGGGCCATCACAACGCTCTGCCGCTCGGGGCACTCTCTGACTTACTCTCAACATGAATGCTCATTACGAGCTTGGGCGGGATGTTTCGAGTACCGTTGGGGCTGTGAGTTCTGCTTGCTTTGGAACTCCACAGTGTCTGTGGTCCTGCTTGCCTCTCCTTCTCGAGATCGGGCCGTTCGAGGCGGGTGTTTCAGGTTTCTTTAGCCCGCTGCTGCTGCTGTAGGATTACTCTGTGAGCTTTGCGGGGAGGAGCCAAGGCTTGGATAGGTTCCAGGCCTCCCCTGAACGGTTCCTTTGTCGACATGCAGCTCGTCGTCGTCGTCATCATCAGCATGCTCAACAGTAAGAGTCAAGTTCAACACCGAGGTCAGCTTGCATCGTTTCGGGGCACTTAATGCTTCTGCCCGTAACTCGGGAGGTCTGCAGCTCTGCAGCGAGATCAACGCCGACGGCCACTCCGGAAGAGCAAGGGATGTCTCAACGAGCGAGTGAGAAATGTCGGGCGGCGCCACCAACAGAGTTCAGTAAATGCCCAATGCTGACATGACTGACAGGTGAAAGCTGGCATCGACTCTGTGCTTCCCACGCAACCCGGTTTCATAAAGCTGCCCTTTGAAGATCCTGCAACTTACCGGCACTCGATCAGACCAGATCAGATCAGGTCAGGCCACCCCTACCTTTCTGCATCGAGGAATAATAGCCAGTGCGTGAGCTGGTCAATGTTTCAGATGGCCCAAAGTAGGTGGCTTTCACGCAGGCACGCAGCCACAGAGAGAACGCATGAACAGTGGCGGCGGCCCTCCTGTAAGTCTTGGTGTAGCCCAAGCAAACAAATCAAGCCGGTCTTGGTCGGCCGGAAGAATGCCCCCCTCCTCTCCCCCTGTTCAAACTACAGCTGCTGCAGCTGTCAAGACGATCCTGAAAACCCTGTGCACGCAGATGCCGGAAATCCCGCTCGGCAAGGGTTGGTGCTTGTGCCACCACTTAGTCGGAGCATTAGGCCTTGGCGGGGAGGAGAGCGGAATCGTGACACACCTGCAAAAAGGGTGTGGTGTTGCGAGTTGGTAATGTAGAGTAGCAGGGGTCGGGGAGGAGGGCAAGCAAGGGGGAGAAATGCCACCACTTGCAGTCAAAGTCGCATACACTGCCCACCACCCACTGTCGGCAGATTTGCACACTCGCATCATTGATGCCCTGGCTCATCCACAGGACGACGAGCTGTGGAGAAGCAAGGGGACATGAAGGAAAGCTCCAGCCAGCTGCATGGTAGCCTGGAACGTCCAAAAGTGTGTCTATAATTATCGCAAGACTGGGGGAGGTTGAGAACGATCCCTGGAGCACTGGTCTGCTGAGTGGGCGACAGGGCTTCATTGTCCTGGCCTGGCTGTCTTGCTATTGTTGTTGTTGCTGTTGCTGCTAATGCTGGCTACTGCAAGATGAGTTCTTGGCCAAGCAAGTCACCCGCCGGTTTCGGTGCTGTATGCATGCAGCAGCAAGTTTGTGTTAGCACACGCCGGTGGCACTTCCGACTTGTCCATCACAGACAGGCAGGCTGTGGCAACGACATTTCTGCTCGTCATGGCTGCATTCCATGGCAACTTCCGCGGCGGATCTGCTTGGATCTGGGCCTGTCTCACCTGTCACGGAAACTGCCGCCCAGCCAAGAATGAATGCGGACGTTGACTTTGACAGCTCGCGTGGTGCTTCGACATGCTTGGCCTTGAGAGATGGTCATGGCGGAAGACAATGTGAAGCAGCAGGGTTGGGGGTGTTCACGATTCCGGGGATCCCTAGTCCTAAGGGACGAACGGACAAATCTCACCTAAATAGGTCGATGGCGTTCATGCGGGATCCGTGTTGGTCGTCTGACGTCGCGGCATGCTGGAGACACTGTTGTCTACAGGCATGTCCCATGTTGAAGCTCGATGGATAGCAAACAGCCTCGACAGCCTCGAGCAGCAGGCCTTCTCGACGACCAGAGGTTCTCGTTCCTCTTGGGACGTAGGTATAACTCTTCGTGGGGGACGGCCAGCTCGCAGCAAACCGCACTTCAAGAGCTGCAGCCTGCTTTATTTGTCCGACAGGCACAGCGCCGCCAAAAAGCTGGATCTGGACCCAAGTCGCGGCGACCTCTTGAGGACCTGGAATATCCTCGTCTGACCTTTTATTTCTTCCCAAGTCCTGTTGAGCGGCGAGATACTCCTCCTTGGCTTGCCCCCAGCGTCCAGACCCGAGCACGGGAGACGGTCTCAACCACAAAGACACCGACTCAAGCAATCGACGGCTCAGCATGTTTCCCAAGGAAACACAGATATAGTTTGTTTCCACGAGTGGCACTAATGGCTACAGAGTCACCACGACGTTGCAATCGCCGCGGAATCGCCAGGAAGATACCGCGGGAAAGATTCTGGAACTATGTGCTCTACATCTGCCATGTAGGCGACCTGTCGCTGCTGGAGAAGCTGCTGAGCCAGTACCAAGATCAGCCTGTGCAGCTCAACTTCGTGGCTACCTGTAGGACGGAAGCTACTGCTCGCTGTCCATCTCAGGCCTCAGGCTCGGAACTTTGTCAACAGGTCGAGAGGCACAGTGAGATCGATCCGGATCGAGGCGACGACATGGAAGGTGACGAAGGTTACCAGACTCAGCACATGTTGGCATCGCCTCCAAAGATACCAGTACGCTTCAGCTCTCTCAGCAAGATACAACGAGAACAGAGGCGGGCCCAGTTCTCACCATCTCCACCGTCTCTTCCCAACGCCATGCTACAGGCTGCCATACTGGGCAGGCAGATCGACATTGTCGACTACCTCATCACCGAGTTCCGATGGTTCCTCTCCATTGACGATGCCATTATGCACGCAGTCCTCCTCGCCGGCGATTTGGGAACTCTTAGGATTCTCTACAGCCACTATCCTCGAATCATCAATTATCGATTCCAAGCAATGCCCAAGTCAGCGGCTATCGACCTCTCTTATGTACGTCCTGCCCCAGTACGCGGCCCCACGGTCAGTATCCTTGAACAAGTCATGTCGAGGGGTCACTTGGGACTTGCGTATCACGACTTTGCCCTTTTCCTCGTGGAGCACGGCGCAACCATGGACACTGAAGGAAGCACATCCCACGGTACCATGTATCAGGCGATACAGACCCGGCAGCCCCTCTCGGTTGTCCAAGCCTGTCTGAAGCGCGGCATGGCCCGGATTTGCATGGCCAGTATCGAGCTAGCTGTGCAGAACAACGACCACGAGACGCTCCACCTCATGTTTGCCAGCAGTCGGCCAACACGGGACGAGGTCTCGGACCGAGAGATCTTGCGCCTTGCAGTCCCTTTCACTGACACAGCCGAGCAGGGCGAACGCCCGAGCTGCAGTCGGATGCTCAGGGAGTATGTCCTGGCCCGGCAAATCCACAGCCGTACACAGGCCAAGAGGAGGAGGATGAGCAGCTGCCGGCCGATTTCGGTACTAAGCACCGCCAGCCAGGGCTATTCCATCTTTCCAGCTCTGGCAGAGCTGGAGTGTCCAATGGAGGCTGCCGACGACCTCATTGCGACACCTATGCTGGACTGCTCAGATGGTCTCCCTCGAACGCGGCCTCCCTCTTACACGAGCTTCGTATCGCAACCCCGAGAAACAAGCAGCCCAAGCCCACCATACAAGGCTGTACCTGAGCACTCATGGTTCCGGAGGAGGTGCAGGTCGCGGGGCACCTGCTGCGCACGCATGGAACTTCCCCGCCTCCTGTCGGCCAGTGCACAGGCTTTTCGGACTTGGTATGAGGAGACAAGTCCTCTGTTGGAGTGCCCCGAGGAGGAGGAAGACGTGAACACGGCAGGCGAGAAGACAACGAGCAGCAGCAGCAAAAACAACAACAACGACAAGCACGCCCACGATACCCACGAAAGCCACGGCAACTGGGCCATCAGACCAACCCAGGAGAGCCTTGCCACGACAACCTGGGACAAGGGCAAGATGGCGTCCTCGACCACGGTGCACACGGTGCAGCACCAGATGAAGAGGACGAGGTTGAAGGCGTCAAGGCGGAGGGAGTCGATGATCAGGGAGGCGACCGAGAGGCTGACGAAGTCGTTTTCGAGTTTCTTCTAATTTTGGCCCGGCGCAGAGCAGGGCAGAAAGGGATCGGGATACCACAACAAATGTGCACAGGATAACAAATAGGGCGGGGCGACTGCTGGCAGTACCATTCACACCCCGGGTTTTTTCCTTTTTTGAGTTTTCATGACTATTATCACCATTACATGTCAAACATTAGGCGACTTATACCCCCCAATGACTCGACGTCACTTCATAGCTCAGACTATTCAGCAAAGAGATTCTCCTTGTAGCTCAACATGAGCCCAAACTCAAGCATGAATCAATTATGTTGTGGTTTCGAGTCTCAACTTAATGGCAAAAATGGAGTAAAGAGAAGTCTTTGTCACTGCGTGCTCAAAAGCATTGTGGACAGGACAGCCATCCGCCCAAGTCGCACGCCATGTGTTCCCCAACACAACGTACAGAAAAACACAACAAACGCCTCCTCACTGCAACCAGGACACACACACACAACTCAACGGTTCTACGGAGTGCACTTGATGGCCCCTTCAAAAAAGAGACGCCGTGTCACCCCATTCCTTGCACCCCCACCCCCTGCATATCACACCCTCAAAACCCCCACGCACACACAGTCTGTCTGTCTGTCGGTCTGTCTGTACGACAGCCACACACGCCAGTCTGGGCACACAGGCATATATACGCAGCGTCTAAACCAGCCGCTCCGGTCGTGAGTTATCAGCCACCGGTTGCCAGTACGTGTGTGAGCAAGTGAGTGAGTTAGTGAGAGGGAGGGAGATAGTGTGTGTGAGAGAGTGCAAGCTCATATATGTGTACCCTATTGTATACATGCGTACACGAGTGCGTAAGATGTGCGTGTACGAGCATATGCGTCCATCTTGCAATCCCGAGAATAATTCAAGGGACAACTCCCCGTGCATCTGAACGCTCTGAACCGGCATGTATATATCGGTGAAGAATGAGTTCAACATATTTGCAAAAGAGCATGGGATATTCTCCGACATTTATCATGTCATGCCGCCCGCCATTGGGCTGCTGACACCTGCGGCGCTTGGGCGTGCCGTTAGTCTCCGCAAAGAAGAACGGGGAGGCGTTCGGGGATGCACATATATGTATGCAATGCGCTGCGTCTTGTGAATTCCCGACAACTATTTTTACAACCGGAGAGCCAAAAGCACAGTCTTCTTTCACTATTTGCTGATCCCAGCAATACGGATACTATTTTGCTTTATTTTTTGGTTGAATCCATGGACGCTCGAGATCAAGATCAAGCCGAAACTAATAATTTTGGGGAGAGAGAAAAGAAAAGGAGGAGATGATGATGCACACTAGATTATTCCATTCTATGCCCCGAGCGGCAGTTCTTTTGTGAGATGTAAATGAGAAGATCGCAGCGCCCAAGTGGCAAAGCAGATTTCCGTCCACATGCAGTGAGGGAAACTGGAAAGGAAAACAAAAGCTGAAGGAAATTTAATGCCTAGGCCTGTGGACTTTTTTGAAATAGATGCTGCCCCCACGACTTGGGTGTATGTGTTTTGCTGAGAGCACCATACCTCACCTCGATGTAGGATGAGATTCTTTGACGTAGATTGTGCCCAGGCACGCCTTTGCTGGTGTTCCGAATATTGGCATTGCCTGTATCACACCCAGAGTGTCGACGAGCAATGTCCTTGGGTGACGCATACAATCCCAATGCAAGAACCAATCATGCTCCAAGTCCACTGTTAGCGCACCGGAAAGACGCCCGACTTGCTCATGCAGTCCACGTGTGAAGGCGTTTCAGACCCGCCAAGGGGCGTTTTCGTCGGATCTGATCCCTGACCTTGCAGCAGGGAAGGAAGGACAACCTTAATTAGAGCCGCTGCTCGGGGGCTTTTTGTATTTGGGCGTCCAGGACCAAGTCCTGCATGCGAGCAACCCGGGGAAGCGGAGTAAACACAGAACGGAGGAGGACGTGTGACACGACGCACTAACAATAGGGGGGGTGGGGGGAGGCGAGACAGGTAGGCAGGTCCCCGCGAAAGCAAACTGCTGTGGTGACAAGCGGCGGACTTTGCCTTTGCGGCTCCAGAGCCGGCCTCGCTTCCGATGCTTGGGGATGATCGTATCGCGGTCTGGCAGCATATTGTTTGGTTGGACATGTGAATGCCGTGGTCGGCTGAATGTCGTACCTGCTTCTGATGCTGTAAAGATGATTGGGCCGGGAGCGCCGCTGAGACGCTTCCGCAAATTGGGCGACGATGCCATCCATGGGTGCAGTGTGAGGCTCTCGGCCCCTGGTCGTAGACAATCAGGCTTACTTCCGTATAAACAGACAAGCCTTGCAAAAGAGGCGGTCAGACTAATTCAGGCAATCTTGGCATTGGTTGACAACTGGGCGAGAAAAAAAGACTGAAAGACAAGCCGGTGAGGAGGAAAACCGACTGGCAGGACCCCCAGGAGTGGTCGGGCGTCAAGATGTGGCGTTGTGTGACACGACATCGGAAGACGGCATAACAGCCCAGCCCAACCACGAACTTTGTAAGGGGGAGAGGCTAGGCCGCACCCCTGAGGCTGCCCAGGGCCCGCGTGTCGTAGATCGAGTGAGGCTGCGAGTGGTTGCTGGTGGTGCTGCTGGCACTACTGCTGGTGCTGTTGTGACCGGTTGTGCTGCGGCCGTCTAGCCCTGCGGCAGAGTCGCCACAGCTGCCGTGCGTCGAGGTTGCAGCAGATGATGTCGTGCTTGACGATGGCAAGCCATAGGGTGCTGCCATCGCAGCTGTCTGATGGGGATCGGCCGGGTACATGGTTGCACCGCAGCCCGACAGAGACCCTCTCCTGGACTGGTCCTGAGTCGACGTGCCATAGCTGTAAGAGTCGACGGCATAGATTGGATCGACCGCGTCGGACTGGAGCATGCTGCGCTGCTGACTGGTTTCTGAAGGGGGCAGCGTCGTGGGAACCGCTGCATACGAGACTGGGCTGTCGAATTCGCCGCCCGTGTACGTGTCGGTGATTGCAGTCGATGAGGTGGCGTCCGGGCCTGGTTTGGACGGATAACCAGCGACCATCCGACTGCTGCTGTCGACGGCCCCGGCAGCTTGGAGCAGGCCTCGGCCCGAAGCGATCAGGCGCTCGGTCGTGCTAGGTAGCGAGGCAGACATGCTCGACAACGTGAAAGGCGACGTGTCTTGAGGCGATGGGCGGCTCACCAGGCTGCCGTAGTTGTAGGCTGGCACCTCGGTATCGACGTAGACGGGCTTTGCAGTACCGTATCTCGAATAGCCCGGAACCAGTGGCACCGAGTCCTGCCCCAGCATGGGATAGGAGCTGTACGTCGCATACTCGGCTGAATCGTCGGGATACGCACTGGCGCCACCCCAGGAGCTCACGCTGGGGCTGTAGTAGCTGCCACGGCTTCCATACGAAAAGGAAGACGGGCGGTAGGAGCCCATCAGGTCAGCCGTGGTTGTATCTGCGCCGTAGCCCGAGACAGATCCCGCCGGCGAGATTGTGCGAGATTGGAAGGCGCGTGCAGTGTCGGGGTTGTAGTTGTAATATCCATTCTCCTTCATCTGTGTCTCCGTCGAGTGGACCTGATATCGGAGTGTCAGCAAGGGAGTCAAGAATGGGGTTCTCCAGGATCATCTCACCCTCAGAAACATGCAAGGCTCGTAGCTCGCGTTTTTGCAGTTCGTACAGGCACCGCCATTGCCTGGATCGCCACTGCATCGTATCTTGCGCTTGCGGCATCTGCTACACTGGAAACGTCGGTCAGCATCATGTGCTCGCTCTTGAGAATTTGTAGGAGAATCGACAGGCCAGCGGAGAGGAAGGAGGAAGGGGAGAATATGGCCAACTCTCGCCGCCGGCTCCGAAAAAGAGCAGGAATCTTGGCAGGGCATCACTGGCTGCGAAGAACAGCTTACTGCAACGGCGATGCGCTTCCGTGGTGCCGTGTTCTCGGACTCTGCTTCCCGTTCCGACATGGTGGGTGTTCGCATGCCAGGTGTGTAGTGACGATCCGAGTACGCCAGGTACGGAGGAGTTCGCGCACCAATATATAGCTTGCTTGCGTCTCCCGACGAGTAGGCTGCCGGATGCACCATGATCAGAACCACCTGATGGGCAGGCTGAGTCCACGATTTCGACACGTGAGTTCCCGTCCGGAGCACCTGGTCTCAGCGTTGTGCTGTGGAAAATAATGCTGATGGCTCGTGTGCAGGCTCTTTCTGCCCGATCGTGCACGAGGAGCAGCCGTTGCTCAGGATGGATGATTGGTACCAAAGGGTGTATTGACAAACGCCGGCACCGATCAAGGCAACAGGCTTCCGGAAGCGATACCCGGGGTAGATGCAAAGGGCCGTGTTTGCGCTCTCAGTCTGGTTCCCGGAGCTGGAAGCAATGGCCACCACCTCAGATTCCGTCTCGAGGGTACTCTTTTCTCCTTAATGATAGTGTGGATTCAAGAGAGTTGATTGCAAGTGATTCTTGCAGCAGCCGTGCTTGGGCGCGATGGAAATGCTGCAATGCAGAACCGAAATAATTCGAGAAGGGAAAGCTAGTTGTCGAGCCACGGGCAGAAAGATATCTCTGCTTCGACCGACTAAGTGAGATGAACAAGTGGTGCCTTCAAGATCGAGACAATCCAAACGAAAAAAAAAGCGCTGAGGTCACGGCAGTGTTATACTCGTGCAACAACAACAGCATACATGCCAGACACAGGCCTTCTAAGTGGCCCCGGGCGTCTTGTTTGCATGTAACCTCAAGGCATGCCGCACAGGTCGCTTCAGATCAGCCAAGGCCAGCCCGGTCCATTTCAGGACAGACCGGGGTTCTAAAAGCGTGCTTGAGGATCTACTTGCAAAAACCCCCCGCGGTGCCGCACGAGATGCGAGTCAAATGGGCGCAGCAATTACATAACCCAGGGGATGTGCTGCAGAAACGAGACGGGGGATAAATTGTAGTCCTTCTGCTGATGGCCAAGCCCGTTGGCCGCCGTGGACCTAGACCTGATGAACTCCCTACAAGACCTTTTGTGCCCTCCCTTGGAGACGTGAGAAGTCACTGATGGCGATCTGTGCGACCATTGAGAAGTCCGGAGACCTGCAGGTTTCCGCATATGCTGTGTACAACTGGTGCTGCGGGATGCTTCAGGCATTCTCCGTGGCGGCCTTCCCCCATCCCTGGGTGGTGTGTGTCTGCCACTTCCAACACCCAACATCTTGTGAAGATAATTCACCGTCGTCTCCAAGAGACGCAACTGCCAACCCCTCGAGAGCTTCGGGGCGTGTGCATACTCTGTGCCTTCGCGCGCTTGGAGCAGGCCCGGGGAAGACGGCTGTGTGGCCCCCAAAGTGCGCCACTTGCAGGGGTTTGGGTCCAGGGATCCCAGGCCCTCCTGCTCAGATCGCACCAGGGATGGCTCAGCTGTGAGACCTGGCTGTAGTACCATGGCAGAGACCTTATACTGATCCAATCTGCGGCGGATTTGTGTGGGCAACGAACTGGAGCTCTCCGCTAAACAAAAATAGCGTTGTGGCCGTCAAGCAATCGCAAGTATGCGGTCATGCGTGAGAGCATGGGAGGGATATTTCTGCGTCGATCCCCTTCCTCGTGCAGCGGTGCTAAGTTTCGATATGTCATCCTTTCATCCGCAACCGACGAAACCATTGTCTCCAAACCAGCGCCCACAACCTACAAGCTGTGCCCCGACCCTGGCGACGAGTCATCTCGTCATGTCGGGCAAGGCCAAAGTCCAGTCGAGCACAACATTGCTCTCATGCCGTAGTGAAACAGTGCCAATGTGAGGGCGATCGGATAATTTGAAGCTGTCAACCTGGCGCTTAGCCGGGGGTGCCTACCAGATGCCATGTGGAGAGGTGGCCCCCATGGTGGACTGACAGGTGGACGGGTGAGCTGTCATACTGCATGTTACAGGCCGGGGGCGTGTACAGGCAGGTAGGGCAAGCATGGTGGGGGGACGATATTCGTGCCACTATCTCATGCCCAGCTCGGGGCAGACGAATGTGTGCCTGCAGACTGAGCAACACCGCATGCCATTGACCCTGAAGCTCGAAGAATTCTGCGTTCAGATCAGCAAGAATGTAATCATGATGGTATTGTTGGCGCTGCTGGCACTGTTGGCATTGTTGGCTGGCAAACATGCATTGCAACATGGCTTTCTCTGAGTTGTCACCCGCCTGGGGACACCAACCTTGGGGGAGCAGTCGTCTGTTGGCCATAGGCGCCCTCTCGCGAGTTGGCTGTCCCTACATAGTTTACATGCGACATGCTCACTGTTCGCTCGACTCCAGAGTCTGTTTGCATGCATGCTTGGGCTAATGATGTCCAACCTCCATCCAGGTGAGCATTCTTCAGCGGCGTGGCAGGGGTTATCTCGACGGGTCTGGGGCCGCAGGATGCGCAGGGGGGTGATCGAGAAGACGTGATCGGGAATCAGCAGGATCAAGCCAGTAGGAACGAGTCTAGCCGAGACCGCCCCCTCTAATCAGCAACGTGAATGCGACGGAATGCTGGCACGGCCCGAAGTCGCATCGTGCCGGATGGGACACCCGCGGCCTTGTTGCCGCGGGGACAGGGCGGTTGCGGCCTCTCTTCGTCACACACTTGCGAGCAGTCCGTTGGAAGCGGTGAAATTGACATGCCATGGAATCAACCCCCAACGGTCGACCGCTTGAGTCTCGTTGCTGCTTCCCCCTGGTCGTTATCCTTGCTCGCTGTGGGAGGTTGGCAGGCTGGGCCGGTGAAGCATGAGGCATGCAAGAGCTGTTTGCTTGTATGCGAGGCTGCCCACGCCATGCTTTTTCCAGCCCACATGCATGGAGGTGCTTGAGAAATCACGTACTGACGACTGTGCCGTAATGACCACCAGACATCCAGGTAGGCGCGTGATTGGCAGTTTTCCTGTATCCAGACATCCGAAGTGTGAAGAGCGCGCAATCTCCAGCTCCGATGCAAACACGTGGTGTTTGACCTAAACGGCAGCCACCCGTTGGATTGTCGGGTTCTCCCCTGTCACCTTTGCCCAGATGATTGAGATCCAGACCGTGTCCCCGGCTCCTGGATATAGGACTGAAAGCACCAGTGAATGAGGCTGAGATATGCGGTGAACAAGGGCTCCATCACAAGGATGTGACCGTTTGTGGCTACAGTGAACACATCTGGTGGAAGTATAATGCGCCCCCACGACTGCTGTGACCGAAAGCTACTGGGTGATGCCCGATCCCTCGCTGACGGGGTCATGAAACTGGACGAACTCAGTTTTCGGTGAGCTACATGGCGTAAACTTTTAGAGGACTCAAATCAGTGCTACTACGCATGAATTCTGCAGGGGCACATTCGCCAGTGCCGGTGACACAACAGGTAGCCAAGGACAGGGCATTGTCTCCGGCAAAGCCGCAGGAGGCTGGCGGCATCGAGGATCGCCTCATCCGGTCTGAGCTGGTGGCACAGATTCGAGACAAAGAGCGCTCAAGTCTCAGCGGTAAGGCTCCCACAAACAGGCAGCCACATACGGAGAGAAAGGTCGCAGTGGCGGGGCGGAATCTGAGTATCGGGTTCGTGCCTTTGGGACTTGTGGGACCGGTAAGGCACGGGCACGTCCGCGATGAGGCGGTGTATTGCTGCGGCGTGGACTGGAACTTCAATTAAACTCATATTTTGTGCTTGTGGCCTTTCTAGAAGGAAATGTTTGCTCCTCTAATGAGGGAATGCTGTAGATGGGGGCCTGAGCTTCTGCATTTTGCTGTGGGCTTCCGTGGAGCTTGAATCAGGGGAAAGCTTCGGACGATGATGCCCATGGGTTGCTGAGGTCTTGTCGGCAATTTTGCCTTTATTGTCTGACATCCAGGTGAGAGGTTGGGCGTTGCACCTTTTCAGTGGGAGAATGGTCGATTCCAGGAAATTCAGCAAGACTTGCATGGCGTGCCGAAAAAGCGCCGTGAGTGAAGCTCATGCCATTCTGAAAGTCAAGACGGCCGGAAGCAACGGCCATAAATCTCAAGCTTTTTGCACGTGAAAGACGAAGATGATCTGACGCCGAATGCCGGCGGAAGAGAATGATCAGTACTGTCGACCTTGACAGCACCGTATGATGACCTGGACCCCAAGCAACATTATTTCCCCGAGACTTACCCATACCTAAATGCGTCTTTGATCTCTGATGTTCGAGAAGCAGGCTCTTTTTGACTCTGAATATCGCGCCGTAGCTGGTTCCAACATCCGCAAACTGGACCATAAGACCTTGTTCCTGAGAGTAATCCAAGTTGATCGCTGGGTTGTCATTTCATTCTCTATCTCATGAGATGTGATAACGACGCTTCAACGCCGGCGATCGTGACCTCGTTGCCGGTCTTGTTCACGATCCCTCTGGCGTCTGTCGTCGTAACGGCCATCGTCATTCCTTCTTTGACTGTACTTGTCGTCGTAAGCCCTGCCACTACCGCCACCGCGGTGCCTATCTCGGTCTCTGTCCCTGCCGTGCCGATCACCGTCCCTCGACCTGGCGCGATCTCTGGGCCTATCTGGTCGGGGACTTCGACTGCGTCTCCGTGAGTCTCCATGACCGTTCGGCCGGCCACGGCCTCCCCTTCCTCTGGAAAAGTCTGCACCATTGCGGTCGCGAGCTTCTGCGGGGGGCGGCGGTGAGCGGCGCTCTCTAGCCTCGTCGCCTCCTTGCCGCGCGTGCCGACCACGCATCTCTTCGTCGCCGTACACCATCTTGTAGCTGTCGTCGTCGTCTCGCCGGCCATCGTCGTTGCGATACTTTCTCCACTTCTCCAGCCCTTCCACTCCTCCCCAGCCGCCGCCATGCCGGCGCTTGCGCTTGTCGTTCTCGCCGCCTCTCCAGACGTCCGCCAGCTTGCTCACGCTCTGACTGAAATCGACGTGTATCCTGCGGTCGTCGATCAGGACGCCCTGCATCTTGAAATAGGCCGCCTCGCAGGCCGTCTTCTCTGCAAACTCGATAAAGGCATACTGCAGGCTGTCGCCAGTCTTCTTGTCGCGGATGACCTCGCAGGAGAGGATCTTGCCGAAGCGGCTGAAGATGAGCTCGAGATCTGCGTCCGCCGTGACCGGGTTGAGCTTGCACACGAAGAGGACGTTCTCGGGCGGCGCGACCTCGGCGAACGGCAGGTCGCCCATCATCTCGAGCGTCAGGGCCTGGGCGCGCGCCTCCCGCTCCCTGCGCGCCTTCTCCGCGGCCTCCTCGTCCACCTCCTCGTCGAGGTCGGCGTCGTCGGCGATGCGCACGGTGGCCAGCTGGGCCTTGGACGGCGGCGGGGACTGGCTCGGCTCGCGCAGGCCCGGCGGGTCGTCGTACGGGTCGTCGAGCACGACGGCGTGCTTGATGCGGATGTCCACCAGGGGGTGGCCGTCCTTGTCGACGATGGCACTGTTGATCTTCTCGAGCACGTCGAACCCTTCGACGACCTTGCCAAAGATGGAGGCCTTGCCGTCGAGGTAGTCTGTGTTGTCGCCCAATGTCACGATGAACTGGCTGCCTGCCATGCGGGCCTCTGGGTCGGAGGGATGCGGCGCGGTCGCCATGGAGACTGTGCCTCTCTCGAGATGCTTGAGCTTTGGGTGCAGTGTCGCCTTGAAGGTCTTGCTGCCTCCCGAGACGAGGCCCCATATCGAAGAGCCGCCATCGGACTGCGCGGACGTCGGGCCGAGAGGATCGCCCGTCTGGAAGGAGAAGTTTTGTTGGACAGAGTGTATCGGGGAGAAGTTGAAGTACTTGATCTTGCTCAGTTTGAGGAAGCTAGAAGGTTGCGCCGGTGGTGGTTAGCGACGGGCACGTTTGGGGGGTTGAGCGTGGCTCTGGTGGTGATACCTACTTTTCGCACTCCTTGGGCGCATAGTCGACAAGGAGGTCGATGACGATGTCGCCGGCGCTCGTCTCGAGGAGGACCGACATTGCTCTCCTCGCGGCCGCTGCTCGGCGTCCAACTGTGCTGGGGCCGAATGCACGCGGGAGAGAAGCGCGGATGACGGTGGCTGCTACCTCGAGCCACTGCCTGCTGCACTGCGTTGGGCGCGGTGTCTCTCGGTCTCCGGCGGCGAACGTACTGATAGCCAGTCAAGCTTCTGGCGTCGTCGCAATGGTGTGGCGTGTGTGTCGGCAGCGCGCGTGATGTCAAGTCTCCGTAATATGGTTGTAGGGCTGTGGCCAAAGGTTGTTCGCTGTCACTTTTTTCCAGAGTGCCCTGCAGCGTGGCGTGGCGCGCGCGCGGCTGCAACGACGTCAACTTTGCTCCGCATCCTTGCAGCTCTTAGCGCGAACCCGCGTGCACGGTTACTCCAAACGTCCTCCTCCTCCTCCTCCTCCTCCTCCTCCTCCTCCACATCAGACCACGCCATGGTGGACAGGTTGCCTCAGCCGATAGATGTCTGTGGCATCACAACTCAGGAGTTGGGGTGATTGTGTCTGCCCATGCTGGACGGTAGATGTACACACACAAGCACCAGACTTGTTCTCCTCCAAGTGAAGGCACGAAGAGCCCCCCCCATACGTTGAATGAACACGAGACATCTCGACACTTGACGTCACTTATGTATCACTTGGCACTCAAATATTGCTCGAATACGTACGACCAACAACCAGTGCCTCGTTCATACTCGATCGACGAAGCGAGGCTGCGGCCGCCAGCAGGACTCGGGCTGCTCCGATTCTAACCGCTGGATTAGTGAACTAGCTGCCAGGCCTCCTCTCTTTGTGTAAGTGCCGATGGTTGGATTCCTGGACCTGATTTGCCAGGCGACATCATCGGCAGATGATGGCGGGGGGTGCCAACTCTATTTATGATGTCCGAGGCACAGTAGACAGTCACGGTGCCTTTCCAGGATTCTTGCCGCGCTATCTCACTCTGATCGACTTTGGCCTCATACAGGGGAGGGACGAGAAGCATGTGGTCGGTGATCGGCGTGCAATAATCGAGTCTCGAGGCACCGAACAATGTCACATTTTGGCAGGTTGCAATCACATGACGTGAAAAGCGAATGGATGTTGTGTGCTTGCCAAAATAGTCCCTTCGAGGGACGATTAAATATTGACATTAATTGCTAACAATAAGGTGGGACAAAACTGTGCCAAGGTCGAAGTATCAAGAAACGCCGCCTGCCCGGAGGATTCGCAGGACCTCCAGGCCGATGTGGCCCGATGCAGTTTGAAAGATGCTGTCGTCAAGAGGGGAGAAACAGGACCAAGACAATGCGCGCTGGTATCATCATGAGCTGGACATCCCGTCCAAGAAAGAAAACAAAACGCCGAGTCGTGTCATGCAAGTCCAGTGGGCCATGCCTGCCCTGCCTGGACGATACGATGCTGAGGAAAAATGCTGGGATGAATGAAGGTATGCTTGTAGAGGAAGCCATGACGTCCGGAGGGACGCGGCTGGAGGCCCACACGAACTTTCTCTGCGAAGCTCAAGCACTTCTCCTGCGACGCCCGCTGCGCAGCTCCTTCTCCGTCTCCATTAGCCGAGACTGGACCCAGGATCGCATGGCCTGGTCGCTGCGTACGCGCTCGCAGTTGAGCAGCTCAGTCAGCGCACGCTTGATGCCCTCATTGACATCAAAGAGTTTCTGCTCGCCAGCCGCCATCTCGACGATCAGTGTCTCGTCAAGCACAGGAGCCAGCGTGCTTAGTGGGCCAGAGTAGCCGCACTTGAAACTGGCAGATGGCGAAGATCTCCGGCGGCTTCGGGACGAAGTGGATGACGATGACGATGAAGAAGATGAGGAGTGGTGTCTCAACGTTGGAGGCGATGGCGTTGTGTCGAAAGCCCTGCTGGGAGAGCCGGAGGGAGAGGTCACGGCTGTCGAAGAGTTTGTATATGAAGGGCACAGATCGTGTAGTTGTTGGCACAACTCTTCATGCTGGTTGTGGAGGAGGAGGTACTTCTGCATGGCAAAGTCGCCACTGCCAGCGCCTGGATATTCTGATATCGTATGATGCGGCATTGTGTTGAGGTCTTATGTGTGACGAGGGATCTTGAGAGACAGTCGTAGTCCAACAAGTGACCTGGTAGCAAGGTTCCGTGTGCTTTTGCTAGGTAGAGCTCTATCGACTAGGTGGTCCGGTTTCGTTCTCGAGGATGGTTCCAGTTCTGAGGGCTGGCCTGAGGGGCGGTGCATATAAGAGAATACTTGTAGGGACGGCAACCGATCGCCAAAAGCTCCGCGGACGTCAGAATGTTATATCGTTATGGCGGTGGGATGATGTGCTTGCTTGGTAGCGGATCGACGATTGGGGGGTGGGCCTGGGTTTGGCGAAGAGTGGGTTTCGGGAGAGGTTGCGCAAGTGTGCCCTGCCGATCGCAATGGGTGTGTTCCTAGCCGTCCAGATGAGGCAGCTATGTGGACTGATTGCGCAATGGTGACCCAGAGTTGAGCAGGGAGTGACTTGCAACGGCGAGGATTAGTCGGTGAAGTGTTATGGTGAGAGGCTTTTGACTGCAGACACTCGAGGAACGAGAACAAGAGGCAATCAACTGGTTTTGTAGTTGCGAGCTTGTTCAGGAGGAGATTACGCAGGCGCTCGTGCGAAGCGATCAGGCCTGGGAGGACAAGCGATTTAAGAACGACCCGGCTAGATCCCATCCACCTGGAGCTCAGGCTTGAGATAACCTTGTGAAGGCGGGCCCGCCCAGGTGGCAGGGGCCGGGGGACCGACCGCTCTGTGATGGGGGAATTAGAGTTCCAAACTTGGCAGCACGACTGCGACGGCTGTGCAGGTTAGCTGAGCCGCGCTGGCCTGGACTCCTGCCGGGTCCCTTTTTTTCGCCTCGACCGTCGTCAGCTTGGAGGACGAGTGGCTTGGCTGGTCGAGACAGCGCTGCCCCGTCGCCGAATTGTGGCGCGCCTGTGCAGATTACCTCCGAGCACAACCCTCGGCGCAGGCCGTGCCAGACCGACGTGGGGCAAGCTCGAGATTGTCTGGCCTCATCCGTTGTGGTATGGTCGGAATGCGCAACGGCTGGTCCCAGCATGCCTGGAGATGCCTCTGGGATGGTGTACGGCCAGCGCTTGTGGTTGGAGTGGTCTGCCCTCTGGGTGGTGACACTGAAGACCTGCTAGGCAGGGGTCTCGTGTGCGAACTACTGGGCGATTCGCTCGCTCTTCACCTTGGCCAGCCCAAGAGAACATGGGCGGCGCACATATGGCATTCTGCACATGTTGGGTCATGTCAGAGATAACCAGACGGCCAGGACATGTCTATGGGCAACTGACGCCGAGGCAATACCACCAGAGCACCATGCGGGAGCTGGGTTCGTGCAGGTCCCTTATCAAGCCACAGCAACACACAGCAGCCGTCCCCATACTTGGGCAGCGGTGATCAGGGCATCTTTACCTTCGTGACTGCATGAGCGCTAGGTTAGCGACGGTCAGTCGGGACATTTCCCAGTGGCTGGGCCTTTACGGCAAACTCCCGCGCCTTGATCGCCATGGCAATGGCGACGAATGCGGGACTGGACAACCAACTCACTGTGTGGTAATAGTCTGCTCTAGTGGATGAAGCATGCACGACGGCGGCCAAGGCTTGGGCTTCGATCTTTTCGACGCTGGATTGCGGTTCAGACATGCCCGCTTATGCTTCTCTGAAAAACAGGGAGCGGGGGTAAGACATGGTAAAAGCGGGAGCCCAGACGTGTGATTGGAGCTCCAAACGAACAACAATGACGGGCGCCTGGAACCTTCACACGACTCTGCACAACTGCAAGTCGCTCCCTCCGAAGTCGACAGGCAAGATCCCACTTCGCGAGAAGACCATGTCCCTGGACAACGATCTGACAGCGCGGCAACAACTGCGGCTGAGCAGTTGACTGTACAAGGGCTGAGGTTATTCTTAACACTGAACGTAAGCAATGTGGGGAGGCGGCGGCTCATCTAGTCCTAGCAGGGGGTACCATCTCCGTGGTGTCGCTCGACTTATACGACTTGAGACGGTGCTCTATAGCCTACAACGACGTTCTCGCGACAGTCCTGAATATCTGGCTCGACTGCACAATCTGCGCAGTGGGCTTTTGAAGCATCCGGCAATGACTGAAACCTCAGAAGTTCCTGGCGGAAACCATCCTCCAGGATCTCGTTGCAAGGCTCGGGAGAGAGTGGAGCGGGAGTGCGCTGGCGGATTACGACTGCCCTATCGGGATGGCTTGAAGCGTCACGGTCGGGAGCCGGACTAGGGCCCCTGCGCCAATGGTGCGTGCCACGCTCCAGAGGCGGGGCAGCACTGCCGCCAGTTACTCCTGAACGGGGCGCTGATGCTGTTCTTGAGCCTGAGCTGAGCCGGTGGCTGGACTACGATGTGGCTGTATCGATGGATTTAGCTGGCCATTGTCTGACCGTCAGCCAGCCCGCGGCGCGACAGCGTCGGGATCCGTCGTAAAACTCGGAGCACCAAGGACCAACTGGGCAGGCCAAGGCCGAGATGAGGTAATCTCGCCATCATCTGGTGCTGACGACGTCTGGTGGGGGTTGTGCTGGGAGCGCAAATTGTCGCGGGGGCGTCTCTGGCCGGGCACTCCACATGGCCGCGGCGGAAGAGGGAGGAGGTTTGGGACGTGCCTGATCACCGCCGTGGTCAACCGCCTCCGGGTCTCCACGTACTGGTCGTTGTTTCACGGAAAGGGCTGGGCCTGCTCGGATGGAGCTTCCGTGCGCGGCTGCTCAGGCAGGAGCCGTGTGGCGCACGGATGTGGCAGAACCTGCACCTTCGCACCCAAGAAGCCCGATCTGTGGCTGAAGCTCCCGATCTCCAACGACCACGGCCACGCAGCCGTGATGTCATCCCCCTTCTGCCATCGCACATCTCAACCGATTTCCCAGCTTTGCCCTACCGCACGGCAATCGGCATCTCGTCTCCCAACACAGCAGTCGGCCAAGCACAAGAAGCACAAAGGGTCAGGTGCCCCTGAATCCTGCGCATGCCAGGCCGGACATCACCTCCGCCCCTGCTGCCACCTGCGCAGATCAGTCCTCAATGCATCACGACATGCCCGCAACCCCAGTTGGCAGCGTCGCGGATTCCTGATGTTGCACATAGCAATCACATCCTAGATTGGGCACGTTGGCCATCTGGGCCACCCAATTGAAACATGACAGGTTCCGCCACGTGGTCGGGGCATCGAGATTTGGAACTCTGGCCACTCGGCCGTGCCGTGCCGTCCGTCGATGGAGACGCACCACGCACTCACCCACCACCGATTACTGAGGACCACAGCACAGCATCAGCCAAGTTTCTAGGCATCAAGAAACGCTTCCTTGATAGCCCACTTGGGCTAAGAGAAAATCCGGTTTTCTCGTCAATGTGCCTCGCCTCTTAAGGGTCCATCAACCAGCACGATCTACAGACTAACACCCACTAGCTTCGAGCTTTTCGGCCGAGGGGCCTCCCACGACATCAAGAATGGCGTGAAGACAATCAGCAGCCAGACCTGGTGGGACAAATCGCCGTGCTCAAATCTAATGATGATGTCGGATCGTGGGACACTCTGGGCCCAGACATGGTAGTGCCCTGGACATGGATCCTTGCGTCCTTAGTATCTTTCAGTTTTCGTCATACACTACCATGTTCAAGGGAGCTATCCTTGCGATCGAGGGGCCGCCCTCGTGTAACACAACTAGTGTAGGTCAAGGGTTGACCTGTCACGACGGCATCCTCGGCAGACTTGTGGGTACGGGGAGCAAGTCCATATACGTCACTCCAAGCAAGGTAAAACATTGTCGCATCCCAACGCTTCGGGCGCATCACCATGAGCAGGACGGGAACAAGTAATCAAGGTGAATGGACTGTGTGGAAGTTTCCCAATTGGTCACCTTGGAGTGGCGCCTCCACACAGGGTCTACTGTCACGTTGTTGCATTGCCTTGCTCATTTTGACAAACAGCGCGATCTGCAGATGACAAAGTGACGTAACCCCTCCCTCAAGATATCGTTCCAGAAAGATATACCCTTGGTCCATGGAGGAGCTTCCCGGCAGCGTGCTAGCTACACCCCTCCAACCCTCCACAAGGATTTAAAAACACTGGGTTCTTGGATGATCCTGCATACAAGACAGATGCTGAGGGCGTACAGCATGCTGGCCGCTGTGGTGCAAACTTGCAGTTCCAAGTTGATTGACGGAGTAACGCCTCCTTACCATCCTTCGCCTCTGACTGCTCGTCCTACAATCGTGCTCAACGACTCGAGATCTTCGTCCTTGACACCTAGCGACTCATTGTCTGTCTTTTCGTAGAGCGTGCCGCCCTCGCCCCAGATGCGACGCAGCGTGAAGCCTGTGGCGTACGGTTTGCCGGCCTGCCAGCTCTGTTCCTCGAGTTGGCGGAGCTTGTCGAGCGGAGTGTGTTCGACCTGCCACTTGGAGGACGTCTGCTTCTCAAACTCTTGCAGGATGGCGTTGGGCGTGGTGACCAGAGACTGCACCTTGAGGGCCTTGCCGTACGCTGCTTCCGGGTGCCGGAGGGCTGCGACGACAAACTTGCCCACACTTGTAGTGTTTCCGCCATCGTCAGCAAACATCAAAGGTTATAGAAAGAAGAAAAGAAGCACTGCAGAGCGGTTGACACTTACTCGGGCATGCTCGTGAATCCAACCTTGCCCTCCCCGTCCCCAACAACGACAGCCCTCTTGCCCGCGACATCGTACCCGCCGTTCGCCTGGGCCTCTGGCACGGGGCTCAGGGCGAGGAACATGTCCAGATACGGGCCGGTCACGACATAGGTGACCTTGAGCCTCTTTATGTGGTCCCTGACGAAGGCGCGGACCTTGAGCTTGTTCTGGTGCGGCTTCTCATGCGGGCTCTTGACGGCGTCGTACTCAATGTCCGTGCCGTACTCGCTGGGGAGGAACCACTGCACACTGCTGTCTTGGTCCTCCTCGGCGATCCGCAGCAGCTCGATCTGGCTGAGCAGCGAGTCGCGCCCCAGCGCCGACACGACGGTGTTCTGCCCGCGGTACGCCGCGCGGATGTCGTCGGCGTTGTTGACGTCGCCCGTGACGACGTGCACTTTCCCCGTCGACTTCCACTCGCTCAGCAGCTTGTGCTTCGGGGTGCCCGGGGCGGCGGCCGCAGTGGAAGGGGATGTGAAGATTGTGACTTTAGCCGCGACGCCGCTGGAGATGATGGCCGAGGTGATGTACTGGCCGATGACGCCCGTGGCGCCGATGATGAGGACGTTGCCGGGAACGGCGGCGGAGGAGGAGGTTGATGATGCCATTGTGAGTTGTGGTGATGTTTGGAGTATTTTGGACAAGAGTGGGATTAGAAGAGGGTTGAGATCAGTGACGAGTTCTTGCACAGGTCACTTTGTGTTATAGTCGTGGTGGCTTTCAATTTCGTTCCAGGCAAAGGAGTATGAAGGGCGTGATACATGTCATGTAAAACCCCAGCTGACGATGTCCGATGCCGATGTTGCGTGATTCGTACCAAAAACGTGGGCGGGACAAAGTTACACCCCACCACCAAGGGCGCTTTATAATCCATGCAAACCGAAACCTACCCCCTTTTGAGCACGATTCCCTCTCCGCATATCGGAACTGGAATTGAGAGCACGAGTTCTCCGTTTACCCGCGAGCTCATGTCTGTGCGCGCCTTTCAATTGACATTTGTGGGACTGTATCTGGGTCTCTTTCTTGGACGCGGGGCGGCTGGGCGTGGCTAACTAAAGTTGTTGTCCAAGATGGGGGGAGCTTGTGGATCGATTTAAGTAACTCGCCTCAACTCCACTCTGTGTCAACAAGCCGAGCACGGGAGGGAAACATTTACTTAATCAAACAATAGCTGTACTGTTACAGCGAGGAACCTGGCAAATTCTGTTATGTTTTTGTCTTTTGAATTAGTTCCGGCGTATGACCTATCACTCTCCACATGGGAATGTGGATCGGGACAAGTTCGTGTCGAGTGGAGGAAGATGATCGAGGGCCGCAGTACCATGTTGTATTGGAAGCAAGATTACTCAGAACATGCTCGATATTGCATGGTAGTTGGATCAAAAGTGAGGGCACATTTGGAGAAATGAGATGTCCCGAGAGATACCGAGCTGGTTCGGCCACGAGAGAGGTCGACCGAAATGTTGAAAGTCTTTCTGACAAGCGCCACAGACCAATGGACAACACGACGACCGAAATGGAAACCTCGAGCCGCTGGGTTGAGTCTGCGCCGTCCTCTACTTCGAGAGGCTTTGCTGTGTGGCTAACATGCATCCCTAGAGACTGTATAGTTTAGAAGGTGTGCTTTCCACATACTTCGTAGATTTACGCTTTCTCATGTGTTGTGCAAACTTCCTAAACAGGACGTCGAAGTGTCCCCGTGGATCTGCGACAATATCAGATCCAGTTTCCGCATTCAAAGCAACAAAACTCCACGGCTGACGACGCCGCCCCTGCACGCTTATATGCTATCGTTCACGACATTGCTACTGGCCTGGCCTGGTGATAGTGCCGCATCGCAATTAACCAACCTCCGAGCTCGAATAGCATTCTCTGTATGAAATGACCAGATCCTCCGTCTTGGTAGGTTGACAACCTACACATACGCAGAACAGGCCCAGTCTTACCTTCTCTGGGACTGCTAGCGAACTAGGGTCTTGATTACCGAATTGGGATAGGGATTGTGACTACGAATGCCGGATGAGCTGTCTGTTCAGTGCAACTGTACATAACATTTTGGACCAGGCCTTGGTTTTTGGAGCGCGACTGTGTCGGTCGATTCTTTCCGCATGCTGGTCCTCAACTTGATGGGAACCGCCCCATCATGAAGCATTTTTATCTGTGCTCCTTGCGAACATTGGCGTGAAGGACGACCAAAGCCAGCTCGGATGGCCGACTTCCGTATTGGGATGTGCCTCGGCTCACATGTGCAGTGGGCGCAGCGCTGATGGGATGACCGAGACGTCAGTGTCAGGACGCTAAAAAGTGGCGCTACGGCAGGGGCTAACCCGTTGGACCCCCTGAAGCCTTCCAGTATCTGCTGTGTCGGCTCCCCGGCTGCCAACTTGCACTTACACGTGCCAACCCTTAACCGCACCATCCGAACTGCTTGGCTTCATCCTCCTCTACCCGGCCCTGACGCTCCTTTTCCTTCACGACAACCCGTTCCTCGCGAATGCCTCTTGCCCCCAACAGCAGCGCCAATCTCGCCTCCAAGTGTGCCGACACGCTCCTCTGTTGGCTGCGCACCCTCCCGCTCTGGGCCCTCGTCATTGCCCTCGTCCTCCTCGGCGCCCTACGTTCCCGGCTCGTCGCCTTGTTCACCAGCCGGCCCAGCGAGTCTCGTCGAGTACCCAGCACAGGCACGGGCGGCGGCGGCGGTGCTACACGCAAGACCAGCTAGATTCCTGACACGAGGACTACACACACACGAACACAATCCGGGCTCGCGCAACACCAGGCCTCTCACTCAACATGGCCTCCTCGGCAGGCGCGATGCGGCGCATCACGCGCGTCGCCGGCCCGGTTCTGGTCCCGGCGCTCGCGTACGGCGCATACAAGGTCGACCTGGCGCTGCAGCTCAAGAAGTTCCTGACCGGTCCTGGGAAATGGAGTCGGCTGTTCGCGCTGGTGGTGCTATTGTTCAACTGGAAGAGCCTGCCGTTTGCGTGGAGTGTACGTTTGTCCCTCTCTCCCTTTCTCTCTCTGTCATCCCCACCTGCGCTGCTCTTCCCCCCGTGCCGTTTTCTCTTGAAGAACTACAAACATGTTAACACGAGCAACCTCCCTGAAACAGGTCCGCGTCCTCGGCAACATGATCCAGCACTTCCTCATCCGGCGCCCACACTCGCACTCGCCAGACAAGCTCTTCCACCCGGTCATCAGCACGACGCACACCTCGCTCATGGAGGTCGACTACAACATCCACAAGTCCAACTCGACCTACTTTGCCGACCTGGACGTCAGCCGCACGCACCTGGTCGCGCACCTGCTCGCAAGGGGTTGTCACCTGGCGGGCAACAACGCCAAGACCGGGCTCGTCCTGGACCCGACCACGGGCCGGCCGGCCAGGGGCAAGTTCGGGGTCATGCTGGGCTCCGTGTCGTGCTCCTTCAAGCGCGAGATCAGGCCGTTTGCCAAGTACGACATGTACTCGCGCGTGCTCGCCTGGGACCGGAAGTGGATGTACATTGTCACGCACTTTCTCGAGCCGGGCCTCGCCGGCGGTAGCGGCAGCGGCAAGCCGCTCCCCGCCGGGTGGGAGAAGAAGGTCTACGCGACCGCCATCAGCAAGTACGTGTTCAAGATTGGCCGCCTGACCGTGCACCCGGCGGTCCTGATCGGGGCGAGTGGGCTCCTGCCGGAGCGGCCCGGCGGGTGGGTCACTGCTACTCCGGAGAGCAGCAGCAACAGCAGCGGCGTGTCGACCCCTCCTAACGGTGCTGGTGCCCAGCCCGACAGTGCACCAGTAATAGAGGAAGATAAGGAGGCAAAGGTGCAGGCCAACGGCTCAGCAGACGCGACAGAGGGGACCAACGGCGCCGCGAAGCCCGCGGAGCCAGTTGCCGCCGCTCCGTCAACCACGGCAGAGAGCGGAGAAGACACCTACGGGGCGGTGGGTGGTGAGTGGGACTGGCGCCGCACCGAGGCTGAGCTGCAGCGCGGGCTGGCGTACGCGAGCCACTTTGCCGCGCTCGAGGGCTTGCACGGTGAGTTCCGCGGCACCGAGGAAGGCATGCTGGGCCGGTTCTCGCTTGGTTAGAGTTGAGAGGTTGAGTCTTGCATTGGGCTCGGTCGCAAGGGGGATCTCACTTTCACTCGTTCTTCTTTCTAGAAAAGGGGGGAGATTGTGCCGTGCCTCGTGGCAACAGAGCGACTTCTGATTTTTTTCTTCTTCACTTGCGATGACAAAGGCACACTCACGCAAATGGAATTTGTGTTTGTGGTGAAGTCGGTCGTGTCGGTGTTGGCATATCCCGAGCTCAGCACGTACATGTCCCCCCCATCCGACGTCCTGTTTAGCTAGCTTGCATGCATACGTAAGCGTACCTAAGATTTCTATCATAGAAAGAAGATGGGATGAGCGATTGGTTTCATACACCATGTATATACAATTTTTTTTTATAGCGCCAGAGGGACAGATACAAAAGGCGCCAGACAAGACGCCTATAGACGTAGAGACACAACCCCCCGATTAGAAGAATTACACGTCGAGAGAAATGCTAGACCCGTTCATGATAGTTGTTAATGACCTTTGAATGCGCGGGTCGTCTGGCTTGTGTAATCAAGTATCGAACGAGGTCGTCCGGTCTCACGGGCAGTTGTGCTCCTTTTGCTCTTACTCTTGGCCTGCGGCAGATGGGGCAACCTGATTAAGCAATGCTGATTCCCACCCCAAAAGGATTCTATAAGACGGAACTGGGAAAGCTTGTCACAAGCACCCGCTGGAAAAACGCGTCGTCATAACTCGAGTGTTGCGACCAGACTTGCGATGGATTTAACACCGATGACACAACGCAACTGCAATTTCGAGACCCCCGTCTAAGCTACTACCAACATCGAGCCCGATATGCTGTTGTATACACGTGATCCAGGTGTCAGTGTGGGGAGAGGGACAGGCACGATAAATTCTTGGGCATCACACACATCCTTCGCGTAGGACTAACGAGAGTTCAATTGTGACGCTACGTGAACACAGAAACGACAATAATGGGGGGGATATCTGAATAAGTAACCACGGCCTCAACCGGACTTTAGGCAGTCTTTTCTTGTACTGCTTCCGTCCATCCAAGCAAACTTCATGTTCATGTTGTCGCCTTCTCCAGCTTCCACGCCTACACTCCCCTTTCACGGCCTCTCGAGAATTTAGAGAGCCATGACGACAGCAGCGGCGGCCAGGCCGAGCGCGGCGCCATTGCGGATGGCACCGGCAGGAGTGGCGGAGGGAGTCGGGGTGCCAGACTTTGTGGCGGAGGCGGTGGGGACGAGGTTGCCGAGAGAGCTGGTGGCAGCGCCGATGGCAGCGGTGGCGGAGCTGACCTTGCTGGAGACGGCATCGCCAACGGCGCCGGCGGCGACGGCAGCGCAGATCTTGCCAGAGATCTCGAGGGTGGCTGGATAGCAGGGGCAGTCAGTACTTTGCTTTTCGACCCCCTCAGGGAAGCACACAAGAGGCATGAGACAACTCACCAGTCAGGTCAGAGACCTCAGTGCAGCTGGTGGCGACACACTGGGTGCCGGCAGCGGTAAGCTCGTCGGCCTTCTTGCACTGGCAGACAAGGTCGGTGGTGCTGCAGCCAACCGTGGCGGCAGCCTTCTGGATGCATGGCTGGGCGCACTTGGGGACGGAGGCGACGAGCTCCTGGAGGCTCTGGGCGGTCGCGGCAGCGACAAAGAGGGAGAGGACGACAGTCTTGATCTGCATGTTGGCGGTGGTGTGTGTGGTGAAAAGGGTGTCGAAAGAGTGTGTGTATGTGATTAAAAGCTTTGGCGAAACAAACAACTTTTTGTTACAAGGCTGACGAAAGTGATGGTGACTGGAGAAACTGGAGAGAGACAGACGAGGCGGGAAAGACGAGGAGGGCCGGGGACCTCCCCTCGAGTTATATGGGATCTGGCGATCCGAATATGGTCACCATGCTCGCCCAAGCCTGCAAGTGTTTCGACTCGAACTTCGAGACAACTCCACTGAGCCCACCTACGGGGATGTGATCCCCTGGCAGCCGTACTGCGCAGCCCAGGGTCGGGAGCTCGAGGACCCGCCTTGCGGGTGTTCCTACGTAGCGCGGCAGGGGTTGGACGCGTGAGGACCCCTGCATCGGCCTCCAATGATGAGCAGTCCGTCGGTTGCTTGGACCTCGTGCTGGGCTCGTGGGTGCCATTGATGGCGATGCCCACGGAGAGCTAGCGGAGCGCCGCCTGGCAGTCCGGCGCCGAGCTCGACTCGCCGTCTTGGCAGCAGGATGGTGTTTCCCCATTGTTTTGCCATGGACCTGATGATCGACAAGCCGACGGAGCCTACTGCAGACGGTGCCAGTGGAAAGTGGACGGACTGTACGAATGTGCATCCCCCACCGATACGACGATGGACCTCACGCTCCGGTGCGGAGGACAAACATCCATGGACGTCGTGAAAGGGGGGCGGCCGGACTCAGGGCCGTTAGGGTTGTCGTATGTGCATGGTAATAATCGAGAGTTTGGACGATCGCACTTGACAAGCCCAGTCGCGCGGGCAAGGGGCCTGCTCTGCTGGAGCTTGTCCGTCATGACCATCCATGTTGAAGGAAAACCGCCTGGGTGAACTCCACAGAGGTTTTTTTGAGGGGCAAGCTCCTCCTCCAAATTCCCACCGTGCGCACCAGCAGACCCAAGCAGGCAATCAAGCTTCATGCAGGGGCTGGCATCGTCGACCGGGGTGTCCCCTGGTAGCTCAGGAACATGGCTCAGGGGCACACATTCGGAGGCGTGCTTGAATCATGCCAGCATTGCGTAGTGTGGGGGAGGATAGAGGGTAGCCGCGATTGCTGGAATACATACTGTACTGTGCCTTGGAGGCTGATCCTCCGCAATGGTGTGTGTGCGTTTCACGACGGCGATTCTTGTGCTGTTTCAATGTGAGAAGCACACGGCGCGTTGGTCGTGGGCGGCTGTGACCCGAAATCGGGCAAAACGGGGCGCGGATGGAGGAGGGCAAGGGGGGAAAAAGGTGGAAGAACGGATGGCGTGAGCACAAGGGGCCCCAGATACAGATACGGGTCGGCCCAAGTTGCGTGCAGCCCGCCCCGGTGGGAGAGGAAGATGCGGATCTACACGATTGCAATGGGCGAACAGGTTGTATGATTGAGCTACTGCGTGCGTGTTGTAACAGTCCCCAGCCCAAGGGTGCAAGGATCATCCGAGCACCAACAGCGGAGGAAAAGTGAGGATAAGAGTGAGTGGGCAAGGCGCGCGCGCCAGTCCGTGCAGTGCGCAAAGTGGTGTGGGTTGTGCAGTGCCTATCACGCTGGTCATGACTAGCAGAGAGCGAAGATCATGTCAGCAGCAGCGTCAAGTCGTCCGTTCGTGGGCGATCTCAGGGGGTGAGTGAGCATTTTGGGCACCTAAGGTACTGTAGGACGACAGCAGCAAGGCGTGGTTCGTGACTGATGATGAGCGGCGTACGAGTTAGTTACGTACCTGAAAGGCATCTGTGCTGTTTTGCTGTGCTGCCCAGTGCTGCCTTGCCGGCCGGGCTCTTCGTCTTCATGTCTTGTTCTGTTTCCATCATGATGGGACCGCGACTTTGCAAATCCATCCCCATCCATGCTCCGCTCCCGCTATACCGAGTATATGTCCAATGGCACCTCCAAGCAAGCAAGACGGCGGCTGTTCGGGGTTAATTAGCCCACTGCCCTTGTCTGTCTGTCCATTGCTGTGAAGTGCGTTCGCATCCCCGCAGCCGAGAGAGCGAGCGGCACAGCGCTTGCCGAGCACGACTCCTCCTTCCCTCCCACCAGCCAAGCGCAAACGGCACCTTCCCGAGCGCCTCCTCCTGGGGCCCATGACAACATAACTATTGCCGAGAATGGAGACTCAAAAAATCACCCCGGGTGGGCTACTAGTGGTTGACCTAGGACAGGACAGGACAGGACAGCAACCTGTGCGGACAATTATTGGCATCTGTCAAATCAGCTTGGTGGCGCCAGCGGACCCTTTTGTCTAGCTCGTGCAGGAACCCCCATACTAAAACCTCCGAGCGGGCAGGTCTGCCCACAGCCTAGTGGGTGTGATGGTACAGTAACTACTACATGGCTCTTTTGGAGCATGATTCTGCACGATACAGCACAGGTAGAATGGGAGCGTTCCCGAAACGAACCCACGAGTGGCACACAGAGTGGAGAAAGTTGCAGCAAAGCCGGTCTAGCCTCCGGAGCGCCGCTCCATGGGATACGGTATGCCCACAAGTTGTGAGCATGCCGAGCTAGGTTAACGTACGTTCGCAGTAAGCTGTGCTTGACCCGCCCCGCCCTACCTATATCATCCTGAGCTAGCCGTGCTGCGACCCGCCTATATCAACCTGAGCTGTTGGAGTTATCGGACCACGGGGCGCAACAAGGGTGTCGCTCTTGGCAGATGATGGAACTCGAGGACGGACAACGGGCAAGCAAATCAAAGCAATCGAGGTTCTGCTCCCCCGATTGCAACTGCTACCCTTAGAGTATGCCGCGCAAAATATGAGCCAGAAGAGAGGGGGGAGGCGACAAGCCCCAATGCTTCGTGCTGGGCAGAGCTGCTTGTGATTCTCAAGTCCCGCGCAAGCTCCATTGCCGATATCGTTTGTTTGAGAGGACGACTCAGCCAGAGCGACATTCCATTGTGAAAAAGCCCATGCGACACCCATTCCTCACATATTTGGGCTCGATATTGCAAGCTCCAGCACTCTAGCAACCGTCTGCCGGCAAGCCTATTCACGAACCAAATTTCTTGTTATGGGCTTCCAGCTTTCGATCTAGTAAAGGTTTCCGCGCCAAGGGGTGCCAAGCGGGCATGTTTCCAGGGCTCATTGTCACATGTGTTGTCCCGTATCAAAATGGAGCCCGTGGCCAGTCTGCATTGCTGCTCCCATTCACTGCCCGTTGGCAAGATTATCGCGCGACAGCTGTTGTGGATCCCTGTGCTGACCAAGTGACATGTCACCCAAGGGGTGTGCCAGGCGTGGCTATCCGAACTGGCTCGAAGCAGCAACGCCCATAGCCGTCTTTATGATTCTTCATCTCTAAGTGTTTATTTGAGTCTGTATTGAATGAAAAAGCAGCGCGACTTGGGATAGATAGAGTGGATCAGTTGACGTAGCGCGGCCAAGGCGGCCACATGTAGCCGATAATCCACACTCCTCGCCATGCAGCTGATGATCTGTCAGGGCAATGTGCCCAGAGCCGACAAACCTGACCGTAACCTGAACGCCTTTGCAAACAGTTGGTATCCCAAGCAATAGAATAATTGTGTACACCGGAAAAGAAAGGAAGCCTGGGTGGAAACCCCGGGTTAAAGCCGCTCTCGGCAAGTGATGTTGCCATCATGCATCATTGAGAAGGAAGGAGGAAGGTAGGAAGGGAGGAACGGTCAAGTTAAGCCGTCCAGTGATTCCTGCCATGGGAAACGAGCGGAAGTGTTGCAATGCATCCAGCCAGTCAGTTCATCATTGACCGAATGCTGGCGACCATGGGGTTCTGCTTGGCGCTGCCCAGAGCGGGCGCGAGACCCGAAGTGCGCTGCCTCTTCCATGCGGCGACCATGGCGTCCATGTAGGTGTCGCGCAGCGAGCCATCGGCGGCGTCCTTGGAGCACTCGGTAATCTGAGACATAATCTCGCTGGTTGTGGCGTGCTGGGCATCAATGACCCGCTCGCAAAGGAGGTAGGCGACGACATTGCGATGGCAAAAGGCAAGCGACTCAGTGGGGAAGTTGAAGCGGTAGGCAAAGAGATCGATGCGGACCAGCGAGTTGCTATTGATAGATGTTAGAGGCTGAACTTGTGTGAAGCACTGCATGCAAGGGGGGCCAGGCGGGTGTAAGTGACAAAAGTGGGGCCATAGTAAGCTGAGTGTTGGTGAGGTGCACAAAGTGGTTGCGTGTAAGTGGTTGATTAGTCCGAGGGACTCACTGTTTGGCGCAGAGGAAGAACTTCTCGTCTGTAACCTCGCCCTGCGTCTCATCTTCGAGGACCTGGCGGAGGCCACCTTTGACCACGGCTTTGTAGCTGTCGAGGATCGAGGGGGCAGTCTGAGAGTCTGTGAAGAACTCCTCGACAACTTTGTCGACGCAGTGGGATTCCTGGTTAATGCATTAGAAGTGCGCAGACGGTGCTCGGATGAGGAGAATTGAAACTCACGGCAGAAGCGTCGATGCGGATGGACCGCTCAAAGCGGATTTTGTTGTTGCCAGCATCGAGTTGGCTCATGGACCGGACCGAGTTCTCATGCTTGTCCAGCTGGAGGCTGGCCATCTTCTCCATCATGCGGACCTGCTCATAGGCAAAGCGCTCCTTGCCGTGCAGCTGGGAGGCCGGAAGAGTGCTGTCGCTGATGACGTTGCCCATTGCTGCGGTGTTGCGGAAATCGGACACGGAGAGTCGGGGACTTGGGACTGGCGAAGTTGGCAGGCAGAGATGTGCGGACGAAACCTCTTGCTCAAAGTGGACTCTTGGGAGAAGCTGTCGGAGAGTTTGCGGGCAGTGATGTTGCCGGTGCCGTGCCGCCTCGGTTCTTTATATCCCAGACGGCCAGAGCAGAGAGCACTGCCTGGCTGACTGGGTCTGTCTGCGCGGGTGGTGGGCCGTCGATGAAATGCTTGGCAGCATCGCTATAAAGTCCGAAAAGTCCTGAGGCGGGCTGGAACGAGAGCGAACCCGGCGGGGATAGGATCAGCAACCGGCAAGTGCCTGCTTAGACAGAAGATCTGGCGTTGGGGGCGGTTCCGCCGTAAGCCTTACGCCCATTCGGTGGAGCGGAGTCCGGATTGGCTGTTCCAGTCATCGCATGGCTTCCAATGGGCCAGCCCCACGAGAATTGCGTGGTGTACTGTGGCAGCCGCGCTGCGACCGGTGCTATGACAGGCATGATGCCATGCCCTGTATGGCAACGGGGCCCAGCATGAAATGTAAGTCGAGATGTCGTTCGCGGGGCAATCCGCCTGTGGGCTGCGGGGTGGCCTGCCCTAAGGGGGATCTTAGAAACCAACGAAGGACAGTCTTGTCAACGTAAGAAGTCCACCGTGAGGCAGTGACCTGGCTACAAGATGAGGGCAGCAATGCCAGATTGTCGACGTCGAAGCGGTCCAGGTTAGGCAGGCACCGCCGTTGGTTTCCATTTCGAGAAGTCGCTCCTCCCTCGGGTGCTCCTCGTCACCCTGGCCAGACCAGACTGGCGGCATGCATCTCGTTCGCTCTTCAGTCACGTCTCCATGCCATCCTTGAACTTCGCCTGTCGGCGAGGCCAATGCCTCCCCGGCCCGAGCCGACGCATCGAACCACTGAAGCCAACAGCATTTGCAGACAAAGCCCCGAAGCTCCCGCATGCCGCGATGCTATGGGAGATCCACGCGCTTCCGGTGGCGGCTTTGACATTAAGCTCTGGCAGCAGACCTTCCGGACTCGTCCCCTGCCGAGACAGCCAAGCACGAGGTTGTGCCATATCAGTGATTCGGCCCCGAAGAACATCGACAGACAGGCTGCGGGTCGTCCCGCTACCTCTACACCAGGCAACGATCTTCTTGAATGGCACCAACATCGAGTAAAGCCCACCAGCATCTTTTCTTTTCATCACCTTTGGAAAGCCACAATCGATCGACCTGGAGATCTGCAACGGAGCCAGGCACAGCCATGACAACAAATGGTACGGCGGTCAAGTCTGGTTTCCCCTCAAGCCTCACAGTCCCATCGCTAGCCTTTTCCCACGAAACACATAAGGCAGTGCCAGGCTCCCATATCTGGGAACTACGCGGCAATACGATCTTACGCATCTGCTTTAGGACAACCCTGCGTGTCCATCTGAATTCCCTTTCCGGTGCACACACGTCCCGAACCAATCAGGTTGTTCTTTGCTGCCCTTTTCGGTGCATTGGGGCTAATATTCGGCCAGTCAGACCATAGACTGTGCGGGAGCCGCCCCATAGCTTAGTGCGTCAGTGTCTTTGGAATTACTGTAACTCGAGCGCCACACAAAATACGAGCCAGAAACAGGTTGTGACAAGGGGTCACTCCTACCACTCCAACGAAGTCCCACGTCCGGAGGGAGGAAATTGGCTTCAGAGTCAACGGAACGCCTGACTTGTCGCTGTCGACAACAATAGAAACATGCCGCTACTGCAAAGTGCGAGGGTTTGGAGGTCGCCTGAAAAGTTGGAATCGCCCCCTCCTCTTTTCGGAAACGCCGAGAAAGTAACATTTCAATGAGCAGACGGGCAATTCTGGACAGCATGCCAGTTGTTGTGGCTGCGTTGGGGCATGTGAAATACACAGAAGATTGTGCGCCCTTCCAAGTGAACCCACCAGAACGCTCATTCCGCTCTTGAGCTGCTGCTGTTTGTTGGCGGCAAGATTTCTGCCACGCTCGTATACGCTATTTTTCATTATTATTGCTAGGGAGAAAGGGAGAAAAACATGGTCTCATTACTTTTCGTTCATGGCGCGCGCGATTGGAAGATCTCATCTCTTCATAACACCCCACCACTTGTGCAGGGTTTCTAAAGCTGCGCCGAGCCATTGCTGTGGTCCTCGACCTCGCAGTAGGCCTTGAATGTGGTGAACTCGTCCTCGGCGCCACCCTCAGACTCGAGGATGAGCTCTGCTGTCGCACCGACAAAGTATACGTAGCCTTCCTTGATCTCCTCCGTCTTCGCACCAACCGAGATCTTGCCCTTGCCACCAGTGCAGATGACGATGCTGGGGCCGTCAATTGGGTCGAATGTGGCTTTAGCGGCATCCCCTCTGAGCACCGTTCTGATGACGCTGAACTCGTCGATCGGGGGATCATACAGCTGAGCCTCGGACCCGGAGCTGTAAGCTTTGCGGTTTAGTACCACATAGGGATACTCCTTGGGCGTCATCTTTTGGGCCTCGGGGGTGCGTAGTTGTAAGTGAGGAGGTCGACGAGGGTCTGCACGTCCTTAAATTTTGGAGTGAAGCCGGCACGGACAACATTGTCGCTGGCAGCCATGCACTCGATGATGTCTCCAGAGACGTAGGCGTGGATGTCGTCGGCCTGGAGGAACATGGCCTCACCAGGCTTGAGCTGGACGTAGTTGAGGAAGAAGAGAACAAATAGACCAATGTCGTCGGGGAACTGCTTGTTCAGGCGAGGGACCAGCTCGGCCAGGACAGAGCCTGGGGTGGCCTCGACGCCGCCGTCCGCGAACTCGGCACCTTTGCTCTCAGCGTCTGCGACAAGAGCCTTGGCGGCCTTGGAGATGTCATCTTGCGAAGACTTCATCAAAGCAGCAAAGGCATCCTTCAGGAGCTGCTTGTTCTCTGGAGTCGGCTCAGAGGAGTCGCTGCCCGCTTGGCCACGGACTGTCTCGATGAAGGACTTGGCAGTCTCCTCGCCAACTAGCTCTCGCAGTGCTGGTAGGGCCGAAAGGAAGTGGGCGATTTCGGCAAGGGGTCGGAAGCCACAGAGGCCCTCAAAGTCGGTGATGGCCAGGGCCATCTCGGGCTTGTGGTTGTCATCTGGGTAGTTCTTGGGGTCTCTTGCGTGGAGCTGTTCGGCAAGCTTCTTGTTCGGGTGAGCTTGGATGGAGAGGGCTTTGTTTATGGAGAGGACCTTGAAGAGGAAGGGCAGCTTTGAGCCATAGCGGGCCTGGACTGAAGGGGCGAGTAGCATGCGGTTGCCCTCGACGAGCTCGAGTAAGGAGCGGCCGGTGGTATAATCTCTGGAGGGATTGGACGGGTGGGTGCCCATCCACAGCTCGGCGTACGGCTTGTCGGACTGGATATCGAAGGAGCCCGAGGGCGTGGCGGCGGCGAAGCGGGCGGCGGACGAGTCGGAGCCGATCTTGCCCCAGTCGTAGGAGTTGACGCCGCATTGGAGTCGGATCAAAGGGTTTGGCAGCATCTTGGCGATTTCGAGTTGTGAAGTCTTGAGTAGTGGTGCTGGAGGAGCGGACGCAGATCGATGCTCACTAAGGGTGGGGTGATTCCAGGGCGAATGGCATAGAGGAGGAGCCGCGTTCTAGATCTCTCGGGGAATGGCCGAGGAACGTAATAAGGCGTCGTTGTAAGTGAGGGCCGGCTCAAACAAAAGTTGCAATGGAATCCGAAGCACAAGATGGCAACCCCTCCACTGGACGCCAGCTCGACGACGACGTAGCGTGCCCCACTGCACCTTCCAAGGTTTCCTTTCTTTGGTTCTAGGGAGCTGCGACATGGTTCTAGGGGTGTACCCGCAGCCAGGTGGGCGCGGTTCTGAGCTGGCCCGGCTTAGATAAGCCCGCCAGGCTGCCCTGGTGGCGGCGTCGTCGTCCCTCCAATTCCCCCGCTTCCAGCCCCAATCTCCAACGGCCACTGGACGGATGCACGAGATGCATGGATGGATGATGGGGATGCGGTCAGGACTGGCCGTGGCTGGATGTGGCCGCCCTTGGCATCTGTGAGACAACCAGCCGATACCATGTTGACGCAAGCACCTGGACTGCTGCACCTTTTAGGCATTGAATCCGTTTCTCTTTGGCCTGGCAGGACCTGTTGTCCACGAGATTGTATTCTGAACTGCCCTGCCCAGCAGGGCAGAACAAAGTGGTGATTGATAACTAGAGGTAGCCGCCGTTGGATGCTGATTCAGTTTGAAGGTTGGCCTACCGGTGTCGGCACTGGAGCCGCCCGGGGAATGATAACGGGTCCTATGTAAGCGTAACTCTGGAGGGCCTGGAGCATCAGCTCTCTTTCAGTAACCTCGCAGTCGATTGGACGTCGCACTAACTAGGACACGGGAGCGACAGAGCAAGGCTGTGGCCATCCATGATCCCTCCAACCAAGGCCTCGCCTCGCCTCGCGGTCTCGCTGCCGCCCACGGTGCTCTAATCTTTGGTTCCATCCACGCCGCCAGGCCGGCCCTCCTCTCCCCTTCCTTTACTTGCTGCTTTGCCTCTGTGCTGTTTCTGCTTTTTCCTGGACCTGCGCTGCTCCTCTACTTACTTACTCTCACCTGTTCCCTGCCGCACCGCCGTCCCAGAACGCCTCCTCTCTCCCTTCCCATCATCTCTCGTGTGCCCATCTCTCCACGCTCACGCTGTTTCGACAAACACGAGCCCGTGCCCGTGCCCGCGCCCTTCTGCCAACCATTGCCAAACCGCTGGCCACTGGCTGCCCTCGCACGCCTGTCTGTGCCTTGCCCCTGTGCAGCCCGGCGCTGTTGCTCTTCCCGGCCTAGGTGCTGTACACCGACCGACTACCAAGCACGTCGAGCCCACTCGCGCCCGGCCGACCACTGCATTAAGCGAGCTGCGCTGCGCGTGTAGATCGAGCCCGCTTGTCCCCACGTCTTGCTCAGACCGCCCTAGCTCCTCTCTCGGCACTGGCAACCGGCCACCCCCGTGGTGATAGCATCACCGTCTGGCGGCAGCTGCTGCTCGCCCAAAGCGGTACGTTCGATTCACGTCCTCTCCTTCCTGCCTCCTGCCTTCTAGCCCCTTCCTTCCCCTCCTCCTTCTGGTCGTCGTCGTCGCCGCCGTCGCCGCCAATGGGGCGCATCCACATTCTCTTCTTTCGTCCTTGTCTCCCGCGCAGCTTCTACGCCAATTGAGTCGCTGCCAGGCACTGGCTCGGTCGGCTGAAGCATCCTCCGCTTTTCCCGGAAGCTCTTGCCTGTCGTTCCTCGCGCCCCGTCGCCCGCCTGTTCGTCTTCACCACCACGGTCTGCCAGCCTGACGACATGCACCGCATGCACCCGAGCATTCCTTGCGCGTGCGCTCCGAATTCATAATTGACACGATGAAGAAGCAGCACCAGCATCATCAGCGCAATCTCTCCAGCAGCCTCGGTTCGGCCTGGGAGCCCCCAGTCGGCAGCCGCCGCAGCGCGTCCTCCCAGCCCGGCGGTGGAACGGGGCCCTCGAGCTCCCGCAACACGCCCGACAGCCACACCGGGTCCCCTAAACCTGCCCCGACCAGCTCCAAACCCGCAAAGAGGCGCTCTCCCGAAGCGCCCACACCCCCGCCGCCCAAGATGTCCTCCCAGCGGAACCGCCCACGGGATAGGAAAGGCAACAGCGAGTCGGGCACTCATGGCGAAGAGTTTCAGCTCTGGAACGAGATCCAGAAGAACATGCCCGCCGTCATCAGCTCGTTCAACGAGAGCAGCAGCAACATCTTGGACATTCGGGACCAGGACAAAGTTATGGCTGAGAAGAGAGATCAGGGCAGTGAGTGGTAACCCACGGCAGGGCCCATTGGTTTCACCTGGCTAATTCTGGTCGGCCTTCAGCCCTCGAGACATCCGACTACAGCAAATTAGACAATCTACTTAGAAAAGGCGTCAAGGCAAACGACGCAGCCGGTGCCGAAATACCCGCCATGATCGAACAACTCAAGGTGCTCCGTGCCGTCATCAAGGCGAAAGAGCAGGAGCAAGAACAGACCTCTTCGTCTCGTTCCTCAACACAACGAGTCAAAGAGTCGGCGGCCGCCGCCGCGTCATCCTCTGTGTATGACTTTGACGGCGCAGGCGAGTCGACCGTGCCGTCTCCCAACCCTACCGTGTCACGCCGGATGGGCGGCTCAGCGAGCAAAGGCGACCGCGATTCCGTGCCACCCAAAGTCGACCGTTCCACGCCATCTGCCAAGGCTGGCAGCGTCGAGCCCCAGAACGGCTCGGCGAGCAGTATCGCGCGGTCCAAGATGTCCTTTTCAAAAGATGACGAGGTAGCATTCAGACCCAAGCCGACTGGCAACGAGCAGACAGACTGGATCCTTGGCATCGTACAGGAAGTCCGGGGCGAGGGCAAGTCACGACGTTATCGCGTGCTCGACGCAGACGTGGACGAGTCTGGCAACCAGAAAGATTTCCGGACGAGTGCCAGCAGCATGATCCTGATTCCCCCGGAAGGCTCGGTACTCGCGCCGCTGGATGCTGGCAAGACCGTACTGGCCCTGTATCCACATACGACGACGTTCTATAAAGCCGAGGTCATTGGGATGGAGGGAGAGGACAAGGTCAATCTCAAGTTTGAGGGCGAGGAGAGTAGCAACACGATGCAGGCAGTGGGCCGGCGTCACGTAGTTGAATACCGGGGATGAGTGATGTCATGCCTGGGTGACAGGCGTAATTACACCTGGGGCACCTACTATAGTACGGGTCCGCTTCAGCATTGCGATTGGCGGGGGAGCCCGAGGACAGAAAAGGCGGCATTTTGTTTTGCAGCATGGCGTTCCGCAGGATGGGATACTTGCATCTGGCATGGCGATGGTTTGTTTGCATACATGGTCTGCAGCGGCAGGGCGGCTCTTGGAGTTAGCGTACTGAGCATTACACCAGCATCTATCTTGACAGGACCCTTTGGTCACAGGAACCACCACTACAGGGCAGATTCTTCCAAGTGCGTGCGCCACGTTTCTGGAAGTGGCCGTTGTATCGACATTGCCTCTCAACAGAAAAGGGGCAGTTGCTTTTTAGGGACGAGAGTGGGACATGTGTAGGGGTCCCCACGTGCTCGTGCCTACGCTAAGTAGGGAGATTAGGGTCTAGTGCGCATGTGATGGTGGATTGGGTGGTCTTGGATCATTGTGGAAAATAGCTGAGGAAAAGGTGGAGGGCTCCGACGGATTACATTTCAGCCAAAGGAGACCAGGGGCGGCGGCGGTGACTAAGTGTGTGATGTACTGACGTGCCGCCATGGGTGATCTGTTTCCACGTCGGACTTTGGGACGGCCGAGAGTGCGGGCAAGCCAAGGCAGCGTTGCATTCCGGGACGGCGGAGTGAAACAAAAGTCTGGCGGTTACGAAACGTCTGGGTCGGCGGGACAATGGCCTCGCGCGAGGGCCGCTCAATGTCACCATCATCATCTGGCCATTCGCGGGACGAGTTTGGAATGGGTTGGTCGATACGGGAATGTGCAGTGCAGCCGGCTCCCGGCCGTGAGTGGCAATCTTGTCCTGCACACGGCAGGCGCTGGTGCCGGTATTTCCTCTGCCAGGCTCCCTTGCCCGCTCTGTGGTTGTCGACGTCCATCCGCGCTTCATCATTTCCCGGGGAGAGCATCTTTTGCAGCCACCATGTACTGGTCGAGAGGCCAATCTCTCTGCAGGTTGTGCAAAGGGCCGGCCGGCCAGGTCTGATGATGATGGGTGATTTGAGCGGCTGTGCGCCACGATGAAATGGGCTTTAATTAGAGTCGTGCGCCCTGGCCGGGGATTATATGTGCGGTGCCTGGTACCTTGCAGCAATCGGCCTCCCCTGGGCGGAACGGCCTTGGCCCCCATCTGCTAGGTACTTGCGTGCGTGCCTTAAGGTGCCTTGTAGGTGCAGCTGGTGGACCACGACCCCCCAGTCCCCGATTCCCCATCGCCATCTTGTTTCCTCCGCACAACCCTGCGCCTGTGGCCTTCCCTCTCATTCCCAGACTCCTCCTCCTCTACCCGTCGCCGCAGTCCTTTCTTTTTCTTTGGCCCATTCCCGCACAGCTTGTGTCATCGTGACGGCTGTCTTTGTTGCCGCAATCTTGTGCCTCACAGAATTACCCCCGATCGACCCGGTCCACCAAAGCTTACACGCCCTAACGCGCGCCGCGCCACCAGACCGTTTCCGCCCCAACCATCGAACCCCTATTGTCGCCCGCCGCCCGCCGCACGAACCCCCTACCACAACCCGCAAACCCCCAGCATCTGCCACCACCGATTGCTCAGTGCCTCGATTCTCGATTCCCCTTCAGAAACTCTCGAAGCGCTCGATCTCTTCTTGTTCGTGCGCGCGCGCTGAACGCATCTTCCGGCGAAGTTCTCCGGCATCTCTCTACCTGAAACATCACCAGAAAACACCACCCCAACCGACAAGATGGGCGGCCAACTGTCCAAGATGATGGGCAAGATCTTCGGATCAAAAGAGATGCGCCTGCTCATGCTCGGCCTCGACGCCGCCGGCAAGACAACCATCCTCTACAAGCTCAAGCTCGGCCAGGACGTCACCACCATCCCCACCGTCGGCTTCAACGTCGAGACTGTCACCTACAAGAATGTAAAGTTCAACGTCTGGGATGTCGGTGGCCAGGACAAGATCAGACCTCTGTGGAGGCACTACTTTAGCGGTACGTATCGCTTTTTTTTGGTTCTTCCTCCCGTGTTGTACTGACCACTCCTGCTCCGAGGCTATCTACTCGTGTGCGATATGTGCGAGGACAGGCGGATTGGGGGGACCAGGAGAGATTTCCCCGTCAACAATGGCTAACGCAGTGCACGTGTCCTTTGCACCACCAACAGGTACCCAGGGTCTCATCTTCGTCATCGACTCGTCGGATCGCAAGCGTATCGAGGAGGCAAAGACGGAGCTCCACCGCATCATCAACGACCGCGAGATGAAGGACAGCCTGTTGCTCGTGTTTGCCAACAAGCAGGACATTTCTGGAGGTATGTCGTTCCCCTGGAGCTTGCGCTCCACAACACCACAAGCTGCATTCCCTCACGCCATTGATGACGACACTTGACGACACGAACTTGTGATCAGAGAGACGCGGCGATTTGCTAACCCCCTGCTCTCATTTGCACCCGACACACAGCCATGAAGCCTCAAGAGGTCACCGACGCCCTGCAGCTCTCGAAACTCAAGGACAAGGTCTGGTACGTCGTGCCCAGCTGCGCGACCACTGGCGAGGGCCTGCTCGAGGGTCTCCAGTGGCTCTCGACGAATGTCAAGGCCCCGCCTGCGCCGGCCAAGAAGTAAAAGAAGAAAAGGGACCGGGCCAGCAAATCAAGCCTTTCGACGACCATGAGCCAAAATCTTTTCTTTTTCTCCACACGGAAGAGTAGAAAGTGCGCGGAGATCAGCAAGCCATGGACTTGAGACCTCCTCTCACCAAAGTGTAATCTTACGAAACGACAAATCTAACACGAAGAGACGTTGCGAGAAGTCTTATCACATTACTAGAGACGGCAGAAGTGTGCGCCATGGGATGATGGGAAGGGAGTGTCGACCGGGAAAGCGTGGGGAGGCAATCGTTGGGGGGAAGCAAACTGTATTACCAGATGCGAGTGTCTAGAGAAAGGGAGGAGGGAGTGGAGGAAGGGAAAGGAAGGAAGAACTGTCGACGGAATTTGTGGTGTTTATATACATCGCGGGGTCAAGCGTGGGCAGAGAGACCATGTGTGGCTTACCATCGCTTTTCTTGTTGTCTTATTTGGTTTTTTCCCCAATCATCGTACGGATCCTTTTTTTGGTATCTCTCGTTTTACAAGTTCCCTAACTTTTTTTTAATGCGATACCCCCCATTTATTCTCCCCTAGATGGTTGTGGTAGCTCGTTTGTTGATAGCAGCGACAAGGGTTGTGGTGTGTGTGTGTGTGTGTGTGTGTGTGTGTATGCGTGTGTGAGCGATTTTTATTCAGCCAAACGCCGTGTGACATGAGACTGTTCCGTTCTGGTGCCAAGACCGGCCGACGCCGAAGGCAGTCTATAATATACGTGTCTTGTGGATGCAGCCTCATCATATGAATGGGCGCGTGTCTACAGCGACGTAGCGACGTGCCGACGTGCCGCCCTGAGGTTCATGAACGAGGGCCACCATCGCACGGGGCCACCGCACTGTGCAGAACGAGGAGGTTATAGATTAAGCGTGTAAACATGGTAAAATGAGAAGTGGTGTAAACGAGTTGTGCACAAGTCGTGATTGATCTTGGCATTTATGCTACCGCTGTTACTGCTGCTAGGTGTACATGTATTGCTTACCGCAGGACACAGGACATTCCGGGCATGGGTAGATGGATGGATGGATGGGACGGATGGACCAGTGAACGTGTATGCTACCGTGTTATGCCATATCCCCGCTCGTCTATGCTCGCTCGCTCGTGCTCGCACAATGTCACCCGGAAACGAGCTCTTGTTGTGTAAATTTGTCTGCAAGCCCTTTTTGATTTCCCCGTTCTCTATCTGACATGGTGAGGAGCCCAGTCACCGGTTCTCCAACCGTTGATTAACAGCGGTATGGCACGGCGCGGAGCGGATGTATAAGTACACCTCTGATCATCACGCGAGTGTCGCATACCGCCGCGACCGAATGTGCTCCCGTCGGCTATCGGGAGTGGCGGAGGAACTCTGACGTCCGCTTGGATCAGAAATTTTCTCGTTATTTGTCGTATTCCGTATATTGCGTGATGCATTACTGTTTTGGGGGGTTTAGATGCGTATCTTCTCCTCCCCGAATGCGCACATCCCGCTCTGGCTCTGGCTCTGGCTCTGGAATTTCGTTTCGTCACACATCTCGCTAAGATTGGCAACAGCATTGGTCGTAGTAATCTTGGACACGCCTGCTTTATACAGAATCAGGTTTGCCGTCGAGCACCAGCATGCCGAGCTGATGAAGATATCCAAAAACTAGTCTCTTTGGCAGGAAATGAGACAAGGTGTGATATTCCGCCGAGAATCTTAACGCAGCCTGTCCATAAAGATTGTTCTAAAAGGGCTTGCCCTCCTGACCCCCAGCTCGCGCTCGTGCGAGTGCTGCCAGCGCCAGACTTGCTAAGCCCGGGCCGCCAGTCATGAGAGTCTCCTAGTTCTCCTTGACCCTCTTGACGGGCCGGGCGAGGCTGTCGTCGGGCAGACCCGACCGCTTCGTCCCCGGGAGGCTGCTCGTGCGGATGTCGTTGTCGTCCTGGCTGACCCTGCGCGTCGGGTACGTCGTGGACAGGCCCTCGAAGCAGTTGTTGGTGAACGTCACACCCGTCGTGAAAAAGGGATGCTGCAGCGCCTGGGCGGCAGTGAGCCGCTTCTCGGGGTCGTACTCGAGCAAGCCCGAGAGCAGCTTGTAGCCCTCGACGCCCAGACTGGACAGGCTGTTGGCTCCCCCCGGTGCTGATGTGGACGAGTGCTGGTTGATGGTGGCGTGGTACCAGGACTCAAGCTTGCTGGTCGTAGCCGAGTTCCTGCTGTTCTGGCTGCTGTGATGGTGGTGATGATGGCTGTGGTGCAGCATGGGCTGCAGAGTGTTGAGGTGGCTGTACTCGGGCATGCTGGTGAGGTACGGCCAGCGCTCCTTGGTCGGCATCCCCATGATGTCGACAATCTTCTGCATCTGGTTGCGCTGGAACGGCACCGTCTTCTTGTCCATCTTGGCCTCTTCGCCCTTGAAGATTGGCCGGAGGGACAGCAGCTCGGCAAAGATGCACCCGACAGCCCACATGTCGATGGCGGGGGTGTAGTGCCTGCTTCCTAACAGTAGCTCGGGAGCACGATACCATATCGTGACGACGACCTTATCACCGCTGAAGAGGGAGTGGACGGGCTTGTAGAACAGCCTGGCGAGACCCAGATCGCCTATGCGGACGTGGCCCTGCGAGGTGACCATGATGTTTGCTGGCTTGAGGTCGCGGTGGAGCACCCAGTTGCTGTGCAGATACTGGCAGCCGTTGAGCAGCTGGAACATGATGCTCTTTACGGTGGCGGGCGGGATGGTGTGGCGCGGCTGCTGGGTGTGGTGGTGGATGATCTGGAGCAGGTCGTGCTCCGCGTACTCAAAGACCATAAAGATGCACTTGTCCTCGAGGATGATCTCGTGGAGGCGGATGACGTTGTCGTGGCTCAGCTCGGAGCAGAGCGCCATCTCGCGGATGGCCGACTGCGAGATGCCCGTGTACTGCACCTGCTCGCCCTCCTTGTCGGGCTTGAACTTCTTGATGGCAAACTCGCCCGGGCCGCCGGCGCGGCTGACGGCCTTGTACACGCGGCCGTAGGTGCCGCTGCTGATGAAGCCAATGACCTTGTACTTGTCGACGACGCGCGTCTTGGACTGGTACGTCATGTTGCCGCCTCTGTCGCCGTTGTCTGTGATGAGCGGTCAGCATTGGGGGGTGTGCCCTCGGGTAGTAGGGGGAGAAGAGGACTCCAGATCGGAGTGGTGGGCGGCCACCACCATCAGGGCTGGGCGCGCAGCGAGGAGGACAAACATGGCTGATATGGAGAATAGGGCTTGCCTTCAAATGCTGCTTGAACATTCCTCTTGAGGCTGCTGTTGTACGCCCGGCCAGGGCCGGAGCCTGGCCCGACAGAGCTAGGGAGACTCATTGTGACGGACGGCGGGCGCGGGTGAGTCTCGCGCGCGGCTCAGCCGGCGATCTTCATTCGGAACTTATGATATGAATGGCCAAAGAATCACATGGCTGACACGGAGATGGAAGCAGATGGATGGTTCTGTGTCCGCTGCAAGACTTGCCCGGAGGCGTGCCAGGTCGGTCGTTTGAACCGGACCGCAGCGGATGCGCTGCTGGGTGAGCGTGGCGACGGGCGATGGTCGGACAGTGCTCTCTTCACAGTGCACTGTCTCGCGCATACTGTGTCTCGAGACATACCCCACGATGCAGCCACAGCTTGGCCTGGGTGATAGCTCTCTTGAGCTTCCTGTAAACTGGATTCCGGTCACCATCCTCTTCTTCCATAAATCTGCTCAATTAAGTGAAGGTTTCATCTCAGAGAGAGACCTATTTCGATTGCAACCATGTCCACAGACGAGAATATCGCCAGTCACCACAAGACCAAAATCCTGGTCATCAACCCAAACTCGTCCAAAGCGATGACAGACGGCATGAAACATGTCGTCGACGCCTGTGACCTTTCACCAGTGAGTATGACACGCGGTCAAATTAATTGAGCAACAACCACCCATTTCCATACGCAGCCAGCAGCAGCAGCAGCACCGGACTGATTGATGATGATGCAACATTTACACACCAAAAAAATAGTCGACACAAGTATCGTTCTACACAGCCCCTAGCTCATCATCCCCACCCAGCATCGACGACAACGAGGGCATCCAGCAGAGCAGCAGGGCCGTCCTCGGCGACACGGCCCTGACGTCGACCCTGCACGAGTACGACGCCGCTGTGGTGGCATGCTACAGCGTAGACCCGCTGGTCCACGAGCTTGCGCACCTCGCCGCCGCCGCCGCTCACACTGGTCAGCAGCAGCAGGAGCAGGGACGAGGTGTCAAGTCAAGCCTGGTAGTCACCGGCATATTCGAGGCCAGCATCACCACCGCGCTGTCCTTGCTCCAGCCCGCCGCGGCGACCTCACCACAGGGTGAATCATCCGCGGACCAACAGGACCATGCCCACGGCCACCCTTCCCCGCCGCCGCCACAGCAATGGGGCATTGTCACGACGGGCGGCTTCTGGGAGGATCACCTCACCCAAGGCGTGGCGGGCTTTCTCGGGCAGGACGTCATCTACCCTTCGTCCTCGAATGAGGGAGGAGGAGGAGAAGGGGGCCATGTCAAACTGCAAAACACCAGGTTTGCGGGCGTGCACACGACCGGCTTGAACGCCGGGGATTTCCACAAGGGCGTCTCAAAGGAGGAGATCGAGCGGAGGCTAAAGAGCGCGACAAAGAACTGCCTGAATGGCGGCAGGACGCGGGTGGTCATCATGGGCTGCGCGGGGATGGCCGGGCTGGAGGGCATCATCCGTGCCGCGGCGGCCGAGGAGTATGGCCACGAGTTTGCCTATGGGGAGCTGCATGTCCTGGATGCGGTGCGGGCTGGAGTCATGCAGGTCGAGCAGATGGTCAAGCTGCAGAGGCTGCTCAAACAAGGGGAAAAGTGATCAAGTTTGGGGGGGGATTTGGGGGAGATTGAGCAGGTATTGCTGGATCAAAAAACTATGTCTAGTGTTTCTTTGTTGAAGCTCATTTGTCTTAGCGAGCCGACTGATATCCAATGTTACAATGCCCTCTCTTCTCATGTGCATCTAACACGAGTCCATGTTCAATAGTTCTAGCGCTGTCCCGTGACCTTCCTGTCACACCGGTTCTGTTTTAGTGCCTTTTCCGGAAGAAAGCCAGATTCTTGCGAGGCAAACCTCGTACATCAAGCTTGCAGAGCTGCAGCCGTGCATTCCCCCCATCTCACGCAGCTTAGTCGAGACGCCGCTCACGGCCCCAGACCTCGTCGGCATCCTTCTTGCCCTTGGTCTCGGGGACCTTGACCATAACGAACAGGGCGCTGAGCGCGGCCAGGCCCGCAAAGATGAAATAGACCCAGCCGGCACTTCCGAAGCGGAAGTTCAGCTCGTCGTTGATGATGGGGAAGAACTGGACCACGAGGAACGTTGCAATGTAGTTGGAGGCCAGACACCACGACTGGGTCGCACCAACGGCTTCCTGGCCAACAAGCTCAGATGCCAGAATAAACGGAACAGGGCCGAGACCGACGGCAAAGAAGGCAACAAAGGAAAGAACCGCCAAAGCCGAAAGCCACTTGACGTGGAAAATGATGGATAGAGCGAGGATCAACGCCGATGAACCCTGGCCGCTGATGGAGAGCAAGAGGCAAGTCTTGCGTCCGAGCTTATCCGGGAGCGGCGAGCAGGCGATGGTGGTGAACAGGTTGACAGCAGACACCAGGATTGTCAGAAGCGCGGAGCTCATGGGCAGAAGATTGTCCAGAAGCGAGACCGAGTACACAACAATGGAGTTGATGCCGCAGAGCTGCTGGGCGCACATGACTCCAACACAAGCGATGACCGCTGGACGGTAGAGAGGATCCCGGATGACTTGGAAGAAGCCCATGGTGCGTGGGCTCTTAGTGCTGCCATTGCTGCTGCCACGGCTGCTGGTGGATGTCCTGCGGCCACGAGCGCTGGTAGGCGTAGTGGCAGTCGCAGCAGGAGAGCTGTTGAGCAGCGACTCGACTTCGGGAGAGATGGGCTCACCACCCCATCTGGAGGCCTCCTCACTGATGTCGTACTTCTTGCCACGAAGACGCTGCAGGTTCTTCCTGGCCAGGAAGACGTTGTCGTTGGCAGCAAGCCACGAGGGCGACTCCGGCACGGTCATGAGGCCACCAGCATGAGCGCCCGCAACAATGACGCCAGCGCCGAGGATCCACCTCCAGGTAGAGCTATAGCTCAAGAAGAAGCCCAAGGTCTGTGACAAGAGAATACCGACGTTTGTGCTGATCTGAGTCATGGCGCCGAACAAGCCACGCTCGGTTGGAGGTGCCACTTCGCTGATGTAGATGGGCACAATGACGGTGGCAGCACCAGCGCCGATACCGGTGAGGACCCTACCGAAAGCGAGGACGGGAATCGCGTTGGAGACAGCCTCGATGAAGGAACCGATCAGGAAGAAGGCGCTGGTGAGGCGCATGGCGAAGACGCGGCCCTTGGCAGAAGACAGAGGGCCGAAGCTGAGAGCACCCAGAAGACCACCGAGCGTGTACATGGCGGAGACGAGGGCGAACTCGGCCTCGTTCATCTGGATGCAGTCGGGAAGGTAATATACGTGGGCGATGTGGGAGATGCTTGACTTGCCCGTCACGAGGGCCTTGAAGGCATCCGTCATGGAACTCGGGGCGCTGTTCTTGGTGGCACAGGTAATGACATCGTGAGGAGCATTGAGCTCGGCCTAAGGGGCGTGAGAAAGCAATCAGTAACTGGAGTGCAGCGGCAGTGGATCGCGACAGCTGGTACGCACAAGATGGAAGCCAAACTGCAGGGGGCCCAAGGCAGCGAAGCCAACCACCATAAGCAGGTAGGTTGAGACCTCGCGGAGGGATCGTGACACCGTCATGGCTGCAGCAGTCTGAAGAGTGGGCTCTCGTTCTGTCGATCGGGGGGCGCTGGTCAGAGTGGTCAGATGTCGACGGCGAATGCGACGACGGCGAACGCGACGACTATATCTCTGGCTGGCCAGCGAAGGATGTTTGAGAACAAGGGGAACAGAGGGAGGTCCCACAGGAGTCGGCGCGGGCGAGGGATGTGTTTCTGGAGGCAGATGGCTTATGTACGGTTGCAGGAGCTGGGTGAAGTCGAGGGAGCCTGCCTCAGGGTGGTGACAGTGCGGGGAGGCTCCGCTGGAGACACCTGCAGCCCTGGGGAGCTTCAGGGAGGCCGGCGGGCGCTGCTGCTTGCGGAGGATCAGCCCGGCGAGCCGTTGTGGGGGAGCTGCGTCCGGCGCCCAAGTCTGCGTGTCTCACCTTGGGCCTGGTGGCGTCGCCGCTAAGCAACCCTGGCATCCACTCCTGCCGCTTCGTCCACTCCCTTGACAGCACGCCAGCTACGGTCCAAGCCGTTTCCGTCGCCCATTGTAGGCGTGAGTGATCACCATTTCACCAGGCTGTCATCGCTACAATGGCCTTTGACCCCCAAACGAGCCGAGCTTAGTTCGAGGAATGCTCTTCCACGTCTACGTCAGCCCTGCCCACGACTTTGTGCTATAGCCAGTCAGACTCTGCCAGACTCTGCCGTGATCGAAGAGCATGATGCTGGACAGACCACGGAAAAGTGCGTTGGCAAGGGATTCCCGTATAGACGGATTGCACCCAGTACTTGAGCACACTCGGGGCCACATAGCCATTGTCTCATTTACATCCACACTCGGGCTGGTTGTCATCAACAATAGTCTTTGCACCTGATCGATAAAGTTCCGGTGGGCTGGCGGCCAACAAATCCCTTCCCTGGATAGCTCTCTCTCACATAGACGAGGCCGAGGGAGCCCCACGCCGGTCCCAGACCTTGTCCCAATCCGTCTGCCTCAAGCATCGCGACATCCACGCTTCCGCGGCTACACCTGGCAGGCCATACTCGGGGCTACAGGTGCCGTGACTGGGAATAGTAAAGTCCACACTGAGGCCTCGAGAGAATGGATCCACAGCCTGCAGGTTGAGTTTCTCGCACCACTCCGCCACATCACTCAGCAGCCTCCCCGGGATCGTGTCGTCATGGCCACTACTACTTTCGGTGTACAGGCGGTAGGCTACATCAAATAGCCGCTCTGACTCGCTTCGGAGCTGGTTCAGGCACGCTGAAGCAACTTCTCGGTCGTTGAGGTCTGCTGGTCTCGTGACTTGGAACAAGGCAAACTCGTTTTGCGGCTCTGTGGCGCCTGGATCGAAAGTAACAGCGCCAGCTTTTGCTATGGCTGCCTCGGCCTCCTCCACCGTGTCCTTGCCAAGGTCCGTGTTGACACTCGTTCTCGGATAAGGTTGGCTGGCTCTTGGCCTCTTCGCCAATCTGTACTGTGTTTGTCTTCGCTCTCTTGGCTGGTTGATCGTGACGGTGATTGTCTGGAGCGAGGTGGGGTGCCTCTTACTCATGGCAGCCTTTGCCAGCGTTTCGAGGTGACCAAACATCCACAATGCGTACTCGATGCTGACATGCCGAACGGAGAGGCATGCTCCAAGAAACAAAGGCGTTGTGTTGGTCATGGCATCGCGGTGCCATCGCCACGTCTCGGCCCACTCGAGGACGTCGCAAAACTCGTGGAAGGGTTTCACCGACGAAGCATCGCACATCTTGTCGAAGCTCTTGCTTGATTGTTGGTCCAGGTTCTGGTCCAGCTCTGGCTCCCTCGATCTGCGAATGCCCCGTTTGACATGGTCCCTCTCGATCCGCAGTGGTTGGCGGTACTGTTTGATGGCTTCTCGCCGAGCCTCGGTGTTGACCAGGAGCACTGCCGGGATAACTGATGGGCCCTGGCCGTCGGGGACTACATTGTAGTGCATCCACCAGTCCAGATTCGATGCCCAGTTCCAGGCGTCTAGGTCCTGCTTGAGCCGCACAGGAATCGTCCTGCGTGGAGCAGCGAAGCTCCAAATGCGCAGTCGCAGCTCTGCGGGGAGAAGAGCGAACTGGGGAAACAAGGGTGATTGCTCAGCGTCCATGTTACACTGATTCTAGATATCACTCGATACGTCGTCTGAAGCGCACAAAGGTGTTCTGTTATCGGTGTCTCAGTATCACCATCATGTTAAAGATGGCAAGAAGTTGCAGCATGCAGGGTGGGTCCCTTGAGGGCCACAGCCTCCCGACGTCGGCATGCACGCCTCCTTCGAGCACGGGTTGAGACAACTTTTCAAGATTAACCAGAAAACGCGCCTTCATGTCAGGACTAGCATCTTGAGAATGCAGTAAATGGTCTCTCGTAATGGATTTCTCGCGGCAATATGTACATACAAGCTCATGAACACCGGTAACGCCTCGAGATGTACGCAACCACAACCCTGAACAGCTCCTTTTACGGTAGTGTGATCTCTCTTCGAGACTGCTGTTCAACACTTCTCTCTTTCTCGCTTCTGTCAGATGATCGCCGCCAATTCCCTGCTCTCCAGCACGTTTCACGTCCGATAAGACCGCATAGGTCCAGGCTCAACGCTTAATCACTATCCTCGCCCGCCTCGACCGTGCCCTTGTACTGCGCGGCACGCTGGGCCTCATCCTCCTCGTCCTGCTCCAGAGGCGCGACAGCAAATTTGGTCGTCGCAAAGTCCGGGATCCGCTTGATCTGCCGCTGTGGGTAGCCGCCCGCAAGGCGCTTCTTGCGCCGCCTAGCCTCCTCGCGCTCGTCGAGCACCTTGGCCACCTCGTCCTCCTCGCTGAGCATGGTGCCTTCGATGCTCAGATAGCCGTGCGTCTCGGACGAGCCAACCTCATAGTTCTTGATGCGGAAGGGCAGGTTGCCGGTCACGCGTGCGCCGGTGGCGTCGACCCAGTAGCCAGTCTGGTGGAGCTGCTCTGTTTCTTGGACTTGTTCTTGGTCTTTGTCATTGTTGTCGTTTTCGTCCTCGTCGAAAGGGTCGGATGCGGGTTTCGAGGAGGCTCCCTTCTTGCCTGACGCGGAGGACGACGACGACATCATGTCGACCCACCGCCATCCCTGTGGCAAGCGGCTCGCCTCTATCGACGCATTGAACATGTCGAAGCAGATGACGCCCACGAAGCCCTCGCTCTGCAGGTTGATCTTGCCCTCCATCCAGGCGCCGCGCGTCGGCCGGAAGATGTCCACCTCGGCGGTGAACCAGCCGTATCCGACGGCGTACTCGGCGATCGACTCGAGCAGTGCTACGTCCTCCATGCCGCTCTGCTCCGTGAGCGACTTGGCGCCGGGCCGCTCGCCGAGCCGCGGGTTGCGGTAAGCCAGCAGGATGCCCTTGAGGTCCGGCACGTAGCGGTTGACCAGCTGCTTGAGGTGCTGGTCTGCGTAGCCTTCGAGCGGCTCGGTCATGCCGGCTGGGTAGAGCGGGAGGTAGAGCGAGACGGTTTGTGTGTAGAAGGGGTATGTTCTGTCGGCAGAGGAGGAGCTGAGTGTTGATCCCGCCACTTTTGTGCTGGATTTTGACGTCTTGGAGGTAGAAGGCTTCTTCGTCTTCTTGGCTACGGGGGTCGAGTCGATATCCATCGCATCAGCATCGCCGTTGGCTGCCTTGTGCTCCTCGATCGCCGCGGCCTCGGCCTGTGCTGCGAGTATCGCCTCGTGGTCTTTGCTCTTGCGTTCCCGCTTCTTCTTTTTCGTGGGCTCCTCGGTCGTCGCCTGTGTCTCTACTTCAGCTTCTGGCTGGCTCTTGCTCTTCTTGGACTTCTTCTCCTTCTTGCTAGGCGGCACTTCGCTCTCCACCACATCCATGGCGGCATCAGCGGGGACGACTGGGACATCCTCAGTCTCCTCGGCCTGGTGGATCTTCTTTTCCTTCTTCTTCTTCTTCTTGCCGCCGTCTGTCGCATGGGCAGTGCCGTTGACGGCAGGCGCGGCAGCACCGACAGCACCAGAGTCCTCGCGACGGTCGTCTCCAGCGTCGGCGTCGACAGCCTGCCGGGCCTTCTTGCTCTTGCGCTCGCTGCCGTCGTCGACGGCCGTCTCGGGGTCGCGGTCCCGCTTCTTGGTCTTGTGCTCGCGCTTCGCCTTCTTGCTCTTCTTGTCGCTGCCGCCGCCGGGCGGCAGGACGGGTGGTGCGTCCGACACCACTGCCGACATTGCTTTCTCGTGGGTTTGCTTGTTGGGGTTTTTTATTCCGCCGCCGGCTCGGGAGCCCCCCGGGTTTCCAATCGTTTGTTTGGGGGGATGTAATAAAGTAAATCGACAATGTCGCCACGCCTGGATTGGCTCTCTGCAGGGACACACGCAAGCTCGATCGCGGGGGTGTCGCCAGTGCGTGCGTGCGGGTGCTCGAGTTGCTGCTGCGATGAACCAAAAAAATTTAGATACGGGATTGGCGATAAGAGCAGTGCAGCTTCAATTGCAACGGACGAGGCATGCATGCAGCTGGGCCCGGTTTTTTCTCTGGACAAAATTTTGGCGGGGCCGGGTCTGGCTGTTCAGCCAATCAAATAGTTGCAGACGGGCCCGGTGATGCCCAGAACGGCATTCAAGGGAGGCGGCAACTTGTACTCAAAGAAGGGAAATAGAAGTAATGTTGTTCTTTGAGCTTTGAATCGAGTGCATGAGCGGGGGAAATCGTATATGACATATCGCGGTGTCGAGAATGAAAGGCGACAGTGACTGAGGTGATGAAGCAATGCATCAACAGGCTTTATTAAACGGAAGAGAAATAACAAGTGATTAATGCAAGGAATACATACGTATGAGCGGACGAACAATAAACTAGAGATCCATAAGTGCGAGGAACAACTAACTACGAATGCTAGAATACACGCGAGACCGAAGTGGGCATTTGAAGAATATACTACATTTTATGACTGAGCGTTGGCAGGCTCTCACTATGACTGGAGAGTTGACGTTCGAGACTTGAGCTATGAACCTTGACCTCTTCGCTCGACATTACGGTACGGGTGTGACACAGTAATTGGCGTGCCAGAACGGCCGATGGTATTCCAGGCAAGGAGTTGGAGTGGCGGTACTGTTGATATCGGAGATAGGCCCAACTCCATCCATGGATGGCTTCAGCAAACAGTACGTACTCAACTTTCCTGTAATGGAGATACCTTGTGCAAACCAGGACCATATAGTGCCTACGGCTCTTGTCCTTCTGAGACTGCAACTTGCACATGACCAGGCACACACAGCCGGGCAACACTGAATCCACCTAAATGAGTCTTGGTTACAACATTTCCCACAAATTCAGCAGCAACAGCACACGCAAAAAACCAAGTCTTCGAGATAAGAACATCGCGGCCCAATACGCAGCAGCCAGATGGAACAAACTCAGCGTCAGAACAGCATGTATCCAACCAGGCGGAGAGTGCCCCTGCCGCCTTCCGGCGAGTTCCGTGCCGACGAATCCCCTCCCGACAAGCCACGAAGCCGCTTTAGGGATCGCAGAGATGCCCAGTACATCTTCATGGGACGTACAGTCTTTGAAAGAAAGGTGACTCGACGGCAGGATGACTTTCGGCAATCGGCAGGTAAAGGAAAGCGACAGGATGGCCCTTCCCAGCAAGCTACTAGAGGAAGGCTTCCTGTTCATGGATTCCCTCCCGTTGGTATCGACGAGATTGACGCCACCATCAAGCGTGTAAACAACCAAAAGCCACAACATCATCAACAACGACAGTCTCTGCAGGAGCAGCATGAGCAACCAAACCTTACACAGATACGACCGTCGGAGTGGAACGACAGGCGAGCACCGCCGCCGTGGCGGGCGCGCCAGCAACCAGACCAGCGACAGGAACGGCCGCCGAAGCAAACCCACCCTCGCAACTATCGCCAAGCAGGGACCAGCCCGCCTGAACCAGGTTACGTATATATCCATGAGGATTTGCAGCCTTACAAGATCCGAACGCGAGACCGCATCGCAGCCAAATTTGCCAAGCTCCTGGGCCGGGATATTGGCACCGGGGCCGAATATGACGGCAGATACGAACACGCCCTCAATGAAGAGTGGAATGAATGGTCCGACGACCGGGGCCGCGAACTAGAGGACGGAGAGGACGCTTCTTGCGAATACAACGACATGCACATCGACGAGGAAGCCACCCAAGCCGGAGTCAGGGAACAGCACGCCAAGGAGGAGGACGCTGACACCCTCCTCTCCGTCCCTGGAGGTTGGTCTGGCGCGACGACGGCCCAGAACAGCAGAGCCAGCAGTACCGGCAATAGCGCCTACCAGAATAACAGCGATGCAGACGATGGCAGTCGCCCGAGCTCCTCCATCGATTCCAGGTGCCAGGGCAGTCGGCTAAGCTTGCCGGATGGTCTGATGCCCCAGCCGAAGCTTCATCGCCGTCCAGTCCCACGGCCACAAACGCGAGTGGCACCTCGACCACCTCCACCGCAGCCTGGACAAGAACGCCAGCAGACGACGCCACGCCCACGAGGACAACAGACACAACAGCCAGCTAAACGCAAGCCGCTCTGGTGGAAGCCAGACACGACCAAGCCCGTGCCAGAAGCTGGGTATGAGAGTCCGTCAGTGGAGGAAAACGCACCGCCTGAAGCGAGCAGCGCGGTGCACAACAGCGAACCTCAGCATGATGTCGAACCCATCGACGGCGAGTCGGTGACTGGATGGAATCCCGCCCAATTCGCCTGCCTCGTCCTGGTGCCTGCCATCCTGGCAGCGCTTGTGTTTATGTTCAAGTAGGGGTTGGAACAGAGTGAATATTAGGTCCTCAGGCAAGGAACACGGGACCCATGGAGATGAAGAAGAAGAAGAAGAAGAAGCAATGGCAAGTTTTGATGTTTCCAGGAGTAGGCAATCCAGCCAGTCAGTAATATGAGGAATGAGATGATGAAAGCCACCAGCCCTTTGTTTTCGTGGTGTTCGTTCGATGACAGAGTGCCAAGCCAAGTGTGCTGACGGCGTGAGGAAGGGAGGGTAGTGTAAGCAGGGTTCCCCGCAGAAGCGCGCCGAAGCCAATGGCTGCTTGGGCCGGCACTTCTGGAAGCTCGAGCAGGAGCCGAGTCTGCTGCACATGCACGCGGATTATGTAGCGTACGCTTGCGAGGAGGACCCTGCCGAGTCTGCACGCTGTTCGCGCCTTCCTGGCCCCGGCCCGGCGGTGCTCCTTCCCTCGCGTTCCGGTACCCCCGGACTCCAACTTTCCATCCCCCGTTGCCCTGTGTCATTCTCCTTTTCACCTCGCTTTTCGTCCAACTACGTATACACTCCTCTTTTCTCAGCAGGACTCACGACTGCTACTGCTGCCTCGAACCCGCCGCCATTTGCGCATCTACTCAGCACAGCACTCCTGTCCTCGATTGTGTCTGCTCTCCAGTCGCAATTCGGCCCTCGGCCACCCCGCCAACCCCCACACTGCGATTTCGCACCGCCCACTGCCGATTGCTGTAGCCGAGTCCATCGCCTTGCACATCGCACTCCCCCAGAGAGCGGGCATTATCACCGACCCAATTGCGCACGAAATCACGCCTGAGCCCCTGAGCAGTTGCCGACGCCTCGCAAAATGCCCTCCACGGGCGAGAGCACCCCAAGCAGGGAGTGGCCGCAGGAGACGGCCGAACTCCCTCCCTTTTACTCGCCTCGGTCGCATCCCGTCCAAGACAGCGACCTCGAAACCCACGCCTCCCGCCTCGTCCGCGAAGATCTCTCCCTCTCCGGATCTCCAGCCGTGGCGTCATCTACCACATCCTCGTCTCATGCACTGTCCGAAGCATCCTCAGACCATGACACCCAATTGCCACCGCCTTCACTGTTGTCACCAGCTTTCACGCCGCCGCAGACGCCCGGCACCGCCACACCGACGACGGAGCGACCCCGCGCTGTGCCCGTAGACTCAAGCATCCCGTCCGGCGGGTGCGGCAACAAGCGGCCTCGCCTTCTTCCGACCCTGCCAGAGGTACAATGTATCGTCCGTGCCCGCATTCCGACCGTTGCTGGAACCGAGATGTTTCTGCATCTGTACACAAACAATGTCGACAACAAGGAGCACCTCGCCATTGTGTTTGGTCCTCATATACGCAGCAAGTCGTTGGATGCGCCACGAGAAGGCGAGACAGAAATGGATCGCATGATCAGAGGTGCTTACACAGGCCGCCTGTTTCCTGGACGGACGAAAAGTGGCATGATGGCCAGCTCTGGCACGAGCGGTCAAACCGATGAAGATCCCGATACGCCAACGGGACCGCCCCTCGTGCGCATCCACTCGGAATGTTATACCGGCGAGACTGCGTGGTCCGCTCGCTGTGACTGCGGCGAGCAGCTCGACGAGGCGGCCAGGCTCATGTCGCTGCCAAGCAACAAGAACGGCGGCATAGTCATCTACCTCCGGCAGGAAGGCAGGGGAATAGGTCTCGGAGAGAAGCTCAAGGCCTACAATCTGCAAGATCTGGGGTCTGACACAGTCGAGGCAAACCTGCTGCTGAGGCATCCCGCGGATGCGCGGAGCTATGGTCTGGCGACAGCAATGCTACTCGACCTCGGCCAGGAGGAGATTCAGTTGCTGACGAACAACCCGGATAAGATCCGGGCCGTCGAGGGCCCAAATCGCGAAGTGCGAGTGACAGAGAGAGTGGCCATGGTACCGTTGAGCTGGAAGGGCAAGGGGGGTTTCCGTAGCAAGGAGGTGGAAGGATATCTGAAGACAAAGGTACGTCAACGCGAGGACTCGTCTTGTGGAAATGAGCCCCTGATGCACACGCTAACAAGGATAACCTCCAGATTGAGAAGATGGGACACATGTTGGAGATGGGCGGCATGCCTTCATAGGCATGACTAGACAGCACTATATCGATCAGTGTCCTGTCTTGTATATTCACAAAATCTTGGAATTGCTCGTTCCAGCCAAACCCATATAACGGAATGTCGTCTTGTTCACAGTCTCAGGCTAAAGTTCGCATATTCCCAATGCAATCATGAGTACAGTTGAATCCTGTCGTATTGGCTGCTATAAGTGAACGCAATAATGGCTCGGACGATTCAATCAGATCCATCTATCTCTGATACAAATAGCAAAGCGCGGCAACGAGCCACACGGCTAACATCGTACGGAGTAATAATCACTTTTGATTTTGTCCAGCGAGGCGACAGAGCTCGGCGGCCGATGACTTAATAGCCGACCCCACATGCAAGGGTCCCGTGTGGGGCCACTGTGAGGGTCCAGCGAACGCGCTTGTGACAGTGGATTTCTCGAGTGATGGCGCGCCAAAGCTTCCGGGCCTTGCTTTTCATGATTGCCTCAGTCTTGCAGGCTATTTTCCTGCGGTTCTCTTCGACCTCCCGGACCTACATTTCTGGCATTGCGGGAAGGGTTCCTCTGGAGTAAAGATCCTGTACGCCCATTAACGTCTGTGACGGAGCACTGTGTGTCACGGACCGAGTCGCAACTGCCTTATTCGTTTCAGCTCAGGCATCCATCTGCACCAGCCGTTCTTTCATTGTCTTCCTCACGAGGTCCCTGCCCGACCATCTCACTTGGCGACGAACCACACCACGTCCCCCATGATCGCCTGAAATAAACGATTTCAGCCATGGCGGACACAACGATGCGCCTCCGCGTTGTGGTCCAGCGCAACGGGTTGCCCGAAACGAGATACATGCTCCCCGTACCGCTCGAGGGCAACCCTACCATTGCGAAGCTGCTCGAGCTGGTCAACAGCTGCACCCCTATTGAGAGCGACGAATGGGGGCTCGAAGACTACGCCGTGGAGCTGCCTGCGCCCGATGGGACCAGGAACGAATGTTTCCACTTCCAGTCCGTCCGGGAGGTGCTGAAGGAGGATGAGCAGGTGTTGTAAGTTTTTGGTCTTTTTTTGCTCGACGGACTCGCCATAGTGCGATGCTGTGAAAGGGAGACTGACGAATGTGCTGCATAATAGTATTCGCCCCTTACAGACCGACGACTTGCGAAGAAGACGGATCAGCGGCCGCTATCAGATCTCCTCGGACGGAAAGCACTTGGTCGACGGTGTGGCCTTCGGTCGACCTCTTCTGCGAGGCGCGCCCAGTCGTCCTGGCATTTTCATACCGCCACGCAAACGCCGTAGGCTTCTGAACAGCAGCGAGGAGGAAAACAGCTATCAGAATACCGAGAGCATGCAGCTGCTCCTGACGAACGGGGAAGATGCTACACACGATCCAGACTTTGAGCAAGTCGCCGACGGGATGAACGCCGACTTCTCGCCATCAGGTTCGGACTCTGATGTCGATTCGGGCGATAGCGATTATGAGGCAGACGAGGATCTTGCAGACGAAGTAGAGGCTCTGCAGAGAGAGAACACCGAGATTGATGATGGCGTGATGGATATGGGGGTGGATGCACAACTGCCACGACAAAGGCCAGACTCAAGGCGGAGTCAAGCAGCACCACAGGAAATCACGCTCGAGGCGCTGGACAACATGGGAGCGCTGCGTGCGGCGTTTCCAGCTGCGCCGATTGACCTCTGCGAGAGGGTCCTGGCTGCCAACCACAACGACCTCAAGCTTGCGTATATCAATCTCAAGGAGGCCTTCGATCCCGCGTTGCCGGAGAGCGCTGTGCTGTCCGGCAAATTGTTCAACACGCACACACGCGGTGCACCTGAGGGCCAAGGCTCCTCCACAACAGCAGCCCGGCAGGGTGCACCCCAAGGCAACGACGATGCCATGGAGGACGAGAACGACTCGGGATCTGGGTCTGATGATGATGTGCCGGATCTTGTCAAGCGATACGACCGATGTGGCCTTCCGCCTGGATCCATTTCCTCGGGACATGGACTTGCTAGCATGGCTGCAATCACTGGGGTATCCACCGGCGGTGACAGCCAAGCAACATCAACGACCTTGAGGCCAACCAAAATCGTCTTTGCCGACGAAGACGAAGCGGCGGACACCACCTCCAGCAGCGAATCAAGCTCAAGCTCTGAATCCGAAGACAGTTCCGAGGACGACAACGACAACGACGACGACGACGACGACGACGACAGTGACTCAAGCGACAGCCAAGATGGCGGCAACGGGTCCTGGACTCTGCCTCAACCTCGGGACCCCATGCTTGATTCTGACAGTGATGACAGCAGTTTCGACGGAGACGATGATAGCGACGACGATTCCTCCGCCGATTCTAGCGAGGGTGATGAAGCGGGAAGCGACGATGATAGTGACAGTGGCCCGGAAGAGATGACTGCCAAGGAAGTTGTCCCAGTCATCACGCAAAAGCCAGCAGTTGGCGACACTTCTTCTGAAAGCGAATCAAGCGACAGTAGCTCATCCGATAGTGACTCTTCATCAGACGACAGCTCTTCAGGCGACAAGGCTCCCACTGCTCCGGCACAAACCAGATCTCAGCCGGTCGTTGCGAAACAAGCACAGCCGACCGTGGCCCCCGGCCAAGGCAAAGCTTGCACTAAGAGCAGAAATGCTCGCAGGAGAGCAGCGAAGAAGGCGCAGAAGGAGCAGCAGCAATCTGGTGTAGGCCAAGACGGAGAAGCACCCGAGGCGATTGGAGACCCTACACTGCAGACATTTGATGAAAAGGCCGCTTTCGAGGCCAAACGCCAAGCACTTCTAGATGCTCTAGCGAACGGTGGCATCGAAGTTGGTCCAGGTGGCTCTACAAACCTGGGTCAAGCGAACCCGCCAGTGCCCAGCTCCAAGCGAAAGCGCGACGAGGAGCCGGTTTTATCTGAGAGGCAGCAACAGGACAGCATGGATATTGTTGACAATGATACACCGCCACCGGCCGCGACGCAGCCAACGAGCCCAGAGTCTCAACAGAAGCGTCAACGGTTTGATCTGGCCGCTGGCAAGCGACTTCTCTTTGGGGCACTGGGACTGCGAGCGCCGAAAACAGCTGATGACGCCGAGAAAGTTCGGTCTCAACTGATGAAGGACGTCCGCCCTCTCGTCAATGCCAGGCTTGAGGCTGACAAGGCCAAGAAAGAAATGGAGTTGTCAAAATCCCATGACGCGGAGGACGAGGATCCGGATGCCTGGAGAGAGAAGATCAACTATCGAGCCGTCGAGTGTTGCCAGGAAGGCATCGTCCTCAGCGAGCCTCCATTCCCATTTGTCCAGCGCTGGGATCCGCAGCAGCAGGGCTTGTGGAACGGCAAGAAGAACAAGCGCGGCGGCAAGGGCAAGAAGGCAGACCGCAACCAGTCTCATTACTACGAAGAGGACAACCGGGGGGCAAGAAGAGGAGACACGACGACTCCCTTCAGGACGAGTCGTTCTACGACGACACATCATTCAATGGTGTTGCTGGTGCTCTTGATGACGACGCTATGTTGGACTATGACGATCCTGTGCCTGATGAAGCCAAGAACAGCGGGGAGGGCGATGCTAGCCAGTTTACCGACATAGAGGATTTGCCTTCTCTCCCGAAAGATCCGTCCACCCTGCCCAGTCTGCAGGCTCAAGACGCCAAGGTTGGAATGGTCATCACGTGGAAGAAGTGGTCATGTTCAGCAGCGACCAAGTGGCAGCCACTGATCTCTGATGTCACGGCGGTTGTGATCCGTGTCGAGAACGAAGGCTCAACTTTGGAGGTGTGTTTGGCGAAGAGAGACCGCCACCTGGATCGCGCAGCGAAGCGCTACGATGAGGTCACGGGGCAGAGGCTCTATGACAAGTTCGAGGCGCCTGACATCAACGATGACGAAGACGAAAACGAAGCTCTCGAAGACGAGCAAGACGACGACGGCTTCCGCGCTCTCGACTTCACCGAGCTGCTCGAGCCCCGCGTTGTACAACAGGCTGCGGACGACAAAGCGAGCACCCAACCAGAAGCTGCACAGACAAATGGTAACTCTCACTCCGACCCAGCAATTGGTTTGATTCCCAGCATCGAGCAGTCATCGGGCCAGGTCCCAGGTCTCAGTGGCCCGTCCGCGAGTTCTATGGTCATGGCGGCAGACGGCGGGAATGAGAGAGATGTCGCTGTTAACACAGGTGTGCCTGAGCAGAGTGGAAAATCGTCGATGCCTTTATCCGGAAATTCATCAAGTGATCCGGCGACTGCACAAGCCGGCCAGGGTCATCCAACCTCCCAGATCGAATCAGGATTATTGCGCGAACCTAGCCCATCTGAACAGCATTCTACATCTATATCTGACGTGAGACAGCCGAAGGAGCCCGCCCCGCTATCTCAGCCTCTAGAGGATCCATCTCGGTACGAAGGCGACCTCGATGCCCAGATGGTGGACAAACCCGATCACGTCGTCCATGAAACTCAGCCCGATACAGACTCATCTGCCCACACGCCCATGCCGTTCCATGACGCGATGTCGAACGCGAGCGCGCCACTTTCGAACACCCACGATGACGATACGCCTTTATTTCATGGTATCGAGGACGACGAAGACGACGTTATCGCTGGCACGCCGCCGGGAACCCGCCCAAGACTCAGAGAGCCAACGCCGATGAGCAGCGTGGCGAGTGGACGCCAACCGGATCCAATCACAGCTCACGACGTGCTTGAGCCGGACACGTACAAGGTTCTGAGCACGAGCGATGTGGCTGCTGTCATCTTCAACAGTCAGTCTGATGATGACGGCGATGGCGGCTACAGTGATGGTCCATTTGCTCGCCACAATGATGCTACAAAGCAACCCCTCGAGCAACCATCTCAAGCAGGTCAAGACGCCGAGTACGAGGCAGTCATCCGCGAGCTTGATGGCTCTCCAGAGCCTTCTCCTGCGGATGGAGATGCGCCACTGTCAAGGTCGATGTCCGCACCGCGAATAATCAAGGCCGAAACCAGCCAGGCTAGACAGGGTGACCCACGACATGATGAAGATCTCACTCGGCCTATTCTGAAAGTCGCCAGCCTTAGCCGAAGCACCAGCATTAATGCCCCAATTTCGCCACCAGCGATTAAGAATCGTAGACGCTCGACCGGCCCAATTCCAGTAGCTGCAGCCGACGTCACTTCTTCCTCTTCCAACCGCAGACAAACGAGCGCTCCTTTCTCAGTCCCAGTAGGCTCGCAGCTCGTCGACCTTCTTTCTTCCAGTGACTCGGAAGACCCGGACGAGCCCGTGTTTGCGGAGAACTACGCGGACGACGACAAGGATGCGAGCTACGACCCGGATGCACCCTTCGATGTCAACGGTTCACATCCCAGTGGATCGGGCCGGATGCGTAAGGCCGGCTCTGCTGCAGCATCATCACAATCGCGGATGAACAAGAAAACGAATTCAACGAGTTCTTCGCTTGGCGCCGGGTCGTCCGCACCCATATCGCCAGTCAAGCGTCACACCCGCCTTTCGGCGTCTCAGGGGGACAAGGAAAACGTGGTCGTACTGGATTCCCAGCAGCAGCACTCGCCGCCGGCGTCTGCGCCTGTGCAGTCTGCCTTCAGCGCGTTGAAGAAGGGCAGGAAGATTGGCGGTGGCGGGAGCAGCAGTAGCACTGCAAAGAGGAGCTGGAGCGGTACTGGCGCTGCTGCTGCTGCTGCTGCTGCTTCGAGGTTCTAGGGGCTCTTCTTTGGTGGTGGCGGTCCGGCAGCCTCAGAGCTGTCCTGAGTCATGAAGGGGTATTGTGGTGATAGAACGGAATATGGACATAGGGACCTGGGCGGGCGCAGAGATGGATACACACAAGGTTATGCATTATGCAGCATAGACTTTGTATACCACGATGAACTTTGGCCTCGCTGGCTTGTCAAACGATCCGGAGTAGGGAGGCTGTTTTGTGTGTAAGCGAGAGAGAGAGAGTGTGTGTGTGTGTATAAGATGCCCTTATGCGAATGTGTGAACGTACGTACGTATCTTGTCAGAACCATTGCTCACTCTGTTGTAACCCTCTCTCTCACCTTTGGCGCCATTGACGACGTTGTTGTTGTTATCGTTGTTGTTGTTGTTGTCGAAACAGAAGGAGAAGAATACGCCACCGCGATGGATGACCTGCTGCTGCTGCTGCTGCTGCTGCTGCTACTGCTGTTGTTATTATCTTTCCCATTGTTACTGCCCACTGCCGCCATCATCGCCATCATCGCCATCATCGTGGTGGCGGCCGGGGCGGCAGCGACTGGTGTCCACCCAGCTCTGCAGGCTGAGCGAGCTTGGGGTCTCGCTGACGTCGAGGCGCGACAGGAGGCTGGACAGGTCACGCAGGTGCTCTGCAGCGCGGCGGTCGCGGCGGTCGTCGTCATCGTCGTGCGAGGCATTGTCAAAGGGGTAGGCGAGGAGCGTGGAGGCGACGTCACGGATCTTGTAGACCTGTATGTGTGGTTTTGTTGATATTTTGATGGTCAGCATGTGAAGTTGGACTTTGATTGGCGGTGGGAGAAAAAAAAAAAAAAAAAAAAAAAAAAAAAGGAGATACACAAAGTCGTGACAAGTACCGGAGGGAATAAATGAATAGGAAAACTGACTAGTGAGAGCCCGTTGGCCTCGAGACCCGAGAAGGAGATGGAATGGACCGTGTGCAGGAGCTGCCGACAAATGTCCTCGCGCTCGTCCCACGAGACGTGGCCCGTTGTCGCGATGACGGGCTGCTGCTGCTGCTGCTGCTGCGGGGACGACGAGAGGTGCGTTTTCTGCTCGTCGGTGGCGATGGCGAGGACGAGGGCATCGATCTGGTCGAGCAGCGCGCTCTGGAGCCACAGGTGGGTGACGTGGATGTTGGCGCGGATGGACTCGCGCTGGATGGTGCTGGTGGCCATGCTGTCATTGTCGTGGTGGTGGTGGTGGTGGTGGTGGTAGGGCGGCGCGTACGTGGGCACAACCGTGTCGAGCATGTGCTTCAGGCGGCGGTGTTGCTCTCTCAACTCTGCGAGGCGTGACCGAGGCGAGGCCTGCGCTTGGGCTTGACAACAACAGGCTGGCGCGGCCGCGACTGGTGCAAAGCCCAGAGCAGCCGAGAAGACGCGCGAGTGGATGTTGAAGCCTGCGGCCAGCGAGGCAGCCGAGACGTCGGCGGGGCAGGGGAGGAAGCCGCGCGGGGTGATGAAGTGGTCGTCGAGCGGGGCGGGGATGAGGTCGTCGAGGTTGACGGCCCCGAGGAGGACGGGGTCGAGGAAGGTGAGGCGCTCTCTGCGGAGGTTGTGGGCCTCGTGGACGTAGCCGTAGAACATGAGCCAGAAGGCCTTTTTGCGGAGCTGGGCCTCTACAGGGTCGAGGCCGCGGTAGGCGGGCGGGTGGTGGACCTCGAGGAGGCGCAGGAGCTGCATGGCCTCGACCTCGAGCATGCGCCAGAGGTTGATGTTGCCGGCCTGGTGGAAGGCGATGCCCAGGAGGTAGCTGCTCGCCCACCGGGCGTGGCTGACGGTGTCAAAGTAGTGCGTGTCGCGCCGGAACCCCAGGTGCAGCCGGTAGCAGTGGCCGGCCACCTCGGCCCGCGTCCGGAACGGCAGCGGCGCCGTCGGGTGCTCGCGGTACGCCCCCAGCCGCGACGGCAGCAGCGCCACCGTCGCTGCGCACAGCGACACGGCCAGCGCCAGCAAGTCGCCGTCGTCGGCGTCGCGCCCGCGGTCGACGGCGGCCGTGAACGACGGCAGGTGCACCACCGGCAGCAACGGGTAGATGTACCTGACGTAGTCGTCGACCAGGACGCGCACTAGCTCGCGAGGGCAGAGAATGTCGGTGGCATACGTCGTCGTGCTGCTGGACGTGTCTGGCAACCGCCACGCGAGGAGCCGCTGATGATTCTGGTCATGGTCCGTCTTGCGCTTGGGTCCCCGCGTCCGGAGCGGCAGGAGAAACGTGCAGCGGGAGCCTGCACGCTCGCAGTTGTGGCACCGGCCGGTGGTGGTCTGCGCCAAGGTCAAGAGGACGCACCGGCGCTTGCGCTGCCGACACGCATCGCAGGCCTGCCGCGCGGGTCTGGGGCTGCCGGTGGTTGCCATCGCCAGAGAGAGCGAGGACGCTGCTGGAGGGGTGGATGGGCTGCGGGCCACCTGCGGATGTCGTTCTCTGGTTCTGTGCGGTCCTGGTGCTGGTTGGGTGAATTTGGCCATCACGGCCCGGCCGGGGCAGGAGGTTACAGCGGCGACCGCCCGCCCGGGTAGTATCCGGAGCGGCTCGGGACAAAACAGCGGGGCACAGGCCGGCAGTGACCCGAGTCTTGTGGGTCCGCCATCCGGACTCTGGGTAGGTAGATACGTACCTAGGTATCTAGCTACGTAGGTACACGGGCGGCTGCTAATTACTGAGTTTACCTGCTGCCCCTCCTGATCCTTGTTGTTGACCATGTCTCAACATGTCTACGTCTCGACTGCATCTTGGCCCTGTGCCTGCCTACGACCTCTTTCACGGCTTGATACCCGTCCAGTGCCTCGTCCTGCCCACCCTCAAGGCTGCCTCCAGCGGCGTATCCGCGCTGCTCGTCCCCACCAGCACCTTGTACTCGCCCGCCTCGCTGCACCACTGGCTCCGCCCTTCGTCCCAGTAGCTCGTGGCCAGCACCGTATCGAGCTCGATCGAGACGCTCCGCCTCTGTCCGGCTTCCAGGTAGACCTTGTGCACCGCCTTGAGCTCCTTGACCGGCCGGCCTACCGAGCTCGCCGCCGGTGGCGCGACATAGACCTGCACAACCTCGGCGCCCCCACGTGAGCCCGTGTTGGAGATCTGCAGCGTGATCCTCGTCACCCCCGCCGCCGCCGCCGCCGTCGACGTCTCACTGCTGCTGCTGCTGTTGCTCCCCCCAGCCTCCTCTTGCTGCTGGTCCACGACGACCAGATCCTGCAGCGCGAACGTCGAGTACGAAAGCCCATGGCCAAAAGGGAACAGGGGCGAGGTCTTGGTCTTGTCGTAGTACCGGTACCCGACGTACACGTCCTCGCCGTACAGCACGCGCCCGGCCTCGCTACGGAAGTTGACGTATGCCGGGTTGTCCTCGACGCGGCGGGGGAACGTCAGGGGCAGCTTACCACTCTATAATGGTGATTGGAAGAAGACAATTAGCGTTGGCATAGTTTATCCTCAAAAAATGGAAAAAAGAAGAAAAAAGAAAGAAAGAAAGGGGAGGTATCCCTCTTACCGGATTCACGTCACCAAACAAAACATCTGCGATGGCGTTACCAGTCTCGTTCCCGCCATACCACGCCTGGCAGACGGCATTAGCCTGGTCGATCCACGGCATGCCCACCGGGGTGCCGGACTGGATGACGACGGCCGTGTTTGGGTTGGCGGCCAAGACGGCGGCGACGAGGGCGTCCGTCTGCGCCGTCATGCCCATATCCGTGCGGTCGACGCCCTCGGACTCAAGCTCGCCGTTGAGCCCAACTACCAGGACGACCTGGTCGACCTGCGCAGCTAGGGCCGCCGCCTCAGCGATGGCCCGGGCCGGGTCCGCGATGCGGCGAGCCGCGCCGAACCGCAGCCCTCCGTGCTGCCCTCCGACGGGCGGCACCGAGGGGAGCTTGCTCGTCTTGCTGCACCCCCATTCAACCCGGACGCGGTAGTCCCTGCCAGCTACGAGCGCCTTACTACCCGTCTCCTCGACGGTACCCGCGCCGAAGAGCGTCGTCCCGGGCTTCTGGTTCTCGACATTGCTCACCACCAGCTCGTCGTCGACGTACAGCCGACCGGTACCCTCGACCCCGAGCCCGAAATCGTATACCCCGCTCTCGGCGGGCGTGAAGGTGCCCTCGGCCTGGCAGTACCACACGGGCGCCAGGTCCGGGTGCTCGTAGTCGAGGAAGAAGCAGTTCGAGTCGGTTAGCACGCGCTCGTCCACGGGTCTTCTGCCCACCACGGTCGGGGGCTCGTTATAGGCCCGCCACGTGAACCCGCGCTGTCCGCCGCCCTCGCCGCCACCCTTGCCGCCGCCCTCGCCGCCCGTGCCGGTCCGCAGCTGGTCGCCAAGCAGCGGGAGCAGCCGGTGGTCGCTCGAGCCCTGCGCGAACCGCGGCTCCTGGCCCAGCTTGGCTGCGATGCCCTCGTAGGGGGACACGCTGTAGTAGGGTAACAGCGAGGCGCTCCCGCCGCCGCAGAAGCGAGCGGTCTTGGCGTTGGGCCCGATGACGGCCGTCGTCTTGCCGCCCTTGGAGAAGGGCAGCACCCGGTTGTCGTCGTTCTTGAGGAGCACGATCGACTCGGAGGCCGCGCGGCGCAGCAGCGCCCGGTCCTCGGCGCGGTTGAGCTGCTCCTCGGGCGCGTTCTCGGGCACCCGGGCGGCCGCCGAGTAGTTGATGAGGCCGAGGACGTTGCGCACCCGGTCATCAAGCTGGCCCACGGTGACCTTGTTGGACATGACGGCGTGGGACAGCACGGCGCCTCGCCACCGCGCCGGGCCGGGCATCTCCAGATCAAGACCGGCCTGGATCGCTCCCGTCGTGCTATAGGTGCCCCACCTGTTCCCAGTGCAGGGGGAAAAAAACCCCAACTTGTGAGTGACGGCTGCTTATAGAGAGAGAGAGAGAGAGAGAGAGAAAAGAGAAAAGGCAAGGAGACAACAACCGAAAGAAAAGAATAGCTCACCAGTCACTCATTACGAGCCCGTCATACTTCCACTCGTCTCGCAGAATGTCCTGTAGCAGCCCCTTGCTCTCAGAGACGTGCGTGCCGTTGACCTTGTTATAGGCCGTCATGATCGCCCGGGGGTCCCCGATGGAGATGGCGAGCATGAATGGCAGGAGGTATATCTCGCGCAGGGCCCGGGGCGTGACGAGGACATTGACGGCCATGCGCTCGTGCTCCATGTCGTTGCAGACAAAGTGCTTCAGGGTGGCCGCCACCTTCTCCTGCTGGAGGCCCCGCGCATAGTGGCCGGCCAGCAGGCCAGACAGGACCGGGTCTTCTGAAAAGGACTCGAAGCCGCGGCCGCCCAGCGGGCCTCTCTGGATATTCAAAGTCGGCCCAAGCACGGCCACCGCACCCTTTGCCTTTGCTTCCTGGCCCTGGAGCTGGCCGAGCTTGGCCAACAGATCCGGGTCAAAGGTGGCGCCGAGGGCGGTCCCGCAGGGCAGACATGAGGACGGGACGCCGTCGAAGATCTTGGTGCCGCGGACCCCGTTTGGTCCATCTGAGACGCGAATGGATGGTATGCCGCGGAGGGGAAGTGGCGTGGTATGCCACATGTCCCTGCCTATACTCCGGGCGGTTAGCCCAAGGTCTCGTGGTCATCGTCGGGACGAGGCATGCACAGTGAAGGCCAGGGCCAGGACGTGATTTACCTGTAAGGAGAGCCACCTTCTCCTCGACCGTCAACTGGGCCAGGAGCTCGTCGACATCCAGCAGGCCCGCAGGGACGTCGCTCAGGAATGGGGACATGACGGCGGCCGTGTGATCAAGAGGGACGGGGAGGGGAATGCAAAGACGGCCAGGCTTGCAACTCGAGCCGCGTCCGGGTTGATAAGGGAGGAGGGAGGAAGCGCCATCGGAGCCCGTATCTCTCTGGTGTTTCTCTCTATATCTTGGTGTTGACACTGCCGTGATAGCCTCGCGCTGACATGGCTCGCGCTGGCGAGCATGTCATCTGGACCCACGACTCGTCAAGGCCACGCTAGTCCCATCTGGGCAACTGGCCGCCGCCAGCGGCGAATTATATCCATGACTGATTCGATGGGTATTACCCCATTCGGCCAGCTTTCTCCGCCAGATACTCCGCCAGCCACGGCTGAGGTGTCGGGCTTGGGTCTCGGCCCTCGCTCTCCCGTGCAACTGATAAGTCTGCAGTTTAGTTTGGCAGACAGCTCTGTCTCAGGGAGCCTCCCCATTGGCCTAGAAAGCACCCAGTCTAGATTTGAGTCCCGTGGTCGCGAGAGCCCAGCCCTAGGCCCGAGTATCACTTGACGAAACTGTGTCGACGGCCTCACCCCAGACTTATCTCTCTCGCTCTCTCTCTCTCGTGGGGCCACGACCTGCCTCCGGTGATAGGCTTGACCTGGAATCGGTATCTCCCACGGGCTCCCCGGATACCACTGCCCAGGTTCAACCCCAGCCCCGCGCTCCCCATACAGATATGCCCCCTTAGTGCGTCGCTCCAACGATCCAGGCAAAACTTGTATAAAGCCAAGGCAGGCTCCATGGACCACCAGGTGTCTCTGGTCTCGTGCATCCCATCATCATCCGCTCGGTACTGCTCTAGAATATCTGAACTTTTACCTTCGCATTTCCAACACCATGGGCACCAGCGACGTTCGGTCCATGGCAGATGATACCGTGGCCCACCAGTTGGCCACGGTGCTGCCTTCTGATGGACGACCGTGGTATCGAAAGGGCCATCTCGTGCGCCTCAACGTCCACGTCTTATCCCTCATTATGCTGTGTAAGCCTTTTGCTATGATGGCGAGCCCCCCTACTAGAATTGGTTGCCCAAAGCTGACACGTTGGATTGTGGCAGGCTCCGCCAACGGTTACGATGGTACCTTGATGAACGGCCTCCAAGCGCTGCCGCGGTGGAACGAGTTCATGGGTATGCCGGCGGGCGCGTGGCTCGGTTTCATCAACGCAGTCTATTGGATCTCCAATGGCGTGTCCTTCGCCGCCTCCGCCTGGATCTCAAACAAATATGGCCGCAAGCCTGGCATCTACATTGGATACGTGTTCCTCGTTGCCGGTATCATCCTCCAGACCGCGGCAAACAACGAGGGCGCCTTTATTGCCGCCCGTGCCCTGGTCGGTTCGGCGTCTGGGTGGTACACCAGTGGCGCCCCTATCCTAATCAACGAGATTGCTTTTCCCACTCATCGGCCTATTGCGGCAGCCTGTTATCAATGTGGCTTCTACCTCGGCAGCTTGATCTCTGCATGGGTCACCTTTGCAACCAGGGATTACGGTACCTCGTGGGACTGGCGTCTTCCATCTCTCCTCCAGATTCTGCTCCCAGCGCTCGCCCTGCCCGGCATCATCATGGCCCCCGAGTCTCCCAGGTGGCTTGCCTCTGTGGACCGCGTCGAGGACGCGAAACAATTTATTCTTGAGCACCACGCCGGCGGCGACATCGACTCGCCCCTCGTCAGCTTCGAGACGGAAGAAATCATCAACACCATCAAGGCAGAGCAGGAAGCCTATGCTAGCACAAGCTATGCCGACCTGGTTAAGACAAAGGGCAACAGGTGGCGGCTGCTCATCTCCGTCACTCTGGGCATCTTCAGCCAGTGGAGCGGCAACGGCGTTGTCTCGTACTACCTCGCTCTCGTCCTGCAGACGGTAGGGATCACCAGCGTTACGCACCAGACGCTCATCTCTGCGCTACTCCAGGTGTGGAACCTGATCTGGGCAGTCGCGGCGTCGGTCTCTGTCGAGAGGCTGGGACGCCGGCCGCTGTTCCTCAGCTCCGCCGTTATTATGCTCGTCAGCTATATTGTTATCACGGGCCTATCGGGGTCCTTTGCAAATACTGGCAACGCCCCCGTCGGCATTGCCGTCATCCCTTTTCTCTTCATCTTCTTCCTGGGTTATGACATTGCTCTGTAAGTTCCTCCTCCTCCTCCTCCTCCTCCTCCTCCTCTTCCTCTTCTCCCTCTCGCTCTCTCTGTCCTGTCGCGGTACGGAGCAAAAGTAGCTTACACACTCATCCCAGCACCCCTCTCGTCGTCTCGTACCCGGTCGAGATCTGGCCCTACCGCCTCCGCTCCCGGGGCTTTACCGCCTCGTGGGTCTCGGGCATCTGCGCCGCCGTCTTCAACATGTTTGTCAACCCGATCGCCCTGCAGAGCATCGGCTGGAAGTACTACTTTGTCTTCATCGTCTTCCTCGTCGCCTTCCTCCTGACGGCCTACTTCTGCTACCCGGAGACCCGCGGCCGCACCCTCGAGCAGATGGCCTTCATCTTTGATGGCGACGACGCCGCCGCCGCCGCCGAACTGCTGCCCGCAGAGAGCAAGACCGGCTCGGTGGGGACGACGGCGGCGGCCGTGGAGGTTCCCGAGGAGGAGAAGCAGAAGCTGGAGAAGAGTGGTTGAGATGGAAGATCCTGGCGGTGCTGTCACCAAGGTCGTAGAAACGTGTGTGTGTGTGTGTGTTAGTGTGGTTCGTGTCCCGAAAAGGAAAGGTTGTGGGAGGCGCGGGAGGCAGGTATGCCGGGTCCAAGGGTTTTGCGATCAGGCACCGGAATGGGTTTTGCCCGCGAGTTTGCCAACTCTTGTTTCTTTTGTCTCTTGCGCAGAAAGACAAAAACAATGCAAGCCTGGGGAGATGACGTTATCCATAAACATACATGTTGCGATGAACTCTTGGCCCATAAACACACACCTGCGTCGTACGCGAAGCCAAAAAGTCTACGACGGGACCGAGTGTTCACTGTACAAGCCAAAAGTCCTACCGCAGATTGTCGTTTCTCAGACGGGTAACACCCAGGGTCATCCGTTGAGCGAGGTCTGCTTTTATACATCAACGGTCAATGGTGCTGTGGCGTGCTGCCGCCACACAGCGAGGTTCAATCGTCATCAGCGTCCCCTTAGACTCGCGCCCAGCGCCAGAAGACGCATGGTGACAACTGTATCCCGACGCAGCTGATAAATTCGTAGCAGCCGGCAGCGCCGGGCGTGCCGCCTCTCGTGCAGTCTTTGCTCAGGAATGGCAGATAAATCGGGCAAATGCGAAAAGGGAAGCGCTGGGTGACGTGGATGGCCGCAACAGCGGCAGCAGGATTGTGAGGAGCAGCTCAAGTGGTGCGAGGACTGCTGCCGCACCTGGCTGCTCCTCGTGTCTATTGATTACGAAACTTGTGAGAGGTGGTCCTGATCCCCAAATGACCAATTCTTCGGGAAATCGTGCCTCAGTGCATCGTGGCGTACACGGAAGGTCTGTGCATTGCAACTGTCCTACATCTTGGAACTGTGGATGGGTTCAGGAAGTGGACAAGCCCCAGTGCTTGCGGATGTCTCGAATGCTTGTTTCCTCAATTGGGTCCAATTCTTGGGTTGACTGAGGACGACGCCCAAAACTATGATGTATATGTACATTGGAGCATTCGTGTCCCACACTGCTCAAGGTGAACGGCATCCATCCCTCTCACTGCTGCGCCGCTGCCTTCTTGGCCTCCCCTTTTGCGACGCGCAGTTCTAGTTCGCGTTTTCGGGGGCCGCTGCTGCACGTCGCCCGTCCCTCCTTGACATACGCACAACTACTACGGCCATGCTCGTAGCAGTTTCCCATGCCTCGAATCGTATTCCTTCCGGTCTAGTGATTGTTCATGGTAATATGCTCAATTGCTCCGGGCGCCGCCCTTGGCTTCCCGCAGCTCGTTCATCTTGGCGACACGCTTCTTGAACTCGACGTATTGGCACTTTTCGTAGCTGTGGCGCTCGTCCTATTGTTCCCGGGGAGTAAAATTCCCCTATAGTCAGCATTTCTTTTGTGTCCTCTGGGACACCAACTTGCACCTCCGTCCCTTTCAGCTCTGCCAAGCCAACCACCCGACAAAGCTGTTTCGCATATGAAGAAGAATATAACGCACCTCGCACTTCCACGGCATGTAGTATGTGTCCTTGCGGCACCGGTTCAGCGGGATGAGCAGGTTGGCGCAGGTGTCGCGGTAGGCGATGGGCAGGCTGGCCTCGCGCATCTCCTCGCGGGTGGCGGCTGTAAATGGGCCAGAGGCCAGAATGTCAGCATGTGTCCCCTCCTTTGTGTGTAGCGATCCCCTTCATATATCCCGAGCCACCTTCAGGTAGGGTTGAGCTTGTCGAGCCGCTCGCTGGTGCACTGGCACTCGCCGGACCGGCGAGCGGCCGATCGTACGGCCATCGTGTGGCAGCACAGCTCTGTATCGATTTCCATGGCGCAGAGAGGCAAGCGAACTTGTGTTGGGGAGAGGGTATCACAGGGCGGACGTACGCGCAGGCGCCGAGTCGGAGCTTGAGAAGAGACCCATTGTGTATGTGTGTCGAATGTGCTGTTGGGAGATGGGTGTTCCGTCGAGGACAGCAGCAAGGCTGTGGAGGGCAGGCCTCGGTTGTTTGTGCTGTCGAGTGCTGCGGAGGCGGGGCACGGCCGGCGGATTGGGCGGATGTTGTCGACGACGGCGACGTCAGTGGGTGTCAATGCGATCGGGTCGTGATAGCTTCGTCTTTGACGTTGAGGCTTGATGCAGCGATTGGCGATGCCGTCGTTGAGCAGGTGCGGGACTGCATGGGCCAATCATGTGCTTGGGGATTGTGAGTGTGAGGTGGGAGGCTCCAGGATGGGGCTGGCAGGTGAGTGACAGCTGGTGGGTGGCCCTGGACTGCAGGTGTGGAGCACCTTTCCCAAGCTTCCAAAGTTCCAGCATCGCCGTCGTCCACTCCAAAGCCCACCGCCCACGCAACAATGAACAACACGCAGACAGCACTCGGGACAATGACAAGCCCGTTGGAGCATGGTGTGGCGTGCGACCTCCGGCCCGGAATGATTCGTTCACCACACCGACAGCACACACATTTTGCCTGCTGTGACCAAGACAAGCATTCAACCGTATTTACCGTGAACCTGGATGGCACCGCGCAATAAACAAGCATCCCAAGCTTTCTGCTAGCTCACCCACCCCAGCCAGCCTGGTCAAACCTCGTCCCAAAACTCAGAATTCTGCCTTCGTTAAAATTACAGGCACCCTGGTGGTAGCAGAACCTCCGCGATATCCGTCCGCCAGCGTTGGCAGCATGTTCAGCCGTGGTCAAACCAACCGAAGATCAAGGGCGACGACCCCCTTGCCACTATCATGGTAGCTGTGTGATGATACGTTCGAATGCTTCTCTGCGTCGGGCGATCGTTCCGGTTGCCAGCCATGGTGACATCGGACATGCCAAGTCAAGGATACGCCTCGTCTGCCTGCGCAGCTGCTTCCGCCTCGCATCCAGAAGAGAAACGAAACATCAGGGTCCGTTCCCGCGGCCATGGCCGATCATTGCCGCGCTGGCAGTGGCAATCCGCTGCGCTGCACGAAAAGAAGTGCATTGTCTAGGACAGAGACCACCTCGCAAGCTGGCATGACGCGCAACACAAGCATTGGCACCCCTGCACGCAAAAACACATCGACTGCCCGCCTTGGGAAGGCGTTCTCGCTATGGCGGCTGTCTGCTTGGGTTGACAATTTCCCCCGCAGGCCGGCAGTGGGCACTCCCTGAGCCTGAATTGGGTGGTGGTTGCACAACAGCGCGCGGTCGGTAAAAGGCTTGTCTACTCATGAGCCCGGCCAGGGCGCTGCGACCTTCCTCTTTGCGCAGCTGATAGGCGGTCCCAGGGCCCCGATTGGTCGTGCCCCAACTGCTTCTTGGGGCATAGGCTGCCCGGCGTACCCCTGGCCACTCCGCGCCGATCCGGCCACAGGGGTCCGCCGGGAGGGCACCTCTGCTGGCTGGATGCCCTCATCTCCGGCCAGCCATGTCGTTGACCGGTTATCGCGGTCGCCAGCCAGGGATCAGGGATCGTTCCCCTCTGCATTTAAATACCATGGCCGCCGTCCGTCGTCCAGGCGGTCTTGGCCTCTTCGGCTCTTCTTTGCCCAAGGCACCTCTTGAGTCAAGTCAGGGTTACCGGTAGTCTCATCGTGTCAAAAGACATCAGCTGCCAGTCAAGATGCGGTCGTCTCTCTTCCAGCTGGCCATCTCGGCCGCTGTCGGCATCCGATCGGCTTTGGCCATTGGACCTCCCCCGCCGCTGCCTCCTCCCGACAGGCTGGACGTCGCTGCGTTTCGCGCTCTCGCTGATCCCCAGTCGACCACCACAGGCCAGGGCACCTTTGATCAGTACATTGATCACAAGAATCCCAAGCTCGGCACCTTCCCCCAGACTTACTGGTAAGATTCATGGCACCACACCTCGATCTTTTTATACGAATTGCAGCTGACATCATTTGCCATCAGGTACAATGCCACTTACTGGAAGGGTCCCGGCTCACCCATCGTCGTCTTCACCCCTGGCGAGATTGCGGCTGCTGGCTACACTGGCTACCTGACCGATCAAAGACTGACGGGTATGCTCGCCAAGGAGGTGGGAGGTGCAGTCGTCATCGTCGAGCACCGCTACTGGGGTAGCAGTACCCCCTACGCGGTCCAGACTACCAAGAACCTCCAGTACTTGACTCTTGAGCAGGCCGTGCAGGATTTCGCACGAATCACGCGCGAGCTCAAGCTGCCCTTTGACACCAATGGCTCATCCAACTCGCCCAAGGCTCCGTGGATCTGGACTGGCGGTTCTTACTCGGGTGCCCTGGGTGCCTGGATCGAGAGCCTTGCCCCTGGCACCATGTGGGCCACACACTCCAGCAGTGGTCCCCTCGAGGCCATCTACGACTACTGGCAGTATTTTGTGCCCACGCAGCAGGGCATGCCGCAAAACTGCAGCAAGGACTTTTCGGCCATCATCGACCACGTCGACAACGTCCTGCTGCACGGCAGCCGCAAGGACAAGGCCGACCTGAAGGCCTTGTTCAACATCGAGGGCCTCGAGCACGCGGACGACATTGCCACTGCTATCTCTGCCCCCATCTGGGCCTGGCAGAGCATCCAGATGTACTCTGGCTACTCGGTCTTCTACCAGATGTGTGATGCCATTGAGGGGTTCGGCCAGAACACCTCGTCCATCTCGACCACATATCCCACTAACCAGGGTGTGGGTCTCAAGGCCGCTCTTCCCAACTATGCCGCATGGTATAAGAAGGCCTATCTCCCCGGCACCTGTGCCAGCTACGGCTACCCGGAGTGGTCGGATGAGAACAACGTCGAGTGCTTCAACACGTACAACGCCACGAGCCCCATGTACACCGACTACTCCGAGTCCAACTCCTTCTATCGCACCTGGGTGTGGATGACTTGCAATGACCCCTTCTTCTACTACCAGACGTGAGTTGACCTTTGTGATTTCTCCAAGCAGCAGTGTTGAGAATGCATGATACTAACACGGGTCTTATAGCGGCGCTCCCCGCAACCGCCCCTCCATCTTCTCCCGCGTCGTCGGTCCCGATTACTACCAGCGCCAGTGCCCGCTCTTCTTCCCGCGCGAGGGCAAGTACACTTACGGCTCGGCTATCGGCGACAGCGCTGCCAAGCTCAACGCACAGACCGGCGGGTGGAAGTTCACTGGCAAGAAGCGTCTCTTCCACGTCAACGGCGAGTTTGATCCGTGGCGTTCGGCCTCCGTGGCCAGCGAGTTCCGCCCCGGCGGTCCCTACAAGGGCAGCAAGAACACGCCCAGCATCCTCATCAAGGGCTCGCGCCACTGCAACGATCTGTCCAAGAGGAACGGCGACGCCAACAGCGACATTGCCGCTGCGCAGACGACGATTGTTGCGCAGATTGGTCAGTGGACGAAGGAGTTCTATGGTGCTCACGGCCGCCGGAGAACGGTTTAGAGTATATACTAGTCAGGCAATGTTCCCCCGAAGCAGCTTGAGAAATCCAGCAATCGGGGCATTCTGTGCTTAATACTATAATTTCTAGACTCAATCGGCTGAATCTTGTGATCATATGATTGGAGGCATGTGGGGGATTGTGGGGTTGAAGTGCACTTTCCACATTCTCAACCACCACCTTAAAAGTGCATGCTTGAAAAGAGTGTAAGGGAGCATCAAGATGTGAAAAAGGGGTTTGCACACAACTTTAAGCTTTGTGTCCGCGGGTCTAATAATCTTCTCATGGCCTCAACCTTGGCATTTTCCACTAAAGCAATTTATGCTCGTGCGTCATGCTCGTTTGATGGAGAGGTGGCGTGCCTCGACGCTGAGATGCAGCTTCGAGTCCTTGGCAACCCGGAAATCAGTGAATAAGAATGTGACTGGATTTATGGTCCCGTTGATGGTGTGTATTCATGGCGGGCTTGTTTGTCCTGTTATCTTGATTTCCATGTTTCCTGTGTTTCCCTTTTTAGTTTTTTAGTTTTATTTCTTTTTGTTTTATTTAATTTGGTTTCTTTTCTAGTTAACACCGTAACTTGTCTGGGAACGGCAACCAGCAGTCAGGGGTAATTCTCGAGCATTTTAGAACGAAAAGACCACTTGCTCCATGGTCATAGAATGCAATGTTTCTCTTCCAGTGCGCGATTACAGGTTGGGATCATGCACTGAGCTGAGGTTGTGTAAGTCGATATTGGAAGGGCTGGCAGCCAACCAACCCGGGAGTGCACCTTTCAGAATCAATCAATGTGGGGTAGGAGATCGCCCACCACGGCGGCACTCGTAGCACTCCAGCAACAGCACAGGAAAACGTCCTGCAACTCACCTCCCACATGCCAGACAATGACAGGCAGCCGCGGCGGTACCGAAGTGAGCCGCTTCTGCAGGCAGTGCCAGCAGCTAGAGGCGCATAAAGACCTCGACTGGCCCTCGGGGCAGGTGCTCAGGGATGACGAGGCGCAGAGGACACTGTATGATGCGCTGTGTGGAGGGACGCGGCCGCTGCCGCCGAGGTACCAGCTGCGGGTGCTGAAGGAGCTTGTAAGGATAATCGAGGAGGCGATTGAGGATTGGGATGTCCATGTAAGTCCATTTTCACGGCTTTCTTGCCCAGAGCTCCCTCCTTGTTTTGCGGGCTTCGGTCTGAGGCTCCTGAGAACCAATCACACCAGAAACGATCTTGTCTTGATCTGCTCTCCCAACAAACAGTGAGTGCATGGAGTGCGACGGGCTAATACACTGCAGGGCGTGTCGGACGACCTCATGGGTTGCCTCACGGAGCTCATGGCACAACCACTACCTGACGAGATGGTCGCTGTGCAGCAAAAGTCTTATGTCACTTATACGCTGTCCCTTTTGGACAATCTGTCTGGTCCAAACTCGCGGCCACAGATCACAATGCTGGAGTCGCGCAACCTCATCGCAGCAGGGGGTACCACGGGCTTGCGGACATGGGAGGCCGCGCTGCATCTAGGGCAATGGCTCTGTAGAGAGACCACTGCTCTCAACACTGGTGATCACGGCGAAAGCAACACCACACACAGCATCACCATCAAGGACAAGCGCATCCTCGAGCTCGGCGCAGGCACAGGCTACCTGGCGATACTGTGCGCCAAGTACCTCGGTGCCGCACAGGTTATTGCATCCGACGGCTCCGACGACGTGGTCGCCACGCTGCCAGACAACTTCTACCTCAACGGCCTGCAGGACGACGAGCGGCTCACCGCGTTGGACCTGAAATGGGGCCATGCGCTGCTGGGCACGGAGGAGGCCGAGTGGAACGGCGGCCGGCCGGTAGACGTGGTGCTCGGCGCGGACATCACCTACGACAAGAGCGTGATCCCCGCGCTGGTGAGCACGGTCGCGACGCTGTTTGGCAAGTTCCCGGGGGTGGTTGTCATCATTGCCGCGACGGAGAGGAATCGCGAGACGTTTGAGGCCTTCCTGGAGGTCTGCCAGAGGCGCAGGTTTGTCGTTGATGAGGTTGACGACTTTGACGTGCCCAGGCGGAGACACCAGGGCGGGCCATTCTATAGTGACAGCGTTCCCATCAGGATATGTAGGATATCAAAGACGTGATCCCATGAGGTGGTTTGCCGAGTCAAGTGTGGTGTGGTGTCGATCTTTGCTCACTTGCATGGAAAGGTGCCCAGGTGGAGCAGTCAGGTCTTGGATCTGCTGAGTCAGACGGATGAGCAGAGAGTCCACCTGGGTGTGGCTCGTGCTGCCTTCTCCGCCACAGCCACCAAATCGTGGCTGCGCTGCACACTGCCCGGCCGCACCTTCCTAGGGTTTGCCAATTCGCTAAAGCGGGCAGACCAACCACAGCCTCCGAGCCCCACAATTGCATTCCAATTTTCGCTTTGTGCGCACCGGCCCACTCGAGCCAGCCGGTGTGTGTGCGCGCGCCAGTGTCCCTCCTCGAACTGGTCCTCCCGCGAAAAAAGATATCGACGACTTCGAACTGCAGCCTTCCAAGTTCGACCATCCCGCCCATCTTCCCTCAACCCGCCCAGCGACAACGTCGACAACTGCGAAGATGGCTGACTCCGACGCCCCCGTCACCCTGCGAACTCGCAAGTTCATCCGCAACCCTCTCCTGGGCCGCAAGCAGATGGTCGTGTAGGTTCTTCCCGCTCGTCCCGTTTCCCGCAGAGTTTTGCCAGTCACCCATCGAAATCATGTCCTCCGTGTGCCGCCGACCATCGTCCGTCCATCGAGCGCCATGCGACGAAAGCAATCAGCAAAATTCCTGGACGAAAGGAAGGGACCCGACTGGCAATGAATCGACACCGAGTTCACAACTGTGGGATTGTTTGCGAATGTGGTTGCTCGAGGCGGCAAGTGATGAATCAAGAGGTTCATCGAGGACCACTTCGACCTTGAACAGAGGCACCATTGTGCGCGACATCGCCACCACTGCGGACCTACAATCATCGTTGTTTGTGTCAATGCCGTTCGACAACGGTCAATCCCACATCGCGCTCACTCCAGCTACTGAGATCATGCACCGCTGCGACCTGTCCCTGGCACCGGAGGACATGCATATCACACAGGCTTCTGCACGAGACACTGCCGAGAATCGCACGCAGAACTCTTGACGCTGACAATCGCCTCTACAGTGACATCCTGCACCCCAGCCGCCCCAACATCTCCAAGGACCAGCTCCGTGAGAAGTTGGCCACTCTCTACAAGGCCTCCAAGGACCAGGTCTCCGTCTTCGGTCTCCGCACACAGTTCGGTGGTGGCAAGACCACTGGCTTCGCCCTCATCTACGACTCCCCCGAGGCCCTGAAGAAGTTCGAGCCTCAGTACAGACTCATCCGGGTGGGATTCGCCACCAAGCCCGAGAGAGCGTCGAGACAACAGCGTACGTCTTATCCGTCGTCTATCCTGGAGGCTATCGCCGTCATCATTCTCAAGATGCGGCCTACCTCTATTTCCCCAACTCGCCACAGGTTACTGACATGGCACTTTTCAATACAGGCAAGCAGCGCAAGAACCGCCAGAAGACCCTGCGCGGCACGGCCAAGGTCAAGGGTGCCAAGGCCAAGAAGGAGAAATAAACGGATCATATTTTGGTGTCGGCTGGTTACTGCATTTCATCTGTATTTGCATGGAGTCTTTGCATGGATGGGTCTATCAACACAGAGTTCATCAACACAACCCATGCTGGAACCGGTGGGCTTTTCATGAAATGGGGACACTTTACGAGAGCTCGGCGTAGCTATCGCACCGCGTTAGGTAGTGACGGCGCGCAAAAACAAAAAACAAAAATTCATCTGGCAACGGGCAAACACCAAAGCGAGTATTTCGGGAGGGCGGCGTGGTGACTGTGACATGATGGCGTTTGGTGATTCGCGCTGACTGGACGTGACCAGAGCTGTCTTGATATCGTCCTCCCATTCTGAGCATGAGTATCGCAAGCATCCCCGTCGAGGGAGAACTGATGAGATGCCGGCTCGCGAACGACAAGGAAGGCGAGCCCAGCTGCGCCTTCCGCTCTCAGCTCCCACATCGTCTTCCCACATCGTCTTGTTGCTGCAAAACGCTCCTATTTTCGAGACCCCCGTCAATCCCAGCCTGTGTCACGCGGGCAGTCATCTCGAATCAGGGACATTTCAGTGCCCAATACCCGACCGAGGCAATCACCACGTCCGAGGCTCGAGCATGCTAACGCTTCCCCAACGTCACCTTACACCCAGCCACCGACTCTTGTATCCCCGTCACAAGCGTCGACAGATGCATAAAGGCGCATTCAAGTCGTCGTGCCATTCAGCACAGAATCTGGCATCAAGGTCGTGGCCTTGTGTCACGGCGCCAGGCCAACACAAGGCTGCTGTGGCTGGGTGAGGCAGCCGGCCAGACTACAGTTCTCAGGACGCACCACTTGCAGTCGTTGCGAAGTACAACATTCTCGACTTCGTCTTGCGTTCACGTGACGCTGACTCCCTGACCGCCTTCTGCGTCCTGGCAACTGTGCCCTGCGCTGCGCAGCTGCAAAGTGCGCACCCGCTGTCCTGTTGGCACCGCTGTCGTGACGATTGCAGCACCGCCACGTCTACATGGCTTCACGGCATTTGCACCTTCTCGAATCGAGCCGTGGCACAAGAGCCACGGCGGCTACTGGGGTGACACAAGGCAATAGCGCATTCCCAGCAGCTTGGTGTTGAACCACATAAGTACCTACTATGGTAGGTCAAGGCAATCTCGAGCCCGGGGCGGCACTGTTCCAATGACGATTTGTGACACCGAGAACACGAGATAGCAACAAAGCGAGCAACGCCCATATCGCTTGCCGGCTGGCCTTCCACGTGCTGCCCACACTAACAAGGTCCGAATGTGACACCGACAAATGGCGGGCTATTGAACCCAGAAGATGTCGCTGTCCGTCTTACGTTCTCCGGTCTGGAGTCGGTGAGTCCATAGTCCTTGCTCGTGGGTCATGCGAGTCATCATCCCCAATCACACATTTACGACTGCCTGTGTTTGTTTTCGTCAAAACTCGCAGCGTTAGCTGCAAGCATTCCGCTGTGATTGCGGTGTCGCACCAAGGTAATAGCTGGGAGAACCAACACTGCGGTCTCGAGGGCCTTAAAAGGGTTGTTCGCGCCATTTCCACAACAGCACTCTGCTTGGAGGACTCTATTTGAGCCTGCAAACGCGACCGGGTATCGCCTTGTTGCCATCAATCACTTCCGACATGATGCCTTCCACGCTACTGCTGCTGACCAGTGCGGCTCTGCTTGCAGCCTCGCCAGTCAGCAGCCACCGGAGAGCTACCCCAGAGGCCAAAGTCAGCCGAGCCCTCAGCCCAAGCGGCACTGTTCAGATGATGAGCTTCGAGGAGGCCCTCCAACTCGCTGCCCAGGATAAGCAGACAGCTCAGCACATAACGGCACATACCCCTGAGGGGAGTATTGCGAGCGGATCATCCATATCTATACTGAGCACGCCTCCGAACGCGACAGAGTCTGAGCCACACAGTAGTGATGATCTGGACGAGCAGGACGAAGAGAACACCGACCAGAATGATGATGGCAGACAAGGTGGCATCACGGACGGCATCTCCTGTTTAAACCCACGGATCCGTGTCGAGTGGCGCAACCTCGCCGACGAGGACAAGCGCTCGTACGTGCGGGCAGTGCGGTGCCTGATGGACAAGCCGGCCAAGTCGAACCAGATCCCACCTTCTGCGGGGAACAGCGTGTACGTGCAGCTGGCGTGGGTGCACGTGGTCATGGCACCTGTCGCGCACGGCACCGACCTGTTCCTGCCGTGGCACCGGTACTACATGCTGGTGTTTGAGCAGCTGCTGCGGGACGAGTGCGGATATCGAGGGCCGCTGCCGTGGTGGGATGAGACGCGGGATATGGGCAACTTTGCCGGCTCGGGCTTGTTTACGGACGAGTACTTTGGCGAGCTGCCAGAGATCAAAGATGGAGGAGTAGAGCCGTGTATCACGACTGGGGTAAGTTGGCTGAACCTCGGAGGATGTGGCAGATGATCTCATGACAGTGATTGGGGGCATGCTGACGCTCGGGGACCTGGGCCCAGGTATTTGCCAACACGACAATAGACATTGGCAGCCGCACCCAAAGCAACACCTCCAACAGCAGCAGCACAGCAAGCGAGTGCGTGACGCGAGGGGAGCACCGGGAGCTGACGGGCCAAGTGCACTGGGGCTGGGTCGAGCTGTGCGAGGGCATGACGCAGTACACCAACATGCGCGAGTGCGTGGAGCAGGGCCTGCACGCGTATGGGCACAACGGACTGGGCCGTGTCATGTCCCAGCCGGCGACGTCGGTGCGGGACGCCGTCTTCTTTGTCCATCATAGCATGGTGGACTGGCAGTGGAAGCGGTGGCACGACGGCGACCGCGAGGGACGGACGACGTTGGCAACGACGACGGCGATGTCGATGGACGGAGGAGCAGCAGCAGCACGGGGAGGGTGTGGCCGGGGTGGCCGCCGCCGCGGGAGCGAGAGCGGGACCGGCAGCGACGGGAACGGAGGAGGAGGCTGTGCGGTGGCGGCGGCGGCGGCCGGGGCGGGGCTGGAAGCAGAGACGGTGCTGTCGTCGCGGGGCTTGTACCCGGACCTGACGGTGGCCGACGTGCTCGACACGGAAAACTACCGCATCTGCTACCGGCACGACTACTCGTGAGGGTGGCTGGGTCCATGCAAAAAGGGTTTGAGACAGGCGGTACTGCGGTTAATTAATGGCACTCCTCGTTTGACTTGATCAACAAACAACACGACTCGATGCGTAGAGATTGATTTGGCCCCTGTGCCCTGCCCTGCCCCATCCGTCAGCTTCCAGGCTTGGGATCGGCAGGCCAGTGGCATTGTGCTGGGCAGCGACTCAAGCTTTTGCTGGGCACGGCTGTGGGGAGTGTGGGTGGGGCCACAGGGGAGCTTGTGAGTGGCTGGCAGCGGGCGGAACGAGAGCGAGAGCGACACCACACAGGGAGCTCCACCTTCAGGGCTGGAGGAGGACCCTGTCGCGCCGTCTTCCAGGGTTGTTTGCAGGCGGCGCGAGGGGCAGTGCCTCCTCCTCTTCACTGTCGAATCATCGCGGTCAGTGGACATTGGATCAGACAAAGATGAAATTAAGATTGAGGCTGTACCTGTGCAGGTGGTCTGTCTGCCTGGGACCCTGTCCCCTGGATGAAACACGCTTATGCTGCTGCCAACCAACAGCTCAGCATGAGCCCACTGCTCCTGTTGGTTGTGCCGACGTGCGTCATAGTAATCAGTCAATCGGTTGGCGGGGTTGGTGGTGTGCCTGCCTGCCTCGCGCCTGCCTCTGTCCATGCAAAGTGCCTGCTCAATGTTTGCTAGCACTGCAGATCAACAAGTGATACAAAAGGACGAGGAGCTGCTGCTGCTGATGCCCAGCCTCGAGTGCATGCATCCGTCTCTTGGCCCCAGAGCTTCTTCATCCTCCTCCTCCTCATCCTCCTCCTCATCCTCCTCCATATCCTTGTATATCCTCCCAACCGTCCCACCCCTCCTGCGTTACTTCATACGCTACATTTCAAGCTTCTTGCGGGCCAATCCTTGACAAGACTACAGCAGGCCAATCTGCTTGGCAATCCAGACCAATCGACCCTCACCAAGGACACCCAATTGACTTCCGCATTCACATTACTTCGACAATGCCTGGCAGAGGTGGCAGAGGCGGCAGAGGCGGCGGCTCCGGCGGGCGTGGCGGCATCGTGAGCTCCCTCTCGCGGGGCATTGCCAGTGGCATCGGTCTCGTCTCCGAGAGCATCAGCAGCAGCAAGGATAAGAAGGAGCACCAGCAGCAGCAGCAACAACAACAACCACAACAGCCATACTACCAGCCGTCATCATCGTCATCTGCACCCCCTCCGCCTTACAGCCGCACGCCCAGCCCCAACCCCGCGACCGCCGACTATGATTCCACAGACGAGCAGTGGCAGCTTGACGACGTCCAGCAGGAAGTCGCCCCGACCAGCCGCGAGGACTTCAGGACAGCTCTGAGCCGGCAGCCTCGCCCCACGGGCCCCATCGAACTGCCTGTCATCCTCCCCCAGCGGAGGCCCAAGGATCGCACACGCGGCTTCGTGAGGGGGTATGCACCCGTGCTTCAGAATGCCGACATTGACGAGAGCCTGTGGTTTGGCTTCCTCGACGAGCTGGAGAAGGCCAGCCACGGGTCGCCCTGGTTCCACACCATCAATGTCGCCGCCATGTCGGCCATGGCCCTGCCCATGGGCTGGTCTCAGCTTGTGGCAATCTCGGTTCACAAGATGGTCGGGTCGGCGCAGGAGATTGATGCCAGGAGGAAGTAAGTTTCTTCGAGACATGCACGGTTAAGGAGAGTACAGGACGCTAACCAGCATCCACCATGCAACAGGGGCAACACGTTCCTCAACGACATGAACAAGCAGCTCTTCATGCCCAGAGGGCTCTTCTGCCTCCTCATGACCTGGAAGCCGCAGCTCAAGGATACCAATCCTACCATTGATCTAAACGACACCATCTCGGGCGTCATCACCTCCGACAACCAAGGATTCGGCAACAGTCTGCGCAGCTCCGATGGCGAGACACGCGGTGACCTGCCTGTTCCCGAGGCTGCCCCACTCGTGTTCCCGGCCCTCGACCGCGCTCTCGAGAACCCGGAAGACCCCATTGGCAAGTCTTCGGGCTTCAAAGCCAAGTATCACAGCAAGATGGACTTCATCTCGGACTACTACGATCGTCGTGCACAGGCTACTTATGTGAGTCATTCCGAGGGCGCTTGTCCGGTCCCTGCGAGACATGCTAATCCCGTCCAAAGGCCGGCCAAAATCCCGACAGCCTCCTCGCCGGCCAGACTGCAGCTCCCGAGTTCTCGTCGAGATGGGCCGACCCAAACAGCGCTGCCAACAACGGCTATCTTTCTGGCGTACTGACTGGAGGCATGATCGATCGCTCCAGCGGCAAAATGGCACAGAAGCAGCAGCAGCGGCAGGAGCAGCACTCCGAGTCGTCAAGAGGTGGACGAGGCGGGCGCGGGGGACGCGGCGGTGGCCGTGGAGACAGCAGCGATGGCGGTCTGCTGGGTGCCCGACGGGACAAGAAGCCCGTCCAGGAAGACTGGTCGATGAGTAACGTCATGTCGTCGCCCCTCAAGAGCCTCGCCGCGGCGCCCCGAGCAGCTGCCAACGTGCTGGTGTCGAAGCCGCGGCAGGCGAGGAAGAAGGCGTTGAAGCCGGTGAGTTCTGATTGCATGCACAGAGTTGATGTACCTTGTGCAATTTGCTGATGTGAAGTTCGCAGGATGTCTTGTACCTGATGGTTGTCAACATGCCCTCGCAAGAGCTGATGAGTGAGTCGTTGCGATATGCATGAGAACGTGGTGCAGGAGGGCATATTAGCGACAACAGCAGATGCACAGGCGCAAACGGAGTCGGGTGTTCAACATTGGCGTTGGCAGTGACTCGACGAGGGTCGAAATGTGCCTTGTCTAGTTAGAGGCTTGGTAGTTTAGGACTGGGGTTCGTGTCTCTAGAGTGCCAGCAAAGCGAGTATTGATTACGACTGTATCATTGATTATCCGGCATTCCTGCCATGCAAGATCGTGATTGCGGATACCAGCTGACCAGACGGTGTGCGAGCTTGACATTACACGGAGAGGAGATTGAGTTATTGGGTGAGTGAGTGGCTGCCCAGGTCTGGTGAGTGACTGGACAATGGCGGAAGGTGCGCCGACTGGCTCCAAGAGCCTCTCGCCCCTTCCCAGCCTTTGTGTCGCAGTACCTACGTAACTTGTGCCGAGTACACGCCCATTACATTCTGTGGAGTTCGCCTGCCATCTGCCCGCCATGTATCTCAACTTGCAATGTACTGGACTCTGAGGTGCGCGGGGTCCTTCTGCACTCCATCGCCTTCCTCTGGGCTCCTCGAGCCAGCCTCATCATCATCTATAAATTCCCCCAACCGCCCTTCGTCCTCATCCGGGGCGAGGGCTTCCGAGCTCCCACGCCAATCTCGCGCACCCTACCCGCGGTCGTCGCTCCGGCAGCAGGGCCAATCGCCGGCCCCGAGCGATGCGATGCCCCGCCGACAATCATGGCCAGCCTGGCCCAGTCAGACATTTGACGGGCTGCGTCACGGCAATTGTGCCGTGCGTGCCTACTTGGAATAGGCCCAATGCTACCTCCTCCGCCGCCCCCGGACGCCGCCCACTTACTGCTGTCGACAACTCCACCAACAGCCGGGCTGAAGCAACCAAGCAAGCACAACCTCGCCCGCCAGCGCGCCCCCCTGAAACCGGACGTTTGCCATGTCCCAGCGACCGCCCTACCGGGCCTTGCTCCCCGCCTCTCGTTCCAGCAACGACCGCGAGGGCGACCGCGACCGCGACCGTAACCGGGACCGGGTCGGGGATGCCTCATCACCCGAGACGGGCTCCGTCGGCCCTTCCCGCACCCGGCGCCGGTCGGGCGTCAGCACTGCCTGCTCCGAGTGTCGTGCCCGCAAGAAAAAGTGCAACGGCGCCCGCCCAACCTGCTCGAACTGCCTGATCCGCGGCATCGATTCCTGCCACTATAACGACCCCGCCGAAGACCCGGCCTCGGAGCTCCTCAAGCTCCTGCGCTCCCTCTCTCTGGGCCGCGCCCGCGCCGCCCTCGCCATCCTCCGCTCCCAGCACGACCCCGGCGCTGCCCTCTCCATCATCCGCCGCTCGGGCTTCACGCCCCAGGCCACGGCTGGCACCCCCGGCGTGGGCGCACCAGGCTCGACGCCCCCGTCTCTCGAGGCCGAGCTCTCAACTGCCTTCCCCAACGCCTACCTCAAGCTCAATCCAGTCTCGACCGGCGCTCTTAGCCAGAGCTACCTGGTAGAATCGGCCAAGCTGCCTGCCAGGTCCCCCGGCTTGACCCAAGGCCAGCAGTACGTTCTGACTTTTTGGTATGCCCGGTCTTTATGCCCTTGCTGTTGTCATGCTGACTGAGAGTGACGCAGAGGAGAACCGGGGGCACAAGGGCCATTCCGTGAACAAGACACCGCCATCCCCAGCACCAATGGGTCAGAGCATTACAACAGCCAACGCCTCGATGACGATTCCGCGGTCCGCCGGTATCGCCAGCCACACGCAGCCGGTGGCAAGTCTGAGGACCACTTTGAGCTGTGCGATCAGCGCCTTCGGGCTCTGGACGTCCGCTTCTGGACCAACGTCGATGTCCCCAATGATTTTGCTGCCCGTGCCATTTCGCTCTATCTCGAGACGGATCACCCGCTGCTTGGGCTTTTCGATCCGGAACTATTTGTCACCGACCTTGTAGAACACCGTACTCGGTACTGCTCGTCATATCTCGTCAATGCGCTCATGTACCTGAGCTGTGTAGGTCCTCGACTCCTCCACACCGCACCTGCTCGTGACCAGATCACTGACAATCAGCCTGCAGCAAATGTATAGCGCGCTCGACAAACGAGCTTCACAGTACATCAACCCGTTCTGGAACGAGGCCGATCGGCTCCGCCTGTCGGAGGGCGACCGCGCGTCAATCTGCAACATATCGGCTTTCGTGCTCATGAGCCTGTCACTAACCGGGCATGGCAAAGACCACGATGTCATCAAGTTTTCAAAGCAGGCTAATGTCATGGGAAAGGAGCTCGGCTTCTACGACGTTCAAAACCCGCTCGCCGGCCCACACCCCGCACAAATGAGCGACGACGACCGCATGTGCTGCTATGCCGCCTGGGGCAGTTTCAACTGGAGCATGTAAGTAACCCAGCCAGCCCCTATCAGGGGCTCGCTTACTGAAGAGTCACCAGAGCTTACCAATAAATACCACCAGGATTCTTGCCCTCTTCCATCGCCAGCCTGAAGTAGTGGTGATAGACAAGCCGCCTTCGTTGCCCATCCTGGAGGACTGGGCCAGGACGGGATCGCGGGGTTCGTCATGGACTACGTCCAAGTCCACCAGTACGTCCGGCCACGGCACACCCACGGGTCCCCCAGGCCTACCTGTCCTGGTAGGCGCGACGTTCACGGCGCTTTGCCAATTCTGGCGTATCATGCATGGCGCACTCTGGGTCTACTATCCAAATAAGATGACAAGCCCGCCTGAGGAGCTCAAGTGGAAGCTCACGGAGCATAAGTTTCGCGAGATTCTCGCATGGACCTCGCAACTCCCCGACGCTCTCACCCGTGAGGGCCCGCACGCGTCGCAGGTGGACGTTCTACAGTGAGTCTGATTTAGCCAGGAGCACTCCGCCACCTTGTTTTTCTGTCTAGGAAAATCCGCCTTGGTTTTGCCTTGGGCCTTGGCGAGAATGAACCCAAGCTGACCTTGCGCTTTTGGTGAAAACCAGCATGTGGCTGCACGCAGCACTAATGGACCTGCTGCGGCCGTTTACGGGCCAGGGGCAATCTGGGGACGAGCGGCTGACAACGTTTGCGGCCGATGACAACTCGGCCATCGCGGCATACAAGGCGTCGACCAACCAGCTGAAGCGGCTGATCCTCGACTACCGGACGAACCACGAGGCGTCGGCGTACTCGATCCTTTGGCACACGGGCCTGCTGTACCTGGTGAATGCGATGCTGGGGAGGCCGCGGGACCCGGACTGGCACATATACTTTCTGCTGTGCATCCACGGGTACGAGAACCTGCGGCGGCCGTACCTGATCTCGGAGGCGATCGGCAAGAGCCTGCTGGCGCTGACGCTGCGCAAGACGGACATGCCGGCCGAGGAGGCGCGGCGAATCCTGGCCGAGATTGAGGGGGGCGGGCTGGAGCTGGTCAAGGATGAAATCCGGGCGCCGTTCATGGGGGACCTGGAGATGGCGCTCAGGGACCCGGAGCACGCGAGCGTCGAGATGACGGCGGGGCTGTTTGAGGAGATGGCACTGTTCAACGAGGTGCTCGAGCAGGGCGAGATGGACACGTCAGAGTAGGCGAGGGAGATGGGGGGGGGGGAAGAGAGAGACAAGGGGATGGCCCCAGAAGACGGGAGGACAAACTGGGCAAAGAATGTGGTATATCCTGTCCAAGCTGCGGCACATGAGAAGGGGAATAGGTCTTCTTTTCCTGTTGGGTACTTGGATGCGTTGCCGTCGTGTTGGTTGGTGGCCGCGCTCCTGCTTGTGGGCAGCAAGCAGCATTCCCGTCGCCTTCACCCACGCTCCAAGTAGACGAGATGGCGAAACAAGACGCCAGGCATGGCTTTTGGAGACTGATGGCCGTCCGGCAGAGGCCCCGCCTGTCATGTACATGATTATGCACATGCCACTGCTTTCAGATGGGGATTTGGCGTGTGCGAGGGATTCAGTTTTGGGAATTTGACTCCATGCTGTGATAGTTAGAGGGTTGAAATATCGTCGAGCAGCCCCTGTGCCTGGATACTATCACCCAGGCAGAGCAATAGTCAACACTAACAAGCCGGTACTCTTTGTGCAACCACGATAAGCAACTCTCCACATTCTCAATGTTTGTGCGTGCCCCAGCTGGATGGGCGATGCTGGTGAGGACCTGCTCTACTCCCATCTTGGTAGCTCCCGGTGATAGCTCTGTTCCCCTCACGCCCACAGCCGCCGGCTTCCCCGCACGCACTCCGCGCTTTCTCTCCGCCCCCCGGGCGACCGGGCTCTCGGTTCCCGAGCTGCGGGGGAGCTAGCTTGTTCACTCTTGCGTATCTGCTTGCGCGTAAGTGAGGTAAAGTAAGCAGATGCGAACGTTTTTGCCACTTCAAGTACGGACAATCCCCCCCCCCCCCCAAGCGACCCAGTGAATCGAACTATTGCCCCCTTGTCTCCTGTCTCGTCTCACGACGACACATTTCTTCCAAAAAGTCAAAGGCCTCGCCCAATCACCTTGCGCACACGCACACGCACTCTCTCCCTTTGGCGCTCGGGGATCGAAACAAAGACCAGCGAGAGTAGAACATTATCCGTCATGGCGTCGTATCCGCCCGCGCGGTGCTGCACCGTCGGCGTCAAGCATGAGTGAGTCCTGTCTGCTTGTTTTTTTGTCTGATCTTTCATTTTGTTCCTGCAACCGGATCTAGGTAGGGCGTGCTTACAGCGGCAACGGAGAGCATGGGATGTCGAGCCAGTGTGTATGTGTGTGTGTGTTCTTTGCGAACTTTTGTCATGCTCAAATTTCCACGAGAGCCTCGTTCGACACAAGCTGATCCCAGAAACCGTCTCCGCTGTCCGAAAACAGAGGCCAGCCCGCTGGCAAAGACATCAAAGTCGGGCCCTACGCGGCCTACCTTGCCACTCCCCCTTCTCCTTCCACCACCACCACCACCACCGCCACAGCGACAGGCACAGGCACAGCACCCGGCGGCGGCGTCGGCAAGCCCGGCCTGCTGTACATCCCCGACGTGATCGGCATCTGGCAGAACAGCCGGCTCATGGCCGACCAGTTCGCCGCCAACGGGTACACGACGCTCGTCATCGACGTGTTCAATGGGGACGCGCTGTCCCTCGACAGGCCCCCCGGCTTCGACTTCGCCGCGTGGCTGTCCGGGGGCTCCACGGGGGATAACCCGCACACGCCGGAGGCGGTCGACCCCATTGTGGAGCGGGCGGTCAGGTACCTGAGGGACGAGCTCGGGGTGACGAGGCTGGGTGGGCTGGGGTATTGTTTTGGTGCAAAGGTCAGTTCTTTTGTCCTTCTTTCTTGTTTCCTCTTCTTCTTGGTTCATCTGTTCTTGCCACGCCCTTATCCACCTTCACTTCGTCATCGGTGTCGCATATCCGTGTGTTTCCGAATCAGAACATTTAAAGGGGGTGGCGAGCGAGTTGTCTGCTGGGTCCAAAGGATCTTGGGAAGCGAGTCATCATCTAGGATCCAGAGAAACGACTTCCGGGAAAAGAGGACAGATACTCAGAGGGTTGCGCAAAAGAACAGTCAGACAAGCAAGAAACACAGACAGCCAGACAAGACAAAGAGATCCAAACCACTAACACGGCCTTTCTCTCTCCCCTCCACAACAGTATGTCGCCCGCCACTTCCCCGCCCTCCAGGTCGGCTTCATGGCGCACCCGTCGTTCGTCGACGAGGCCCGAGCTGCGCGGCTTCCGGGGCCCTTTATCCATCGCGGCCGCCGAAACGGACCAGATCTTCCCCGCCGAGAAGCGGCACCGGAGCGAGGCGATCCTCGCCGAAGAAGGCAAGAAGGAGAAGCACGGCGCCGCCTGGCAGATCAACCTGTACAGCGGCGTCGTGCACGGGTTCAGCGTGCGCTGCGATGTCACCAACAAGGTGCAGCGGTGGGCCAAGGAGAGCGCCTTCCTGCAGGCTGTGCGCTGGTTTGATACGTGGTTGGTCGAGGAGGAGAAGGAGGAGGGACAGGAGGACGGGGAGGAAGTCAAGAAGGGAGAAAGAGCTGGTGGCAAGCTCTGATCTAAGAATGAGATTATAGGAGGAGAGAGAGAGATTCGGGAGCAAGGGGACCAATGAGCACGGGACGGTGGTGTATGGCTTTTTTGATCCCTGATGGACAGTTGATAGACAGGCACAGGGAAATGAGCGAGTGTAGAGAATCAGGGTGGCGTGGAAGATATGGCAAACAGACCCCTCAGGCAGCAACCGAATAATGAGAACGCCATTTGAGCAGAGACGACAAAGTGCTTCATTGCTGTGACCATGACCTCCTTAACGTGGAAAGAAGACGATGTCCACACACGGTCGAGACAATTTACCACAATTGGCACGAGCTGGGCTCGATGTGGTTTGATTTTCCCAGCCAATGCTGCTCGCTTCGTGGCAGTGCCAGACACCCAGAACGCCCTTCGTATACATGATATATCGCTAAATAGACGCGCTTATGCAATATGCTCGCTGGCCATCACTCGTTGTCGTCATTCCGCGATACCAAATGGAAGACCGACCAGTCCGGTAACGGACAAGACAAAAGAAAGAGCAATAAAAACACTCGCTTCGGAAAACGCCAAATCCCGACCCTAGCACCTGACACCCGTGTATAATGTACAGTGCTTCCTATCGAATTACGTCACGTTACTCTTTGTGGCATTTGTGAAATTGCCGTCCCGACGGAAGCATCAAGACGTCTTGAAGTCTGGAAAGTGCTGCTTGACGCCCGCGTCCAGAAACTTTATGCTGACGGGTTTGACAAAATAGTCATCTGCGCCGACTTCATCGGCTGCTGCGCGGTCTGATGGGCCGTCCTGGCCCGTGACGATGAACAATGAGCTTCGGGGCCACTGCTTGTCTTGCTCAAGCTGCCGGATCTGGCGTGTCGCCTCGATGCCATCGCACACAGGCATCTGCAGGTCCATGAGCACCAATGATATTGCTTCGCCCTGGCCAGACGCATGCAGTGATTGCCTCTCCTTGTAGATGTCGACAGCCTGCTGGCCATCAGCTGCCGAGAAATAGCTGATCTTCCTCTTGTTGCAGTACATTTGCAGGATGCGGAGATTGACAGAGTTGTCGTCGACAAGGAGAGCGACTGGCTTGACGGCTGCTCCCCTGATTGGGCTATTGATGGCTGATAGCGTCTTCTCTTCCGTTGCCACCTCGGGCTTTCTTGCCGCCAATGTTTCCTCACTTGCGTCCGCATTTTGGTCTTTCTGTGGTCGATCCTCCACAAGGTTGAGAATAGCTGCCTTCGGCTCAACCACAGAGGGTGATGGAACTCTTTCATCATGATCGACATCGTCTGTTTGGGGGGCGAGCTCCTTATTTTGTGTCGCAGACTCGCAGCCGCCTTCGTCAGCAGGCTTGCGAGCTTCCTCAGCAGCAGCAAGCATCCTGTCTACCTCATATAGCGCGGCACGCAGCTTCGAGGTCGAGAATGGCGCGGAAACATAGACAACACCCTCACAGGTCTGTGTCGGCGCTCTATCCGCGTGGCAAGACGGCACGAGGCAAATGGCAATGTTGCCAGGCGGCGTCAAATCCTTCTGGAGGTCAGGGTGGTACTCGAAGAAACGGAGCGCATCTGACAGATCCTCAGACACAGCGAATCCTTGTGTTGATAGAAACTGCGAGAACTGTGCGCAGAGTGACAGGTGCGTCCCGTCCGACTCTCGTGCACAATCAAACTGTCGTGGCAGCCGGCCGAGCTCTGAGGCGAGCTTCTTGAGAGGCGAGGGCGACAGAGATGACTCGACGCCCTTGAAGGACGCTCGAAAGTGCGACCCGCGGTCTTTTTGAGAAGCTACTAGCTCCACAGAGCCGTGCATCAAGGTTGCAAATCTCGATGCCAAGCTCAACCCGAGTCCGGCGCCAATTGTATCGGTGGCATCAATACGCTCATAAGGTTCGAAGATGCGCTCCCGATCCTCTTCGAGGATGCCACAGCCGGTGTCCTGCACGTCGACAAGAAGTTCCTTCGTGCTCGGTGATATGGTGATGGTAACGACCACCATGCCATCAGGCGCGCTCTGGATGGCATTCACGACCAGTGGAAGCACACTGTCACGAAGTAGTGCCAGGTCGATCTTGAGGCTATCGCGCTCGCTACGGAGGTTGTGGTGAAAGAAGACCGTGGTGCAATATCGCGAATCGCTTGATAGCACCTTACTGATCTCATTGTTCAGCTCCTGTTCGACGTCGTGTATCGTGTGCAGGGCATAGTTGCGCTCCTTAGCCGCAATGTCGGCCCACCGGCTTAGCAGAATCATGGAGTTGACAATGTTGATCAAATCTCGCCCGGCACTCTTGATTGTGTCGAGGTACACGATAGGCGACTCAGAGTCCACGGCCTGAGCGAGCTGCAGCAGCGCAGGTGTCGTTCTCGACAGCTCGCGTAGAGTCTGCGTCTTCATCTCTTCTGCCAGCAGCTCGACCGAGCTCAGGATGACGTGCAACGGCGTCCGCAACTGATGCGAGAAGCCACGCAGGAACCTCTCTTTCGCTTTCATGGCTTCATTGAGCAGCCTTTTCTGCCACATGCTTGTCAGCATGGTTGCACACGACTGCAGGAACCACGAGTCGATGTCGTCAAAGACGTGGCGATAATTTTTGGACGCAACGCTGAGCAACGACGCCCCCGAGACGCTTTCGCACTGCGCCGTCAGTAGGCGCACGATCCTGTCCGTCGGCAAATCCTGGTGGTTGGAATGGGCAATAAAGTCGTCAAGGAAGTCAACATCTTCCCAGATGCCGTCTTCAATGTCACAGGCCTGAATTGGATCAAGCCCGTCGATATGCACATCGCCCCCCTTGTAAGGCTGGAGAGCGACATCCGCGGTCGGATACATGATCGCCAGGATGTCGTACACTGGATCCTCAGAGTCCGTTTGATCCATGAGCTTCTGCGCTTTGGCCAAGAGATCAGTCATTTCGCGGCGAACTCTCTGGCGCCTCGCCCTGGTGCACTGGACAAGATCCGAGACGACCCAATCAGCCAGCCGGGCAAGGGTGCTCTGTTGGGTCCGGGTAAGCGGCTCCTGGCTGGTGCTGGATGTTACGCACAGCGAGCCGAGCCCAACAGACTGTCCGGACTCGTTCTGGAGCCGCAGCGGCACGCCGGCGTAGGCAACGAGTCCACCATGCTCGACGTAGGGGCTCTGGCGGAACCGCCAGTCCTCCGTCATGTTGGGCAACAGAAACACACTCTACACAGCGGGCACAGCACGAATTAGACCAGCACCTTTACAGATCCAGGCACCCTGGAAACGAGGCAAGGGACTCAGTCGCTTACCCCTGGGGGCTGCGTGACGGTATGAGCGCACAAGGTCTCGCCGCGTGGGAGGATGCCCAGCGGGAGGCCGACGGTGGCCAGGCGGGTATAGACATGGACGTCGAGCAGGCCGATGACGACGTATTCCCAGCCGGTGGACTCCTGGGCAACGGCAGCCTTTTCCTGAAGTCCGAGGAGGAATTCCTTCTCCTTGAAGATGTCGTGGGTGTAATACCAAAGCATGGAGAGGCGGAGGCGCTCGTTGCTGGCGAGGTAGGCGCGGAGGTAAGGATCGGCGAGGTGTGGAGGCCGGTCCGGGACGGGCGCGGGCGCGTAGGGATCGGCGGAGGGCGGGTACACCTGGTCGTGGGTGTCGGTAGCGCAGCGCGAGACGGGCTTGGTGTAGTTGGCCGGGTCAAAGATGGGAGCGATTTCGGCTGGATAGTCGGGGAGGGTGCCGGTCTTGGTCGAGAGGACGAGGGCATCGGCCCGGGGGCGGAAGCCCTGGCGCCGGGGAGCGCTTGAGGCCATCGCGAGGAGGCGTCTAGGTGGGATGATTGCGCATTGGGGCGGGCGGGCGGCGATGCAATGTGGTTGAGAGACACCAAAAAAGTGTGTTGACAAGGAGCAGGAACCATAGCACCCCCAAGCGCAGATGAATTTCGTTTCGATGAGGACGAGGAGACGGGCAGGCAGGCAGGCACAACCGAGAGGGGCAGGCAGGGCAGGCACGGGGCCGGCATTGATGAAAGGCAGGCGAGGCAGGCGCTGCAAATGCTCCGGCTGCTCCTTCCGTGCCGATGGCGAGGGCCACTCCTGCCGGGCTCAGCTGTCTCGCCATCGCGGGCACATCGCCGATGCAATGCGGCTGCTCCAACAAGGCACCACACACGACACACACACAGACACAACACGCATCACCCACGCCAGCCGCCCCTCGGCTCCGCACTCACCCGTGGCCGCTCCGGGACCATCGCGATTGCCGCCCGGGGCCATCGAGATGGCCAACTGCACGGTCGCGACGATCCTGTGCCAGGGCGGGTTGAGCCGTCGAGGACAGCCAGCCGACACGTCCTGCGTGCCTCTTGACCGCCAGCAAGCAAGCAAGCAAGCGATACCCTGGAATGCAAGTCGTGCATACCCTGGCCTGACCTGCCGTAGAAATCGAACGACAAAGACCCTCCGCGCCTTCGACGAGCTTCCACTGCACGCCCTGGCATCACGCCGGCTCGAGACAAGTCAAGCCTCCCAACCAAGTCAAGACCAACAACGGACGAGGGCACATACTGGTCAGTCCAGCCGGTGGGCCATCCTGCCGCGCCTGGAATAATCTCCCCGATGCCTGGCAAGCATTGTCCCTGTCAGTGGCTCGTGGTTCTGCCCAGGCACATTCCTTAAACCTCGAGGTCACTCCGCCTGCCGGAGCGTGCGCCGTGCGTTTCAGCCAATGAGGCCCGCCCCCTCCTCTGCCCGTTCCGCTGACGACAGGCTGGCCCCCCAGAACCCTGTTTTCCACCGTCGATCAGAGCTGGCTGCGCGGTGCCCGGGGCCAGGCACAGATGCAGTCAAAGCGTGCGCGCATAATCAGCGGTGCTCACATCACTTGTCACAGCGGCTTGCGAATGGAAGGGCAATGCCTTGGCATGAGCAGGCAGCTCGCTCGGCGGCTGTCTCGTCCTTCTGGGTCATCCAGCGGAGCCTGGTCCTTCCCACAGGAAGCCCCTGGCCTGCCCATCGTGCAGGAGCTCACCCGGCCATGGCAACGAGGTGGCTTGAATTACTGAGCATATCCTAGCAACAAAGGCCCACTCATGGCAGCAGTAAGGAAGAGCCCTCGGGTCTAGACCTTTAGGCCCAGTGCATGGGAGCCGGCATCGCTCGACTGTGGGCATGGGTCACGACTCACAGGACGCGCAGCAAGTTCCGTGGCGGAGTTTCATGTCAAGGTGGAATTTGCCAGGTTACAAAAGTTACACAGCGGAGTACAGAACGCTGGCCCCCATCTCGGCCATCGAGCGCAGCCATTACCTACTTCCCGGACAGCGCACGCTGCTTTCCCGACCCAATCTGCAACAGTCTCCTCGTTGGACGACTCTCTGAACGGCTTGAGCGGTCCTTGACCAGGCTCAACATGACCCTTTTATAGTTGAGTGGCAACTCCTCCCACACAAGTTCTGGTTGTTCTGGAGCGAGCGTCTGAATGATTACGCGCATTGTGGAGACGGGAACGGCCAGCATGTGGCACACATCCTCCGCCGTCATGGGTTTCTGCATCGCTTTGAGGAAGGCCGGAACCATGGCAGACTCAAGCTCCGCAAACTCCTCCTCCACAGTCTTCGGCTTCCCCTCAACCGCACTTGTAGACGCCGTATCGATGCTGCCTGGCGGGCCATCGGGCTCTGTGGTGATAGCCTCAATTTGTTGCCCAGTCAATAGTTTGTGCACGAGGGATTCGTCGAGCGGCACAAGGTCATCTCCGAACTGGCCCTTCTTCCCAACCTGCCACGGCTGCCGCTTTCTCTCGGCGTCGCTCACGACTCGGGTGTAAAGGTCCCGGTCTGGTTCCTTGCTGTCAGCCAGAAGGTCTTTGTATGCCTGGCGATTCTGCAGGGGCATCTCGTTTGCATCCAATCCCCACATGGCTGCGATGTCGCCATGCTTGTCCATGAGCTCCTTGACTGCATGGCGAGCCTGCTGCCAGTCTTTGGCTTTGCACGCCTTGGCAATCTCGAGCTTGAGGTCCGCAAACGCGGCAGAGCGCTTGCTGTACACTCCGGCCAGAATAAGGTCGCCATGCTTGTTCCGGGGATTTCCCTCGGCAAGGTGTTTGAGGTAGGAAATCATTCTGTGGTAGCTGCCGCTCTGCTGCGCGAGACTCTGGGGGACATGGTTCAGAAGGCGTTCAGCAATAGCTGGCAGGTTTTGTGTCTCATCTCTGCTGGCATCGTCCTTTGTTGTGGCCATCATGTGGCGCATCAAGACCGTGACGATTGTGCGGGAGTGTGCCAGCTGGACGTTGCGCAGCTTGCAGCACTGGACAAACTCCTCGAGACGGTTCTGCTTGAGCCCTGCCGTATCCTCGTTCTTCGTGATCACTCGCAACACAACCTTGTCTAGAAGCTTTTCCAAATTCCCGTGGAATTGTGGCAGCGGCCAGCCCGTGAAAGGATACAGAGCCGTCACGGTCTCGTACCAGGCCCACTCGGCCTCGCCGCTGGGCACGTCGTACTGCGGGTTCAGGCCGAACAGCTGCCAGACCATGCTCATTGGCTTAAGCCCGGAACCGGCAATGGTCAGCAGGTTGCCGAACAGACCCCTCATGAGCCTGGTGACTGTGTCCTCTGCCTTGTCCACGACGGTTGGGGCAGTGGTCCTCATGGCCGCCAGCTTGGCCATGGACGCCATGAGCAGGGCGCTCATCAGAGTCCCTATCTCGGAGCTCCCTGATCCATAGTTGTGGTCGCGTGAGATCATGGCTTCGCCCAAGGTCTCACGCGTGATGATGCGAAGGGCCGCGATGTGTGGCTCGTTGCACTTGTCGAGCCAGCGGGTAGTGTACGGGCTGTCGAGGTTGACAAACTCGTCCCAGCATGCCCAGGCGAGCATGGAGCCGTCGTCGCCGTGCTCCTGGTTGAGGAATGGCAGGGCCATGGTCGGACGGGTGGCCGTGACGCTGGTCGAGAGGCGCTGCAGCGGCCCCTTGTGGTCATTCTGGGACTGCTCGATGAGGATGCCGGCGTCGAAGCCGTCGAGGTGCAGCACGCGAGAGTCGAGGTTGCAGGATGCGCTAGATGTCAACGTACGTTTGTGTGTCAGTCTACATAGACTCTCTCCCTCTTGCTGGCGTGTGTGTTCATCGTCTCCTGTTACTTGTTCATCATCAGAGTCTCAACTCACCTTGCATCAACACGCTTGGCATCCTTGAGCGTGCCCAACAGCTCGCGATACTCGTCCTCCTCAATGTTGACCAGCATGACGCCCATCTCGGACGCGTGCGTCTCGAGAAGCTCGGCCAGCGTCTCAAACGTCATGGACTCGGTGGCCTTGACGTTGCCCTGGATCTGCGACTGCCGGACGAGCCGCTTGAGGTCGTGCGTGCGCTTGCTCGTCGTCCGGGCCGAGACCATGCTCGCAAACGCCGAGATGGCGGGGCCCAGCACCTTCTGCCGCTCCAGCGTCTCCTTCTTGAGCTTTCCCAGCATTGCGGCCTTCTTCTGCTGCCGCTCCCGCCGCGACGACTCGTCGCTCTGGCCCTTTTGCTCGTCCCGCAGGAACTCGAGATATGCGGTCCTCAGGGGTGCTACGATGGTGTTGATCTTGGCGGACAGAGTGGCTACGAGCGATGCGCCGAGGGCCTGCAGCTCCTTCTGGCCCAGGATCAGCTGCAGCTGGGGCACCGCCGACGCAATGTCCTCCTGGAGGGCGCGGATGTCGTCCATCGACGCGTCGGCGAAGAGCGGCTCGAGATCCGACGCGTGGATCGTCTTGCCGGCACGGGGCAGGATGATGGGCAAGGTCGACGGGTCAGAGGTGTCCAGGATCCGTGGCGCGAGGGGATGTACCAGCGAGACACGTTGCTCATCGCCGTCGCTTTTGTTGTTGTCATTGTTGTCGTTCTTGCTGGCGGCCGCGAGCTGCTCCAGCAGTGGCGTCACGGCCTGCGTGACGTCGTCGCCAAACGCCAGCTTGGCCGTGTCAAAGTGCTCCGGGTTGCCCAGGCCGCGGTAGAAGTAGTACCTCCCGGCCAGCCGGACGAGCACGAGGGACTGCGGGCCCGCGAGCGCGGTGACGGCGTTGATGTTGGTGCCGTTGAGCATCTCGATGACCTCGTCCGCGTTCTGAGGCTGCTTCTGCTGCTGCTTCGCCGCCCCTCTAGCCGGGGCGGACTGCACGATGAACAGCGCGTTGATGCGCCAGGGGCCGGCCAGGGTGCGCGCGTTGTCCGTCATCCGCTCGTCCACGACCACGACCACCTGGCTCAGGGAGGAGTAGTATTTCCGCAGTGACGGCGAGTCTGGGAACAGGGGCTGCGTGTTGCGTGGGAGTGTGCCTGTCGCGAGGAGCACGGGGCCCTCGAGCTGTGTGCCGAAGACGCAGGGGAGGACTACTTCTGATGATGTGGTGGACGGGGAGGCGGCCGCATCATCAAGCTCGAACTCAAGGCCGGTTCCGAAACGGATGAGTTGCGTCGAGTCCGACAGGAGGGCGGCAGGGACTGGGGTGCCTGTCGTGGCGATGATGGCCGTGGACTTGGACAGGATCGCACTGGTGAGGTTCTCGGTGCCGTTGTCTGAAGGGAGCGCGGCTTTGGCTGTGGTCTCGTCTGCTCTGCTCTGGTCCTCAGCGGCCTCATCTGTCGACGTGGGATCAGCAGCTGCCTCGACCTCAAACACTGCCCGCTCCAGCGCCTCGGCGAAGCAGGGACTCTTCAGCGACGACCCCGAGCACATCTTGTCGTTGTCGGTCGTCGCTTTCTGCAGGATCGAGCACACGAGCTCGTTGCCACGGCGCCTGATGACCAGGGGGCAGCAGATGGTGGCGTCCCCGATGGTTGCCGAGTCCAGGGGGACGGGAATGAGGTAGAGCATCTGTGACGATGTTGGTTGTTTAGTCATCTTACTTTGACGCAGACCGGATACACGGACGGAAAAGGGCAAGGCTGGCTCTCTCTCCAGGCTATGCGGTGAAGAAGAAGAAGTAGAAGTAGTACATGTGCTTGATGAACTTACTTTCGCATCATGATCAGCCACCATCAGCGCCGGGTGCGTCCCCAAGAACCTCGTGATCTTGGTATACTGGAACCCCGAGATGAACACACACAGCTCGAGATCGTCCGCGCCTTCAGGGCGCCAAAGCACAATGTGCTGCAAGAGATTCGCCCCGTGATTCCGGTCGCCGCTGTGCGTCACCCCTTTGAGCGTGTTCTTTGAGGAATAGCAGCTCGTCCGGCTGGTCGCCGGGTCCGCCAGGCACAGGTCGTAGTACGTCGGCTTGCGCTCAGACACGGCGAGGATGCTCATCTGGCCTTCCACAATGGGCACTGTGAAGGTTGAGGCTGGGGCCTGGATGATCTGGTACTCGCTGAACACTCCTGTTCATCATATGGTTGGTCAAAAAATTCTTTCTCTCTCTCTGTGTGGTTTATGCTCACTGCGTTTGCAGCTGCAGATCAGAGTGTTGGATGCTCATACCTAGCTCCGGCCACCCGGCCATTCTCTGGAGCAGAACCTCGCCCATCTCGCCGAGGTCGACGGCATTGTAGAAGTAGTCCTCTGGGAACGTCGAGACATCAATCTCCTCGACGTCAGTCTCCGTCGTCCTGCATAGCAGGATCTTGTCCGCGCTGAACGGGTGTGCCGTGCCGACGGGGAACCCCAAGAGGATCTGCCGGATCTGCTCCTTGGATGTCGCGAGGGGGTCAAACACGACCTTGCGGATCTTGTCCATGGTTGCTGTTGTCCCTGCTGCTGGTAAGTGCCGGGGGTTGGATGTGCCTTATAGTCAGTCGCCTGGACTGCCACGGGATTGATCCGGATTGCACTCTTTGAGGGGTCAGCACAAGAGCGTTCAGTCTGTCATATGCGGGATAAAAGTAGAAGCTTCACGACAAGCGACAAGACCAGTAGCAAGCAGGTCTCATGCAAATCTGGAGTGTTTCCTGGCGGCTGATGTCAAACTATATACGTAGTCAGCACAGCAAGCGGCTCAGCCTCACTGGGCGCAGCGGGCGATAGTGACAAGGCCACCGTTGCTGCTACCGCATGAGTCAACGCCGCTACCTGTTGGTGGCTTGTTGCCTGCGGGGGAAAATGGACCCCTGAGCCCCTGACAGAGCAGGGGGACAAGGCACCAACAAGCACAGATCTGTGTCAGGAAGTCGATGCGATAGCGGCAAGGAACTGCACATTCTTGTCGTCATAGGTTCCTTGAAAAATATTCGAGGAGAAAGACTGGGCAACACCCAGGTCTGTCTGTGGTGATGAAGCGGAGGATAAGCCAAGCCAGGTGTCCCCGGCAGTCAATGACTCCTGTCAGACCGGATCGTCTGGACCCCACTCAGCCGCCTGTGGCCTCAGGGTAAAGTACCCTGGCGAGGCGAATGCCCAAGCAGAATGCGGTATCGCAAGGACGTGGAAGCGGATGACATGCGTCATACGGTCGGTCAGGAACAGCTTGACCTGCCATGCAGACATGTGTACGTGTGCTATTACCGAGGGTACTCGGGCGCGGAACGGGCTTTAGCGGCAAGGTAGAGGTTGGAGAGCATGACACACGGTTTGGATATTTCTAGCCGCTAATGAATACAGAGTAGCATGGGTGTGGGCATTTCAATATACCGAAGTACTATTCTCGAGAATTCTCAGTATTATCGCGTTTGTGATGCCATCGTTCTTTGCGTGTTGACATTATAGTTTGTGGTGCTAGCAGTACGTTTGCTCTCGAGACTGCAAATACCTCGAGAGGTCGAATTCATACTTGGAGGGCGAAGTATTTGCTCTGCCTCTCTGTGGTTGACTTGCCATTCTAGGTGAGCTCCGGAATCTATAGAACGTCATGGCACCTGGTTAAAACCATGTGCTGGATACTTGTAGTGGGCCAGACCAAGCCGCTATGGACCTGTCTCGCACAGGAGCCCCGGATTCCGACGGGAATGAAGACGGCCGTGTTCCCCCGCGCCTCAGCGATACTCGGCGACCCCACAAAACAGGGTCCGAAATCCCCACGTAATAGACAGTGTTCAGAGATAAACAACTTTATCTACCATTAAATCCCCGACGGAATTCGAGCCTGACCACTGTCCCTTCAGATCCTCTCTCGATTCCTGTCCCTGGTCCTTACTAGACAGCTGATTTCACTCGAGACGAGAGAACGCAACAAAAAATGTCGGAGCCTATCAAGAGCCAAGCCCTCGTCTCGCGGGGCCCCTTCTCCGAGGGACAATGGGCCATCGAGGACATTGTCTTGCGGGAGATCCGCGACGATGAGGTCGTCGTCGAGATGGTTGCTTCTGGCATCTGCCACACTGATCTCCACTGCGGCAACACGCCTGCCGACCAGGGTGTGCCTGGTGTATACTATCCCAGAGTCTTGGGCCATGAGGGTAAGTACCTAAACTTGCTAGATAAGGGCATGTGAAGACACTGACGATTACTAGGGGCCGGCTATATTGTCAAGACGGGCTCTGCCATCAGCGGCTTTGAAAAGGGCGACCCAGTCCTCCTCTCCTTCTCGTCTTGCGGTGCCTGCCATGTCTGCGAAGCTGGCAAGCCTTCCCACTGCACTGACTTCTTCAACATCAACTTCATCGGCGAGCCCATCGCGACCTCTGCAGCCTCTCCCTCGGAGGAGATCGGTGGACGCTTCTTCGGCCAGTCCAGCTTCGCCCGGCACGCGATTGTCAGCGGCAAATCGGTCGTCAACGTCAAGAGCCTCGATCTTTCGCGCGACGACCTGAAGCTCCTCGCGCCCCTGGGATGCGGGCTGCAGACGGGCAGCGGCACAGTGATCAAGGTTGCGCAGGCAGGTCCCAAGGACGCCATCGCGATCGTGGGCATGGGCGGCGTAGGGCTGGCGGCTGTCATTGCGGCACGCAACTCAGGGTGCAAGACAATCATCGGCATCGACCGGCTCGAGGCGCGGCTCGAGCTGGCCAAGTCGCTCGGCGCGACGCACGTGTTCAACACGACGGGCATGTCGGGCGACTTCAAGGAGCTCGTGGAGGGTGTCAAGGCCGCGGCGGATGGGCTGGGCACGACCATCAGCATCGACACCAGCGCGTTCCCGCCCCTCGTGCAGGCCCAGGTCGACTTCAGCCGGTACATGGGCAAGATCATCCAGGTCGGCACAGGCATGCCCGAGGCGTACCTCAAGATCCACATGCAGAGCTTCATGGTCAGCGCGAAGCAGTATTTTGGGGCAGTGCAGGGCCACAGCATCCCGCAGGAGGCGGTGCCGCAGCTCGTAGCGTGGTGGAAGGAGGGCAAGTTCCCTGTAGAGAAGCTGGTCAAGTTCTTCGACATGAAGGATTTCGCAGACGCAGTCAAGGTCATGGGCAATGGTGACGTCGTCAAGCCGATATTGGTGTGGTAGGCTCACGTAGTAAAATGAATATAATATGACACCCCAAAGTGCATGAACAGTTGGGTATTTGTGGTCCGAGATCAGGCGTTTCATACGATGAAAAAGACATGACGAGTCAATCATTTCACCGAAATCATGCGGCGACGTGTGCTGGGCGCTGATGACAGCTATGACTCCACCACGTCTATGATGCCAGTGACGCGTCCAGCTGCTCGTGTTACCATGGCACTCTCATCAGTGAACAACAGCATGAAGAAATAACGAATCAGCATGATCACTCCCGAAAAGAGCCCCACTGGGACATAATGATCGTAGTGTGAAGAGGACTACGATGTTCAGCGCGGATGGTGCTTGTATATAAACAAATGCTCTACACATTATCTCATGCACCTTTCTTTTCTTCAATAAACCAGGACAGCATCAACGGGACCGGCACTTCATCAGCACAATTGTTGTTTGTCCTTTACGACCAAATACTTCACCAATCTTGTCGACCCGCACGATTTTGACACGTTTCAGCATGTTGCACGGCTGGTATTGGACCTTCCGCCACAAATTCGGCCACAGGTCGAATAAGTGGCATTACTGCAACAATGGCCTCTCAGAGCTTATTTAGCTGCATGGCTATGAGCTGCGCTTGTGTTCAAGATCGTCTCGACAAACCTTGGCCTCCCTATCCTTTCCTGCGGAAGCTGGAGGTTTAAGTAGTCCCTGGCCCTCAGGGATTCTGCGTTTATGACGATCGGCCCATCTCTCTGTGTGGCCATTTGCATGGGGGATTTGTATCCCCATGCACATCGACTGCTTTAAAGTTTATTCTAGCGAATGCATTTTGTTTTTCGAGTCCAACCTGGTACTTCGTGACTATTTCTCCACACAGGGTGGCCTGTGTCTTGTTTTATGTGAAAGCGACCCCCTCAAATATCTGAACCCTCGCATGTATGGATGACGTCGGCAACGGAGCCCGGAGACTCTGAATGGATCTCGGAGCTTCTCTTCATGGTCTTGCTGCCCCCGCCCCACGGCTACACAAGGCTCTGGGCCGATACCCCTGCACAAGCATGACCAACTAGCCACCAGCATGCCCTGTAGCCTTGGGCGATGCACCAACCGCAGGGGTCCCAGAGCAACCTTGATCTGACTGAGGCTGAGTGAGGGGCTGACAACCTGCTCCTGATTCTGCCATACACAACTTCATCCCCCCCTGGCACCAAAGGGAATGAGACCACGCTAACGGCGCTTAGAGTCGATCTGATACGATCCAAGATGCGACTCCTCAACGCCAAAAGCCACAAATTCGAAGAGTTCTACGACGATGAGACACCGCAGTACGCCATCCTCAGCCACACCTGGCAGCGGAAGCAAGAAGTCACATATCAGGAGTGGCTCAACCCGACAGTGGAAGTGCGAGCGAGGTCCGGGTTCCGCAAGATATGCCAGGCATGCGAGCAGGCTCTGAGAAATAATCACGAGTGGATCTGGATCGACACCAACTGCATCGACAAGTCCAGCTCGGCAGAGCTTTCCGAGGCTATCAACTCCATGTACGCCTGGTACCGCGACGCAGCGGTCTGCTACGTCTACCTCGAAGATGTGCCGCCAGCGCTCGTGCAGGATGACGTCTTGCTGCGCTTTCGAGAGAGCAGGTGGTGGGCGCGCGGTTGGACGTTACAGGAACTTTTGGCTCCGGAGCAGCTCGTATTCTTCGCGCTGGACTGGTCATCCATCGGCGATCGCGGCGAGCTAGCCAGCGAAATTGAACATATTACCGGTATCAGAGCACGAGACTGCAAGTCGGAAGTACGGACTGCGAGCGTGGCCCGGAAGATGTCTTGGCTATCACAGCGGCAGACAACAAGGGTCGAAGATCTGGCCTACTGCATGCTTGGAATATTCGACATCAACATGCCCCTGTTGTATGGAGAAGGATCGAAGGCCTTTATCAGACTACAGGAGGAGATTATCAAGAAGTACGCAGACCTTACGATCTTTTGCTGGACACGGGACGAGTCGACACTGCCAGACTGGCTTGGGATGTTGGCACACAGTCCTCGGGCCTTTGCCCAGTCTGGTGGTTTCCATCTGAGTAGGTCGGTGCGACTGATTACGCCTTGGTCGATCACGAACCAAGGCTTATCCATTAGCTTACCAGTGATACACACATTCAAGGGTGCGTTTCTATATCTATACGGGGTGAACATAGTAAGCACAGGAGTGCCTTACCACGTCGTCGCGATACCCATCAGTGCCCACGACCAGGTCTGTTATCGCTTGACGTTACCACGCGGGCCGATCGCGTTGACAGAGGCACCATTCGACAAGGTATTTCCAGTTTCAGAGCGAGCTCTGCCCAGACTCCTTCTACTGCCCACTCGCGACAGCTCACTTCCAGTAAGCGACGGCCTCCAAAGCACGAAGCAGCTCAAAGACACATCCACGCCATCAACAGCTAGTGTCCTGCTCCTGATCGATGCGAATGCACCTGGGTTCTTTCCCATGCATGTCGCTAGCCATGATGATCAGAGGCACCGATTGCTAGATCAGGGTCTGTCTAAACTTGGCGACTGCATCTGCGCCCCGAGCGGTTGCTCGGCAGATCTAACGACTGGGCTGGTGAAGCTTTCCGAGGTTGTTGTGGGACAGCGGTGCCTTCTAGCCGGTGCGCTTGAGTTGTTCTCCGTCTCCGGGGGTCTGGGGGAGATCAAGATCCGGCTGTTTCTGGCATTTGAGCGCCCTTCGGCTGGCGACCTAGAGGTCACGGAGCACTACTGTGATACCACGGCTTTCACGATTCCCTCGCCGTCAGGGAATTTGCAACAAGAGAAAGCTCCAGCTTGGAACACAGCTGCTCTAGAGAGGTGGTACTTTGAGAAACTCGATGATCTCCGCACGGGGAACACGGCGCAAAAACCGGGTTTCTTTTGGAGCACAGATGGCTGGTGTCAACTCAAGATCCTGTCGGATCTGGCGCAGACCACTGACCAGGCGCTCATTACTGTTGTGCTAGCTGGGGGAAATCCATTTTTGTATGCCGACTAAGACGCAAAGCCCGTCGTTGGTCCCAAGGCACCATATAGGAGTATACGAGAGTAGATGATGAGTCAATGTCGATGATCTGCTTGCCAAGCTTGTGTATTTGCTTGTCATTTCGCGTATCAGATGGGAAACAGCCATATTCATGACGTTTTTCTCTTGCTCCAGAGCCCTTAACAACTCTTCGTCTGCTTAACACTCTCATTAGTTTCGCATTTTCGCGAACAGCTTCATCGTAACATCGTTCGCCCAACTTTATCTCAGAGCTTCGCCAAGTTTCGCTTCTCGATCCTTCTCAGAACATCACCTTCCACCACCAGTGCGACAGCATCAACAGCCATCCCGCGCCCAGCCTAGAAACCCGTGCCGCTAGTGCCATGATTGTGCACGGTTGTCTATTTACTTCTACTCTCGCTACCTTACGGGCCATCACTATCACCAAGGAGGAGATGGCAGAGGTGGGAGAGGCGGAACAGGGACATAATGTTACTCCCCACCTCCACCGTCGCCTCCGCCGCCATTGCCATCACCACCTTCGCCTCCACCATAGCCACCAATCGGAAGGAAGCAACACCAAGTGGTTCTCTGCTGTCTTTCTTTCAACGGTCGTCTTCGCTTTCGCCGCCTAATTGGCTCCCATGCTTTCTCATCTTCAGTCTTCTAGGGAGTGGACTTGCCGTATTAGAGCAGTGATTCAGGGGCTGCAATATCATATCACAGTTTATGACATACCCATAGACCAAGGCAAGCCATCTGTGGAGATTGTGTATGCAATTACAGCAAGCAAGCAAGTGCACGTGAAATGCTTCCTTAGCTTGTTGACGGCAAGGGCTAGGTCAATGAGAACCATTGAGCATGGGATGACTCTGCATGAGCTGGTGTGCCCTTTTTATTTTTCACACAAGCACAGATAATGTGGGATCAAGGTGATCTTTAGGCTGACACGAGGCATACACATCTTATGGCGAAGACAAATGCTTGCCCGTGTGGCCCATTCACTCCAGCCCTTTCAGCTGGTGAGCCCTGCCTGGGGCTGTGGGCTTGGCCGACGTCGCCATTCACACCTGCCGTGGAGTTCGCGCCTCGGGCCAATCGGACGCCTTCCCGAACGGAGCGTCCATTGTCACTTGCCCAGCACGCACTGGGCAGAGCGACGGATATAAGCATGATGTTGATTGCAAGCTTGTTTTATGGGGCCCTGGACCATGGAATGCTGGCCCAACCGACGTAATTCAACAAAGGCAACACCGTGTGGCTAATTAGAGAATGTTTTTCGTGCTGCGCTAATTTCACACAGCCAATTTGCACGCGTCCGGGTGTGGACCCTTGAACCCCTGGATCGTGAGCCCCTGAGCGGCGGCCCGCTACTAGCCTCTCACGTGCGCCGCCACCACCGCCTGTCAAGGGAGACTCTGGCTTCTTCAATTTCACGGAGCATTCGACAGAGTCACTCCCGCGCGGTCGCCATCGTCCAGAAGCAGCCTCAAGCCCCGTGTTTCGTAACTCTCCCGGGACCCCACTGCATCGATGAGGCCATCGTCAGGAGTGGCCACGGCCGCTGCAGATCCACCTCGCGCCTCACGTGCCAGGCATAGCTTCGAAAGCGACGCTTCAGACGACGACGACGACGATGGAGGTGGGCGCCGGAACGGCACCGAGGCCATGTATGTGAGCCAATCTCGGCCTGGTCGGGGTGGCCAGCCAAGGACATTGTTAGGTACGTACTCGTCTGCCCGTGCCCTTACTGTCACTACCACGTCAAAGCATGGAGTAGACGAGTGCTAAATCGGTCGTCTAGGCTCCGTCTTTGGCTGGTTTTCCGGCTCTACATCCAGCCACAATTTCCAGCAGCTCTCGTCTGATGATGGAGATCACGACGGCCGACGGCGCAGTGCTGGGCCCGTATCTGGAGGACACGAGATGTCTTTCCGGGCAGTCATCCGTACTATCCTCATGACATCCAAGCTCAACGTGCTGCTGATCTTCGTCCCCGTTGGCATCACGTTCAACTTCATCCCCGGCATGCCCGCAGTGCTAGTCTTTGCGTGCAACACCATTGCCCTGGTTCCACTCTCCAGCCTGCTCGCCTATGCGACGGAATGTATCGCCAGCGACCTGGGAGACACCATTGGCGCGCTTATCAACATCAGCCTGGGCAACCTCATCGAGCTCATCACTCTCTTCGTCGCTCTGAAGGAGGGCAAGGTACACATCGTCCAGGGCGCGCTCGTGGGCTCAATCCTTGTCAACCTGCTTCTGGTGCTCGGCTGCGCCATTATCGTTGGCGACTTTCTTGCTGCCGACCTCGAGCAGCAGTTCGACGTCAGCCATGCCCAGGCTCTAGCATGCCTGCTGGCCCTGTCAGTCATGAGTATTCTCATTCCGGTATGTTGCTTTCCCTCTCCTTTGACCATCCTGTGGTGCTCAACATTTTATAGATTGGCTTCCACTATTCCATGGACGACCAGGATGCCGCCAACTATGCTGTCTCGTCCATGAGTAGAATATCGGCCGTCATTCTCCTCTTCGTCTATGCCGTCTACGTGTCGTTCCTACTACGGCCTCAGCGTCGTCACGCACGGCCCGTGTCAGTGGAAGATGGATCGGGCCACCTCGCTGCCGGGAGTCACGAGGACCTTGGAGCAGATAGACTACCTGCGAGCCGCACCGTCAAATTTGCTGACGATGGAAGAAACACAAGACACCGCCGCGGTGAGAGCATCGAGATGAGTGGACTAAGCTCACAAGCCAGTCGCACACATAAGAACGAAGAAGACGAAGACGACGAAGACTCGACCGAGTCTGACGACGACGGCACTAGCCCCAATCGGCCAGCAGCCAGAGCCAGCAAAAGCACAAACACGGACTCTCTCAGCCGAGTTCCCAGCAATACCTCCGGCCCATCCTCGACGTCCAGGATATCGTCCCACTCACGGTCACGTTCTCGATCGCTGACCATGCCTGGGGCACAACACATGGACCTCATGGGCCGGTACATGCGCCGGGATAGCCTGGCCAATGACACGGACGATATCATTAGCACCGGCCAAATATCCAGCTCGGCCCAGCACCGGCGTGCAGGTAGCTCGTCTGTAGATATGACGCACAACCTCAGCAGTGGCAGCGCCAACGGACAGCTGAGCATGGTGAGCAGCCATTCGGCCACGGCTCTCGTTGCCACGCTCGCCGCACCGCTAGAAGAGAACCTGCCTCAGATCAGCCGCAACGCCTCGCTTCTCCTGCTAGTCGGGGCGTCCATCCTGACTGCCATCTGCGCGGAATTCATCGTAGCCAACATCGAGCAGGTCACCGCCGCGACCGGCTTCTCCAAAGCTTTCATCGGCCTGATCGTGCTGCCGATCGCGGGCAACGCGGCCGAGTTCATCACGGCCATCAGCGTCGCGGCCGTGGGCAAGGCCGATCTCGCGCTGGGCGTTTCGTTCGGTTCCTCCATCCAGATCAGCCTGTTCGTCGCGCCGCTGATGATCCTCGGCGGTTGGATCCTGGACCAGGACATGACGCTCGACTTTGGCGTCTTTGACACGATTGCGCTCATCGGATCGGCCCTGGTCGTGAATGTGCTCATCACCAATGGGCGGTCGAACTATCTCGAAGGGTGTTTGCTGGTGGCGTGTTACCTCATGGTTGCGTAAGTCATGCTGCTCCTCCACGTGCAGTTTTTATTTTGTTTTACCCAGCCCCGCAGCGAAGTGGTTAGCTAACATGGAACAGTGTCGGTGCCTTCTTGAGTCCATAGAGAGCTCTTCCAGGGTTGGTTCGAAGCTGAGAGGTATAGGCAGGAGTGTAGTGCCTAAGTGTACAAAATTTCTAGTGTCCCGATATGCTCGCATCACCGAGTTGTACATATACATAGACGATCACGTAGGGACGCAATGTTCTGAAAATGACACCGGATATCACTCAAAAGGCGAGCGTGTCACAGATCAAGTCAAAGTGAGGCTTTCACTGAGAACAGTCCCAAAGGGCATGTCATGCTTTTTTAATATGGGAGCTGCTGGTATACAGGCCAATTTTGTTCATATTTCTCTTGAGGCGTGTCGTTGTCCTTGTCGTGTCGTCAAGTCGTAATGATCGTTCGAGGATGTCGATGTGGGCGTGATGAATGGGATGCGGAAAGTAAGGTACAATCCCTAACCATCTACGACGATCAGGATGTCGATATCTATCCCAAGAATTCCAATTGACCGTTGTTGTTGGTGATGCGCTCGTTGAGATCGATCTTGGCCTCGGGCCACTCTCCATTGCCATCATCCAGCTGGGCCACCAGGACGGGCCCCTCGAGCCTGTAGTTGGTGGCAGTTCCGTGCCAACCACCACCGCCCCATTCAAAGATGCCATTGGAATTTCCCAAAAAGTCGTTGAGGTTGATCTCGGTCGTCTGCCAGTTGCCCTCTACATCCTGGCAGGAGGCCCTCAGGATGTTATCCTCGAGGGTGACCTCTTGTGAAGAGTCCCAAAAAGACATGGTGATGGGAGTGTATAAAGTTGTGTGGATTGGAAGGTTTCAGAAGTTAACGGTGCAGCCCAGGAGGACTTGCGTGATGGTCGACTTGAGGCGATATGCGAGATATAGACGCAAGGAGGACACGAGAGAGAGGCAGAGGGATGGACGAGACATATATATATATATATATATACGGTGAACAGTGATCTTCGGATCCATCGCCACGTATGTATCACGGCCACGTATTCACCAGGTGGAGCGAGTCCACAACCTCGCTGTGCCGAAATTGCCGTGCCGGTGCGCGTCGTTGTCTGAGTGCTGCAAGTGCCCCTCCCACCGCTGCAGTCCCTCAAGACACCCCATTGGAGGGCCAAGGCCTGCAGAACGAAGCCTCGTGCGTTGCTTCGAAAGCCGTATGTGGGATCCATCAGGGGTTGCAGGACCCTTTTCTTGGCATTCGTGGTGTGGACCCTCCTGGGGTTTGGGAATCGGCGGTCAATTGGCCAAACTCTGATCTCAACGGGCCGCATGTTCTAGCCAGTGGCCTTGGCCGAGGGAGGGGTACAGAGAATGAGATGGAAAGTCCTTGGATCGGAGCTGAGGCCTCATGTCAGAGAGCCAAGGCAACTTCAGCCCCAAAGCAATTCTCTTCTCAGAGCCCAATTACGGCAACCAGGCACTCTGGCCGTAGCATGACGTAGGCCGTCAAGTTCGACGATCCCCACATCATGGAGGTGTTTCCTAGCAATACTCCCAGAACTACGAGGACTGTGACACACCGCATAATGACCTGATCCCTGTAAGGCCCCCTTACAACTGACAGATCGTGACCGTCTTCCCGCCCTCAACCTCAAGCTCACCCTCTTGCCCCTGTCCACCATCGACCGAGTACTGTCCACTAAAAGGGACCACCACAGTGCCCTTGAGCCCAGCAGGTGCCGTGATCTCCATGGCCAACTTCCCGCTCGGCTCGTACCCCCAGGCTGCCAGGATCTCCCCCGCAGGCGTCGGCACGCGACCGTGCACCCACTCCGACTTGAAGCCCGGTAGTGGCGCAAAGGTGTATGTCGCGAAACCGGGAGCCGTGGCGCGCACGCCGAGCACGTAGTCCGTCAGGAAGACGGTGGCGTAGCTGCCCCAGCCGTGAGAGCAGGACGTGAAGAGGTCCAGACCGGGGTATACGCCGTCGGCGCTCTGGATTTCGTGGAAAATTGGAGAAACGCGAGTCAGCCAGGATTCTTCAGTGCTACCCAAAACGCGTCGTGCTCGAGAAGACAAGAAGGTTTGCTGGCACTTACCAAGTATTCCCAGGTCGTGCCCGTGTAGTTCCTGTCCTGCCGGATCATCGGGCCCCACGTAATATCGAGCAGCTCCTGCGCGAGCGCGGTGCGCTGCTCCATCGCGAATCCCTGGAGCAAGAATCCCATGTTGAACGGGTTCACCACGGCCGGCGTGTTGACGTAGCGCGTGCCATTGCTGTAGCCTGCAGGCAAGCGCAGCGGCGCCAGGTTGTCAATGACTTTCGCACGGCGCTCGGGCGTGCCGACCCTGGCGAGTAAGACCTGGGCGGCATCCATCAGGTCGAACCCCGCGAATCCCAGCGTCCCGGCATAATAGCCTCCCGTCTCGTTCCAGAGGCGTGTGTCGATGGCGTCGCGCGACAGGTTGGCCTGGGCACGGTAGAACAACGCCGAGCGCGTGTTGTTCACAAACTCGGACATGTCGGCCATGCGCTCGAGCCCGAGGATCATCGAGATGGTCTCTGCTGGACCGAGAGCTTGAGCCTTTTGTCCGCCTAGCGGAATCCCCTTGGGTCCAGTTGGGGCGCCATAGAGCTGTGTGGGCAGGTCGAGCGCGCGGGAGACAGAGTAGCTGACCATGGCTACCAGCTGGTTGTAGTATTTCTCGATGAAAGCAGAGTCGCCGGAGCTGTGTTTGAATTTGGAAACCACCGTAAGTACAGAGCTCGAGAACAGAGTTTCGCAGCGGCCATGGTTTCAGGAATCCACTCACCGCATCCAGTAGTCGTGGACAACCTGGACAGTATCAAAGTCGTAGTCAACAAGCAGGGGATCGACATTCTCCGTGCGGATCAGGACGCCCCGCGTATCCAGAGGGCTGAACAAAGTGTTTGCAGGTAATTGACCAGCCGTCGTCTGGCGGGAGAAGAACTGCGCGGCCGAGCCTGAGACAGACTTCCAGTCGCCGGTCGAGGCCAAGCCGGTCTTTGCAGAGATGAGACGGTCGCCGAGCCAGGCATAGCGGTCTCGCTTACCGCCATCAGAGCAGATGTAGTCGGTATTGGTAGCCACGCCGAACTCGGGCAGCACATCCATAGATGTCAAGTTGTTCGAGTACAAAATCTGGTTGCCGTTGTTGGATGTGAGGATAACATTGCGATAGTACGCCGCTTGATCCTGCCACGGGCCGAGTGCGAAGCCCTTGTTGTCCCCGCCGGGGATGAATGGGTTCGGGTCGGCCAATCCATAGGAGCTGATGTTGAAAGCGGCGATCTCCCTACCGTCCAAATAGACCTTGTACGTGCTGTCGCCCAGTGAGACGGTGGAGATGGTGTGCCACTCCTTCTCCATGACAGCCTAATGCTGAGGTTAGTAGCGGAACCCACGACCATGCAGCTTTGGGAAAATCTCGACCGCAACTCACGAAATCAACCGGAAACTTGTCAAGGACAAAACCCGGGAGACTGGTTTGATTCTGCAGGGACCACCCGCGGCCAAGCACAAGTGTGTTAGGCGGGACGAGGGAGCGATCCGTATTCGCAAATGTGCCTTCTGGATACTCGCTGGTGAGGACGACTTTCGGGCAGAAACTTAGAGATTAGTGGCTCGATCCCTTTGAGGTACATCGTGTTCGCACTCACAGATGGGCCCAGTAGCCTGGATGGCGTCGATCTCAGTGTCAACACGCCAGCCCACACCTCCATAGTCGATCATGGTCTCGAATGTCAGCGTGTAGTTGTTGACGTTGGTCATGTGCGTTGTACTCGCGGGCTTCTGGCCACGGATGTACGCGCCCTGTGGCGTAATGTCCCATGTCGCGGTCTGTGTGCCTGGTGGAAAGCAGTCGAGCTGTTCGGTTCGTGGACCGAGAGCCCACATGTCGGTGTACGACGAATTGCTGGCTGCAAAGTAGCCCTTGATGCTGTCCAACTTTGAGGCAAGATGTACGTCGTCAGTATGTTCTTCTCTAGTGCCAATTTGATTTCAGTCAAAACCCACCGGCTGCATCGAGATACTTGACACGAAACCGGCCTTGCTGATGGTCAAGCCGGAGCCATGAACAAGCTTGATCGACTGCCAACGCTGCGCGCCTTGGATGAAATAGCCACGGAACTCTCCCGTCTTGGTGATATTGAAGGTCTCAACGCGGAAAGTGGCGCCGAGAGCATTGGAGAACGCGTACGGACCATCGGCCTGTGCGTGTTCCAGACCACTGCTCAAGAACCTGGGTCAGCAATCTGGAGTTGCATCTCGGTGTCCACGGATGGCCCCCTTACATGTAAGACTCGGTGTATTTGACCTCGATCTGGGCAAAGTCATCGAGAGTCTCGATTTGGAAGAAGGGCTTGCCAGCAACATTGCGACCATAATCAACTGCGAAATCAGCCAGTAGTCAGCTCAAGCCTCGGAAAAGAGTCTCTTATATCCTCACGTGTGTATGTCTTGTTCACCCTGTCGAAGACCATGGGTGAGGAACCTAGAGGGTTGGCCAGGTCGCTGGTCAGACCCTCGACGATGACGGCAGGGCCAACATGTTCATCGCCATCAGGCTCGGTGTAGGATGCCCGCGGGGGGATTGAAGGCCACGGCCCGGTCGATAAGGAGAATCCAGTGCAAGCTGGTAACGCAGTCGCAAGACACAAGCCAGCGAGAAATGACGTCTTTCGCGGCATCCTTCTTGTCCCCGACAGCATGTATCAAGCACATCAAAGGGCGGTATGCACTGAGCAACGAGGCACCAGAACAAAATGACGCGGCATATGTAGGTCTCCAAGTTTATATATGAGCTCTGGCTTGTCCTAGAACACGCTCTACCACGTCCTCTCAGAAGGGCCCCTGCCGCCTGGCATGCCCTGATCGACGGGAGCAATACCCCAATGCATGGCTCGTTGTAAAGATCTGCCGAAGGTAACAAGCCGGGAGTCGGGACCACTCTGAGAGTCATGGCCGGGTCGGTACTGTCCACCAGGCACACTGACCTCTCCACGTTCCACTATTTGATCCTCTTGAAAACAGCAGGGGGACTATGGGGAGATCGGGGGAAATCTGGGGCAGAATCGTGGGGAAGGCTACAGCGCGGCCGACGATTGGACAATGGCAGTAGTGTCTGGGGGTCGCTTGGCATGGAAGTGCCGTACCGAGCCGGGGCTGCAATCCGGCACTGATGTCAGGGTTTGGTAGCAAGGCTTGTTTCCATGAATGCCGTGCTCGGCTCCATGAAGCCACGCGGCATCGCGGATGAAAGCAGGCCGACATGGAGTGGACAAGCATCGACTTTTCCTCCCTATCCTTGCACCCCCGCATCAAGGTGCACCCTCCTCATCAGACTATCCGCGACTTGCATACCCGTTGTCTTTAGTGGCTAGTAATGTACGCCCACTTCGGGATGTGGAGGATACCATCCTCGCTAGTGCTCTTCCCGGCATTCTGCCCAGTCCCTCAATGTAAGCCATACAAGCATACACAAAGAAAAGCCCGAAAATCTTGCTTTGATCTTTGAATTCTTTTCATGGTGCTAACATTAGTTCTACCTTGGTGACCAGATTCGCTTACTGCCGACAGCAGATGCAGCCTCGACAAAATTCATTGGCTGCCGCTATCCCACCGATCGACCGCAGAAAGCGCGATCACTGCTTATCCCCGACGAACGCTTCCAGAAGTCGCAGGGCCTTCTCAGAGCGGGGTTTAAACACAACGTCGAATTTGCCGGGGTGACTTGAAAGGCCGGTGCTGAAGTGGATGGGCTGCTCAATTGGCCTCCCTTGAGCATCCAGGGGCTTGCTAATGTCCGTTGTTGCTAGAAGAGTTGCGACCATGATCCACACCGAGGCTTGGGCGAGGTGACGGCCCACACATATCCTGGGAGGAAGAGTTAGCCGTCAAAGGGTTTGCTTTGAGGACTGAGAATTTATCCAATCTTGGAAAGGGAATAAAGATAGCGGTCAGCGAAGAAAATATGCAAACATGCTTACCGTCTACCGAATCCGAATGGGCCAACCAGGAATGGCTCCCCATCTCCGCCTTCTTCCCTAGGGGTGTATCTTTCTGGCCGGAAGATCTCAGGGTCTTTGTAGACTGCTGGGTCACGAGACATGGCGTACGTGTTATAATAGACATAGGTTCTACAAAGCCGAAATTGTCCTGCTCTCAGCCTCCTTCCAATACAGAACTGTGCCATTACACGGGGTCGACAAGCACTCACCCTTTCGGAATGAACATGTCATTGTGTACGTCGTCCTTGAGCGACTTGTGGGGGATGCCAATCGGTGACAGAGGCCTCCAGCGCGTCGTCTCTTCCACGAGGTAATCGATGTAGCGCAGATTTGGACGATCTTCGAGAGACGGTAGTCTCTCACTGCCGACAACTCTGTCAACCTCAGCCTGGGCCTTCTTGAAGACATCGGGGTTGAGCATGAGATTGAGAATTGCCACCGTCGTGGTTGCGTAGGTCTGGATGATATGGGCGGAAAGTTAGTCTTCAGGGGACCATCTGGCCGTGTTGTCTCTTTTGACAGGTACATACGGTATTCGAGCCAGCTATAAAGACAGACGCCGAAGCACCCTGGATATCGTGCATTGTCATGTGGTTTGGCAGTCCCTTTTCCTCGTTCTGGCGGTACTTGTCGAGGAGGTTGTATGCAAACGACGGATTGGCTGTCGAGTTTTCCTGTGAAAACATCTCTAAGTAAGGAGGAGGTCTTGGGCACGCCGGGGCAGAACACTGACGTATTCTTTCTTGATCGCTGCGAATGGAATATTGTGCAAATCTTGGATTGCCCACGACCATTTCCGCGCATGTCGCAGAGTCTCGGAGAAGTTGAGCGTTTCCGGAATGTAACGCACTATAGTAAAAGATCGAATTAGAGCCGCATAAGGACCAAGGCAAGCGGGCCTTGTCGCAGGGTGAGAGGAGCATACACAGTGGGAAATAATCAACAAGCGCAGTCCCAGGATTACCGCCTTGGGCGGTGGCCAGGTTTGCATTAACGGCAATCTTGATGTAGGGGTCCTCATCGGACGCCACGGTGACTCCGAACCCTATGCGAAGGACCACAGCAGAAGCGAACCTAACGTCAAGAAATCTTGTTAGCCTTTGTCATGCGCCGTTGGTGGTATGTTGCACAGTTTCTGCAAGGATATTGGACATGCACATACCTCCTTAGAGAGTGGTCAAACTGCCCAGACCTGCGCAGGATACGAAGAACTCCCTGGCGGGCTTCGTCTTCCTGGATGGGCCGATAATTTGTGATTGCAGTCTTTGTGAAGCCTGTCTGGAGTGCTGAGCGGTGCAGCTTGAAGCGCGGGCCGTATGGCATGAACGTCAGCGTCAAGCCCCAGCCCATCACATCAAAGAGGACGAAATTTGGTCGGTCCTGATAGATTGCGCCACGCTTGTCCAGTATCTCGTTTGCAACCTTCTGTGTGTTGAGAACAATCATGTGGTTTCCGAGGACGTTGAAATAGACAATGTCAGAGTCTGCCAAAATGGTGCAAGTCCATCAATTAGCTGCTGTGCTTGTTCTGCTTACGGCGTTGTTTGTGGACGAGCATTACCATATTGCTTGGCGTATTCCATATGAGCCAGGTGCGCATTCTCCATGGGAAGCTTGCGAACATGGCCAAGCAGGGGCTCTGATGGTGGCGATGGCGGGAGCGGATGTGGGTATTGCTTGAGTGTCGACGACAACACCTTGTAGAAGATCGTGATGCCGACAAAGACGACGGCGCCCATGCGCACGGGCGATTCCAGGAATGACAGCATGATGGTGGTCGAGGTTACCTCACGCCTGTGCACTTAGAACCGTGTGGCTGGAGCAAGCGCATATTTCTGAGCCTTGAATCCTAATACCAACATCCAAAGGTCAAGTCGGTAAGAGTCGAGTGCGACTCGACCGACCCTCAGCGGCCCGTTTTGCCGTCGCATCCGGCATCGCTGCTGGTCTGCCTCTCCTGATCTAGCGTTTCCCGACTTATCGTGCCTGAAGATAACCAAGCAGGATGGGGCTGGCTGTGGCCCCAAAATTGCCGGCCGGCCGGCCGGGCCCCGGACAGCCACCCCACTGGTATCGGGAATTTCGGCCATGTGGACCCTGGGCGGACAATGGCCGCAGGGTCTGTGATTAGTGTGCTCGGGGAATTTCAGAGTTGTGAAAGACAGCTTATCTGATCAGCGAATTTAGGTACATGGCAGACTTGCGCGAACCATACTCTCCCATTGTTTCAAAGGCAGGCATCTGAGGTTGCTCTACCAAGTTCACTAAGCGGGCTTCTATCACGGAAAGGCCAAAGACTTGCACTTTTTGCACGGAAGTGTCAATTCGGAACTCGTCGATGCAAACTATCTTTCAATTCGCCTAGTACAGCTCAGGATCTGAGTTGGGCCAAGATAGTCATCATGGGCGACGCGTGTGCTACTCCAGCATCAAAGACGGCTGGGTCGACATTTGGTGCTTCCGCATGTGGCTCGAGGACGACGCCGCCGGCCAAGTCTGACCCGTATCGGTACCAGCTTGGATTCGGCAACTACTTCTCATCGGAAGCAGTGTGAGTTGTGGCATCATTGCGGACTCTACCGGAGATGCTCTTGTACCGAAGCTGACACATGTGACAGACCAGATGCACTTCCGCCGGCGGGTAGGAATGTAAGTCCAAGCCACTACGCAGCTGTCCTAAAAAGACTTGTCAAGGCTGACTGATGATGCGGCACAGATTCCTCAAAAGTGCCCCTACGACTTGTACTCCGAGCAGCTGAATGGCACACCGTTTGTATCGTATAGAGATACTCTTCAACATGTGTGGATGTACCGCATCAGGCCTTCTGTGGCTCACTCTCGGCCATGTCCCATGCCCGACAACCCGGATGTAAGTTCTGGCAACATTGCATGTGCTGGGGCTTTCTCAACTGACGCCAAACCAACAGCTAGAAGCCTGCTTCTCCCCAACAAATCCGAATGTCAATTTCACGCCTCTCACGTACGAATGGGGTCCACTCGAGTGGCCGGCTGACCACGAAACGGTGACTTTTATCCAAGGCATGAAGACGATCGGTGGCTGGGGCGATCCAACCATCAAAGAGGGCGTAGCAATGCACATGTACGCCTGCAATGCCACAATGACCAAGCAGGCGTTCTGCAACAACGATGGCGACTTCATGATACTGCCTCAGATTGGACGTTTGGACATCCGGACAGAGCTGGGTAACCTCATGGTGCGCCCAGGTGAGCTTGTGGTGCTGCCCGCGGGCATCAGGTGGTCAGTGGCTCTACCGGACGGACCGGCTCGAGGCTACATACATGAGGTCTTTGGGTCACACTTTGAGCTGCCTGACCTGGGCATCATTGGCTCTAACGGTCTGGCTGCGCCACGAGACTTCGAGTACCCGGTCGCATCTTTCGAGATGGACAAGTCAAGATGGGAAGGTACGACAACACTGACACTCCAAGCTTACCTGCAACGCGTACATACTAACATTTCATTTCTCCAGTTATTTATAAGTTGACCGGAAAGCTGTTCGCCTACAAGCAAAACCACACTCCCTTCGACGTCGTTGCCTGGCACGGCAACTACTCTCCTTTCAAATACGCAATGGAAAAGTTCACGCCTCTGAGCTGCGGAATGAAAGAGCAGCTGGATCCGGTCATATACACGGTCCTGACGGCGCGTTCAAAGACACCCAAAGTCTCCCTGACCGAGTTTGCAGTCTACACGGAGAAGTATATCACTGCCCTCGACACGTATCGACCGCCGTACTATCACCGCAACATGTCCACGGAAATGCTGGGCATGATATACGGAGAGTACCATGGCTCTGTGAGGTGCGTATTGCCATCCTTTCTCTCGATATCAGCCATCTCTTATTAGACTTTGAAATGCTTACATGTCACATGTGCGCGCAGAGACGTTCAAGAAGGTTGTTTGAGCTGCGAGAACTCCTACATGCCGCACGGCGACGCGTACGAAGCGTGGAAGGAGGCAACAACAAAAGAGCTGAAGCCAGAGATCCAGGGCAAGGGAGCCATGAGTAAGCCGCGATGCCGCGCCATGCATTTCAGCGCCTACTGACGTCGACCAAAACCGCAGGTTTCATGATCCACATGAACAACCATTTCAGTCTCACCAAGTTTGCCACAGAGCGCAACCCGGCCATCAAACGTAGGTCGACAAGAAAGTCCTTTACTTCTACACGTCCCGCTGATCTCCGTTTCTCCGTCAGATATTCCTGGGTACCAGGGAGAATTCTGGGATGACCTCCAAGGCCATTTCATGGACCACCTGGACGAGGTCAACTCGAAGCTTGCCGCCGCTGGTCTACCGACGTTGGGTCAGGAGCCCGCGTAGACGAAACGAACAACTTGCGCGGATCGTCCTCCGGTCTCGCCATTGCTGGAGATGGATATCCGAGTCAGAAGCATTGGACGATGGGCGTGTAGATAGAAGATAACGACGTGTGGGGCGAGATACATATTAGGTGCCCTGTCGGGCTTCTCTGCCGATATCCTATTGGCTTGCGTCGACGGGCATTCGCTAATTGCCAGATAAGACCCATCCATCGGTCCCTGTGCCGAATGTGAGAGTCAGGAATGTGCCATTCCTGGCACAATTCTTCTCCCCGTTATGCGTCATGTCTTTTGCTGCAGCGACGTGAAATTGCAATTACGCATCCGAGCGTGAGAATGTCTGCAGCGACAGGGTATGTCCAGGGGTTCCAGCAACGTGGCTCGGGGGAAGACGACTCTATACACTCCGCGCCGGAAGAGACGCGGGCTTCCGAGCACAGATCAAAGAGATCATCGGTGGCGTGCAGAAGGTATGTCCAGGGACGACTGCGGGGCGTTTTCAAACAATCGTGTATGCTTTAGGGAATGATCAATTGGAAGAGCCTCGACGACTTTTTGCTGACTAGGATCGCTACTTGATCAAGGTGTCGTCGAAGGCGCATCAAGTGTACACAGGATGAAGGCCACATTCCTTGTATCCCTTGCCGTGACGCGGGACTGCTCATATCTCGTAACTGGTAGCATACCCCACCTGCTCGACTGAATCAGTCCAAGTACTTATAAATCAATTCTACAGTGCGTACGACAAGCGCGGGGATAATGTGGACAGAAAGGCAAGCGCGGCGTCCTCCTAACATCGTGTGTATCACTTACTGACTGGCATATCCCCAAAGTTCCGCATAAAAATCGGCACTTATGGAGCACAAGATGCCGACCTACTCGGAGCAGAACCCCCGAGGTCAGTCTCATCTGGACTGCAAAGAAGTCTCCGGTGTAAGCTGACCATAGAATAGGGACAATCACCAAGTCCAAACAGCCGAGCCTCTGAGTGGGCTCAACCGCGATCTGTGAGAGCCTTCGCATCCCCAGACATAGCCAACTCGCACGGTACTGATCTGTAGCAGTAATGCCCCGCAGGTTGTCTCGAATGCAATTTCCCGCAACATCTCACGCAAGGTGGAGGTCTACTCATCCGATGATATATGGGATCTCTTGCCTCCACAAGATGAGCTTGTGAGTACATGCCTCCCACTTCCTCCGAGCTTTCAGCGCATCTTAGAATAGTCCGTTGACTTTCCTTATGTGAAGATGTCAGGATGCCGCGTGTTCTTGGCTACTTGCCTCCAGGTCGGCAAGTACATCATCCCTTGGCAATAATCAGAGAGCACCCTAACAATTCAGAACACAGGCTTCATCTCCAAAACATTATTCTTGGAACAGCTCGATACCAACCGCGAGTCGCTCAACGTATTCCTTCTTGTCAGCATGTTGGCCATATCAGCGCGGTTTACACCAGCACTCTGCCGCCGCTTCAGAGATGGCAAGACAGCTTCAGAGTTTTTCACAGACATAGCACAGGTCTTGGTTGCAGAAGAGATGTGGAAGACCACTCTCGAAAATACCCAGGCATTCTTTCTGCTAGGGCTTGCCGACTGGGGGCAAGGGGCTCGAGACCGGAGTGCAATATGCATGGGCATTGCCGTCCGGATGGCGGGTGTCTTGCGGTTGCATAGGGAAGAGACGTTTGCGTTGCCCCCTGACGCTCCTGCTGATCAAGTCGTCAAGTCAGAGAGTGGCCGAAGGACCTTCTGGATAATTCAGAACCACGAGTAAGTCTTGCACTAACCGGTATGCGACAGCCTCGCTATCTCGCTAACAAGATCGTGATGCAGCAACCTGTACACACAGGAGCACCTGCCGACGTCATTCAGCAAGGAGGATATAACAACTCTGTTGCCCTGTGACGAAAGCGACTTCGCCTTTGGCCGCATACCGCCAACTCGAGGGGCCCTCCCTGGCACGCCACCGAGTTTATCAGACCCTTCCTTGGTTTGGTCGCCACAAAGATCACTGTTTGCCACGCTGATCCAGGTGCACGACCTTTGGGGGATGATTGCACGCGACGTGCATCCTGCGCGGACCAAGGACGCGGAGCCAATATGGATCCCCGAGTCCAGTTATAGCCGCAAGGCAAAGGCGCTGGAAGAGTGGGAGAGCAGGATGCCACCACAACACCGCTGGTCCGTGTGGAACCTGCGAGGCTTCAAGGCTGAGAACCTCGACTTGGCCTACCTTTCCATCGTCACCATCACGCGCTTGAACAACATTATCCTCCGCCGCGCATACCTGGATGATCTCCTGAATCATACTTCGCAGGAGCAACAGCCGCCGTTGGCGATTTGCTCGCCTGGTTCCGGTGCCCCTCCTCATGGGTTCTGGGAAGCGTTCTCGCGCGATCTTTTCGTCAATTCATGGAGGCTATTTGAGGCAATCGACTTCTGGTACGAACTAAGGGCAGCGGATGATGGATACCCTGCCATGCTTGCACTCTGCATTTACGCCTGCGGCTCAACCGCACACTGCCTCATCAAGTGGCCGCAGCTCTTCCCAGACTATGCCTCCTCTGCGAAGAATGTGGCAAAGAAGTCCATGGAAATGCTGCTCACTTTTGAAAAGAAGTGGTCCACGGTTTCCCGATGGGTCGATAACCTGCGAGCTGTGACGCAGCGACGTCATATTCCCCAGCGGGATGATGAGCACTCCATCGTGCCAAACCAGAATCCCTCAACCACGCAGAAGACCTTGCGACGGACGTCGCCAGGCAATCGAGAGCCCACTAGCACACTTCAAAGCCAATATAACCATCCACGTCTTGAATCCGCCTCACCTTCGCACCCAAGCAGCGGCGGCACGAGACCCCAGCAAGGCTACCACGTGGTTGACAATCTTCAACTGCTTACCCAAGCTGCCATGTCAGACTTGAACGCAGGATACTCGGATCTCACTGGTCCACTACTGGACGTGAGTAGTCACAGGACTGCGTTAGAACAACAAGAGGGTTTCGTCACGGGAGGTACTGGCCAAGGAGACTATCGTAATGCACGACAAGCAGCCCTCCCACCAGACAAGGGCTGTTCGCCGTCCACGGCGTCAGCGTTCTGGGAGCAGATTGACGGAAACTTTGACGACATGCACATGCAGGGATACTTCAATTTCGGCTGGGCGGGATGAGCTTGGGAGATGACTCAAAGCATCAATCATTATTTTCATCTGGCTGTGGTTGCTTGTTTTATGATATCGACTGCCTCTTGTGTGCTGACAACGTCGCCATATTTCGCTCCCATGTCCAGGAGATTCGCCCAGTGTGTCTCCCGTCCCCAATCTGCACAGGCATCCGCCACCACGAGCGGCCGGAACCCAGACTGCATTGCATCGAGGGCGGCGCAGCGCACATTGACGCTGGTCGTGAACCCGGCAATGAGGAGCGTGTCGATGCCCAGAGCTGCGAGCTGTGTGGAGAGGTTGGTTCCGAAAAAGGGCGACGGGTACTTCTTCTGCAGCCGGAGGTCGGTCGGGCGCGGGTGAAGCTGGTCTTCGGGCGAGGCAATTGACGTCAGACCAGTCAAGTGATCTGGATTCGCGACACAGAAGAATTTGGAGAGCTGCGGGTTCTTGAGCGCCTGGAGGCCGGCGTCGCGCAGGGTTGCACTTTTGAACACGGTCTGGGCATAGATGACAGGGACAATAAGCGCCTCCTGGTCGGAGAGATGCCCTTTCTCGTTGTCTGACACCCCGGAGCTGCTTCTGGCGACGGACAGAATGGTCGAGATGGCGGCCGCGGCCCGCTCTGAGTCTGGGATGTGCAATGGCGACCTATGTGATAAATATGCGTCGCAGACATCCATCAACAGCACAGCTGGCCGGGTCCCCGCCCCTAGCTTCATCGTTCGCGACGGGTCGCCGCACTCTGCTGCATATTCGGGATACTTTGACGTGTCAAGTGCTGGAGCCATTGTGGATGGAATTGGCCGAAGTAGAGTCATTCACACCATGCTGGCGAATGGCACAAAACGGTTGGGAGGTAATCACAAAGGCTCTTTCACGCCGCGTGGGCATAGATTCGGCCGAGGTACGGGTCCCGGTCGACACCGCGCCGTGCCCCATCGCACTTGGACTGCAATCCCGTTCAGACGTAAGACGGCTTTCCACTTTTGCTCGGCGACCGGCAATTGCAGACTGCTGTTGCGGGGAGGGAGCCCTCGCTACGGATCCCGCTATCATGATTGTGATTTCTTCCGGTTCGTGGCTAGTGCGATAGGTGGTTGTCCGAAGTGCCGGAACCGGCGCTTTCAGCATCTTCTTATCATCCCGGGCGGGTCCTTCACTTGCAGGGTTCTCCACGACCCCTACTTGTTTACCATGAGGTGTGGGGTCATAGCGGTCTTTTCGAAAGCCGGCGCCGGTTGTCGGCACAGGACTGCCGATGTGTAGAGACAGCGAGCTCACGAGGGGCGTCTGCCCCGTGGCAGTGGCCAAGGACGAATAGTAGTAATCACATCCGGGAAGTGGCACATGCGTTCACAAGATGGTTGGTGCGCAGAAGATGCCTAGGGATGCCTTGTTCTTTTGAATTTTCTAGTTGGCAGGCAGTATGGGAGCCGTTGTTCGATCGTACGAATGGCCAACCTCGGATGCGATGTGGTCACAGGCGTCATGGACGACTTGTCTGCTCCTCTCATTGATCCTGTGTACTCAGACCAGTTAGAACATGAATGCAACAACAGTGTGAAATGATGTGACGTCGTAAGACCTACCCCGCAAGAACGAGCATTGAATGCGTTGCGCCTGGAAATACTTTATGCTCAACGACGACTCCTGCCGCAGATAGGGCATGCGCGTAATCCAAGGCTTCAGGTGCCAAGAGGTCACACTCAGCTACCATGATGAATGTCTTCGGGTTCCTCGAGAGCAGCTCGGAAGTCGCAAAGCAAGGAGACGCATCCCACGAACTAGCTTGATCAGCGTCGAGGTACATGTCGCGGTACCAGGTCATGCGCGTGGATGTGAGCCACGGAGCATGCTGAGACGCAATCCAGCCGGTCTTGATGTCAGCCGTATTGTCGATGACTGGGCAGATCAATAGCAAAAGCCGTGGCTTGCTTGGTAACTCTGCTTGGATGATCTTCATCGACAAGATGGCTGCCAGATTCCCGCCTCTGCCCTCAAGTTTAATCAGCTATAAAAGCATGAAGCGGATAAGCACTCGAAGCAGAGTCAGGTCCCTTACGCTGAGAGGCCACCAAGGACAACCTTCTCGAGATTGATCTGCAAGTCGGCGGCTCGAGACAACACCCATTTGTACCCTGCCAACGAATCTTCCACGGCGATAGGGTACCTGTGCTCTGGGGCATGTCGATAGTTTATGGTAACTACGGCAATTCCGATGTCTTGCAGGCGCTGTCAGTCACTCTCTTTGCCATCGTCGAGTCGTCATGGACTTACACCTGCAAACATGCCGTAAGAAGCCATTCTCGCTCGTCAAGCCGCCCATCACCCATCCACCTCCATGAAGCCAGACCAAGACTGGCCATCCTGCCTCGGGCTGTTCTCCAGCGGGTGTGAATACTCTGGCCTGCATCGATCCTATGTCGTAGTCGGTGACATTGCCAACTTCGACCTGCATCTGGGAGCCCCGCGTTACCGCAGAAGGTTTAAGACGGCTGGCTGGATCCCAAGCTTCCCATTCTTGGGGCTTGATGAATTGGAGCACCTCTTCGTGGAAAGTGACATACTCAGGATCTAGCCTGGCCTTCAATGATTCGTGAATTGGCTGATAGACAGTCCGCTCGGGTGTGTTGGTTGTAGTCATTCTCTTTGTTCTCGGTGAAAGCTGTTGGCAGGTAAGTCAGGAAGTGGCGAGCGATCAAGATAGTGTGGTTGTAGAGGAAGAAGAACATCTGCCCCCGGGGCTTGGTGGAGACTTTGGGCGGCCGAGTCCTGGCGGCAGATAGTGGGCACAGATTGTCCAGCCAGAAAAAGGACCCATCACGTATATCACTGATCACTTCATTCAGGAAGCTGGTTTAATCGAAATCAAATGCTTGCTTTTATGCCTTTTCCCGCCAACCTAATGCTACATCTATTCGTGTGTTATACCGCCGACCCTTTGTCCTTCCCGTCACCCTCCACGACTGCAGCGCCTACTGCTGCATCTGTAGACGTGGCAGATTCTGAAAGCGGCTTCTGTTCTTCCTGGCGAGTCAATCCTTTGTCCTTGATGAATAGCATCAACATTAAGCAGATCGCCATTGCTCCCGCCCAGAGATAGAAAATCGACCTGGCCGCAAAGACATAACTATTCAGCACAACATTTTGTTGCGCCTCGCCTAGCCCGTCAAGATCGGGTACCTCGAACACTGAATGCCGGACCTTGTCAACAAAACTCTGCGGGATATCAGGGGCGCCTGAAAGCGTGCCGATCAGTGCATTCGAGTAGATTGCAGAGGATATCGCCAGGCCGGCAGAGCCGCCAAGGGCCCGGATGAAGTTGCGCGCAGCGATGACGACGGCACGGTCCTGCTTGGGTGAATGAGCCTGTGCGGCAACGAGAGCTATCACCGAAAGGAAAGAAATCAGCCATTTGAATGATTTTGGAAGCCAAGGGCGACCACGAATACAAGCACGTGTAGACTTACTCGGCTGGAAGACACAGCCAATGCCCCAGCCCTCGACCCCGAGGATAAAGACCATTGCCACTATTGCTGTGCTACGGTCAAAGATGCAGTGCAGGCTAGATCCAATCGTCCAGCATATGTAGCCGAGCCAGATGACCTCGCCATAGCGCTTCATACGGGAAATGTACTGCCCTGACAACGCGGAGGCAACGGCCTGAGGGATGACCGTCGGGAGGATCAGGGCTGCCGAGGTGACCAGATTCATTCGCAACGCGCTCTGGAAGTATATTGGCAGGTAGTACAGCAGGCTCTGGAAGACGATGCCGATGAGGAAGTTCTGCGTCAACATTGCTGCCAGTGCGGGGTTGTTGAAGAGGCGGACTGTGGTGGAAACTCCCATTTAGCTACAGGACCAATGTTGATAACCATGAGCTGTGCAGACTTACGTGGTAGCATGGGCAGCTTGGCAAATCGATACTCGTGCAGGACGAAGAGCAGAAGAAAGAAGGCGCCAAGAGTGATCATGGCGATGACCATGGGGCTGGACGTTGAAAATTGTGTGCCCAGGCCAGATATGGGGATCAGGAGCAGGATCGTCCCGATGGAACTTGTGATTCCTCCGATCCAATCGATCTTGGCCAATTTCGTCGACAGCGGCTCGGGAGGGATCGTCTGCGGCGGGAGGAGGAAATAGAGCAGGACGGCCACACACAGCGTCAAAGGCGTGATTAGCCAAAAGGTCGCTCTCCATGTGACATGTGTCGTGAAGGCTGCGGCCAGAAAGGGCCCGATCGTATTGCCAAGACCGACGCAGGACCCGAGGATTCCTTGATATCTATATGAACGCAGGGTGCAGAGTGTTAGCTTTCTATACGGAAAATCCACTATCCGTGAGAGAAGGTGTCTACTCCACTGACTTTCCGCGTTGCTCAAGAGTTGTAATGTCCGAGACCACCATCATGACCAGGGCCATGATGCCGCCATTGGCAAGACCAGAGATGCCTCGAAAAGCATAGAGCTGGGGGCCAGACTGAGCGAAACCGCACAGCAAGTCTGCTAGCCCCAGCATGCAGAGGCAGGTGATGAGAATGACCTTGCGGCCAAGAATGTCAGATAGGCGGCCATAAAGGACCTGAAATGCCGTGTTCGCAATCAAGGACGAAGTGCCGGCCCAGACAATGGTGGAAGCACTGTTGAGCTCGCGGCCGATGGTAGGCAGCGCGACACCGATGGAGTTCTGGTCGATGTAGGTGATGAGCAGAGCAGATGCCAGGGCACAAAAGACGATGATGAGCTTGCTCCCAGTCAGGAGGTTGGTCTGGTCGTGAATGACGACGGCTTCTTTGCTGCTCTTGGCCATATTGGCACGTGACGTACTGCCTTTCTGGGAGGGCGGCAAGACATGAAGAGCAGTGCTATGTTTAATCGACGTCAACAGACAAAAAAAAAGGTCAGAAAAGAAGCGGTCACATTCAACGATTGCCAAGCATGCCCAAGGACCGGGGAGTGAACAAGAGTGGACTCCGAGCATCGGCCTCGTATCCCCGATAGAGCCGGCCCCGGCACGGCATCCCCCCGGGGACCCATCGCCGCCTGTTGTTCTCCACGCTGCACGTCGGCATATTTCCGAATGGGTGGTCAAATCACTGCATGGGGGGCGACACGGACGACTTAACGGTCGTGAATTCGCGAATTGGCAAATCATCCTGGGGAGACAATGTCCAACCACAAGCACAAGAATCTTCCACGCGAGCACAATGTCGACCCTCACTCTTGCTGCCCATCCGCAGCACAATGAATACCTCTCCAAGAGTCTCGGTGCGGCACGGCTGGGCTGGGGCTCGCGACCGGCACTTCTTCTTATCGACGTCTGCGCAGCATATTGGAAACAAGGGTCTCCGCTGGACATCTCTCACAACCCAGAAGGGGCAGCCAGTCCTGACTCTATGCGACGCTTGCTGGGTGCTGCACAAGCCAACAACGTGCCAGTCGCCTGGGCACAGGTGCGATATAACCACCCACAGCTCCTTGACGGTGGCGTCCAAGCCAAAAAGACAAAGACGATACGGGCCTGGCAGGACGGCGACGAGAGGGGCCTGGATGCTCTCGTGCCTGGCCTGGAACCCGGCGAGCATGAGACCCTCGTGCTCAAGCGCAACCCGTCGGCGTTTTTTGGCACCACACTAGCCACGGAGCTGATGCTTCAGGGCGTCGACACGGTGGTGATTTGTGGTGTGAGCACGAGCGGATGCGTTCGGGCAACAGCGGTCGACGCCATGTGTCATGGATTCCGGCCCATGGTAAGTCATTTTTTGCCCCCAACCCTTTGCCATCTAGGACTGTCACCAAATTGACCCTGCATCAGATCGTGCACGAAGCCTGTGGGGATAGATCATTGCTCATCCAGCAGCAGAATTTGTTTGACGTCGACTCGTTCTTTGGTGACGTCATTAGCGAGACAGAGGCACTCGATAGATTCTCGCACGCGCAGTGCAATTGAATTCAGTGGTATCAAATGATCAGAGTCATGAAAACTGTACACTACATCGATCAACAAAGCTTGAGAGCAGTGCCTAGGTGCTCAAAGGCGGATTTTCTGATGGGCTGCTTACCTTAGGTAGGCAATGGGGCCAATAAGATAATGCTGATTTGACTGTGCCGCCGCTGCCGTCGGGTCGAGAGAGGCAGAGCCGCCTGTCGGGGTCGAGTAACGTGTTGGCCAATTGGGGTTCGTCCATTTGTGCCTGTGCCCCCTGCCGGCCATGTGCCGGTCCCGGCAATCTGGCAACTGATAGTCGCGACCCTTCATCCCAGTATTTTTGGTCCTTATCTGGAGTGCTGCACGCTAGCGCGACGCCCAGCCTCTCCATCTGGGGGTGTCCAATGTTCTAGGTCGAGGCAGATGTTGATAACACTGTTGTGAAGTGTCTGCCAGTCAATAGTAGAGCCTGCGATTGTGGCTGCTGGGCGTTGCTGGGCATGCCAGACTTACACTCCAGCGATTGCATTTGGCACCTTGGTTCCCGTGGTATAGATATCTCGGTCAAGTCAACTGTCCTGTGCTCCATCACCGCACGAATTCGCAAGGTCGTTGGTCAATTCCAGTGATCCCACAGGCCGGTATATCGTCGAATCACCTCAGCGTCTTGCACAACCGACATCATGTCGGACATCTCGTCGGTCGACAAGACCACTACCAAGGCCGACATTGCGCCAAAGGATCTCGAGTCTGGATCCACCAAGGAAGGAATCACGGCAGGCGTTGAAACGACCGACCAGTTCGCGAGGCCAGCAAAGTCGACGTGGTGGGCGAAGCTCTCTGACAATGGCGTTGAGTTGCGCGGTGCAGAGCCCGTCCCCGTCGAGAAACGGACCGACACTCGCTACGTCAATGTGTTGACCATCTTTGCCACATCAATGACAAGTCTTTTGCCGTGAGTCAATCTCTGTTGCTCCCTCCCCTTTTGCCACGGCTCCGTCAGTAATGCATCGATCTGACCATTGTCGTTTTCTGGATAGCATCGGTATCGGCTCGGCCACGACACTTGGTTTTGGCATGTCTCTGAAAGATGCCGCCCTCATGATTGTCTTTCTGCAGTTCTTCTTTGGACTTCCCGCTGCGTACATCATCACGATTGCCCCCTTGACCGGCATGCGGCAGATGATCCAGTCCCGATACTGCTTCGGCAAATACTGCAACATCCTCACGTCTGTCGTCGTCACCTTGACCGTGGGGGGCTTTGGCGTCGTTGGCAGCATCAACGGCGCACAATGCCTGGCTGCGGTCCACCCTGGCACCCTGCCGGTCGAGGGCGCCATCTCCATCATCATGGTCATCTCGCTGGTCATTGGCTTCATGGGCTACCGCGTGATGCACTTCTTCACTCGCTGGGCGTGGATCCCGTCCCTGTTCGCCATCATCATCCTTGTCGGCGCCGCTGGTGACCAGCTGGGCGAGCAGTCGCCCGGGCGTGCGCACACAGGCAAGGACTACATGGGCATGATTGCCTTCACTGCCGGCAACATGATCACCTGGAGCAACGTTGCTGGTGACTATGCCTGCTACATGCCGCCTACTGCACCCCGTCTTCGTATCGCCATGTACTGCCTCTTTGGCATCGCCGCCCCCTTCTCGTTCCTCATGACTCTGGGCGCGGCCATTGGCGGTGCCGTCTTCGCCGTCCCGGCATGGACCGCCGCCTACAAAGCCGGCGGCATTGGCGCCGTCATTGGCAACATCCTCATCACCAGGCTCGGCGACTTTGGGCGCTTCATCCTCGTCCTGCTGGGTCTTTCCGTGCTCGCCACCTGCGGCCGCGATGTCTACACCATCTCGTTCAACCTCCCTGCCGTGGCCCCCATTCTCCGCAAAGTACCACGCATCATCCTCGCGGTCATCGCCACGGCAGCCATCATTGCCATCGCGATCCCGGCGTCAAAGTCCTTCGTCGCGTCCGTGACCGCGTTCCTCTCCATCATTGGTTACTATGCCGGCGCGTCCGTCACGTGCTTCCTGCTCGAGTACCTCTGGTTCCGCAAGGCGGACCCAGCCAGTCTGGACCCTGCGATCTGGGACGACGGCCGCGCGCTGCCCACCGGTCTCAGCGCCCTGGCGGCCGTCCTGCTCTCGTGGTCGCTCATTATCCCGGCCATGAGCACTACTTGGTTCGCTGGCCCGATTGCACAGAAGGCAGGCGACCTGGGGCTTATCCTCGCAGTCGTGGTGGCTTTTATCACATATCTCCCCATCAGGACTCTTGAGATCAAGATTCGCGGCAGGCTGTAATGTCCTTGCCAGGACTGTTAGGGAGCTTATTGATTTGAAGGATTTAGGGTCTATTGTCTGAGGTTTCACACGCGGCTGTCTTGGTGATGCTACTCCTGAATACATCTGGCTCGTTTGCGGTATTGACTAACTTCCGCAAGGAACCGATACCCTTGTCATCCGTCTTTTCCTGTCGTGACACCATAATTTTTAATTACCGCGTTGAAAAATGCTTCTACTTTCAACCGGTTCCCCAGAGAGCTTGAGTGCATGAGAAAGGTCCTTATCGCAGCGTATATTCTTAACTGCAAGATTTTGAGCCCATGCTCGGATGATCAGATCATCTCAACATTTAACTGAACATTTAACGATGACTGCAAGTATACTTCTCAAGCCTTGGCTGGGAGATACTTCTGCGTCATGAGGAAGGCAACAAGCAGTAGCCCAGCGCAGGTCAAGAATACGTGGTTACGATGTGCGTCGCCTAAAAGCCGTGGGATCACGTTAGCTCAATCGATACATATGAGGCCAAGGCCAACAGGCTCAATTGCACTAGGGGATGGGTAACAAGGGGCCAAGCCTACCTTCCACGTCGAGGCTGTGGGCCACAACGACAAACACGTTCAGCGGGAACCGCAGGATGCTGTAGATGGTGCCGCGGATGCCATCCTCGATGAACTCGCTCTTGAGATATGCCATGCTGGGGAAGTAGGCGCCGATGCAGCCCTCGATGAGGCACAGCGTCCAGAAGAGGAGCCACTCGGACTTGGCCATGACGGCGATCGACAGGCAGCAGCTCACGACACCCGTGACCTTGAGGAGCATGCTTGTGGACAGGCCCGTGCTCTTGGCGGTGCCCTTGAGCGTGAATATCGTGGACCCGACCATCATCGAGCACATGAAGCACGCAAAGATGATGCCGTAGGGCGGCTCCTCTTCGACGTCGGCTGCCAGCCGGACCGACTTGAGCGCCGCGGTCCAGAAGAAGATGAAAAGGTACATGGTGCCCTCGAAGAAGCACGATGTCAGTCCGATCGCCAGCATGCGGCGGTCTTGGATGATGGCCTGGATGCCAGCGCGGATCTCGTAGAGCGCGGCCTTGTCGGCTGTCATCTTGCTGCCGTAGTTCTCTTTCTAGAAGTGGAGAATAACGTTAGGGAGGGCAGAATACATGTAATGTTTTTTCTCGTCACTTACCCAGAGCCTCGAGATGAAGTAAGCGGCGCCACCACTGCAGCCAATCGATGCCACGAACGGCCACTGCCGACTGCCAAACAGCGAAACGAGAAACTCGCCAAAGACGCCGGAGATGATGGCCACGACGCAGCTGATGGTTGTCATGGCCGGGAAGACAGACCCGAGCTTGAGCCCACTCAACTCGAGGCACTTGTTGTGGTAGTCGGAGATGACCCAGGCTTCAAAGACACTGAAGAGCAGAGTCGTGCCGACACCGCCGCACAGCCGCCCGAAGAATAGAACTGCCAGGTTGTCGCTCAGCATTGTCATACACGTAACCACGTACAGGCAGCAGTAGAGCAGGCAGGCCTGCTTGCGGCCATACCGGTCTGCCAGGCTGCCTGCAAACGAGGCGCTGATGCCGCCAGATACGAAGCCAGTGGCGTAGAGCATGGCCACGGTCTGTTCGGGGATGTCCTTCTCGTACTTGTAGATGGCGTAGATGTGCGGGCCTCTAGGGTTGGCGGGTCAGCTAACAGACACGGGGAATCGGTAGGTGCTAACTGGAGGAAGGTCGTCTCTGTACCGAGATAAATGTGAACGTTTACTTACTGTAGCCAGTCTGCGGCGACTGCCAAAGCATAAGGGATGAAGAAGTTCAGCTGAAATGTCCGCACGGTGTCGCTGTTGGCCTCGACCCCGTTGGATACATTCTCCAGCTCGCCGTCGAGGGTCGCCTCTTCGGCCTCAACATCTTTCGGCTGCTCGACAACGGTGCTGGCCGCTTTGCGCTCACGCTGCTTCTCGCGGCGATACTGAAGTGCGAGCAGGCCTGCATTGGAAAGCAGGAAGAAGAACAGGTTCGCTTCATAAAACATGGCTGGATGGATGTATGCTGAGGGAGCCCCAACTGTCGCCTTGGTGGTGTATTTTTGCGACCGTCGGGATGGTTGTTTGTCAGAAAGGAGTGAACAGGGCGGAAGACGTGTGCTCAAAGGAGCTTGCCGCAATATAACTGTACTGGTAGGTAGGGATGGGACCCCGTCCTGTGAATCAGGGTTCAGTTTCAGACGCTATCCCTTTCTCTTTCGAGACTTTCATAATGTCTCTTGTTCAGGACACAAAGCACTGGCGCTGACCATCTTTCCGATTATGGAGACGAAGCGCGTCCCCTACGTGCGTCCATGGTATGATTTCCCATTCCGGCGGCCGTGGGTCGCGCGAGTAGGTGGCCCCCTTCTGAGACATTGCATGTTCACCCCTCGCGTCCCACGCTGCCCTTGCCTTATACGCTACGGTAGAGGAGAGTGTAGCCAGCCAGAAATATCATGCTAATTGCACTAAGGGATAGCTTGCACTCTGTTCCTGCAGAAAGCTGAGGAATGCCGCCACTTGACGGCTTGACGTGCATCCGTGCTCGCAGCTAGTGCACTTCTTTTATCCGAAGGTAGGATAACGAAATATTGAGCCAAAGGTGGTCACGATAAAGGCAGATGGAATCTTCATGGTGCCACACAACCGACGATCTTTCCTACAAGGCCACTGAACGTGGCTTGTCTTGGTCCATGGCGCGTCGCCATCTCAGTCCCTGTGCTCGCGATGGAAAATGGCGAGGATTTGTCTCAGCTTGCCCCGCGCGTCGCGCGGCCCACCTTCTCATCATCGCGCGAAATGGTTCACAAGGTTTACAATAGAAAAGTATGACGCGGGATGAACCGTGAGCAAGCACGAAGGTTTGGCGGTGCACTATTGGAGTCTCTGCCAGAGTCCAAGCATATTGATTTTTTACGTCGTCTCATAAAGATAGCAGCTGTAAAGCTCGTGGACACGAGGGACGACATTAATTCAGTCGACGAATATTTCACAGCCTGCCGTCGCTTCCAACGCCCAACCCGAAAGCATCACAACATTGTGGCAACGCGTAACCGGACGACTCCATATGCATGAAGATCATTTCCAGTCGTTCCGGAACTCGAAGTTCATTTCGCGTGAATTGGGCAACTTATTGTGTACGAAGCTGAGCTCGACGGCCGGTCCCATGGAGAGCAGCGAGTGAGGGATCCGAACAATCATCAGCACATGACAGCACATGGGCCCCTCGCCTTTCTCCGAAACGATATAAGGACAAAGAGTTACAATAAACTATCTTCATACCGGGGTCCCATTAGGTCCTCGTCGCGAGGATCCTGTGTCATGAAACCGTATTTAGTCAATAACGCGCCTGATTCCGAACACTACCTTGATCGTACAGTTTCGTCTCTACGCACCAAGTGCGATGGCAACGACTGCCAAGCACCCCAGCAGCATGTGCGAATAAGAAGTCCGAATGGGCGCGGAGCTGGGCGTCGATGTTGTAGCAGATGGTGGTGCTGTAGTTGACGCAAATGACTGCGAAGGCGGCGCGGTGGTTTCGCTCGAAGCCTCTGTGGTTGTTGTCCTCGACGAAGTCCTTGTGCTTCGGGAAGAGGTCTGATCATCGCTGCCCCATTCAATGAGCGTTGGTGTGGCCACTGTCGTGATGTCTGCTGCGGGAACAGTGATGGTCGTCACCGCGTTGCTGGACCGGGCCGTGTTCATCCACATGCAGTACGGCGTGCCCGTCCAGATGCTGTCCGACGCGCCAAACACGTCGTTGCACCCAAACACGGCGGCCGGGTCACACGAGACGCCCGGCGGCGGCGGCGCCGCGGTCAACGTGTAGGTATACAAGGCCGCGTTGTCCGTGTTGATGGCGGCCATGCTGGCGAGCGGCGTCGGCGTGCCGGCTGTCCAGGTCGTGCCTATGCCGTCGTGGATGTTTACTGGGGCGCCGAAAAAGGCGGATTGTTTGGACCCTCTCGCGTTGCAGCAGACGAGGTCGTCGAGCCACATCTCCCACTGCGAGGCGTTGCTCGCGTCGGCATACATGGCCTCGAGCAAGAGCGAGCGGCTCCTGCTGATGATGGTGCCCTCGCAGCACACGTTGAAGAAGTCGGATGCCGCCGGCGCCGCCGCCGCGCTGGCTGTCTTGGTCGCGAACTGGGCCGCGCACTCCTGAACCTCCCACGGACTCCATTTCGGCAGGATGCACCACTGCTCGACTGTGCCGACGCGCACGGTCGTTGTGATGGCGGCCATGCTGGCTGAATGCGGACCAGCCAGTGGTTGGGTGAGTGATTAAGGGAAATGGACGGCTATGCGATCGTGTGGTGCAGCGAAATACCCTTCAATAACAGGTGAGCGACCGAGGCTGCTGCGAAGCCCATGAACAGGCTGATAAAACAAAGTGTGGTCCGCGAAGAAGCCAATGTGCTCAAAAATGACGAAGGAGGAAGAAGCATTTGAGGCGATCAGCGATTCACGTCCCAAACGTTTCCTGCTTCAAATCCTAGGCAGGCAGGGTAGGCAGAAGTGGCAAGTCCATCTCTTTAGTGCTGACACATCTTTCTCGTTCGGATGAGGAGTGGAGTACGTGGAGTCTCGCGCTAAGTGGAACAGAGATATTCCACGGCAAGTTTTGTGGTTTGTGTCCAGCTGCTAAGGGTTGCAACCTGAAGGCCAAGAGTCATCCAAACAAGCCACAGACTACCAAGTTTTTCTGCACTACGAAAGAGAGGGATCGCGAAATTATCTTCAAATTGGCCGCTCAATGATTCCTTGCTATACTAAGAAACTCCCCACAAACCCGTGATTTCTATATGCAAAACGCTGGAGTCTCGAAATACTTGTGAGATAACTCTGTCAATCCTTTCCCCCTTCTCCCCTCTGACCTGTTTCCATGAAGGCGGCTTCGCGTGAACTTATTTCGGATATTGATAGAAAACAAACACCTCTCCTTCAAATAATACTTCCTTCCTTTCCTGGAAGAAAGACCCCCCCTCTCTTTGACTAGCAAGACGACAAGCGCTGTCTCCTGTCTTTGCTTCACACATGCCCGACTTGCCCAAGCGGGCTGCAGCTTAGACACGTCCGCTGCCGGCATAGCCCTTGTACTCCGCCACGGGGTCTGAAGGAGCAGGTAGAATGATGCCGAGAGCGAGACAGATACACACGACAATGATTTCCGTGATGACGGTCATGCCGAGATAAACCAACGGGTCACCCATGCCCGGCATGTAGTTGGTGTTCTTGCCGTAGGTGCCGATGCAGGCGTACACGATGCGGACGACGAGGAAGGGCACACACAGAGCGAGGGCCATGACGATGCGCCGCGCGCCGAGGTGCTCGCGGTGGGTGGAGGAGGCGATGGTGCTCATGCCCGTCCCCATAGAGACGACGGCCAGCAGGGTGAGGGCGAAGAGGACGATGAAGAGGGAGATGCCAGCGACCATGAAGTCATTGATCTCGAACTGGCCGCTGGTCGAGTTGACGGCCTTGACGGCGCCAATGATGGCGATGACCATACCGGCCGTGCCGACCAGGTTGGCGATGGAGAAGAAGCGATTCGGGAGGGACTTGATGGAGATGTTGCTGTTGGTGGGAATCTGTTAGAACAGGCAAGCCCAAGAAGAGCTGTGGCTGTCACGATAGGGGTTTTTCACTTACGCCCTGGTGACGAGTCCAGTACATTGCAGCAGCAGAGGAGCAAGACCGATGGAGTTGCAGATGAGCACGACAGTGCGGAGGCTCTTGTTGGTGGGCGACGACTCGCCGGCAATCTCACACGAAGACCCGATGATGCGGAGCAGGCCGAGGATGGTGATGTACCGCCAGCCACCACCCGCCGAGCGGAAGCCATGCTTGACAATCATCCATCCCGAGAGAAAGAGAAAAGGGATGAAGAAAGCTAGCTGCACGACAGACACGGCGCTTTGTGTGGAGAGCGTCATTGTGAAGCTGTTTATTTCCGTTTCAACGTTGTTCTCAAGTTTGTCGCCCAGTCGTTCTCGAGGTCTTAGTATGTTGGGAGTCGTTGTCTTTGTGATGCCGTTTTCATGATGCCAAGAGCCCAAGAGCCAAGACGAGGCCACCAAGGAGGTCTTATACCTGGGGACCACGCTTCATCTCAAAGGCCGGCTGGCCACACTGGACCGCCGGTGCCTGGAATGGTCGTCACCTGCGGAAGCCCCGGGCAGCGGGACCGGAGTTGGCACAATGCGCGGTACGCCGTGCGCAAGGGCTGACTGTGCGTGTCTACAATGGAGAATGCCCCTGTCTGGAGGCGGCACGGAACTCTCTAGGATCACTGGAATCTCCGGCTGGGCGAGGGACCCTGAACATCAATGCCGGAATCGGTACTGTGGTGATGTAGTACTGGCGGCTGCGCCACGTGGTGATCGTCCGGGAGGGAACTGCCTAAGCAGCAAAGTCAAATAAAGATTTCCGGGGACAGCATCGTGGGTCCATGTGAGATCGGGCAGTAGGGAAACGGATTGGGGGAGCCATTTGGAGGCATGTGTTCCATGCAACTCTTCATTCAACGAACACACTCTCTGGTGATGTACCTCCACGACTAAGGCATGGAAAAGAAGACACCAGGTTACGAAATCGGTGTGGCCAGCAAAGCAGATTGAGGCCTGCCACTGGCAGAAACGGGCAACAGAAGCTGCACTGCCTACTTGCTCAGACGTGTGGTGGTAGGTCTGATTGCCGGCGTAGTAAGCCGGCGGCAGCCCATGTTGGTGGTCGACAGCCGCGTCTTACTGGCCGGCATGATCGGCGGGGCGATCGGCGAATCGCATGCCAAGTTTTGAGCCAAGTCGAAAGCCGAGCGCGTGGCCATGGGAAGATTCATCAGGTTGGCGGAGGACGATGCATGTACGGTTGAGCACGAGACACTGCGTTGCCGGCCCTTTTCCCCACGGGCGTGATGCTGAAGTATCCCCAGTTTCGCATTCTAGAAGGTGCACAGGCACCGGAACTTGCAGTGGCAGCAACGAGCGAATGTTGTCTTGGCCCTGAACTTCCCCTGTCAAGGCGAATCAAAGCATGATGCCCTTCGCTGCATCACGCGGGTTCAAGACCTCTGCAAAACTCATCCTAAGCGATCAAACAAGCAAGCAATGAAAGACATGTCTTCGAAACCATCCACGTGCGTTATCGGCGCGGTCGTGCAGAGCAACGTGGCAGATTGAAGAATCGTGGGACCAAGGATTGCATAGCTCTGTTACAAGTAACCGATTGCTGGAGATGAAATGAATGACACCAATTAGCACTGCGCAAGAGAGTGCGGAGCGCCACACCACCAACGGGCCGTGAATCTCTCCAGCAAGCCACCGTGGACGGGACAAGGCACAGCTAGCCACAGAGGCGGAGTAAAGGATCCGCAAAGCCCCCCAAAGTGCAGAGAACAGGGGGCCAAGAGAACCTGGTACAGGCCAGACGATGCAATGACGCGGACCATGCGTGGTACTCGGGACAAGGCACTTTACTGTACGTAACCTTTGGGCGCGGCGACTCCGCTAGGCGAACCTTGGCAGCGCTGCTTACGGTAGCGTTCGAGGCACTCCACCGTCAAGCTTTCAAGGGGGAGGGGGAGCCCCCCTGCGAAAAGGCTTGGTAGTCGCAATTTGGCACGCGTTGAGAGAGCAACATGACTGCATTCCAACGATGTGCAAGGCTGAAGAGGCGTGTTCGGATTCCGACAAGGCTGTCTCGGTCAGTCATTTACAGCAAGAACGCCAGCTCACAAGTGCCTGTGTGCGGAAGGCGTGGGATTGCGAGGGATTCTCCCCGTCACCAGTGTCGCTTAGGCTCGTCAGCCAAGCAGGCCAAGCTTTGGCACACAAGAAAGCCAAGTTTGCGCCGATCCTTTGTCTATCAGGGCAAGGATGCCCTTCCTCGCCCCAAGCACGGGGCCGAACCGCATGGGTTGCACACCCTCCCCCGAAGCAGCTGGACCCCGTCACTGGCTCAATCCAGGGCCCTCGTCGCTCTTGCATCGCTGCTAACACCAACACGGCCCATGCGGGTACCATGTCTGCCACTGTTCTCGACTGGTTACATCATATGCGTCGTGGGGCCCAGAAGTACCCGTTTTCCGCGCCGTGTCGCCCGGTGAGCACATCCTATCACAACAGCACTACGGGCGATGGCGCAATCCGCTAGCACGCTGGGACTTACCCTGGCCACCAAAGTACCTTTGCAAGCAGTTCACTGGTCGCCCAGCGGCAAGTCAGTTCACATAGGTACCTCGGCCGTCGCCTGTTCCAATATAATCGGGACAGATCCATTCCTCTGGAATTCTGCACGTATGGACTCCCTACTGGACCCTTCTTGTCGATCTGGGCTGTCGAGTTTGAATTATTACTTCGCCCTCCTACATATGCTAGCCGATTATTCGAGCCACACGCAGCCTATCCGTCACTGTTTCTCTATGTCGATCTGCTGCCCTTGATTTCCTCCACATCACCAATTCTTGAGGCTTCCTCTTCCTGGGACGTCCTCTTGCACGCACGGCACGATGGCTCTCGGCTTTATGAAAAAGAACACGGACCAAGCGGCCACTTCCGGGGCGTCTTCCGACCCGGAGGCGCAACCCACGGCCGAGTCGTCATGGGAAGCACGCAAGATGGCCCGCATCGACCGACCGGTCACCAAGCCCATCGCGGGCCAGCTCGGCCCCAAAGACAAGACTGAAGGCGTGCCAATCGACGGGCGCACCGACACGTCGTCAGACCAGAGCGTGTCCATCGGCAAGCAGATGGAGCTCGAGGCAGGCAATGCGATCCAGTACCGCACGTGCAGCTGGCAGAAGACGGCCGCGCTGCTCTTCTCCGAGTACATCTGCCTCGCCATCATGTCGTTCCCGTACTCGTATGCCACCCTCGGGCTTGTGCCCGGCCTTATTTTCACAGTAGTCGTCGCAGGCCTGGTTCTCTACACGTCACTGACTGTCTGGTACGTCCCGCCCTGAACGACTTGACAGGTCTTCAGCCCCTCCTCCCAAGCTCTCCCAAGCACTAATCGATGGAGCAGGGAATTCTGCATGCGCCATCCCGAGGTCAAGGACGTATGCGACATTGGCCAGATGCTGTTCTGGAACAAGAAGTGGGCATGGTACTTCACTGCGTTCATGTTCCTCATGAACAACACCTTCATCCAGGGCTTCCACTGCCTCACCGGCTCCAAGTACATCAACACCATGGCCGAGGGCAAGAGCGGCGTCTGCACGGTCGGATTCAGCGCCATCATCGCCATCGTCTCGTGGGCTTGCTCCCTGCCGCGCACTTTCAGCACCCTCGCCCACATCGCCACCTTCTCCGCCCTGTTCACCTTCGTATCGGTGATGCTCGCTACCATCTTCGCCGCCATCGAGGACCATCCCGGTGCAGGGTATCCAGAGCTTGGCGAGCCCCAGGTCTTTGCAACCCCGCCGCCGTCAACCACGTTTGTCATGGGTGTCAACGCATTCATGAACATCAGCTACACTTTTATCGGCCAGATCACGCTACCGTCATTTATCGCCGAGATGAAGGAGCCAAAGGACTTCCCCAAGGCGCTCTGGGCTGTCACCATTGCCGAGATCATCGTCTTCTCGCTTGTCGGGTCCATCATCTACGCCTACACTGGCACCAACTACAACACGGCACCGGCCTTTGGCTCGCTGGGCAACATCCTGTACCTCAAGGTCAGCTTCAGCTTCATGATCCCCACCATCATCTTCCTGGGTGTGCTCTACGCTTCCGTGTCCGCGCGTTTCCTCTTCTTCCGCATCTTTGCCGGCACGCGGCACATGGGCGAGAACACAGTCGTCGGATGGGTGTCCTGGGCCGGTATTCTCGGTGTGACCTGGGTTCTCGCCTTCATCATCGCCGAGGTCATCCCTTTCTTCGCCGACCTTCTCGCCCTGATGAGCTCCCTCTTCGACAGCTTCTTCGGCTTCATCTTCTGGGGCGTCGCGTATCTGCGCATGCGCCGCGCCACTTATGGCGCCAAGTTCTGGAACGCCAGGGGTCTGCGTAGCTGGTTTGGATTCTTGCTCAACATTGTGCTCATCGTGATTGGCATTTTCTTCCTTACGGTGGGCACATACGCGTCCGTGGAGAGCATCATCGAGGGATATCGCAGCAACAACTTTGGAGGGCCGTTCAGCTGCAAGAGTAACGGTCTTCTCGGCTGAAGCGCTCACAAAGGTCCAAATCCGTTCCAGGCAGAGATTTGAGTTTCATCATTTTCTGCTTCTTTTGCGTTTTAAGTCTATTACCCAGTCACTGCAATTGGCAGGTCTAGAGCGTGGCATCTTTCTGTGTTCAGGGCCCACGGCAGAGTGGTGGAACATTGTATTCGTAGCTTATGCATTCTTGCCGTGTCTGTTCCCATCTGTGATTGTACGGTACGGCGTCCTTTGGCCCCAAGTGAATGCCCGACTCCGCTGGAAGTGGAGGTCTTTTGCCCAGAAGCAGCGAAGCAGAGACGTTGTTCTAGAGTCGAACAACAACCTTCTCACCACTGACACCATTGCGCACCAGGCCTAGTCCAGATTCAAATGCAGCCAAGCCGCGTCCATCGACAACTTTTACCGGTAACGGCAATTTGTACTTGCCCTCCTCCAACAACTTCTCCAGTGCACGCAGCACTTCCTCATGACCATCGATGCTCGGCAGGTCTCGACTGCGGAACAAGACCGAGTCGACCCGACTAAGGACAGAAACCTCCTCATCACCTGTCCAAACCTGCGCGTATCTTTGTAGCCCGTCTGTTCTTAGCACATCGAATATCCCGTCGCTGCCTGCTCCAGCACCGACGGCGTCTACAATGGCGTCGACTCCGTGCCCGTCCGGCGTGAGCTGCTGGACATCCTGCACCAGGGACTTTGAGCTGCGGTCCACAGCCTTGCTCGCGCCCAGGTATTCCTCAAGATGGCGGTGGTGTCGTGGTGAACTTGTCGCCAGGATAGTGGCTTCTGGTGGCAAGGACAGGCGAAGCAGCTGGATTGCTGCAGCACCTACCGCGGAACTCCCACCTAGCACGAGGACTGACTTGATTGGTGAACTTGTTGTGTCCTGTGAAGGTAAGAAAGGCGGACGAAGGCCGAGTCCTTTGACAAGTCCAACCAGAGCGGTGATGTAGCACACCCTGGGTACAGCGTCGCCAAAGTCAGTCGTCCGTGGACTTATCCGTCTTCACATAGTGCCTTATGCTGAGGTTCTTTGGTACAAGATGGTGCGGGATGGGCAAGGTACTCACACGACGCTCGCAGCCTCCTCGAAACTCCACAACTCTGGCTTCTTCGCGACCATCCGCTCCTCGACGACCGCGAAGTCCTGGAACGACCCGCTCCGCTCGCCCGTCGCAAAAGCCGCCAATACACCGTCTCCGACTCGGAAACGAGACACCTGCTCTCCAACGGCAGCGACCTCCCCAGCCCCGTCCAGGCCTGCGACCAGGGGCCAGGATTGCACGCGGTGCCCGGAGTCGATCATCTTGTAGTCGGCAGGGTTGACTGCCACTGCCCGGAGGCGGACGAGGACTTCTGTGGGCTTGAGGTCTGCGGTGGTTGGGGCGGGGTTTGTCGACGCTGTCAAGGGCGAGCCCTGAGAACGCACGAGGTAGCGAGTGTTTGTTGCCGCTGTGGTAGCCATGTTTCTGTGTGTTGTGCTGCGGTGTTCTGCGTGTGCGAACGCGAAGAGAATGAGTTTTCTCTTGACTACTCGACCGGGTCACTGTGTCCAAGGCATGAGATCTTCAAGGCACCTTTATTCCGCCTGGATTAAAGAATCTGGTGGGCCACGGGGAACTCGTAGTTATAGTGCTAACAGCCATGTCGGAGTTAAGGTGCGCACGCAGGGGTTTGCGGGGAGCTGGAAGACGCGTAAGGTTTGGTGACGTAGTTAGTGCTGATTAGTGGGAATACAAGACTATCCCATAGATTCTCTAGACAGGATTCGTGTGCAGATACAGCGGATTTAGCATCGACGTTCTTATCTTAATTAACTCCGGAGAACCCTTGTCGTCGCTGTTTGCTTCGCTACTACTGCTATCTCTATTCCGCGTATCTAGAATTGGCAACCCACAGCTCGGTTCCCGTCCAGGAATCGGCACTCCCGCTCACCGCGTGTCTCTCTCCGCCTTGACCAGCCTCTGCGTAGCCGTCTCTGTCTTGTGGAACCGCCATGCTCGGATCTTGCCCTCGAACAACTCGTCCAGCTCGGCGGCAGACCGGCCGGCAGTCTCGGGGAGGACGAACCACGCACCGACCGTCCAGAAGAGGCCCACTCCAGCATAGAAGAGACCCGTCTTGAGCCGCCAGTTCCACGCATTGGCGTTGACCATGTACGGCACCAGCACAGACATGACGAGGCCGCTGGCCGCGTTGGCAGCCGCTGCAAAGCTGGACGTGTAGGGACGCAGGCGCTGTGACGAGATCTCGCCCACATAGCCCCAGCCTGCTGCACCGTTGGCGGCAATGCCAATATCTGCAGGGAAGAAAGGTTGTCAGCTGTGCTCGCTCTATTATCTCTAGAAGGGGAGAAATGAGAAGACACCTACTCCAGAAACAGGCAAACAAGATGAACACGTAGACGGTGGCGCTGTTCTCTGGAATGAACCCAAGAATGCCCACGACCAGGCAAGACACCCACATCAAGGTCGTGGCCGTGCACGCCATCAGACGCCGGCCGTACCGGTCGACCAGCAGGACGGAGCTGACGACGGTCACGATCTGCAGCGAGCTGGTAATCACCTTGACCTTGAACGGGTCCTCGAGGCCGGCCTGCTGGAAGAAGTAGGTGCCAAATACGAGGAACAGCGACAGGCCGAGAAACTGCTGGGCCACGACCGCCCAGAGCGCAGTGAGCGTGCGGCGGCCGTCCGTGCCTCTGAAGATGGCGGTCCAGCTCTCGCGGCGCTGCTCGGCGGCGACGGCCTTCTCGTGCTCGATGGCGAGAGCCAGGGCCTGGTACTGCCTGTCGACATCATAGCCCCTGACGTCGCGGTGGATGAACCGCAGCCACTTCTTGGCCTTTTCTTCCTTGCCCACGCTGGCGCACCACGCCGGGGACTCGGGCAGGACGGCGTAGATGATAGCCATGACGCCAACATGGCCCCACTGCGTCATGACCGGAGTGAGCCAGTTGGTCGGGTCGGTGGCGTTGAGGCGCTGGAGGGCGACCTGGGCGAAGAAGGTGCCGAGTGTCCACCAGAACGAGTAGAGCATGAGCATGCCGCCGCGGATGCGCACGGGGGCGACCTCGCTGATGTAGCCAAGCACAGTGGCCTGGAGCATGCCCACGCCCGCGCCGGCGAGCATCTTGGCGCCGAGCCAGACCGCCCAGTCGCGCGCGAGCATCTCGGTCATGATGCTGAGCGCCACGACCAGCCACAGCGCCGCGAAGCCCGCCTTGCGCCCCAGCCGCGCGTTGACAAAGGACACGGCGATCTGCCCGACAATCTGCCCGCCGTGAGAGCCCACCCCCCACGCGCTGATGTAGCTCGACGAGAGGAACTTGACACCCGCGGGGCTCGCCTCGGTGGCAAACTGTGCGATGAAGCCCTTGTTGGCGATGATGCTCGAGTTCATGCTGAGAGGAAGTGTGTCAAGATCGGATAAGTCAGTGGTGATGTCCAGGCGAAGCGTGGAGTGACAAATAGTTTGAAGATGTAACACACCCAACCTGGTATCCGTCGGCACCAGCACTGAACGCAGCCAGGACACAACAGGCAGAGGCGATTTTGAAGGTGCTGATGGTCTGCCACAAAGTCATGTTCTCGAAACCCGTTGCCAGCTGGCCCTTGGCTACGGCATCCGCCGTCGCCTCATCGGGCTTGAGGCTGGCCTCGAGACGGTCGTTGTGCACCTCATGGTGTTGCGTCGTGGCAACGGTGCCATCATTCTTGTCGTGGGAAGCAGCCATTGTTGTGACAAGTTGTCCCTGGACAGGAAGAACGTGCCTAGAATAATTTGACACCGCGTTGGATGCACATGTGATACCCTGACTTGAGAGGGGAATGATCACCACGAACATCGAGGTGCATGCGGCCTGTTATATCTACATGGTTTGGAACGGGATCGAGTCAAGAACCAACACCAGCTGCCCCCCTAGCTGGACCGAGACGGTTCAGACTGCCTGATTGAGAATGACGGTGCCAGCTTTGGAATTCGTAACCACTGCCAAGACGCTTAGATGGCTCGCTCCGCTGTCTTGGCAGTGCCTCGCCACGCCTGCCCCAGGTTTCTCCAGTGACATGGGGATTGACCCCAGCTGGGGTCGTTGGAGCAATGGAGCCCGCTGTCCTTCAGCTCTGCATAAGTAGCTTCCGAGGGACCTTCGGAACGCTCCGAGCTGGAGGTAGGGAGGCAGCGTTGGGGAGGCCCCACCAACCATTCCGGAGGCACTTGTCACAGGGGCTCTGCTCCAGCGACACGAGGTCCCTCAGCGCGGCCTGGCCCCTGGCACAGGCAAGCACAACCAGCAGAATCACCCGACTGTCTGAAATGCCCAGATGACGATTTGAAGTTTTCCGAGTCAATAAAAACAAATCATCCTGGTACGACACTGTCAACCATGACTGGTTGATCAAGACTTACCCAGAATGGAAATGACAATCGGAAACAGAACTTTAAAAGATTGCCCCGGCTCACATGCGACAGAATTACTTGTATGGCTGATGAGATTAGCTCTGATCCCGAAAGCCTTAGAGCAGTGGAGATACGAATGTGGGCCCTGCCGATGTCAGTGATTCAGGACGCTTTCCATCCCCTTGGAATCCCGGGGCGTCCACGTTTTTTGGTTAGGTCCAACCGCGCTGCAGGTTGTTGAAGGCCCTTGCCCAACCGTGTTCCTCGTACAACCCCGGTGCAGGCCATCGTGGTCCGGGCTCTTCTCCGCGGATTGTCCATTGGATCGTTGACAAACTAACAGGGGCTTATGATTTGTGGGAGGGCTTTAAACGTGTCTACGACGAAGTGCGCATTTCGTGTGTCATGCTCTCGCTGATCCGCATCACGATCCAGCCTGTCAAGAAGCTCTCTGTGATCGACTTCAATAATTTGTATTCTATTTCTAGATAGATAGAAGAGGGCTCTATTGACTGCATTAACTGTAATAACCGGTAATTGGTCCATCCGTATTATGTGGCTCTGTTGCAGCCAGACTTTGAAAATCTTAGAAAATCATGTGGTTCTACATAGTTATCCCGAATGTGCTTTGAACACCAGCTGGGCCGTCTCTCAGTGCCCCGTGTGCTGTCATACTGCGTACGGACATCTAAGCGCTGTGTATTGTAGTCCAGTGCTACGCACGCTTCCGGAACACGAGCTGGCACTCATCCTGATGACCAAACTATTAGCACTTCGTCGGTTAAGATAAGACTCTATGGGTCATGCAGTCGACTTACCATGGGAAAGAGTGTAGCAAAAACCCGTATCTCCTCCGACCGACTTGTGGCGTGGTGCTCCCAGTCAAGATCTAGCACCGCCTTGCCAAGCATGGCGGCCATGGTGAAGGGCACATATCTGCGCGCGAGACAGTCGTGCGCGCCAGCCCCAAAGACAAGCCAGTTCTTTGTCTTGCTCTCGGCGTCGCCAGTGATCCACCGATCCGGGTTGAATGTGTCTGGGTCTGGGTAGACCTTTGGGTCATGGAGGGCAGGGTAGCAGGACGGGACGACCATCGCTCCTTTGGGCACGGTGTACTCGGGCGTGATGGGGAAGGCTTTCGTGGCGATGTATGGGACGAAAATGACAGGAGGGCGGTACCGGAGGGATTCTTTGATGACGGCATTGGTGAATGTGAGCTTGTCAAACATGGCCAGGTCGAACGGCTTGGTGCGGTCGCCATCACGAGCAGCGAGATTCTCCTCGCGAAGGCGTTCCACAACGTCGGGCCGTTGCGCGACGAGCTGGAACAGCCAAGTGGTTGCGCTGCTCGACGCGTCCTGAGAGGCAAACAGGAAAGTGAAGAGCGTGCGGCCAATCTCGTCATTGCTGAACTCGCGAATCTGGTTCGAAGGCTTATCAACATTGGTCTCGCCGGCATCGAGTCGCTCCTGGTACTTCTTGGACTCCATCATGTGCAAGACCCACTGGTCGACGATGCAGGTGGGCTCGGCACCCGATGCCATGTTGGCCTTGCATGCGGCGGCACAGCGCGAGAACTCCGCTTGCACGGCAGCGGCGATCCTCTTGCCCTTCCAGACCTTGGTGAAGGGAATATACATGGAGAGCGGGACGTTGACGAGCTCAAAGGCTGCCGTGACATGGTAGAAGTCGTCGGCGATTCTCTGGATGGCGTCTTGTGATATATAGTCGCCAAAGAATGTCCTGCAGGACAGGGCACAGTTGATCTCGCGAAAGAGCTTCATGAATCCCATGGCCTTGCCGTTGTTGGCTTCGCTCGCCGCCACGAACCGCTCAAAGTACTGTTCGTGCACCTCGGCCTGAACCGGCAAGTACGTGCTGATGGCCTTGTTGGTAAAGAGTCCAGTCAGACCACGGCGGTACTCGGCATGGGCTTTCCCATTCAGAAAGATCCAGGCTTTAGGGTTGAGTATCGTCGGCGCGATTGGAGTGATCAATGGTTCGGTGTGAGTCGGCGACTTGAAGACCTTGTGGGCGATGTCGCGATCAGAGGCCAGTACGACAAATCTGCTCAGAGAGTGGAGGATCAGCAAGATGATTCATGATATGACGCGCAGATGATAGACTGACTTGTGAAACACGGAAACACAACTCAATGGCCCGCTGGCCCATTGCTTGAGGTAGTTGTCAAACTTTGGGTGTATCGCTTGAAGGAAAGGCCCCATGATCGGAATCTTGAATGTTGGACCGGCGATGGATCCCTTTCGCACAATGTAGAGGACTGCGTGCCGGTGAGAATGGTGAGCAAAACGACTGATGGATAAGCGGGAGATGCCAACAAACCTTGATCGTACACGACAACGCCAATCAGGGCAGTAGTGACAACCAGCCATGCTGGCATGCCATGAAACAGTGCCGTGAAGGCAGTGACGGCACTATCAACACCCTCATTTCTGGTGACGTTGATCCGCGCATATCCGTCAGCCATATATTGCGAGATGATAGCTACAGGAGTTTCCATGGTGAGCGAGGCTGTCGAGCTTTCGTCGGAAACGTAGATGAGGTGAGAGAAGCTCATCACTTTTCGATGCCGTGGTGGGACTTTGGAAGGCTTTAATACCCGCCATCGTGCTGACGCTCAGCCTGTTGGCCAGAGGGTGACTTGTGTTGGATTCCACACGAGACAGGAACATAGGAGCGCCTGACACGAAATTGCTTGCAGAGAGCAATTCTTGCATGGGGCCAAGTCTGATATCGTCTGACAACCAGCGAGTGCTTTGATATTCAACGCCCAAACAGGATTAGACTCCGCGGCGGCCCGCAACGCAGGGGCTCATGAAGCACGAATCCGACCCACTAAGTCCGAGCAGCTCAGGGACGGGCGATATGCAAAAGCCTGAGTTGAGGGTTTGTGGTGGTTTCCCGAAATCTGCGGAGCTGATCGGATGTTGTGTCTGAGCGGGACTGGTTCTATCCTATGGAAGCTGCGGAGACTAGTCCTCTTTTGGGGGCTGGCCAGGTCAGGTCATATCCACCAGGGCCGGCCCCCGTTGTGCTGCCAGCAGGGGTCTTGTCTTTGTCAGCGAGTGCGAGCGCCGGGGTGAGTGAATCACCCTGGACTAATGAGCAACGACCCCTCTTTAGCAAGCGCCTGTTCCCACGCCGTCTTGTAGGTCTGCTCGTAGTAATCGCTTGCATGCCAGAGGACGGATTGCAGGTGGCGCAAGGTATCTGTCCAGGAAAACGGCTTGCCGGCTTGGCGAGCTGCAGCTTGCTGGGCGAACCAGTCCCACTCCGGGGTCGCAGCAGCAGCCACCATCCCTGTTGACAAAAGCCAGATGGCAAGAGGACTTTCCGGCGGAGGTCGGGCATGAGTCGTCCACAGCTCCATGGATCTATGCAGCCGCACTACCAAGCTAAATAGGATCTCGGCGTGGGGGTAATACGCGTGGCCGTGTAGCAGAAACATGTAGATGGCCAGCCCATAGCGGAGGCACTCAGTCAGGGCGGAGACATCGTTATCGCCGGCTTGTTGTGGCACGGGAGCCGATACTGACAGCAATCTGTGGATGGCAAAGCAAGTCAAGTCGTGGATCTTGCTGCCTGGCAAGAGGCAAGCCGTTCCCGTGGGCTGTAGCAGGGCCCGCACCTGGTAATAGACATTGGCAACACTGGGGTCTAGCCCGGATGCCATTTCCGCCGGAGTGTCGAGCTCAGAACTCTCCCGGTTGGATAGGAGAGCGGTCCATTCTTCGATGGGGGCGAGGCCATCGTTGAGATGCTGAGTCTGTGCGTCGTCCTGGGTCGGAAACTGGGGCTCGCCGGTGACGAGCAATGCAACCCTGTGAAGTCTGTCAGCAGGCCCGGCGACGCGCATGTTTTGGAGACGGATACAGGTCGCCGCTTACCAAGTCACCATGCGTGCTGTAAGAGAATTGGCCTGCATGACGACATTGATGCCACCTCTGAGTTCGACCATGGCCTTGACCCCGTCAATATGCGCCAGGCTGGTGGCGACGTTGCCCTTGCCATGCTGAGCGGGAGGAAGACGGAGGTCAGTAATGAGCGCTTAGACATGACAGGCTATGACGAGATGCATGTGGGAAAATACCTCGATGGCGGCCAGGGTGACGACGGCGTTGATGGTCTCGTCCTGGATAGCACGGGACGAGTCGCCGACTTTGCGGCGAAGCAGCGAGATGGAGTCGCTCATGAGGACCTGGGAGTTTGGGAAGCCCTTCTGGGCCATGAGCTCCTCGTCGAGGGAGGCGGTCTGAAGAGAGACATGGAACAGGGCCGGGTCCGCGAGTGCGCGGGGCCACCAAGACGTGATGAAGGGATTTGACGCGGCACTGCGGTCAAGCGGATAGTACGTAAAGGCAATCTTGGAGAGGACTGTGAGATGTGGTCAGCCACGAGCCATGGAACCAAGAGCGGGTGCCTGCCGTTTCGGCGGCGGGTGAGCTGCTCACAACGATCCATCAGCCGCTGGACGACATTGCGGGGGAGGCGGATCTGGGGGTACGACTCGAAGGGGTCGCAGGCAGCACCGAGACCAAAGTCGAGGAGCACAACACCAGGGCTGCTGCTGGTGCTGCTGCTGGGAGGAGAGGCCGTGCCGGGACTGTCCACCGGGGCAGGACGACGGCGGTGCGTGAGAGCAAGAGCCTGGGCCTGGGCCGGGCCGGAGCCAGAGCCGGAGGCGGTGGCGGTGGCGGTCAGAGGGGCATTTGCGTAGTGGCAGGGCGAGTTGCGGCGGACGCAGCGGGAGCAGCGCGGGGTGCGGAGGTCGCAGCTGTGCTTTGCGCGGGCGCAGGCGGCGCAGGAGCGGCGGAGAGTGACGGGCATGGAGGCCAGTGTCAGGAGGATGGTGAGGACGAGGGACTGTCTGCGGCGTGTCTGGCGGCCATGCTCTGCTTGTGCGGCGCCTGGGCGTGGGCGTGGCCCGGGGCAAACAAGGAGCGAGGGGTGGGATGAGGCTGTCACGGGCGGTGCAAACCGAGGGAAAGTGTGGTGGCACCAGAGGTTCCAGCGGTTCTGCTATTTGATAGTGAGCACTGCACCTGCACCTGCACTGCCAGCCTGCCAGCCTCAGGCACCTTAGCCTCCCTGGGTGCTCATAGTGGGTGACTGGACCTGCATGTGCCCTGCGGCTCCGCAGGGGAAGGCGCAGCCAGGCCAGGCCCGTACGTCCCCTGGCCACGACAGCCGCTCCTTCCGGCGGCGCCCTACTCGCCATCAGTGGATACGCTACAATGTACAAATCATCACCACCATAATCAAGTAGGCCCGTCAGCAACTCAATCCACTGGGCATAGCACCCACACTTCTTGCCATGGTTGGCAATGTTGTTGTTGAACTGCATGTGAGCAGTCCACAGCACCGGCGCCCTCTGTATTCGCACTGCCCACCTTGTCAGCAGCTACGGGCATTGAGGCACTGCCGCACGCCCACAGCCTGAACGCTTGTGCCAGCCCATGCTGTGCGACTCGGCCCTTGATGTGTGTGTCATGTCTCAACACGGCTGACGTAGCTTGCGCTAGCTGGAAAGTAGCCCTTGGAAATCGCCCGGGCTGCACTACTTGCTCCCGTAATCCCAATCGCCATGCTACTGGGGTCCCTTGAGCCATCAGTAGGTTGCAGGCAGGGCGATGCCCAATTTCTTGGTCACAGTCAGCCGCGATCCGCCGAAACGCAGGATCAAGAGGTAAGCCTGGCTGTCGTTCTTCTGACCCCGGGATCAACTCTCGGCATGGATTTAGCTTCGGGCTCACTCTTACCAGAAAGTCTGTCAAAGTAGTATACAAAACCCGCAGACCATGCGCCACTTGCAAGAGTTCCTATTTACTTCGTCCAGATGTATTCTTGCCTTCGCTACTATGGACCAGAATTGTGGACACAAGGACCCGAATGTCATCCGCGAGCTCCTCCGGCACCTCGAATTATAGCCGCAACGCGATCCTGTGTGAGTGGCCGAACGACCTCGCCCGGGGGGGGGGGGGGGGGGGGGGGGGGGGTGGCGGGGGTTGCAGCCAAGGGCATCATCAAGGAAGTCTGGGGCTGACAGTTCGTAACCAAGTCGGCGTGGAGTTCGACTGGCACCACGACGCCGTCGGGCAAGATCTGCACCGTCGACTCCTATGATCTCTGGATATCCTGCCATGCTTCAGCGGCTGTGCGTGTCTCACAGTTTAGGTAACACCTGGGATGTTAAATTGGCATCACGGAAGAGCTGCACAGCTCGTGCTGCCATGCCCCTGTTGCATATTAGTTAGCCACGGCATCGTGGTGCCTGAGCTCCTCGGAGCAGGAAACAAACTCACCAAGATGCTTGATAGCCGGTGCCTCCCGCGCCATAGTTGTGTACAACCACTGTCTGGCCGCCCCTTGTCTCGAGCTCGATCCGCGGTCCGCCCCGTCGACAAGGACGCAGGCCAACACCGTGCTGAAGGACCTTGAGGTCTTCCGGCTTGCCAAGCTCCGGAGCCAGAGCGCAGCATTTATCCATAATCTGCCTCGCAAGCTCGAAATCGACCTTGGGATTCCAGTTACCATCCTGCCTACAGCCGCCGAGAACAACGCCGCCGGCCAGCGGGCGCTGGAACACGTAGGTGGCGTCTTGGACGAAGCGCTGGCTGGAGCGGAAGTACATGCGCTCAAGAGGTATTGAGGGCTGTTCAACGAGGACGGTCTGGCCTCTGCTAGGGTACAAAGCTTTATCTTCTACCCCGCCTAGAGAGAACGAGCCAAGTCCAGTGCAGTTGAATATTGCTGCTAGAGTCGAGCCATCCTCCTCTAGGTCTTGGATGTGTTTGATCTTGCGCTTCATCAAGTGGATCGACTTGCTGCGGCACTCTGCCACAAGCCTTTTGTGTTTCACCAGGATCAGCAATTCCTTCAAGTCTGTCCCTGCTTGTTTGTATTTCATAGGAGGGTCAAAGGGGAGGTTTACCTACCACCTGAGGTAGATCTGGGTGTTGATGACAAACGTTTGTGGTGCGTCTAGGGCAAAGATTGCGCCTTGAGGCATCTCATTGATTGGCACGATCGAAAGTCCGCCGACGAGCTGGTCGTACCAGACTTTTCCAGTGCCCGGACTCAATACATCGGCCTGTTCGATCGGGGAGTCGTAGATCATGCGGAGCGGCGAGGATGCGACACCACATTCAGGGTTCTTGGCTGCGAGCTGCGCGAATTTGTTGTAGGTGATGCGGTCGTAGGACTCGAGCAGGCCGTTGTCGGTCGCCGAGGAGCACCAATTGGCCCCAGCCCACGGTGAGGCGTACTCGATGTGGTAGTCGCCTGGAAAGTGCGCGGCAATGATGGTGATAGTGGCATCACTGTATGCTTGCCAGAGGGTCAGAGCCGTGGAGAGGCCGATGACGCCTGCACCCAGAACCACGAAACGGTGGCCCGGCCTGGCAGACTTGCTTGTGTCTGTGGGTGACATTTTGCCCAACTCCATGTGTTGTCAAAGAAGATCAATGAGGCCTCACGCAGCTCAGTGTCGCATTGCCTGAATTGGCAGCCCTTTTGAATCAGCTACTCATTGAAACTGGGCTTGTCTCTGAGATCGGTACCGCAAGCTCGTGGGGCTGGTCCGGGGGGCGTCTGCCAACCAGACACTTTGCTCGCTCATATGTCCCAAAGCAGCCTACGGGACGAGCCGAGCAACCATGCTATGCCACATATGACCGATTTCGCGAAGGCTGGCTGACCAACCGCGCGCAAACCCATGACTTTCGGGTTGCGCAAATCAAGCACGCAAGTAGAGCCATTCATGACCACAATACAAGAACAACCCGCCATGGCCACGACCTCGACACCTATGCTGATCCCGAGAGAACCGTTCTCAGCTCCATTGAGCCTTACCACAACCTTTAACGCCATCCAATAATCGTCGCTCTGGAGGGCTAAGCACGCACGCACCTGGCTTTGCAACATGGCACCGACTAGCCAGGTCACGCACCTCGCCACGAGCGACTCCGCGAGCAAGCAAGACGCCGCCGCCGCCAACCACCTCGAGGCCAGCGGCAAGATGGGTGTACTAACCGCTGATCAGGATGAAGCATGGAAGATCTTCGGTGGTGGCCTGGACAACCTCGACTACGCGCCGCACGAGGAAGCACGTGTCCGGTGGAAACTGGACCTGATTTTGATGCCCATGGTAAGCGGCGCATCCATTGCTGCCTCTGATAGGGCTTATTTGTTGCTTACCAGACACTGGATAATGGTAGATGGTCCTGACCTACGTTCTGTGCTACATGGACAAGGTGGCATTGTCTGAAGCATCCGTGTTTGGTATCCAAAAGGATCTCGTAAGGGCACTCTTCCACGATATCCTCTCATCTCCTACATAAGCCACTGACAGGCGATCGCAGGGTCTCGTGGGGCAGCAGTACAACTGGTCCTCGTCTATCTTCTACCTTGGCTACGTGATTTGGCAATATCCAAGCTCAGTTTTGATGCAGAGACTTCCAATGTGAGTTGCACCCTTCTCCGAGCCTCATGGTACTATGACTGAACATGTATCGTAACTTTGTATAGTGGTCGCTACTTTGGCTGCATGATCTTTCTGTGGGGAATAACAACCGCCTCAACGGCATTCACCACCAATTTTACCACCCTCTGCGTTGACCGTGTTTTCCTTGGGGTATTCGAGACCTGCATGAACCCCATCCTGACGATCCTGGTCGGGCAGTACTGGACCCGAGACGAACACTCACTGCGGACGTCCATCTGGTGGTCAGGCAGCGCCGTTGGTGCCTTCATCGCCGACGCCATCTCGTACGGTGTGTCGGGGCAGGGGTTTTCTGGGAGTCAGTACTCAATCTGGCAGGTAAGTGAAACATGGTTCAAGGGAGCCATTCCCGCGAGTCCTGGTGGTTTGACAAGCTAGTGATTGGGGGGCTGATTCTTCGTAACGAACAGATAATCTATCTAGTCTTCGGGCCAATAACAATTGCTTGGGGAGTCCTGATCTTTTGCGCAGTGCCGTCATCACCGATGAAGGCTTGGTTTCTCACCGAGCGTGAGCGCAAGATAGCCACTACAAGAGTATGAGAAGTCTTTTTCCTATGGAGAGGTCCTGCTTGTGATCAGGTTTGCTGACCATCGTGCGCAAATCCAAAACAGCTCACGGCGAATCGTACTGGCGTTTTGAACAACAAGTACAAGATCAACCACGTCAAAGAATGTCTCAAAGATCCTCAGGCCTGGTTACTGGCCATCAACGCCTTCCTGCAGTGCATTCAGGGTGGAGGACTCACTTCTGTGAGTTCCCATGGATGATATGCCATACCCATCGAGCGTTGCCATGTTCCCCGAAAGCTGACATGAATCCCACTAGTTTTCGAAGGTTGTCCTCACCACAGGCTTGGGGTTCTCGAGTCGGCAGTCGACACTGATGGGCATGCCTTCGAACGCCATACACTTGGTCTCCGTGATCCTTGCGTGAGTTTAGAAAGACATAAATTTCTCTCGCATGGTTATGCGCGGTGCTGATAGCCGCACGGCAGAGGATGGTTCTGCAGCCGCTACCGCAATACCAGATGCTACATGATGATTGCGACCAATGTCATCGTCCTCATCGGTGCCGTCTTGATTGACAGTACGCACGCCCCGTGGCTAATCAAAAACGGCGTATTCGGCCAAGAGCATTGTTCAGGACTGACATGAGAACTATCTAGATCTTCCCGCTTCGAATCACAGTGGCCGCCTTGCAGCGTTCTACAGTCAGTAAACCACAGCACTTGCTCCCCGTCCAAGGTCACCATACTAATGCTCCTCTCACTCCAGTCCTCTACGTTAACACGGTGCCTTTCGGCTTGGGGATGAGCATGATATCCTCCAATGTCGCCGGGTTTACTAAAAAGGCAACCGCTAGTGTGAGTTCTGGCGCGACGTTGAATCCTGAACGCGATGATCTCCTCTCATGGCTTCGCTTCTCGGGAACTCTGTTTTGCTGATCCTCTCTCTGTAATCCCTGGCAGGTCCTCATGTTCGTCGGCTACTGTTTGGGCCAGTTCTGCGGGCCTCTGTTCTTCATTGCCTCTGAGGCACCCTACTATCCGACCGCCTTCCGCACCTTCTACGCGTCGGTGTCGCTCATGATTGGGATTGAGCTGATGCTTGTGTGAGTGCTCTCTTCCCTTTATACACAGGTTACATGTGCTGACTAGAGTCTTTTGCAGGGCTTATTATATCCGTGAGAACCGTCGAAGGGACGTGAAAGAAGCAGAGGCCACAGGTACTGCTGGAAGACAAGAGAGATCTCAGTTTCAGGATTTGACGGACTGGGAGCAGCCTCAATTTCGATATGTCTACTGAGAAGAAAGGTACATGATTGGGTTATGCTTGACAAGACGTGTGGGAGACATGCACATATCGCACATTCTATACCTCGCCAGATAGCTATTTTCAGACTCTAGATGAGCAAGGACGTTGCCAGTCGCACGATACTTACGGGTGAAGCAAGTTGCTTGCAATGCTGTGGTCTGAGTGATTTGCCAGGCCACATCTATTCTTTGTGTTGGTACCACGATTGCATATGACTATATTGCTAGCACTCTACCGTATCTTGATCCCTTGAGGAGTACTTTTGTTTCACTTTCTTTCGTGTGATCCCCTTCATGATTCACATCTCAAGACCTGAGGGGATCGTGGCTGCGTGCGGGGTAGCGTGGGACTGCGCACCCTCTTTAGAATTCCAAGGTTGTAAGTGTAGAGCCCCGGCCGGTCTACCCGGTCGACGACCTTATCAATGCCCCTTTGCCTTTGTTTAGCACCAGCGCCACCAACATACAATCACTCTTCATCGGCTATTCGAGTGACACGACAGGCTCTGCCCGGACATTAACCATACTTTATCACTCTTGCGTGATGCCGCCACAGCACTGTCAAACCTGCGCAAGGCGGAAGCTGGACTGTGACGAGCAACGACCGCGGTGTTCCTCATGCCGCCAGTCCCACGTCAAATGCGTCTACGCACAGCCTCGCGCTGTCATCGGCTTCCGCAACGAGACGGAGCTGGTCAAGGCACGTGCTTCGCATCCGGGTCCCAGACGACGGCTGCCTCGCCACACTTGGACTGACGGCACGACGCCAGAGGGAGAGCATGAGATGCACATTGCCGCCATGGCTCAAGTGGCCCACGACGATGACACGCCAAGACAGTCACAGAACACGATGGAGTCTAAGACAATGGAGGATGACTGGTTTCTCTTCCACGACTTTGATGCTTCCGAGCTCGACATTGCTGTTGCCGACATGTCTGCCATCTTTGGCGGCCCCGAAGACGTCAGTGTCAGTGACCCCGGACCCGTCGTGGAGACGTCCTTGGACCTCGCCATCCCAACTCCATCGCCGATCACGAGGGAAATTCTGGCTGCTCTTTCCGCGGAACTAGCCACCAGCATCAACACTCCATCTCCGTCTACCGTCTCGATCTCTGACCACGTGCTCGCGCAGCACTACAAGCAGAAGCTGACGGGGCGGTACAGCTCCAAGGACCCGGCGTGGAACTACTACGTGCATTTCTACAACCGCTTCAGCAGCAGCCACCCCTTTGTGCTGTCGGCCCTGTACGCGTGGACGTCGGCTCACCTATTCTGCACGGGGATCCTCAAGGCAACCACAGACGCCTTGAGCCACTATCACAATTGTCTGGCTGAACTACAGAGGTGGTTTGGCCTGACGATCGATCGTCCTTTGGATCCACTTGACTCGGGGCTACAAGAGATCCAAACGACCGACGACGACACTCTCGACGCAATCACAGTCGGCCTCTACTTTCTTGCCTCGACAGACCTGATGCTAGGCGACTTTGGTCGGCTCCGACGAGTCCTGGACCTCGAAGCCGAAATCCTCCTCGCTCAAGGACTCGGCCCACAGCGGCCCCAGCTCAAGCTCGGCAGATTATCCACCGTGGCGGCGATGTGGTTTTGCTACCTCGACGCGCGCACGGCATCTTTCGGCATGCGGGCGACGAGCATCCTGCAAGCGATGGGCGGCGAGTCCGGGATGGTGCAGGCGACTGGGGCAACCAAGGACCTGCTGCGGAGCGAGTACAGCCCGATATACCCGTCCCAGCAGCAGCAACGGGACGAGGTCCATCTGCCACTGCTCAAGACGATGAATAGGCTGGTGGCCATCTACGGGCATATCTCTCGACACTACTTCGCCAGCAGCACCGGCAGCGGCAATGACAACTCCGACACCATTGACCCTGTCACGGTTGAGACCATGAGGCACTCGCTGAGCGAGATCCGCGAGCAGCTCAACCTCCATGCCACCTCATACTCAGAAGACAAGCGGCTCCCACCCTCATCATATTACACGACAAGCGCCCTGTACCACGGCGTCGAGATATACCTCTCCCGCATGGCCTTGCCAGCCGCACCCCTTCACGCAGCCGACGCCCACGGGCAGGCAGTTGTGCGCTTGACTGAGGAGATGTATCGGACCCTCAACCTACCACGTACGGAGCCGCCGCCGACCAAGATGTGGCCGATCCCGCTAACGCTGGCGGCCATAGAGACCAGCGATGCCGTGTACCGGTCCTGGGCGATGGAGAAGCTGCACGCGTACACGCCACGCGCGGGCGCGCACTATGCCAGCTCGGTGCAGTTTGCCGAGAAGGTGTGTGCCGCGGAGGCGCACAGCGGTGTCCGGGCCGATCTCGCTGCCGTGGCGAGAGAGATGGGCAAAGTCTTTGTCCTCTAGTGAGTCTAGTCTGGGTGTTGTGAGCCCAGGCGCAGTGAGGCGTCGCCGAAATGTCCCAATCCGGACACTTCTGCGCGATCCCCCCAGTCGAGCGACTAGACGCTGCACTTGCGCAGGGAGCAATGGCTCGACAAGATAAAGCAGACGGGAGCATTTGCGAAGTTCTCTGATTAGTCTCAGCTGTACGAGCACCTGGTGCAATCATTCCAGCCAACATCGGCGACACCAGGCATCCATCATGGGGTCTGTTACTCTCCCTTCTCCTTCAGCCCCTGGCCCAACATCGCCATCATCCCGTTACTATCAACACATCATTGTCCATGGCCTCCCATACGACCGCGGCTACTCGCACGGGACACAGTTGCGGACCAAGATCCACGCCAACATCGCATACTACAAGCTGCCGGGCAAGCTACCACACCCGACAATATGCGCCGCGATCATCCGCGAGAGCTACCTGCCCGCCCTCGAGGCCAAATACCCTACCGGACTTGACGAGATGAGAGGCATTGCCGCCGGTGCCGAGGTGCCCCTTGAGGATATCGTCATGCTCAACGCCCGCTACGACCTCGCCCGCTGCATGTATCTCCTCCACGACGGCGGCAGGACGCCTCATCTCGACATGGACGCTGTTCTTGAGAACAGTGATGACCACAAAACCACCATCATCAACAACGACGATGACGAGCACAAAAATGGCCAGGACGAGTGCACGGGAGCTTTCTTCGCCGCAGAGGTTATCGCCTCGGGCCACGATCTCGCCGTGCACAACTGGGATATGTCGAGCCACCTGCACGACCAGGACCTCATCATCTACCTCGAAGTCCGACCGCACCCCTCAGAGCGCCAGCCAGCCATGTTTATCCTCACCGAGGCCGGCCAGCTCATCCGTAGCGGCATCAACACCGCCGGGCTCGCGGTCACCGCGAATTCGCTTCTCTGCAGCACTGACCACGTGCCTCTGACGTCCTACCTCGGCGTCGAGGGCACCCTTCGCCACCCACCCTCCCCAAGCCCGACACCAACCATACCCATCTCCCTCGCCCGTCGTGTGTTCCTCGAGCACACAAACTACGCCACCGCCCTTTCCGCAGTACACGCCCTCCCGCGCCATGTCTCGGGAAACCTCACCCTCTGCAGCGCCGGCGGCGCCGCCATATGTCTCGAGCTCACCCCCGGCCGGACCTACAAGTTCTACGGCTCGCACATTGACGACAATTACCTCGTCCACAGCAACCACTTCCTCAGCCCATCCTTCGGCACCCAATCTGGCGCGGTATTCGACCGCTCGCCAGGGGGGAGCACATGGTTTCGGAACCGACGCGCCGAGCAAAGGGTTAGAGCGGCGTGCAAGTCCGGCTTGCTGACCAAGGAGCATATCCGCGCCGCGTTCTCGGACCACTTTGGTTTTCCGCATAGTTTGTGCCAGCATGCTGATCACGAGGGGGCGAAGAATGGGCCAAGTCACGTGTTGACGGGGTATACGTCTAAGCTGAGTATGACGGTCGCTTTCGTTATTTATGATTTGACAGAGAGGAAGATTACTGTTTGTAAAGGGACGCCTTGTGAGGGGTTTGTAGAGGAGTACAGCCTGAAGGAGAAGGATGGGTGGTGAGCTGGATACACTGAGGGTAGTGAAACGTTCTTTAGTCACGCTAGGCCGGGAAACCAGAACTTATCGATTACTCATCGTTTCCAGTGTTAGAGCTTGTGCTGTCGGTGACATGAACTGTGTAATCTGGGTGGTGGTAGAATGTAGACACCCTTCGGTCAACTATTTGAGTACATAATCGAGAACAGGCATCCGTATGGTATGCCACCGAGGAGTGCTGTACTGCTTGTAGACCTCGGCCAGGCGCACTGTATGCCACGATACAGTTGATTGGGTAGTTATCATTATTATGGTTTTACCAAGCCGAGATCACGCATTACGGCAGCGGCGCCATCAGTGTTCGCACTGCCCACCGTGTCAGCAGCTACGGGCTTTGATTTGAGGAACTGCCGCACGTCCACAGCCTGACCCCCCGTGCGCGCCTTGCTGTGCGACTCAGCCCTGTGTATGTGCGTGAGTGTTTGACTGTGAGTGATGTCTCGTTGGGGCTGACGTGACTGCGTACGCTGGACCGTAGCCAATGGAAACTCCTCCGGCTGCACTACTTGCTGCAGTCATCCCATTGGCCATGCGAGCCAGAACCTTCGAGGTGTCGCTGGGTTGCAGGGAGGGCGGTGGTCTACTTCTTGGCCAAAGCCAGCAGCTTGTGGCTGTCAAATTTTGACTCTGGCAGGTATCTACAGAGATGCAAAGCGGGCATTCGCAATTGTCGTCAGGCCAAGCTATTAGCCACAGAGATGCCTGGTCTGGCCGTAATATCTGATGCAAAATGAATACCCCGCACTAACTAGCTTGGAATGCAATGACTACCACCTGTGATACTCAGCTATCTTGACAAATTCAGATTGCGGTCGCTCTCTGACGGGGTTATTGACATTGATTCAGACGTTTCCGGTCCTTGTTGATAATGTTGATGAATTCTACTGCAGGCTGAGAGCTTCCATCATGATTCCCCTGCGGACTCTTTTCGCCAAGGTACTGATCATGTGGACTGATATCTTTGGTCAAATTGCAGCCATACTTCAAGAGAATACGCGATGAAGTGCATGATCACTTTTTGTGCTGCTTGTCCCATGAGGTTCTCCTTGGAGTGGAAAGAATCGCGAGCTTGCTTCGTCCAAATATATTCGTGCCTTTGCTAATATGTGACCAAAATGTGTGGGCAAAGGGCCCCGGATGTCATTCGCGAGCACCTCCAGCGCCTTGAGTTATGGCCACAACAATTCGATCCTGTGTCAGCGGCCGAGCGGCCTGCCCCCGCAGGTTCAGCCAAGGACATAAAAAAAGTCCTGGGCTGACAGTTTGCAACCGAATAACGTTTTGAGTCTGACCTGCACCAGGACCCGTCGGGCAAGATCTACACCGTCGACTACCATGACAAATACTCAAGTCTTGTGCAACACACCTCGGACTCCACTGACGACGGGGTTACGAAGCCAATGATCGGTATCAAGGACGCAGACACGACGCCTGCCCAAGGGTCCGCAACGGCATCCGTGTTCCAGCATAATGCGAGCAGTCAATCAAGGTGGGGAGTCGCGTGCTGAGTACCTCTATGTGAGATGGTGGCTAGACCACGTAGTCATGGTCATGTTTCCAGGACTAAGTGGCCTGTCCTTGTATTCAGCAAGATGTATTGATTTGGTTTCCGTATATAGCAGAAGTTCTTGACTTGGCCCAGGGATTGCGAGGCCATGTGAGCTGGTTGTACGGCGGCCACGCTTATGCAGATCCTCCCTACTGTGTCCGCTCCATGCTTCTTCATCCCCAGCGGTGCTTGGAATGGGGGATGATAGACCTGACACTAACTTGCGCTCACAAGGTTGAGCAGCCACGATGATGGGTCCCGGTTCGGTATGCTCACTCGTAGATAACGTGGGCTTATTTCCGGAAGCCGCTGTTGCCCCTGCTGGTGGGAGTTTGATACGATCACGAACGCAAGGCAAACCCGCCGTGTTGTTGTTTCACGTGCCGTGCCAGCCAGGGTGCCTCCACACCACTGATCTGGGCGAAATCGGCACCACTGCATACTGTCTTGGAAAGCCGCTGTCATTTGTGCATCGCCGTCGTGCGGCCTGTCTTTGTTCTGCACAGTCCAGCATCAACTTTACAGTGCTCCAGTCAAGCATTTGCAGCGATTGACCAGCGCTGGAGAGGACCCGCCGCGTAAAGCGTTGTCATTACGCATATTTGCTGGTTGTACAGCTTGATGGCTGCATCGATCATCACAGCGGAGGGCAAAATTAGCTCGAATGAGCTGTCCATAAAGGGCGGGTCCCAGAACTTTGGCAGTCACTCATGCCCGGGGTCCTCCAACTGCCGTCGGGTGACGAGCATCCCCTACCGTGTAATTGGTCCCCTCTGCGGCCAGGGAGGAGATGGTGGCATAAGCAGCGAAGGATCAAGTAGTGCAATCCACAGAGTTTGGGGACTCCGAAAGTGGGTATCCCGGGCGAATCCTTTGTTCTAGGACCGTTGCTCTTCACCTTCAGTACTTAAGGCAGCTCATGGTTGTCGTCCTTTGTCCGGTACAGCATCTATTGAAACATTGCAACTCGTCGTCAGTCGTATCATTCCATCCACAATGGACCCCAACATGCTCTTCACAGACAAGATGCAGCTCCTTGTCCCCATCGGGGCATTGTTAGTCGGCGCGATGGTCATAGTTCCGTGGCTGTCGCCAGGATCCGCTTCGACAGAGTTCCCTCTTGCTGGCGAGGAGCTGGGCACGTCGGAGAAGCGACGAAAACACTTTATTCGGAGCGCAGTACAAATGCACGCCGATGCATATAAGAAGGTGAGTAATGAAGACCCTTGATTTTGCCCTGAGAGTGGTCATTATTCTGATGGCAAAGCTATGCAGTTCAAGAATCAAATATACCGAATCAACGAGGCGGAAGGCAAGTGGAAAGCATCCACAACACTGACCAAATCCACTGTCCGAGTCTGCAACCTTTTCATCTCGACCGCTGGCTCACTATATGTTTGCGTGCAGGAGAAGTCATTGTGCTTCCAATCTCTTACGTGGAGGAGTTGAGGAACATGCCCGACACAATCATCAACAATGTAGAAGCCCTCAACGAGGTCAGTTCTTTGCACAGTCGCGTTCGGCTTGATAGGCCAAGAGCGACGCTGACAATACCAGACCCTTCAAACTCACTACACAGGCCTCAATTCTTACAATCCACTCATGAATCATGTCATTCGTTCCGACCTCACCCACAATCTGCCGAGGATCAACCATCTCCTCTCCAAGGAAGTTGCCCAGACAGTACCTGAATACCTCGGCAAACATCGGGAGTGGACAAGAGTCAACATCAACGAGAAGCTTTTAAAGATGGTGGCCATCATCTCTGGCCACGTCTTCATCGGTCCTCAGCTCAACCGCGACGAAAGATACCTGGATGCGAGTATAAACTACACGGTCGACTTATTCAAGGCAGCAGGAGAGCTGCAGAAGTGGCACCGACTGATCCGTCCCATTGGCAAATACTTCATCCCCAGCGTTCACCAACTACACGAGCAGAGGCGCCGTGCGAAGGAGTTCCTGGTCCCCGTCGTTCAGAAACGCAGAGCTCTCCGCGAGGCGGGTGAAGAAGTGCCGGACGATATGCTACAGTGGATGATTGCCAAGGCCGACAAGTTCAACGTCAGTGACGACGGGGATATAGCCGAGACACAGCTCACACTCAGCCTTGCGGCCATCCACACAACCACGTTGACGGCCACGCACGTGTAAGCTAGCACGATTTGTTGAATCAAGTGCAACACCGCAAAGCTAATTATGAGGATCCAGCATGTACGATCTCATCGGAAACTGCGCAGAGGTCATTCCGGAAATTCGCAAGGAGATCGCAACCGTCATGGCTGAGAACGACAATGTCATGACGACGCAGGCGCTCTACGAGATGAAGCTCCTGGACTCAGCCATGCGCGAGTCTCAGAGAATGAATACGACCGGCCCCACGCGCTTCCAGCGCCGCGTCAAGAAGGACGTTAGACTCTCCGACGGAACCTTGCTACCTGCAGGGTCGAATATCTCCGTGCCTCACACGGAGACGCTCTCTGATGCAGCAATCTACTCGGAGCCGCACAAATTCAATCCGTACCGCTTCTATGATATCCGTGCTGGCAAGGTCGAGGACCCTCTCAACTACACCAACAAGGAGCAGTATCAGTTCATCAGCGTGAGCAAGGAGAACATGGGCTTCGGCTACGGCCGGCACGCGTGTCCAGGGCGCTTCTTCGCCGCCAACGAGATCAAGCTTATGCTGGCACGCATCCTGCTCGACTATGACATCAAGATGCCCGATGGCGTGCGAGGGCGCTACCCTAACATTGTCAGGGTGTCGGCTGTGCTGCCGGACCCGACCAAGGAGATCATGTTCAACTACGTCGGAGAGGAGTAAATCAAGGTTGTTGTCGGTGTTTACGTTCCGCCGCTTTTCTATGTAGGTTACGACCAAAGCCAGCAAGGCCTGTTCCCCTGTGTTTGATGTGGTTTGCCGAGTACATATGACGCCAAAGCATTCTGCATTAAAACCCAGAGCATCATCTCAATGACCCAAGGTCTACAGGGCTACTTAAAGTTTGCAAATGACAAATATTGTTAACGTCAAAGTTCTTTTGCGGGCACTTCGTAGCCGGCCAAAAGTGGCCAATCTAGTCCCTTCGCCCAACCAACCAACGACTAAGATCAGATGGAGTGGGGACTGGGCGGGCCTGAGCCCAAGTGCCGACGCCATGGTGATTCTTAGCTACAATAGTAGATCACCGGAGTCCAGGGGCTGTGATCGTGTGCAGCGCAAAGTGCCGGCGCCAGCACCCGTGCCGGGGTGACCGGGGCCTCCGCACCCGCAGCCGCCGTCCCCATAATTTGCCGGTCTGGTGCGGTCATAATGACATTGCCCCCACGGAATCACGGTATCATTCTACCACTGCGGGCGTCACCACTTGTCGAGGAGGCTCGTGTTTGCTCAGTATGGCCGTTGTGCTCCTGTGGCAACTGACGAGTCCAATCCGCCAAGATGAAAGCAATTGATGTCTGTCATGTCCACGCCCATGGACGCCATCGCCTGATGCTGTTGAATGTCCCAGGAAATCGCCAGCCAGACCTGTCTTGAACAAGGAAGAAAATATTGACTGCCAGCAAGCCAGTCTGGCTCGATACGCCAGTACCCTAAAGCCGATATCAGAGGGTCAAGTTTGGAGGCTCCCTAAGCCAAAAGTCTCCCAGACAGCCATAAGGTTTCCTATGCCACGTGGCATGCTGGATGTGCCTGGAACAATTCCTCCGCCCGCGGAAGCATCGGGGGAATCATCGCCAGGTGTGCAGGCTCGGGTGGGCCGATCGGTGCAACCTTGAACGGTTCTTGCTAATGACCAAGGGGCCCCTTGCATGCCCGGAGCGTTTCCCACAGGCTCGGCGCTTGGCTCGCTTTGGCGACAAGCTATCTGCTTGTGGTGAGGGAGGAGCACCGATTCGAGACCCAGCGCACCCCAGTCAATTTGTTCCTCCAACGCACAGTCGCTGTCATCATAACCCAGCGCGCTACCAGGGATGTCTGTAAATTCTGTAGAGTCGCATTCCACTCTCCCAGGTCATGCTGTCATGATGATTCGGCCATTCGGCAGCAACACGAGCAGCTGCTGTCGGCAAGCTGGAACCTTTCATCATCTGCCGGCACTTCCAGGTCAAGCTCGCAAAGGACCATTGCCCTTCAGCCGTGGCCGAATCATGACGTGTTGACACGCTCAACGTCACCAAAGCTCAGTGCTTCAATTGACCATGTCAGGCACGGAGTGAAACAGATATAAGTCAGGCATCGTCGGCCGCTGGGTAGACAGCCACATCGTCCATTCGGAATGACACGGTCGATAGGAACACACTAGCTACACAGCCCAACATGACCAGATACAACTTGGCCAGGCTCACGCCTGCGCTGGCTCTCTTCGGGCGCGCTGCTGCCATCCCCTTTGTGTCAGACGCTACGACTACTGTGTCATCGGCGGCACCAACGACACTCTTGCCAGTGCCCGTCACCAATGTCACCTCCCATGGTCCGTACACAGGCCCGCCGCCAACCACCACTGGCGCCTTATCCACCGATGTTCTGGCCCCGTCCATCCCTGCTCTCCCGCCCTTGCAGCAGAAGTACGACTATCCAGCTGATGGCAAGCTCCACGCACCGGAGCCGGCGCCATACACTCCGAATGACGGCTTGGGGACGAATGGTAGCGCACCCGTGTACCGCGTGCAGAGTGACTTCGACTACCAGTCCCTCGCTCTGGCTTTGTACCAGGAGTGGATCGAGCTTGACCTCTTCCACCATGGGCTGGCCAAGTTCTCCGAGGAGGAATTTGAAGCTGCGGGCCTCACGGCCAAGGACCGCTATCTAATCCAGTTCATGGCGGAGCAGGAGGTTGGTCACGCGACGGTAGTGACCAACATGCTTGGTCCCGAGGCACCCAAGCAATGCACTTACAACTACCCCTACACCACTGTCCGCGAGTTTGTCGACTTCAACCAGAAGCTTACCCGCTTCGGAGAGTCTGGCGTCTACGGCTTCCTCAATCACCTCGATTCGCGCGAGGCGGCGACTATCCTGCTACAGTCCATCACCACGGAAGCTCGCCAGCAGATGATCTTCCGCCAGTTCAACGGCCAGTTCCCGATGCCCGTGTGGTTTGAGACCGGCATTCCGCAGTCGTGGGCATGGACTCTGCTCGCCCCATACATCTCGTCGTGCCCCGAGAATCAGACTCGCCTGATCTGGCAGAACATCCCCAAGCTCACCGTGCTCAACCAGCCCAATCCCGCTAGGACCAATGGCAGTAATGTCTGGAATGACACTATTCCTGGTGATTACCTCAACACTCTCAGCACTGCTAACATCAGCTCAATGGCGGCTTGTGGCAATGATACCTGCGCTCCCGCCATCACTAATAATCGCTCTATCCCCTTGTCCTACCCTGGTCGTCAGGTCTTCCTGTCCTGGGATGATCCTGGCCAAGCTGTTGGTCCCAACAACAGTTACGTCACGTCGACAACTGCGGGTATGCCCAAGTTCGCTGCGTGGGTGTCCCAACTCAACGTTACTTATTCCCCGCTTGAGTACATCAGTGGCAACTCGGCGTACACTATTCAGCCCAACGTTTCCACAATCGAGGGTGACCCGGCCATCAATGGTACCATGTTCCTTGCCGTGACGGATTTGGACTTATTTGTAACCCCATTCAACATAAGTCAGATCAATCCCCACGTTCGCGCCTTGACCATTTACCAGGCTGGCTAAGCCCAGCAGAGATCTGCGCGCGAGATAGGGTGTTTGACGATTCAAATCCGTGTTGAAAAGTTCATGTCGAGGAGACTGAAAATGGTGCGGACCGTTGGATCGTTACGGTGGATGCAACTAGGGGCTGAACACGGATGTTGTATGACTTATTATATACTGTATCCAGGAGATATCGCGACTCAACTCGTGTCTTTTTTAACCCGTGACCGACAGTGCGTTAAGTATGGAATTATAGTCAGGTGGAGGTCATCACATTGAGCTACATTCATATGCCTTTTAGATTTCCCTGTCTACTTTTCAAAATGTGGACGAGTCTCGTCGTGAGGGAGATGTGTGCGCCCGACATTCGTTCACGCAAACCAGTAGTACTGTCGTGACGAGGTAGATTCCCTCGAACCACCTTTCAGGTTTCCCTGTCAGTTGATACAAAATCCGATGTGCAGTGGTTTCATAAAAGTCATGGACTGTCAGGTCAGTGTTGAGCGAGCTGCTTTCCATAACATCTAAGAGTCTAGAGTTTCTTGTCAGCCTCCTATTACGGGAAGTTTTGTGCACCAACACTTTCACCCCACAACCTCTTTGTGGTTTACAGGTTGTGGTACTTCACCCAAACCGTACCGACTGGAACTTTCAAGCTCATGACTTCCTGCTGGCGTGAAATAATGATTATGCCACCCCACATGCAGCTCTTGAGGTTGCGGCTGGTGAAACATTTCCGCCGGACCATGCTGATTGAAGTAGTACTCGTATTGCTGCCGCTGGTAGGGGTCCATATACTGCAGCCCAGACGAAGCTGTGTGGTCAGCTTGGCCGTACTGGTTGAAAAGATGTTGTTGCTGCTGCCCTCGCCAGAAGCCACTGCCGGTGCGCACGCCCACAGTGAACAGTAACACAAGGGCTATCAGGACAAAGAAGTTTTGGATTATGCCCTTAGCAAGGACCAGGTTGCCGAGGAAGCTGATGCGCAGTCCCGTGCTCACGGCCTGTCGCATGATGATGCTGTTGCACACCATGCTTAACACTGCCGATACATCAGCCAGCACGGCTGCAGCTAGAAGAATGCCCGGGACCTGGAGGGTGAATGTGCAGTGCTCGTCAGCGGTGAATCTGCAGCTGTTATCTCAAGGCAAAGCACTGCTGCGAATGTGCGTGCATATGGGATTTATGGAAGGCCTTGTCGACTCACATTTATAGACCACTGCAGGTCACTTCGAATTCGGGTCATGTGTATGATCTTGATGGGCAGCCACACTGCGCAAGCGAATCCTACCACGAGGACTATGTCAAAGACTAGTGCGAGACTGATCGCAAGCACCTGCTTCTGCTGCGAGTTGTCGCTTATCCCTAGTACGGATACGGCGGTGATTGCGACAGCCAGAACGAGTTCGAACAGCAGTGCCACTAGTGTCACCATGTATCCCTTCTTGGCGCCTGCGGGCAATTTCGATTTTCTCGTTGTCGCGGCTGTCGGCCCATCGTTGAGGCTCGCTGGCTGCCAGAGCGCAAGGACGCCCAAGCCTGCACTCACACACAGACCAAGGAGCATGAACAGCGAGAGGCGCAGAGCGAGTGAAGAGACCGCAGCGAGGACGCCAGTGAGCAGTTTCGATCCCCCATTTCGCCGATAGACCGCGTCGACCAGAGCCAAACTTGTTGCACTGAAAGCAATGGTCCCGTGTGTTAGTGCGTGCATTCGAGTCCGGAACGCAGATGAAGCAGAAGGCAGGGTGAACATTACCCAAATAATGGTTGCTAATGGATATTTGACCAGTGTGAACGGTTTTCGCGCAGGTTCGTGGAACTTGCGCAGAAGCACGCAGCTCGTGACGGCCAATCCCAGGGCGGGCAAGGCAACGAGCCCAGCAAGCGCTGCCTGAATCACGAAAGTTGTGTCTGCCATCCGGTCCTTGTTTTGGAAGGGCCTGCCTGAGGGATGGATGTATGAAGGGGGGAGCCATTGCGTATTTAGAAGAAGGCTCTGAGACAAGCCAAGCATGCTCTCCGAGGAGCTGAACCCAATCCCTGCTTGACATGCTGCTCGGAAGATGCTCCCTTGCATAATCTACGCAATTGGATACAAATGGCCATCGCCCCTGGACACAGCCAGGACCTGAACCTTGCAGGTCTGCCCTACTTGGCGGAGACCTGCATGGCACAGCCACCCGAATTTGCCCACACGAGCTTGAGGTGGCGACGAGAAGCTAGACCAGTCCAATTCAATTGGCGTGCATGTTGGCGTCGAGAAGTGAAGCAGCGATTGGTCAGCCTTGCCAAAGCTGTGTCGCGCGTGAATGTGAGCGGATCAACTGAAGCCCTAGCTGGTCGCGGATCGACAGTCCCTGATTTACAACCCCCTCCCAGGCGAGCCGGACTGTGGTGAAGACAATACATTAGAGCATGCTGAACAATGTTTATATGGATAATGCAGGATGGGATCTCGAGGATGTGGCACCATCCCGTGTACAGTGTATAACCCCACGGCATTGTGCTGCGAGCCTTGGACGCGGGTGGGCACGGTCAAAGGTGTCGCTATGTACTACCTGAGACGAGGAGGCAACAAAGTTGCTCTGATGCGACAGAAAGTCTCAGCCTGGCAGCAGGGATGAAGAAGAGAAGTGAAGAAAGAGAAAGGAAAAGGGAGCCTAACGCCTTTTGAGCCGCCACACCATTTAGTAATGACGTCTTATCACTACGTCCACCCACAGGTTGAAAACAAAGTACCAGTGGTAGTTAATATGCATACACACTTTTTTCTTTCACATTAGGTGTATGCTGCACAATCATCGGAGAGGGTGTAAACAGACTCCCGATCCACAGGCAATGTACCCTCAAGATTTGCAGCGTAATACAACCGAGAGACCTCGTTGAGACGTGGAAAAGGGGCTGTAATAAAAAGGATCTACTACGGACTAAACATTTGTAGGCAATGTAAGTATAGGAGGCACGTCGATGCGTGTATGGTCGATAGAGAGAGTATTCCCTTCTAATTGTTGTGATGGTATGCATTCCTCTCAAAGGCGTAGAATCTAAATGATTTAGAAATATATTCAAGAGGACATGTCTAAGGTTGCCGGGCGGATCCGTGGACTATCTAATGAGCGAGCGAAGTCTTTGCAGTATTACTTCCCTCTCCCTTCCAATCGACGAGGCCACTGAAGTCCGATCACTTTTACACGACCTATTATTGCTAATGCTAAGCATCAGCTATTCATCAAACGCTGCATGTGGCACACAAAGCACTTTGGTGGCGGCAGTTGAGCAAGAGGAGCCTCTCTAGAGTTCCTCAAACAATTAAAAATGGGAGGCTGTTCTAGACAATTTTAACACTGATCCTTGGTTTTATTCTAGCCCGACCCAACGTCACCGAAGCTCTTTCAGGTTGGGAGTCTATTGGTTCTGCTGGAAATGCATGCTCTTATAGGTGGTCTCTCAATCGCGACCACGCGTATCTTTCTACGAGGACATTTTAGAGGACATACTGAGGTCAGCTCAATCTGGATGCGCAGTTGGGCACCCAGCACAACCAGTGCTCGGCCAACCAAGGGACGCAAATACCAGGCCTCGGCAGCGGGGCAGGGAACCGCAGCGTTGTCATCATCCTCATTGATACGGGTCAGACGTTCCGGTTCGGGTGCTCACCCTGCTAACACGCGGCGAGACTGCACGGCACCTATCTATCTCTCTCTCGCTCGGCGAGGATTCCAGCCTCGGCCCCCACGTGGGGAGCCAAGCTGGGCGGGCATACATTTGGAGGTTATGTTGAATGCGCCGAGAACTGTCAGCTTATTTCATATGCCCGCTTAGTAGTGTTATTGGCTGCCACGCGGAGCTGGGGCCCATGCTAAATCGCGCGCACAGCGGAAGGACGACTATAAGAAAGGAGAACCTTACGACGGGCCGCCCAATGCGAAGTCAACCAAGAAAAAACACGAAGAAACAACAAGAACACAAGGAAAAGCCAGCAGACAAAATCAGCAAACAACGAAAACATGACCTTTCTCGACCGTCACCCAGCCCTCACGCCACAGGACGAGGCCTTCCTCGCGGCCAACCCATGGATTGCGAAGCTTTACTATGATCAGGCCCGCGCGGTACCCTTCAGCCCAGGCAGCCGACACGTAGAGCCTACGCCGCCCGTAATCGCGCTATACGAGCGCCTCTTCTCGCGGACGCTCCGCGACTCGGGGGCCGTCCCGCTCTGCCTGGCTTGGCATGCGCCGCTGGACTTTGAGAGCGCCGAGGCCGCTGTCGCGGAGCAGGATGCTGCTGAAGCAGACAGGGCAGACAAGAAAGAGGTTGAACAGAAGGAAGGGGAGATCTATCTCATTCCCGAGATAACAATGGCGTTTGATCTCGGCGAAGGGATGCGCGGATACCACGGCGTTGCACATGGGGGTATATTTGGCCTACTAATCGACGAGTGTGTCGGCAACTACCTCGCTCTAAACCAGGCTACAAGCTATACGGTCGAGCAGGGCGCATTTGGTCAGCAGAAGGCCCAGTCGCTATCTAAAAGACTATGCGGGCTCGGCGGGACTACGGCCTTTACGGTCGGCATGGACGTGCGGTTCTTTAGGAAGATTGATGTACCGGCCGCGGTAGTAGTGAGGACTTGGCTAGGAGGCTACACAGGCCGTAAGTTTGTGGTTAAGAGTGTTATCGAGGGCAAGGGCGGGGTGAGGTTTGCGTCTTGTGACTCGACGTGGGTTGTCGTTAAGGTTCCAAAGAGCAAAATTTGAGATCTATGAACGGGCTGTCTTACGTCAAGGTCTAGGCATAGCTGGTGAAGATGCCACCCATACATGCTATGATGCTATTGCCACTTTCACAGTCTATGTATTATAGACCTTTAACTATTTTCTTACTCGCAGTGTCCTTTCTAAGGGTTCTCCTCAAATTCAGGATAGCTTTGGAGCTAGAGAGAATCCATGCTTGGAACCCGTCGCAAGGTTAAAGTGAGACACGGAATACGCCAACTGCAAGTGAAACTCTGTGACGTCCCGATGGACAGGCGGCAAATTAATAGGCTGTATAGGGCTCCGCAAGGGACTCGCGATTATGCAGCGGCATAGAGTTCTATTAGTGTTGGCCACCGATTGGAGTTACCTCGTCAGATGGCGGGCTGAGAATCATAATCGTGATCAGCCTTTAGATCGGGACGTGTCTTTCGGCGCATGCTCTTGCCCCGCTAGCGTCCCCGTATAGCTAGACATGGCGCCTGTCAGTGTGTCTTGGTAGCTTGCGCATGCGTCATGGCGGCTTGTTGATGAGACATCGTCGTTGAGGGAGTGTCTCGATCCATCTCTCTTGCAAATCTCGCCGAATCGATTAGAAGCATTCGGAGCTATAATGGCGATAGATGGGCCACCGACAATCGATTCGACACATGCTGAATGGGATCGGCATTGCCACTAGAGAGCCAGTTTTGTCTGGTGTTACGCAATGAGGTTCGCAAGGCGTCACTCGGCGAACCTGTGCCGGAGAGACAGCAGCGAGAGTATATAAGCAACCATCTCTCCCGCTCTACCCGGAGCAGGACCTAGCTTGATCCGTTTCAAAGATTAGCAAACACGTAACCGCCTGTACCGCCGATCGTCATACTCTTTCAGACATCTCTTTATACAGTATTGCACCCCTTCCAACCACAGACACCATGAAGTTCTCCCACCTTCCTGTCTTTGCCGCTGCCACTTCGGCCACCCCCTTCGGAGCCCCCATTGAAAGGTCGAGCAACCTCGAGGTGCGCCAGGGAACCAATCTGGCTGCTGTTGTGCTTGGCTCGGTCAGCAACGTCGCCACCGCTGTTAACGCCAGTCTGGCCACGACACGTGAGTGCCCCTAAAAGGGCGTCTACCAAGCCTCCTCAATCCATCGGTCTGATCCATCATAATAGAGCAAACCATTCAGACCGCTGGCAACAACATCAATGTGCAGGTGCAGGCCATCATTGAAGCCAACCTCCGAGCCGTTGCTACTGCTCTGGCCAGCGGTGGCCAAGCTATCAGCAATGCCATCGCAGCCGCTGGTGGCAACATTGCCGCTGCTGTCGCCAACTTCACCGCCAGCCAGATTAACCAGGTAATCTTGGCCATCGGACAGCTCGTCAACCTGCTCACCAATCTCGGCATTAGCTTGGAAATCATCATCAACAACCTGGAGGGCGTCGCTCCCGCTGTGCTACAAGCTATCGATGACGAACTAGCCCTCATTCAGAACGCAATCAATCCTCTTGTCACCCCTATTGTCAATGTGGCCAATGCGGTTGGCGCGGTCAGCGCCGATGCCAACGTTATACTCACTGGCTTCACTGCTCTCGTTCCTGGTCTGGTCACCATTGTCAATAACGTCATCGACAACTCCTGAACAGCACAGGACAGATCATGGGCCCGTGTCTGAGCGGCAACTTCATGGCACATGAAGGCACAATGATATGCCAGCTCTTAAGATTGTGGGGACCATAGGCCGTCTAGGACTTGTCGTACTTTTGCTTCATGCTGGATGAGATATGGTGAAGATAAATGGCCACAGAAGGTTCTTTCGTTGCTACGTCTTGCCGATAGTCGGTTCCTTACTATTGCACAGAGAGCAATCCGTCCTTCTTTAGCTCCTGCAGAACAATCGAAACATGTCTATCACGAATCCCAAGCAGCTTCTGTATGTCCGTGCTGGATCTGTGAGTGTTTCATGCTTGTTTGCGCATGCCCGCCGTCGTATTTGGCCGAGCTGATGACGCAGGCTATCGTCTCGCAGCGAGAATTTAGTCATTAGGGACAGCCTCATCAACGCCTGCACCAGTGTCGCCACTCAGGGGAGGGTAGCAGCTGAAGTCATGGTCTGCCCTCCGCAGCGCTCTTCGTTCACAAGGCATTTCTTCCGGTCCAGCCAAGACGGACTGGCGCGTGCTGTCTCGAACATGTCATTATGCAAAGCGCTGACTGGGACGTACAGTGTCACAATGGTCCTTACTAATACACATCGGGATAAACACTCCATTTCAGATCTAGGATTCGAAATGCAGTATCAAACCCCCCTCCGCCTTCCCCGCCTGTGCAGCAGCACTGTCTCCAGATCCGGGACAATGCTAGTGACGCCAAGGCCTAGATCATAGTGTCTTCTCCTCCATCCCAATTCGCTTTCCGTTGGCACACCCTCTCCCGCCTCTCGCCCCGTTGACATTCTGTATCAAACCCCTCTGTCTTGTTCTGCAGTCAGATTCGCGCTTGCTTTTCTCGATCACACCTCAACGATGCGGGAGACATGGATGTATCAGACTGCCCCAACTCACCTTAGGACATGACCCGCCATTGCCACCCCCGGACTGGTCCACGCACTTGCATGTCTATCAAAAGACCGGACCCTGACTAGTCGACATGCTCGTCCGGGAACCTGATCGTGCGGCTCGGAAGCGGAGGTGTTTCCGGACGCCGGGGCTCGCTGCCGCCCTGGGTCTCAGCTCCAGCACCAACAGCGCGAATCACCGAACCGCCAATGCGGTGGACGGGTAGGTTGACGTTGGGAACCGAGTGGCGGGGACTTGCGTTTCTGGACCGCGAACGGCTGGCCGACAGGACAGGGAAGGCGTTGCTCACACGCTCGCGAATCCTGAAGCGCGAGTCCTGGTCGTTGTCGAGGGTCAGGGTGCGGGAGAGGGTGCGGGGAAACCAGAAGCCCAGCTTGCCCAGCGGTACACTGAGACCATGGACGACCTGCAAGATGGAGAATTGGGTCAGACTTGTGTCAGTGCGTAGCTGCGACATGTCCTGGCCGCATGCGCCACCGTGAAACGTCTACGCATGCCGAGGGAATAGAATCTAGATTGGGCAGGGCACTCACCACACTACACACGGCAACGAACCAGACAATGACCGTGGTCGCCTCCCCGAGATGCGCCACGTCCTCACGCGGGCTACCATCATGGCCCAGGCTCTCGATAAACTCGAGCGTGATGTAGAGGTAGAAGACACCAGAGACACCCACAGGGCCAAAGAACCCCATGAAGATGGCCTGGCGCAAGTCTTCGGTCTGCGGGATCCACCTGTGAGCCCCGAGGATGACGGGCGGGCGACGGAGCAGCAGGATGAGGATGCCAAGGGCGACGAGGCGGTAGAGCGGGACCACGTCATTGGTCATGAACTTTTCCCATGGGCACACTGCCCCGTACCACATGAAGATGGACACGTTGAGGAGCATGTCGATGGTCGGTTGAAGGGAGCTAGAACGTGGCAACTTTTGTTAATAATCTCAAGGCGTCACATGTCTTGGGTGCACTCTCGCTGCAGGAATGGTGGTCTGTCATACTAGATTGCAGAACGGTCGTTAGAACATTGCACATGAGGCCATCTTACCGCCCGGCATCACTTACCTCATCAAGCGTCTCAAGGCGGAACCAGTCATCCCAGGTGAAGGCGTTTCCAGCGATGAAACAAGCCAGGACATCGTCGCTCCCGATCATGCCACACGTGCCCGTGATGAACAATGCCAGCGAGATGGCAAAGACGAGAAAGCTCTCGCGATCCACCCACTTGTGTGTCTCTGCATAGTGGAGGAGATCCTTGGCCACCCACCCCACAACAGCACCGTACACAACCGAGAGAATGATGGTATATCCCCACGTCTCGCCAAACCACAGGCCCATGGCGGTGGCCGCGCCACCGGCCGCGCTGACGCCGCCGTCGCCCGTGTACTTGATCAGGTACAGCGCGAAAAAGAGAAACGGGTAGCCGAGGCCGTCATTGGCACCCGACTCGGCAATGATGATCTTCTGCAGCTCTTTTGGGACGTTGTGATCGGCAAAGCGGCCTTTGACGATGACGTTGGACAGGACCGGGTCGGTCGGCGTCACACAAGCACCAATGGCGAGAGCATGCAGAAAGGGAAGGTTAGGCACTAGCGCCCAGACGAGGAGACTGGTAAGCAGCCACATGATTGTCATGACTGGGCCGACTAGGAGCGAGAGAGGCTTCCATTCCTTCCGGAGGTAGCGGCTCGGGAGCTGAACACCGGCGAGAACAAGTTGCACGCCAAGCACGAGGCGCGAGAACGCCAAGGTTATGGAGTTGAGGTTGGTCTCGATACCCTGAGCGTACTCGATGGGCCGAATCAAGTTGGCGGCATGGGGAGAGAATGCCACGCCGGCGAGCAGAGAGATGACTGCGGTGGATCAAATGTGTCAGCTCGAGAAACATATCAAGGGGCCCAGCCTGCAGAACCGGGATACAAGGGTACGTACGAGCCTCGGAAAGGTAAAAGTTCTCCTTGAGAAGATATGACACTAGGCCAAACAGAGAGATCCAGCCACCAAGGACACTGACGACAATATTGAAATCGGTCAGCGCCAGAGTCGGCATCGTGGCCCTTGTTGCCCACTCGCCGTGGCGCAGGCCGCTTGGCTTAGCAAGGAAGGCCTGGGGCGAAACAAACAACGCACAAAGGATGTGCTTGGTGGGGTCGCAGGCTTGAGTGTGAGGCAAGCAAGCAGCAAGTGAGGGTCCGAGGTCAAGTGACGCCCGAGTCGTCCTTGGAGCTCCGCAGGGAGCGGTGGTAGTGATAGCCGAGAGGCACGAGAGCTAATGTTATTGGCGCATTTGTTCGTCGAGGGACAGAAGCGGCAGACAGCAGGGACGCCACTTTGCGGGCGGCAGGTGACGCGGGAGGCGATGACGGGCCGCGACAATGGGGCGGACCTAAGCTTGGGGTGTCTGGAATGCTGGAATGGCAGGAGGTGCAGCAAGTCGGCGGAAGCTTTCCCGGTGTCTCACTGGCGATGTGCTGGTGTATGGGAGGGTGTTGCCGCTGAGGAGCGTGCTGCTGCTTTCTTTGGCGGGAGTGAAGATTTGCTCGTGGAGGTGCAGAAGGACAGCTGAGATGGCGGAGCCGGTCTGGCGAGAAGAAGGAATGCAAGGGGCCGCGTGGAGGGACCTCGACATCAGGGGGCACGGCGGGGTCCCGGTGCTCTGCTCCGTGGGAAAGCTTATCTCCTTTAAGCAGCCCCCCGCCGTGATCTTGGCCACTCAATTTCCACATGCAAGTCCCTCCTTGGTCAGGTCAGGTTCGATTCGGCCCCGCCCAACGCACACGATGGGCCTAACTCATAAGCATTGTATTGCTCGTCTATGGGAGCTCGCGTGGAGGCGTGCCGCCACTACATAAGTGTGGTCAAGTAAAGGCTCGCCACATTTCGTCCTTAGAAGGTACATTTGCGAAAATGACGTATTTGATCTATATAGAGCGGTAAACGTCTGCCATGCTTCAGAGCAAGGAACTATGGACAGCTCGAAAGGCAGCAAAGACGGCAGGACTAGATTTCCGAGACCATTGAGATCGTAATGTGCAGGCCCTCCGTCGTGTGCACGTCCTCCACCGGCACTGTGACGATCGTTGCCCTGTGCTTCCGATCAACATTGACGTCATACTTTGCTTGATCCAGAGTCACCGACACCTCGGCCGTGGCGAGGTCGCTCTGCGGCAGATGCCAGAATACAAACTTGTACTCCGAGCTGATCATTTGCGTCAGGTTGCCCTTGAAGCCATTGAACGGTGTGCGGGCCCACAAATGGCGGGTGTATTTGACCACATGGGTGGAATGGTTCACTTGCTTGGTCGTGACCTAAGTCTCAGTTAGCGATGCTGTCTGCCAGACGAGTACCAGCCAGAGTCCCTTGCATACCTGCTTGAACGCCACCTGAGTGTAGTTGCTATCGGCTTTTTCATCAGTGAGTCCCTTGGTCCATTCTCCCTGCAATGTGCCGCCCGTCTGCGAGGAAGCCTTCGGCGCGCTATCTCGTGAAATCCCGTCGTCGAGGAACATGTCATAGCTCTAACGAAGACGTGTTAGCTCTGTGGGCAGCCAGTTGCCTCCCACAACAAGTGGGCAGAAACAGATGCGGGAAATGACTCACATTGTCCTTGCCAGGGTAAACGTGGATAGTGATGGGATTCGGATCTTGCTGAGCCGTGCTGTAGTCAGGTACGAAGTCTCGGACCTGGATCTTGGGTATAATTGCACCTGTGAATGTACAGAATCAGCGGTTAAATCACGAGCCAGAGAAACATGGGGCCGTGTCCAGAGAGCCGGTGCCTACCTTCCCTGATGTACATTGGCGTGGAATACGGGATCTGTTCGTCGTCGTCGCTGATGCGGCATTCATATTGTATACGGCGACCACCAGGCGTGGAGTTCGCGAGCGGTAGACCAATTTCATCATCCGCACGAAGATTCATGGGAAGCCAATGGTCGGGATACGGCAGATACAGCTCGCGGACACCACCCGATGCTGCCTCGCGGTCCAATTGAGGAGCGACCAGGAGGTCGTTGCGCACCATGTATTGCGAGCCGGTGCAATCGCGATTCTGACCCGTTAGCACAGGACGGGCCGGGATGGTATGAATTCCTCCAGCAGGCACTCACATCCTTTGAGAACAGCGAGCGATCAAGCTCGTCGGTGATGGGCTACAAGTCCGTCAGCAGGCATTTTCCGACGACATGCTGGGAAAGGAGCATAGCCCGCGACTCACCATGGCCCGCGCAATTGGCAATCCTGTCAGCATGTTTTCGAACATGGCGTCGTAAAGAAGCTGCATTAAGGAGTAACGCAACCGGATTGAATAGCGACAACTTGGGAGTACGGCGCGGTAGATCTCCGCCTCGCGGTCTCTGTATTTGTCCTTGTGCTGTTCGTAGTGGAGCTGGTATGCATAGGGCTCCTGAAACCACTTTCCAGGTTTTCTCTGAACGCCCGGGCGATCGATCCAGTCTCTCTGGCGAGTGTAGTGGTTCCTGATACCAAACATCGTCAGTTAGAACTCCATAGCGTTGAGCTCCAGCACCAATAATGGGGCACTGACCTGAACCAGGGTAGTAAGGAATACGCAGAGTACCACCGGATCAACAGCTCGGGATCGGCGTAGTCCAGCTGCCGCTCGTCGGCCTCGAAACCTCCGACGTCTGCTCCAGCGATTGTTACACCGGACAGGCCCAGTGCGAGGACCTGCGCAACAGATATTTTGAGGAAATCCCAGGTGGAAGCGTTGTCGCCGGTCCACAGGCCTGCGAATCGGTGACTGCCTGCAAAGCTTCCACGACCAATGATAAAGTTTCGACGATTCTCACGCCAGGCAAGTTTGTCGTTCTCGTTGTTCTTGTCGATCCTATGCAAGTTGTTGAGGCCATGGTACGTCGCCTTGTGAAGATTGTAGCTGTAGAGTGACCAGATTTCGATGGCCTTCTTCTGCTGAGAGGCATTTGGGTCTCCGCTCCATCCGTCCGAGTCGATCATCAACCGAAAGGGTAGCCTGTGTACTGATCAGCCATTTCTCAAAAGTGTGACAGTCGAAACGCAAGGGGAGGCCATCTTACGACTTCATATCACCGTATTGCTCTGCGATACAAGGACTTGTCATGTCTTGCCATACAAAGTCCAGACCACATTCAAACAACTCTCGATACTGCCTTCCCCACCACAGACGGACGCTCTTGCTGTTCAGGTTCGGGTAAAAGCCAGGGTGTCCAAGGTTTGCGCCGTAAGAGATGCCACCATGAAATGGCTTGCCTGAGTTGAATTGATCCCTGAACGAGTAATCATCGCGCTGCTCATACTGTGGCCTTTTCCACTCGTTGTCGGGTTCGGTGAAGTACACACCCGCAGTGCCCTGCTGAAGATAGCGTTGATCCTGAGGATTTGGGGCCGAAGGATCAATGTCGCGCAGGTCTACAATGAAGTAACCAGCCTTCAGGGCTTCGTTCAATGTGGTATAATCATCGTTGGGCGTGGAATTGATATAAGGCGTTATGTTTGTGCTGCACTTGACACCTAACTGACGGAGGTCCTTGAACATTGACTCCGGGTCTGGGAAGCGGCCTGCGTTCTTGTTGATCGTAAAAGTCCGGTAGTCGTCTTGGATGTCGACGTCAATGTGCATCCCATCTAGAGGGATCCCAGCCTTGCGATACTCCTTGACAGCGTCCAAGACCATGTCTCTTGTATCATACCCATAGCAGCCTTGATGATTGCCAAGCACGTATCGGGGCTTGAGCTTTGGCTTACCAACGATGGAGGTGTGCAGCTGGATGACGTCGGCCACGGTATCCCCGGCCATGAAGATTCCCTGAAACGAATTGAAACGAGTTGCAACTCTGAAGGTGGATGGGTCTGCAACACCGATGTCAACGCAGACATGGGAGTAATTATCTATGAAGGTTGCCACCTGTGTCCGGTAAGCTGGTTGTGCATCCACCTCAATCCAGTAGGGCTCAGAATGGTACAGCGGTTCGCTGTCGTTCAACGGGCCTTGGCCATAGACATTGAAGTACCGCATATTGTCAAAGTCTGTCCGTCCAGCTGTTAACCTGAGATGCTCCCGGCTCAAAGTTATGAACCATAGAATGATACACGTACTGAAATAGTTCAAGAAGGTTCTCTCCTTAAAAAAGGAGCTACCGCCCTGCTCGCCAAATCCCATATAGTCGGCAGTGACTGACCGTTCGAGGCACAGGACAGTAGACTGATCACCGTAGAGCAGGCCCCGGGGTTTCGTCTGCCAAATGACGGCGCGGCGTTGGCCAGACACCTCGTTGGGGAACCCCAGGCCGTCATGGTTGCTATCTTCCAGATCTTGAGCTTGGGGCGGCCTTGTGGCAGGCTCGAGTCCTGTCAGCAAGCGAACTGCTGTGATCTGGAAGGGATCTTTCTGAATCCACAGTTCCAGCCCTTTCTCATCCTTGCCATCATGAACAACTATGGACTGTAGGATGTAGTACTCGTCGCTTTGAATCAGGTCTACTCTCCAGTCAATATTCTGCACGCGGTCAAGAACACGGATGAGCTCGGTCGTTGTATCTCGGATGATTGTGCGGCTATTGATTCATCAGTATTTTGAGCGAGTGGAGGTTAATCCAAGAGGCCTGTGTTGGCCAACCTACGTGTTGTAGTCTGTGAAGTCTTGAGGCGACTTGTTTTTTGGACTGAAGCGGACGCGCCAGACCTTGGGCCGGAGGAACTGGATCAGAAGGAGTGAATTATCGTCGAAGCGGAAGATGCGACCGTGGCGGCAAACCGGGTTCTGCTGGCCATTCGACAGTTGCTGATCATTATCAACATATGAGATAGACCTCGGCTGTTTCATGCTAGAGCCAGGCCCGTCAACATCCAGGCTGAAGAAGTCGTCGGCCTTCTTGAAGATGTAGGGGTCCCTGAGCTTGATTTGCTCGAGTGTGCCCATTGTGAAGGTCTGGAAACAAGTTTAAAAATGAGAGCTGGATATACAGTCAACGGCGTCACATGGACCTGCTGGGCAAAGGACGAGCCGCCTGGTCTGGAAATTGAAGGTCAGGAAACTCGTTCTACTGCCACAGGCTAGATGAAGTCTTTATACCGCAGACATTATTCGTTCTAGCGCCTGGCGGCGACGCCGTGGGCAATGACCGAATCTGGAGACCTGCGTTGCGACCGATGGCAGTCGTCAGCAGATGCAACCAACCGTTCAGCCAGTCAGCTCCGTCGATGTGCCTCCAGCCCCCATGCAGGCCCCGGGCTTGCAGGGATATTGTCACTGGGGCTGAGCTCTGTGGGGTGCACCTTGGCTTAGATGCTGACGCTAATAATTCAGCATGCGGCAGGTGCTGAGCATGCATGATGACCATGTGCTTGGCCACCGGCACTGCCACTATAGTCCCGGGTACCTCGGAATCAAAAAGCATAAGCCATTAACGTAATCCACAAGCGACCCGCCCACACAAGCGACCCGCCCACCTTCTACGCACTCGTACGATCATATATAAGTTAAATCAACCATAACGCCTTAAATCAATTCAAACTATTCGGAATCCTCTTCTTCAGAGGCAGATACAACTTTCTGATACGTACGAGCATTATACCCGGGCTCGCCGCAGACGCCACATCGTCGCGCGCGCGTTTCGGGCCTCCTCGTACGACCACTATTCTAACTCGTTTCCGCCATTAACTACTGCGTCGCATCGATTTGAGCCTTCAAATCCTTTGCCTGATTAATCGTGAGGGACCCTCCTTTCTATAGCTGCTTTCTTTTCGTACGACGACGGCGGCTAAGGCGGTCGTTTACATCTCGAAGTTCGGCGAGCTCTTGGCACATAAGGTCCTGCTCGTGTACCATCATTATGACTCCTTTTCTTAGCTGCCGTACGCTCTCAACAATGGACGACGGTGAGCTATTCTGGTGTCGTACGATGCGATTTTCAATATACTTCGTCTGCGATTCGGTCTCAATTGGGTTGTTCGGCGTCTTTGAAACCCATGGGGGTGGTAGTCCAGCAGAGGAACCTGGCGGTGTCGGCGTATGAAACTTCATATCTAGCTGTGAAATTATATAATTCGGGTCGTACGGTACTAGGCCTGTCGCTCTGAAGCCTGCCTGGATGTTTGATTTGGTCATTACAGCGTCGTACGCCTTATAAAAGGCTGGGAGGAAGTCCTCCTTTGAAACGTAGGTTACGTACGCCCGCATTAGACCTTCGATTTCTTTACCGTACGCCCGTTTCAGAGGTCCAAAGCACCCAACATCGAGAGGCTGGAGCTTATGCGACGAGTGAGCAGGCATACAGAGTGTTACGATATTCTGTTCTTTACAGTAGAGCTCGAAATCGACGGAATGGTGGCTCTCATGGCCGTCGAGGATGAGGAGGCGGTAGGTACCCTTCGTACGACTCTTCGTATGGAAATCGAAGTGTTTTACCCATTCTAGGCCTCTCTCGTTCGTCGTCCAACCGTTTTCTGAAAGCGCGATTACCCAGGAGTCGAGGTGGACCTTCCCGGCGAAGATAATGTACGGCGGGATTGAATAGCCGTACGACGCGATACCCTGGATTACTGTAACCCATTCCTGATTCCCTTGTTGTACGGCTCTTGGCCTCCCGCGTCGATCGGAGGTCGTAACGACAGTTTCGGCGGAGATTTTGCCCATCGCAAAGCCCGTCTCGTCGAAGTTGTAGATGTCGTCATCGTGGATCCCGTATTTCGCGATTATGTTTCGTACGAGCTCAAACCACGCGCGATACGCGTCCGGATCCTCGTAGAGGACCCTCTGGTAGTCGATTCTTCGATTTAAACGCGTACGGAGCTCAGGTCGTCGTCGTACGAAGTTTGAGGCCCAGTTCGTTCCGACGCGTGGCGCGTCGCGTGCGCGGAGGAGTCGATCCGCCATTTCTCGAACACCACTAAGGCGCGGTGGAAACGAACGCGAATCTAGGTCGAGTACGTATCGTACGATACTATCCTCTTCGTACGAGGTCAAGTTCTGGTTATGTGGTCGGGTATCGCGTTTTTGCTGTGCACCGCGTCGTCGGTCGCGAAGTGTCGTACGAGGGACTTTGTAGATCTGCGCAGCCTTTCGTACGCTTAATTTTGGATCGGATTGAAGCGCGTTTAGCGCTAGAATAATATCGCCTTCATTTGATTGCTGTGGCATGATTTTTGGTGGAGGAATATGGGATTAAAGATAGCTTATACGAAATGGAGAGGAAAGTGGGCGGGTCGCTTGTGTGGGCGGGTCGCTTGTGGATTACGTTATACGTAACTACACACTATGCATAACTTTCCTCATCGAGGTGCTCAACCTTTACAGTGCTGGGTCAGTTTGTAAGACTGCCTTCATCTGAATGGCCAATCCCTTAGAAGACCATGAAACCCGGATCCCTGGGGAAGTCAATTCAATTTAGGGTTTCGGGTTACTGAGGGTAGCAGGTTTATGCGTACCCTGTGCAGGCGGCTTCAAGATTCTGGCTGCAGATATTGGTTACCAAACTAATATGTATCGCAATAAGGCTCCTCAGAATTCAACGACAAATATGCGTTCGAACCAGGTCCTATATAGAGACCACCCCTCCACGCTCCTATAATGCTCGATCGTCTTTGACGTACGGCCTAACGTTTGGCACAAGGCTGATCAATGGTTGACAAGATAGGTCGCAATTCCGCGAGGTCTTTGGCATAATTTGAATATATCAGCTTTCTTAGCATTCTAATAAATCAGCATGCCTTCTACCGGATGGTCCTGATCTCCAGCGTGAAGGACCTGCCATTGCTCCCTCAGCCCTGCGACCTGTTGATCGGGTCGCCGCACCTAGCATGCCAACCCTTGCCTCTCAGAGTGCCTAGTCTCTATGCTGCGTTGCATCTGCTACTACGTCTCGGCCAACGTAGACGCTGTAGTCACGCTTCCCATCAACTACCTCGCGGATATAGGCGTGTAGCGACTTGCACTTGACATCCGGGTATAAAATTTTGCAATCCAAGTATCCGAGGTACTTGGCGCGATCGGGCGTGTTGTCGCCTCTGACATGACGACTATGAAGATACTGGCCCATTGCGAGGTCCAATACCAGGCCTACGTTCGTCGGGTCTGCGGTAACTGAGCTCCGCAGCGCCGCGATACGGGCCTCAAGGTCCACAACCGAGATGGAATCCCGCGGTACTGCCTCCCCTGTCGCGGTCTCAACTTCAGTCCAGATACCGTTCAGCGTCGTGACCTCGCCGTATACGAACACGAACCGGTTCAGCGTCTGCGGATCTGCGATGATACGTGCTACGTACGGCCCAATATCGGCCTTATCGATCATGGCGGTAGGGATATCGCCATCGCCGATAACAGTGGTGGCCAGCGGCGGCGGCGGGGCGTACGGTGGCGGTAGGCTGATTTGGTACCATGAGCCGGCATCAATAACGGTGTAAGGTAGGTAGATGAGCTTGCAGCGGTCCAGCAGGTCTTCCCTGACATCACGGACCTCCATGATCCCGCGCGGGGGCATAATCGTAGAGAAAAAGCTGGGTACAAACCGGCCAACGCTGGCGCGGTGCGCAGCGTCGATGAGCGTCTCCGATTCGACCCGTTGGAGCGGTAGTAGGCACGAGATAACGACGTCGGCGGCCACGAGCCGGGCTGCGAGTGTCTCCACATCACAGAAATCAACCGCCTCGACAGTGGCGCCAGCCCGTGCCATCTCTTGGTAAACCTCCTTGCCCGCCGACTCGTGCCGTGCCAGTGCCACGACCTTGAACTGCGCTGGCTCGGCCAGCAGGGCTGCCATGATAGACTGCCCCGTCTCGCCAGAGGCGCCGGCGACCACTACTCGGAGCAGAGTGCAAGATGCCATGGCGAATGTTGCATGAGTTCGAGTGAATTCAAGGGCTGAAGGCCGTATGGACGTCAGAGCTGAAGGGTGTGATGGCGCATGACTGATACAGGGCCTGCACGCGATATATACTCACGGCGACTCATTTAGTCCACGATGTTCCGAGAAGCATAGATCTATTTCACCGGGTGTCGGATAAACTGGTCCCCGGGCCCCTATTATCGGAGAGATAATAAGACCACTTAAACGCTAGCTAATAACTCCATTCTCGTAATGCCATACATTATTAATTCACATGCCTATCAAAATTGAAGGTGCTTTATAACCAAATTTAATCGTGGACAGATCCATGATCTACTCCACGGGGTGTCGGGATGCATCTCTAGTCCGGGAGTATCCGCACGAGGCCGCCGGCTCCGGCACAAACTCGACTGGTCGTTCCCCTGCATTTAGCGTGATAATTCTTTTCTACCGACTTTGTCTCCAGAGTACACTAGCTGCGTTGAGTAGATGAGAAACAATGGTCGCGTAGAAGATAAGGAGCCTTACACCAGGAAGAAGACGTCCAGAAAAGTGAATCATTCACATTGTAGAATACTAGGAAGATAGCCAGCTTGGCATTGCACACCTTCCAATAACGCCTTCCCAGGGCCTCAAGTGAACGATGCGATCCGAGATATTTCCGACAGGTCCCTCGAACGGATGGTTTCCAAGTACCCATTCCTCAACCCTAATATCCTCAAGGCCCTTCCACTCAATATGTTTACCCGTAAAATTTGAAATGCTTATCCAGCATTCGCTCTTGGAGAACCGGAGAAAGGATACCACGTCCTTGTTGTTGGGGTCGAGGATCTTGAACCCGCCGTAGATAAATACGTCTCGGTATTCTTTGCGAAACTTGAGACAGCGCTTATAGTACGAGAGAACGGAGTGCTGGTTGTGCTTCTGTGTCATGACATTGATGATGGGGTAGTCGTCGTTGACCCGCATCCACGGCTTGACGGCTGGCTCGCAAAACCCAGCATGCGGCGTGGCATCCCACTGCATGGGGGTGCGTGTGTGGTCACGAGCCTTGAGCTGGATCAGCCTGCGAGCATATTCTAGCCTGCGGTGGTTGTTGGCGTACTGCTTGACCGCACTGTTTTGAAACACAGGTTAGCTGAATGTGTCATAAATCAAGGTGAGAGATAGACTTGGGAAGAGCTGCTCGGACCACAAGACATACTAGTTCCAATAGTTCTGAGTCTCCACGTCCTTGTACTCTTCAATGGGCCAATCAGAGGGAATATTCCTCATGCCTAGCTCCTGGCCCTGGTAGATGTACTCTGTTCCACCGAGCGCGATGCTTTTAGCACATATCATCTTGGCCGCATACTCCCGCCATTCTGCGCTGTCGTCGCCGAACCTAGATAGCGCTCGAGGCGAATCGTGATTCTCGCAGAAGATGGCGTTCCAGCCGTCCTTCTCAATCATCAGCCGCTGGATACGCGCGTGGATCCGCGCCATGTCGGTAGCATCCCACTCCTGGTACGACCACTTTGAGCGGCCTGGCTGGTTGTCCATGTTGAGTATCTCAAATAGAAAGATCATGTCGAGTGATCCTTGCCTTCCGACGGTGCGGATAATCTCATCTTCATTGTTAATAAAGGGCATCTCGCCGACCGTCATGACATCGTACTCGTCGAGTATCTGACGTATCTCGTGTAGGAACTCCGAGAGCCGCGGCCCGTTTGCAAAGAAGTCGCCACCAGGCTGGTAGTATTGACCAGGAATTGTGATCCTGGCATCAGGATACTCCTGAACCTTGGAAATATGGTCAATGACGTCCATTCGGAATCCGCGGGCGCCCCGGTCCAGCCAGAAGCGGACGATGTCATGCACGGCCGCTCGGACTTCCGTGCTTTCCCAATTGAGGTCGGGCTGCTCCTTGGAGAAGAGGGAGAGGTAGTATTCCTTAGTCGTCGCGTCGTATTCCCATGCTGACTGGGTAGTGTCCAAGGTACGGCACCAATTGTTCGGGGGGCGTTGCGTGCCCTTCTCGTCCACCTTACCCTTCCTCCAGATGTACCAGTCCCTCTTGGGGTTATTGGTGGACGACCTTGACTCTTTGAACCACTCGTGCTAACAAGAAGCAAATAGGCGGTTAGAATTTCAGGACAACGATAAGCTGTCCACCGGCAGCATTTGACCGACTTACCTGGTCTGAGGTATGATTAACCACGAGATCCATGATAAGCTTCATGTCACGCCGTGCAAGCTCCTTGATCAGCTCGTCGACGTGTGCCAGAGTGCCGTACAGCGGATCAATATCCTTGTAATCGGATATATCGTAGCCCTTGTCGACTTGGGGGCTTTTGTATACTTTGAGCTAGTGTGAGAAACATCCCTATACAGTGAGTGGTGTTAAGGCTAGCCTACTTGGGGATACCCAAATTACATCGACTGTGACCCGCTCGCATTAGTATATATCCTCGAGAAGATATTGCGGTAGTAGAAATTGAAGAGCTCGTACCTCCAAGATCTTTCAGGTAGTCTAATTTCTCCGTGATGCCACGAATGTCGCCATGGCCATCTCCACTCACGTCACGGAAGGAAGCCGGGTAGATCTGCGGGGGTTAGTCAACGCCATGTCTCGTCGCCGATAAGGAGATGGAGAAGACTCCTCAAAGAGACCTCTCACCGCTACATACCTGGTATACAACGCTTTCCTTCCACCACACACGCTCGGTCTTAACAAGGTCGTAAGGTGACATCCTCGCAAATATGTTGGCGCTACTTCGAAATTGCCGATTCGTGGTGGTTCTGATAGTTGGATAGACTAGTCGCGGGAGTCGCGGTAATAAGGCACGAAAGTAATTGAGAGCTGGCATTGCAGAGAGCATAAGGTGTTATTTAACATGGAGCTGACACTCTTTGGTTGTTTGAAGAATGTCTTGGCTGCTCTTAAGCCCAATTCACTAGGTAGGTAAGGCGTAAGTAGTGATGATTATTTATCTCATTGTTACGCCAATGTATGTAATTGCCCCGCTTAAGGACTCGTGGCCCGTCAGAAAGAGGCCCTAGTGTCCATGATGCAACTTTCCGTCAAGTTGACAAAACAAATTGCACGTGCAGCGGAGGCCCCGTAGCGCCAGCACGTCAGACGTATGCACGACGCAAGCATGACTTGAGGGTACTGCACGGTGACGAATAACCAGGCAATCATGCCAGCCATGGCGCCGAGGCTAAATCTAAGTGTACTTGGAGTCGGGACTTGCTGGCTATAAAGTCTCTACCGTCTATGGTCGAAGTGGAACTGTGGACTCATATCGAACTGTTTCACCAAAGCAAACGATAGGAGAGAACCGTCCCAACTTATACACTCTAGCCCCTTCGACCAATTAGGTAAAAGAATCAGCGCAAAACTGGAAAATGGCGCAAGTACCAGCGTGAGTCTCCATTTGCCTATTAGTGGCCCACCCGAGTCATGTCTAATCAGAACTCAACACTGCAGACCAGTTCTCACCACGGGATATAAACCGCATCCCACTGAGACGATGCTGGCGGCCCAGTGGGCTGGCACTAAATCAATTGTGCTAGGAGTGGTTCCCAAGCCCACCATTACGGCTCCCAAGGATGCTATTGTGCGCGTCACTCACTGCACCATATGCGGCTCTGACCTGCACATGTATGCTGGAGCAATGAACAAGGCCATGGAGAAGGGGCTGATCATGGGCCATGAGGCCATCGGCATCATTGAGGATGTCGGGTCAGGAGTTCTGAATCTCGAGGTCGGAGATCGAGTCGTCATCCTGCCAGTCATCGCGTGCGGGAAGTGCTTCTACTGCGATCGGAAGGAGTTCTCCCTGTGCGACAAGACCAACCCTTCTCTAGAGATGGAAGAGATGTACGGCCATCGTCTGTCGGGCATCTTTGGCTACTCCATGATCACGGGAGGATATCCCGGCGACCAGGCGGAGTACTGCCGTGTCCCTAACGCAGACCTTGTTTGCGTCAAGGTTCCCCTGACTGTGCCAGCCAAGAGCCTGCTGGGCCTCGCAGACGTGACTCCTACCGCCTGGCATGGCAACGAGCTGGCTGAGGTAGGCAAGGGCGACGTCGTTGGAGTCTGGGGCTGCGGCGCCGTGGGTCTCTCGATTCAGCGCCTTGCCAAGCTTCGTGGAGCCAGGAAAGTCTACGCGGTCGACAAGGACCCCAAGCGGCTCCTCATTGCCGAGTCCTTCGGCATGATTCCCATTGACGTGGGCCTGCACCCGGAGGTGGCAGACTACATTCTGTCCATCGAGCCGCGCGGCCTGGACCGCGGCATCGAGGCGAGCGGTTTCAGGAGCACCAACTCTGTCACTCACAGCACCATGAGAGCTCTGGGTATGGAGGGCGACAGCTCTGATACCGTCAGTGCTATCATCAAGGCTACTCGCAAGGGTGGAAACGTTGCTCTCATCGGTGACTTCTTCTACGAGACTAACAAGTTCCCGATTGGAATGATGATGGAGAAGGCCATCACTGTACGCGGTGGGCAGCTCTATGCCGAAAAGGTACGCTTATCCTCGCGCATGTTTCCCTGTCCTCCACTCTTCCGTCATACAAGTGAAAACAGAGAGTTGAAATAACAATAACGGCACCCGGGGTCTTTCGCAGTACTTGCCATATCTTCTCGACTTGGTAGTCCAGGGTAAATATGATCCTGCTTTCATGTTTACTCACGAAGGTAAGCAATAGTACTCCCGATTTCAATCTTAGCCCGATTCTTCCAGGTTTCAGCTCTGTAATCCCATTGCAGAACACCAGAAACGGTCTGCTATCCTCAGCTAACCGTCTTTGTTCTTGCAGACAAATTCGAAAACATCCCCGAGATGTACGCCGCCTTCAATGACCATAAGGTGCCAGGAGGGCTCAAGGTCTGTCTCGTGACTGCCTTTGGCCGATTACAGGTTTGATCGTCGGGCGGAAGGTTAAGATCTGCAGGTTGATTCGGAAGAGTCTGAACCTTGCGCTACTATCATTTACCCGCTCAATCAATTTACTACAATCCATATACATGAATGGTTCCTTTCAGAAGCAGTGAGATTAACCATGGTGTTGCCATCGCAATCTTCTCCGTGGTGCCAACGGGTCATTGGGCTACTGCTCCCGCGCCCCTCGTCGTCGACTGGCTGATTTACAAGGCATGTAGTGGCAACTCGTGTAGGGCATGCACGCCACTTCCCCACGTCGTCCACATTTACGAGTACAGAGTGAGCCGCACAAATGGGCTTAATGCCCTCTGGATAACGTACAAGAAAGCTCAAGAGGTGGCGAGTCACTACTAGTAAGGCTCTAACCGTATACTAGACCCCCTCCCCAGCCATGCGGCCGTGTCTGCGTATTCGTAGCATTGAGAAGTAGACAGCTCTTCCTATGAAAGAGTGACCAGTGCATTTGCGGTCACATTCATACATGAATATAAAATACATCTCAGCTCAAGCTTGGTGTCTCGCCCTGAGGAGTGACCCGCACCAAGTGTCTCTTCACGCCGTTACCCAAGCCATAGTCCAGAGTGACGGAATGCTGCACCATACGGTTATCGTAGACAACAACCGTGCCATCCTCCCAAGCGACTCGGGTCTGGAAATCAAGGCCCTTGTGGAGGTGGTCGAACAGAAAGTTGAGCAGCATGTCGCTCTCAGGCTTCCTCATGCCGATAATCTTGGTCGTGTACTCGGGGTTGACCCAGATGGCCTTGCGCCCAGTCACCGGGTGCTTGCGGATGACGGGGTGGACAGTATCGATGCCCGGGCGCCGCGCCAGGTTGGTCTTGCCCGACAAGAGGTTCTGCCTCGTGCCCGAGTGCAGAGCCTCGAGCGTCTCGAGGAACTTCTGCATCACTGGCGACAGTCGGTCGTAAGCCGTCATGGCGTTCAGGTACAACGTGTCGCCGCCGCACTCGGGTCCGGCCAGGGAGGAGAGGAAAGTCGTGCAGGGGGGGTTGCTGTACGTGGTCAGCATGATGCAACTTCTGATCAGAGCTCGTTTCGGCTTGGGTTTTGGCCGGGTTTGCGACCTACATCTCGTAGGACATGTCAGTGTGCCAAGCCACCGTGTTCAGCTGTCCCTCTTTCTGGTTGTCAAAATAGGATCCCTTGTCGCTGTCACGGAATACTACCGTCAATTCTGGCGTGTCTTTTGGGTGGACTCCCCACTGGTGCACATGGAGGCGGCCAAAGTAGCTGCCATACTCCTTGAGCCACTCTCGGCCCTGATCAACAAAGTCCTGGCCTCGGAATACCAGCACACCGCGTTCAGCAGCCCAGGGGGCAAGCTCATTCTTTTGCTGGTTGGTCAGCTGGCTAAGCTGCAGGCCCCAAACCTCGGTCCCGATATTGGGTGTCATGTCTTTGTGCTTTGGAATCGCACTGAGGAGGGCCCTTTTCTCGGGATCTGCCCTTGATGCACAATCCACATGCTCGTACGGGCCAAGAGGCTCCTCTGACGTCAAAGTATTGTATGGGAGAAAATCCTTGTATTTGTACTGAATAGATATCAGCTGGACATGCCACGTAGCATAGGTGATCGTGCATCTCACAGGGATATCGTCTTTGGAGTAGTCCAGAGCAGTCTGCACAGGCACTTCCGTTGGCCCCTGCGGGTTTATTGGTACTTGCTTCAAGCCTGCCGGGAACTCGAAGTCTTTTGGTGGCACAAAAGCTCGGTTCTCAACCAGGCTTGTGTGGTACCGTGGCATCCGAATCGTCGCGGGCTCGGTGCCCGTGCTGGTGGTGGAGACAGTAGTAGTGGACGACATGTCAATGAGTCGTAGCGGTTACGTGGAGGAAGTCGGGCGTTGAGCGTTGATGATTGACGTGACTGAGATTGCCGCAGATTATTTCGATCTCTTTATGTTCTTGAGACATTTCGTGCCAGCAGCGTGTTTTGTTCGGACCCCGGGGCGGCCACTGTGAATGGGTGCGCTCGACGTCACTGTAGGTGTAACGATATCTTAATCTTTTGTTGATTGTGATCTTATCAAGCTGTTAGTTGAGGGTCGCCGATGTGCCTGATGATAGGAACCTCATGCCCCGTGTGGCGAGGTAAGGCGTTACCCACTACCCGAAACGGACATTTTTGCGGCCAGCCGCCACAGGGCATTAGCCGGCAACGGCGTAGCAGTACTGCCAGTTTCACTAGCATGCACTGATGTGTGGGCAGATTGATCGACAGCTGTGCAGATTTGCCCACCTATGTTGCCGAAGACGCAGCAACTTGATCTCAACATTTGTGGTCACCGAAATTGTGGATGCAACACGATACCGAAGAGGACAAACTCTATTGTTGTAATCTGGTCACCTGCCAATAAATACTTGATCTGCAGCATGACAGGTACGGAAAAGTGCGTTTTGCTGCTGATCTCCCAGCGTCGCTACTGAACTGCTCGGCCGTATCTAATAGGACCTTCCGCTTCTTCATGCACCCAATTGCCAGTCAGACTGCAAAGCACTCACACTCTGTAAAGCTTGGCATGCAGCGATTGCTGCTCCCGTGCAGACATGCTATGGCTATTTGATGTAGACGAAGTGCGGCTGCTCTTTGTCCGTCAGGTCCAAGAACTCCTCATTCGCAACATGCACATTCGATTCCCCCGAGGCCGCCAACTTGCTAGCCCGCCTGCGGTTCTCCCACGTGATGTAGAGCCAATATAGTGCTGGAAAGGCTGTAGCCATGGCAAAGCAGACCAACATTGTCTTGAAACCGGTCGGGTAAGCTGGCGCTTCGCTGCCAAGAAAGAATTGGGGTCCAATGATAAAGCCAACTATTTGGCGCGCCACAGAGTCAGCCAAGGTTGTTCGAGACGAGGTTGTTCGAGACGAGGATCATTGTTTTCAAAGTCTCTGCCACTTACCTGAATAGCCAATGAACATGATTGCGTTGCTCGTCGTGCGCTTGGTGTGGCCAGCAATGTTGGAATTCGTCAAGGCCCATAGCATAGTGATGCTACCAATAGTGAAATTGGTGATATGGAAGGAAACAAGCCTGCCAACGTAGTTGTGTTTTGGCAGAGTGTTGATGAGAACGGCGCCGAGCAGTGCAGGCGCATTGCACACAATTTGCATCAGACATCGGGTGTTTGGGTATTTCTGGGCGACCCATCCCGCACCTAGGAGCCCGATGATTTCCGTTATGCCAAGGGGGATGTTGAGGAGCGAGCTTTCAAACGGTCCAAACCCAAAACCGGAAATGACGAGTGACCCAAAAGAAGCAACCGCAGTGCACGGAATCATCCATGTTATGGTGTAGAAGAACGCCCACCATACCTTGACGTCTGTGATGGCCTCCACAAACTGTTCGCGCTTGAACTTGGGGTTGGAGATGCCAGTCCTGTTCCGGCGGATGCGTTCGACCGCGATCATTTTCTCCTCTTCGGTCAAGAAACTGGCTGTGAGGATGGTGTCGGGCATATAGTAGTACAAAACTACAGTCCAGGCCAGCCCCAACATGCCGAAGATGATGAAAAACCACTTCCAGACCGCAATGGAAGTCTTGATGTGGCCAATGCCATATGAGATGCAAGACTGGATCACAATGGCAAGGCCATTGCCGCCCAACCAGATACCCATGCGCATGGGCACTTCTTCCTTAGTGTACCAGGCGCCCGTGATCAAGACGTACGCGGGGCTGACGCCAGCCTCGGCGAAACCCAGGAAAAAGCGGGCTACCGCCATGGTCGCGAAGTTTGTGCAGCCGGTCGTGGCAAAGAGGACTACGGCCCAGGCCAGGGAGGTAGCAGTCACGAACTTGCCGGGAGGGAAGAAGGTGAGGCAGTAGGCGGCAAGAGGTTGGGCAACCAGGTAGCCGAAGTAGAATAGAGACCTGTGGCTTGCGGGTCAGAAAGTGCCAGCGCGTGAAGCTTTTAGGTAGATGTGGACTTGGCAGACGGAAGACTTACGAGCACCAGGAGTACTGCTGGCCAACCAAACCAAGATTTGTGATCAGGTCATAGACAGCAGCCTGGCTCATGACGCTCTTGTCCATGTACTGGATGACATACGAGGTAAACATCTATCCAGCTTCTGTCAGTGCCTGAAGTGTGAGGAGAGGGCATGGGAGGTGGACGAACAAGAGGCATCAGGTGCCAGTCGATCTTGCGGACCAGAGCCTTCTCCTGAGCCGCAGTGTACTCAAAGGCCTCGTGCTCTTGAATGAAGCCCAAAGCGGCATCGCCATCCGCAACTTTCTCGCCCGTGGCCATGATGATCTGGCCTTGGCGAATGGATCGGTTCTCTTCAGAGGTGCGGCGTGTAGCAGCCTCCATCTCTAATTTGTTGTCCATCATAACTAACAGGTTGTATGCGAATGTAAGAGTTGTAGACTCTCCAATACGACTGTGGGGACGTAAAGGTAGTGTGGCCTGTCGTTTGGGAAAAATGAAGGGTCAACGCGGTCTAATCAAGTTGAATCTCGAGCAAGAGGAGACATTGAATCAGACTTGTTCACTGATAAGGAGTCCTCTGGCCAGTATTGAGGCGTCCAATGAGTGTGCTTCGGCTGCTTATCGAGCGCAAGGTCTCGAGCGAAAGACGACGCAATTATCGCGGGAACATATTTGGTTTCTGACAGTGCTTGGCCCAGCCAGCCACCGATGAGCGCGTTTTGACATACTCAGGTGTTGTGCATTGGCGGCGTTGATAAGAAATGCGGCTTATCAGCTGTACATGGCCCGGAGGACCCGACACGTCGGATCACGGCTTCCAGCATCTTGGTAATCCTGTGGGGGGGATGCCTGAACCTTGCAGAAGTAGGCTAGGACAAATCTGGCAGTGCGTAACCCGCCAGCTGATAGGCGCGTGCTGTACGCTTTTCGACAACGGCCGGGTCGCATAGAGCAGGAGAACTCTCTTTCTCGGCAAAGATAAGGCGAAACGAGATTGAAGATAGATTGCAAGTAGTAGTCGACGACTGAGAATCTTGTCCGATTGCGCAGGAAGAACGGCACGGCACGAGGTTGGCATGGCCCAGCCGTCTCCGATGGCGCGCAACGTGACGTACCATACAAAATGCCACGTCTGATTGCAGGCATTGTCGTGTCAGCGATATCCTGAGCGCGTCTGGTCACAGATTCATACAGCTCTTTCGCAGCCGTTTCTCAGCCATGTCACAGCTGACGCGCGCCCTAGTTGCCAATCGTGGCGAGATAGCCATTCGGCTCATCAAAGCATGTCAGAAGCTGCAAATTATCGCCATAGCCATCTACGTGGCCGACGATGCCGATTCGATGCACGTGCGAGTTGCCGATGAAGCCTATGAGCTATCAGGACGAGGTTCGCATGGGTACCTCGACGCCGCTGAAATCGTGAGCCTTTGCAAGGCGCACCAGATCCAGGCGGTGATCCCAGGCTATGGGTTCCTCAGCGAAGATTCTCGATTTGCCATCGCCCTACAGGCCGAGAATATTTTCTTTGTCGGGCCAGATGTGTCCTCGCTCGAACAGTTTGGGCTCAAGCACACAGCCCGCGAGCTGGCGATTCGCGCCGGGGTACCCGTAGTTCCGGGCACTGGCACGGTCAAGACGGCAGAGGAGGCACAGGAAGCCGCGTTGCGCCTTGGATACCCGGTCATGGTGAAGGCTACAGCTGGGGGTGGCGGAATGGGCCTGCAGAAGTGCAACGATGCAGAAGAGCTCGAGGCGGCCTTTGAGGCTGTCAGGAGCCGGGGAAAGGCATTGTTCAAGAATGCAGAGCTCTTCTTAGAAAAGTATGTCGCCAATGGGCGTCATGTCCAAGCCCAGATCTTCGGCAACGGTCAGGGCGATGTCCTCTTCTTCGGCGAACGCGAATGCAGCGTACAGCGGAGACACCAAAAGATTATCGAGGAGTCTCCAAGCCCTTTTATTGCTGCACACCCTGAGAAGCGAGCCGAGCTGCAAGAGTACTCGACGCGATTGGCAGCTTCGGTCCACTACAAATCAGCCGGTACCGTCGAGTTCCTAGTCGACGACGACACGGGCGACATGTATTTTCTAGAGGTGAATACGAGGTTGCAGGTCGAGCACGGCGTCTCGGAACTGTGTTATGGCGTCGACCTGGTGGAGATGATGCTGCTCCAGACGGCCGCCGAGATGGCAGGGCTCGGGGGTCTCGTGGGTGATGCGCTGTCGAGGTACAGGCGCACCCAGGGGATCGGACATGCAATCGAGGTCCGCGTCTACGCTGAGAATCCAGCCAAAGACTATGCGCCAAGTCCAGGGCTGCTACAGCAGGTCTCGTTCCCCAGCGACGGGGGCATGCGCGTGCGTGTCGACACTTGGGTTGACAGTGGGACCGTTGTGTCGCCGTCCTTTGATTCCTTGATCGCCAAGATCATGGTCCATGCTGACGACAGGGCGGCTGCCATCCGATCCATGAACGAAGCACTGGCGAACACGGTCTTGAGAGGGCCGCCTACGAACTTCGACTTCCTCGCGGCGATTCTAAGCACCCATGACTTCGTGTCTGGACACACGACGACCAACATGCTCGAGACACGTTTCCAATATCAGCCAGCTGCGATGGAATTCTTGGAGCCAGGGGCATTCACAACCGTCCAGGACTACCCAGGGCGCGTGAATGTTCCCCACGGCGTGCCACAGTCTGGCCCGATGGACTCGCTGTCGTTCCGCGTGGCCAACCTCCTTGTTGGCAACCCCGAGGGCCTAGAAGCCTTCGAGATCACCATGGTCGGTCCTCGCATCAAGTTCTATTCTGCAGCCGTCATAGCTCTTTGTGGAACCGCGTTCCCCCTGTGGATTGAAGGACAGCAGGCCGGGAGCTGGGCACGGCACAGCATTCCTGCCGGAGCCGGGGTGCAGATTGGGGAAGCGGCGTCGGGGGCGCGGGCTTACCTCACTGTGCGCGGCGGGTTGCCCGAGGTCGCCACGTACCTTGGATCCAAGAGCACGACTCCGTCTGTGGGCTGGGGCGGCTATCAGGGACGGTGCATGCGGGCTGGGGATTTTGTCTTCCTGGACAGGGCGGCCAGCATGGAAGCCTCTACCATCGGTCATTTCCAGCTGCCACAAGCCATGATCACAGAGCCCAGGGCCAACCCTCGCCTCTATGCACTTCCTGGGCCGTGGTGCTCAGACGACTTTGTGACGGCGGATGGGCGTCGGACGCTGTTTGAGGACAGCTAGACTTGCTCCTTCAACTCCAATCGCGGAGGCATCAGACTCGACGGTCCATCCCCTGCGTGGTCAAGATCTGGCGGGGGCGAGGGCGGCAGCCACGCCAGCAACATGGTCGGCTACGGAGTGGCTCTGGGCAGCGTAAGCTGGACTGGTGACGCGGCCGTGGTCCTCCTCGCAGATGGGCCCAACCAGACGGGCTTCATCATTACTCACACCATCGCGCAATGTGACCACTGGCGACTGAGTCAGTTGAGGCCCGGCGAAAAAGTGTCCTTCCAAGCCATCACGCCAGACCAAGCCATGGAACTCGAAGCACGGATTGACAGGCACCTCCAAAATGTTGCAAGAGTCATCGGCAACGAAGGTGTGTTCCCTCCACCGCCGTCGGTGCCCCTTTGCTACGACCTGCCTGCTGTCGCAGCCGGCGACGGCGTCTTGAGCCATACGAAGAATCACGGTGACAACAGCAATAATGTGGCCTTCTCTGTCCGTCAGGCTGGAGAGCGTGCCATCCTGGGTGTGTTCGGTTCGGGTACATTCAATCTCAATCTCCGTGCCCGCGTCCAGCAGATGGCCAATATCATCACGAACACTCGTCCTCGTGGGATCGGCTTAGCACCCATCGCCGAAAACTTCTCCATCCTGGTACACTTTGACCCCAAGATCATGTCCCAACAAGAGACCGTGAGCCTCATCTTGTCTTTCAACGACCAGCTCGACCCTGTTGAAACAGCGGGTATACCCAGCCGGATTATCCGCCTCCCCGCCGTCTTCGATCCCCCGGAATGCCATGTGGCTATTGACAAGTACATGTTACTTCAACGGCCGTATGCCACTTACTTGCCAGACAATATCGACTTCATTCGTAGAAGCAATGGATTGGCCCGCAGGGCAGATGTCAAGGCCGCCTTCTTTGACACGCCGCATGTTGTCAATGCTGTGGGCTGGCTGATGGGCCTACCGATCTACAACGTCCTCGATCCACGGCGCCAACTGAATGTGCCTAAGTACAACCCTGCGCGAACGTGGACAGCCGCCGGCTCGTTGGGTTCGGGCGGGACATCGAGCTCCATCTACCCAAACGACGGCCCTGGAGGATACATGCTCTGGGGTGCCACTCTTCCGGGCTGCTGCTGGGACACGTACGGGAGAAGGAAGGGTGGGAAAGCACAAAAGCCTTGGCTGTTTGAGCCCTTCTATCAAATTATTTTCCACGAGGTCGACCGGGACGTTTTCGACCAAGCGGTCCGGGATTTCCGAGCTGGGCGTTACGAGATCCAAATATCAGAAGCAAAGCTGGACATGGCCGCGTATAACGACATGCTGGTTCGTACAGCCGATGAAGTGGCGGCTCTCAGAAAGGTCCAAGAGGAGTGCACTCAGATCGAACTAGCCAAGGAGAAGGAGCTCCTCGCAAAATGGACTGAGGAGAAACGACTCAAGGAAGGCGACGTGAGCTGTCAACAACAGCCGGGAAAGCCCCAGATAGGTGAGCCTACCCATGATATCACATCTAGTTCATTTGTGATAATAGCTGACATGATTTTGGCACTGAAACATAGGTGCCGGGCAGTTGGGGATCAATCCTCAACTTGTTGCCAGCGTATGGAAGATACAAGTGAACGTCGGAGACCATGTTGCTGCAGGAGACACCGTAGCGGTGTTGGAGGCGATGAAGATGGAAACCGCGGTTCGCGTGCCTACGGGTGGCGAAAAGTATTGCGTGGCAGCAGTCCTCAAGAGTCCCGGCGATACGATAGAAGTGGGAGAATATATAGTCGTACTAGACAAGATTTGAGTCAAGACAAGGCCAAGACAAGCGCAATCCGTCGGTGCACTTTGTGTGGGGACCCAGTGCCGCGTGGGAAGTGCAACAATGGCTTGTAGCTCAGGGACTACTCTGCAGTACATAACTACGCACTGCCGACCCCCACACTTATTTAGCAGAGCGAACTCGCCATTACTCTAGGGCCTGGGGCTAGAATGTCTTCCATGACACTGTTGTCTGAACTCATGAGACCCGAGGATGGCCAACTCACCGATTCCGGAGGCGCGAAGCGTGCCGCAAAACGACGTCCTATTCATCTTCATCCCCTATGACATTCCTCACAAATGGGTGCAAGACGTGCAATCGCACCGGCCAGGCCTGGAGGTGCGATGGCACAACTCGATGAATGCGGATAAGAGTCTAATCCCAGTAGAGAGCATAGATCCTGCACTGTGGCAGGGCGTCACGCTACTCTGCACGTATGTGCCGCCGCCAGCAGACCTGATCCCGTTAGTGCGCTTCGTTCAGCTCGCCTCTGCCGGATCCGATCTGTGGTATTCTCACCCCTCATTTCGAAAGCAGGATGTGACATTCTGCACGGCGAATGGGATACATCCGTGAGTACTGCGGCCGCAGCAACACACCCCCCCCCCCTTTTCCCCAGCTCGTGTGCTTATCGGGCATTCTCTCAACCAGACCCCAGATAGCAGAATGGGTCATTGGATCCTGGTTGTCCTACCAGCACCATTTGGCAAAATACCTCCGCGACATGAATTACGGCCGATGGGAGAACCTGTATGAGAGCCCAGTGGAAGAGTCAAGGGGCAAGAGAATGTAAGTTCAGGCCTGTGCAGCGATTTGTTCCATGTCTGACTGCGATGCGCCATCAGGGGCATTCTTGGCTATGGTGCGATAGGCAGAGAGGTGACTCGACTGGCCACTGCTCTAGGCATGCAAGTTGTCTGCTACACCCGGAATCAACGCACGACATTGCCGTCTCGAAGAGACTCCAGCTTCTGCGTCCCGGGCACCGGTGACCCCGACGGCTTGTTGCCCGTCGCGTGGTTCAGCGGCACAGACAAAGAATCTGTGAACTACTTCTTGGACCAGTCTCTGGATATATTGGTGATCTGGCTGCCGCTGACACATGAAACGCGTCATATCTTTGCGTACAAGCAGTCCCAGATCCTTGGCAAGCACAAAACTTTCCTATGTAACGTTGGCCGAGGGGGCCATGTTGACCATGGGGCATTGCTAGACGCTTTGCAAACTGGACTGATTCCTGGAGCAGCCATTGATGTGACAGACCCAGAGCCTCTCCCGAAAGATCATTCATTATGGAACGCGCCCAGGCTTCTCATCACTCCTCACGTAAGCTGGAAAAGCAACGCATACTGGCCGAGGGTGCTTGATCTGCTCGCACAAAACCTACGCAATCTGGAAGAACAGAAAACGCCACTTAATCTTGTGAATAGGGACATACACTAGTCACAAATAAAGACGACCCAGAATTGATAGCACCACCTAAACTTCGAGCATCAAACCACTGGTGGCTTCGCCTCGCGGGCTTGTTGACAAGTAAAGGTCCGCCGAGAAATGATCGAACAAATGCTTCCTGGCCAAAAGCCATGGTGAATTCCATACGTATCCGATCCTAGCCGAAGACACGGAATACGTCGAGCTATCCAAACAACATCTTGGTGTGAGATTCGCTGGTTCAGTTGATAATGATGCATCCTCGCCGAAATGGATGGGTCCGGAGCCTGTGCGTCGATGTCTCAGGCGGGGCAAGACGGTGGTGAAAGCCGCGTGCACATACAGGCAGCGTTCTTTACTCTCATGCACGAGACTTCCCTCCATGGTGTTGCCTTGCGCTGCGTATGAGGCTGAGTTATGCACTACGATTAGGCACCTTCTCGCCACATTGTCGAATTTTCCAAAAGTGTAACATGGCCACCAGAAATTGGGATTCGCAACCACCATCTATTAATAACACTGTACCTGCATGGTAGGCTGAGTACAGGTATACAGGGGTCGTTTCCACAGGGCAAGCGTGGATCGACAGGCGCGGGGCCGAGTCCGAGCGACCCACTCAGACAGCGGAACGGATGATGCTGGCGCAGGCAGATCGGCACAGTGGGCGACGCTCGTGAATGCCTGCCCGAAGTGCTGAGGCGCAAGTCCACGCGCTATTCCTGCAACAAGAAACGAGAGCTGCATTGAGACATGGCGAGGCATACTGTGGCACAGTTTTTCTTCCGCGTCTCGAGTCACCAACCGTTGATTACATATATAACGTGGTAACATGAAGCAGAAGTCGTACAATGCCAGGTCTCTGTGCTTCACCCTGTCGGTTTTCACAACACTATAGAACTTCATCGCTCACCCAAGATACTTGAACCATGCTTCTGCTACCGCGCACGCTATTTGCCCTGGCCACGTGCTTATCATTTCTCCCAGCCACGCAGGGTCAGTCCCCGTCCAGCCCAGGTTTCGCCATCGTCGAATCCAAGATCTATCCTGGCGCATCCATCTCGTTCAAGGAGACCAACATTTGCGAGACAACGAAGGGGGTGAAAGGTTTCAGCGGCTATGTCAACCTGCCGCCGTCTCCAGCTGATGGCCGCGGTGTGCCCATCAGCACGTGGTTCTGGTTCTTCGAGGCCCGCAACAGCCCTAACACATCGCCACTTACCGTCTGGCTGCAAGGTGGCCCTGGGTCTCCGTCCAGTCCCGCGGCCGTTGGTGAGAACGGTCCCTGCAGAGTTCTGAGTAACTCCAGGGACACGGCTTCAAATCCTTGGTCGTGGAACACCAACTCCAATATGCTCTACATCGACCAGCCCGCCGAGACGGGTTTCTCATACAGCTCGCTGGTCAACGGAACAATCAACGCGCCGAAGAGCCCATTCACCGTCGGAGAGCCTCAGGCCACAAACAGCTCCATCATCGCCGGGACATTCTCCTCGCAGAGTCACACCTTTGCTCCCAACACTACCGACGTGACTGCAGCTGCGATGTGGCAGTTCTTGCAGGTGTTCCAAGAGTTCCCGACCAAAGGCTATAGTTGCGGCCACGGCAAGATCAGCATCTGGGGCGAGTCATACGGTGGACACTACGTCCCAACGTACTCGTCCTATATTCTTGCCCAGAATGAGAAGATACGCCGTGGGGAGTTAGCCAAGACCTTTCGGCCTCTAAATATCGAGACGGTCGGGTTGATCAACGCGTGCATCGACGCCGAGACGCAAATACCCAAATACCCTCTCATGGCTGTCAACAACACGTATGGGATCAAAATCTACAATGACACTGTTCACGCATCGACTGTTTCATCGCTCCCGCAATGCATGGGCATGGTCAAGACTTGCCGCACCATGGCCAAGTCGCAGGACCCACAAGGATGGGGAAGCAACTCTGCCGTGAATAAGGCCTGCTTCGATGCCTTCCAGTTCTGCTTTGGCAACGTAGCACGGGAGGATGATTTGGGACTGTTGGATTCCGCTGTAAGTTCCCTCTCAGCCTGTTTGGCTTTCAATATACTTGTCGGTCGCTGACGAGAAAGGACACTTCAGATCAACAAGTTCGACATTGCTGGCCATAAGCTCTTCAACTTCCCGCCTCGTTGGGCAGCTGGCTATCTCAACGATGGTGACGTCCACCGGGCACTCGGTGTGCCACTCAACTTCACTGGTTACTCGACTACCGTCTCGCAGGCCTTTGGTGTTTCCGGTGACTTCATGAAGGGCAGAAATCTCGCCATCCTTGGTGAGCTGCTCGACCAAGACATTCAGGTTGCCTTGGTGTATGGCGACCGCGACTATCAATGCAACTGTAAGCGCCATTCACAGTGACTCACTCCATAGAGGTGATACTGACCAAGGTGACTGCCAGGGTACGGAGGTCAAGCCGTCAGTCTCGCAATCAAGTCCAAGTTATCCGCCGGCTTTCAGAGGGCTGGCTACACATATTTGCAGACCAATGAGTCATACGTCGGAGGTCTCGTGCGCCAGTACGGGAAGCTCTCTTTCTCGCGCGTATTCAACGCTGGACACGAAGTCCCTTATTTTCAGGCCGAAACTGCGTGGCAAATCTTCGATCGCGCCAGCTCTCACAAGGATGTTGCCACGGGCCAACTTGCTGCTAATGACTCCACGTACGCGACGAAGGGTAAAGACTCGGCCTCAACCACCGGCGATGTGCCCTTCAACTTCGAGGGCACAGTGAGCTGCTACTTCTGGGACATGCAGGAGACGTGCACGCCTCAGCAAGCAGCCCTGGTTGCTAACGGCAGTGCTATCATGAAGGATTATCTCTTGATTGGGGCCAAGTTAGCCGACGGGACTGAGCTCAAGTTTTGAGAGGCTGAACGACCCTCAACTGGATGATTTTGCTATCCTTTGAGACACATTCGCGGTTCCTACACATCTGTCCACGCCTGAATGTTAGGTTGACCTGATGTCGTGTTGATAGTCAGTCGTTGTGTGCTAATTGCTCTCAAATTGGCATTATTGCTTCATAAATTGTGCTGATCGAACACTATGGATTCCAACATATGTGAAACAGTAGACACATGTCGTACGCGAGATTCCATGGTACATGTAATAGCCAGTAGGAGAAACAAGCTGCTCACCCGCGGACTTAATGCTTGTCCGCGTGGAATCAATTATTATCACAACACTTGATCTTTGGCAATGTCGACTTGCGTCACTGCCCGTGCATTCCCATTTGGTCGAAATCGTGAGGAAGAGGTGGTCGCGAGCTACGAGGCAGCCAAGGAATCGACGCCCAGCCTTCGCTTCATATTGGCGTCTGCTAGAAAAGGACCAGATCAGTCTGGACCTGCTGCGCAAATGCATCCCAACGCGTGTCAGCTCCATGTTCTCAGTACTTCCTCATGAAACTAAGCACAATATTGCAGTTCCCAACGCCGTGAGTTGCCATTGCGGCCATTCGTCCTGCGAAAGTCTGTCGCTCGGCGTCTGAACGCGCTTCGCATCCGCCTACCAGAAGGGGCCATAACAGCGGGATATTAGCTGTCGAGTATTTGTCGATCTTGCTCAGGGTCGATTGCATGGATGCAAGGATTGACACGACACGGAGGTCATTTCTATCCAATCCCAGCAGCCGAATATACAGCGTCAGGAGCGCAGCATCTGAATAAAGCAAATGGACAAGTACGAGTTGCGACTGTACTTGGGTCTCGTGGGATACTTGGCTGCGTAGGTCCGACAGCCGGCATTCCAGGATTTGCGCACGTTCTTCGGCAATGCTATCTACGGGGAGATGAGAACAGTCGCATATCTCGTCGATGATTGTGATCAGGTCAAAGGACAGGTAAGTGGTGGGATCGATTTCCCCGGGACTTGGCATGGCTTGGGCAAGCTGGACCCAGTTGATTGGGCGCTTCCGCCAGGAAAAGGTGTTTGGTGAGGATGAGACTTGGTCCATCAGCAATAAGTGCGCGAGCCATTTGATGTCAAAAGACCATAGCTCGTCTGTTGTTGATAGGGCTCCGACCTCTTGTGCGAACATCCGGGCGCCTTCAAGATGCTGACGATACGTGACGGTGTCACCCGTGCAGAGACAAGTAGTCGCCAGCATCAGAGACGTTGCCAGTGTCCCGCTTTGGGATCTTGGCGCGCTGATGGCTGTTTGGAGACTTGAGAGAGTCTGTACCGTGGCCTCAGTCGCAGCGAACTCGCTATTCTCATCTCCCTTGAGTCGCACATGGTGGTGGCAGCTTGCAACGAGAACCGCCCCGAGCATGCATGCGCTGCTCTCGCCAATCGTGAGAACAAATCTCAGAAACTCTTCAGATTGAAGTGGGAAATATATGGATGCTGTGCTTCGAATGAAATGATGCAGGTAGAATCTCTGCGTTTGATGTCGTAATATGGGGAAGTCCTTTGGGCGATAAGTGTGAATGCTACACAGAGGAAGCCTTGGTGGAGTTAATGATACTGTATGTATTTCGGCTAATAGTTGACTGTTGCTTATTGCGTCGCTAGAATGAGATGATTTCTTCTATGAATCAGTCTCACAGGGTATATATGATAGGGAAGTCCAGGACCGCGACGTACCAAGGGGGCGCGTAATGATGGCGTAATACTGAAGCTAAGTATTTGCAAGTCGTACACACACAACCTCGGAAACTTGCCGCATCTCGAACAAATCGGCCTTTTCTCGTCGCACTGGGAAAGAAAGTCAGAAAGGAAATCTTCCGCGGGAGGCTACATTAAGGAGGCTAGCCTTGGTCTTCTTGCGGCGGCATTCTGTACAGCCTGTGCGAGCCCTAGTAGACATTCTGGATATAATTAGAGTCGCAACAGGCTAGGAGTTACCGCCTAAAAGGCTGCAAGTGTAAAGTGGTCGTCTGATCGAGTTCAGGCCCTTGAAAATGGGCCCAGGGCATACGGTTTAGCAGCGCGGCTAGCTCGAACATCAAGGCACTCTTTGGGACGTTGTCAACATGCCGCAAATTCTCCACGAGTCATGCGTTTATTCCTAATCGGGCAGCTTAAGCGTTCTGTCCAATTACATGTCACCCGTGATTATTACCCCGCGGTTGGCCAGGGCATTTATAGGGACAGGACAATGTAAGACTGTTCAATTTGAAGGACGCCTCAACTTCTCCCTCATTCAAGTCAACCTTCCATATTTCACAGCCCGGCGAAGCCAACACGACCAACACAATGGCTCCATCCTCTACTGAGATAGCGGCCAATGCCGTGGGTGCGAGAGCGCGGATTCAGCAATTCATCTATCAGACACCACTTATTCCGGCTCAGAAGGTTGGCAAAAGCGATGGCGCCACTGTTCTCTTCAAGGCCGAGAACTTCCAATTGACTGGGTCATTCAAAATCCGAGGCGCCATGTCTAAGATGTCGACCAGCGCCGCTAACAAAAGTCTGATTACTGCATCATCCGGCAATCATGGAGTTGGAGCTGCACTGGCAGCAAAGACCTTTGGTAGAAGCCTCACTGTCGTTCTCCCAGAAACAGTCGTCCCAGCTAAGCTTGAGAAGATCAAGTCCTATGGTGTTGAGGTCATCTTGCATGGCCAGGAAACTGGTCTCGCGGAGAGGCATGCGCAGGAGCTTGCGGCATCGGGAGCTTATGAGTACATTTCGCCGTACAACGACATCGATATTATATCGGGGCAAGCAACAATTGGGATCGAAATTCTCGAACAGTGCGGTCACGTCGACAATATCTTCATTTCCGTTGGCGGTGGAGGCCTGATCAGCGGTGTCGCGTCGGTTATCAAGGACGCCAAGCCAGCGACCAAGATCTACGGTGTTTCTGCGGTTAACTCTCGAGCTTTGGCCGAATCGATAGCTGCTGGTAAAGTGGTGGAGACGAAGCACCTGCCCACAATTGCTGAAGCTGTTGCTGGTGGTATTGATTATGACACAATTACTCTACCACTGGCCATGTCGGTGGTAGACCATTTGATCGACTGTAGGGAGGAAGAGATTATCAGTGCTATGAAAGAGATGGCTTTCGACGAGCATATGATTGTCGAAGGGTCTGCTGCTCTCGCCTTGGCCGGGTTTAGAAGAGTAGCGCCAAGCCTGGCTGGGCAGACATCGATTATTCTCTTATGTGGCGCAAATGTCGGTGTACCAGGTATGAAAGAAATTATCTTTCCTACTTAATATATATCTTGTTGAGCACGAGTTAGCTCCGATGCTTTCAAGGCCACGAAATCTTTGAAGTTGTAGGGTGTCCGTTGCCATTATATACGGTCAGGAATCTCGAAGCAGCCTAAGAGCTCAGCTGCAACCTGTCGATCCGTGCCCACTATAGCCTACATCAACCTCCGGAAATCTTGCCAGCGCCACCAGTCTGACCACGCTTTATACGCTCAAGAGCGAGTGCTCCTTGACTAGCAAAGTGCTGAGTCCGTTGTCTGATACCGGATGGGTAGACCCCTTTGGCATGAAGAAAGCTGTTGTCGGCCCCTCGATCCTTGTGCTAGTAGCTACTGGGCTTGTGGTTATCCGTGTTCTAAGCATAAATGGTAGCAGCGGCTCCAATGTCGATCCTCGAATTAGCACGTATATTACTCTTTATAAGGACTCAGCACCGAGCACGGAGCGTGAAGGGGGAAAGTTTGCCTGGCCTAAGGTAGGACGAGGCGGCCAAGTTAACCGAGCTAGGAGTTATTGTAAACAATGTGGCATTTATGGACATCCGTTTTGGGAGAGGAGATAATTTTAGGGTAGTCTTAGTACAAAATTCCATGAACTCGTTCACGAATAATACTACCATAAGAATGTGCCGCTCAATGGATCCAAATTCTACAAATGGAGGTGGTAAGGAGAAAAGAAGGTGTTTACTGCACTGCCTCTTTGAGTGTCATTAGATAGTAGCGCTAGTCTTCCTCTGTGCTCTGATCTGTCAACTAGTCTTCCTCCAGGATAGGATCGTGTATCTCCTCGGAGATTTTATTCATGAATGCATAGATCAACGGATCCATGCCAAGTTTTTTAAGCTGTGCCACAGAGTGGCAGGTGTCAGGTTTGCTCGAACCATAATTGAGAGCTTTAAACGCGCTCCCGCAGGGACGCGGCGAAATCTCTGCAAAGTCGCTTCCTGCACCCGGTCCCAACTGTGCAAGTCCTCGATAAATTCGCACGCATCCACGGCGATGTCCGCAGCCCGGTACGGCAGCCCTACGATTAAACACTCAATCGTGTCCCATGCGTTGCCGTCATGTACGGTGTTAATCCAGCTCCAGCCGGACACACTGTGAGATTTGATGGCAAGCTTAACCTCTTCAGAAACCCAAGCGATCTGCTCGAGCCGCTCTTGTCGAACCAATGGTCTTACATTATTTGGGGTTGAAGGCATATCCTTGGGTGATCTGCTGAGTGCTGCGGCGTCTCCCAATAATGGGGATGAGGTTGTTCTTGAAATTTCGAAGCCAGAATTGGAGGAAGTCTGGTTGGAAAAGCCCGTCCGCAGAATACCAGATATAGGATCCGCATGGTTAGAGCTCCCGCGAGACGTAAATTGTGGCCGCGGAGCGCCTAAGTGGTCCGTAAGTAGTGGCGATCGATCATCACCCCTAGCTGGATCACTAATTGCGGTCGCAGAAGAAAGTTCGAAATCCGCAGTATTGACTATTAGTGGCATAGTCCTTGGTGTCTGCGGCGGTCTTGGTGCGATCTCGTCGGACTGTTGGAGGCCAGTCGACATGACCCTTTATCCAAGAGCCTGGTCAATATTCGCTGTGAAGTTTTGAACCTATTAGTGCAAGACGCCAGTGGACAGTAGGAAATCGGGTAACTCACGGTATACCGGGAAGTTTGATGGTTAGAGGTGCCTGGCGGCTGCTCGTTGTGTTTCCTTCGGAAGGTGGCTTGTCTTAGAAGAAAAATTCGAAGTTCTCCGGATTTGTCTCCGTGGCTCAGGGGCACGGTGCTGGATGCTTATATGCCTTTTAAATGCTCTTCGCGATGAAAAGAATGGATACTGGTAGCTCACCACTTCGCATCGCAAGCGTATAGTATGTGTATCTTCTCGAACGCTTGAATGTACTTGGAGGCGATTCGAAGTACCGAGGTTATTGGAGCCCAGATCCATGGGAGGAAAGGGGTCCCCTTGCAAAGAATATCGACAACCTTGGCGTAGTGTTCTAAGCCCGAGAGAAAGGGTAGAAGACGCCGCATGTTTCTCAGCTCTTGTCTCGCTACAAGCTGGGTCTTGACCTTAAGTGCGGTTTGACGAACATCCTCGATCTTAATCGTACCGAAGTCCCGAGCATGAACTGGGCTGATCGTCTGCCGCAGGTCATCGAATGCTCTCTATATCAGTCTTGTCGCGGTTGGGCATGGCGCTGGTCGCATTGGCATCTTAATGATCTTTGTCTTTGTGAAGGGTCTTGAACACGACGATCGCGTTTGGGCAAGATAGAATGAGCAGGGTCAGGGGAGCTCACAGGGCAGGAAGCTGCCGATCTGCTCAACTGCACCAGGCAAAATGTGACCCATCTTGCGGACCAGACCCCACTGGTTAGCGGGCTGTGCATAAAAAATGTCTGCCTTGAAATCCGCCTTCATCCAACTCAGCCCCTGTGAGCTGCGGGGGTTCTGTCCCGTACCGCGGCCAGTGATAAGACTAGCGAAAATCATTAGCTATCTCCCTAGACACTCAGACATGTATCATGCTGGCCAAGACCGACATCTATGCCTGGAGGCACTCATGCGTTCCCCCTTTGCACTTCTACGTATCTATCAATGACGAACCGGTCCTCTGCGAGTCGTTGTATGGCCCGCTTGCTTATGGATTACATTAGTAATCTCATATAAGAAATCGAGGGCACCTTAACGGTTTTTAAAAAACTTAGTATCCTCCTTATAAAAAAACTTGGTACTCTAAGATGGTACCAAGTTTTCTACGTATAGGTCGGGAATAGCGGAAACGGTTAATGCACAACGGTAGATAAAGGCGTACTGAAATCAGCGTTAGCTCGTCGAGCGAATATATATAGCTCTATGAGGCCACGGTCGTAACATATTTAGCCATTCATATCTCTAATCGATACGGCCTTGCCACCATTACTTCCTCTCCGTCTTCATCACATATACCTCGAATCATCTCCATATCGTGTTCCACGCCCTTAGAGTCGTCCTCTGCAATCCCCGCGACACTGAACTGTAGCAAGCTTGGGTCGCTTGAGCTGTCGTCGTTAGCAAGCCTCTCATTGCTGTACATTACCCCTTTCTTGTAGTCCTCCTGATCAATCCCATCTCCTCCAACCTTGATCTTGATCCGTCTGACTCTGAACGCGAAGACGAAGTCCTCGCTCCCCGTGAAAGATGTTTCGTCACTTTCCGCCTTGCTAAATCCCATGCTGGGCCCAAGAGACACAGGCAGCCCCGCCGCCGCGGACGCAGTTCCGGCAAGACCGTCGGCACTGACCTGGCCCTCAATGCCTGCCTCACGGGCGGTCCTGCGCGTCACTCTGGCGCCAGTTACCGTCTTGACACCCACGACGACGTACAGACCCCTTGCCCGTCGCAGACCGTGCCGCTGCAGGAACTGCATTGCCCGCGGGGATGACGATATAGCATGAGACAGATCCTCGTCGCTCGGGTAGTGCTCCTCTGTAATCATCTGGTCAAACTCGAAGAGCTCCGACGAGCCACGAGAGATGTCTAGCCCAACGTTGACGCCCACGAACTGCAGAAAAGACGTCCACACCCCGAACTGACCCGAGAGCTGCTTTTCCCTGGACCACGAGACGTTTTGCTTGGTGGATCTGAAGCCGACGTTCAGCGATTCCCTCGGAGATGACGATGGCCCGGTTTCTGTCAATCGACCTGTGGATATTGGGACGGATACAAGGGCCGGGACAGGCTGAACGGGTGAGATGATGATGTTGCCCAGCTTCAGGGGCCCATCTGGTGGATAGTCCCATGATGGGGTGAGGAAGTAGCTCTTGAAAAGTGCTGACATGTGTAACGACGTCAGCCTCAAGGCCTCTATGTTGCAGTTATAGGTGGTTTCTGACACCGAAGCAAGATGGCCTGGGCGACTTCGGGGGGGGCTTGCTTATGCTAAACTAATGCGGACCCCTCTTTGTATAAGCCCCGCCTTACGTATGAAGTCTACGTTGCGATTCGTGCGGGGTCGTTGGGTCCCGAGAGCCATCCACCTACATTGAAGGAGGTGGATTTCTCGGGTGAGCTCATTAAGTCATCCGCCGTGTTCTAGCAGCAGGTCGACTTCTGATGAGAGCATATTTCATCAGTAGGCCCAGCAGTCTAGCTCGGTCTCCAGACAGAATCCCTATCCGCCTCACTGGTCTTGTTCACTAAATCTAGGCGCGCGCAGGTCCGCCACGGAAGCTTTCCACATGGAGTGACTCAAGCTACAGACTGGGCAGATCTACACACAAGCTGTGGCCATGCTCTGTCGTGTATACTGAATGTGCGCTGGCCGAGGTGGACCTTCAATACACACGTGGACAAGGGGCGCCGGACGCTCCTGTGGTCAACATCACTCAGTACCTCAATCTACTTATCAAGGGTCTTGCCATGCCGCCTTTCCATATGCCGTCTCGGAAATCCCTCACTTGCCCCTGGGTACCGGCAACCCGGTTCCGCGTAATGAAAGCTTTTCAATTCACTGTGTATCGCGTCGATGTGGCGTTCTAATTGCGTCTTCGTAACATACGTCCTTCCACAGCTAGGGTGCTGGCATTGTAGGGCCGGTCATGAGTCCGCCTATGACGGCTGACTTTGTGTGGACTATCGAATGTCTGATCACACTGGTCACACGCGAAGCTGGTGATGATGTCCAAGCGTGGCTTAATCAGTCCCGGCCACTCATCCTGCCATATTGGATTCGTGACATACCTCCTTTGCTGCGCTGCTATTCTTGCGTCGGCCTCCTCCAAGCTGGTCTGCCAATCTATCCGCTCGCCCTTCCGCAGGTTGAAATAACGTTCCACCTACATCTTGAAGGTTAGATCGTGCCCAACATCTCTTAGCCAAATCGAATTCGAATACTTGCCATATCTGTCGTTTTGGTCCCGAGATGCGCCGCAATGGATGCCCAGTCAGATCCGAGGGACTGCAATAAGTCTGAGAACTTGATCTCTTCCGCAATCGGCCAGTAGGATGAAGGTTGCTTTTGTTCGAATGGTTAGTTCGATATGCTACCGGCTTTCAGAATATAGAGGGTTGCGCTACCCCGTGCTGCTCACCTGTACAAATATGGAATATTTCCGGCCGCTGTCAGTGGCGAACTGCAGATGCCACTCGGAACGGCAAGTGCTGCAAAAGAACTGATCAATGTCCTCATTGCTGGCCATCCCTATGCATGCAGTATGGGACCATGTCTTGCACAAGTCGCATTGGATAAAGAATTCTCCCATATCTTCGTGACCCCTGAAGATGCGTTGAAAAACGCTCTCGTCCTTGAGGCTTCGTCTTCCCGAAGGCTCAAATGGGGGTGGACCTGGGTAGTCATCATGACCACAAACGCAGCGGACGGCTTCCTCGTCAGGAGAAGACTGCGCTGCATCATCTGAGCTCGAACTTACATCAGAAGAGCTCGACATTACACCCACCAAAGCGAGAAGTTCGTCATCGAGGTCTGCTGCTTCTTGCTGTTGCAGGCTCGACGAGCCTCCCTGGAGTAGGTCTAGCCCTTGTTCGCGGAGTCTCGCCCGCTCATCTTGAATTGTCGTTCGAGTATCGTGCCCCGAGGGCGCTGAGCTTCCCTGTTCGCCCTCACCATTCTCGGTGAACTCATCGTAATGGATCGGGAGTGATTTTATGGCAATGTCCCTTAGGTGCCCGACTATGTGCTCCTCAATGTTACCGCTGACGCCTGTTTGGCCGGGCGTCGCTCCACAAAGCGGACATGCTGGGAACAGTGGCCCGAGGGTGCTTGCACTTCGATCAGCCATGATGCGGAGCTGGTTATCTGACAATCTGGACTTGTGCGCGCTTCTCAAATGCTCAATGTAGTCCTGAGGAGTAGTGCTGAGATGGTCCGCGTGTGCTTTTGACGCACAGCGCCACCGCAGTGCGTGGCGCTTCATATGTCGGATCCACTCTGCGCTGTGTGCATATAACTCGTGCGGTGTATTGCAATTGTCGAATAAGCAGACGTACGGATCGAGGTCGCCCTTGACGTGCATTCTTGACAGCGTTGATCAGCAACCTGTCCTTCATGTACCCCCGCCCTTAGACATAATGAACACCTACTTCCACTTCTGGTCATCCATGACTTCGACTGCAGGCAATGCGTAGAAGCAGTATGGGCACGTGATCTCCCCAACAGCAACTGCAGCTCGTCTCCAAACAGGGTCCGATAGACTAGGCTTAGTGTCGTGAAGTTTACGTCCTGAGTGCACAGAAGATGGCTGCGTCCCTTTCGATGCCGCAGTCTCGCCCGTCGTTTTTTGGAGCTGGGCATGTTTGGCTCGCACAGAATGCAGGGGAGGCAATGGGAAGCTGAGTGCATCGTGGCGGGTGAAAGCGACGGTTTTCGACATGGAGATTATCGATGGAGTTGAGGCCTGGTGGAAGCCCCTGACGGCCAGAGTGGTGGCGCTCTGGGCGTGAGAGGGTGCTTTGCCACTTCTCGCTTGCGACGGTGGTGGTATATGTGAGGGTTTGGGCCCCGACCCGGAATTTCCCGCGTTGGGTAATACGATTTTAGGCCCCTGAGAAGGTTCAGCAATCGTGATAGAACCACTGCCGTATTTCGCACGGCGGTACAGAATCTTTCTGCGCCTCAGTAGCATGGTCGTGGCTAACCTCTGGCATATGGCCTCCGTGGCGCCTTGGAAACGGTCACGAAGGTACATCAAAAACACTTGATGCAGATATGCCTCTATGTCGTCTCCCTCATCATTACGGAGGACAAAGTGGACAGCCTCTTCTGTAGTGCTTGCTTGCTTACTGGCGCGGCGTATGGTATTGGAAAGCTTGTGCAACAAGGTGATCTGACCTGCAACACTTTCGATGGCTTGTTCCAGCGCATCGTCGACCGGTGCGAGGGTATTGACTTGGATTTTCCCATCTCTTCCCAATGCTTCGAGGGCCGATATGCCTGATGGCTTGATAGTTGTCAGCGCTCAGACCAGATTCTGCGGAGCAAAGGGCAGAAGATACTGACAAGCCTCGAGACGATAATGCAGGGTCTCAAGCAAGGCCTGGACAATATCGAAGACTTCTGACGCCTCACGCAGGCGGTGATCCAGGGATTGGCGACTTGGACCAAAGACTCGAATGTTGGCCGTCCATAGGGAGAATCTTGCCAGTTGATCTTCGAACAGAGATAGCTCTCGGGGGTGTATGATGGCAGCCTGGTCGAGACATGACCTGAATTGGACCAAGCACAGGCCAGCTGCGGTTGCGATTGTAGTTGGCTGCTGCACCTGACGATAGCGCGTCTCGGGCTTAACCACGAGCTCGAGGAGGGCGCTGCCAGCAGACAGCTCGCCGAGAACGAGCTCTGGCTGGTCACCGGCCTGGAGGCGGCGGAGGATCGCGAGGGCCTGCTCGTCGGAGATGTTCTTGAGGAGCTCGACGAGGTTGCGGTGGGGGGCCTCTTGGCTGTGAAGCTGGTTGTAGCGGCGCTTGAGGGCCTGGCCGTGGGTCTCGGAGACGGAGGTGGTGTAGTGGCAGTCGATACCCCGGCGGCTGCAGACGAAGCAGACGGGCCGCTCCCCGGAGCACTTGACCTTGCGGCGGCGGCAGCCATCGCAGGCGGCGAGCACGGACGACTTGCGCGGGCCGTCCTTGTGCGGCGCCGGCGAGGAGACGTGTGATGAGGCGCGGCGCGGGGCTGACTTCGGAAGGCCGATGCTACCGCCACCGCCGCTGGCGGGCAGGAGCTGGCGCAGAGACGGAGTGGCCGAGGTTGAGGCAGCCGGGCTGGTGACGCTGGAGGCGGTGCTGAGGATGCTGGTAGCGGTAGCCTCTGGCTCGAGGCCTGGGGCGGGAGTGTCGGGCACGGGACTCATGGTCAGAGAGGGGACTGGAGGACAGGGTTCGCGTCCATTTCCAGCTGCACAAGCTCCAATACCGTGGCAGGCCGTGTCGATCCGTGATCTAAGAAAGGATGCGACACCAAGAAGCGGAAGAAATGGGAGAATAAAGCAGTTCAGTCGCGACCTGCCCCTGCAGACGATGTGGAGGTGGGGTCAGACTCCAGCACATTCGTGCTTAGCCTGCAGCCTGTCCTGCCGTGATCAGGTGACCGTGACACATGCGGGGCTGCCCTCTGAGCGCGTCGTCCGCTTCACACGATTGCAATCTGCTGTGGCCAGACTCGTCGACATGGCGTCTCTGGGCGCAGCGCTCGAAGCGCTGTCCGACCTCGCCCGCGCATGTCTGCACCGGGCACGAGACCGTCAACTCAAACTCCGTCTGGTCAACGTGATGACATACGGTCTCTTGGCTCGGCATCACCTGGCCCGCCTCACTGACGTCCGTGTCGCTGGCCATGCTCACCCTCACTATCTGGATCTGGTGAAGCAGCTCGAAGACCACTTGAGCGCCTTCACCACTGCAGTCACTGGCTCCGCCGAGGATACTGGCAAACCCCCACTTCTCACGCTCCGCTCCGAATGGGATAGGGTATGCACGAAGGACGAAGCATCACAATCCGCCTTCCTCAGCTCCATTTTCGTGCTGGCACAGGGCTCGGGTCGGCTTGAGGTCCTCATCGAAGCCCTCGAACGCTGGGAGACTGATGTACGGAGGCAGTTTCCAGAGGATCAGCTCGATCAAATCACCGACGACAACTCGGAAGCCCGGAACATCGGCGGGCCATCTTTCGCGGTCCGTCGAGCTGCGCAGTCAGTAACCGAGGCGCTGTTGGCATGTAAGGAGTGTAGCTGCCTGCCCGAGCATCACTATGGCGCAAGTCTCTGTCTGGGAACTTATCAGACGCCCGCTGCAAACGCTCAGGACGGCGTCAACTTCGACATGTTCCTGTCAACGTCGGAGAATTGGCAGGAAGTCCGCATGCATACAATTCGGGCCAAGGGCATCCACTTCGATACAGAAGCAGAGCATAGACTTAGATCACGCAAAGGCCAGTCGATATCGGAGTCGCAGAGGGCGCCGCCAGTCAAGATTGCTAAGCTATGTGAGCCTCTTTACAAAGTTCGGATGAGGAAAGTTCCGGAGAGACTGGAGTTCAAGGTCGACAAGGGCCAGCTTTACAAGTTGCATTCTCTCAAGCACACCACAACAGTGGATCTCTCAAAGAGTCCCGTTTCTCTGCAACAATGCCTTCGTGGACAGCCACATGCTTTTACTGAAAAGACCAAGCGGGTGCTGGCTGTGGTATTGAGCTATTCTATACTGCATCTACACGACACGCCGTGGCTACAATCGACCTGGGACTCGTCCAGCATCATCTTTTTTCATACTGCTAGCTCACAGATTCCCCTCAAACCATATCTCCAAGCGCAGCTCTCGAGCATGGGAGGCCATATGGACGTCCCGGTGGACGGACAGCGAATAAGCGATTGCGCACATGGACGTGAAACGCACATACGAGCGGATAGTCCCGAGGAAGATGGCATTTTCGAGCACCCATGTCCCGTGGTCGTCACCCTGGCCATGATTCTGCTCGAGATCTACTTCGTGCAACCTTTCGATGAGCTGGCTGCTCGATTCGGTGTCGACGTCGACGAACAAGGCTCCACTTGGCTTCATGCTTGCGATGTTTTCGACCGCTGCAAGCACGAGATCCCTAGCGACTCTCGACTGCTACACGCTGTTGACCAGTGTCTAAACCAAGACATCTGGCAAGACGAGGCAGGAAACAAGCTGAGATCGGACCAGACTGCCATCACAATATTTGATGGGATTGTGGTTCCACTACAGACTGACTTAGAGAAAGCCTTCAGTTACATACCCATCAGCGAGCTCGACCAGTATATTCAGAACATTGATCTCAGTAGCTGGAATCAGGCCTTGTGGAACGAGGCGACGCCATTGTCAATCCCTCAGAGTCATATCGACACTAGTAAAACCAATTCAGACATCTCTCTGGAGGTGCCTTCAGCGTCTCCAGGTTCGGTCTGTAGAGACGCGGAGCAATGCACACAAAATCTCCTAACCGCGGAACTCGGTCTATCCGGCTTGGAGACAGTCAGTAGGACGCCCTCGCCACTGTCTCAAATGGTGAATCCAAGCGTCGTGGTGCAGAGTAATGAGCACAACATCCATCGATTCTTCGATGACGAGTCGGGCCCCGAATGTCAGATACTCGAAAGGTATGTCAAAACTGTAACAGGACAGAATTCAGACTGTGGCAAATACTAATGTGTTATGATCGCAGTTGCCAAGGCTACGCAAGCTGGCACTCACAGTATTGCGGCGTCTACGACAAGTTTATATCTGCTCAATCTGCACAAATTTTGCCCACAAGTCGAGTCAAGATTGCCATCTTAGATACAGGGGTTGACTTGAATCACTTCGACATCCAGGCTAATTTCGACAGGATTAAAGCAAGGATGGACTTTGTGCGTGGGGGCAGTGACCGTCAGTCCCAAAACACGTCTGACCTTAATGGACACGGCACTTTTGTGACAGATCTGGTACTTCAGTATGCACGAGACGCAGATATTTACGTGGCAAAGATCGCCGACAAGCGGCCGTCCACCCCACAAATCATTGCTAAGGTAGGTTATAGCCAACCTGTCGATACTCTCCAGCTGGTAATTTCCATTTCAAATCCACATTACAGTTGTACTAACCACTTTGTCACTCGTTCAACAGGCAATCCTACATGCTGTCAAGGTATGGAAGGTTGATATAATTAGCATGTCCTTCGGCTTTCCCAGCCGCGATATCGAGGGCTACAGTGAACTGGAGCGCGCATTAAAACAAGCTGCGTATGAGGACGTGCTCGTCTTCGCCGCCGCCTCGAACAGCGGTGGCCGTCTAGGTCGAGCGTTCCCCGCGCGAGAACGCAATGTTATCTGCGTCCACTCGACGGACAACCTCGGCAACCCATCACCATTTAGTCCCACCGCGCAGGGAATCAGCTTGGCCACAGTAGGCGAGGCCGTTAAGGCTGCGTGGCCGTCACACCTCTGTCCGGCCGACGCCGTAGAAGATACGACGCATAAGAGTGGCACGTCCTTTGCGACCCCTATTATGGTCGGTATAGCTGCGACGTTGATGTTGTATGCGAGACTTAATTTGTCTTCTGTGCAAGCCGCGGCGCTGAAACAGCAGCAGCAGATGGAGAATCTCCTATGCCGTGTAGCGACCAAGACGCCCGGAGCACCACTAAGGGGAGGCTATCACTTTGTGGACATGAGCCTGTATGGAGATAGCTTATTCGGTAAAGAGAAGGCGTATATAGATGCCACGATCGAGGATGTACTGAGGAGCTGATCCTCACAGTTATCTTCACGTCCCAGCCAGCTCAGCCTAGCTATAATACAGATCATAAGCTTGACTTCACAAACGGGTCGCGGAAATGGTTACTGAGTTAATCTATATAATTCAGATGGAGTAGTACCCTGCCCATCATTCAGCCCGGTAGTGACGGTCAGTACCAGGGGCAAGTTGGGGTAGCGCCATAGTCAAGGGTGGGTTGGGTAAACCCCTGTCGGGTCAAGTGACGGTCATTACGATGATGGCCATTACCACAGGGGTCTGGGATGCGGCTGGACCCCTAATCGTGTTTGAACCTAACCTTAACCCCCAGCTAACCCTACCCTGTGCCGTGTCTCCTCCCCTCTCATTAAATAACACATGATGCATGCCGCGGCCGGGACAGGCTCGCAACCTATACGGCGAAAAGCCTTCGTAGTTCCTAGTTATTACACGTAGAACAGAAAATACACCTCATTTATACACTATCTAACTCTCTTCGATCTGACAGCCCAGCTGTGATTAAAGGACCATCTAGCGATGGCGATACACTACGAGGCTGACGATGGTCGCACCGGGGGCCAGGTCAGTCTGCTGAGCTGGCCTGTGGCTGACGCCAGTAGCCAGGAGCATCGCGTCCTCTTCTGCGTCTCGTGATCGACGAAGTGAGCATGCTCGGGGGAGCCACTCTATTCAATGCCAACTGCCGCCTCCAGACCCTCCGCGAGGCGATCCTCAGCTAGGTGCACTTTTGGACGAAGTACGCGCCGGAACTCAGACCACAGAGGACCTTGGCCTGCTCAACACCAAGCTCATGGTCCGTTCCCAGATCACCTTCAAAGGTGGTTTGCGCGCCATAACACCGCTCAATCGCAACCGGTGGAGCCTCAACATGGAAGCCGTCGTAGACTGGGGCCGCTTTCACCGGAGACACATCTCGGTCTTCGTCTCGACCCACACCTGGCACAGTCGAGCCTTATCACAGCAGGAGGTGGCCCAGGCCATCGAACAAGGCGACAATTCCAATTGCAAGATCCCCGGGGTCTTTTTCTACGCCCAGGGTATGCCTGTCGTTGTCAACAAGAATACATACACCGGCCTGAAAGTTATGAATGGGGCGGAGTTTACCACCACGGACATCGTTCCCGATCCGAAATTCCCTGGTTACCATCTTGCGGACGACATGAGCATCCACTTCGGTCCGCCACTCGGCATATTGTTAGAGTCGCAAGATACAAGGGGTCTAGCCATCCCAGGCCTTCCAACGGGCACCGTGCTCATCCGGCACATCACGCATACCCTCGATCCAGCCAATCCCCACTACAGATTCTTGTCGGGGAAATGCTCTCGCCGGGGGTTGCCAGTTGTCCCGGCATTTGTCCTTACTGACTATAAAGCTCAAGGCAAGACTTTTGAGGAGGTACTGTTGGAGCTGCGAGGAAACCGTATGACAAATGGTCAGCCTTCGAAATGCGACTTTACCAGCCTCTATGTTCAACTATCCCGGTGCAGAACACTACAAGGCATCAAGCTTCTCAGTCCCGTACGACCGCAGGACTTCCTTGGGAATGAGCCAGATCAAGGCATAATTGATGCCATGCAGAGGCTGACGAGTTGGGATCGCAGGCCTTGACTGGGTGCCCTCCAGCGTCGCCTGATAGGCCAAATCTTGGGCGCACTAATAGTGACTGTTAGTTTGCGACCTTCGCACTGAACTACTGGTCAGTTTGGTCAAGTTACACTGAACTATCAGTGTGGCCTCTGAGGCCTGGACTGCACCAGCAGTGTAGTCGAGAGACGTGCACTCAACTATTAGTGCGTGCACTATTAGTGTACACTGCAGTGTGCACTAATAGTACTGAAATTAGCTTGCACTATTAGGAGCGCTGCTTCAGACATCTGGCTATCGATCTGACAGGTTCTTGCATTATGACGACTCGATGGTGGTGTGCGGCACATCGTATAGGATAACGTGACGCACGCCCAGCGTGTCGATGCCTCCAGCTGATCCTCCTAAATGGCCCCGGTGAGGCGCGTGGCTTACACTATCCAAGCTTCTCATTCGTCCACGCATGGCCGTGAGATCCGATCCCTCTCAGCCTAAGGGAAGAACCCTAGATATTGCCAGTCCTGCAAGGCTTACAGATAGATCCACCTTTTCTTATGAGCTTGGTTACTCAAACATCCCAGACGCATCGTGAACAGTTCACCGAGCAATGGCCCAATTGATGGTTTTGTGGCTTTTGTAAGGTTATGAAACGTGATCCTTCTACCTTAGTATAAGGTCTGACTTGCTTCTGCACAGACTCAGGAGCACATAAACCTTGTCAAATATGCATGGCTTACAAGACCGTATACGAAACGATAGGACCATTCCCCACTGAGCTATGTTGTATGCCTTCTCACCACTCCGTACAGAATCTTCGATTATACTTACCCATCCTCAAACTATAAAGAGGACCAGGTTTCTTGTTCCAAGTGCTCAGGTCTCGGACTTCACCATCTTTTCTAATAAGACCCCTGAAGAATCATTGTACTCAAACTGCAAATCTACCAGCATCAACTGACGATCATGCGCCTCAACTTTGCACCCATTGCCATACTAGCAGGCTGTCGGCTGGCAGCGGCTAGCTGTTCAGGACCTCGTGTCCAAATTGGCAACGGCACCGTCATTGGGGAGACGAAGAATTCGATTGATACATTCCTGGGAATTCCTTATGCGGATCCTCCTGTGCGCTTCAGTCGGCCTCATCATGTTTCTTCGACGTTCGAAAATGGCGTCTTTAACGCCACGGGAATTCCACCTAGCTGTCCCCAGCATCCGATGATCGTCCACCCGGATGCTCTCGCCCAACTGCCGCCAGAAATCACCGCCATGTTTGGGGAGATTGTAGGTCATCCCACGTTGGTCAGCGAGGACTGCCTCAATCTTATCATCCGTCGGCCTTCATTCGCAACACCTGAGTCAAAGCTGCCCGTGCTCTTTTGGATTTATGGTGGAGCCTATGAGAACGGCTTCACTCTCGCCTACGACTGGTCTGACCTCATCGCACGATCTGTGGCTCTGGACCAACCCATCATTGTCGTCGGAGTGAACTACCGCGTCGGCGCCTGGGGATTCCTCCCTGGCAAAGAAATACAGGTCGATGGCAGTTCAAATCTTGGTCTGCGCGATCAGCGACTGGCCCTACAGTGGGTGGCCGAGAACATCGAGGCCTTTGGCGGCGACCCCGACAAAGTTACAATTTGGGGCGAGTCAGCTGGGGCATTCTCCGTCTTCAATCATCTGATCGTCAATGACGCCGATCATACCTACAACGGTCGAGAACTTTTCAGGGGCGCCATCATGAATTCGGGATCATCAGTACCCGCGCAGGCTATTGACAGTCCGACCGCCCAGCGTATTTACAACTTGCTCGTGTCTGCTGCTGGGTGCGAGTCTTCAGACGATAGCCTATCGTGTCTGCGTGAGATACCTTACCCACAACTTCTTAATGCAACAGCCGCTATCCCGGGACAACTTGGAACAGATGGAGTGAGACTAAACTTTGTCCCGCGACCTGATATCGAGGACACGTTCTTCCCATATTCTCCTGAGATTCCACTCCAAGCTTCAGGGCCCAAAGTTGCGCCAGTACCAATCATCTCAGGCACGCAGGATGATGAGGGCACCTTCTTCTCTCTCATCATGCTCAATGCAACCAACACTTCCTCGACCGTCCATGAAATGCAAGGGTTCTTCCCCACGGCTCCAGTTGAGAGTCTTGAGCACATCGTAGAACGCTACTCCGAAGATCCGTCCTTTGGGTCACCATACGACACAGGGTCAGATGATCAATTATATCGGGGTTTCAAGCGCAACGCCGCAATCGTTGGTGATGTCGTCTTTCAATTCCAGAAGCGCGCATTCCTTCACTCCATTGCTGACAAGCTGCCAGTGTGGGATTATCGAAGCACCTACACTAAAGGTGCCCCGTTTTTGGGCACTTTCCATGGCTCCGACCTTGGTCTTCTTCGGAGTGGCGAGCCGAAGGGATCTTACGACGCCATTCTGCAGTACTATATCAGCTTTGTCAATTTTCTGGATCCCAACGCACTCAGCCATGATCCCAGTTCAAGGACGCTACTGAATTGGCCCACGTGGAGCAGAGACCGCCAGGAGATGATGCAGTTCACCGACAATACTACCGTGGTCTCGGTCGACAACAGAAATGAAGCTGCATTTGACTACTTTGTCCAGGTTCAATCAGAGTTCCTGCTATAGGTAAATTGTCCGCTGTTCTTGTATAGCCCCAGTACACGTGTCTCTATGCTACGGGTAAATCGTCATGCGAGAGGGCTCACAGCATGTGAATAGCAAGCATGAGTTCATAGAATCATAGTTGAGGTAGATTAATACATCGGGCTTCACCCATTTTTCTGCATATTCCGATTTGCGACAGAGCTCTATAGAGCTTGCCAATCAATTGCATCCTCGCCCCTCTGCAGCCTCCAATAATTAGTGGCATGCAACATATCATCACACCCATCCAACAGTACTCTCCATTTTCTCGCGAACCCTTCAGTCAGCTCCCAGCCTATTGGGTGCCATGGATCTTTCCAGACGAGCACGCCATTGCCACCTGAGCTCTCTTCTTGGTGGAAGCACATGCCGCCGAATACATCTGCAAGAAGCTCGACGTAGTCAAACGAAGACGCTGCTAGGATAGCATTGTCACGCATCTGTGGGTGCGGTAGTGTCTCAATCCAGGACCCATGCGGTACAGTGCGCTGTAGCCACGTCGGCCGCAGGCTTTCTGGCAGGCTCTCTGTGGAAGAAGGGCCAGGGAACTTCACCAGCTTGCTATCTAGAACGCAAGAGCCCTTCGGTGGTGGCTGGAACAGCGCGTCAAAGGAGTGGAGGATTTGAACGTTGGTAGCCACGGCACGGAAGACATTATACTGGATAAGAGGGATCAGATGATCACGGCCGAGTGGGAATGGGCCTTCCAATCTCATCCACGGCGTCCCAGACTGTAGACATGACACTCTTCTCGAAGCAATATGATTTTTGGTGCTCTTTTCGTCGCTGATCTGCTCTTGACGCTCGCGAGCACTGCTTGTTGGCGAACTCGCAATAGAGGACACGGTCTCGATGCGTGGCTTTCGCCTACGGGGTGCGGCTACGTTAGGCACAAGCCTTTTGGCCTCGAATGCTTTCCTCTTGCCTTACAAAGATAACTGTCAGTATGAAAAAGTCATAAATATCGCGCGTTCTATGACGCAGCCTTCATCTTCTGCTCCAAGGCACGTGAGAAGGGACGAAAGGGGTCCATTCTTACGATGTGCCCGCACGTTTAGTCTGCTCTGTATTTTGCGCCTATCGGCTCGCTCTTTGATGCCAGTCCAATCGTCCTGGGGACCAAGAGCCTGAAAATGGTCAATTATACATATATTATATCCAATGCTGTAGTGGATATAGATTGGCTGAGAACCTACCTCTGTCATAGAAGAATACATAGGCACTATGTCCACGAGGACGGCCGGACCGTCCTCGACTCCTAACAATATGTGCGCAGCGTTTCTCTGCATTGTACAAGGTCGATGACTAGAAGTCTTGTGCTTTTCTAACCCGCGAATGTAAAGTTAGACTCGGTTCTTGATGGGTAGTGAGGAAGCAGCGATGACACGAATAAATGATGTTAATCAAGCTGTCAGATGAGACCTCAGATGTGAGGGAGACAAAGCAATTCGGAGATTCCTTCGGACATTGAACAGCCCGAGTGCCTGGAATCAACCGTATATGCAGGCGGCTTACATGACAGGGATGAGATGTGGGCCCGGGCTGGTGGGGCAGACGCCGTGAGACAATTTAACGTGGGCCTTTCGTCAGGTCTAGCTAAATATAGCTAAGGGTAGCGCTAAAGGCGGCGAAACGATTGGGAGGATATCGACCCTTGTTTGGCCATCAGCCATTATTACGGAGAGCCGAAACGTAATATGTCCGTGTCTGAACAATCAATCCGGTATCTCACCGTTTTGGGTGGTTCAAACGCCGCCATTTTTGGAGGCCAAAGCCGCCGAAATTAGCACCCTTTGAACCAAGCCGATAACACTTATCCAGGCAGTAGCCCCGGGCCAGTACGGGCCATGCCAGTATGTACCTTTAACCTTCGCCTGCATATTCTTTACCATTACCGGCATCGATGTAATCGCACAGGGGGTCGCCCATGTTGAACCCGCGGACGAAGTTATCAAATGTGGCTTCGGAGAGAACTTCCACTACCTTGTTGTGACGGCCAACCAACAGGGGATGTTTGTTACGGGCGTAGAAGAGCCCAAACAACTAGGCCACAGGATCAGGCCAAGGACAAGGGCGGATCATGTGGCGGTGCCGTCACAGGTTCCTTATGTAAGCACGATAAAGGACGATAAGGAAGGTACGTACCGGTCATGCATATCTGCATGACCGACACCACGCCAAGAAGGATGGTCATCAATATATGCATGACCATCAGGATCAGATCCGTGACCTGGCCACGACCATCGGGGCCAGAGTCATGACCACGGATGAAGGACAAAGGATATATAGACGCGGGGGATCTCCTAGATACACAGTCACTACCTTTGTACTTCAGCGATCAATCTAAGTATCAGTTTCACCCACACTTGAACTAGTCACTCAATTGCCGAGACTGGTATCTCTTCCAAGAGACACGAACGACAACCCAGAGAGAGAACGACAGCAGAGTGTTAGTTGTTATTGTACAGGCTTTACCTATCTTGCAGAACAGCAACCCCAGCGCCCTGCCAGACGGTTGACCCCGGAGGCAGGATCGTGACACGGTCCTTGGTAGGAGTGGAGTGATAGACTGTATTTAAACCTAGCCCTTACCACCCTAGAATAAGATAGTAGGGAGGATGGATCGGGTTTAATTACGAAAGACCCATTGTAACTTTTTTAAGATTTACTAGTACGGCTGCGAATATATCCTGGGCGAGTTACGGGGCCCAGCTAGGTGAGGCGCTTAACCCTGACCATCATTCCCGGCCGGGTTGGCCTCACTTTCGGCGATTCCTGGTGGGACAGGGGGCCGGGGGCACGGGCCATTGAGCCCATTCCGGTACCCCAACTAACCCCAGATTGAGTTCATTCCGGCCAGCGAAAAATGGGCTAACCCACAGCTAACCCAACCCCAAGCCCAACCCCAACTAGCAGGGGTCCGAACCTGTGGGGCCCAGTCGCGCCCTCATATGCGTACATGCACAGGCCGCACGACGACGAGGGAGGCGCGTCAGACTGCCAGAGCAAGCAGGCAGGCAGGAGGCGCGCGCAAAAGAGAGAGGCAGAGAGAGGAGGGCCAAAAAAATGCCACGCCTAGGAGTCGAACCTAGCTCTTCAACTGTGACTAGCTCGAGCGTCCGGGTCGGATGGCTCCACAAGCTCAGGTCAGGGACCCTTATTCCTGCGGCCGACGTGGGAATGGAGAGCTATATAGCAGTGACGTCATGACCGCTAGACCAGCGAGGCTCTCTGGCTGTTTGTTGAATAGTCAGTCGCTTATTTGGATATATAAGGCTCAGGCAGGCAGGCAGGTCGGCAGGCAGGTCGGCAGGCTGGTCGGCAGGCAGGCCGGCAGGCAGGTCAGCAGGTAGTACGGCGGCAGCGGTAGCAGGTCGGCGGAGTAGTGGCAGTTCGTCGGAGCCGGTAGCAGGTCGGCAGGTAGTTAACATAGCGAAAATACCTCCGAAGCGGAGGAAGGGGTGCCGGCAAAAAGAGCTACCCACTTGAGAATCTCTACGAGACGAAGAGATTCTCAAGTAGGCGCAGTAATCCGGCCCGGAGTTGAACCAGGGATTCCGCTTAGCAATTGCTAGCGACGTCTTACCGCTTGACCACCGGGCCTGTTTGTTCTTAAGAGACTGGCTGCTTATTTGGATATATAGGGTCTGGCCGTGGCAGGCTGGCAGAGGTCGGCAGGTAGGTCGGCGGCGGCGGCGGTAGCAGTTCGGCGGCGGTAGTAGTTCGGCAGAGGTATAGTAGTTTAGCGGCGGTAGTAGTTCGGCGGCGGAGGTAGGTCATTCCCGGCCCGGAAGGGTACGGGCTATTAAGTTCATTCCGGTACCCTGAGTTCATTCCGGCCAGCGTAAATGTGCTAACCCCTAGCTAACCCAACCCTAACTAGTAGGGGTCCGAACCTTAACCCCCCCAGCTCAGCTACGCGTGTACGGCTAGGCACTGCTGCGAAAAGGGGGACAAGGTAAGTAATAGGTAATAAAAAGGAGATAAGCGCGTACGCGTAACAGCGCGAGCCCGGGGAGTCTAAAGGGGAGAGGGGACGCGCGTAAGAGGAGATAGAGGGAGGAGGAGAATGAAACGGACGCGCGCGCGCATTTCGATTGAACTATAATACTAGCTTAGGGTCTCTTCCCAAGAATATACGCAAGAGTCGAAGATCAGAAGTAGTACCGAGAAGAGAATCGCATACGACAGGTAGTACTCCACGATGGACCGCAGCAGCCAGGGAGGCGACTACGAGAGCGATTACGGCAGCGCCGCGCAGCAGCGGCAGCAGCAGCAGCAGGAGGACGCGAGAGCTACAGCAACGACCGAGCCAGCAGTAACACCAGAGCTCTATCTATATCGGGCAAGCCGCGTACTAGTCTGCACACTATGTAGGGCAGGAATCGCAGCGGCCGTAGGTGGTGTAGTTACCCACTACCGACAGAGGCACCAGCTTAAGGGCGGCCAGCTACGGGCAGTCAAATCGGCGGCAGCAGTAGCAGCAGCAGCAGTAGAGGGCCGTGGAGGGCTCGTAGAGCCGCACGAAGCAGAGGTACCGGCAGACGGTAGTCCAGCTATCCCGCAGCTCCAGGTCCACTCCGGATTCCGCTGTAGGGCGTGCCGGTTCGTAACGAGGAGCCGGGACGAGGTCCAGAAGCACCAGGCGAGGGAAGCAGCCGACGGCGATACTAGCCACTGCGAAGGCTCGCTAGGTACGGGCTACGCGCGCTGGAACGAGGTACAGCTACAGTCGTTCTCGTCAGCGAGGCGCCGTACGCGGTACTGGATTGTAGAAGCGCTAGCGGTAGGGCGGCAGGCGACCCCAGAGGCGGCAGCGGGGCCGGACAGCGGCGGCGGAGGTCAAGTCTGGGAGGCCCACATGGCGGCGTACGAGGCTAAAGCGGCCGCCGAAGAGGCGGAGCGGGGCCGGATTATCGACTACGAGGCCGGCGTCGACTATGAGTCGCCGTGGGTGAGCCAGATGGGCTGGGCGGCGCATCTGGCCGGCAAGGATATGGCGGAACTACGGCGCGCCGCCGAGCCAGGTCTATCGACGAAGGAGCTAGCTAAACTAAGCTGGTCCGTCCGGAAAGAGAGGGAGGCTTCGGAGGCGACGCTCGTACGGCTGGGCCAGAGCTTCAACCGGGTAATCGAGCGGTGTAGCCGGCGGATCGGCCAGGTACCCGTGGAGACGCTCTGCTGGCTAGCAAGCCGCGACCCGAACCGGCCGTCGCCGCGGCCGTTCCGCGTTAAGCAGGAGGCGCATACGATGGAGAAGTACCGGAGCTACTGGCGGCGCTATCTCTGCTACTGCGTCCGGGTCTTCCGGCTCGGCCGTACGGAGGCGAGGAGGAAGCACCAGGTCCAGTTTACCGACCAGCAGTGGGCCGCTCTCGAGGCTATTATAGAGGCTCTCGATAGTACGGAGGAGGAGAGCTCCCGGGTAGGGGGCGGCGGCGAGGAGGAGGAGAATCGCGAGGGCGACGGCGACGACGGATATCTAGACGAGGCCGTCTTCACGTTCTGTGTTCTGTCGCTTACGCAGCGGGTACTAGTACAACCGTACGTAAACCCGCTACTACACTTCACTACCGTACTCGCGATCGACCCCGTCCGAGCACGATTTCGGCCGCCGGCCGAGTTTACAACACTACTAGCGGGTCTAGCGTGGTGTAGCCGCGTACTACTACTAGAGTACTTCTTCGAGCACGTCCCGATCCAGGAAGAGGATAGTACTACGGACTCCGGCGAAGGGGAGGACGAAGAGCGTAGCCAGCTCCAGGCTAGGGATATCGACGTATTTATGGACGGCTATCGGCAGTGGATCGCAGACGGCTCGTACAGCCCGTTCAGTACGCTAACCCGGTTCTTAACGATCGGAAAGGGCTACCGCCAGAAGGAAGGGGGGGCAGCACGGATTATCTGGGAGGACGGGAAGCAGGCGCTCCGGCTACACGGCTTCCGGATCGAGGTCCAGAACTTCCGGCGGATGGCCCAGGGGCTCGTCTCAACAGCCGAATCGGCGCTCGACGGGCTTCTGTACGGCCAGTCGGCGGTACTACTAGGACGGATCGAGCTTAGCAAAATCAACGACAGCGTAATGTACGAAGGGGGTGGGAAATCGTTCATCTCAAACCCGCAGAACAGCTGGCTTCAAGCCGGGCCCCGCGTCGTTGCCGAGCTCGTTTCGGAGAGGCTCTGGTCGTCCCAGCGGCAGCAGTACCACCGGGAGCGGTCGCAGAAGTGGCTAAACCAGATCGGAACGCTAAAGAGCCAGCTACTCGTACTAACGCACGTCTGGGGAGGCCAGCCAGGCCGAGGGCCCGAGATCACGAGCGTGCGGTATCTAGATACGAAGCAGCTAAGCCGGAGCGTCTATATCTTCGACGGGCAGGTAATGCTCGTAACGGACCGAGATAAGGCCAAGTCGATCCGG